AAAAAAAAAAAAAAAAAAAAAAAAAAAAAAAAAGTTGACGCGTCATCTCGAGCTTACAAGTTCTTCTTAATGTCCTCCGCCGCGCCTTTCGCCTTGCCCTTGGCCTCCTCGGCCGCTCCCTTGGCCTGGCCCTTGAGTTCCTCCGCCTTGCCGGCGGCCGACTTGTCCCCCATGGCGCTCTCCGACGCCTGCTTCACCTTTTGACCGGCCGATTCTGTTTTGTTCTTGATCAGTTGCAACGTTTCTTCCTTGGGAAACTTTTCCTGCTTACCGGCCGCGTCGATGCCGTCGACAATCTTGCCGCTCACGGCCTTGTCCACCGTTCGGATGCCGTCCTTGACCGTCTCGGTGGCCGTCTTCTGGTAGGCGGCCGTCGTGGAGAATGCGCGCGGCAGCAAGGCGCGAGAGGCGGACCGGAAAGCAAAAGACATGATGAATGCTTTTCTTGATTTTTGTATTTTCAAGTTGTTCAATTGAGATGATAAATTTGGTAAATGAAATGAATCGAGACAAGTGATGGAAATAAAAAGGACAAGAAACTCTCCGGGCTGTTTTGTGCTGATACATATACTTGCTGGGTTGGATGGACCGACCCTGGTAAACGCTGCTACATACATACTTACTTACATAGATACATAGATACATAGGTGCCTGGTCATTGACGTCACCTGGGCATCACGACGCTCACTTGTCGCGCCACCTTGGTTTGGAAGCCATTATCCCGTTTCTGGCGCAAGTCTTGTTGGGAAAAAGAGACAAAGCGGTAAACTTACATAAACAACTACCCGAAAAAAACAGAGCAAGTTGAAAAAAAAAACATTTAATAGCGGGCATGTCAACCTGACCAAGCTGCGTTGCCACCAGGACCCGGGGGCCCCGGGGGGGGGGGGGGGCAGCAAGAGATCGATAGCACGTCTGCTCTGCCACCTCACATTGCAGGGACAACACAATCAGCTCATTTTTGGTTGGTCAAAATGTCCAGTGTTGATTCATTATTAATTGCTAGCACGTCTGCTGCTTCACAATCGACTATTCTGGAGTCTGCTTCTGGACAAGTCGCTTGGAATACAGTTTCAGCTGCTCTTACCAGAGTCCTCCTTCAAAGCCACGATGCGGTTGAGCACCACCTTATCCTCCGTGCTGTCCGAGTCACAAGCCTGTCAGGGAGCAAGGCACACCACATTAGCATCAAGGGTGAAGGCAGGGCACAAGTAAGCGCAGGCAAGAAATCACTTACAAAGTAGGCAACACGCACGCCCTGAAATCGGATACTCTCTGGTCCAACAGTCCCTGGTCTCCTCAGATTCTGCCCGAGGCCACGGCGCGCGGCGGCGCACGTCGTAGAAGCCTCTTTCAGTCATGGCGCTCGGCCAGATCGTCTCACTGTTGGGGTTGATATCGTTCATAAACCCTCCGGCCAGGATTTGGGCTGAGCGGACTCGAACAGGGACGTGTGAATACGCACTTCAGCCTTGGGCGAGCCTTCAGGGGCACCCACTGGATAAATGTCTTTGGCTTGTTGCCACCCTTGTCAAAGACGGCTCTCATTTCCGTGACGGCTCCGGTCGCCTCATCCTTGGCAAAAGAAATAGCCTTGACAGGATACGGCATTTGAAGGAGACCAACAATCTTGCCTGGAGCGAGACGGAAGTAGTCCTTGCTGTCAACCTCGCGAAAGTCTGAGCGATCGATGTAGACAGTCTTTGTCAGCCGAATTTTACGCGATCCCATGTCTGGATCCTTGGGACAAAAACGGTACGTCGAGATCTTGCTCCTCGGCGTCTTCAATCCCCAGTCGCACGGGGTCGAGAACAAGCATGAGACGAGGAACAGTCTTCTCGAGATACCGCCGAATTGACTGCTCAAAGCGTTTGATGTTAATGGAGACCAAGGCCTTGGTAACCCCGAGCTCATAGATGAAAGAAAGAAGCGCAGCCAGGGGTATTCCTCGTTGCCGTATCCCTTTAATCCCAGCCGCGTACCATCTTTTCATCTACCAACCGTCTCAAGTCTCTCTTGCTCATGATTGTGCCGTCGAGTTTCACGGGGCCATGTTCGCGCTGCATGGGCAGATGTTCAACAAGAAGCCTGTTTCTGGATAAGCTAATGCCTCATTATGCAGGCACGGGTCAATCAAGACGCTTATGCGGCCGGACGGAAAGGGAATACATACTGGTTTAGCCATTCGTAGCTCTCTCGAGACATGATGAACTCAGTTGTACAAAGGCTGTGCGTAATACCCTCAAAGCTATCACACAAGCAATGTGCAAAATTTCCTTTTACGAATGTAAGAAATCAGGCAAAGAGTGATGCGTACATGGAGGTAGCCATTCGGCCCAGGTGGGAATCGCGTGACAACATTCTCTGATGGACGAAGCTTGTACACGTCGGCCAGAAACCCCTGTTTGAACATGAAGTCGGGGTCGAAAGTTGTTCCGTCGGCTTTGGCCAGTGTCTGCTTGCTGTCGCGCAACATGGCCGCCGGGACCTTCTTGGCCCTCTTCTGCGTACGCTTCTTGAGCTCACTCTTGGAAACCATTTCCCCGGTTTCCGTGTCCAGCTGAAGCTTGACAGTGTTCTCGGCACTGAGTTCAGCCGCTCGAGATGGCTCCTAGCGTGCTGTCGTTTACCTTAACACGCTCCTGCACTCGCGTGAATTAAATCTGGGTGCTGGCCCATCTTTGGTCTTGATTTCTGTCAGGGATTTATATCTATTCTTTTGATTCTATGACTAATGATGGTCTGACCAACAACTGAAGTCATACACAACATCCTGCCCGAGCCTACTTACTACCTGCGCTATCGAACATGCTTAAATCGCACCGCACAGATAAAGAGCCTGACGAAAGGTCTCGGTGGTTTCTTCTATACGAGCAGGCTTTAGCCTGTGAGCTTGCTAAGTAGCAAAGTGAAGAAATACCTACTGATCTATTACTGGTGTTCTGGGATGTGTCAGCTGTCAGGGCGGCCAGCTCACGTTGCCGGTCCTCAGCTTTTTTACTTATGGATAGGGCTATGAGTCTCTTATTATCATCATGGTCAAGTTCTTTGCTTGATTTGTTCATTGATTTTTTTTTTTTGAATGGTAGCCAATCCTATCCTCTAGGTATTTTTACTATATTACAGTAGTTTACTTGGCAAGTCCGCCGCCGTCGTCTTTTAATATACATAGTGCCGGTACGTCTATATAAATCGGTCTTGTTGCACATATACAACCCGTAAATTATGTACACATCTAATCAACACGCAGGCTATCAACCTTGGCGCGCATCACACTCTCCGCCGTGGACGGGTCTATCCTCTCCGTCGGACCCAGCCGCATCATCTTGCCTACCAGCCACATGAGCTTGCCCTGCGGAAACTTTTCGTAGTGGACAAACTCTTGCAGGACCTTTCCTTCACCCTGCATCGCCTCCTCGGCAATGGCGATGTACTCGTCCCGTGACAGCTCGTGGAACCACAGATTATGCGCGTCAATGGCCGACGTCACGTCGCCGTCCCCCATCTCCCCGAGGTGAATCGCCACGAGGAGCTCCTTGGCCACCTTGCCGGTGATTTGCTTCAGGTAGAGATGGTGTAGGAGCTGGGAAAGGAGAAAGGCGGGAACCTGGGTACACTCGCCCTCTTGCGAAAAGGTGAGCTCGCCCGAAGCTAGCGGCCCGGCCTTGGAGGTCGTGAGGCGACCGAACTCGTGAATGACCCAGTTGCCAACCAGAGTCGCATAGCTCTTAAAGTCTGGCTTCGCGCATGAGCTCTCAAGGCTCTCACCAAGAATGTCGAGAACACGGTAAAAGTATTGGACCCGAGCACCGTTGTCCAGCGTAATCAGGGAGAGCGCATCCTTGGCAGTGAGACCGTAGTCAGCCACCAGACTATCAAGCTCCTTGTCGGGAAGCACGGCAAGTGATTCTTGTAGATGCTGGACCAGGTCTTTTCCAATGACGAGCGGTTCAATATCAGGATCTGGCATATAGCGGTAGTCGACCTCGCCCTCCTTGCCACGCAGCCTGCGTGTCTCTGTAGAGCCAACAGCCCAGCCTCGTGTTTCACCAGCAATGACACCGCCAGCTTCAAGCTCGCGGATTTGCCGATCTCTCTCGGCGATGATGGCATCTTCTACAGACTTGACGGTACTCAGGTTCTTGATTTCTGTTCGTGTTCCAAGCGGAATGTTTGGGTTTCCAGTTCTGCGTACCGAAACGTTGACATCGGCACGCATGCCGCCAGTCTCCATGCCTGATACGCAAGCATCTACCGTGTTTAAAAGAAGCTGAATTTTTCGTACAAATACGGCAGCTGTTCTGGGATGGTGCATCTCGGGCTCTGTAATGATCTCGATCAGAGGCACACCGACACGGTTAAAATCTAGCCACTGAATGTTGCCCACTTGAGCCAGTGTCTTGGCTGTATCTTGCTCAAGCTGAACTTGCTTGATGCGGACTGTAACACCTTCGCCATCCTCGGCTGCAATGCCGTCTCTAGCCAGCAGGGTGATGTGACCATTCTTGGCAAAGGGCTGGTAGTACTGGGTGATCTGGTAACCAGAGGGCTGATCCCACCAAAAGTAGTGTTTTCGGTCGAAGCGACTGAGCTCCTGGATCTCGCAATTGAGGGAGAGGGCGGCGCGGAGAGCGGGAATCAGGGTTTCCTTTTGGAAGCGCGGCTGGCTACCGGGCATGGCGATGTCAAAGAGCGCTACATGACTGTTGGGGTCGTCGTTGAATGAGGTGATGGCGGGCGAGAAGAGCTTGCGCGGGCTGTTGAGCTGGGCGTGGATCTCGATGCCGACGGTGAGCTCCCAGCCGTCGACGGTCTGGTTGTCCGACTTGGGCTTCTTCTTGCCCTGCTTCTTGGCGAGCCTGGCCTCATCCTTGAGCTTCTTGCGGAAGTTGGGGTGGGCAAGATCGGGTGTAGGTGTCGCGGCAGTATGCGGTGCGCCGTGGAGGTGTCTGACTCGATGCGCTGTCGCGGTGGTAGATCGGACGAGAAGTGGTCGTGTTACTGAATGGTGGACAGCATACAAGCAACCGTGTGGCGAGAGGCGACCGGCGAGCAGATACCTGCTCAGGTCTGTGACTGTTTGGCGCGGCATTGGGCGAACGACGGGACGGAGGGCAGGACTTGTGGCCGAGGATGACGTGTTTTCTTCGAGTCCGACGTCGGCGAGAGGGGTAATAAAGAGAATGAGTGGTATGATTCACAGCAAATGTGCGCAAAGTTCCATGCGCGACGGGATTGGACAGAGGAGACGGGCTGAAAGGGACCCAAGACTCTGGGTTGGGTTGCCGTTTCTGGGCCCCCAAGTGGTGGGCGCGCCTGGGTGATTTGCAGAGTCTGGGCTGGCTTCCTTGAAATTCCGAATCCGAAACACGAGGGGTAATTGAGGCTTGCAGGAGGGAGAGTCGAGGGCCAAGGGAAGCGATGGCGAGGGGGGCAGAGGAGGATAAGTGGTGGGCGGTGGTGGACAAGTGGTGGGCGGTGGTGGACAAGTGGTGGACAAGTGGTGGAAGGAAAGAGCTTGGTGGTGGTAATAAGTGAAGGTACTGTATGTACTAAAAGGATGTATGTACATAGTTATGTACTGTACATACATAGGTGGTGGTGATGCAGGAAATGCTGTGGTGGGCCTTTACAAGAAAGTGGCAAGTGCCAGACGGGCCCTTGGTAGGTACAGTACCTTCCTTTTAGTTACCTCATTAGCTATGTACATATGTCGCGCCGTCCAACGGTGCTGCATCATCTGCATCCCTCGCAAACAAACATCAACACAGAATCGCACACTGAAAATTTTTCCCGTCAGCTTTGCTCCCTCTGATTTTTACAACCCTCTCGGAAATTTTCTACCCCTGACGTGACACATTGTTCTTTTTATAGTTGGGCATCAACTAGGCAGACGCTGCCTTGGCCACCACGATGACGACTCGGGACTCTCTCTTTCTCGCCTGCTCTCAACACCATGCCAGCCCAACCAACCAGCGCCAGCCAGAGCTGACAAGAAGCCAGCCAGACTCACCACAGTGCAACCTGCATATATATATAGTAGCACACTCACTATATCGTCGCCCTATTTCGCTATACCATCTACCACTACATCCTTTCTACCTCCTACTTGCCGCTGCCGCCGTTACCCCTCCATTCTAAACGTGCTGCCAATAAAAACGACTGTCCGCTCTCCCGTCTCTCATCAAAACGAACCGCCGCGCAATGCAATACCAGTCCTCAATCTTTCTCATGTCGAAACTGATTCTCACTGCGCGCTTCATTTCTACACGCTACTCCCAGACATACAGCCACCTTGAACTCTGCCTTGCATCATATGCGCCCCCGTGAACCACAGACAGCCCACGTGAGCCGCCGGAGGTAGGCATAGTGGTTGCAGCGGCTGGTGCTACGGCCAAGCGACAAACTTGCTTTTATTACGCTGCCAGGTCTAACCTCTGGGCAGCTTTCTTCTTTGTCCTCTTTCTTCTTCTCTCTTATTCTATTTTCTGTTATTCATCATTGCTCTCAGTTTCGGAACCGGCTTGTGTCCTCGCCCAAAGAGCCTCTCTGTTATACCACACCGGCCGCACATAGACTCTCGCTCTGCCAGCCTTTAAAACTGCTCGGAACCGCTCACCATATATGAAATTTAACAGGTCCCTGGGATCCATGGCATCCAAGGCTGGGCCGTCCAGTGGTAAAAGAAGTTCACTCAGCCGAGCACCTTCATCCCGCCGGAGGCACGGCCGTGCCGTAACCATGGAGGACGTAATGGACGCCGAGGACCATCTTCACCGGATTTCGCACGCTTCAACCCCTGGAATGGGCTCTGCTGCCAGAGAAGTATCTCCAGAGTTCTATACCTATACCGGAGGAGAGCCCCGTGCCTTTCTTGAAGCCAACCATGTCAGGGAGCAGACTGCCCAGGCGACCAGCGAGGAAAAGGCCCCCCCCAAAAAACTAGCCACGGAAGAACCAGCTCCGGAAGGGGAGTCAAAAGTGACATCTAATGCTTCAGGTGAAGATCAGCATGCTCCAAAGTCGGATGCTGCCGGTACTTCTGCTTCGGCAGAGACCAAGGACCCATCGCCAACCCCTGGCGCCGCGGAGCAGAAGGCCGATGAGGATACTCACACTTCTGAGGCAGGAAGGCCTCCTACTATGCGATTTGCAGGAAGCCCTATGCCCCAGTCTCATTCATTCCAGAGTCCCATGGGACCGTGGGCGCATCCCCACCCCGCTTTCGGCGGAGGCATGCCCGTGCCGCCGCCCTACCGGCCCTTCTATCCACCGGGGATGATGCCGATGCCGATGCCAATGCCGCCGATGCCTTCGATGCCTCCGATGCCGCCAATGTCTCCTCCGCCATTTGGAATGCCCCGTCCACCCATCATGTCTCCCAAAGGACAAATGGCTCGCCTCGAGGCCCGCCTTATGAGCGGCTACGAGCTCCTGGCATCTCGACTTGCCGAGGGGTCCGAGTCGGATTTTCCCGTACCACCCATCTACCGGCGATTCAAAGAGTTCCGCCACCGCATCATGGTGGATCTGAGTGACGAGATTAGCGCCCTTGAAGAGAAGATGAAGCAACTTGACGACCTGGACAGCGAGAACCGTAGATACGGAGACGGATTCCTTCCGGCCTCTCGGCGGCTCGACGAGTCAGAGCCAAACGAAGTGACGACAACCAGGAGACAAATCAGAGACCACGCTTCGAATAAGCTACTGCAGTACTGTAAGTTGGCGCTACTAACCGTTCACCGGCTCCCCTTTTCCCTAGCACAGCAACTAACAGTACCTTTACAGCCACGCAGCTTGACATGTACAAGAAGGCTTGCAAGTTTAGAGACGCACTGCCGGAGGAAATCCACGACTACAGGTCTTTCCTGGCGACCAACGCACCCATCGTCCCCAACGAGGCTCGCTTCCTCGACAAGGCGGGTGACCTGATGTGCCTGGCCGACCCGCCGTACTACCTCGACATGGAGAGCATGAGCGACAACCACACACCGGCCGCACGCACGCCGCGACTTCTCGAGGCCCCGACGGCGCCCAACCCCATGACTGTTAGAGGCGCGCTGGAGCAGGCGCGCGAAGCGGCGGCGGCTGCAGCGGCGCGGGGCGGTGGCACCACCACCATAACCACCGCTGCCACTACTAATACAGGTGCTGCCGTCGGTAACGGTAGCACGGGTAGGCGCCCGCGGCCGCTGAGCATGGCCGTGCTGCGGCACATGATGGTGGGCGTATGCATGGCCGTCATCCTCCCGATCCTTAGCTTCCCCGTCATTGCCGGATTCGCGAGCCGGATGACGGTGGTGATGCTCGTCGGTCTGGGCATGGCCGTGCTGGGCGTGCAGTCAGGTGCGTACGACGTGCTGGCCGGCCGGGCGAGCCCGGTGGACGGCGCGGCCGCGTTGGGGATATACGTGGGTTTTATGACGATTGTGGCCCTTACTTTTGGATGATAAGGGTGATTATGATTATGATGCTGATGATGATGCCGATGATGATGATGCCGACGATGATGTTTATCATGTTGATGATCATGTTGTTGGATGGGTTTTTGGATTTACTTTTATTTTTCGCATTGATACACGAGTTGCGCTGAACATACCCCGACGTTGTTTTCACGGATGATTCGTTACCTATTGGTGTCTTTTTTTACAACGTGAAGGATCTGCTAACAATACTTCTTGTTTCTAGCCGTCATGGTGCGTGCGTTCTGTTGTACCTGGGGATACCCTGCACATGTCCATCGCATCGCCTCCCTGCTGTAGCTTACTGAAATGCCCTGTCACTACGTACGAGGACTGATATTGCCCCCGGCCCCAACATACCACTCCACTCACTTACACGCATCACCACATAACTAGGTAGTTCACAGTCCCCAGTCATCTCTGTTCCCATCCTCTCCACCACACATCCGCCCAAGTTCCACCGAAGCCCAGCCCTAGCCCTGCACAGCCTGTAAATGACTCAATAACGAAGCCCGCCCCAACAACCAATGGGCGAATGGTTTAGTGGTATAATACTCCCTTAGCATCTCGAACCTTGCTCTCTTCCAAGAGCCTCGGTGTCGATTCGTTTATCTGGGAGTGGTCCGGGGTTCGATTCCCCGTTTGTCCATCCTGAAGCTTCGCTTTCACACATTTGCGGGCGAATGGTTTAGTGGTATAATACTCCCTTAGCATCGGTCCAATTCGATTGGGAGTGGTCCGGGGTTCGATTCCCCGTTTGTCCAACAATCAGGAAGCAAGTTTCTTTTTTTGCTGTTTCTTTATTTTTAAAAATTCTTTTTTTTTGGTTGTCGCTTGTAGTGATGAGTAAGCGCGGCTATGAGCCGAGCAGATGAGATAGATGTCCTCGTCCAGCTGGACTGACCTGCATGCACACATGCTTCTTCTTTTTAAATTTACCGAATGTCATGCTAAAAGTCTCTCCTCGGCGGTGCGAATTAATCATGTCTGTCCTACGTGTCTCTCACAAACTTGTGTGGCTCCGTTTCATAAAGCGAAAAGCCATGTGCGACAAAGAGCGTGAATACTGCGATGCTGACTGCTGAGGAGAAGGATGACTACATCTTGGCGCATTGATGGCAGGTTCATGCCTATATATACCCACCAGAGGAAACGAGAAACTCTCAAAATGAGTGAACGTTTCTCCCGTGCTTGCTGCCAAACGAGGCCACAGGGCTGTGCCACGTATAACTTCCCCCCCCCCCCCTTTCTGCCTCGTCGTATCTCGCATCTAAGCCTCTCGACTACTCAGCTGTGATTCACCCGAGACTAAGAAATTCACGGACCCGTTGGCGACGGGGGGGCATAGCGGCTGTCAGCAGCAAACGGACGAGGGACGCGAGAGAACAAGAACCCAGCCTCCCTCCGGGTGATGCAACAAACGGGCCATTGTTTATTGTTTTGGAATTCAGATCCGACGTGGCTTGTGCGCAAGGGATCTTGCAGTTACTGATTCTGTTTGCCTGTTTCTGGCCCTGGTGAGCGGGCTAAGAAAAGTGAACGTCCTCTGAACCTCTTGCCTCCCAACCCCATTCTCTCTCACCACTTCAACAACATTACACTTGCACAACTTCCTCCTCCATCGCCAGAAAAAAGCTCCTTCTTCAATCACCAAAAGCTGAAAAAAGTTCTTCGAACAAGATACCCCCTTTGGTGAGTTTCTGTTCTTCATCGCTGTTGTGGCTTCCTTTCGCTGACGAGGATCAGGATCACCGACTTCACACACACCCGCGTCACGATGCCTCGTCTTGCGAACCTCGCTGCTTTGCTCGCCGCCGTTGCACCGGCTCTCACCACCGCCGCCCTCTGTAAGTACGCCAACAAAGAAAGCAACATAAAAAAAAATCTACTCGCTGCTCTTGCCGGGACTGACAAACCTCCCAGCGGATGGCCAGTACACCGAGACCATCGGTCCCCAGGAGCTTGGCAGCACCACCATTGACGGTAAGAGATGTAACCATCCAGCTCAAAGTTTTCGCCCTTCATCTTTTCTGACAGTCCTCCCGCACAGGAACCATGGTCTACTCCATGAACCACTGCTCCATCGTCCACAGCACCCAGTGCCACACCTCGCTCTCCACCGCCGGCCCGGCTCCCACCACTACCGGCAGCGCCCCCGGCTACTCCTCCTCCTCCTCCTCCGAGCCTCCCGCTCCGAGCTACGGCCAGCCAGACACCAGCAGCGATGCTTCCTCCGTCCCCACGACCACCACCGACGGCGCCGAGAACACGACCACCCCGGGCCCCGAGGAGTCCGTCACCACCGGCACCGGCACCACCACCACCACCACGGAGGAGGCGGCCACCTCGACCTCCAAGGTCCCCGACGTGCCCACCGGCGCGGCCGTCATGGGCGCTCCTGCCATTCTCGGTAACGTCCTTGTGGCTGCTGCCCTTGCTGCTGTTGCTGTCTAGACAGGAGCCCGCCCACGTCAGACACTTGCTTGATTGGTTCAACTTTTGAGTGAGATTCTTCTTTTCTTTGTTCTTGCTATAATGCCCAGAAATGCAATCGGCAAGGATTTAATACGTACGAGGTGGCGTTTGAGTCACGTAGCTCTCGGGCTGCCTCTTGCTCGTTGCCGATCTATAACCTCGGAGGTGAACACAACATGGACTCTGGTTTACATGAATGAATTGCGCGCTCAGGAATAGCACAAAAGTACACAGTATCAGTCAACCGAATTGACAATCAACCCCGACCTCCCCGTTGCATGGTGAAATGCTGCCCGCAACGCATAATGACGCTCAAATCGATTGGTATCTAGATGCTAGTATACAACAAACGGCCTTGTCAGCCCGGTATCTTGAAGCAAGAACAGAAAGACCATCTTACTACCCCATTCAACACACTCAACACACTCCCAAATATATTATGCGCAGAAACGACGTCTCATCGCCACTTCTATACTCCAACGAGACATCTCACTTGGCTGAATGACAAACAGGACATCCTCCCTGCATCTTGTCGCGCAGTAATCTCGCCTTCATCACCTTCATGCCCACCAGGTAGCGGCCACTTGCCTGGCTATCGCCGCCAATGTCAATGTCCACCTTCCCACCGCCATGCATCATCTCCATCAGGTGGCTGACGTGGTAGACGTGGCCGCACGCGTAGCCCACCAGCGTTTCCATCTCGTACTCGGTAAATGCCTCCCCGCAGCCGACGCAATGACCTGGCTTGGGGATCTTGGGCGGCTTGTCCCCCTTTGTAGCACCTGGCTGGCTTTCGCCGTCGCTCGGTTTCTGGTTGGCCTTGGGCTTGTTTACTGGTAACGCGGCTGGCTCGAATTTCACACCACGGCGCTGTCCGGCGCGCAGCTCTCTTTGCTTCAGTCCCACTTCGCTACGCATGACTGTTGCTGCCCCGGAGCTAATGCTGTGCTGAAGCTCGTGCTCCTTCATCATGTGTGTGAGACCCTCTCTGAGCCCTTCAATCTCCAGCCCCTCGGGGATGCGTCTTACTAGCGTAATGGGGTTGATTGCTGTGCCGACTTGCTCAAGAAGGGCTCGGATGAAGCTTGGTTTGTCCATACTATAATCAAGCAAGTCATTCCACAGATCCGGATCGTCCTGCTCTTTGACAAATTCGATTGCCTTCTCTACATTGCGTAGTCGGTCGATGATGAGATATAGGGCGCGCTTCATCTGTCCTGTTTTCGAGTATAGAAATACCAGCTCGTCGTAGTACTTGTGCTGCTCGCATTCCTCGACAGCCTGTTACTTGTTAGTCGGCTGTGGCTTGGTAAAAACATAGGCTGCTTACCTTGTCAAATGTGTACGCCGTCGAAGTCTTCAAAAAGTCCATCAGGAGGCTTCTTTCGTACGTGGCGAAGAGTGTGACGACCAGATCAGCAAAGTCGTCTACTAGAGCCCGGCTTTCCAGGACCAAGTGGTCGCGGTTCTCCCCACCATGTTCCTTCACACCGTCTCCGTGCCATAGCCCGCGGAGATAGAAGAACAGATACAGACGGAGTTTCTTCGCTTGAAGCTGCTCTACAACTTGCCTGGGGCCAACCAAACCATGTTGTGCCTCATCCACGAGCAGTGTAATTGCATCTGACGTTGCGTTGGCCAAATCCTTCTTCGTCATTCGGTCGACACCACCGGCAGGAACACGCAGGCTGATAAAGCCCGGGATGTCGTCGGCCACGGCTTCTGCGAGATGATTGTCTCTAATAAGACGAAACACAGAATCTGCGTCTTGGAGCTTAATGTAGCACTTGAGAGCCTCACGCTGACGCCCTCCAGTTTCATACAGTCTGGCGAGACCCTGATGAACGATGCGCCAATCTCGACCTTTCTCGCCACCGTCAATACTATCCTGACGTACGTCTCTGAACTTGAGCTGGTTCTCGAGTGCTGTTGTTACTGCCTTGATGTCGAACAGCTCCGGGGACCACAGGTCGAGCAGGTCTCGGAACCGGGGCTTGTCGTTGTGAATATAGTGACCGAGGACAACTTCGTACACGGTGGTTGGAATGGGCGGACGCATCGGAGCCGAGGGAATATAGTTTGTGATCTCGTCAAACTTCTTCGCCCCGGCAAACGTCCACACCCACTTCTCCCAGCGATCAGGAGAATGCAAAACCCTGCTGCAAACTTCCGCTGCCACATCCCATTGTCCGTCATCGATTAGCTCCTTGACCCAAAGCTCCCCTATCCGCTGCTTCTCCTTCTCCACTGCACTTGAAGCGCTTTTTGAAATAGAGTCTGCGACAGATTCATCCTCGAATAGCTCAGCAAGACTTTGCCCAGGTGCAGGCGTTGACACAAAATCACCTGCCTTGTCTGCTAATATTTCCGGATTCTCATCCAAAAGTTCCCATGCTCTGCTGTACTGCTCGTGCTCCAACAGCCATGCAAGATGGTCACTAAGATCTCTTTTGGTTGCCAGTATGCAGTCATAAGGGCTATGAACAAAGATTTTGGCCCCTGGCTTGCTCAAACTGGGATGCACTGGAAGCGGCCCTGGTCTGGCCAGCCCGCCACGTATTGTTCCACTGGTGCTGGCTGTTCTAGAGCCGGGAGCAAAATCATCTCCACTGTCCCTGCTTCGAATACTGGCCCCGGAGCTGAAAAGAGCCCTTGGGTTAATCGCGGCGTTCCACATCTCGCTCCCGAGTCCGGCGATAGTCTCCAATGCTCCTTTGGATGCTACTACGCTCGCTGCGCTGCGAGCAGGCAAGACGCCGAGGTGATAATCGGCCGAGAGAAGACGCTCGTAGCGGCTCACAACAAGCTCCTCCTTGTCAACCTCCGCTTGCGACACAAGATCAATGAGACGGAGCTCTGGCGGTAGGTTGTTTTGACGCTTCCTGACTCCGCCTGAAGGCTCACTCTTTGCAGAGCTTGTAGATCCTTGGTGGCGATGACGCTGAGCAGCCCCCTTCCCTTCTTCTTCATCTTCACCGTCTTCCGGCGGAGAGAATGCAAGGACAAGGAGGAGATTCGACGTGTAAAGCGAGATACCGGAAATTATACAGTCAATGCGCAGGCTGAGCGTGCCAGTTAGTTCAAGTCGTGGCGTAAATGGCTTGCCCGACACTTACATTTTGGCAATTTCGGCGCGACCAACGGCCTTATTTCCAGCGCTTTTCGTTGCAGAGCCGTCTGGATGGACATTGATAATCCATATCATTGCCCCCCACCCAACAAGTAAGCGCTCCATCGCAGGTTTTTGTACGCCGGATTGACCCTTTAATCTGTCTGCAGCTGGAGGCGCAGATACGCTGTCCTGTTGAGGATCAATGGCCTCATCGCTTTCAATTGCCTTTTCGTCAATCCATTCAGCACGGCCTTTCCAGACGCTGGCCATGGTGTCCCATTCTTCAGTTTGCGGCCTATCGATATGCCCTACGCGTTTCCAAGCGTCGTCACTCTCGGCGTTTTCGTGGTGCAACTTGGAGCGCATGATTTTGATTCCTTGCTCGTTCAGCCAGACGACATACTTTCCAGATAGAGACCATTTAATGGTATTGATTGTGCCCTCCCCTGAATGTAGGACTGTGTCTTTTCCAGTGTTGGATCCCAGGCCCATGCTTCCTAGCCAGCCTGATGCGGCCGCTGCTGCTGTCCCAATCGTGGTTGAAGTACTGCGACCTGGTCCACCCCCAGAGGTGAGAATGAGCTGACCAGCCAAGCCACCTGAGATGTAGGAACGGTCTGATTTGAACTCTGGCGACAATGCCACGCTCTGGACAGGACGACCAAAGTTTCGTAGTTGTACGTCCTTCATATCGATCAACGATTGTACGCAGACGTTGCCATCCATGGAAGAGGTCGCAATATGTATGTCGTTGGATGGAATCTTTGGTATCTGCACGGGTTCCCTGGATCGCTTTGAAACGGCAGCTGGGGAATTATCCTGGGATCTTGGCTGGCTCGTTTGATTCGCAGACGGTACTGGAATTGGCGATTGATCTGAAGGTAGAGGCGGAGGGTACGGGGATATTGATATAGATGTCACCGAGGCAGAGTGGGCGTGGTATACTCGGAGTGGTTGGAAGGTGGGGAGTTGGAGAACGTGCTTGGCCAGTTAGCTAGTTGCAGATGAGTTATGAAAAGCATGCGACTTACAATGTTGCCATTGTGTGTGCCAATGATCTGGAATCTGTTAGTTATGACACAAAATGACTGGGGGTTGAAATCTAACCATCTTATCGCCTGCGACAAGAAATGCGCTGGTCGCGTCACCGTTGCGGTAGACGGCGTTCAAATGTGGTGTAAGCCTCGATATTTTGAGCGACGGCTCCTCATCTTCGTCGTTTTCTGACTCTTCATCGTCATCGTCGCTTTCGTCGTCGTCGTCGTCGCCGTCCTCATTCTCGTCGTCTTTACCCTCCTCCTCTACCCGATCGCCGTCCTTGTCTTGCTCCCCGTCTTGGTTGTGCTTGATCGATTGTGCCACTCTGGCATCGACTTCGTCGACTGGATCATTGCTGTTCTTGCTAGTAGCCTCTGCTTCCACTTTGCTGTCGCTGACTTCAGGTGGTTCATTATGCGTGCGGTTGAGGGCTGTTTGGGTAGTTGCTTTATCTGGCGAGTTCACCTGGTCTAGATGGTGATCGGTTTGTTGAGGAGTTGCGACATGGTCCGGCTTGGTGTCGCTACCAAGCTCCTGAGCTTGGTCTGTCATGTTTCTGCTACAATAGGACCATAGTGGGGGGTCGGATGAAGGAGATCGCAATCGATTGTGCCACTGACGAGATGGCTTTGAGGGATGGGAGCTGTTGAGAAGCTTAGTCCGCAGGTGCCTAGACCCGTCGGATGGCAAGACGTCACGAGCTGTGGCACGGAGCCAGGTAGCCGGAGGTCGCGCCACAATGATCAGCCACAACAGACACAGCGCCACACTACCACTGTAAGCTCCCTGCCTACCCGCCAAACAGCCCACCAAGACGTTGTCACAAGTTGCTAGAGCTTCGCTTCAAAGCGCGTCTTCTACGCGGCTTCCGCTAAAGTTTTGCCGACGCCATACACTATCGGACCCGCCACCACAAACACAACAAGTCATGCCGGACTCATGATAGTAGGAATTCTTTTTCAGGAGAATCCGAACCTGCAGATTATAGTCCCGGATCCGCTACTGTCGATGGCGAGCACGCGTTATGGCTTCTGTCAAGTCTCTAGGGCTTCACCAGCCCTCAGGCCTGCACTACGCCATTGACGAGCAGCTATTGCCATCGAACCCGCCTGCAAACTCCTACAAATGGGATATTGTATCTGGAAGGAGCGAGAGCACAGACAAAAATGAGGACGAGCTGCTAATCACCAAAAATGCTGTTCTATGGTGTCGCGGCGGCATTCTCCGCAAGATCTTCAAATTCGACCTCGAGAAGGAATCTGTCACGAAAGCCCTCCTTGCATATTTCCCCGCCTCCGATGACGATAAAGTAGCCGCAAAGGCGCACCCACGAGAGACAACGACGAGCACGGCGCAGCGACTACAGCCTCGCATGGAGAAGGCCCTAGTCGTCTTTCTAAGCACCCAGGCGCACATCTACTTCCTGTCTGGAGCTAGCCATGTTGTCCATATGCCCTTTGAGGTCGAGACGGCCTTTGCCGGGCCATCGGGCGTTTTGATCCAAAGAAAACAAAGAACCGAGAACCTCAATTCGTCCACTCTAAGATTTCCACGTGTGATCCCCAATTCTTTCCTGTCCTCCCAATTGACAGAGGTCAATAACTCGCAGGCACAAGACTTCTCTGTACAGAGCCTAGGAAACCCGAAAGCCCTGAACTTGGGTTTGACCAATACCTTGGAAAGCATGTTCGATGGCCCAATGGGCCAAACCCAGTCTCACTGGCCGCGACTGGTTTCACTTTCTGATCCGCTGTTGGATGTCGGCCTCGTTGTCACGGAACCCGACGCGCAAAGTACAAGAGGACCTATTATGGGTTCCAGGAATACGGCCTTCCTTGATCCTGCCGAGGAGCTTCTTTATATCGAGCAGGTCGAATTGAGCGGAAGAGCGTTTCAACAAGCTGGCGAAAGCTTTATCATCGCCGTAACCCTCAATCGGGCAACGAACTGTTATAACGTTTGGCGTCTGAAGTACCTCGAGCATCAAGATCCCTTCATAAAACAACACAAGTCAAAGCCCACGGCCACAAATCTGGCTGCCCGGCGACGAAGTTCTATGGCACCGTCTTTCGCGGAATCCAATACACCGGCAAAGCCCAGCACGAGAGATAGCTTTGGCGCGCCGCTACCAGGTAAACGCCAACGCAAAAGCGAAAAGATTGACAAGCCGGTGGATCTTGTGTCGTCACTCGAGAAACAGGATAAAGATGGCTCGGCTATTACGAGGCGCAGCTCACGCCGATTAAGCTCTATGCTTGCGCGCGCAGACTTGTCAGCATCCCAAGAGCGATCTGTTTTCTCGGAACAACCATCAGCTGTCGGTAGCAAACCTTCACGGAAGCAAGAATCCCGCGCAGCGCCGAATCACCGCTCCAGCTCCAGTTTCAGCAAACAAGTCCGCCCAAGCCTAAGTAGTCTTCTGGAGGCACCGCTTGATATGGGACTTAACGAGGGATTCCTCAATATGGGCTTAGACGACCACGAACTCGACGGCCTTCAACATGATGTTCGATTTACCAAAATCTTTGACATTCCATCGGCAAAATCCAATGTGCACTATACAGTGCCTGCTGGTGATGCCCCGCAACATACCAAAGTGTTCGTACTGGCTGCCCCGGCCTATGCTCACGATGGCTATGATCGAAACCAGCTCTTGATTGGCATCCAGGACGTAGACGAAAAGCGTCTGGACATTATCACTATACAAATTGTCTTGCAACCGGCTGGGCGATCGACCCCCAGGCCCTCTTTCACCAGTCCTACGCCCAACAGCTTGTCCATTGCAACCGGTGAGATTCGAAGAGCTCAAAATGTAGTTGACTCTTGTAAATTGGTTGATGGTGATCAGTCCGTCATTCTGATATTATCCGAGTCTATGGACGGCCAACTTGAACTTTCCACGCAAGCTCCCTGGAGTGACCGCACCACGATATCGCCAGACCTCGTTTTTATTGACGACACCAGGCACTTGCAGTATCGTGGTCGAGTTGTTGATCGTGACGTGAAGCAGCGCAAGTCCGAGATTTTTGATCTCACAAATGGTAGCATTGTTGGCCTGCGCCATTCTCGACAACATGGTGTTGTTGATGTCGTCGATGTCGGCGGTCGGCTGCATCAAGTTAAAATCCAACTCGAGCCGACCTGCCCACAGGTGCGCCATGTCCTCAGCGTCTGCCGAAACATTCTACAAGACGCTCTTGGAGAGCGACTCCACGGCGGCTGGCTGCATATCGTGCAATGGTTGAGAGATCAAGACGAGTCCTTCGCCAGCATTGAATGGTCTGCTGTCACTATCCTCCTCTTCTCGTTGGTATTGAACCTCGGGCGTATTGAAGGCAAGCCTATTCAGACAACTCGCTTGCCAGTTCGGAAACGTCGACCCGCATCTGGTTCATTTGGATCTATCCGAGAATCCGACGATTGGAAGGCCCTCGAAAATGGCGAAACAGCAAGCTCATTGGGCTGTCCTGTGTGGATGATGAATCGAGGCTGGCAATGGGCGCTTGACTCTAGTCCCGAGAGCTGGAGCGCAAATACGGACCAGTTGTCGAATCCCAGATTTGCAGCGAAACACATTGCACTCGCACGAGAGTACATGGCATCACCTTTGGGGAATACAGCTTTCGGGCCCTCTGGATACATGCCCACTTCACTTCACCGTGAAGAAGGGAGCCGAAGGAAAGCCGTGTCTGACATTTTCATGGCGCTGCACCTCCTTCTTGAGGAAGAGCGGCTAGACATCATGACTTCAGAGTACGTCTCTCCCGGACGAACAGACCTGCGAGTTGTTTTGTGCCAAATCTCTCGTTGGCTGAAGTGGTACGGATTCGCAGCTATCTACGAACTGGGCATTCAGGAAGTCGTGGATGAAAAGTTCGATTCCGAACTGAACTTGATACCGCCAATCCCCGAGCCCGCTGTGAAGCCCAATGTTCTTGAATGGGTTCAAAATCGACTACTTACACAGCAAGGGAACTACCCTAGCCCTGTCGATATTTATTCCCAAAATGCTAATATGTCTGGCAAGGACAGCGGAGGTGACGGGAGATGGGATGTGATATTACCGCGCACGATGATGTTCAGAAGGTTTTTCAATGCGTTGGAAGTCAACCCTACAGCTACAGAAATGGTTGAAACCATGCAGGCCCAAGGTTTCACCAGCGCCATTCTCGAGAGCCTCCCTGAAGCTATCTTGGTCCCGCTACAGGACGCCATCGCACTGTGCCAACCTCACCCGCCTAAAGCCTGGCCTGATGACCTGCTGAAGTTGATCAAAAGAAGCGACATGAGTAGTCTGCTGTCCCCCAAGAAGGCAACTAATCGAACGCCTCCAAGCCTCTTGGTATGTGTCCAAAAAAGCCTCGCGTCACTGGTGCAAACTAACCAACCATGCAGACCCCTACCCATGCTGCGTCATGGGACTATCGACTTCTCTCTCACAGTGTAGAAGACGATGAACCCCCTGGCTACGATGAGGGCAGCGGAATAGAAAGACAAGCTGTAATCCGGGCACTGTTTAAAGAGGATAGACGTCTGAATGAGGCGCAGGACCTGCTTTCAACACACAAGTCTCGACATGTTCGACTGAATCCGGACCCAAATTGGCCAGAAAGCGAATACCTGGAGAAGCAGAAGGAGCTTGTCTCCAGAATCGCGACTGGTACGCTTGCTGTTCCAGCAGGAAGAGGACTACTGTATTACAGTCTACGCTTTCCGTTGATAACGCAAAAGCTTCACATTGGAGGGTTTAACCTCAATTGTATCGTGAGGCCAACCAACGTAACGGTTGGTGTAGACAAGTCTCTCTTCACAGAGGAGAAGGTTTGCTGGGGCTTCTTTCACCAGGGAGTTGCTGCCGGTTTGGCCATTTCTCCCGATGCCAAGGGCATCGATACATCCTGGATTCTCTACAACAAGCCCGGACAAGAGTTGAGTAACCGCCATGCTGGATTTCTGCTCGCACTTGGCCTCAATGGCCACCTCAAAGACGTTGCAAAGTGGGTTGCGTTCAAGTACCTGACGCCGAAGCACACCATGACTTCTATTGGATTGCTCTTGGGCCTTGCTGCTTCATATCTTGGAACGATGGACTCTCTGATTACTCGGCTGCTGTCGGTTCACGCCACGCGTATGCTACCACGTGGCGCTGCCGAGCTCAATTTGTCTCCTCTCACCCAGACAACGGGCATTATGGGCATTGGGTTGGTGTACTGCAACAGCCAGCATCGCCGCATGAGCGAGATCATGCTCTCGGAAATTGAACATGCAGAGGATGAGGAAGAAGATGAGCCGCTTCGAAGCGAATGCTATCGCCTTGCAGCTGGCTATGCGTTGGGGTTCATAAATCTCGGAAAAGGTAACGACTTGAAGGGGTTACATGACATGAAACTCACCGAAAAGCTCATCACGCATGCAACATCGACTAAGATAGTTGACATTGTCCATGTTCTTGACCGGGCAGCTGCTGGTGCTGTTATAGCCCTTGCTCTCATTTTCATGAAGACAGAAGATCAAATCGTCGCCCGCAAGGTTGACGTCCCGAGCTCGGTGCTTCAGTTCGACTATGTCCGACCTGACATTCTGCTGTTACGAACCGTTGCCAAGAACTTGATACTCTGGTCCAAGATTGAGCCTACGTTTGCCTGGATTCAGCGAAGCCTACCAGCACCTTACCGAGCCAGATACAGACTGCACGGCACCACGAAGCTGCGATCGACAGACTTGCCATTCTTCAGCATCATGGCAGGAATCTGCTTCTCCATTGCCCTGCGTTATTCTGGAAGTGCCTCCACCCGAGTCCGAGACCTTCTCCTGCATTATCTCGACGAGTTCATGCGCATCACCGCGATTCCCCGCACGCCTAGAGAGCATCCAGATGCCGCGCCGCTCTATGACGAAGAACTTGCTAGAGCCAATGCACGTATGTGCCAAGACATCTTGGCCGTGTCGTGCGCCATCGTCATGGCAGGAACAGGCGATGTCCCTGTGTTGCGCAGACTCCGCGCCCTCCACGGCCGAACGGACCTGGACACGCCATATGGATCTCACCTCGCGGCGCATCTGGCCATAGGAGCCTTGTTCTTGGGTTGTGGCACTGTCACCTTCGGTACAAGCAACATGGCCATTGCTGCGCTCCTGGTTGCTTTCTATCCCATATTCCCGACGAATGTTATGGATAATAGATCTCATCTGCAAGCATTCCGTCACTTTTGGGTTTTGGCGACAGAGCAGCGTTGTCTCGTGGCCAAGGATATTCTGACCGGCCAGCCAGTGTCTGTTCCGGTACAAATCAAGATGCGCCAAGATGTCTCCACGGAAGCACTCCTGCACCGCTCCACGCCATGCTTGCTACCGCCACTGGATCAGATATCCAGCTTGTCCACCAACTGCGGACCGCAATTTTGGGACATTGAGCTTGACTTTTCCGACGAGAAGCTGCGCGAGGCCTTTTCTAAAACACAGAGTCTGCACCTCCGACGGCGACCGCCGCGCGAGGGCAGTTTCCCTTCCACTCTTCGCGCCTTAGGTAAAGACGGCGACGGTAAGAACCCGCTGGAATGGCTGTTCAGCCTTGAAGGGCTAAAGGGCATCAGCTACGCTGAGAAGGCGGCCTTGCTTGAGAGCGGTGAGGATGACCCAGAGATCGGCTCCGCCGTGGATGCGCGTATGGAGCTTGAAAGAGGCATCCAGGAAGGCGGCGACCTGGAGCGCCTGGAGGGGGCCAGGCTGCTGTTCGAATGGGGTTCTGCGCGCGACAGGCTGCTGCGGAGCAGGAAGGGCTCGGATCCGAGCACGTCGCACGACAGCCAGAAGACAATCACCATGCGGACCAGGCAGCGGCACGGCGATGCTGATGAGGAGCTCGAGGAGGATGACGACGCGGTATGGTGGATGCGAGACAGCGACATTGAAGCGCTCAAGGGAAAAGTGTGGCTTGCAGCCAGAGAGGCTGAGTAGAGCCGGGGTGTTGACTGTGTTGTTTTGTTTACAGTGACATCCTGTATTCAGAAGTCTTTTGGTGGGATGAATTATGAAATGAGCCTATGAGATCGAAACGATTCCAGTATAGATAGACATCTTAAACGAGTGTTGCATGTATTATACACATTATATATCCAGAGAAGACTAGTAATCACCCTATCACGTGCATCAAATTGGAAACACCAAGTCCATGTTCAAACTTTTTTTGTATGTGTATCTTGTGCTAATCTGGGAGACGGAAAGACTCATGGATAAAAAACAACATGTTTCCCAGGTTAGCAGAATTGCCCCTCTATCGAAGCTTCTCCCAAAAGTCTAAATAGTTCAGCTCGCTGGAAGAGAGTCCTTTCATATGCTCCTCCCTCTGTCCATTTTCTCTCTCCCCCCTCCCTGTTTTTCGCTTTTCCCGAATAAACGCCATGCAATGCAAAACCGCATCACCATGGGGAAAAACGACGTGTGTGTGTGGTGGAACAAAACAGAGGCCCCCAGGGGGTGGCCAGCCTAAAAGCCCGCTCCGTTCAGACGGGGGACGGACCAACGTTTGCTGCCTTTTTGCTTTCCATGCGCGGTAGTGCCATAAAACCCCCCCTTACGTTATCTCTCTTCTTCGCCTCTGCGATGGAGACTGGAAGTTGACGTAGAGACTATGTTCATGTGAGACGGGAAAGGAGTCCTTGTGTGGAAATATTCGTGACAACTCATTACTTGTTTCGAAAACAGATGAACCAAAACAGAAAACCCAACAACACAGTCAACAACGAAAGCTCCGCCTTCTCTATTTCGAGACGGCGGCGTTGAGGACCTGCGTGCGGAAGAAGCCGCCCTTTGTCTTCTCAATGACCTGCTGGTAGACATTGTTGGGGGGGTGGTTCATGATGACGGTGCCGTCCTTGGAGTCGATCTTGGCGTCGAGGCGGGTCTCGCGGATGAGGTTGACGATCCACTTCTCGCCGTCGTCCGGGTCGAGGCCGAGCTTGGCGGAGAGGTCGCGGATGTTCATGCGCGAGAAGATCTTGCAGTAGCTCTCGCAGATGAGGTGGCGGGCGGCGTCGACGAAGGCGTCCGCCGACGAGGCGAGGAAGAAGTCGGCGCGGCAGACCTCCTCGGCGCGGCGGAGGGCGTCGCGGGCGGCGTCAAAGTCGTGCGCGATGTACAGAGCGGCGATGAACTGGGTGACGGGGTCGGCGTACTCGTAGGCCTCCTGGCGGACGTAGCGGACGACGTCCTTGAGCTGCTTCTGCTGGGTGCTGGTGCTGGGAGTGTTGGCGCGGGAGGAGCCGCCGCGGCCGCGCGAAGTGATGACGGCGGCGATGAGGTAGCGCAGGATCCAGGGGCAGGCGGTCTGGACGGTGTTGATGTAGGGGGCGGAGAAGAACATGTCGAGGACGGGCTCGCGCGCGGCGTCGTGGTTGAAGAGCGGGAAGAGCGCCCAGTGCAGGAGCATGGCGCGGTGGTCGAGCTGCGCGCGCGGGTTGCTGAAGAGCTTGGTGTCGATGCCCTCGCGCACGTTCTTGAGCTCGTCGACGGCCGAGTCCCAGTTGGCCGAGAGGATCTCGCACGCAAGCTTGCCCCACGTAGAGGCCGAGACCTTGTCGTTGTCGGTCGAGAGCACACGGAACTGGTAGAGCATGTCGGCGGCGGGGCCGTACTGGCCGCAGCGGAACTGGAACTGGCCAAAGTCGTAGAGGGCGTCGACCATCTCAAGGGTGACCTGAAAGGAGGGGGGGAGAGAGCCTGTTAGTGATGCTGTTCGTCTTTGTTTTCTTCTTCCCATTCTTGCCCTTCCCATCACTTCTCACGCGTTTCGTCGCTTCGCACTTACTCCGTGCTGGTTCTTGAGGAACTCCAAGTTGGCCACCTTGTCGCTGCGCAGCCCGTTGACGACATCATCCTGCGTCAGGAGGTCGGCAATGGTGGCTGTGGCCTGCTCGTATTTCTGCAGCTGGGCGACGACAGCCTCGCGCTTGCGGACGTATTCGGCCGGCGGCTCCTCGACGCCGTGGAGCTCGCAGTACATGTTGGCAACGTAGTCGGTCATGTTGGTGTCCTCAAGCAGCGCAATCTTGCCCGCCAGGATGCGGTTGAAGGCCTCCGTGTCGCCCTTCTCGTCGGCCTTGTCGCCCTCGAACTGGATCAGAGGGAAAAGCAGATGTCGGCTCAGGTGGGGCGCCAGCTTGGGCATGATGGACGTGCCGTCGGCGGCGACTGCGTTGAGTACGTCCTCCATGGTGGGTGGGTGTATATGTTGTGTATATATGATTGAGGAAAAAGGAAGGAAGCGGAAGTCGAGTTCCTTCAGGTCGTTGAGATCCGGCACCCTGGAGTTGTCGCGGAGGGGGAGGGAATTGGCCGGGGGTGGGGGGTACCTGTGTCGAGACGAGAGGATGAAGGCGTCGCGAAAATTGCAAGGGCTTCCCAACGCACACGCACAAAGAGTCACGCACTTCCGCTGGAGGGGTAGATTTTTGGCGTCCTTCTAGTTAATTTTTCGCTAATCCATGGAAAAGTGTAAGTGTGGGGACAATCAGCCGATCTTTAGCCGCCATCCTGGGAAGCCATGTCATGTGATTTGTTTTCTTTTCTGCGCTGCCATTGGAGCTTCAGACGACGACGGCTCAATTGTCAAGGAAGAGAGCATCAACGACGAATTGCTTCGGATTGGCGCTTCAGATACAATATCTGCGTCGATACCACGAGTCTACCTTGCGAGGCGACCACTAAATCAACAAATCACACCTTCCCAGCGATCTCATCCACCATACGAGCGGGCCGACCCAACCCTCACCGTCGACGACCAACACCACCCGAGTCCCCTGGGCAGCATCACGACATCTTTGCCTTCTCAAATTTACCTCCTACACCGACACCATGAACTCCCGTCTATCACAATCCCTCCCCTGCGTCCGGGCCGTCCTCTCCCATGCCCTCTCCCCTCGACCTTTCGCGACCCCGTCGTCCACGCGGTCACTCCTCCCGCTCTCCCACAGCTACGCCACGGCCGCGACTGCCGCCGCCACCACCCGCGCCGCCGAGCAGCGCCGCGCACCGCGCTCCTTCGCCCGCCCCCCCACGCCGCCGCCCAGCAAGACGCCCGAGGAGCAGTCGCGCGCGCGGGGGTACCTCGTGCAGCGCACCGCGTCCGCCCAGCTGCCCGTGTACCGCGCGCTCAAGTCGGGCGGCACGCGCGAGGTCATCCTAGTCAAGAAGGTCCACGGCGACCGCCGCCGGCTCGTCGAGGACATCAAGGCAGACCTGGCCGTCGCCGCGGACAGGATCCGCGTCAACCCGACCACCCAGCACGTCGAGTTACAGGTGAGAGAAGAGAAGAACATCCCCGCGCGCTTCTGAGACGCTCATGTGGCCGTGCTCCGTCTAACATCCTGATTACAGGGCAACTACCTTGGCCAGACACAAAAATGGCTGCTCGACAATGGTTTTTAAACCCCAAGGAGCCCGATCACGAAAGACAACGTGTTGTCCCGTGCTTCATGTATCATACACCGTTTAGTTTCACAGAAATAGCATCAGCGTAGACAGCTCGGATAATTGTACAATTACATTCAACAATTGTTTGCTCTTTTTGCTCAAGCTATGTCAACCAGACGTATGGTATAGGTATATATCTAGCGCCTGCTGCTCCTTTGTACAGCGACGTCTAGTCCCAAGCTCTTCTACCCAGCCAACCAACATTCTCCCGTCGTCTTCTTTTGTGAAGGGCGCATCTTCTTCGCCTCGCTGACCGAAAAATCATAACCATGCTATGCTTGGCAACGCAATTTGGCCTGCGAAATGAACAATGATGGTGAATGGAACAAGGCCGAAAGAAAATGCCAAAAGAGACCACAAATACAAAAAATGATAACCAAATACAAATATCAAACCCCACGGCTGCCGTTATCCCATGACGCGTGCACGCACCTCCAAACTCCCAGCTGATCAAGTGTCCCAACGGCGAAAGCTCTCTTCGGGCTATCGCGGCTATAAAAGGCAAGTAATTATACAACCATGTGCAGTCCGTCTACCGCGCCATGTTAACGACGGACGATAGTTGCTGCAGCATGCCGTCCTTCGTCCATTCTGCCGACGTAAATGACAGCGCCTCCATGAGCACTTGCGAGGACGGCAAAGCGCTCTTTGGTAACGACATGCTCGGCTCGCCGGGATCCCGAGCCTTCTCCGCCAGCCTTCTTAATAATGTTACAGCCACAACAACAATGTACACAAGCTCGAGGTCTCTGCCCCTAGGACCACGCGCCGCTTGGCGCTCAAAGACATGGCTCAACTCGCGCACAAGCTTTGTCAGATTCTGTGCCAGACCTTCTCCAGATGACAGCCATGCTTTCGCGATGCCGCTTTCAAAGCCAGGAGCAAGGGACGCCAGAATCTCTGCAGCCAAAAGACCCTGCATAAGGAACGGTTTGCGCACCTCAATGAGCGACGGGTAGTTGAGCTGTCGCACGCTCTCTATTGACTTGTCTGGTAATGGCGAGATGGCGAGCGCAAACGTTCGAGTCAGAGTATCATTACTCGAGCTCTGTCCAGAATCGAGACCGAAAATGGCCTTGTAGAATCCGCGATTCGGCTCGTCGCGTGCAAGCAACTTGGCAAGGGAGTCCACGGCATGTGGAAGGTAAGGCTGCACACTCGGCTCATATGGGGTGAAGAACAATGAACCGGCAACGACAGTCGGAGCTGGCGAGGGCGCAAATGCAAGCAGGAAGTTGAGCAAGCAGAGCGCCTGTTCACGGCCCGGCAATTCAATAGCCGCGGAAATGTTGGACAAGAGAACCACAACATCCTTCATGAAATCCAGCGTGTTGGTATGAGATCGGAGCAACATGGTCCGGGTACCGAGATAACGAATGACCGAGCACAGGAACTTGATCACCATCTCGTCTGCTAGAACAGCGTGGTTCTCGTTTTGCTCTCCTGGGAACGACACGTTGCGAAGAATTGTCGTGACGCAAATCAGTTTATCAACAGCACGGTCAAGGTCATACTCCACAGTGCCGTACGCCGGGCAATGTCGTACAGCAAGCCTGTCTATGCGACAGGCACGGACTACGTCCTCGTATGATGTCAGAGAGATTTCGTCCGCAACTTCCACGGTATGTTCGACAAGCATATCGAGTTGCTCTTCGGCACAATCGATGAGCGCATCCACCAAGTCGTCGCAATAGCGCAGCTGCAGGAAGTGTGCTTGGTTGGGCGAGTTGGATAATGTAGCCAGTGTGTCCAAAGCGAGGCGCACTTCGCTATGCATTCCACATTGCAAACTCCTAGTGAGGGAGGCGATGTCAATGTTGCCCAGTTCGTTGATTGTAGGGGCTGTCGGCATCCAGCGCTCCAGCTCCGTACCCAGTATGTTGGCAGCGTGCAGGTCAACGCCACCAAAAGTGGCCAACTCGCGGGCACAAGGGCTGTAGTCGTCCGACTTTTGCATCATGGGTGGAGCGCGAACTTCAGTGGCAGGAGGCGCAGGACGGCCCTCATGATGGCTAATGTGCATGCTTGGTTGTCGGTGGTGGGCAGGTGGCTGCAAAGACGGGTCACCAGGAGTATTTGGGTCAACACTCTTAGAAAGGCTGTTCCGTTGGTGGCCCATCATCATACCCGGTTGCTGTGGCTGAGGCGTCGCAAATCCATTGACCGGCGCTTGGCCAGGTTTGATCGGAGTTTGCTGCTGCTGGTGTTGGTGTTGCTGGTGTTGCTGGTGTTGCTGTTGTTGCTGCTGCTGCTGCATATGCTGCTGCATCTGTTGTTGCATCTGTTGTTGCTGCTGTTGCTGCATCTGTTGTTGCTGCTGTTGCTGTAGATGGTGTTGTTGCTGATGATGCAGCTGCTGTTGCTGAGGATGTTGCTGCATTTGCTGTTGCATTTGCTGTTGCATTTGCTGCTGCATTTGGGCTTGTCCGGGATTCATCTGGCCGGGGGTCATCTGGCCTTGAGCCATCTGGCCCTGAGCCATCTGGCCCTGAGCCATCTGGCCCTGAGGCATTTGACCAGGCGTCATCTGTTGCGGCGTCTGCTGGCCGGGTTGCATTTGCTTAGGGGTGCCCTGGTTTGCCATGTTGGGAGTTTGTCCCATCATCCTAGTCTTTTGCTGCGCGATCCAGGCCTCTTCAAACTTTTGTAGGTTTCGTTCGTATACTTGTCTCAAAGCCGTGACAACGTTGGGAATCTGGGGAGGAAGGCCAAGATGTTGCGCAATGTGAGCCCAGCCATTAGCAGCAGTCACAGACTTTATTCCTCCCTTACTGGATACAAGTTGGAACAGCATCATGAGGTTGATAGTACGCTCGGCAACGACGGGTGTAGGCTCGAAAGGGAGACCTTTGGCGGTCATAAAATGGCTCAGGTTCTTCATGAATTGCTCGGGGTTCATTCCGCCCATTGGTCGCTGCTGAGGCCTCATGCCGCCTTGAGCCATCTGCCCGTTAGGCATGGCTGCCATCTGGGGCTTCTGCATTATGCCGCGGCCCATACCTTGGGCCTGCAGCTGGGCTTGCATCTGCATGTTGCCTTGAAGTTGCTGTTGAAGGCGCATTTGATAGGCGGCCATCTTTTGCTGCTCGGACATGCCTTGCAGACCTTGACTGCTTTGCCGTTGCTGCCCTTGTTGCCCCGGCGCTTGCTGCCCCTGTCCTTGTTGTTGTTGTTGTTGTTGTTGTTGTTGTTGTTGTTGCTGCTGCTGCTGCTGCTGCATTTGCGCATACATGTTGGCTTGCATCGGATTCATACCCTGAGGCATTTGGGCCATGTGTTGCTGCATCATCTGGTTCGTGCCCATCGCGTTAGGATTGGGCGAAGGACGAGGATTCGACGGGGATGGCGCGAAATTGGGATTGTAGCCTTGAGGTGCATTCTGCATGAATTGATTCGGCTGCGGCGTACCGTGCTCGGATGGGGCGGGTGATGCTTGCGATGCGAACTGCTGCTGCTGTGGCGGGCCGGGAGAGAAGGGATGAGGAGACGCGGTAGCGACCCTCTGAGGGACGCTGCCTGGGCGCATTTGGTTGCCCATGATGGGGGATGGTGTGGCATTGGCAGACCCATTTGCCTGTAGATGGGGGAATTGGCCAGGAGTCTGCTGAGGCATAGCGCCGCCCTGCTGCATGCCGGGAAAGTTTTGCTGTTGAGGTGTCTCGGAGCGCGATGGCGGTAGCATGCCTTGCATCTGGCCAGGTGAGCCGGTGACGCTATCTTCGCGCGGTCTAGGGCGCTTGGATGGGATGACGGAATTTGTTTGATAGGCGGGATTCTGCTGGAAGGCGGAGGGGGATGCGTGGCGCATAGGGCCATTCTGTTGCTGCATGGCGGCCATTTGTTGCTGAGGGGGTTGTTGCTGTTGAGGCGGCTGGAGCGGCTGCTGCTGTTGAGGTTGCTGCTGGTTGGCGAACTGAGCAGGATTGAATTGGGCCGGACTGGCCATGAAGGCGGAAGGATCCATCATGCCCGTGGCAGCGTTGGGGTCGTTCATGTGTGGGAAGCCGTTGCCATTGTGGTTCGGGACAGGGTCGTTCATCCACGCGCTCATGGCGTCAGGGCCGACGGGCTGCGCAAAACAAAGTCAGCAATCAAGGGATGGAAAAACGAGGACCCATTGAAGGGCGCAAGGCTGGATGGAGATGGGGCCGGTCGCACGGCACGGAGGGTGGTGATGGACAGCGTCGAGTCGCGTCGCGGGTTGGCGGAGGAAATGAGCAGGTGTCAGGGTGGGAAAATGGGCAGACAGGCGGAGAGGGAGAATGCAGGCGCAGCAAGCACCAGCAAGGCCAATCAATGGGGGGGTGAATTTTTGGTGGGTAAATTGGGGGGGGGGGTTGGCCACTGGGAGAACCTCGCAGGGAAGAGTGACTGGCTGAATGCTGGCAATGGCAAGTTGATGATCAGCGAAGACACTCGCTGGACAAAGCCAGTTTCGTCGCCTGGGGGTCTGCTGGCGCCGTTGTGCCATGGGCATGAAAGGGGAGGGAAGAATAAAGTACCCGGGTACTTGAGAAGACGGCCAAGAATCCACATAAATGAAAGTATCGTATACTCACAGAGGTACCAACTATGGTTGGGAAGGAGGTGTCCAGTTACAGCGCTCTGCAAGGACGGACAGTGAGGGCGCCACTGTGAAGGGCGCTTTGACGGTGGAGGCGCAAAATGACTGTCGCGAAAACAGGACGCGGCCCTTACCAGGGGGTCTCGGTCTATTGCTGGGCACTGTTGGCCCGTACCTGTTCGTATAATAAACGAAGGGCGAGAACGAAAAGAGGTCAGAGTGGGTGTAACTTGAACCCTGGGGCGCTTGCGCTGCTGGCTGGTCCGGATGCAGGCCGCAGACTGAAAATTTGCGACGCTGTCGCAGGTTGCCCACAACGCTTTGCGATCAAGGCACCACTGCCGCGACAATCCGGCGTCAGGGGACCGAAAAAATACGCGCAGGATATCGAAAATAAGCACACGAGACAAAGTCTACCCACAAGAAAGCGGCGCCGATGTGGTGGCAGCGTGGGCAGCGAGATGAATGGCAAGGCTAACGCGCGTTGAGGTGGATGTCAGCGATTGTTGCTGGCCACGGCTTTGTCTTGCAGTTTCACCGCGAAACGTAAGGCCTGGGAAGAGAAGGGGGCTGGCTGGCTGGCTCGGCCACAGTCGCTTTTCGCTGAGTGCAGTGACCAGCCCAATAAGGTATAGCGCGGTGGCATGTGGCTCCTGTTAGGGAGGCTACCACCAATCACAACACCGAATCGTGACATGTTAGCTGGCGGCAAACAGCTGTTAGCAAAGCGTTGGAGACTGGTGCGATCTATTAACACATCACAGGTTAGCACAAACAGCACGTCCTTCGATGCCAGTTCTCGCTGACAGAGATGCGCAAGAGCACACGACGCAGCACTGCCTTCCGATTGCCGCAACGTCTGACCACCCGAGAGGAAGGAGAAAATAAAGGCTTACCCACATTCTCATCCTCTGCAGGAAAAAGGATCGAGATAGACCCAGCCAACCAAAAAAAAAAAAAAAGGACCAAATGCGGTGGGTGGTGGTGGGACGGACGCCGCCAGGCCTAGTTGCATCATACCAGCTAACCGGCTGGCGCCAAGATCGCGAATTGCTGAAACGTTGCCAAAGGGGGCAATGAAGCCTTCTGTCAAAGAATATCCAGCTCGTTTGAACGTTCGAACCCCAAAGTGCAAGTCTTTGGCAATCCGTCTCGCCGCCAACTGTCCCCACGCAACTGACCCCGTTGGACCCTGCGGATGGAAATGACAGTAACGGGCGCCAATGCAGTCTTGTCGAAAGAGCGCCCCGCCTCCGCCGTAATCAGGCATGATGTGGTGCGAGACGGCATTTTTCTTTTTCTTTTTCTTCCCTAATAATTGGATGGTAAAGTTAAAACTCGGACCCCCAGGATGCGAATCGGCTGTGCGACAGGCTCGCCGCACGCATGGCCCTTACCGTCTCGTATCACACAGGACAGGGCCCATGGGAAGTGCAACCCGGCCGCCCGTGGAATGGACCAGCTTTTGTGACACTTTCGTATATTGGGCACGAGTCTCCGTGAAATTGCTGCCCGTAATAGTAGACAAATAGATTGAAGTGATTCTTGCCTCATCTTGCCGAATGGCTGGGCTTGGGTGGCAGTGACACACTCCACTCAAATCGACCATCCATGGTGGTGGGCTGCGCGCCCCTGGTATGCACGCCTCGTGGCGGCCAGCGCAGTAGCGTAATGTAAAAAGGTAAGGTAAGGTAGCGCCAATGTTCGGATACTCGCGCGGGCACCCCGGCCCTTTGATGATTTCGTCGCTGGGCAGCACCAGCACCTGGGATCGCGGGCGGCGGTGATTGAGTCGAGGGTGAGGATTTTTCCACGTTTTCGCCCGTGTTTTTCGTCAGGAAATGCCAGCGGGCAGCATGCTGTTGCTGTCCCGCCAGCCGCTGGCCGCTGGTGACCAGTCCATGGGCAAACGGACGTGTTGTGGATATAAGTCGACAGCAAAGGTCAGCAGCGTTCGAATGGCAGCGCTCGAAAGACGCCGCACCTGCAGAATTCCAACGACAAAGAAGCGACGAGGGAGAAGAAAGAAACCATCCAAAGAAGAACAAGAGATGTGGGAGGAAAACCGGAAGAAGCTGGGAGGAACGGGGGGAGGGGGCAGTTAAAGTGAGCAACGCTGTCTGGCCCAGGTTTTGCTGGTGCTGGTGGTGCTGGTGGTGCTGGTGGTGCTGGTGGTGCTGGTGGTGCTGGCTGGCGCTGGCACAAACTGTGGCGACTTCAGTGGATGATAATGCCTGTGGATGGGAACTTAGGCGTCCTTTTCGGGGCGCTTCAGGCCCTGTGACGGCCGCCTTCAACTTTCCCTGACCACTCACCACAGCCACTGACAAGACACGCACACACACCTTAATCTGACAACTGCGGTAGGCAGAAACGCTTGGCGGGGAAATCATGATGCAATAATACCTCGAATTTCCAATACTACAGATCCATTCGGCCGGTATTCCAATCATCCCTTCCTCAATCATCCGGTTCCCCAAGCCTCAACCCAAAACTGCCCCAGCACATCACTACGGGAACTAGCGCAAGCGCTTCCGCACAAACAAACTGACCCAAGCCACCAGTCACCACACTTAACTATGTACCTTCACAATTGGTATTGTCACTATGAATTTACCATTCCTTCTCCATGCCAAACAGCGAGCCTTGAACTCCATCAATATTACTCCCATAATGACAGCCGGGACACTCTCCTTCTCAGCCCTGCCGTCTGCTCTCCCCCGCGTGTGGAGAGTGTGACACTGATTACCTAACTGACAGAACAGCCAGCTTCCCCAGAAGCAACCAGAGTCACCATGGCCCATGACGCACCAAATCAACCCAAAACAAAAAAAACAATTGCCTCGTTTCACGTCCTTCTGTTTTTCTTAATCGCCCGCCCTCGTCTCTCGTTGCCGAGCCCCTCTTTTCTGCGGTATCGGCGCTTCATGCTGTGTTGCCGTGAATGGTTTGCTGGCCAACGGCGTACAAGTACAACTCCTGCAGCACCAACGTTGGGCAATCCATACTCACGAAACCGCAAGACGAGTACAGATTTGTCCGATACGAGAAAAACAGGCAAGCATGCATATACTTGTGCTTCTTGAACACGTGATCAAAATTCCTCCCAATCCCTCCCAAATGCGCATATAAATCCTCGCCCGCTCCCATGTGGCTGTCGTCAATCTTTCCCTCCTGCATCCCCCCCAAACAGCAACGGCGATGACCCAACACCACCGCCCCAAACCCAATAAGACATCTTTTGTCATGGGGTCCTAGCAAATCTTTTGCCAAGCCGTTGTGGTTGAACAAAGGCGCCCGCGTCTCTGCCAGCAGCGGCATCGAGCAGCGCTGCGTCCTGTTCGATGCATTCCCCCCCCCTCGGCCGGCCTATGGCCGCCGACTGCGATGGGGATGCCGGCGCAAGACTGGCGTCCCGTTCGGCGTCGCGGAGCAGACCAGGGACCAGTACTCAATAAAGGGTCCCTGGCTGCGAATCACCCGGGGCGTTCCATTATGCCTCGTCAACTTGGTATTCTACGCCTAGCAACATGCTGGTGACACAGCGTGAGGTGGCACGAGAGCCTGGGCCTTCAGTGAAAGGGAGAAAGAGCATTGCAGACCCAATACTCGATCGCTTACGCAACAGGAGCGTCAGTAAGACGGCGAAGCCTGTACGTGACCAAAGGGGATTGGAACGGAGCGGATACACACCCTCTCGCCGCCTTGCTATTGTTCTACTCTGCCCATGCCGCGACTGTTAGGCCCGAAAACTTTACGGCATTGACTGCAATGCCGCTGCCGACATTCGCCGCGAACACTTCAAGAGTGAACCAGTGAATGGAACCAGGGGCGGGAGCAGTGGCGGCACCTGGCCGGAGATCCGATACCTCGATCGGCGGGAGCAGTGGCGGTACGTGGCCGGAGGTTTGATACCTTGAGTATCTCTATATGAACCTGGTGCACATTCGCGTCATCTCTACCAAGACGAGCCGGCTTAAGGAGGGTGTTGATTATATCCGGACTGGCCTTGAGCGGCAAACCGTTCTTAGAGATCCTCACAGCAAGAGGCACTCACTAGGAGGTCGGGAAAGCGGCTGGACGGAGGCCGACTTTCAGTCTAACCCTGGACTATCGCTCGCCACCCCTCCAGACGATCCCGAGTTATTCTTTGGTACGCCTGCCTCCTCGACAGATACCGACTACTCCTTTGACTTTAATGTCTTCCCATCGCAGGTACCGGAGCAGCCGCCATCAGGGAGGTTGGTCGTCACATCGATCACAGAACCGGGGCTGAGGCGACAATGTGGCGACTGAGCAGCGCCACGGAATCCACATCAGATTCTGTCCCTTGCCGAGGAGGCGAGTGATGCGCCCACCGTCTGGTTGGATTTCGCGGCCGCCGATGATTCGAGCGTCTGTTGTGAGGAGGAGGACGACGAGAGGGACGAGGACGCATCCTTGCCGTCCAGGAGGGGGTTGTAGAGGAGGCTTGGCCGCTCGAGATGGCCAAGCGAGGGAGCTCAGACCAGGTAAGTACATACCTTTATTATTCCGTTATTTTTGAACCCGTGGAGCCCTATGGATGGTTATGGTTGTGGTATGGTTGTCCTGGAAATAGATATTTTACTGGCCTATAATCTTGCTTCCTGTACCGTCGTGAATTCTGCCTATGTATACACCTCTACTCCAATGTCTTCCTGAGGCCCGGCCCAGCCTGTAGCTTGCGGCAATCCCATCTCGCCCGCGATACCTGCCCCGGGAGTTTGTGCTCAGGTAGTAGGCATTCCTCTTTTACCTGGATCTACAGTACACATCTGACTCATACCAGTGTATCTGCTAACAAGTGCTCGAAGCAAGGCATCTTGACCGATCAGCGCACTTGCCAGCCTCGTTTGCCCCTATGCATAGCCTTACGCACGGAACTCGCGCGTCCTTGTGTGGAAGTGTGACTCCTTTCATGCATGCAGGTTACCGAGGGCACGTATCGCTACCCGTGACAAAGCATCTGAGATGCATCACACTCGCAGATGGTGCGTGCACCTGTGATTCACAGTCGCCCAGTCGCAGCCGATGCATTAGCTGGAAATGCGCCAGATTGACGTCGCGCTCACGTTTGCTAAGCCAAACTCACTTTTTCTGTTTGCCTTGAAAGAGACTCACGGCTTCAGTCACCTTTGGTCAGCCGTTTGCCAGTCGACGCCCGAGGTTATGCTGGCCAGACAAACGCGGGAGGGCTTGTTTGGTCTTTTGGTCAAGGTCCGGCTATGAAATAAAGGCCAGCGTCCCCGCACGATCAACTTGACTGATTCCTGTCAACATCTTTCCTTTGCTTCTATACAGTATTTCCTCTCTCCCAACGAGCCAAAACTGACGAGAGCATTCGTTTCCAACAATCGAAACCCGACTCTGATCTCTTCCGGATAACTCCCAAGAACGCTCTTGTTCTGCAACCGAAACCTATGCGGCTTTGATCCCTTCCAATTACCAGTCAAAGCGGCTCTTTTTCTACCACCGAAATCAATACAACTTCGTCAATCACTTCAAAATCAGCGAACCCAGTGCCATCAAAATGAACCGAGCTTCCGCTGATCTTGGACTTGAACAACTGCACGCCATCCTGGCAAAGGACTGGGGTCAAAATGAAGATCGAATCAGGACTACGTGGACACACTTTACCGACGAAGAGAGGTCGCGGTGTTATCATTCGACTGGGCTGTTTCAAGGAACCATGTATTATCTTCCGGGGAATCCCATGATGAACCCGGATCTCACGCCGGAGTGGGCCAAGATTGCTGAGTCCGGTGCTCAATATTTCCTCGACATGCTTGAGCTCAGAGCAACTCGCAGTCTTTATCAGCAAAGCTTTTGTCCCTTCAAAGGTTTCGAGTCCGACTATTCGCACGTTGTCCAGATGATCAGCAAGGGTCAGGCCAACCTCGAGGGGCAGCCGCGCAACAGCCGAATGCTCTTCGAGGGCGAAAAGCTGGACGGCGCGGCCGTTGATATTGCAACTCATACAACCCGGCTTAGAGAACTACCTCAACATGGCGAACATGCCGTCGGAGTTCGTGCGCTTCCAGTGGCGGTTGGTGACCTTGTGACCTGGCGACAGCTGAGGTTCTTGAGATCCATAACTTACTTGGCCTGTGAGGTTTTGGAGTGGGATCAAAAGTCATCTCAGCTCAGCAAAAAGGCGTATGCCAGATTTGAAGAGCTCATGGCGTTGTCGACCAGGCGAAGTGCCCAACCCGGCGGTGTCAAGCAACCGCTGCAAACAAAGATATTGCTACCGGGGCTAATCACGCGAGCCCTTAGCTTCATATACGTCGCAGAGGAAGCCAATAATCTCTTGGAATCATGCCCCATCCATTTTTTCAATTCCATGTCGCGGTTCGTTCGCAGTGAACCAGGGCGAGCGCAGGACAACAAGCGCCAGATGACAGCAACCACGGTCGGTGCAGCGTTTTTTGATTGCATGAGCGACAAGATCAAAATCCTATGTATATGGAGTTATATCATCGAGCTCTTGTGCCTGCTACATTCGACATTCCACGAAACGGCATCTCGGCACATGGCGCTTCAGCAACTATCGAATGCTACCCGGCTAGCGTACACTCACATACATCAACTGTTTCGACGCGAGCTTCACATCGATATGGCGAAAACCACTGTCAAAAAATTCAAAGGAAACCGAAAGAATCATCCAGCTCGCGGGTCGCGTCTGCACCACCTCTGTTGCCTCGCCGAGCAGGAAGCATTCGCCAACATCGCTTCCGAGCTCTTCACCAAGCTCATGAGCTCTCCGCCATCATTTCATGATGGAATCAACTGGCGTAGTGAGGCTCTGGGAATGCTTATGAAGGTTATCTTGTTCATTGATGAACTGGCTCTGGCCTTGAACATGCCGTCGTTTCCGTGGCCAGCCGAAGGCCAGGTAATATCTCAGTTTGAACATGTTGACGCTCGAATGTCCCAGGCCAGACCTCATGCCGATATTAAAAAACTATGGCTGAAGATGTCTGTTTCCAAGAACATCTCCTTCGCCAAGTCTTGTCGTGCAAAACTTGACGCATGCACTCGGAAGCACGTTGGCGACACCTTACTGGGCGCATACGAGGAAGTGGTCAATTGTTGTCTGCTGGAACTCAAGTCGCAGCTCTTGAAGGAGAAGCAAAATCTACAAGTGGTAAAGCCGGTCACTATTGATATCAAGGAGGCTGAAATCTCGGTCTCCATCTCCGAGGTTGAGGACAAGACAGACTTAACCGTGGCTTGTCCTAAGGCCGCTGCAAAGGCTCCAGTATCATTTAATGTCGAGTTGGAAGAAGAGGTTGAAACAGCCGTGTGTTCTACCAAAACTGCCTCAACTTCGATTCCTATACCAAAGGAAGAGGCGAAGGATGATGTGAATGCAGCCTGCGAGGCCGGCCTGGCTATACCCTCAACGTCCTCCTCGACCGAGCAAAAACGCAAGATACCGAAAGCAAAAGCAGCGCCAAAAGGACACCCCGAGTGCCATGCACCGTGTACCAAGGAACAGTTTCCTCCGACGCCGCGAGCGGTGCAGGTTCATACCCCTCCTACCAACAACAAAATCACTGTCAGCGCTGCAACCGCACAAGTCTTTGCAAAGCTATTTGACAAGTCGATGTCGCACAGTGGGCTGCACTGGGCCAGCTTCGAGGCGGCCATGGCCGAGCTGGATTTCCGCATCACGCCGAGGCGGGGGTCCAGCGTCCGCTTCGAGCCGCCGGCGAGCCTCGGGCTCGGGCGCTCTCTGACCATCCACAGGCCTCACGGATCTCGGTCGGAGGGGTTCCGGGCTCTTGTCCTTCGTCAAAGACTAAATCGCGCCTTTGGCTGGGATGAAGACACGTTTGTTGCCCGTTGGAAGGCCCGCGTGGTTCGAGGGCAAGCAGTCAGTACTTCATAAGGGCTGGGTGGGCGCTTGAAAGGCTGCAAGAGAGAGTGTTTGAAGCTATTCTGGGTATCATTTGCTATTTCTGTATCTATTGGGTATATTAAGAATTAGCTGGCGTTGAATTGGGTTGTGGTCGGGAAATTGTGAATTGTAGTATCCGACCAGCATTACAAAGTTGTATATCTGAAGTTGAACATGTCCTCCCGTCAACAAATCAGCTTCCCCAACTGTTATTTGAAGAAGAGCAGAAAAGGCACGCGCCGCGCTAACAATCCCAAACAAAGCAAAGAGATTAAGAGAAGTAGAACGACCCGAACGAAGGGTCATGTTACCCTACCCCCGAAGCAAGGAAGCATCCATCATGGGCCACACTGATTCATGTCCCCCGGACGCATCCCGTCATCAGCTCAGGGACGTGCTCGTGTACCGGCACAGACAGCTCCCTCCCGCCGCCTGCACGTCCGCCACGCCCCTCCCCTGCGCATCAACGCACACGGGCTCGCCAATCGTCGAGTTCTTGTACTGCACCACCTCCAGGTCACCCGGCCACGGCGCGTACGCCGCCTGGTGCGTGGGCGCCGCGAACGCCTGCCCTCCCCGGCGACGCGTCCACAGCGTGGCCCGGAAGACGACCCCCGTGTACGTGCAGTTGGCCACCCGGCCCCCGTCGGCCGGCGTCACGGTGGCGTTGGCGGCAAAGGCAAAGGTGAGGCGCTCGGTCGGCCGGTCGGCGTCGAGGATGGTGGCGGGCAAGTTGGCAAAGGTCGGGCCAAAGGGCTCCTCGCCGGTGCCGGAGACGTAGTAGGAGGAGGGGCCGGGGCCGGAGGATTGCACGGTCCAGTGAAAGGTGGCGCGGGAGCCGGGGCCGCCGGTCTCGGGGTAGCAGCGCCACGTGGAGGCGCGTGAGGTGCAGCCGGTGCTGTTCTCGCGGAGGTACGTGTCGAAGCTGTACGCGCCGGCGGGGAAGACGGCGGCGGCGGCGGCGGTGGTGGTGGTGGTGGTGGACGACGACGGTGTGCTGTACTTGGCATTGCTGCGAGCCGTGTTAGGTTGGTCGGTCGGGTGCTCCGGTCTGCGATGACTTACCCGTTGCTCAGGCCGACGGCGAGACCGACGGCGAGACCGGCCACGACGGCCATGAAGACGCCCACGACGAGCATGAACCGGCACCGCCGCCGCCGGTGGTCGAGCCACTCCTTGTCGTCCGCCGGCTTCTCGCCGTCCGCCAGCTTCTGCAGCGCCAGGATCGACCCGGACGGGCTGTTCAGCTCGCTCGTCTCCGATGACGCCGCTGCTGTCAGCTTGAGCGGCGAGACGGGCGGCGACGTCGGGGTTGGGGGCTCGGACGGGTACAGGGTGCTCTCGGTGGGAGACGGCAGGTTGTGCGGTGACACCGGTGGTATCCCGCCGGGCGGCAGGCTGCGCCGGGCATTCTTTTGCGGCACGCGCAGCGGCATCCGGGGCAGGGCGCGGTTGAAATCGCCCGTCTCGGTCCGGCGCGGCAGCTGCGCTACGCTCACAATGGACGCCCGTGAGCTCGCGGGGCCGTCCACGAGGGACTGCCTGTGCTGTGACATTGGGAATGGATAGTCACGAGTGACTGCTCAGCGTGCTTACCACGTCCTTCTTTCCTGCCTTGAGAACCTGCTCAACTTGAGTGAGAGAGAGAAAGAGGAGGACAGCGAGGAAGTGAAGAGGACAAGCGAATAGAGAGAGATTTTTAAGAGGGGAGATGTCGACCTAGTTTTACAAAGAGCCTCTCAAGAGATTGAGGGTTGTCCGAGACCGAGACAGTAAAGAAAAGAGGTATGCTAGGGGAATGTCTTGTGAATATTCGGAAGGGCTGGCCAATCTGTACAAGACGAAGGAGAGACACGGTCCGAACTATATAGAAGCAGGGTCTACAGTAATAGAATTGGCAAATGTCTCTTTGCCAGGCTCAGACAAAAAAGCCTTGCGCAGCCAGTTAGAAGGCTCAAAACGAACATTGCCCAAGCCTGCCCCAAATACACCACTGAGGCTGAAAACCAAACGGAAGTCAGTCAATCCATCGTCCCTCTGAGACATTGCGTAAATTGCAAAGAGGATAGCAACTTGATTAGCGTGGTGAGGGCAAGGTTGTCACTAGTAAAGACGCGGAAAAAAAGCAAAGGATATACCAACTAATAAACGTTGGCTGTTACTTAAAAGACGGCCCGTGTTCTTTGGCACAAAACGTCAAGACATGCCCGGTGCGAAGGTTATGCAGACAAGAAATGATGCGCGGCGCAGAGACATGCGTGCCATCCAGCCCATGTGTTTCCCTCGATCGGTGAGTGTACAAGTCGTTGCTTTTTTCCTTCTCTTTGTGACGCCAGCGCACAGAGGGAAGAGCTCGCCAAGGAAGACCCCAATCATGAGGTAAAGGAGCAAGACAAAAAGCGCTTTGGATCGATCTATATGACGGATGGCCGGGGCACGGGATAGCCCGTCGCAACCCACCTCGGTAGGTCATTCTTTATTGCTCACCAGCATCCCTCTTATTTGTAATAAAGACCCCTTACAACCTCCCCTGTAGAGGGGTTCCTTGTCTTGTTGTAAGGGACTTGTATTAGTTAGGCCCAAGGGTCGTCTCGGCGTCTTGTGTTGGTGGCTTCTGAGACCCTGTTTCTAGGCAGTTGCCGTCTCCTTCTCAAGTGGAAACTGGCCTGTTTCTCGGTTCTCTTCACTTTCGCGTCAGTCATTATTTTTTTGCTTTTTTCCGAGGTTTTGTTTCTTTTGTCCCTGCCCAACTAGCTTCGTCACTAGCAGGTACTAGCAACGACGAGTAAATTACCTGCTCCATCACCACGTTGGAATAAATCAACGGTTAGTTGGTAACTAGGCAGGGTAAACTAATTGACGATTTGGTTTCTCTAAAATCCTCCCACATATTCTCTTGGAGCGCTGGACGTCCCTTGAGTTGCCCGCCGTGGTTCAAGAGTCCTTTACCAACAGGGTTCCTGCACACAAGACACACGTTCATCTACTCCTCCGATGGAGGTACGAGATTGTCAGTTTTCGAAGAAGAAAAGAAATTTTCTGGTCGTGTTCCTTCTCCTATATCTTACCCTGCCATCATCGGTATGTGCCAATGTCTTGTGCAGTGTAATTCTTGTGGCAATACTTTGTCAAGCAGTTGCCAACATGACATCATCCAACTATTGAGCCTACGACATTGAGAAAAAAGAAACCACAGGTCTGAGCCTTTTGTACACCCACATGTGACTTTTTCCCGAATCAAGTCAGCATCATGGTACTTGTCGGCGTAAGCCGTGCGACATGCCTCTCACTTGCATTGGCCGTTTTACCTCGCATCCGGGACATGGGTACATTGGTGGACGTAAACCTCTCGCTTGACCGGTCCTGATTATGAGGCTCATGTATTCTTTGGTATTTGATTTCTCTTCAAAAGCTGCAAAAATTCCCACCATACATACAGATGGACAACACGCGTATGCTTGTATACAGAGATAGATGCATTTTCTACATCGTCCAGCCTCACTCCTCACGCCGTCTATGCAGTTGTAGCCTCCGCCGCCTCTTCGCCAGCAGTCTCGGACGACTCGATATACTCGGGCGCCTCGAGGGACTCGCCTTGGTCCGTCCACACTGCCGCCAGCTCCTTGTCGATGTCTTGTCGTCTTTGCTTCCACTCGTCAACCTGTGCCAGCCTCTCGCGAATCTCCTGCAGCTCTTTCTCCACCTGAAGCTTCTCGCGCTCTGTGCCGATGCGCTCGAACTCCCACTCGTCGCCGGTCTCGCCTTGCCCGAGGACCAGGTTGTAGGTGTGGTACTTCTTAAGCGATGCGCGGGTAGAAATTGTGATGAGGGCTAAGGAAAGCATGTTAGCGAGGTAGGTCCTCGACACTCTAACGAAAGAAAAAAGTCAACTTACTGATACCCTTCTCCTTGCACATTTCGTAGAGGAGTCCTTCGACATCGCTAGAAACGGCGCTGGTACCCTCGTCGATGATGGCGTACTTGGGCTCGTGGTACAGCAAGCGAGCAAAGCCCATACGTTGCTTCTCACCACCACTCAGTACATCCTTCCACTCCTTGCGTGTATCCCAGCCGCCCTCGCGGTCGGGTAGGTATCCAAGCTTAGCCTCGTCCAGCACACGCTTCAGGTCATCCTCGGACTTGCGCTTCAGACGCATGTCCAAGTGGCCGTCCGGGTAGATGACCTGGTCGCGGAGAGTACCGGGGCTGAGATACGGGCGCTGGGGCAAGAACATGACGCCATCCTCGCCAATGTTCTTGGGCCGGCTGACCAGGCCGCGGTAGACGGGCCAAAGGCCAGCCAGAACTCTCGCGATGGCCGTCTTGCCGACGCCGTTGGGCCCAGAAATTAGCAGGTGCTCGCCGCTTCGAACAATCATGGAAAGCGAGTCTACCAGCTCATCGCCGCCCTGTGGCCACAGACTGGGGGCCACAATGGGGACCTGCTCGAACCGAACACCGTCAAAGCCCTTTTGAATGGTTCCTTGAACGTCGGAGAGCGAGTAGAGCTCATTTTGTGCGTTGCGCAGATAGTATGCGTCGGCATGGACTCGGTGCAGAGTAGAGATGAGCGTGTATACACGGCTGGTGTAGCCGGCAAGCTCGGCCAAATCCTTGATCGAGTACATCATGCGACCACCTGCATCAGCAAGTGATAGCATGAGCCGCTTGTTCGTAATGAAATCCTTCATTCGGTTGCGTTCACGGCCACCCTTTTGAACGTGGTCCACCATCTCTGAGAGTCCTCCAACGCCACCCCAAGCTGGCAAAAAGACCGGTAGCGAGGCCAACAAATAGCCATAAGCACTCCAGCTATACTTGAGGATAAAGTCCTCCAAAATGTTGTAACGGATCTTGAGCATATAAATGCCCTCCATCCAGCTCTTGAGCGACTTGTACTCCTTGTTAAGGAACGTCTTTTCCGTGTCAGCGCCGCCATAGAACGCGACTTCTTCGGCATTGGCAATTAAACGAGCATGGAGACTGCGGAAATCGCCCTCTTTCCGGCCCTCTACAGCCTTGAGTTTTCCAAATGGCGGGGATAATCTGCGAAGGATGCTTGCAGTCAGGAAGTAGTTGCTCATCAGGCCAGTCAGGGCTAGAGGCCCCAGTGATCGGTATAGCTGGAAGTTGAAGACGCAGAGGTCGATAAACGGCTTTCCGAGAGACGAGTACAGGTTTGCAGCAGCGGCGCAGAAGAGAGTGAGATCTTGTGTGATGAATTGATCGGCTCCTTGACCGATGCCGCCGTCGAGATTTGATAGCTTATAGTAGTTCATGTTCTCGTTGAGGTACAGATCGTGGATATATCTTGTTAGTCGTGTGCGGAAGGCAATAGACACCTTGGATTCGAGGAACTTGATCGCGGCGTTGGTATAGGATGCGAATCCTCCAAGACCGAGCCACTGTAGCATACTGTTAGTCAAGTGTGCGTCGCCATAGCGAGTCAACTAACCTTGGCGATACCCCAGGCAAAGGCCTTTCCGTTTCCTGCAACCAGGTCGCGAACAATTTCGCCATCTAGACGTGCGACAACAAGTGACAGATAGGTTCGTAGCATGAGGAAGATGCCATGGCTGAGTAGCAGACCGGCTTCTTTGCTAGTCCAGCGCGGGATCATGATGCTCATGAGGCTGAGGAACTGGTGGAGGAAGGCCAGGTTCAGGCCAGGCTTTGTCTGAGCTGAAGGCACCGCGGCGTCGCCCAGGCCAGAGACACGGGGTGGGTTGAGAAAGAGCCGCCGGTGGGCTTCAAAGGTCAGAGGCTTAGTGGTGTTGATTGTGACTTTGGAGGTGCCGTGCTTATACGGGACGTAGATGGTGCGCGAGCCATCATCGTTGTGCAGCCACGAGTTGGTGCGCACCAGCTTGCGGCCCTGCTCGTGCTCGTGGGAGCTCCTCTTCCACCAGCGGCGCGTGCCCTCGGCGCTGACGACGAGGGAGGCGATGAAGGCGAGCGTCGCGAGGATGCGGGTTGCGCGGGAGCTGTGGCGGAATCGCGACTTGGCGGCACCGGTCCACTTGTCGAAGAAGGCCGCGATGGCCTGCTCAGCGGCGGTGCTGCGCAGCGTCGACTGCGCAGCCATGGCAGCGACGGGTGTTGACAGCGAGGCCCGAGTGCACCAGGTTGGGCTGGCGAGAGAGGTGGCGGGAAGCCTCTTAGAAGATGACGGCAATGGTCAGGGAGGACATGGGTCGCTCGATACTATGACGATGACGATTGGCACGATCTAAGCGGGTGGGAGCTCAAGGTAGGTGAGTGAGTCGATGGGAATATGTGTCGTTAGAGGATTGAACCTGTTGATGATGCGACGACAGACGTGATTGTACGATGACAATTTAGATGGGCAAAAGTCAATTGGTCAGAAGGTATTGCTGCTCTACTTGGCGAACATGTGAACTCAAGCTAGTGCAGGCTATCCGAGGCATGTCAAACGGGTCCCGCTTGATTCTGACTCTCTGTGGAGCTCCAAGCCGTCGTCCAATCCGGGGCAAGTCACATGATTCTGGAGAAGCTCTGGCGAGGCGGGACGGAAGCTTTTCTCGATCTTGCAGATGTTGAGGCAAGTCCGGGAGAAGTCTTTCTGCTGGATGCTGATCATTGACTCAGTGATGGTGAGGTTTTATTTATTTATTTATTCCCCCTCCCCTTTATTTTTTCCGTTGAACCAGCTTAGCCCGGCCCGACCGCTTTCCTCGCGCCATGGCTCCTCTTACAAACAGAGCCTAGAAACATGTGCTGTCCATGCCAGAAGCAGCCGGCTTTGCCTCAGTCTGACAGGCGTAACGTTGGCCACTTTTGTCTAATATTACCAAGCTGACTGCTGGGCTGTATTATTGGTGCGCCATCAAAATTAGAAGCCGCACTTGCTTCCAGAAGAGACTCGGCTCATCGGCCCGCCGCCACGACTCATCCTTCCACTACAGGGTATGGGCAGGCAGGGCGGCATCCTTCTAGTACGATAACATCGATCAGTCAGTAGCCGGCAGGCTGTTCGACTCCTAGTATTCGTACACGTCCAAGCCTCAGTAATGGACTGCCATCTTCAACAGCACGCCATCGGTTACCACCTCGTATGGCAAGCGCTTGGCCGTCACAGTTTATTCAAGAATCGGCCAATCACCTACCCCAATACCGAACGATGTGTGATGGATGTCTTCAAGCATTGGTGGCATACTTGTTCTGGACCGGAAATGGGCCGCTAAAACTAGGCTGCGCACCCACACCACAGTGCCTCCAGCATCCGTCTCAACGTTGCTACTTGGCAATGATCTGTACATGTTTGGTTCAAACTCGCTGCGTGATATCTCACCTCTGCCCAACGGGACTTGATCCGGGAACCCTGTCACGGTGGCTGCCAAGTGATATGCTCGCCAGTGGCTCCTTTTTTGTACGGCACGATGCATCCGCGACTTTGACTGGTCACTGTCAGGCATTAGCAGCTCCTGTTAAGTGGCCATCAGGAACGCTGGGCGCCAAGAGGGCCAATCAAAGCGGCGACGACACTCTGATGGGGTCGAAGTCGCAGCGCGACAAGACCCCAAGCTGTCTGACACCGGAAATGGCAGCAGAGCGACATGCGAATATTTCACTGCATGGTTAAAGGTCTGGCAACCAAGCGGGACAAACTACTGGTAGAAATAGCAGACTATCAAGTAATGCAATGCCTGTTTCGCCAGCCGGCCACTAACGTTGCTCACTTCGACTCCTCTGTGTTCAAATGAGGCCGATCCCCCACCACCGCCGGCCGGGTTGGGGCTGTTGAAGTTACGGAGAACAATGTTAGGGCGGCCCGGGCCAATCTACAGCACTTCTTCACAGCTCGGCAGGCTAGTAGCCCCCCGTTGAACGTCGTATCAGAAGACGGTGTCGGATGAGTCAGTGGGTTCAATGTTGGCAGCTGGTTTACTAACGAAGATGCGGAACAATCCAAGGGCGGAGCCGCCTAACTAGGTAGTTATTGTAGGACGAGAAGGTTGGCTGCAACTTGCACACGACGTCGCACTGCAGCATCTCACGCGAGGGCGTCACCGGATGCCAGAGGAACAGGCCTGGAAGGTGATGATGAATGTGGATGCGAACAGGTTTGTAGAGTAGAGCTCATCACCGGTGCAATATAGGTAGCGTGCAGGATGCAGAGGGCATATGGCATAGGTATGGATAGCCTTTGGCAGGTGGTTTTGGATGCCATTGACTGCCGACAGTGGAGGACATGAGATAAATACATACATGGAGGTACACCTGTGAGCTTGAAAGAGACTGGTGCTGAAGCCAGTGGAAAGTGCCCGCCTAGCAGCTCCGTTACTGGGGCCATGGTTCTCGGTCACCCAGGCAGGTTACCAGCACAACTGCATGGCTAATAACTCCTTTTTTGTTTTTCGCTCTGGCGATGGGAAATTAGCAAGACTCGATTTTTTCCTTGATCCCCTCCACTTCTTGCTACCCGCGGGACCCCCCAGCTCAAGCCGCAATTTACACCAGGGGGACTGTTGCTCATATCTTGGCCCCGGCTGGCTGCTGTACCCCAGGCGCCGCTCAGGGGAGAAGCCTGTTCCTTTCCAGCAGCCCTGGAGTGCCCTGGAGGTTTTTGGAGCGGCCCTGGTTCACGGGAGCTTGGCACTGGCCTATCAGTGTCAAGCGCTGGAGGCGGTTTAATCTCATGGCAGACCCCACCCACACCAACAAGGGCCCCCCGCTCCATGCCCGTCTCGCCAGCAGCCAGCCAGACGAGTGGATGACAAGAGTTACCGGAGGGTACCTCGAGCGAGCTGGTAAAAGACCAGGCCCCAGCACACACAAGGTTCGCGTCCGGTCCGCAGCGCTGACCATCTAGTTGAGATAGGCTACGGATACTACCTGACTTGATAACTAGGTAATAAGATAGATACATTGCGTGTCTCCTTAATCCCTCGTTTGTCGATGTACCGAAATAGCAAGTCTGGTCCTACTAACCAGCCAGCCAGCCAGCCCGCCCCGTCTCCATCTACCCTACGGGCCACGGGCCACGCCCCAGCCCAGCCAACCCAGCAAGCCTGCCCAGCTCTCCCGTCGCCGACACCACTGGCTCGCTCGCCTCCTGCGCCTGCCTCTTGCTCTGCCTGTTGCCTCTCAACCTCCTCTATCCATCCCGCTCGCTCCACGGGCCTTTCGTTTTCCTGGCGCCACGAGCCTCCTCCATCCATACAACCTCCGATACGCCCGCTCCCCTCCGCTCTTCCATCTCGCGACTTCGCCCCGTGGTCGTCGTCGTCCCCGTCGTCCATCACCAAAACAGACGCTGCGTATCTGTTTCCTGGTCGCTCAGCTCGGGCTTGTTTCCACCCGCCCGCCAGCCCTGACCGTACATGCTGCGATTGGCTTGTCGTAGCTAGGCGCCCCCCGAATTAATCTGGGCTTCACGTCCTCGACGACTCGATCCTCCTCCCGCAGCCTCAACGCGACCGACCTCTCGCCAAAAATTGTCGGACATTGTCATCGCCACCGTCTTTCCTTTAGCGAATTTTGCAGCATCCAGACATCGCGTCTCGACAATTCCCCATCGCATTTGGTACGGCTGGCTCTGTTACCCGCCTACCTTGGGCTTGGACTGTTGCGCCCTTGTCCAGCCCAATTGCTTGTTGATGTGAGTGTTGACCCCTTTCCAAACCCTTCTCTTTCTTTGCCTCGCGCTCGTCGCAGCATGCCGTCGAGCGGAGCAGCTTCATCATGACTGGTATATTTTGTGCATTGCAGATTCTAACCGCTCGTCCCTGGTCTAGCATTCAGCGAAAATACTGTGCACGAACGCGCGCAGACGTCTGTTCAAACCACCGATGCGAAACGTGATACGGCCATAAACCAAGCCACAATTATGGGAACCGAAAACAGCGACACGATAATCTCCGAGGAGGCTGGCTCCGCTCGCCAAAGCCAAGGCATGCTCAAAGTCCCTTCGAGATCCTCTTCGCAGCAAAAAATCCAAACAGCGCCATCTGCCACTGGCCGCAGCAGCAGCAGTGCTCGGTCCAAAGACTCCAAGAACAGCTATGCCGACGTTCAGGGCAATGGTTCACTAAGTGCTGCGCGCCAAGTTGGTGACAATGATGCTGCTGGCTCACCAGGTAACACACAACCCAGCTCACCCTCTACCAGCGAGCAGAAGCAAAGAAGGAAGAAGGGAGGTCTGCTTGCTCTGCTTGGCTGCTGCGGTGTTCCGGATGATGAGGATAAGAACAATGTTCACAAACTAAACAAACTCCCTCAACGGCCGACCACGGCAAAATCTCGATCCCAAACCTCGCAGGACCAGTATGCCCGCAACTCGAATGAGAAGGCCAATAACACGGCTGCTGCTGCGGACCAACAAGCGGCAGCTAGCGGCTCTCAGGATGTCATCGTGGAAGAAACCATTACACACCAGGAGAACCCGCCTGCTGTTGCCGTCGAGCCTCCTAGTGCGCCACAATCAGCCGGCGGAGGCAATTCCTCCAATGGCGACGACGTCGATATGCCTGACGCACCAGAGGAAGCTCACGAGACGCCGGTCGTCGAACCATCTGAAGAGCCCGAGGAGCGAAGTGTGCCTCCTCCACCGCCGGGGCCAGCCGTCGCAACAGCCGTCCCTCTCCCCCCCGCTAATGCTGTGGAGGAGCAGCGCAAGTGGCTGCTGCCGCCCATTGCACCTGAGCACAAGGGAAGAAAGTGCCTGGTTCTCGATCTCGATGAAACCCTTGTACACAGCTCATTTAAGGTACGTAGAGTCGCACAATGACCTCTTTCTCGATGTAATGCTAACAAGTCGCGCACAGATTTTGCACCAAGCTGACTTTACAATACCTGTCGAAATCGAAGGCAATTATCATAACGTATACGTCATTAAGCGACCTGGCGTCGATGAATTCATGAAGAGAGTGGGCGAGTTGTACGAAGTCGTTGTCTTCACCGCGTCCGTCTCCAAGGTACGCCCAAGAACTATTTTACGTGCATTGCCTGCCTGCCTTGCTAACCAATCCACAGTATGGTGATCCTCTATTAGACCAGCTTGACATTCACAACGTCGTCCACCACCGACTCTTCCGCGAAAGCTGCTATAACCACCAGGGCAATTACGTCAAAGACCTGTCACAAGTCGGACGCGACCTCAAAGACACCATCATCATCGATAATTCGCCGACCTCGTACATATTCCACCCTCAACACGCCGTTCCTATCAGCAGCTGGTTCTCTGACGCCCACGACAACGAACTGCTTGATCTGATTCCCGTTCTCGAGGATCTCGCTGGCTCCAAGGTTTCGGATGTCAGCCTCGTTCTCGATGTCACTCTTTAAGCAGCACAAAAAAGACCTCCTCACAAGCGGGGAAAAACAAATTTTTTTTTTTTTTTTTTTTTTTTGCATTTTTCCATTCTTCCTTTGTCATTCAAAATAACCTTTTGAAATCTCTATTTTATTACATCTCTGCAGAGCTTCCGATGGGAAATTACAGTATTCCATTCATAGCGCAAGGCGTTTTTGGTCACAGGGGTTTCTCTTCTTTCTCCTGGTGTCTTTTTTTTCTACGTTTTCTTCCTGTGGTAGAAAGCTTCGTCGCTGGTCTAATGCATACACGGGGATCAGAAAGAGAGAAGAACGACGAACAAGGAAGAGGAGGGGGAAAGGCAGCAGGTGATTTTTCAAAATTTTCTTCTTTGTTCTTTTTGATGTGTTTTTTGTCATGTCTTCTTACTTCTTCTGTTGGACGCTACGGTTGAAATGCAGAAAGACCAGCGGAAGTGGGAAAGGGAAAAAAAGATACCTCTTACTATACATAGTTGCCTCAAATTGTAAATCTTTTCCCAAATTGTGAAGCTCGTATCAAAGCTGTTGAACGAGTTGCATGGTTGCTCTGGGCCTGCGCATTCAAGCAGCGTCCACAAATGATGCGGGAAGATGGACCACCATTCATCGATGAAGGTTTTGTTTCATCGTCAAGTTAATACTCTTCATCCTTTTTGGGAAGAAAAAAGAAAACAATTCATCATTTGCATTCCTAACGTGCATCTGCATAACGATTCATGCATTTCGTCCCAAAACGGTAGGTATACCAAAAGCTGCCGGAACATTGTTCTGCCGCTGGCCCGGTCGAGGAGACCCTTTTCTGGTGCATGTGGCCTCAACTGGCTGGCGGGCCTTGGTTGGTAGGTACAGTTGCGCTAGCTCTCAGTCGCACACCACCTCCACGATCCCTCCTTGTCCATCTCTCGTTACCCAGAATCGATCAATCCTGCAGCGGTTCGTCGACTTTGGTCTCTCCTTCCATTTTCGCTCCTTCTTTCTCCGGTTCTTTCCACAACATATAATGGTACGTCCACGAAAAGCGAACAAGCCAATTGAGGGGGAGGACGCATGCGAGGCGAGAGAGGCAACAGAACACCCTGTTGCTTCTTCGTCGCGTGAGGCCCCTGGCTGTTGGCGCAACCCTCTGAGACGACACAACCGCGCGCATCTCTAGATGGGAAACTGTAGGCTAACGTTTCTGGATAAAACACAGTCTTCTCCTCGCGCTTCCTCGCCCGAAGGCGCTGCCACCGGCGCCAGTCTCAACCGCCCGTCATCGCCCACGCCGCCCGGCGGACCCCGAACGGCCATCCGCCGCCGCGCCGCCGCCGACCAGAAGGAGAAGATTGCCAATGCTCGTCCCAGCAGCACCCGCTCGGCCGGCGCCGGCGGCTCCAGCAGCACCATGCTGAGTACGTCTCTTGCCCTTGCTCGGGCCCTGTTTGGCACCGCATCTCGTCCAGCGTCTCTTCACCGAAAATCCTCCTGGGTGGCTTCAATGGGTTGCTTGTCTTTCCCATTGATAGAATCTACGTTGACAGGGGGGAGGGGAGGCTGTTGTGTGCTGTTCTGCGCCATTTGGGCCTATTGCTATAGTGTTGGGTGATTGCTAACGTCTTTCTCACAGGACTCTACACCGATGAGTCTCCCGGTCTCAAGGTCGACCCTGTCGTTGTTCTCGTTCTCTCTCTTGTCTTCATTTTCAGCGTTGTTGCTCTTCACAGTGCGTATCATTGGTGGTCTTTCGGTTGGCTGCGCCGGTCTAACAATGTGCTGCAGTTATTGCCAAGATTACCCGAAAATTCTCGAGCTAAATGGCGAGTTCTGATATACGGTAGAGAACAATGGGCGAGACGGCGGATAAAAAGAATCATGGGATGGACGAGATAGGCAGGTTGTGCGTCGCCTGGTCGTCGTGACGGGGAACCCGGGAACTTTTTTTGATTTGTTCAAATGATGATGTTTGGGAAATATTCTTTGGGTGAACCGGTACAGTGCGTCCTATATTCTTGGCAGTTACAAGGGCCTCTGACGTCAGGCATTGACTTGTTCTGGCTGAGGCTCGGCATGTTGTATTATACCAATGAAAATGTATAGACCCAGGGCCAATGTGATGTGATGGCGTGGTTCGGTTATTCGCTGTGGGTGCTAACAGAGTAGCGATTGTGTCCTGTATAGCTGGCAGGTAAATTGCGTGGTGAAAAGCAGCCGTTGTTTTACGTTTTGCGTATAATCTGCCATTGGGCGAGGACAAGCATACGTACGCGTAGCTGCACAGCCGAGAGCCTAGCTCCAAACAGGAAAACGAGGCTGCGGGAGCGGAAAGCGTTGATCATCTTGGCATTGAAGATGAGCTGCAAATTGGAGTTCTTGCGGCTATTTTCGTCCTTTTTTATTCGTAACGCATCCAGGCAGCAGCCGTCGAGCATATCGCTCCCCATTATTACCTACCCGAGTGGACAGGTGTGGTGGGTTTGGGGGGCTTTGAGGCTGCCGCCACCTGCTACAGTATGTATGTCGGTAGCTAGCGGAAGCTCCGTCCAGGCAGGACGTCAAAGGCATGGGGCTGATCAACTCGCGAGATGTCTTCCAAATAAGGAACCCCGAGAGGAGTGTTGGTTACATAGGGTTAGGCAACACGCGTGTTCAAAAGCCTTGATATCTTGTATATGTTGCGTCACTCAAGTGGCTGCTGCCAGCCTGTTGATGAGAGTCTGGGTTGGGTTGAACCCCAGGCTGGGTCCAACCGAAGTCCGGATATACAGAAACTAAGAAGAAAAAAGTCCAATTGGTCACCATCTCATACGTACACATTTATTGAGGGCATTCGCAGGACCAATGCTGATGCTTCGGATGTAGCCAACAAAGTGGGCCGTGAGAGCTCTCCCGACACCTGGCTTGGTGTCTGGGCATTTGTTCGTTGCTCACACATCTGACACATGCTATCGTCCCACAGTCACGATTCTAACATAGTCCTGGTCTCTATTTGAACCACTGGGCATCCTCTACTTCTGAAGCACGCTTGTCAGTCCAGTGCTACGCCTCATCAATCACTGCCCGCCACCAGTTCTGAGTCAAGGCAAACGGGCAGAGGCGCCAACGTCATCATTAGCAGCAGCCCACCAAGCCCATCTGTCATGGTGCGCGACCAAGTTTGACTACACAGCAATCACCGCCTTCCCTCCCTCCGAGATTTCGATTTGCCTGGTGTACCTTTGGCGCGACCTCTAGATTCTGAGCGCTTTTCTTTTCGCTTGCCTGCCCTAGGCAACGCGACCTGCTCCCCTCGTTTATCTCGCACAGCACACCTACGGCTTTAGTCTGATGCCCCGCCATCATCAATCATCATGACCCTACTTGACGACAAGCAAGCTATCGCCCGTCGCCAGGCGCAGGCGCAGGCCCATGCACAGACACGGCAGCAGAACCGGGACTCGCTGAGAGCCCAGGGCAGCATCTCGCAGGAGTCCCTCATCACCGACGGCTTCGTCATGCCCAACCTGGATGTGCCTAGTGAGGCCCCGCCGGCCTACGGCGACCAGGTCGATAAGGTCACCTTTTCGCAGCCCGGCTTTCAGGCCGGCGCCGCTGTGGCAGGTAAGGACGCCCATCCAATAAAAAGCGTTGTTTACACGAAATGAGGGAGCAAGACACTAACAAGGCCTCACCCCAGGCGATGGCCGTGTCAACATCAATATCAGCACCAAGAACCGCCGTCTCGCCGAGCTGCTCGCACCCGTTGTCGACAGGCAGGTTTCCGTCGCTGAGACCCAGGAGCCGCTTCCGCCGGCCTACATCCCGCCAACACTCGGCGGCCTGCCCGGCCAGACGCCGCCGCCGGCGCTCAACATCGTCATCCAGATCGTCGGCTCGCGCGGCGACGTGCAGCCTTTTGTCGCCCTCGGCAAGACGCTGCGCGATTCCTACGGCCACCGCGTGCGCATCGCTACCCACGCCACCTTCCAAAAGTTTGTCGAGGACAGCGGCCTCGAGTTCTTCAACATCGGCGGCGACCCCGCCGAGCTCATGGCCTTCATGGTCAAGAACCCCGGCCTCATGCCCGGCTTCGACGCCCTCAAGAGCGGCGAGGTCAGTAAGCGCCGCCGCGGAATCGAGGAGATCCTCATGGGCTGCTGGCGCTCCTGCATCGAGGCCGGCAACGGCCTCGGCCCGCCGCCAAAGCCGCACGCGCGCCACGCGCCGGCTAGCTTCGACGCTGGTGAGGTGCCGGGAAACCCGGCGGACCTCCCCTTTGTGGCCGATGCCATCATCGCGAACCCGCCAAGCTTCGCACACATCCACATTGCAGAGAAGATGGGCATCCCGCTGCACATGATGTTCACCATGCCTTGGACGCCAACGCGGGCCTTTCAACACCCGCTCGCGAATATTCAATCTAGCAACCTCGACGATACACTGACCAACAACTTGACTTATACGCTTGTCGAAATCATGACGTGGCAAGGCCTCGGCGACGTCATCAACCGATTTCGTGAAAAGGCCCTGGAGCTACCAGAGCTGTCACCGCTATGGGCGCCTGGCCTGCTGACACGGCTCAGGATATCGTACACGTACTGCTGGTCACCGGCCCTCATCCCCAAACCCAATGATTGGGGCAACAACATTGACGTGTCTGGATTCTACTTTCTCGACCTTGCGTCTTCTTACACGCCGGATCCTGAGCTCGACGCCTTCCTCAATGCTGGTCCGCCGCCAGTCTACATTGGCTTTGGGTCCATTGTTGTCGACGACCCCAACGCCATGACGCGCATGATTTTTGACGCCATCCACCTTGCCGGAATCCGTGCCCTCGTCTCCAAGGGCTGGGGCGGTCTCGGCGCCGACGACGTCGGCCTGCCAGAGGGTGTCTACATGCTCGGCAACGTGCCTCACGACTGGCTCTTCCAGCACGTCTCCGCCGTCGTGCACCATGGCGGCGCGGGAACCACAGCAGCGGGCATCAAGGCCGGCAAGCCGACCTTTGTCGTGCCCTTCTTCGGCGACCAGCCGTTTTGGGGGTCCATGATTGCGCGCGCAGGGGCCGGCCCCGAACCCATCCCATACAAGGACCTGACGGCGGAGAAACTTGCCGAAGCCATAAAGATGTGCATCGAGCCGGAGACGATGGAGCAGGCCAAGGTTCTGGGTCAGAAGATTCGGGAGGAAAAGGGAACGGATGAGGGTGGATACAGCTTCCACAAGCATCTTGACATTGACAAGATGCGCTGCTCTGTCGCGCCGAGCCGTGCAGCTGCATGGCGTGTGCGAAGGACCAAGGTGCGACTCAGCCCTCTTGCGGTTGCTGTTCTCGTCGAGCACAATGTCATAAAATACACGGATCTCAAATTGTAAGCATTGAGGGAGATGTGCCATTTGGATCTGGTCACTAACATCTATAGGTACCGCCCTTGCGAATTCAACACCGATGACCAACCCACTGATCCGGTATCCGCGGGAGCAGCCGCCATCATGTTGTCTATTGGAACGATTGGTATGGCTATTGCTGATATGCCAAGGGACCTGTGGAAATCGCACAGAAAATACAAGAAAGACAGCGACAGCATGTCCAGACCAACAGAAACCTCCAGTCACATGTCTCAAAGCGACAACCGCCCGTCCATATCACGAGATGCAAATGCTTCCCAGTCGTCTCTCCATACACCGCACACACCGCACACGCCGGATACGCCCCCTGACACTGGTGCCGATACACCAACAAGGCAGACGGAGCCTCCAGAGGCCGCATCTCCCAAACAACGGAGCCTTCGCGAGGAGCACATGTCACCAGGCATGGCCTTTAGCATGGAGAGTGCAGTGGGTACCGCGAGGGGTGTCAACAGGATCATCGAGGCGGGCGTCAAGTCGCCTATGAACTTTTGCCTCGGCTTGGCCAAGGGATTCCGCAACATGCCGCGCCTCTACAATGATGACCTGGTGCGGCCGGTTGAAAAGGTCACAGACCTGTCTTCTGGCATCAAGGTCGCCGGCAAGGAGCTTGGCTACGGCTTTTTTGACGGTATCTCTGGCCTGGTCCGCCAGCCCCTGCATGGTGCGGAAAAGGATGGCGCTGTTGGCCTCGTCAAGGGCGTTGGTAAGGGCATCGGTGGCCTGATCCTGAAACCCGCCGCCGGCATCTTCGGTCTTCCCGGATACGCCATGCAAGGCGTCCATGCCGAGCTTGGCAAGCACATGAGCCGCAGCGTGTACAACTACATCCTCTCGTCCCGCATCAAGCAGGGTGAGCTGGACTTGTCTCGCTCGTCCGACGGCGAATGTGAGGACATCCTGCGTCGCTGGAACACGGTCAAGTTTGATCTGTCTCGTTTCTACGACCTCAAGCGCAGAATGGGCAGCACCGAGGGGCCGTTCCCGCCGCCACCGCCGCTGCCCACGGAAGACAGCAGCGACACCGTTTCCATCATGGACAAGGGCTTCTCCAAGCCGCGGACAGGCTGGCTCCAGACGCGGCACCTGTCTCCGGCGCAGAGAAAGCGCATGCAGGAAGAGAAGCAGACGTGGAAGCGCGGCTACGTCGAGTCGCTAGTGCCTGTCACGCCACCCGCTACTGCAAAGGCCGTCGAGAAGGTGAACAAGGCACAGGAAGAGGACGAGGTGGAGCGCGCTATCCAGGCGTCTGTAAGGGAAACATCGCAGGGTGTCGTAGAAGATGACGCTGAAATCGAGGCTGCTATTCGTGAGAGTCTGCGTGTCATGCGTCAGAGCGGCGCTCTACCAGCAACGGGCTGGATTGACGAGAAGAATATTCGCAACGATGACCCGTCCATCTTTGAAGACGAAGCGTTCAAGATTACCGATGAAGAGTTCCAGGACCTGATTCAGTTCGCCATGCGACAGAGCCTGGCGGAAGAGTACGGCTATCCTACCGAGGAGTTGGGCATTCCCGGACCGTCCTCCTCTTCCTTCACCGGAACACCGTCGTCGCGACCGATACTGACTGAAGAGCCTGCGGCGATGGACGACCTGTACGGCGCCGAAAAAGCACCGGGCTACCGGCGAGAGCTACCCGCTCACGAGTCGCAGCAGAATCAGCAGCCGGGGGAGCTTCCAGCACAAGACGTGACGGACGAGGAAGAGTTAGAGCTGCAGCGAGCCATTGCTGCGTCTAAGGAGGAGATGGAGCGGGCCGAGACGGAACGCAACGAGGAGGACATTGTGCTGGAGTACATCAAGAAGCAGAGCCTGGCAGAGGAGGAGTTTAGAAAGCGAAACAAGGGCAAGGGCATCAGCACGAATGAGGATGAGGACGAGGACGAGGAGCTGAAGAGAGCCATGGAGGAGAGTTTGAAGATGAGCCGCGGTGGTTGGGGCGAGAGCAGTGGCATTAGTAGGAGCGGGAGTGGTAGCGGCAGAGGCAGCGGCAGCGGCAGCGGCAGCGGCAGCGGACTGCATAAATCCTCTGGAGCAGGGCCTGCGTGATTCGATCGATCTACACAAAAAAACATGTTTGAGAATTGAGATACCATTGCATTATAGCGAATATCATACAGTCATTTGCAAGCTAGGCGTCTACGTCATCGTCGGTATGAGGAGGAGTGTCGCTGTGACTCACGAAGCAAGTGAAACGGAGCCCATTCACTTTCACCAGTGGCGATTTGGCATCGAGAAAGCCGAGAATCACAGCAAGGCATCTACAGTAATATGGTGTTGTCACATGGCTTGTCACGGACAAGTACTACTGTGACGAGGACAAACTCAGCGAGTACTTTAAGAGCATTCGGGTCCCGAACTCGAACTCGAAGGCTGGAAATGGAATGCCAGAAAACACCCTCCTCACAGAGTCCACTCCACAACCACTTCTCTCAGGGCCCTTTGGATCGTCGACTGGTGAGTACCCTTGCTTGACCCCAACGAATGATCCGACCAACACCATACGTCCGACGTCAACACTGTGTGCGAAGAAAAGAAATCAACACAACACAAGCCAAGCTCTTAACCACTACTAAGAAGAGAGCAGTATCATGTGTCGCCAGGACTGGACCGTGACGTACTGGCTGTGCCGGGATGCCAAGACGTCCTTCTTCCAGCTGATGCCGCACGACGGCTGCGGCGGGTGCGGGATGCCCGCCGCTGGGGCGTCGCAGGTGGTCGCGAGCAGCACCGAGCGGGGGGGTTAGGGGGTTAGCTGGGTTCTTGCTTATGTGGGAAGCTCTTTAAAAGTCGCACAAATTGAAATGTATCATGGCGAGAAAATGGGATAGAGGGGGGTCGTCAAGATGTAATCTTGTTTGCGGATAGAAGCCAATGAGACCCCCTGTATCCCCCGTCTACAAGACTACAAGCTGACAAGTTCCTCGTTAGAAAATCTTCGCGGCCGTTGTATCTCAGCCAGTGATGAGAGGCTAACGAATACGATCTAGTTCTACTTCGACTTTGTGAACCACAGACTTCTCCTTAGCAATGTGCTGGCTGGGCTTGACAGTGCTTGGAGAAGGGCCATTCTTCCCACAGGCCAGACGAACCGACACGTACGTTTTCTTTGCTTTTTCAAGTGAGGTTCTAGCACTCACTCAGACCTACCTGATTGTACCTGGATGCTAGCCCGTGGCCTGGCCTTCTGCAGCTGTCCACCTCTGTCTGGCACGGGGCAAAGCGGCGAGTAGAGAAAGGCCTAGCTGGGGTGGGAAGAGCAAAGAGCAAGCCACTCCAGCAGAACCTACGGCAACTTGAAATCGAAAAGAGCGTGCTTTTCGCGTATCACGGTCACCCAGACGGCGGTGCAACTTGGTGCTGCTGTGATGGTCTGTTGTTTTCTCGCGCCTCTTGCCAGATTCGTCGCCAACTGCAGCAACTTTGAAACAGTGCTCGCAAGCCAGCGTAGCACTGTACTCCCAATATTTGATTCTCGTGGGAAGGTTTATGAAGAGCGTGAAGGCAGAGTGTAACCGCGGCAGACGTCATATGACCTTGAGTCTTCGGCGAGACCACGGCCCTCGTCGCGCATACACGCACTTCGTATCACTCATACACGTCGTACTGTAGAACCGAAGACGCGGGATGAAATGAATGGTTGGCTATCAAGACTCGAGAGAGTTTGCTCTTCGATGCAGTTTGATACGATGTGCTACAATCAATCACATGATGTTGCCGGGAAGGATACGTCGAGCAGCGGATCGTGCGAGAAGGACAGGTATTTACAGTCCGCTTTCCTCCCCCCCTTCCCAGATGGAAAACTTGGAAGAAGCAGATACAAACGAAAATCAGACGGAAAGACAAACTTGGCAGCAATCACCTCTCTTGCCTTGGCCGCCTTCATTCATTCGTTTCTTCCATCTGCCTTGACAACCTCAGCAAGGCTTCCAAAGGCCCCCAAGGTCAACTCCCTTCCCAGTGCTCCCAAGGTCATTGCTGCGTTCTCCTGGCCCAGTCGTCGAATCATTCGACCGGGAAAAAAACCAAAACATAAAAGCGTCCCAGCAACAACAACAAAGGACGCTGCGTGTCCCCCTCCACGCGGGGGCGGTCGGCCGGCCCTCTTGCACGACAGCGCACACATCTCGCACCGCGCACGCACGCACTTCCCTCTTGTTCGTTTTTTTCCTGTGCTACTACACAACGCTTCGCCAAGCAGCCAGCCAAGATGTGCCGCCGAGAATGGACGGTCGTCTACTGGATGTGCAACGACGTCATGGACCGGAGCTTTGTGCTGGTCCCCGACGACGGGTGCGGCGGGTGCGGCGAGGTCACGGCGCCATCCCTCTACCCTCTGCGCCGCATGGTGCTCGGGGCTTGCCCGGACTGCGTCGCGGAGGAGCTCTGGGTCACGCTGGACGACCTCTGGATGCCGAGGGAGCTCGCCCTCGAGCGCGGGTGGAAGCCATCGGCGGCGGCGCCGTCATCCTCGTGAGAAGAGGCGGTAGTAAGAGGGATAAAAGCGCATAGCATGCTCCTGCGGGTGGAAGCTACTAACTACTACCGCCACCACCTCATGAGAGAGGCGGCTGTAAAAGGGACAAAGTGCATAGCACGTTCCGGTGCTCCCTCGCCGCCGCCGCCGCCGCCGCCGCCCCCGTCATCCTCCTGAGGATGAGAGAGGGAGGCTGCAAGAGCTGCCGCGCTCGAAAGCGTACGGCGTCAACTACAATGCTGCCGCGCACATTCGCCGCTGTCACTTTAAGAGTGAACCGGTGAATGGAACCATGGGCGGGAGCAGTGGCGGCACATGGCCAGAGATCCGATACCTCGAGTATCTCTATATGAAGCTGGTTCACATTCGCCGCGCACATTCGCCGGTGTCACTATAAGAGTGAACTGGTAAACGGCACCATGGGCGGGAGCCGCGGCGGCACATGGCAAGGAAGCTCTATGGCATTGACTACAATGCTGCCGCGCACATTCGCCGCGCACATTCGCCGCGCACATTCGCCGCGCACATTCGCCGCTGCCACTTTAAGAGTGAGCCGGTGAATGGAACCAGGGGTGGGAGCAGTGCGACAGGGCCTGAATTGCCGTGTCCGCTGGCTGGTGGAAGTGGTTCCCCGGTGTCCAAGGACACCCACTCTATCAGGTAAGCCATCAGGTAAGTTTCCTTTTTCTTTCTTTGTTCAAACAAAAACGTTTCTATACCCGGGAGCCCGCACTGGTTTGGTAGAAGGAAGGTATTGTTGGAATAGAATCTGGCTGTTGTCACTCATCATCACAAAACTGGTCCGCGTAAAAAAGAATTGCTGCTTGTGAATGCCGTCCGCACATAGAAATCCTGTAGCGATCGGCAACTCCGATTTTGCAACCATATTAAATCGATAAAGAATACTGTCTGAAACTATAATAAACGTCAGTGCTCTCGAATACAAATCAAAACTCGGCCGGCGTTCTTCAATGGCTGCAACACCCTAAAGCTCACAGCACCACTCTGCTGTGAATCACCCACATACGCCCCCATATGCAACCCCGCAACACCGTCGCTCCCCTACTCTCAACATGAAATATCAACACACGTACTGTGACGACCGCCGCCCGAACATGCTACTGGTGTTGCTGCCCCTGCCAGTTCTGTGGTGGCGGCTGTTGCTGACCGCCCTGCGGCGGCGGCGAGTAGTAACCCTGTGGAGGCGGGCCGTACTGTGTCTGCGACGGCCCTTGCTGATACTGTCCTTGCTGGTTGTATCCTTGCTGATTGTATCCTTGCTGGTTCGGGCCTTGCGGCTTTTGCCCGCCGTTTTGCTGCTGTTGTGCCTGCTGGCCGCCGCCGCCGCCGCCGCCGCCGCCACCGTTGGCCATAGCCATCACATCCGGGCGCTTCTCGAGGGGCTGGTGAAAGTTGCAGATGCCGCATACGACGTCCTGGTACCCGGAAATGGTGAATGGGATGACCGGCTAAGAAAGTCATGGTTAGCAGGGGCCCAGCCGTGGGAGGAAGACACGCGCGAGTTCCACGTACAATGTAGCAGATGGTGAAGAATGGGCGCTCCTTTTGCACGCGGGCGCCCATGTTGCCGCAGTGGTGGCACTGGGTGATGAGGCCCTCGTAGCCCTTGACCTCGGACCGAAAGGTCTGCTGGCCGCAGACGAAAAAGAAGGCCATGACGACTGGGTGGTTATCGGGTCGGGGCGGTTATTCTCGGAGGGTATGCGCGCGCGCGGCTTCGGAGGTGAGGATGATGTGATCAAGGGAGGAAGGCAGAAACCCCCGATTTTTCAACGTCTCGTCTCGGTTTGATAGGACAAGGTCGAGCCAAGCAGCGGGGTGGCAACTGAGCCAAGGCGCAGTATGGGCGTCGTGGTTGCGAGGGCGGCCAAGCGTCGGGAATTGCGCGCGAATCGGGGGAGATTTCGCGTAAGTATTGTTTGCGGTGCGATAACGGTAGCGAGACGAATCAAAGCAGCCGACGAATTTGTTCTTTTGAAGATGGAAAGTTGTCAACAAGCTCGGATGAAAGGTGATGGATTCTGGACGCCACTGGTGACGCAAGCAAGAGAGCTTAATTTTTTAGCGGCCTCGATCCCTGGGGAAGGCCCACTAGTATTGGCAGCATATTGCCTGGTGTCCGAAGGTCGTTTTTCCACTGCTCCTCAAATTATTGCCCTAGCATAAATTGCCTACAATTGCTAATGTATCATTTTTAATATTTTGAAGCTCCGTTGCATACGGATCTAATTTCTATTGAACTTCATCCAACTAATATCCTTCCTCTGTGTTGTGCTGGCTTTAGGGTCGCATGTAGTCGACACATCATGACCTTGAAAGTTTCTCGTGCCGGACGCTGCTATCTGGCTGCGTAGCCATCTTCAATACCGAGCCAAGAATTTGTTTTTCATCTCAGGCCGGGTGACCACCGCATAAGCCTTGATTGGGAATGTAACCATCTATCGCTATCTGGCGCTATCGGAGCGCGTCATGGCGCGGCTCTGATTTCCGCGGCGCGGTTCCGCAGTCCCACTGAAAATAATTCTGCCTGGCATTTTTTTAACTTCTTCGTTGATTTTATGTAACTTTCTATTTATACACATACATCTTCGATACTGTTCCCAGCTGACCATTAGATTTCGCCCCCGACCTTGCCCGACCAAGCCCTTTTTTGGTCCCAAGACACATTTGGGCCAGAGCATCACACTCTACGACTCGCCCAGGGCGGCAACACACCCCCGACGACCTCGCACGTCCCCAAACCACCACCGCACTCCACCCACCATGCTCTACGACCTCAATATTCCCTGGTCGCCCTCGACGCCTCCCGAGGCGCTCCTTCAGACGCTCACCACCGCCTCCAGCCTCGGCTACACCACCGTCGCCCTCCCCGCCGTCACCTTCCCCGTCCTCCCTCCCCCGTCCTCCCCCTCACAAAAGCTCCCCACCGTCCTCCGCCGCGCCACCTTCCCGCTCGCCGACCCTTCCGCGCCCAGCTACCGGCTCCCTGCCCTCGCCGCCGCCTACGACGTCCTCGCCGTCCGTCCCACCACCGCCGAGGCCTTCCAGAACGCCTGCCTCACCCTCGACGTCGCCCTCGTCTCCCTCGACCTCGCCCAGCACCACCGCTTCCACTTCCGCCCCAAGCCCTGCATGGCCGCCGTCGCCCGCGGCGTCCGCTTCGAGGTCTGCTACGCCCAGCTGCTGGCCGCGGCGGGGGACCCGCGCGCCCGCGCCGCCTTTGTCGGGAACTTGAGGGGCTTGCTCCGGGCGACCCGCGGCCGTGGCGTGGTGCTCAGCAGCGAGGCGAGATCGGGCGCGCTCGGGCTGCGCGGGCCGGCGGACGTGGTGAACTTGCTGGCCGTGTGGGGACTGCCGCCGGACAAGGCCCTGGAGGGGCTGAGGTCGCTGCCGCGCAGCTTGGTGGTCAACGAGGGCGTCAAGAGGAACGGGTTCCGCGGCGTTGTGGATGTCGTGCAGACGGCCGAGGATCCGGCCGCCAAGGGTGAGGGAGCCGCGGCGGTAGTGGGGGAGGAGCCGGGCGGGAATGGCAAGAAGCAGAAGCGCAAGACGGCGCAGCAGGAGGACGGACCGCAAATAAGCAAACGGCAGGCCAAGAAGATGCGGCTCGCCAACAGAGCGGCGGCTGCTGCTGCGGTGGAAAAGTCTGTATAAGACGTCTCCTCAAAGAGACTATTGTGACATATGATACCCCAAGATTACAATGTATAATGATCGAGCGGCATGACGAGCTCTTGAACTATTTTCTTTTTTTGCTATTGATAAAGGGAACGTAACAATAAAAACTCAATCTACAGCCACCCTTGCAGCAAAGGAACAAAAATACAAACAAGAACCGAAAACATACAGAGCCGTCCCTGTGCAAGCTCGTCACTAATCGTGTTTCTCACTACGTCGGGGTGGGCGCGGCCTCGGACCCGGCCGTGGCTTGAGCTATCAAGTTGCCCAGCTCGAGCTGGCTGCTCAACTTGAACCCGGACAGGTCAATCGGCAGCGCCGGGGAGACCGTCGCTGCCGGTTGAGCCGGGGCAGGATCGACTACGCTTGGCTTTCCCTGGACGGCCGACTCGCGCGGCGCAGCGGCGTCCGGCTTATCGCCCGGCGGAGAGTTGGTGCTGGTCGGTGTTGGGGTAGAAGAAGTTGACTCTGCCGGTTTTGGCTCTGCGGCACCTGGTTCTGCGGCAACTGGTTCTGCGGCAACTGGTTTGGCAGAAGTTGCCTCGGGTTTTGGCTCTGCAGCACCCGGCTCTGCAGCAACTGGTTTGGCGGGAGTTGGCTCTGCACCGGGCTTCTTTTCGGGAGAGACCGTTGATGACGCTTCGCCTGGCACCGCAGTTTTGCTTGACGAAGCGGCTGGCGGCTCAATCTCGGCTGCGGGTGGCGGAGGAGCAGCCTCAGACGGCTTTTCAGTCGGTGCCGGGATGCTGGGACTAAAGATGGAAATGACGGTGACGCCAACTCCGTTGCCGTCCTTGTTTGGCGTCACGGTGGGCTCAACCTCTGGGGCTGCAGGCTGGCCATTGCCGTTTCTATTGCCGTTCTCATTGCCAGTAGTACCGTTTCTATTACCACCGCCACCGACACCGCCATTTGAGCCCGAGTTGGCCTGTACCGTAACTACCTTGGTCTGCGTTATAGTCGGAGGAGTCACCGTTACGGTAATGGTGGGAGGCGGACCCTCGGCGAACACCGTGGTGGGAACGAATGACAACTGGACACTTGAAGATGTTAGTTATAGGATATTTCGGAAAATAAAGAGCGACGTACCCTCCGACGACTGGGCACCCGGAATTAGGCCCCGGTGCGGGAGACAGTGGCGGGTTTGCATTTCCTCCAGGAGGGGCTTGAAGACCCGGATTGTTGGGCTCACGCCCGCCACCCGCATTTGGCGGAGCTGCTGGGACTTGCGATTGCCGTTGCGCAGGTGGAGTAGGCGTGATGGCGGTGGTAATCGTGGTACCTGATCCCTGGCCTGGGATCAAAATTGCCGAGCTAGGTGGTATTTGCTGTTGCGGAGGATTTGCGGGAGGCGATTGGGGCGAACCTGGGGCTGCTGGCGCTTGGCCCAACTCCGGGAGCGGCGGTAGTGTCTCCCCAGGTTGTCTAAGAGTAGGCGTGATGACAGTAGTAATCGTGGTATCCGAACCCGGCGCTTGGATCTGCCCAGGCCCTTGCACACCATTGCCTCCGCCGTTGTCGCCGGGGTTGCCGACGGAATTGCCGCCGCCGTTCCCTCCCCCGTTTTGCGAGCCTTGAAAGCCTTGAATTAGTTCATCCAGTTGGTCCGGATCAAATTCCCCTCTGGCCGCCCTTCTGGCCTGAACTGGTCCAGCAGTGGCGCGCTAAACGCGGTCAGTAAGGCGAGCATTCCTGAAGACGGTGCATTCTTACAGTGGCGGCCGAAGCCAAAAGAGCGTAAACAGCGAGCGACCGCATTCTGAAAGTCCCGGGACTTGTCCTGGAGAGAATGCCGGCGCCCGCCAACCAAGATTAAATTACGATTCGAAGGATAAGATTCTGTTGACGTATCGACTGGTCAAACGGTCCGGCCGTTGATGTATCTGGGATGAGTGCTGGTTGTTCTCGAGATGCAAACGAATGAGCATCAGTGACACCGAACCAGCGAGTCTCAAAAGGTTGGTGGCAGACGGAACAGGGGCGACTTTGTCGACGGGTCGACTGGATCTTTGTAACTACCCGAGTCGTGAAAATTAGCATGAGGGGCGGTTCAAATAGAAACAACCCGTCCACCCTCCTTTGCGAGGATGCGAACCAGGAGAAGACGTCTCCGTACTAACCGTGGGAAAGGAGAGACGTGGTTAGGGGCCCGCGCACGGAACATGCATGGTATATCTACAAGGAGATCATGATAGATGGGATGACAAGAAACGTCGCCATTCGTATAGCGAGGTAGCACAGCAGAAAGAGGGAAGAGAGGGAATAGGAAACGGCGGGGGTGAAGTGTCGCGAGAAAGAGGCAACGCGGCCGCGTTTCAACGGGTGGGTGGTTGTTTCGCTGCGTCTAGCCTGCGACGAGTTGGCCACTCCGTGAATAAAGTTGCATGTCCTACGGAATATTGTGCAGAGGATTGCTGTTCCGCGGCGCAGGAGGCGAAACCGAGGGTCAAACCTGGGCTGGTGGGCGGCGCTACTGGTGATGAGACGGGTCGCGTTACAGGATAGTGCTGGGCGGGTTGGCGGTCAAGAGTGGTATGATTGAGTGTATAGCAACTAGCTGAAGGAGTGTTTGAAAGTTCCTGAGAGAATTCTTAGCGAAAAAGTCATTGAGCGATGGAGCAAGTGCAATCAAGCCATTATGAGGTTGATGACGATGACGATGGCGATGGCCACAAGGCTGGTGGTGGGGGATACGCGATGCATGAACCATGGGGCACGCCAAACTCAGAAGTGGCACGAGTGGTATAATGGACACCGTGTCTAGTCTCTCAGCTCTGTAATAGCATAGACGGTAACGACGGGGGCGAAACCGGTCTGCGGCATGAATGGAGGGAAGGGGAGGAATAATGAATGTTATTATGCCTGTGATAACTAACTACAATTGCGAGCCGGAGACGCTGTACTGTGTGCACACTGTACCCTAATTGTGAATGCACTGTGAGTGCACTGTGAGTGCACTGTGAATGCACTGTGTCTTTGTCCGAGGACGAGACAGCTAAGCCCGCGATGAAAACGAAAGTTTGAATGGGCTATACTGGTAATTGGAAAAAGTCCCGAAATAATTAGCAAGGCTGAAAAGAGCGGTACGCAAAGTGCATATCTATTTAGTGAGTCGACGTCGATACGGAGAGGTGGATGATACCAGCCCGTGTGCCTTACTATGTATGGGTTATGCTGCATGCAAGAAGGAATATCTGTGTTACTGCCTCCGCTGGGGCGCCTTATCCACCAGCATGTCCAAAACCAACAAGTGACGATACTAATAGCCCGATTGGGTCCCCAATTTATGATGATTTATTTATGGAGCAGATGCGAAGACAAGGCCGTCACTTGGATTTGAGGCTAAATCTGGGATTTTCTCTTGACAGCATCCTCCTACACGACATCCAATCCACAATCTGTGTGTAAGTGGGCACCGAACCGGAGCGATTGCGTGAACCACCATCATCACATCCTACCAGTGCATCATTTATTTATATGCTTGGTCGAACTACAATACCCCGACTGGGGAGCACCTGGTGACATGCCTCTCGGCACAAACCCCTGCCAAGGACGCCGCCGCCGCTTGGCGGAAGCATTAGGCCATTCAAGGGGCCTCACCGTGCAATATGTGTGACATGGATTTGTCTAGTTAGTGTTTCATACACACCGCTGACCGCGAGCTCAATCCAGGGCCCGGCTAAGGCGCAGCTGTCAGCGGTTGCCTCACATCAACGTTCTTTTTTTCTCGCGGCTACTACTGACGGTCGCGGTGCTGGAGCCGACGTGCAAGCTAGTCGCTCTGCTTCACTGGAGGATGTACCGTCTTTGCTAAACTAGTCTCCATCTCCCTCATGTCTGTCTGTCTGTCTGTCTGTATTCATGTATATGGAGATGTGGACTTACGAAAACACGACAAGTTGCAGCACGCATGCGGGCTTTGGAGCTCACAACAACAGTTATAGCCCTCTCGCCTAGCTCCAGGAGCATCACACGCGCGGAAAATGCTCTCTCCAGCCTCATGAGCCTGCCACTCAACCAACACCCTCGCTCTGCGGCAGTGTTGCGGCGGTCGGGGCCGGCCTCGACGACGAACCGGTTCCGCCCATGCTTGCAGGGAAACTAACCAGTTGATTCGGCTACATCTACCGGTAGGGTTTCTTTCTCTGCATGGTTCTAGTGCAAGTTACATAGCTAGTCCTTATTGCCTCGGACTGGAGGGAGACGTTGGATGTTAAATGTGTAAGAAGGTTGTGTTTGGAATGTGAAACAATTGCTCTGGAGAGTTTCGTTTTGCAAATCTGCCGACGGAGCCGGGAGAAAAAGAGAAAAGTTAAGAGACAAAGAAAAGAAAAAAGAAAAAGAAATGGTATTGGCGATACTAGCCGCATTGCCGGACAAATTGTTCTAGATGCAGTGGTCTGTTGCAAGTCGCGTCTTGTTGTTTGTCGTCTTTGTCATCCGGGACTTGGTGGTCCGGAAAGTCAGATGTCCTCCGACGCAGATGATGCAGGTCAAATCAACACGGGAAGAAAGTTCTTTTTTTAGAAAAAGGAAACACGTCTTTTTGGAATGGCAAGTCGAGCATGAGTCCCAGAAAAAAAAAACAGCCAAAATGTCAAAGCCATCACTCTTCCGTATTTCTTCGTAATACTCATCATGTTAGCCCAGATCGCCAGGTCTCTGCCAAGCGGCGTCCAGATCGGAGTGGCGCACATGGCTCAGAGATGAAGGAGGTACCTCTGCCAGCCAACTACCAGCAAAAAGGTACATCCTCGCGCTAGGGCTGCCACTTCCAAGGGTCCATGACCTCACTGGGCGTGGCTGTCATGAGGAATCATTTTGCAAACGCAGTCATACAGTTTTTGTTCCCCGAGAATGTATTTAGTGCGGCAGCGACGAAGACACGGGTGATATTTCTCTTTGATGCACAGCCTTTAGCCCAATCAATATTCACAGCATCGCAAACATGGCGCCGACACACGTCCTCGATGACTACTATCTGGGCATCACGGCCATCATCACGGTCGGCTTCCAGCTGGCGTGCTTCTTTGTCGCGTATACCCTCCAGTTCGACAAGATTACAGGTCCGTAACAAACCCAGACACCACAACAACCCCTTCCACTAACAGAACCATCCAGACCTCGCCGGCGGCCTCAACTTCACCATCCTCGCCGTCCTCACCCTCTCCCTCAGCGGCGGCGGCTCGGACAGCCACCTGCACCCGCGCCAGCTCGTCGTCTCCCTCTTCATGATCGCCTGGTCGCTGCGCCTCGCCGGCTTCCTCTTCTTCCGCATCCTCAAGACCGGCAAGGACGACCGCTTCGACGCCATGCGCGGCCGCTTCCTCTCCTTCCTCGGCTTCTGGGTCTTCCAGATGCTCTGGGTCTGGATCGTCTCCCTGCCCGTCACCCTGCTCAACGCGCCCGCCGTCACACGCTACCCGCAGAAGGGCTTCGGCACCGGCCGCGACGTCGCTGGCGTCGTGCTCTTCGCCGTCGGGTTTATTCTGGAGACCGGCAGCGACCTGCAAAAGTACCGCTTCCGCGCGCGCGCCGACCGCGCCGCCGTGTGCGACTCGGGCTTCTTCGCGCTGTCGCGGCACCCAAACTACTTTGGCGACATAATCATCCAGTGGTGTACGTCCTCACCCCGCCCCCCCCCATAATGTTTTCTCTACCCGTGCCTGAGCTAACCAACACACAGCCTTATTCATGATTGCCGTGTCCGCCGTCGCCGACGGCTACGTCCAGGGCCAGGCTTACAAGGCGCTGTACGCCAGCATCCTCGGGCCGCTCTTCATCACGTTCCTGCTGCTCTTCGTCTCGGGTATGCCGCTCGCGGAGCGGCCCAAGGCCAAGGCGCGCTACGAGAAGGGCAACAACTGGGAGGCGTACCGGCGCTGGCTCGACCGCACGAGCCCGCTGATCCCGTTCCCGCCGCAGCTGTACGCCCGCACGCCCGTGTGGCTCAAGCGCACCGTGTTCCTGGAGCTGCCGCTGTACGTGTTCGACCCGGCGAAGCACTCGGACGTGGCGACGCCGGGCGGTGGCCGGGACGCCGAGGGCGAGAATGGGGGCGACAGAAACGAGGGACGGGAAAGTGCTGATCAGCGACTCGTTTAATGTTAATTGAATGTATAATGGGTGATTTTGTTAATGATGGCACAACAACTCTTTGAATATACGCCTTTTGATGAATTCTCCTGGTATCTCCCCTGCAACGCCACGCCTCAACTGTAATCGATTCACTCTCGGAACATCTTGACTTGCTCTCTCGATGCGTTTCCATCAATCCAGAACCGCCTGCGCCGACCCTTGCCCACTGCTGTCCGAGGAGTTCTCCGAGTACGATTCGGAGCTCTCAGGGATGGGCACCATGGCACTCTTGGTCCAGATGTGAACGGCCTTGGTCCAGTCAATGCCGGAGACGCAACCTCCTCTGACGGACACGACATTCTTGGACTGTTGGGGTGTAATGTGTTAGCTTGCTTGCATGTACCCCGTCTCGGCAATTCTCGACGTACATCTGTGCTATGCACGACTCTGGTACCGCAATTTCGGCAAAAGTAACTAGAAAGCGGTTGGAACAATTCTGCGATTAGAACAAGATTGTGGCGAAAGACTTGAAATTCCAGAGGAATGATCAAACTCACCAATACAGCGTCGCTCCCGTTGATGTCATTCGTCTGTGAGAAATTGAGACGATTAGCAATACAGCCTAGGCAAGCAGAGATGAAGAGATGCACTCACGTATAGCAGCTCAGAAGCTCAGACGGTGGCAGCTGAAATTTGGGAAAGATGGCCGACATGGCAAAGCCCGAGCTCGTCAAGGCCTTGCACTTGTCGCAGTGGCAGATGTAGGTGGCGAGCGGAGCGGGCAGTGGCGTCTTGAAGCGGACGGCGCCGCAGTGGCATCGAGCGTCCATGCTGGGGGATATCTAATTAAATGTAAATGATATAAAAAAGATGAGACCGACGGATGTCGACGGAACTTGTCGATGAAATTGACAAAAGGTCGGTGATGGAAAGAAAGTCGACGAGTGGACGCTAAGCGTCAGTAGTGAGTTGATGGATGAGAAAGGCAGGCTGTGGCGGGGTTCACGGGTGGTTGTGTTTGTTGAAGTTGTGCAGGTGGGGTTTATTTTTGCTACAATTGATGAAAGTAAACCTGAACGGAGTTTACACTTCAAATCTTATGACAAGGTAAAATGCCGTTGCTATTTATGTATTGTTGGTCACAATGACTCCCCCATTCACCACTCTCGCCTCCGATTTGCGGCTCTGCCGTGAATAACGCCAAGCCAGTCCCAGTTTTCTACATCAGCCCAGCAGCAGTGAACTAACATCAGGACAGCTTCTCGACGTGGTAATTGATAAACAAGATCTTTTTTTTCATCATGGGATGGTTAATGCTTTCGTATCTCGTTTGTTACCGTTGTGCATCCCGTCTTGGAAAAGATCTTTTGGATATGATGATGACGAATCCTCCATCTAGACGCCAGCCATTCGTAGTAACTATGGCACTGTAAATCACAACCCCCAGAAGAATAAACCACGAAAACGCCGTTGATGAGCCATGTGACTCTCCTAAGCACAATTGCTACATTTGCATCGCGTTCCCGGCCAGACCTCCCAGCTGTCGGCCTCCCAGTCCGCCAAACTGCCCACCGCCCGGTACACCTGGCTGCCCACCGCCTGGTACACCTGGCTGCCCACCACCGGTTCTCTCCGGCGGAATGCCGACGCCATCCAAGCCTCGCATCGGCGGACCGCCGCCCTTGCGCTCATACTCTACGTTCCGCGGGACGTCAAAGTCCGCCCGCGCCATGAACCACAGCAGCGTCTCCAACTCCGGTCCTCTGCGCTGCGGCGCCGCGCCACCGTCACCATTACCCCCGGGCACCACCGTCGCCATCACCTGATCCTCTCCCTCATCCTCCTCATCTTCCTCTTCCTCTTCCTCCTCCTCTTCCTCCTCGTCCTCTTCAATGTCCCTGCGCAGACCCGTCCGCACATTCTCTGTGCCCATCTCCCGCTCCGCCTTGGTGTACGCGTCGCCCGCCTCGTCGCGCACGTACGCCGCGATGCGGCTCTGCGTCCACGCGCGCAGCTCGTCCCACACGGCCTGCAGGTCCGCCAGCCCCGCCGGCGTCGCCAGCCGCGACGCCTCGCGCCCCCGCGCCACCAGCTCCTCCACGTCCGGCTCCAGCTTCTTGCGCAGCAGCTGCGTCAGCACGTTCTCCTGCGCCCGGCCCGGGTAGTTGGTCGACGGGCGCACGGCGACGCGCGAGAACAGCTCCGCGTTCTCGGCGGCGCAGTCCAGCACCGTCTGCAGGTTGCGCTGGAGGATCTGCGCCGAGGCCCGCAGCGAGTCCCTGGGGTATGGGGTCAGCAAGGAGACGCGCGCGGGGGTGGGAGAAGAGGGGATTGGAGCGACACTGCTTGGCCTGCCGTGTTCATGGGATATCATGGGACGTACGGGTGCGGAAGAGGGTTGCTCTTCATTATGTCCATCTTCAAGCTCTGGATGCTGCTCGACAGCTGCGCCAGCCGCGAGAGGATCTGCTCCACCGACTTGAGCTCATCGTCGTCCAGCCCGGGCGCCATTGTCTCTTTCGCGATGCGATGATTGATATTTAGATTCAAAGGCAAGGGCCTGCCTTGCTTGTGCGCGGCTTCTTTTCCAACGGCGGTTAGGAAAGGCTGGGTGTTGTATGGGGTTGAGGTTGAAGAGCGACGTGGGTCTCCAATTTCTAGTGGCGTGGCACTGAGAAGGGCGCCTATTAGGCGACGCCGTTACACACACAGCGCAGCCCTGGCCGACGTTAGACCCTTTTATTTAATCACAAAAAGCTACAGTCTTTAATTTTGAGCTTTAAAATTTATTGATTCATAGGCTCCTGGAAGCACTTCATCATGGTATCTTGAATATCTCGCTATACAAAGGAAATATGGTGCCAACTTTCCTCCTCAAATTGATCCGTAAAACGCTACGAGCGCAGCCATTCGCACCTACATGTCTTATCCTTTTCTTCTTTCGCTTTTAGCCACGGGTAGAGCTGAACACGCCGCCCTTGTTAACCTCCTGGCCGTGCGTGTCGACAAACGGGAAGCGAGCCTTCCGCTCGAGGTCGTCGAGAGGAATGGTGGAGCGAATGTACTTTTCGCGGCCGTCATCGTCAGGGTTGTGGTCCCAGCTGGTGAACTTTCCAAGCTTCAGGGCATCCCAGACCAGGCGGCGGCTGCGCTGAGACGCCAGGACGTTTTCAGTGATTTCGGTAAAGTTCCAGCGGGCCTTGGCCTCGGCCTCGTACTTGTCAAAGACGGCCTTGGCCTTCTTCTCGTCCTCCGTCTGGGGCTCAACCTTGCCGAAACGCGCCAGGTTGTCGAGCTCATCAGGATCGATGTCGAGGTTGTAGAGCTGGGGCTTGTCCGCAGGGCAGGTGATGTACTTCCAAGGACCACGACGAATCATCATCATGGGCGCCACCGTGCCTTCGCCAGTGTATTCAGCATACACGGTGTCATTGCCCGTCTTGCCCTCAAGATGGGGCATCATGCTAACGCCATCCATGGGCAGATATGGTGCCGGTTTGACGCCGATCAGGTCGCAAATCGTCGGCAGCAAGTCCAAGGTGGACACATTCTGGGTTACGCGGTGAGGCTGGAACCACTTGGGATAGTTGACCAGCAGAGGAACTCGGACAGACGACTCAAAGTAGCTCATCTTGTACCAGAGGCCACGCTCGCCGAGCATGTCGCCGTGGTCGCCACTGAAGATGACAATGGTGTCCTCGGACAGACCAGCCTCATCCAGAGTTTCAAGGAGCTTGCCGATACAGTCATCGACGTAGCTGACCGAGCCGTAGTAGGCACGCTTGGCACGCTTGATCTGCTCATCGGTGAAATCCCGGTCCCACAAGTCGCATACTTTCAGCAGGCGCTGGCTGTGCGTATCGAGGTCCTCCTTGGCCATGCGGACCTTGGGAAGGGCAATGTCGACATCTTCATAGCGATTCCAGTACTTTTTTGTGATGGTGTAGGGGTCATGAGGGTGGGTAAGGGAAACAGTAAGGGCAAAGGGGCGCTTGTTAGGTCCCTCGCGAACGTGGTCCCAGAGGTACTGAGTGCTGCGATACATGACCTCTTCGTCGTAGTCCAGCTGGTTGCTGCGACCGCAGGGTCCAGCTTGGAGAATGGAGCTGGCGTTATGGTACCACTCGAGGCGCGTGTCAGGCGCATCCCAGTTGACGGCCCAGCCAAAATCGCCAGGGTAAATGTCGCTGGTCAGACGAGACTCATAGCCGTGGAGCTGGTCGCCGACAAAGTGCATCTTGCCGGCCAGAACGGTGTGGTAGCCCTTGCTTCGCAGATAGTGGGCGTAGGTAGGAGTTTCCGAGTTGATCTGGGAGGCGTTATCGTAGGCGCCAATCTTCATGGGAAGAAGGCCGGTAATCATGCTCATGCGCGAGGGGGCACAGAGGGGAGAGGGGCAATAGGCCGAGTCGAACTGGACAGAGCTCTCGGCTAGACGATCAAGGTTGGGTGTTTTGATTTGAGAGTTGGGGTTGTACATTTTGAGTTGAGGGGCAGCGAGCTGGTCGGCCATGATGTAGAGGATGTTGGGCTTGCCTCTGCCGTTGGTGGCAGCGCTGCCGTCGACGATGGAGTTGAGATCGGGAGCCATTGTGCAGAGAGAGATCTGCGAGGCGAAACAAGCTGCTGAATGATATGACGGTGAGAATTAAGAGAGGCACGATGGCACTTTTGCTCTTAGAAGATCAGTTGGGGCTTGCTAGGGGTCTAGACCAACACCCGTTGTCGCTTGCGCTCAAGCGAGGTAGCAACTTTTTTTCAGCAGGCAAGAAATGCTGCACGCACAGCAGAGAAATAGGTAATTGAAATAAGGGTAGGTAGAAGAGCTACTTTTCCCCAGTAGTACAAAAGACCAGTTCCTCTGGAGCGACGCTTTCCTCTTCCTTGACAAATAGACAGCACAACAACAGAGTAGCCCAACAGAATAGCCCAACAGAATAGGTCTTGGTGAATGAGACGACGACGTTGGACTTTTCAGTCAGGTAAAGTAATGCAGTACAAGAGACAATGGGCTAATGTAAGTAAAGAATAAATGGAATAGTCGATTGCCTGGTAGAATGAGGACAGGATCGGTAACTGGGGAAGATTGTGGAGGGAAGGGGGGACTAGACGACGGCAGCGGCGATATTTATCCTTGGGAGAAGGACGGTCGATCGGACTCCGGACCCGGGGTGTGCAACGCCAAGGCGAGAAGATGGAGGGGTGTTTGCCTGCTGTTATGCACATAGCGAAGGCGAACCTGCGTAGAATGATAAATAACTGTATATTTTGGATTAGCGCATGTGGGTTTGTGTCGTCTTGTTGATTATCAACCTACCAAGCGCTTGTGTGCCCAGGCTGCAGCGATGTGTGCTGGTGCGTGGCCCAGCGTCAACCGTGCACTGTGCAAGGGATGAGGCGAGTCACAGACACTGTGTATGGAGGCTAGGGGTTCACAGTCAGATGGCGCAGGAGAACCTCGCGTTAGTGCATATTGGCTGTTCAAATATTCGACGCCTTCAGCCCAAGTACGGATACTAGGCGAGGCGGTGCCGGTACGGGAGCCAATAAGCCACAGTGTTGGGAACTGCCCAGACTGGAATGGTGTCTCGACGATTTGTCCTGTGTTGGCTCCCCGCTAGGCCTGTTATTGGATTTGAGTCGCGTGTACTTGCAGGGACCAGAAATGTCCGTTGATGGGAAGCAATAGGAAAGGGGAAAAGGGGAAAAAAGGTAGATGATCTTCCAAGGGGCTGAGATGAGGCCGGGTTGTGATGCCTGTTCGCTGTTGTCAGATTGAGACTGCGGTTGGTCGCAGCTGTTCGGCTGTTTGTATTGCTGACTGTGCAGCGCAACTGCCCATTGGCGGCTGGGCAGTGGCCAAGGGCTGCTGGGCGTTTGCTTACCTCTCCCTCCTACATCTTACACCGGATTTCGCCTTTATCATCGCCATCATTGCTGACTATCTCAATCGTCCATCCAAATATCCCTTCATCCTTCCCAATCTCGACCCCCGGGCTTGGGTCACGCGCCATGCCGCCTCATACTCCCTGTCTCATACCCTTGCCCCCGGCGTCGGCACACCAAGAACGGCGGTGTGACCACCATCCAGGTCAGCAGCCAAAATACGATGCCCACCAAGGGCCACCGAGTACGGATCAAACAAGAAGCCCACATAATACGCCTCTTTTAAACGTAGCGTTAGCCTGAAGGGTTCTGCCAACGCCACTCCCAACACAAGGTGTCACGCTGCCACTGCAGTTGCTCGATTTGGCGCCAAGCCTCCTGTGGTTGGCTACCCGACTATTTCTCGACGACGGTGTACTCCGTACCATGACGGTGAACAAGAGCGAGCAAGAGCATACTGGAAGCAAGGGTCCGATCCGATGCATCCAACAGCAGGAAGCGACTGCTGATCTCGACGAGCACCACAGCTCTACAGCTCAGAGCTCAGAGCTCAGAGCTCAGAGCTCAGAGCTCAGAGGCAGGAAATCCCAATCTTACACACATACCCGCACAGGGAAGATATGCAGTGGGGGCGCTCCCTTACACACCCTGAATGCCCTCGTTGGTGGGCTGCGACTTTGCAACACCACACCAAACTAGTCTATACAGTATGGCTACACTGTATAGACTATTCGAACGACTCTTTCGTTATTCTTTGCTCTGAGCACGCGACTTCGGCTCCTGCCAGTCCGATGCCGATATCCAAACATGCCTCCGAGCCGTCCGAGCCTTCTTCGCATCGTCCGCCCTCTTGTCTCCTTTGCTGGACGACACAACATGGCCACCATACCAGCACCAAGCCAAACCTCCCAAGAACCGACGAGCCGCCTCTCCCTATGTTTTTGGTTTCAACTTCGCATCTAAGTCTGCCACAAATCCGAGTGGCCAATCAGCAGGACGATTTAGGTTTAGACCATTCAAAATCAGACGACTAGGCGCATCCGCGAGGTGATTACCTGCCTACTCTATTTCGTGCCCCAGAGCCCCCCCACCCTTTCTGCTCAACCACCCGAGATCCGCTAGCCCCAGGTCCGCCGACAACCACGCGCTACCGTACCCCGAAAAGTTGAAACACATCTTGGCCCGGAGCCCCGTTCTCCGAGCAGTGGCCGGAGTTCAAGGGGATAATTGCAAGCGTATGCACGTTCGAGCGTGATATGCCCTTGGCTCTGCATGCGCAACCATCTTCCGTCCCGGTCCGGCCCCGAAAAGCCAACTCCCGTCCGTCCGCCCAATCGACGCCGACATCTAACAAAAGTAAAAATAAAAAAAAGGAGCGGTTTGGACAGCGCTCTGACGTCAGACAAAAGTGAGAAGCCTTTCACGTGGTATGGCGCAACCGCTTTTGAACCACTTTAGCCCGCCAGCTTTAACTCTATATATCACGTCTCACGGATGCAGTGAGACTCATTCCAAGTGTAACTGTAATGCAAATTACCTGCCCATCGCCATTCTCCCTGTTATACACGTGTAGTAGTGCACGACATTGAAGATTTGGGCAAGCAAGGGAAAACATGGTCGCATTATAAACACCGACGAGAGCGGTGACAAGTGTAATAAACATATTGGTTGCGATGGGCCACTACGTCGTACAATTGTTATGTAATTTCTATCCATCGCGTATTTGCAAAATTGCTCACACTCTATCCCTCCTTTCCTCCCTGGAATTCGTATACACGGTTCGTACTTCTCATTCTCGTCCCTGTCCCATAATCACAATGCCAAATGTACGCCCCATTCTCTTGGAGCAGAAAAAACAAGCCTGCCTTCCTCCCTTGTACACAAAACGCATACACACAAAACTCGATAACACCATGCGACGAACAAACATCAAAACAATGTAACAAGAGAACAAAATCCGCGTCAACCCAAAGGCAGCGCGCTATGCATAAGCATAGAAGGAAAAATGCCGTGCAGACTCTGCGGTGTCAACAATACCAAAAGAGAAGAGAGAGAGATCAATGCCGTGAACCATCCATTAATGCCCATGCTTTATGCAAGCACCCCAAGAAACAGCTCTGGAGGCGTCCAAAATTAAAATGTAGTTGAAGCTGATAGTCGTGAAAATGCCAAGCCAGCGCTCGTCCATGTTTACTGAGTTCGGTAAAACTTCTTGTACACCAGGTGCAGCAAGAGATTGACGTTGAGCTTGAGGTTGCCCTCGAAGAGGTGCATAAACTGATGGGCCTCAAACTGCGCCTGCAGCAAATCTTCAATGCTGACAACGGCACTGGCTCCGGGCATCTGGATATGACCGCGCGTGCCCTCAATGACGAACACGCCCACCTGATCGCAGGAAATAGTCACATTGATCTTGTCCCAGTCCGACATGCCCTTCCACGTCACGAGCACACCCTTGTCTGAGAGCGTCCGCGCGCTGTACATGTAGCTGCCAAACTTCGGCACCTTGCCGCTGCGTTCTAGTTCGCGCTGATGGTTGTACTGCTTGGTGAATGGCATAAGGAATCGTTTTTTGCTGCAGCCAAGTTAGTATGGCCTCGTTTTCTGAGCCTTCTGCCTGGACTTACCCCTTCTTGTTTTGTAGGGTCATCATGGCCTGCTCAATGTAATCGTCATAGCTCTTTCTTTGTTGCTCCAGATATTTGGCTTTCTCGTGGAGATTGCCCAACGTCAAGTTGACACCCTCAAGCTCGCGTTGCCTTTGGACTCGGCGTCGGCTCTTGGAACGGATGTCGCTAGCAATGGCATTGAGAATGTCTTGGTAGTTGTTGTGCTTGGATATTCTGCCCATCTGTTCGAGGTGCATCACGTTTTCAAGAGCTGTGCGTTTGAGTTCGTGATACGACATGCGCGTCACGTCAACCATGTTGGAATCAGCGTACGCGCCGTGGCTTCCATTCGAAGCAAAATCTTCTTGAAGCAGTGAGGCCCATTTGGCGTCATCCTCCTCTGTAATGGGTTTGACGAGAATCTCCAAAAGATTCACGCCAGTCTGTACACGAATAATGTACAGCACACAGCGCTTCGTTTCCATAAACAGAGCTTTGACCTCGGCATCTGGGTCTTCAACGTTGTGCAACCTGGGTGTTAAGAACATTTGAATATCGGACGACCCAGCGGCGCTCATCTCGCTCTCATTCGTCTTGGCGCTACCCAGGTCCTGGATGATCTCGCGCAGCACGTCGTCTCTCGAGGGGCACATAAACGGAAGTTGTGAAACAATAAGGTTGTGAATGGCGAATACATCAGCCATTTTGATGTAAAGAGTTGGTTTGTTCTTGGCGTAGAGGTCGTTGAATTCGTCAATGTCGAAGGTGCTCTCAGCATCCGGCACAGAGATGAGCTCGCTCATGATGTGACGCAGGCGTTCAATGGATTCGGCTACAAAGGCATTCAGAGGCTGCAAGTAGACGTTCTCACCACCAAATGGTCGGCCAGAAGCAATTTGGCCAATAACCTTCGCCACCTCGCCGAGGTTGCGCTTCTGGAGGGGGCTCAACGTCTTCTCAATAACGCCAACATTCTCCGGCGAAACAATAGCCGGCTGGAGATAGAACTTCCAGTACCAATTTGTCACATGTTGGAGAAGAATGTCGGGTGAGTCGCGGTTGAAGTGCTGACGCAGAGACTCAAACATCTGCCGGCAGAGAAATCGAAGACCATAGGGAGTCTTGAAGACGTGATCCTCCATCGCGAGGAAGAATTGATCACAGATTTCTCTTAGATCTCGGAGATGATCAATGAAGAGTCGGCGAGTTTCCGGATCGCGGATCGCAACCTCGCGTGGGACGTCCAGCGGCCTGCCGTCCGGACGACCCGTGCGCAGCTCTTCGTTATTGATGGCAGCTCGATAAATTTGCATCGGATCACTCTCCAAGTCCAGCACAGGATCCTCCACAATGTTGTCGCGTACCAGTGGCCCAAGAAGACCTCGCAAGAACTTGCGGTCTCGTGGCGATCGCGTATAGTTAGCCAAAAGCTTGGACCAGAAGAATGTACCGCGCTGGTATTCCTGGATGCTGCGATTGCCTTCAATTTCTTCACGTATGGAACGAGCAATGAGCTTGAGCAGATAGTACTCTTCACGACGCTTCTGCGCATAACCAAACATAGCCATGACCAGAAGTTCAATCCGCTTGCTTTCGTTGTCGGGTGTGCCTTGCTCGCGAAGGTGCTTGAAGAGACGGGCCAGATATTGGGATTGAGTCTGGAGGCAGAAGAACAGCTGCTGGTAGGATTCGAGCTTCTTTCGTGAGCCCTTGTTTAGAGCCTTGAGGTCGAATTGGTTGGATGAAGAGATGGACGAGTTGGCCAACATTCCCATAGATGAGCCGCCGCCGTAGTTGTGCTGGTGTGAAACGACTTCGTCCAGAGTGATCTTGTTCTTTACCAAGAGAGCGATCTTGATGTCGAGCTGGTCGATGTACTGCTCCAACATTTCGTTTTGGCGCACTTGCTGCACCACAGTCTTGCGCATGCGTTCAAATTCCACTTCTTCGTTGAAATCAAAGTCACTGTCATTAAGCAAGTGAACAAAGTTCTTGACGGCATTGACCGGTGGGTTCTTTCCCGTCGTTAGGCTCCTGTAAGCCTCGCCCTGTACCTTGGCGCGGACAAAGCTCTGAATCTTGATGACCTTTTGCATGTTCTCGTTAAAGTAGCGCTTCTTCTCTTCGAAGCGAGCACGAACGAGAAAGGCTCTGACGGCGGATTGGAGCTCAACAACGGACTCTTCCTCTTCGAAAAGCTCAGTCAGCAGGTCATCAACACGGGCACGCTCCATCATTGCTTTGAGGATAGCCTGGAAAGCAGCTGTCTGAGCGTTGTGAGAAGCCAGTGCTTTCATGAGAGTTTGGTGCTGTCGACGGTAGTTGAATCCGCGTATGCGACTCTGCAAACTCGTAACTATCGGGTTTTCGCGGTCCAGCTTCTTTTGAAGAGCAGCGACACTTCGTCTCTCAAACATGCCTCTAATACGGGATTGTAATTCGACGGTGCCCGGCTCGTTAAGGTGGAGGCTATCCAGCTGACTTGCTATCTCGCATCGAACGGCTGCTGCACGGATAGCGGCCTGAAGTTTGCCAATGTCGAGCGAGTGGCGCTTGACTTCAATCTGTGTGCCAAGATGCTTGGCCCTCGCTGCCTTTCCTCTGGCCAGACTTTGAAGCATAGTCAATGGAGATGTGAATGATTCCATTGCATCCCGTTGGCGAGAAATCTGATTCCTGGTCAGCACAGCCCTAGCTGCCGCCTGCAGTTGCACAGTTGCTCCGTCAAAGCTTTCTAAGAGATGTCGTTGAGCGTCGAGTTGGCCTCTTAGAAGCGTTCCGCGTGCAAGTGCCTGCAGCTTGAGGACATCTCCAGAGGCTTGCTTTGTCTCGCGCTTCTGCACAATAAGGTCTTTGCGAATTAAGAAGCCTCTAGACATCGCCTGAATCTCCCGAACCGCTCCTTCGGATCGCGACATAACACCAGTTACATCTCGTACCTCATTCCGGACTTTGTTAGCCCGGATCATGCTCTGGAGAGCCAGAACATCGGGTTCGATGGCCTTCCAGCAGCGGTTGTTATTCTTCATGCGTTCTCGGATGAGGAATCCTCGTGCAGCACTCTGAACCATGATTGAAGAGCGACGCATTTGGAGCCTATATCCCATAATTTGTCTCGTAAAGTCGCCGCGAATACATGCTTGCAGGTCGATGAGCGCGCGTTCACCGTCCCAAAGATGTTGCATGGTGTTGCCAAGACGTAATCTTGCAAGGGCACCACGTATTTGAGCTTGCAAGTCTGTGATTTGGGCGGTCTGCTCAGCCAATTCACGGTCGATTCTCTCTTCTTCGGTTTCTTGTGGCTCGGGTTCGGGGACGCCAAAGTCTGCACCCATGTTACCAAAGCTCGGCATGTTGGCACCCAACTTATCCAGTCCCTTCTGCATTGCTTCAAGTTCATGGTGCTCAAACTCAAGCTGGCCGACCAAGTTGCCTATGCGGAAGTCTACTATGCCTTTTCGGAACAGCAGCCAGCTGAGCGCGTGGATACAGTATATAACTTTGGGGATGTTCTTCTTCTCGTAGAGATCAATGAGTTCGAATCGGAAAAGGTCGGGCATCTCTACCTGGTCTAGATAGCGAAAGAAGATGGCAATGTTGTCGGAGTGTCGGAACTGAAGCTTCGGGTGACGGAAAATGCGGTAGTGCCTTTCGGGATTGAGGGCTTCGACGACTTCGGCGAGTGTGACACCGTCGCGAAGTGCCTCTTCAAGCTCGACAATGGGCGGCAGAGTCTTGTTGGTAACATCCTCTATCCACTCGCGTGCCTCGCCGATGTGGCAAAGATACTCGTAGGCTTGCAGAAACTGACGCTGCTTATCCATCCAGTTGCGGCCTTCCCATCCGTATGCGTTAGACTTGGTTGCTTTGCCAGCAGCTGGCTGTTCAGCACGCTGAAGTTTGCGCCGGCCGCGGAGGCCGACGACTTCCTGCGTGGGCGAGGTAATGACAAAGTCATCGGCGGTATTGGACTGAGCAAGCCTAGAAAGAGTGCGCAACTGTGTTGTGGACGAGCGGCCAAGCTGCTCGAGCTCCGGTGCTCCAATGTGAGCACTGCTGCTGGGGATAGCAGCTCCACCTCCACGGAGAATGGAGTCGGAGCGAGTCAGTAACATCGAGTTTGGTCGCATCGATGACATGCGAGGAGGTGATACCGGTGAAGCTGGTCCATCGTGCTGGGAAATAGACAACTTGGACATGTCGACGCTCTGGCCGCGGAGGTGGCGCAGCTTTTGCTCTGGCGATGGGGATGGCCGGGGGAGAGAGGCAGCTGGGGCTTGAGGCAACTGGCGAAGTGAAGGGCGAGTCGACGCCGCATCCCTAGTTGAGCCGTTCATTTCGCCGGATTCGAAGAGTCGAGCGCGGGCAATAACATCGCTTTGGCCGCGTCTATGGGTATGCGTGGGGGTAGTTGGCTTGGGAGGTGAGTAGCCGCTCGAGAGCGACGAGTATTGAGTATTCTGGGTCTGGTCGGAGGCGTAGGAGTAGCCAGATGAGGCAGAGGACGACGTGGTGGAGAGTTGGCGAGAAATGTTGCTGTCGGGAGGCACCTCGAGGGTATGCGACTGCCTCAGAGGATGGGGGCGAAACATGGCAGCCAGGCTTGCTCCGGGCAGTAGAGCCGGGAAAGCGAGGGTATTGACGTTGTATCGCTAAGTTGTCGGCTCAGTTGCTTGAATATGGCGCAACTAGTACATCTTCCTAAGCGTCTAGGAGTGAATTGGCTGTGCAGTGGAATGCAAAATAGAGGGATTGTCGCAGTATGTGCTCTCTAAGACATGCGCGCGCGCGCGCGAAGCAGCAGGAGCTTGGAACGGGTAAACGAGGTGTTGGTTGAGAGCGGCGATATAGGCAAACAGAGGCTGCACAGGCTGCACGACGCGACGGCTAGGAATGTTGGAAGGATGACGACGGGTAACACTGAGCCACCGATGCCGTCACAAGCTTTTTGGGGAATACTGTACTTGGATGCAGGCCTAGCAATTAGGTAGCAGGCCACAAGAATGGGCCGGGCAGGGGGGGAGGGGAGGGTGAGATGCGAAGAGCAAGGACCACATCGCGGGGTTGTTGCACCTGGCAGCCCAGGTTTTTGGTGGATTGGTAGGCGGCTAGCAGAATGTAAACAAACAACTAGGCGACGGCGTAGCAACGGCTTCATGGCAGGCTCTCATTGGATGGTGAGCTAGCCGAGACCCGCTTTTCAAGCACGGCTTATTCGGTGGTCTCCCTGCTTTTATTATGCCCTGCGTCCGACCCCTTCCCATGGGCTCAGTCCAAGGCTCAGACTTGCAGCACACTTGGCCACTCGCTTACGACTCCAACCTCTTTGTAAACGAGTCTCTGCAAACGTGGGCCACTTGGTTGCCGAGTAGAACCTGAATTCCGCGTATTTGTTCTGGCAGCTCTTTTGCCAATATTGGAATCTATTATTTGCACGAGAAGTACCCTTACCGTACGCAGGCACATGCGTATTCATAAAAAAGTATCATTTTATGTAATAACATCCAAATATATGGTTTGATGCAATATCTCAGTATACCAACGCTATTAACGACTGCGTATACTTGTATGCGTCAACAGATATTTCCTTCCGTGTCCGGATATCAAAACACGCAGAAAAAAATCTTAATATAACTTTTTGGGTACCTAATTATAGAGTCTAGAATAATTTGAATTAATTCTTCTATGTACGTCTTTATATCCATACAGACTTGTCTTTTTATTTTCTTCTCTTAAACTTCAATATTAGATATAAACGACATGTGCCTAAAACTTCAAGAGGAACGTGGCCATTTAATCAATAGAATATCAATAGAATATAAATAGAACATCAATAGAATATTAAACTGATGTCTTCTATTCTAACTCTTCTTTCCCCAGCCATGACCGTTGAGCTTTAAACTCCAAAGGAGAACTTCTTTCAACGGCCATGGCTTCGTTTGATAATACCCTAGCTTGATAACATAAAGCAGCACCTGAATTAGTGCAACTAAGCTTTACTGTAAAGCTTCGCCGAGGCGGTTGGCAATATCCTCCAAGACCTGGTTCTTCTCCCGGCGTCGTTGTCCCTAGGTTTGGTACTTTAGCTTGTATATCTTGATCATTCCAGGGTCGCTACGTCCCTTACCTATGCTTCCAACCTAGCAGGTGCGTCAGCTGCGGCCTGGACGGACTCTTTATGGAGGTCCACCAATTGCTTGATCAAGGCTTGCTCCTGGTTGACCCTGCCCGTCCACACAGCCTGTCGGTCCGCCTGGTCCTTTAGAGACTCCTCAGTCGAAGCTTTGCTCTTCTCGACAAAGTCTTGTAGGTCGCCGAGCGCTGCCTTTGCGTCGTCAATGTTCTCTCGGGTGTTGATCAATGGGGAGGCTACAGCCAGCCCAGAGAAGAGAACAAGAATAGCGCTCGAGGCCTTCATTTTCAGAAAGATGTTGGGTATGAGTGTAAAGAAGTGGGAATTGTGATAATTGTAGTTGGGTGCAAGTTGTGATATCGCAGTCTGGTGTCTGTAAAAGCTCGGGGGGGGGAGGGGAACTATATATAGTTGTACGAGGGCCACAAGTCGAGGCATTCTCACCGTATTACAGCCAACGTACTGAGAGGAGGCTATTATGCCTTGACGCTATGATACCTTGAGGATGTTACGCTACAATGCTATGATGCCATGGTGCCTGAATACCATAACGTCGAGATACTATCATGCGGAGATGCCATGATGCCATATTGCCAAGATGTGGCTATTACTGCAAACTATTTTAGTATCATGACGGACGCTAGTTCTGCCTTACTTCGGGCCGAATTTGTCATTGCTTTTTTAAATGTCTAAATACACGGTGAATATTTTCTGTGGGAAGTGCTGCTAGGAAAGCCCAAATCACAAGGCTGATGTTCCTGGATTAGAGGCGGTCGCGTAGCATTACCATTTGTGTAATAATGAATCACGATACTTGGGTAAAAACCTGTGGTTGAAAGTGAGGATGAATAGAAGTGCTTTACCCTCCATCTTCGGCCATCCCTACCACTTCGGTATATCATCGAAGCGCGATTGAGGAACTATGTACATGCCACTTCGATTGAGCGGGCGATCGCTGCTGAATTTGGCGAGTTTGGCAGGTCATGCATATGAGTTGCCATGCAAGAGCACGGTCTTCTTTGCATATGAGGTAACATAAACTGACTTGTGGTCACGGTTATAAGAAAAGCTTATTGTTGCTAGCTGGCTGTCAGCCATTTCTCTCTTTAGTTGGAACTTTTGAGACATGGAGCGTCCAGCTTAACCCGTGTCAGTGGATCGGAACTTTTTCCGCATTTTGCCCGTTTCTTCCAAAGCGTTTCATGCAATAAAGTCCCGGCTAAAACGAAACAAAAGTCTTGCCTTGCCGTTCATATAAATCATTGCTTTTACTACCAACTGCACCCCCACGCAACCAGCAAGTACCCCACTACTATCGTATTAGAGCCCTAGCAGATATTACGTTTAGTACGGATATCCGTGGGTAGCTTGGCGATGGCGAAAAGCTGTCAAAGGTCAAAGCAGAAGGAAGTGGCGCCACAAGCAGGACAGCACTTTCCGATCCGTCCAGCAGCAAGTGGAGCAGCCTAAGTTACTACTGGTTAAGAAAGCTTCTGGGGGGTGGGCTCCCTATTTTATGCACGTGGCACTATGACTATAATAAAATAACTCCAACTTCTGTAACTAAAGAAAGATGCGACTTATGTCTCTGCATTCACTATGAGGTTGCACAAGGTAAAGTCCTTATGTACGAGGACCATGGGCAGTGCCATGATGGCGTCAAGAGAGGCCAGACGTAGCCTTGCAGTGGCTCCCTGCATCGGCGATACCGGGGCGTTGGGCAGCGGGTCGGCAGTGGAATGTCTTGAACACTATTAATAATAGTTGGGTAGATGTGGGAGCCTAACGGCGAGAAAATTACTCTGCTGTGCACAACGTTTTTTCCAAACAAAAAAAAGAAGATTTCTGGCTGACGGCACTTCAGATATAATGGACCTAATTCGAGGCCGCTGTGATCGGATATCGCGCTCCGTTTGCATCTGGCGCGGATCTTGCGCGACTCGTACAGTGCATTACTACTGTGCAAAAAGGCTCACTCCGTCCATTCGCACCGTGGCTATATATCAGAGTCAAGTTTGTCTTTGCTCGTTTGCACACATGTCAAACATAACATTTCCGTCGTATACCCGGAGCAGCACAACCATGGTGACGAGACTGACCATTGAAATGATCAGGAGTGCCGTCTCCGACGACCATGACCATATGTTCCGGGACAGGTCGCGATGGTGGCGATTTTTCGACTGAAGCATGTTGAACAAGATTAAAAGACTCAGAATTTTTGTAAGTTGAAGTTACTTTACAGGTGAGAAGCAACTCTTCATGGATATATATACCTCTCAAGTGTGTCTCAGCCTGCCTGCAGACGCCGTGCTCAGCGCTATTATTAGACATGAGAGTAGCCCCCAATAGCAGGAGATCTGTGTAGCGCTCAGAGGTGATGGTACCTGATCGAGAATCTGCGGCAAAACCCAGTTTGTATTGTTATAATGGAAACTGGCTCAGCTAATTGACCGTCTGCGTGCATCCATGTTTTGGGGTTCGCGAAGGCACACTTCTGCGGACTACTGAACATGGTTGATGAAGTCGACAACCACCGTCGCTACATAGGTACAAGATATCACTATCACCACGCCAAGAGCTAGGGTATTCTGCATGATGCAGCATGATGTGATAGGCCTTGCGTCAGGCAGACTGTGCATAGTTCACAATACGCGCCCAGCTCACAAGCTTCTTTGTTCAATTTGGGGGTTCCGGAGGAATTACGCTAACCTGTCTGAAAAAGTTAGTAACACGACATGAGCGTGTGTTTTACATAGGTAAGTTGTCAGCGGAGAGGTGCAACGACAAGTTGGACATGTAACTTAGCGTCAATCGAGTTGGCGCCGCAGTCGGGTTCTGTTGTATTGTGGCTTGTATGCACGTAGTTGACTGTGAGCTGTGAGCACCAGCGCAGGCTCGTCGGAAAGAAATGGTGAGTTGCTTGGCGGGAAACAAGGAACAAAGTCGCAGATTCCACTGGCACGGCGTAACTCTCAACGCGGTCGTGGCCGTGCTGTCAGTCATCTTGAAAGCTTCCCTGACCGCCATGGCAGCGACCTGTCTTGGCCAATGGAAATGGATTCTTTTCAGCAGTGCAAAGCGCTGTGTCTTGGACTTTGAAAGGCTTGACATTGCCAGTCGTGGTTCATGGGGCTTCTTTTCTGTATGCGCTCGCAGACATGTGTCGTAAGTTCCGTGGCCGTCGCTGACCATGCTTCAGCTAACGTGTGACTTACCTAGACATGCAGCTAAATTGGGCTCTTTCATTATGCTAATAGCTCTTGCTTTGGATCCTTTCTCTCGGCCGCTCATTCAGATTAAGACGGTATTTGTTTACACAAAGCTGTCGCGGGGCGTTCTTCCACTCCCGCGCACCACCAGCTACGTGTCAGGCAGACTCACGGAGACTGGTCCGAGGGACAAATTGTATGGATCGACGGAGGAATACTCCCAAGTCAAAGCGGAAATCGATCCCGCTTTGGAGGCTTCTATTCTTGACGGCCTCTTCAACGACAACACTAGGTTAGGAGGCAGACGTCTCTACATGCCATGCCAAGGTGGCCAATGTCGGTGGCCCAATTTCACCACCGCCGGGGTCTGCAACAAGTGCAACGACATTACGTCAAAGCTCACTCGCTATGATAATTGGGCTCTCTCAGCCCCTATCGGATCTCCTACGGGAACCTTCATGTCGGCGTATTTTCTGCCCAACGGTGCGTTTCTTGTTAATCTGGATGGTGATTTCAAAGTCACAAACCCTATCAATATCATGAATGACTACTTCGAGGTCATTGGGAGTGGATTGTCGTTCCAGATGATGGGCTTTGCTACAGGTGACCCGGCCAAGACCGCATCCATGAGAGAGCTCAAGACATTGATCTGGTCGCTGAGTGCGGTGCGGTTGAATTGGCTTGCTCTTGCAGAAAAAGAGAGAATCCAATTACACTCTCTCTTGGCCAAACATTCCGGTCATTGCCACTGAATGCGCATTGTATTATTGTGGCCTGGAGATCGCATCAAAGGTCACCAATGGTACCCTATTTGAAATCGAGCAAGAGCTGGAGCTCATCCCCAGCCCAGATTCGTACCAAGTCACTGCAAAGGCGCTTTTCCCAACCCTGCCAACAAATTTCAGCGACAGCTTAGAGTTTGACCCTATCACGTCCGCGATTGGAAGAACAGACCTCAAGCTACAGAGCCCTAGAAACGCATCGGAGGTATTCTCTTTCGGCGCAGACACAGTTAAAAGTATCAGCAGCTATTTCCAGTCAACATTTCAATCAGATAAAAACTTGACGAATCGGATGGGGCCAGAGTCGGTCACCGTGACCCTCCAATCGGCCGAGTATCCTAGCGGTAGAACCAATCTGGCCATCGCGGTGGCGTCCGGTCTGCCGCCAAAGTGCAGGGCTTTCTGGTTGGGGTATTTAGACGTACCGGAAAAGTTCGGAGTGTTAGCGAGGAGCATGACCGATGCGATGCGCACTTCTGGTTTTCAGCAATTACACAAGCCTGGAGATGTTAACCCAGAATTCGGGGAGCAAGAAACTGTGTACATGGTGCAATGGTGCTGGATGACCCTCCATATCGTTGTGATTGTGGGCGGGACGGCATTCTACATCGCGACGGTGGTTAGCACTTCCAAGGCCGAAAAAGCCTTCCAGTGTCTGGCGAGGAAGAATAGCTCCTTGGCTGTAAACAGCAAGGCGTCTGAGCTTGGAGCTTCGTTTGAACCTAGCGATTCGGTTGAAGAGTTGGAGCGAAAGGCTAGAGTGTTAACGGCATCATTTGATACCGAAGATGAGAGGTTGGCGCTATGAAATATTAGGCAGTTTCGCCTTCTTTTTCAGGGAAGCTAAATCACAATTATTAGCAAGATTGTAATAATTAAATTCATGTGAAAACAACAAAACATGCATCGCTTCCAGGGTAGGTAACTAGTCCCGGGTAGCGTCATGTACGATGCCCATGTGGGGATGCTCTGAAGTCATCACTGGCTGCTCGCAACGTCGGAACTCGACGCACTAAAAAGCTACCTTCAGCCTCTTCCAGTCCACGCCACTTTTAATGACGACAGCAAACGCTGCAATAGCAGCCCGCCATACTTTCATCCAGCTTCATCTCGACCGACCGACTTGCATGTTGAATGTTTTTCGATAATCGATGCCTTCCGACGCTTGAAACAAGAAACCCCCAAAATGTCTTCTGGAAATAAACAACGAGCGCCTTCTGTGCTGGTATGCGACCCTGTTGGACACGGCTGACTGCATCCAACTGCCGAATTTGCTATGCGCATAAAAGCTGACGTCGCATCAGGTCACCGACTCGAGAGCCCGCGAGAGAATCAACCAGCGACGCATACCGCAGCGTCCCGATGCCCTGTCCCGTTCTCCCGGGCGGGTGCCGATGCGATTCATGACCGTCGATAACGTCCTACAGTTCAGCTCACAAATCCCCTCCGGCCAGCCCCGAGGGCCTCCCGCGCCCTCCGCCGGCCTGCACGGCGCCGGGCCCGTCCACCCGCGCCGGGTCGTCTCCGGAGGCCTCCCCAACGTGCACTCGCGCGCGGGCCAGCCCATGCCCTCGCGCACGACCAAGATCAGCGAGAAGCTCGTGCTGCTGCCCGAGACCGCCGACGACAAGGAGGACGCCGAGGACGAGATCGAGAGCGACTCCGTGCTCGCGCGGCGCTTCCAGGCCGACGACGACCGCCCGCTGCGCGACGAGGAGCTCGACGTGCTGCGCAAGCGCGGCGGCATCCGCGGCAAGAGCTACGCCGAGCGGCTGCCCAAGAAGCAGCGCAAGGACAAGGTCAGCCGGCTGACGGCCTACTGCACCGCGCAGGCGTTCAAGATCAAGGCGACGGCCGAGTTCCTCAAGGAGAAGCACGAGGCCAAGACCAAGCTATACGACGACTGCCTGTACGTCATCTACGCGCTGCCACTGATGAACGGCACCGACGGCTACCGCGTCCGCGGCCGGCCCATACTCAAGACGCCCGGCACCGGCAAGACCGTGCTGGACCTGGAGATTGAGCGCACCGAGCAGCGCGGTCACCACGAGGGCTACTTTGAGGACGACGCCTACACCATGCCCGAGAGCCCCGAGCAGCCCAGCCACGTACGCCCCGGCACGCACGAGGTGTCGCCCGACGAGGCCGCCCGCCGCCAACAGGGCTTCCACCCGCCCGGCGACGACGACGGGGCCGCGTCGCCGATGGGTCGGCTGGCCGGGGGTCCGGCGCACGCCAAGAACTTTGCCGAGATGTTCGTCTTCTCGTATGGCGTCGTCGTCTTCTGGAACTTCACCGAGTACCAGGAAAAGGATATCCTTGCGGACCTCACATTCGCCGATGCTGAGGACGGCGTCAGCCTGCTCACGCGCCCGCTCGAGCAGCACGACTTCGAGACGGAGGAGTTTCACTTTGAGTACAGCGAGGAGGTCAAGCGCCCGCGCATCTTCAACGACATGATCACGCTCATGCCACGCTCCGACCACATGATCAAGCTGACCATCAGCCACGCCATCGCGCAGAGCACCAAGCTGTGCCTGTTCGAGGAGCGCCTCGGCGAGACCATGCTCGACGCCCAGGACGTGCCCAAGACACTGGCGCTGACGGGCGAGCTCAACATGACGAGGACCGAGATTGTCAAGATTCTCGGCCGGCTGTTCAAAAGCCGTGTCGATATTAACCTTTGTACGTTTTGGACTATCTGTTCTTTCCCCCTAACACCGTGCCCCCCTCTCTCCTTGACAATAAAAGCATGAGAGAAGCACAAAGAGAGATACTAACTCCGCACGTCCTTCTAGCATCCAACATCCTCGACGTGCCCAACTTCTTCTGGGACTCGGAGCCGACGCTCCACCCGCTCTATGCCGCCATCCGCGAGTACCTCGAGATCGACCCGCGCATCAAGGTGCTCAACGAGCGCTGTCGCGTCTTCCTCGACCTCGCCGAGATCCTCTCCGACTCGGTCAATGACGCCAAGATGAGCGCCATCACCTGGATCGTCATCGTCCTCATCCTCGTGAGCATCCTCGTCACCGTCACCGAGGTCGGCCTGCGCTTCGCCATGCTCGAGCGCAGCAAGCAGGCGGACAACGCCGGCGCCGTGGGCGTGCTGCTGCCCCCCGCTCCACCGCAGCTGCGCATCGGCCCGCCCGGTCATCAACAGCAGCAGCAGCAGCAGCAGCAGCAGCAGGTGGTCGGCCCGCTGGAGGAGCTGGCGCGCACGCTCGGCCTGGAAGCCAACGCCACGCTTGACGATGTCAAGGGCAGCATACGCACGCTGCAGGACGGAGCAGCAGCGGCGGCGGCGCCGGCAAGGGTGCCGGAGATGCCCGCGCCGGGCGGCATCAACGTCGACGAGCTCAAGTGAGAGGCCGACGCATAGCCGCAGACTTGACCGACTCGCGCCGGATTCTTTCGCTGTTGCCTTGGTCCTCTGCTCCATTTAATCGTCCCCTCCTGTACAGTCTTCTCTTTCAAAGCATAGCGACTGGTGTTTACTTCTTCATTCCCTCTATTTCTTTTTTCTTTCTTATTTTGCCGCCTTGTTCTCCTGTAAAAAGCTGATGTAGTTTCTTTAAAAAAAAGGCGTAATATGGACGACCAATTTAGCTGTCAGGGCTGTCCTCCATACTACCTTTCCCTTAACTTGGACCTGCATTTCTAGAAAAGAACACGTGGTTCACTCGTGTGCTCTGAGTCAATTTGTCAAAATGCTCATGATCCAACAATGAAGGTATTAAAGGCCATATGTATTGTATGCCCATGCATGCTATGCATAATGCGTCTATCAAATTTCCCAGTGCCAAACGAAAACTACGCACCCGTATATGCACTTCCCGTCGATGAGGGCGACAAACACTAATAAAAGATACAGTGCCCAATGTTGTAACGCCAATGTAGAAAAAAATGCTTTGCCTGATGTCGAGAGACACGGCCTGCTTGGTCCACCGAGGAAGTACGTGTGCTTTCCTCCCCCCTGGTAAGGTATCATAGAAACTCATCTGATCCTCAACATCGTTGACGTTGGATCCAGGATGACATGTATTATCCAAATGAGACGCAATCTTTGCATATGAAATAAAAAATGGAAATGCTTTTCATTCCACCAAATTATTGAGGAATCTTCTTGTAACCAGTCTGTTGTCTCTTCTTGTTGTCGAGTTCCGCTTTGCTGTACACAGCCGCACCGAGCATCGTAATGGCCATACCGGCACCCTTGAGTAGATCAACCTCAACGTTGAAGATGAATATGCCGAGAAGAACGGTCAAGCACTGCTTGAGGTTACCGCACACCGTCATTGTCAGTGCGCCGGCGAGTTTGTTCGTATTGAAGGATGAAATGTTGAGGAAGAAAGCAAGACATCCGTTGCCTAGCAAGGAGGTGAATGTCGCCAAGGTCGACATTTCCGAGTTGGCAAGGGCCTGACGGAAGCCATCCACTTCGCCTGTAGCAAAAGCGCAGATTAAAGCCTGCGCGGCTGCCATGGGGGACATTCGAATGAGGAACTCGACCGGCGGAAGGGCGAGGGAACCGGTCATGAAGCGATTCGTGACGATAGTCTAAGCGCGAGTTAGCAAGGGAAAATGAAACTTGGCAACAAGCCGGGGCGCACCTTGAGGGCGGCAAAAATGACGCCTAGGATTGTCAGCAGGAAGCCGGCATCTGAAAACTTCATTTCGCCTGCGGTAGTCATGGCTGCGCCAATGATTAAGGGGGCCAGAGACATGTACGTGAGTGTGCTGTAGGTACGGCCGTACCAAGCACGGAATATGAGAATAGTAAAGATGGGGCAAAGCATGCGCATGGTTTGGTAAAAGGGGACCGAGACCATGGCAAGTGACAGGTTGGATAATGCAATGTTGACAGTGAACAGGGCGCTAAAGGCGAAGAGAGCGAGGTTCTCACGACGTCCCAAACGCGAGAGTTTGAAATATCCCATGTGTAGCATGCCATATGTACCAAGGGCGGAAATCGAGGTATGAAGGAAGGTCAAGAGCCAGGGGAATTTGAACTAGAGAGCAAGCGTTAGTGGTGGCAGCGCAGGTAGAGGATGTCGTTGGTAGTGCATACCACGCCCAAGACAAGCTTGTTATAGATGGTGAGTAGCAATGACAGCAAAAAGTATGTGCCTAGCCATGTAAACTTGACTGCTGATGGGATTGAATATTCGTGGTCGAGGTTGGACTGTGAAATGGCCTCAAGACGACCTGCATCGGCTTCAGGATCGTCAAGAGAGTCGTCTCGTGGTAGGAAGCCCTTGCCACCCTCGAGTAGGGGTGGCGAGGGTTCTGGAGTCGCCTGCAAAGACATGTGTGGAGTGCCGAAGTGAAGAAGAGGTGAAGATGACAGGCCGAGAAAATGAGAGAGGTCTGCGAGCGATCTCTAGCAGGCTGTTGGCATGACAAGTTAGACACAGAGTTGCGGGGGCATACAGTCGAGGTATACGAACTGGAGTGCCGCGCGTGCAGTGTAAGACTAACGGCGATGTATAGAGGAGCGAGTGCCGGCGACCGAAGAGGAAAGCGGGAGCGGGATGGGCGGTAGAGCTGGGGCGCGTATGGTAGTAATGAGCCTGGGGATCTATCGAGACAATGAATCGTGGCGCAGCGCAATTGAACTCGATGCACCAGAGGAGGAGGAGCTTGCTTGGTGGGACAAACAAGCAGTCGACCTGTGACGCGGGCGCATAGAGATTGGGCCAAAAGAACGAGGTGGGTAGAATGACGATGATGGGGGTTTGAATGAAGGAAAGTAGATGGGTTAAGAGGCTGAAGGCAACGAGGACAAATCAAAATGTCAAAAATATGGTTGCGTTTGGTGATAATGGTTCAAGTTGGAAACAAGCAGTGGAGAGACTGAGCGAACGGGGCACTTTGTGTTGTAGGCAGGAGGCTTGGCAAGTGGCACAGGTGGTTTCGGTATGAAGGACCGTGATAGGAATAGCCAGTAGGAGAAAGAAGGTTCGGAATGCTCGGGGAGAGGAGGAGGAGAAGCGGTAATAATGATTGAGAAGGCAAGATTGGGGGGTGAGCGAGCCAAAAGTCAAAGTATACAGATCAAAAGCTGGGCGTGGCAGGGAAGCAGGGAAGTTGGTACGGGAGTGGTGGGGGGGCTGCGGACGACGCTTTGTGGGAGAGTAGTGTTAGCACAACGGCGGGTACAGTTTGGAGCCCCAGAAAGCATCGAATATTAAAGTCGAAAATAAAATACCCCCAAAGCTAATCTAGGGGCAAGCGAGACAATCATACCTAGGTGTTCAGACGCCGTCATACCGCTCAACGAGTGCAGCGTGTGCTTGTGGTGGTGACATGTCATGGAGCCAACCCACGAGAGCGCCAGACGACTGTTGACTGGGCAGAGATGGCGGGCCAGGAAATGACGGGGCAAGGTACTTGAGGTGCCTTACATGCCAAGGTACCACAATGGTACCCCAACACAACCTGTGCAAAGCAGCCGCTGCAACAAAGAGCCAGGAGGTAACATTTACTGTGGATGCGCTTGACCGTTGGTGATGCAACTTGCGAGACTATTCGAAGGTTAGTTCCTGTGGTTAGGACCTATGTACATAATTATAACAAGGCACAACTGGTAACTCCAGCGAGGTGCCTGGCTCGCACTATAAAATGGTGTCCTCGAGTCTCTGAAAATGGCACCCCACCTGGTACCAGACCAGTCGCCCGTTTGAAAGTACCTCGAGTCCAACGTCCCCGGACGCGCCGAGGCGTACACGTATCAACCCTTCATCATGATTTCGGAATTAGGAAGTTATGCGGATTCAAGAGTCTTGGCAAGCATACTTTTGCCAAGCTGTACCAGTACTATTCAGTAACCTCCCTTGTCAGAATCCATTCTCTCCGGCCCAAGCCAAGCACGCGACGACTATTGCCATCTTGAAGCCCCGGCTTGGCTTCCCTGGAAACCAGTCTTGGTACCTAGCCTCGGCGACAACTGATGTGCGGTTACAAATATTTTCATGGTGCTTACGAAACTCGAAGGCCCTCAATAACCAAGCTTTTGAATAAACTGTACGGATAGTTCTTAGCTATACCTTGGCGGTGTCTTTATCTCTTCGCGTGTACCTTCCACACTTATCTGATCTCTACATGTATATCAGTTGGTGTTGTTCCCCAACACCGCCACCTCAGCCACCAAAGACCCCTTCTGTTTGCTCGCTGCAGCCACCGCTGCAGTGGCAGCTGGCGGCTCAAAGCTGGCAGCCAGCTGACGACTGACGACAAGCCGACAAACGCTTTCCCCTCTCGGCTACTTGACTTATTCCTTCTTCTACGCTGTGCCAATCGTCATTCCATTCTACATATGCCTCTTTTTCCCCTTGCTAAATCTTTCTTTAATCCCCCTTTTTCGTCGCAAATAACCTCTCGCTCATCACCGAGGCGCGGCGTTCGTAACCCACCCCTCAATTACGTCAACCCTTGAACGCCACAATTGCCCGCGCGCTGCCTTTTCACCTGTGGCTGCCGACGCGGTGCCGGTTGCCGCTGACAGCTTCCCGTCCATCCCTATCCTTCTCTTGCCACAACGAATGCGCAGATGTCAAAATTTTCGATGCGTCAACCTCTTCAAGCTCCACCGCAAACGTCTAGCCGGCAGGCACATCCGGTGCGTACGTCAGCTCATTAGAGAGGTGAAGCTCAGCTAATCACAACAAGCACAGTTGATCATGCCCTTTATTATTCCCGCTTCTTTTCTTTCTTTTTTAGAAGACCAATTACAGCGCGCGCCTCACACCCTGCAATCATATGGCCCCCACGGGCCACGGTAGCCTCGATGCTCACAAGTAACGTGGTGATCCTTGTATCCGTCAACCACACGATGCTCACGATGCTCACGATGCTGAGGGAGTGTCCTGTCAGTAGCCACCTCCCCTTTACCTGTTGCGCCGAACTGGGGCCGAAATGGCAAGTTCAAGCGCAAGCCGCCGCATTGAGGGGATGTCGCTGGGTTTAAGAATAATGAGCATTACGCGCTTCGCCCTTCGCCCATAGTTCAACTTCAACTGGGTAACACAAACTGCAAAAAGCTCTCACTGGCGAGTAAGCGAAGCGGCTGCCGAGCTAACTATCAGCAGATCCATCGTTTCGCACCTGAACCCGGGAGACACCGCGCCGAAGACACACGGACACTGACTTTCAAAGATTGATTGGATCCCGCCAAAACAGCCCGCACGCAGCTAACGCTGACTGACTAGTAAGAACGCCCTGGCTTCTTGCGACCTGGCAACTTGTATCTACAGCGCTTGAGCGCTACAAATTTTAGACCAAGTACATCATCTGCAACCAGATGTCTTCATGCTGCTAGAGATGCAGCCAGCGCTAGCCTCCACTGACGCTCTGTCCAGCACAGACGACGCGCTGCACATGGTGAAATCCAGGCACATGAATGGGCATGAGACGCTAGTCGTGCCAGGATCATGCTACAATTCTCACACAAGCAAAACGATGTTTTCTCTTATGCTGTTACCCTGACTCTCAATGCTATTGCTGCCAGTCATACGATCCGCCGTCTCGTTGCGTTGCTGACGCTAACATTGACCATTCCCTTATTATCGGGGCACGGAAACAAGCAAGCCACGGACGGATCCGCTCCGGGGGGCCTCACTATCATCGCGTGCTCTCTCCCGACCTGGGTCGCTGCTCTCGTGCCACCCTGCCAAGCTTGAACTCTGCTGACCCTCGCCGCAAAGTTCATCGCCTGGTGGATGATACACAAGCCACACGAACTGGAGTAACTACCTGTCTTGCTAGATTTTATGCATACTTTGCAGAATCGTCTGTCAAATGGCCGTCGAATATCCGCGGTGCAACGGACACTCTAAGATGAGATGCTTTCTCGCCAAGAGCCCAGAAATCCGCCCGGAGACTTGGCCGACGCATTGGTTGTGTGGTCATTGGTAGCCATCAAAATGTTCAAGTTGCGACAAGTCGACGCCAAGAAAAGACGTTGACAAATTAGCCAGTCCGGAGGTTGTTGCTATGGCTGGAACGGACCCAACGCTCAGAATCTTGGCGGGGCATGCCTCACAGGATGTAACCTCCGAAAGCGATAGCGATTACCATTCCATTCCCCAGGGAACTGTACTTGGTGGTCCCTTGTACGGGTACAGCTCATTCCGCTATTCCCGCCCGCGAGGCACAGCTCTCCGGGATATGAGTTATGCTGCGATTGGATAAGCAAGGTTGCGACTGGCGACTGACAGCTAGGCTCAGCATTTCTTGGTTTCCTTGGCTCCTTGGCTTCCTGGCTCCGTAGCTCCTTGGCTTCTTGGCTCCGTGGCTCCTTGGCTTCTTGGCTGTTTCTTGTTAGCCATGCTGGTTCCACCTCTCCTCTATCTATCGTTCGCCCCTCCACACGTTCATTCAAGCTTTTGGCAAATCCAACTCGCACGGTTGCAACATTTGAAACCTGACGCAGAGGAACGCGCTGAACGCAATCACGGCTAACTTCAGCAGCACTAACTCGGCCGCCCATATACTTTTTAAACTCGGTCGATAAACTTCGGATGCCTTCTCCCATGCAGTTCCATCTCTCTGTTGATGGGAGGGGTGGCCACCCATGGGGCAAGGGGCCAAGGTACGCATCAACAGACCTGCCACGAGGCGAGACTACGATTAGGATATGTATCAGGGACCAGGAACAGACAGACCTGAGTCGCTCACGGGCGACAACTGCACCTCAAGAGACAAGAGACTTACTAGTCAACGTCGAGGACTCGGGGGTCATTTGTGAGGAACACGCTAGAAATAAACCAAGACTGGATATGCGCCACGCTCAGCTCCCCCAACAATGAGTGAATCTGCCACCCACTTGGATGGATATCCCGAGTCTTTTCCCCTTCCAGCAACAAGGAGGAGCCGTCGTCGCCCCCAGCCGTCGTGGCTTGCTTCTAAACTTAGTAGGTCCACACCTACACCACAACTGGCACGCCCGGTTGGAGGATACATGCTGGTGGCGGCCAGTAACTACTAACTAGCAACCAGAGACCCAAAGGCACCGACTTGCTCCAAGCTCGACCGTCATTCTGTCACTCATCATTCCCACCTGGTCAATTATAAAGTTTTTCTCCCCTTTATTATCCTGCTGGTGCGAGACATCTTGGCTGGAAGGACGCCGCGCACGCATGCAAGTACGCGGAGGCGAGTTCTACCCACCTCCTTGTCTGTCTTTACTCTCTTGGCTTTGTCGAGTCTCTGTACAAGTACCCTGTCCATGCGGCGGTTACCAGTAGGCATTCTATTCATTTCACTCCTTTGAAGCAAGACATTCGTTTTGGTTTCTTTCCTTCTTTTGTTCATCGCTTTTCTCTTGGTATAGCCAAGTCATATGCCCAACATGGCAATCTTGTCAGGGAGACCACGTTCACTATTACTACTCCCTGCCCTCTTATTACTTTTTGTTTTCACCCTTCTTGCGCTCGATGAATCTCTAAAACCGGTACGAACCTTTCTCTTTTGACTGATGGCAAGGTAGACGAGAGACGGGAGATTGTGTGCTTACAAGGTATTTTAGGGACGCTTCAGCAGAATCATTACTAGCCGGCCAACAACACCGGTTAACACACAGCCCAAGACTCGAGTATCGGCATTCCACTATCTTGTGCCGGCCAGCTCCCCAAATATCAAGTTGTGCTACAATGTTGTGTCCGCGGCCGTCAACCGGTATCCAGCGCCCCTGCTTCTCGGCTGGAAGGGCGAGGGTTTGATGGACGCGGCAGAGACGCACCTGGCCAAGCTGCGCGCGATCCAGGAGTACCTGCAGGGCCTGTCGTCAGACGAGGATGACGACCTGGTGCTCATCGTGGATGGCTACGATATCATCCTGCAGCTGCCGGTCGAGGTCATGATCGAGCGGTACTTTACCATCCGGCAAGACTCAGACGCGCACCTGGCGGAGCGCTTCAAACTGTCGGTGGAGGAGCTACACGCGCAGGGCATCCGCAACACCATATTCTGGGGGCCAGACAAGATCTGCTGGCCGATCGACTGGGCGGCGCCGCGGTGCTGGGCGGTGCCGGCGTCGCACATGCCGGACCACACGTTCGGGCCGAACCAGGGCGACGGCGGGATGGCGACCAACGACCCCAAGTGGCTTAACTCGGGCACGGTGATCGGGCCGGTCGGGGACATGCGGCGGTACATCAACGTGACCATGGCGGAAATTGCGCGGACGTACGACGCCAATTTTGAGAACAGCGAGTCGGACCAGTTCTACCTTGCCAACGTCTGGGGCCGGCAGGAGTACCGCCGGTCGAAGCAGGCGCTGGCGCTGCGTGAGGCGGCCGGCGACGACAACGAGACGGTGACCAAGATGACGGAGTGGCTGGCGCCGAGCGACGAGCACCGGCCGCCGGAGCCCGTGGTGGTGGAGGGCGAGGAGACCGAGTTCCACGTGTCAATAGAGTACGAGTCGGCGCTGTTCCAGACAAAGGCGGGCTACGAGACGTACTTTGGCTACCTCAAGTTTGACCAGCCCGGATACACGGCACGGATGGACGTGGACATGTACGACGAGGGCGTGTCGTTTGTGCCCTACTCCATCTCGATGCCGGCCGCGGTGTACGCGGCCCTGACTAGGGTGTACGAGGCGGGCGTCAAGTCATCGTCGTCATCGTCGGCGAGCCGATCTCTTCCAGCTGAGGAGAAAGGCAATCTGACCGGGAAGAGGGGAAACGACGACGATGGCCCCCCTCCTGTCAGTCAAGCCACAACCCCCAGCCGCAGCCGACTACCCGCGAGCGAGTGGATCCGGTCCGTGAACCTGGGCGTAAACTACGTGACGCGTCACGTCTACGGCCTCTGGCACTGCACGGGTGACAAGGAACCCATCGACGGCGAGTACAGGGCGCTCTGGTTCTTCCCCTTTGTCGCCAGCCTGCTGCGCGCCAACGCGCTGGCCTCGCGCGCCGGCGACGAGCTGACCGCCGTCGAGATGGACGGCCGCGCCTGGCTGCCGCGTCTGCAGTACCCGGTCGAGATCAAGAAGAAGAAGGGGTCGCAGTCGTCCATTCCGGGTCTGGAGTATGGCGGTGCGTTTACCGACTTCCCTGGCGAGGAGTTTTTGTCGTTTGGCCAGCTGTGTGGTGAGTGGCAGGAGGAGCTGTTTGCAGGCGAGATTGGCATCCAGCTAACAGGGGTCGACCACGACGACTGAGCCAGTGGCGGCAGCCACGTCGGAAGCGAAACAGTGAATAACGCCACATAGAAAAGGAAAAAAGGGACTCAAGCGAAAGAAAGGCAAAGGAAGTATTGTATAATTCGGAGCCGAGGCAGGTAATGGCATCCTAATGGCGAGCATATTTTGGGTATTGAGCATTTTCTTTTCACATGTAACAGCACCACCAAAGCATTCAACTAGTACCTACTACTCTCCATCGAGCGATATTGTTTTACTACAAATGTATCCATGCTTCTAGAGATTTTCTTTTCTTAAAAACGTGTTAATTAATGCTAGCTAGGTATGATATAATGCCAAAATGATGCAAAACTAAAACCGCCAGTTGGCTACTTGATCAGGCTCTGTCTCCTACGGCGGGAATGACAGCAAAGAAACTCTTCAGCCAATTAATAATAAGCACGACAGATTAACCCCAAAAAGATGATAAGAGAGGAATTACCCCAAGATACGAAGAACCCGGTGAGCCGGATGGAACGCCAAAACCAATAATACTCAAGAACAACCTCTCAGCCAAATTCGCCTGAATTAACCAAGACTACGGATAATCTCTTCTTCTCTCCCTGCCTTTCCCTTTCTCTCGCATCATCTCCCCGTTCGAAATAAAAAGCCATTCGTCATGTAAAAAAAAAGCAAAAAAGAAAGAAAGAAAGAAAGAAAGCCGCCGACGGTTCGGCAGCATCCGCTTCGTCGTTTCAGTCGTCCCGGACTTGCTCAGCCATGGCGTTCAAGTCAAGCAGCGACTTGCGAATCAATTCGTTGCTCGCGCGCAGGCGATTGATCTGCTCCTCCTGGTCGTGAGAACACTGGCGCAGCGTGGCGATGACAGCGTTCAGGCCAATGCGGCCCGCGCTCACGGCCGCCTCGTCGCCCGCAATGCCACTGGCCGCCGGCATCCCGTTACCGCGCGGCTTCTCATCAGCCCTCTTTTTCTTCTCCTTTTTCTGTTGCTGCTGCTGCTGTCCCTGCCACAATCCCCTTCCCTTCCCACCCCCGTCATCCTCGCTCCCTGTATCATCCTGCTTCGCCTCGTCCTTCTTCATCTTCCTCGTGACGGTGGTGGCCATGGGGCCGCTGCCTACCCGGCGCTTGTACACGCGCGATTTCTCCGGCCCGAGGGTCCGGACGCTGATCCTGCGCAGGCTCGCCGGCCGCAAGCCGACCTTGCCGTCGAGGACGTCCGTCGCGACCCTGGGCTGAGCCGGTACGACGCCTCCATATGCGTCCTCGCGCGCCAGAGGGTGGCGCTCGGCGAGCGCCTCGGCCCACGGCTCGCCGAAGCACACTCCCGCGCCGAACATGGTGCGCAGCACCACGAACTCGCCCCAGGTCGGCACCTCTTTGCCCCTGCGCAGTCTGCGTATCGTGCAGTGGCTCGACGGCTTGACCGTCGTCCGCGTCACCCGCGCCCGGAACATGCTGCTCCTAAGCGATTGCCGCATCTCTTCCGTCCACCCCGAGGCCTCCTCCTTCCACACCAGCTGCAGCCGCTCGAAAATTGCCCGGTCGATCGCGTTCGCGTCATCCGGCAGCTGTGGAAGGATGTCCCCGGCTTCAGGAAGCTGCAATGCTGCTGCAGGAAAGTGCGCGCCGTTCTCGTGGACTGCGCTGCGCGCTGCGAACGCGGCGGCCATGTCTTCGGCCGGGGGGATCGCCCGCAGCGTTTTATTGCGAATTTTGGCTGACATCTGGGCAAGGGCTGCTTTCGGTATGGCCTTGTTGAAGAAGTGGAAGAAGAAGAGGAGGAGGGGGAGGAGGATGAGGAGGAGTGGAAGGAACAGGCTTGTTGGTCGCGTTAGTCCTCCTTATCTTAGGAGTGCTGAGGGAAGGTCAGAGGCAAGAAGCTGCGAGGTACGTGACGAGAGTGGATGTGTTGGATAGGACTGACTAAACGGATAAGAAAGACAAGAGGTCGGAATGAATAAGGGACGGCCATTAATGGGTGCTAAGATCTGGTTTGGTCAGATTTGCCACGGCCAGCTGAGAGAGCGTTCTGCAGTGGCGCGATGTGGAGGGAAAGAATGATAGGAATCGTAATAATAATAAGAAGAAAGGTAAAGATGACGTTGTGTGACAGGAAATGGAAGGAAGAGGTCAAGAGCGAGAACAGATGGCTGGTCTTCTGGTCAGTCACTGCGGCATGAGAGATGCCTTTGTTGCAGTGTGTTGCAGAAGAAAGAAGCGCGGCGGCTGACGGATTCGAATTCTAGATGCCTAAAAGCGTTTGAATCCATATCTATTATCCTTCTAATCTTTAAAATATTGTCAATCCCTCCTGTTCTTTTTATCCATTCTATCTTCTTTATTGCCTTCATCTCGTTAATCCTCTCTATTTTCCTAATCCTCCTGGTATTCTTTGTTTTTTTTAATCTCCCTTGTATTTCCTGTATTTCCTGTATTTCCTGTATTTCTTATCTTTCGAATTTCTTTCATCTGCCCTATCACTTGATTACCTGTAGAATAAAGTAGGAAAACATGCTCATCCTTAAATCATGGCCTTCAATCCTGCGCATGGAAACCCGATCACCACCTACCGTAGTCTAAGTCACATCGGAGCTAATCTAGCCATGACGCTACCACATCCCGTTGAAACATCCGACACTCCCACCCCTTGCACATCTGCGCTCTCCTTTTCCCACATACATGTTCGCCAAATCAATCTCAATGGCGCAGAAAATTGGCCCTCTGGTGCACCTCTGGGGCATCGACCCTTCCCAGCTGCCTGCGGAGACCGCCTCTGGGACGCAGCTTATACCTCTGCTCACAGGGTTGCTGTCCGAGGCGCTGCCCTTCATCCACGACGTGCCAGCCGGCCAAGGCGACTCAAGCTCATCGTGGAAGTTCCGCAAGACGCACAGCTACCCTACCTCCGCGGCCTCCGTGGGCGTCTACGAGAAGAAGATCCCTGCCGACGCCATGCGCCGCGTCGCCGCGGACCACGCCGGCCAACTCCCGCAGGTACGCGACGCAGGTGCTGAGACGTGGTTCCTGCGACGCAGCGTGCACGAGGACGCCGCGCGGAGAGGCACGGCGAGCTGGGAAGAGTTTGTCGCACACTTCAAGGCGCACCACGCCGAATCCGAGATGGGCTTCACCACGGCCATCGTTGGGACGACGCCGCGTCGAAGCTGGGATTGCGCCGGCCTCGCGATTCGAGTAGGCGGCGAGACGTGGACCGACTGGACGCTCCAGTTGGAGGAGTCGGTGCACCGGCTACCGTTCCCGTTGCGGCGGCGTGTGTTTCCCGTACTGCAGGCGACGGCCGCCGTCGACGGCCGTCGCGAGTTCGTCGTGGTGCAGGTGTTTTATGCGGGGGAGCCGGCCGCGGCCAACGCCCACGGTACAGTGACAGGCGCATACACGAGTATCGAGCGCGTCCGCGAGCTTCCAGGGTCAGATGACGGCAAGAAGCAGATTGAATGGATCATGGGCACTGCCTCAGATGCCAGGGGCATCTTACCCGAGTTCATCCAGGCCATGGCCACGCCGGACCTCGTGCCCAAGGACGTTGAATTTTTCCTCTCGTGGGTGGTCGGGCAGCGAAAGTAGAAGGAGGAGTACATTCAGGGAAGCTTTCATGTATTTCCGTACGATATTACTGCGTCGTGCTGCCAAGTTGAAAGTGTGTTGACGGAAGGAAAACTTGAGCAGGTGGCGAAGCTGCCGTTTTGGTTCTGTCACCTGGCAAACGATACCGGAGGAAGGAACTGGCAAACGGCAAACGGCAAACGGTAACCGGCCTGCTATACTAGCTATCTATCTCCCTGTACTAGAAAACAACAATCGAAATACTCCAAATCACATCCGCTTTGTTTCAAATGCCATCCATCAAACCCCGAAAAAATGACCAATAGACCTCGATCTCTGCCGCCAGCATCAACTACAACCCGCGTCACGCGCAGTAGCAACGCCAACAACCCGCCATCTGGCAACCTTATTGCCGTTCACCGCACCAGCACCAGGACAAGCAGATCGAATCCCACCAGCACCGCCATAACCGCTACCACCACCTCCTCCTCCCATGCACCATCACGGTCCGTCACCGTCATCTCCGCCGGCTCGCACCTCGCCGCGCAGGCCGAAGCCCTCGCCAAGATGACTCTGGAGATGCACCTGCGCTGCGTCAGCAAGCAGGCCAGCCGGCTGGAGCGTGACCTGCAGGCCCTCGTGCAGACCACGAAGGACGACGCCGCCTTTCGTGCCCAGCACGAGGCTCGCCTGCAGGACATGTGGAAGGAGATCCTCGCCGTCAAGGCGCATGCCGCGCAGGACCGCGACACCAGGCACCTCGCCGACGCCGAGTGCCGCACCGAGACGACCCGCGTCATGGACGAGATGCGCGCCGAGCTGACGGGCGTCAAGACCATGATCGGCAGCCTTGCAGCCACGCTCGCCGAGATGCCTTCGGCTGAGCAGATGCAAGCGGCGCTCAGCCAGAGCAGCGACGGCGACGCATCACGCGATCGACAGGAAGGTGCGTTTTCAATTACCCACCTCTATCCTATAAGCGTATGTCTAGTCCTCTAATATCTTCTAGCAGGCTTGGACCAGGGGCCGCAGCGTCGATCGTTATCGGAACCGTCATCGTCTTCCGTGCATGCGCGCATCCAAGATGCTGTCAAATCAACACGGCGCTGGCACAGGGACCACAAGACGACGCGATTGTCTGAGGGAGCGTTCTGCGCCGGATATCTCCGGCAGCAGTCGAAGAGGGACCCTCAAATGGCCCTGTTCTTGCAGCGAGCCGTTCAGCGGCGCGTACAAGCCCGCTTCCCCGGCCGCGCGCTACGCCCGCGCAGCCTCGATGAGTTCTGCGCCGTGGTTCGCTGGGAAGACGTCGAGGCCGTCGTACAGGATGTGCTCCTGCGCGACACTACCGACGTGGTGACGGCGTTACGCGGGTGAGCGGCTGTCTGCAAGTGTATGTGTCGGTTGTATTTGGCGATGGATGTTCAAGGTCCAGTTTGTGGCTAGGGTGGCGTAGATGAATGCCATCATGGTATGATCTTCTATTCCAAAACTGTTGTTCCTTGCCCTTTTCTTTTTCAAATCATTCACGAAATATCGAAAGCGCCAAATTTGTATCTTGGGGCGGGATGTATAGAGGTTTTTGTTACAACGACGTAGATGAATGGTATCACTGGTTAAGGTTTCTATTCTAAGTCTTGTACACCATCCTCAGAATATTAAAGTGCCAGAATCTGTGTCGGCCAAGTAAACAGAATCAGAAGAATAAAAAAAAAGCATAACGAACCCGCTTTGACTCCAACAAACCCAAGTGTTTTTCGCCCCGTCGCTCCGTAAAACGCCAAAAAGCAATACATGAAAACTTCCCATTAACGGAACGAAATGGTGCTTGCTTCCTGTTCGAGTCCCATGGTTACCTCGAATGCCCAGAAAAGAACAAGACCACGAACCGTCGTACCAAATGCTGCCAAAAAGAGATTGATCCTCCGCTTTCTCGCTCTTCTCCTTCTGCTTTAATCATCCGCCTCCATGCCAATCGACGACATCTTGAGCTCAATCTCCGACTTGAGCTGCTTGATCTGGGTCTCGAGTCGCTGTCGAAGGATCTTGTTCTGGGTCTTCTCCAGGTCGGCGCGGCGGTGGGCGAGCTGCTTCTTGAGGTCGTTGATGATGTCCTTGACGCCCTGGGCCTCGTCGCGAGCCGCACGCTGGTCCTCGTCCAGGTCTTCGTCGTCATCATCGTCGTCGTCATCCTCATCAGACTCTTCGGACTCCTCCATTTCGATGGAGGGGTGCACGGCGGGCGTGTTGGCCTGGGTCGTCATCGTAGGGGTACCGAAATCCATGCCTGTCGCTGGCGTGTCCGCCACGAGGTCGTCGGCAAACGCAGCCTCCAGGTCGGCCTCGAGGTCCATGTCGCCAGCCTCGCCAAAGTAGTCCATGGAGTCATCGAGCTCGCCCTCCGCGTCCTCGCCCTCCGCGTCCTCGTCCTCTTCTTCTGCCGCTGCCGCCGCCGCAACGCCATCGGGGTTGCTCTCGTCCACCCACTCCCACGCGGTGCCGTCGGCCATGCCGTCCTCGTCAAGCAGCCTCTCAACCTCCTGCTCCTTGTCCTCAATCTCCTTTCGTGATATGGTCTTCGCGAAGCGGCGGTTGACGCAGTCGTGCATCGGCGGGGTCAGCCCGTGCGGCCACTTGAAGCCGCCGCCGTCGATCACGCTCGGCAGCGGCGCCTTCTTGGCCTCGTCCTCGCTGCGCACCGGCTGGAAGGCGAGCAGCATCTGGCACACGTCGGCCGTCTTGAGGAAGGATTTCTTGTCCCACGTCTTCATCGACTCCGTGATGGTCGGCAGGTCCACCATGACGGCCGCGAACATCTGGCCGCGCACCGTCACCACCGCGCGGTGCGAGTCCTCGTCAAAGAACTTGAGCGAGATGTTAGCACCGCCCTGTTGACGGCTCACGCCCACCTTGCCCGTCTCCATCATGGTCCGCACGTAGTCGCTGTGCTCGCCTGGCACCATCCGCAGCACGAACTGTTCCTCGATCGCCGGGTCCAGCTCGCGATCGCTCGCCTCTGAGTCGTACCCGTCGCCCGGCGGGTGTACCGGCGGGCGGCCGCGCGCCTTTAGCACTAGTTGAGTGTGCGCGCCTCCAGCCGCCATCGCGGCCTTGGCCGGGCGGATCTTGATCTTGGTCGCGGGCGGCGCGGCGGCCGCGAGGGGCACGTCATCATCGTCATCTTCGTCGCGCTGTCGCTTCTTGCTTTCGACGAGTTTCTGAGTCGGTTTTGATTGCCTTCCCGCTTTTGTCTTGACGGGTGCCGCGTGGTCAACGCCGGGCGTGGCGGGCGTCGAGCCACTGAGTTTGAGCTTGACCTTCCGCGAGCCGCCGCCATCACCAGGCGTCGCGACCACGGCAGACGGCGGTGTATTAGTGATAAAGGACGTTGTTCGATTCAAGTTGATCTTTAATCGCGGCTTTGGAGGCCCGGCGGGTGTGCCCGGCCCTGTGTCAGCCATCGTAAATGATATGTAACGGGTTGATGAAGATGGAAGATGCAAGAACGCTGGATGGCAGCAATGTAGTCGTGGAGTTGCAAGCGTGGATTAAAGCGGGGCTTGTTCAACTGACGGGGACAAGTTGGCGTGACAGGATTATTGTCAGAAATCATGGAACTTCTGTCAATCTACTGTACATATGAGTAGTTTGCTGAGTTTGATGAGATAATAGATTACTTGCGTCTAAATATGGGTCGGTTTTATACTCTTGTGATGGAGTTGAATTAATTGGCGCGTGGTAAAGTGAATCGCTGAAAAATATATTGTTATGGTTTAACCGCGCCATTCAATAAATCCGAGGCCTTTAATATCCATCCAGGCTTGTTAACAAACGCCGGTATCTTAACCCTTGTAAACGGGCATGCAATGTAACAATTCAAAAATGTAAATGCCAAAACGCCGCAAAATGCTCAACAAAAAAAATCGAACGAATGCTATAATTAAGTTAGAGGTCAAGGCCTCGCCACCCATGGTTGCCGTCCACGTTGATCCATGTACCGGCCTCGATACCGTCCCATCCCTTCATGACCCCAAGAATTCTGCAGCCCATAGCACTGACAGCGCAGACAACCTTGTCACCGGCTCCGGAAAGGACGGCAAGGTCCATCATATAGGCGCGCCCGAGAAGGCTGCGGAGTTTGAGTGTCTGCTGGGACGGCCTCATCTTGGAGACAACTTGGGTTTCCGACAGATAGGGAGACGCGGCCGGTGCGTTGGCAGAGTTATCCTTGGCCTCGGAACCCAGGTGCCAGAAAATAGGAGCATAAAAGCCGCCTTCCCAACCGAAAGTGTCTTCGACGAAATGATGTAGCACGCGCGGATCGTTATTCGCGTCCTCGATATTATCCTTGGAAGCCAGCTGAATTCGATCCTGCGCGGGTACAAGGCTAGACAGTTCGTCTTCCTGGTACGTATTGGGATCATCAGATGCAAGCATGATGACGGAGTTGCGGTCACCTTCGTAGTCGATGCCAGCAGTCTCGTTGTAGTGCTCATCAATGAGTCTGTGCACCTTGCCCAAGTAGACCTCGGCAGGAATATAGGTATCCTTGTACTGGAACTCTAGAGGATGTCTGTCGCCATGGCGAATGTGAAGGCCGATAACGGGGGATCTGGTGGTCGTTGTCGCATGAGCCTCGGCCTTGCTCAGGATTTCGTGAATGCGCTTGTCAGTGTAACTTTCGTCGCCCTTGTTTAGCTTGAACATAGCCAAGTAGCCAGCCCGGGCCAGATTGAAGAGCTGCTGGGTCTCACCAATCTTGTGATCCAACTCAATTTTGCTCACTAATGCAGAGAGAATTTCTTTGGCATTGGTGTTTGAGACAACCAGGTGCCTGGCCTCAGCAGGGCAGGGCAAAATCTGGTGGCGTAGGGCCGGCTGGCACTTGGGTACAGGAGGTGCTTGGAAGATGTCGGTATACAAGCCGTAAGCCCAGCGGGAGTCATCTATGAAGAATGATTTTCCAAGTTCCCGGGCAATTCCGTATGATGTCCACATAGACATAAGGGCGTGGCCAATGCCGGCGTTTGTGCTTTCTAGAACGTAGGTCATGGAGCTCTGGCAGACCGGCAGATGGTCAACATCTGTCAGCCCAACGAAATTGCCAGTACGCAAACGCTTGGACGGCAAAATATCCGATGATGGGAGAAGATGCGTCTTTTCTGCCTCAGCAACATCAACAAAGTGATTGCGGCCACGACTTTTCAGTGGTGCTTGGCTGTTGGTGGTCTCAGAATCGGAAGTTTGGCGAATGGCAGCCTCGCGACAGTGCCCCATCATTTCCGAGTAATCTTCCATAGAAAGAGGGAAATGGTAGTTTCTGGGGATGGAAACGGTCCATTTAGAGCGGCCTCGGTTGTCGTCAATGACAATTGGGGTGGGAAAGTCGGGTAAATCATCCTGGGCAACCATGTTGTACTCGTCCTCGAGAAGGGTGAGTGGGCTGACGTGGTGCCCAAATAGGCGCACAAGAAGATATCCAAGACCTGATAATATGCAAAGGTAAAGAAAAAAGCGGATGAATCGACTTTGACGACGGGAGAACGGATTTGAAGAGGCTCGTTTGCGTCGAGGGACGAGCGACGGCAGACTTGGCGAGGGCGGCGGAGACCAGAGAAGACTGCTCAGCGGTAGTTGACTAGACGATGATGATGCAGAATCCTGGCCTTGTATGCGTTCGTGAAGGTTATAGGAAGCAGCTCGACGCAGGTTCATTCGCGGAGGAATGACCAGCAGCCGAGGATCGGAGAGGTCGAGTTGAGGTGTCATGATGACTATGTATAAGGAAAGACAATTAAAAGAAAGGCGAAACGCTCGATCAACGGCTGCGAGACGGTCTTCGAAGTAGGCGTCGTGTGTCCGAATAAGACCCCTTCAGAATATACCGGCTGAAAAGAAGGTAAAGGAAAAGAGATGCAGCAACAAGAGGCGGGGACAGTAAATGGGCCGGCCAGAGTCCGACCAGCGGGCACGGAGTAGCAGCTGCGGACAGAAGAGTGATGTATCCAGGACTCGGTCCTCTCCCTTTTATGAGGGCATTCCTTTGTAGCGGATTGAGGAATATAAGCCAGGGCCGTTCTTAGCAGACGTGGGATTGAAACCTTCGAGTATATAAGTGGCGGGTGTTTATGCGGCCGGCGCTAGGACAGTGAAACAAAAAAGTCCGCGTGTAATTGGAAAAAAATCGAGACAAGAAAATAGATGAAAAGAGGCGTTCGGTTGGCGACCCTTATTTTATGTTTGTTCGTTTCGCAATAACGAACGTCCTGTCTTTTTTTTTTAACGTTTTCCCTCGGGGGTTCGTTAAACGTTCGTACAATATCCCTGCACTGGCTGCTGGGGTCTGAAACGAGAGCCGCCGGGGGTTGGACCAGTGAGTGGCCGAGCTGAGCTGTGGTGTCGGAGCGGCGGGTGGAGACCGTTGAGGTGGAAGACGAAGAATCGGAGAATGGAAGAATTGAAGCTGAGAAGCCTTTGGTGATGGCGACGAATATTGTTTCCTCGGGATAGGTTGTGGAATGGAGGAAGAAATCGTAGAAAGAAAAAGCAGCGGTTGAATCCTTCCAACTGCAGAGGAGACAGGAATTCCCTGGCAGCCCGCCGGCCCGTCAAAAGATGGGCGGGCGTGGCAAACGGACAAGTGGCGACCAAAAACGGCAGGCAGGCAACAAGAGACGAAAGGGGCGACGGGGCCCGAGGAATTTCGTACAACAAAGCCCCTCTACTCCGTAATTACTGAGTACAATAAGAAGAGAAGAGATGCAAGTTTCACAAAGACGAGGAGACGAAAAGAAAAGGCATCACATCTGAGAGAATTGGGCACGGCTAACATGTGTACAGGCCTGACGTCGTTTGGGACAGTCAGATGCAACGATCGGCGGCTAGGGACGACCCATGTCGAGCGCGACCACCACCAGGAGCAAAAGGGTTTTTTTCTGCCATGATTTTTTCCCTGCAAGCCATCCGGAGACAGAGAGGGCTCGGACCAAGCTGGGCGAGCGGGATGGACGATTGCCATTGCAGCAGCATGGATGACGTTGTTTTGTCTTATTTCGCCGGCGCAATATTGGGATATGATACAACAAGCCCAGCCAACCTCCGGCCAGTACGGGAGCAAGGGAGGAAGCTAATACCGCCACTGGAATCCCTCCGATGCTGATGTAGGTGGGATGCTCAACGGCCAAGAAAAGTGGCTTGTGTATCTTGTCGCAGATTCCCCCACCCAACTGGCGCCACTTGGGGCCTTTTTCGTTCTTCATGTCCGCAGCATAATTAATACGGTCTGTCTATTATACTCACCCATACCTGTATTGGCATTCTTTCTAATCTATTATCAACAGTTTGCTGCAGTTTACTCAAGAACCGCTCCTCTCGTATGCGCAGCACGTACGTCAAACCACGTGTCGGTAGCCAAGGATATACCTCGTATAACTCGGTCCGATCCATGTTGCACTCTACGCCTTGCACCACGCACGAATTGAATCCTGCAAAGTACGGCTACTGCCTGCCCCATCTTCCTTCCAAGCCTTGTGCACCGCAAACTCGAGCAGGAATCAAAACGATCCAGACCAGAGGCAGTGCAGGCAGGGCCCCGAGTCGCCCGCTCCATCTCTTTGTTATACGAAGCAATATTTGCAAGTTATCCGCCCTGCTTCTTCTTCTCAGTAAGTAGCCTAGGCGAGTCGTCAACCCCCCCTGGTGCAACTGAAAAATTAGTGCCGTTTCATGCTGCGACGGGAGCCTCCTCCGGCTGCGCTGTGCAGCCAATCACGGCTCTCAAATCCAACAAGACTTGACTCTACATAGCACTATTCTGCCTACGCACAAGCAAGTCTTTATGCAGAATCTCAGCTCGCTTACCAGCAAGTGTTCGTTCGTTTTACTTTTTCTTTTTCTTCTTCTCTTTCCTTTTTCCAATGTAGCGTCTTCTTCAGCGGACGCACGCACACCATCATCCTCTTCCTGCCCCTCCTGAAAAGGCCGAGAGCCCTCGATTGGTGGAGCCCATGCCATTTTGACTTTTGACTCTTCACCAAGCAACAACAGCCTTCACCCGCCATCGAACCATTTCTTTACCGCCTATTATCATTCTTTTGCCAACGCTGATAGCGCGCATTTCGTTACCGTGTCTATTACCTGCTCGTTCGGCCACCTAAAAGCTTATGGAAGAAAGCGGCGGCACTGACTTGGAACTGACAGAGCAAGCACACCGCATCAACGTCTCTACGACCCCGCGTATAAGTCGAAACATGCGTAGATCATTCATGTGACTTCCCGTTTACTCTGCGATTCCTTTTTCTGCATTATGTGTACAGGATCTACTGCTTGACAAGTTCTGTCATATGCAGGGGCCTTTCGCGGTACTCTTTCAAGTATGGAGCAGCACAACTGTTTACCAGGACAGGACAGTCAACTGCCATCTCGCCATTTCCACCCTGTCATAGGCATCCTCTATCCCTCCATAACATGTTCCAGCCATTAAATCTTACAAACGCCTCCTTGGGCGCGTTCGATGCCTTCGGGGTCTCTCTTGACGGGCGCCCCGGCTCAAGAGACCGGCGCGCGGCGGCCGCATCCTTGAACGTGGACCGACCAAGCCCCAAGCCGGCGCCAACCAGGGCACCGGGTCGCCGTCGCTGACGTCGCGAAGAATGGCAAACCTGTCGAGCAAGTCACTGGTCGTCGCGTGAGGGCTGCCGGCGATCTCCCTTGGGTTGTAGATAGTCGCCTCGTCGTTGGGATAGTTGTGCCACCAATCGTCGCGCTTGCCTTCGCATACGCGAATGGCGCGGCGCCGGGATGCTGCAACCAATATTTGTCCTCATGTGCCTCGTTAAATGCGAGACTTTTCAACGCCGTAGCCCTCCGCAATGGCTTTCCAAACCCCATCCGCGTCTATGAGCTCAAAAACGTAACGTCGGGCACCACCACCACGTTTGGATCGCCTGAAATCATGGGCATAGCGTTGTCCATCTGCGGGGGAACTTGACCTCTAACGTGCCGGATCCAGCTTTGCAACCCTTGAATTCTTCGTAGCCCGTGTGCAAATAACAGGAAAATGTTCAACGACCTCAACGCGACGAGTCACCGCATCATGCTGGTTCGGGTGGCGGACCACGGAGCCTACATAACTTCCAAAGGTGACGGTCAAGGTCGACGACCAACCATGACTCTCGTTTTCCTCTCATCAAGCAAGAATTGACTATGCATGACGCTCATCAATCCGCATGATGTGACGGGTCCTGTTTGATCCTCCGCGGGACCCCCCTCCGCCCGAATGTCAAACACGACAGCTTCACCATCAAATGACCAAAGCATCTTCACTCGACATTATGCAACATGCCTGGAAATATAAATCTCGTCTCTTATGCAACAATCGATTATTCTTACAAAAAGCTTGCATCTTCTTCCTGGTCCGTATTGCTAACAAATCAGAGAATACCGCCAATCAAGGAAAAAGGAAGAAAAAGAACTGTCGTCGTAGAATCTGGGTATCCCGTAATAAAACGAATAAAGAAAAAAAAGTAATAGCCGTCATCCGTTTTCGCTAAAGCAAACCCAAAAAAAGAAAAAAAGAAGGCTTCCAAAAATGAAACGAAAAAGAAAAGACAAAGCTCCGTAGGGACCGCCGCCCTTGATCCGCACAAAACGCGCATGAAGCGCAATAAAAGAAACCGTAAAAGCTATACCTCGAACCCACGTATCAGGTCGCAGCCTTCACATTCAAATCACCTTTCCTCCCATCCATCTTCCTCACATGGCCTCGCCAACACTTTGACCCGTCCATACACTTGGTACTGCGGGAGACGTCGTCTGGCAGAGAGGTTCCAGCTGTTTTTCCTCCTCTCCCATGACGTCTAGCTTCGCCGCGGGTGGCAGTCTCACGCTGCCTCGCACGCCTCTAACGATCTGGCCGCTCTCCACCCGGTCTTGAATCATCTCCTCCAGCATCTTGTTCATCTCATCCACGCTCTTCGTTCGTCGTCCCTGACCCTTGTTCGGCGTTTGCTCCGTCATGGCCTTCTCAACCTCGGGGTTAGAGAATCGCACATCGGCCGATGCGTCAGCCGTGTCGCGCGAGCGTGCAGCGCTGCGCAGAGCTGCCAACATGCGGTCCTTGTCGTCCAGCCTGGCTCGAAGATCGGCGATTTCGGCATCCTTCTCTCGGAGGACTGCGGATACACTGTGATCCTCTCCAACCATGATGGCCTTGTTCGGTGCGGACAGGCCCACCGAGGTTCTTGACGAGCTCGCACGACGAGCTTGGAGCAGCCGCTTCTCCAGAGTCGCAATGTACCGGTTCTTGTCCGCCAAATCCGCCTGAAGTGCATGGTTTTGAGCCGTAAGCGACGCATTTCCATCTCCAAACTCGCCCATGCCATCTTCCTCCGTCCCGGGTACTCCTTCGCCATCACCACTCAGTCTTTGCCCGCCAGTCGAGCGTCTACCGATTGTTGACGATGAAGTAACCGACATTGTTCTATCTAGTAGAGAGTCGCGCCCACCGAGTGAGTCCCGGGCTGTGAAAGAATCCCGGGCCCCAAAAGAGTCGCGTCCGCTGGGCGTCGTCATGGATGATCGAACAGATCCTGTCAGCGAAAGTTGGGAGAACCTGGCATATTGGCTGAGCGAGCTGAGCGAGCCACTCGAATTCACCCCAATCGATTTTGAGCTCAGAATGAGACGGTTAAGGTGGTCGATACGTTCTTTGAGGGCGGTGCGCGCGAGCTGCATCTCCAACATCTGCTCTTCGCGTCGCTCGGCAGCTTCGAGCTCCAGTGCTCTCTCTTGCTCCTCATCCCTGTCTCTTTCGATCTCAGCCTCGTCCTTGGAGTTCTTCTTGTTCTTGGACTGGGCCGCCAGCTGCTGTCGAAGTTCCACAATCTCCATGCGATAACGTTCAAGCAACACTCTGGCGCCACCTTCACCGCCGGAGCCCAGAGCCTCCTCGGCCTTCTTGGCGTGACTGACAATGCTGTTCTTTGCTCTGCTCGCAAACTTGAGCGTGTTGAGAGTTTCCGTTGTGTGGCTGTTGGCAGCGGCCGCACTGTTGGCTGCTCCAATCTGAATGGTGCACAGAATACTGACTAACGAGTTACCAGCAAGTGCGCCTTGGAGCAATCTTGTCAGTTTGGAGTCACGGTAGGGCAGATGCTTTCCCTCTTTGTCAATGCCTTTGCCCTCCTTGTCCTTCCACTCTGAAAGCTTGGCAATAACGGTTCCCAGAGTAAGAAGGCTCTTGTTGATGTGGGCACCCTCCTGCCTGCGCTCCTTGGACTCGGCAGCCTTTTCTGAGCCAGCAAGATCAATCAGACTCAGCGTCGATACACGGACGCCACCAGGCGGGATCCCAGAGCGCTTGTTGCCCTCGGGAGCAGCACCTGGCAAGCGCTGACGGCTTTCAACGACAATTTGCACGACGGCGTGACTTCGCGAGCTACGGGCGTTAAATTGCGTACTTGCTGTTCGGCGCGCCTGGTCACCTCGAGCAATAACTCTCAGCAACTGCGTAGGGCTCTGCACAATCTCTTCCTTCAATGGCGTAGCATACACGCCGCGCTTGCTGTCTTCTCGAAGCTTGATCTCTTCTTGTTCGCCACCACTGGCTGGCATGCTCAGCAAGTCGTGGATTCTCTCGTTGTAAATTTCCAAGTAGCTCACGCGCAGGAGGAATTCCCGCGACGGAGTTTCACGAATATAAGAGAAAATATCCGTAATGGCCAAGGGAATAACACCAGGCTGAGTAGCGGTACCCTGCATGGAAAATGTTTTGCCTGTTCCGGTCATGCCGTAGGCAAATACAGTTCCGTGATAGCCCTCCATGACGCGACGTACGAGACGTTTGGCGATGTGGTCGTATACTCGGGAGTTATTATCATGTGTAGTGAACACGTTGTCTGTGTATATGTTAGCTGCGGTGGTCTCGCGTGTATAGGGACCGAACAAGCGTACCATAAGTATGGTCTCCTCCTTCCTTTCCTTTATATGAAATCAGTGATTTGCGCCCGTCCACCATCCATTCACCCTCAGGATTCTGCTCCTTTCCAGACGTGTCAGGACGGACACGGACACTGACAACAACATTGCCCTTGCCCTCAGATTTGGACGATCGCTTGTCTGAAATTGCTGAGCTGAGGGCAGACGCACTCGCCTCCGAGTTTGGGTTTTGGGTTTCCATCGGTTCGTCGTAGGTAGTAGCGGAAGTTGAATATGAATCCTGGGCAGAGGAGCTTCGGCTCTGGGTTGGGGATCCAATGCTAATGAGGCCGTCGGACATGCGAATGGATTTGCCCTCGCCGCTACCATTAAGCAGACTAGGTGTGGTGGGCGCGTAGGGGCTCTGTGATGCCAATTCCTTGGGTAGTTTCGATTTGCGAGCGGTGCGAGGTGTTTTTTCGTGGACGAGCGAGCTGGGTGGAAGACTGCTCGATCGTTGTTCTCCACGAGGAGGGTGAGGGAAAGAGTTGATGCTAACACTCTTCCTCAAAGTCTTCCCGGCGCCGTTCACAGGCGTGGGAAGGCCCTTGAGCTGGGGTATCGAAGGTATCGCAGCTGGCGTTGGCGGATTCAGGTTCATAGATGGGGCGCGAAGGCCGCTGCGAGGCGTTGTGGGGTTGGTGGCAGTGCCAGATGGCCGAGGAATACTTGGAGCTGGGCTTGCGGATGGTGATGGAGGAGCTGTGAGCGCGCCTCCTGTTGTTCTTCTGGATTTCGAGACTGGCAAGGCCGGCAGAGCCATGTTTGGCGGCCCGTTTGACGGCCGTGAGGGGCGGGGCAGGGTGGTAGCCATGCCGGTGGATGTTTATATGCGTATATGATGTGAGATTTTCGATCTCGTGGGCGAGTCTTCGATCCTGCTTAGTTCTTTGTAAAGGTAAAGCCAGGACAGACAGAGGAGTTGGCACTCAAAGGCCGAGTGAGTCCATGAATGGCTGCCGTCGATCGAGGAAGCGTCGGCCTCAGAGTCGGTCGGGGGCGGACGTTGGCCTGTCGCACGAGGAAAGCCACTACCGCTCAGAAGGGCGAAAAAAAGAGGGAGTTGGTACTGGCTTGTCTTAGTAACAATGATCGACCAGCCCGTGGGCGGGACTATAATAGGCGAATGTCTTATGAGGCGGTGAAGTGGCGGCCTGGTAATGGATCTAGTACAGCAACTGCATGGAGTTGTCAGTACTGCGATGAACAGCTAGAAGGGCATGTAAAAGAGGTGAGAAAGGACGAGGCGAAGAGCGCAAGCTAAACTTGCGGGCTTGGTCGGTGAGGAATAGAACCTCGCGAAGAAGCGGTTCATGTCAGGAGAGGTAGTACTTCGGTATGCTGTGTTGCTTGGATGCAGCAAGAGCGCGGCAAGGTCTGCACGACAGCCGGTCCGCAACACAGAGGCAAAAGCAAGTGAATGAATAATGGACGGGCCGATGACATGCGTCTCGGGCACTAAAAAGTTGGCCAAGGAGACAAAAAAGAATATGCATACATAAAAGAGTGGGCGGTAGTGAGGTTTCCTTTTTCCAGTCGTTATGGACGATGGTTGAAGCTGACCAGTCGGGCCGTGCCACCAAGAAAGCAGAGCCGTTGTCGCAGGGTGAACGGAGTACAAGATGTCTCGCGCGCCCCTTATTAAGAATGAGCGGAGGGCAGAAAAAGAAACGGGAAATGCGAATGCGACGGGAGCAAAGGAGGGCCAAGGGGAAGAATTGGCGATGCAAGAGCAGTAGTTGATTCTGGGGAAGAGGAGAGAGAGGGAAGACGTTGGGAGGGGAGGAGATACAAGATGAGAGGGCAAAGGGAGATGGACAGCCTGACAGTCTGGAGCGATTGGCGTTGGGAGCCCTGGTGTGTTTAGGGGATGATTATAGGTGATTTAGGCTAAAAGCTACCTGTAAAGCAACTTCAAGGGACCCGACCAGGTACCCGTTTCGTGGCGTGCCGCGGGTACCTTACAGTGGCAACAGTGGCTGCTTCAGTCACTTCCATGCGGCGCAGTTGGACACAGCGCATAAAGGTAAAGGCTTGCCGAGTCGGGGAGCCGCAGCCTGCAGACCAGCAGCTGAAAATACCTCCTACACAACACAAATACCGGAATATCCACCGCAAATACGACTCTATTTTCTTCAGTATAATAAACTCTGTCCATCTTGGACAAGGCGCAGAAAGACTGGCCAAAAGGGGCGGACTGGGTTGCATGCCGAGCGAGTTCCGCGCCCTGTAAGGAGGCGGGCGGCCAACAACAGCTTCTGCTGGACTCTCTTAGACTTGATTGCTGATTCAGAACGACAATTAGAATTGAAAAAAGAAGCCGCTCGTTTACAGTATTCACTCACAAGACGGCGTTGACAGCCCCAAAGCAACCACGGTGACTGGCCGGCTGAGTGACTGGTCAACTACTCAGGTCAACTGACGACGATGGGGCGACCGGGGGGACCAGACCTCTACTAATTACCGTAATTACCTGGACAGGGGATGCTCGACAATGTCCGGGGTCTCTACCCAGTTGCTCGACAATCAGCATCTCGTGGCAAAGCACTCGGCCGCGCCTCTGGACTAGATCAGGGGCGGCGCCGGGGTCTGGCCTACGCTATTGGAGGTCTAGTTGAGAACGATTGTGAGGGGAGAACATGGGTTCATGACAGTGGCCCGCGATAAAAATCCGAGCGAGTTTTCCAGCAATCTAGTGGCGCAATCACACTGCATGATAATTTAGTACAGCAGTACTCCGTACCCGGTGGTGGTCGCCCAACAGATAACTACCTTGTACATAGTTACTGGCTCGTTTGGATAGGCGGATGCCTGCCTTGCTTCCACTGCATGCTGCATCTCAGCCAATTTGCCCCTTGCCTGGCTGCAAGACATGAATCCTGGATCATCCGCCCTATCGGAATTGAATTGTCGTGGCCCATTTGCCCAATGCACTGCATCTCTTCGCGCGCATCGCGTCACAGCGTTGCCCCCCCCTTGACCCGTCGTGGCTGCAGGCCGCCCCGGGAACCAAGAGGAAGAGGAAGAGGAAGAGGGAAAAGAAGCCACGATCCCGGCTGCTAAAAAGGGACCATGATTTGACTTTATTAGAGCCAACGCCAAAATGACAACGCCCCTGAATACTGGGTACACCTCGGAAGGCGTCTTGTCAAAATTGGCGATGGTTGGCAGTCGAACCACTGGTCAACTCTGTTAATTACGGTGTCTACTAAGCCGCACTAATAAAGTTAGTTGCTGGCAAACAACATCTCGCTGGGGAAGACGGCAAAGCTCTAGAATAGCCCCTAACTTCCTTCCAGGTAGCGCTGCCCCGCCATCCCTGGGCTAGCCTCCACGCTACTTGTCGTCGTTCGCTGCTGCTGCATTATCACCATCACCATCACCATCACCATCACATTTCCATCAACAGCAATATGCTGCCCATTCATCAGACTTTTTCTCACGCCTTCTGCACCAGAGCACACTCGCACGGCTCCGCCCCACCACGGTGCCCTTCCAGGCTCCCACCAACCCAACCCAACTTCTTGGGACAGCTGCCAATCTAGCCAATCGCGTCAGAGCCTACCAAGTAATCTATCTGACTCGAGTCCAAAGTCTGTGGTAAGCATCAATTTGATTGTTGCTCCTCCAAGCTTTTCAAATACTGGGTAACTGGTAATATATATCCCACAGTATCACATCTCTGATTCATGCAGTATTCACAGCTTTACCTCTCAACCTACGAATAGTTACCAACGCGTGGCGTTTGTCCAGCACCCCTACAAACAACACGCCTGTCCCTACATGAACTCATCCGAGACATGCAGCCGTTCTCTGCACAGCCTGATTATTGCCTTCCAACCTCGGTCGGACATCGATCTCTCGCAGCGCTGCACGACCTCTGCCCACCTGTCTCTGCCCAACTCGACGCTGCACCACGCAGTTTTAGCTCCATTACCACCCTGCACACACCAACAAAGCACCCTTGTTGGACACAGAGATCATCACGCCAAGACTCCACAAGCCGGGAGCCAAATTTTTCTCCCAGGACTCAGACTCACGCTCACCAGCAGAGGTCCCCAGATCCGGCACCTCTCGGCACCAGGCGTACCAACGGGTACGGACTGAAACTGCTCTTCTCCGACAGACGAGGAATTCCTCGCCAGATTGTCACTAATTGCCTTCAACCCCGCCGTGGCGCTGTCATTTTGCGCTGACCATTCTCTGATTAAAGGTGCTTGTCTGCAGTACTCAAAAGGTTCCCCTCATTGCGACGGGTAGGCCCGTCAATCTGCTCGCATGCTCAGAGCTCCAACGCCAAGACCTAACTCGCTTGTGCTCAGGCTTCATCTGGCCTATATGGCTTGCACGCCGCCCCCGACTCTGACAGTCGCTATCCAAATTGCCTTTCGCACTTTTCGATGTTAGCTGCCCATCACTGAAGCTTTGATAGCCTCCCCACTGAGGAGCAATGCCTACTACCTACCGATCTTGGGCAAACGGCATCTACCAGTAGACAGTCATTGATACTTGACTCGCCCACTGGCTACCAATATCGAGTGGCCTTCTCTCAGCAGTCCCTACCCTCGGCCTTCAAGCACCTGAGCGGCACGACTAGTTATCCAGTAGATACCCGTTCGGATACGTACCACAAGATGCAGGTACAAGGAGATTTAAGCCTCAGGGGCAACAAAGGTGGAATATGCCGAGCCCTGCACCGACCAGTCTGCATGCAACCATGTCCCAAATCGACAGTCGACAGCACCAAGTAACTACTTAGTACAGTTGCATTCAGATGGCCATCGGGTACGTGATGTGCCAGTTCGTGCAGTTTTGTCTCTTTATCCTAGTCACCCCGCCGAACAACATCCATCACTTCACGGAAAGTCGGCTAGCTGTACCAAAGCGTCGCGATCAGGCCTGGATGCTGTAGTCCTGTATCCGTACGTCACCTGGCGATCATGAAAGCCGAGCGTCTGCCTCGTACGCCTGCAACAGGAAGGAGAGCGGGAAAGCGATACCATACTAATGCAGGCACAATGTCGGCAGCTGGCCGGCCCACGATAGCATGGGGATAGATTAACAGGTTCTGCCCAAGCTCCTTGGCTCGCTCGACATGTCCCCGCTCTGCTGCAGAAGACGCTCGCAATTGCAGCATTGTGATATGTTGGAGGGCCAATGCGGATACAATAACCGGATACTGGCAACGTCCTGTAGCCGAGGACGTCCTCTCCGGTAACTATCGAACGGCCAGCTTTCCTATCGGCCGTGCGCGGTTGTCCTTGCCTGGGCGGGAGCCTAGACTGCTCTTGATTGATGATCGACACTGGCAAGCACCTCTACGCCACAGGTCCCGGCGGCGCATTGCTCATCAAACCGGATGGTGTCCTGCAGGATTCAAGGAGTCGCTCCCGCGCGGGGTTGACAAGTTTCTAAAACATCTCCGCGCTGCACTTTGTTCCTATGGCCATTCCGTCCGATCCATGGTCAATCAAAGTCAAGACGAGAAAAAGGCAAAAAAGCCTTTACAATATGGCTCAATGGCGGTCACGTCTGTTTGACGCGCCACCAGAAGCACGGTCACGCGGCTCGCACGCCGCTCAGCTGGTTGAACTGACGTCCTGCACATGCCATACCAGTGTTCAGCTTATTGTCAACTCCTTGATTCATTTACACCGTCGGTCCTGTGGCAACCTCCTCCACCAGTTCGCTTTCGACGTTGGCGGTTCCGTCTTCATGGTAGTGTATCAATAGTGTGACAGTGTCAATTCTGTTATAAGGACTAACGATTTCTCATTTATTAAGGATGGAGGAACTCGGTCACCCATAGCAAACCCTTGGGTGCCCAGACTAGCATTTGCGTGACGACCAGCCTCTTGCCCATGTCGCATCACAGCATTCACATCTCCAAGTCGCAGTCCAGTTTTGGATCGTCAGCGACTGCAAATGCGATATTGCCCCGTCGCCTTCCCTGTTTATTAGTTACTTACCATTCCTATAACCGGTTAAAAGCTTTCGACCAGTACAGAGATGACGTGAGTGTTCGGACCGAGAGCTTTCATGGTATAGGGGGTGTTATATCACACACGAAACCACCGAGCAGCCACGCACGAAACCCCAAAGCGTGAAAGGCCAACGCAGCCAATGTTCGACGATGCACAAAGGAAAAATCGACTATTCGTAATACAAATCAACTCCCCAGGGCTCTCACCCCACGACCAACCGCCCCTGTCTGGAACACTTCCACGACGCCCAGACCGACGGCCTCGCCAAGCACCCATGTCCACTCGAGGCCGTGCAGGTCCCTCCACCGCGGCCCGTGTAGGCCGCCGCCCTCGAAACGCTCACGGAGCCAGTCCTCGGGGCCCTCGCCCCATCGCGTCCGGCCCAGCGTCTCGCGCAGCCAGCTGAGGGCGTCCTCAGCGAGCTTCAGGTGGCGGCCGTGCCCAGGAATTGCGACGCGGTAGCAGTCGTCCGCCGCCGCCGAGGCCGCCAAGCCGCCACCACCGGCCAGGTGCACCGCATTTTGCCCGCCGACAGCCGACAGCGTTACGCGGTCCTCGGGCCGGACGTGCAGGGTCGTCGCCGGCGCGGAACTAGTCGCAGCGCTGGTCAGGAAGCCCGCGCGCACCAGCTCGTCCACCTGCGCGTCGTCCAGCGCCCGGCCGCCGCCGCCGCCGCCGCCACCCCCACCGAGCGTCTGCGCCATCGGGTTGTCTTGCAGGAAGCGCACGTACGCCTCGGCCGTCGCCGGCGACACCGCGCGGCTGGCGCGCAGCATGGCGAGGAGCAGCGTCGTCTCGATGAGCGCCTCGCCCGCGGTCCCACGCCGCTCCACACGCACGCGGCGCAGCGCACCCCGGCCCAGAAGCTCGGCAATCTCGCGCTCTACGCGCGTCGGGCTCCCGCGGGCGAGGACGGCGTGCACGTGGCCGGCGGTGACGAGCGGCGGCATGGTGGCGCGCCGGCGCAGCAGCTCGGTGCGCCGCGTGGACGCGAAGCCCGTCTCGGGCACGGGCGTGAACATGTGCGCGCGGATGTACCGCATCGCCTGGATCACATCTCGCAGACTGAGCTCCGTCACGAGAAGCGTCGCGATGCCGGCGTCCTCGAGCTTGTCTGTGAAGAGCTCACCGTTGTCGTCGTCGGCGGCGGCGGCGGCGTTCTTCTTCTGCGAGCCGCCCGGCTTCTTGCGGGGTGAGGCTGAGGGCGTGGTGTTGGCGGACGACGGCCGCGGGCCGGTAGGTCGTGAGGGCTTTCTGACGCGATTGCCGCCGCCGAGTATTGACTGTAGGCTCTTTGGCATGGTATATGTGTAATAAAAAATTACCTTGCTTGACTCTTGGCGATTTGGACTGGGGAGGCGCGCGTGGAGATGACCTTCGGGAGGCTTCTGAGAATGATTGTAGTGAGATTGAGTGGCAAGAAGCATCTACCCCGCCATCTCAAAACACCGAATTTGGCACTGAAAAATAGTTCAGCATCCAAAAGCAGATGTATGGATGGATATTATCGCCCTTTTTGACTCGCCGTGCCACGGCGGGGTATGAAGTTGTCGAAGCAGACTTTGGAAGCAACAGATGCTTAATAATACCCTATACCTTCACCTTAGTTTTGTCTGCGCTAGGCGCCACCTCAACAACCGCTTCCAGTGCTGGGGCCTTGCGCGCGCGACGCAGTCGCCAGAGACTTTATCATGAGCACCATGTCAGAGGACCAAGGGGGCCTGCGACACGACGTAGGTTGGGTGAAAATTACAAGGATTTCCATATGGCAATTCATGCACGAAGATAAAGAATGTGGTGCTATAATCCAAATATGCAATTTTGGTCAGATGCAATGCTATGATTCTGTGCCACATGGCAAAATATACTGTTGCTCGGAGATCAAATCAAAAGATAGCCTCTTATTCCCTCAAGCCTACACCACCTCACCCCCCTCAATAACTCTCCTCGTCTCCCCCTTCACCCACTACCCAGCCGTGGTCAAGATGTACGACGTAATCGAACTCATCCGCTCCGTCGTCAGCTTAAGCGAGATGCGTAGCAGCTCGCCCGCAATGTCCGGCCGCTCCCGCTGCAGTTGTTCCCACGCCTCGCGGCTCATGAGCCAGGCGACGCAGTCGCGCTCCACTGTGACCGTGGCGGTGCGGCTTGTCTCCGAGAAGAAGGGCAGCTCGCCGCACGTGGTGCCGGCCACGATGTTCTCGCACAGCCAGCCCTGCGGCAGGTCGTACTCGGCGCGTAGGATGCCCCGCTCTAGCAGGTAGAAGCCGGTCGCGGCCTCGCCCCGGCAGAAGAGCGTCGTGCCGGCCATGTACTCGCGGCGCTGGAAGAAGCGTGTCGCCGGGAACCAAAAGTCCTCGTTCTTATCGCTCAGGCCCTGGAAGATCTGCAGCATGATGCGCAGAGGTTCGTTAAAGCTCTGCCACCTCGGCGAGCGCTGTGTCTCGGTTGTGTTGAGCGCTTGGTGGGCGGCTTGGACCAGGTGCGTCTGGCGAGGCGAGTTGAACGGCGGATCAAACGATGAGAGCTGCGATGTCGTTCCAGTTGGTACATCGAGATTTGCCGTAGGCACGCGCTCGTTAGAGTTAATAGCTTCCTGTCTGGCATACAGGGTCTTGAGAAATTCGTTTTCGCAAAACTCCAGCGCCGAGTTGAGGTCAGGCAGCATGACAACTTCAATCTTGCCACTACCAATGCCAACCGCGCGAAGGTTTCTACCGAGTTGAGAGGAAGCATCTACTCCGCTGAGAATCAACAGAACCCCTCTCTTGTCCAACAGTCTGCTGATGGTGTTGAAAGCTTCGCCAGCAGAATAGTCCAGGTCACTAACATGCCACAAGTCGAGGACCAAGAACTTGATGGGGCGACTTTCGAAAGTAGCATCATCGAGAAGACCTCTGATCTTCTCCTCAACACTCACAATCGTGCCAAAGAACAGATATCCAGTAAGCTTGATGATGTAGGTTTGCTGGCCGACATGGTTGAGGTAGTGATGCTGAGATGGATTGCGCCGCACAGTAGAAGAGACGACATCACCGTCGAAAGTGGCACGGATAGCAGACACTCTAGAAGTTTGAATGACAAGCGAGGCGAACGCGAGAACGATACCGACGCCAATACCCACAACAAAGTCGTAGGTACCCATTACCAAGACAATAATAATAACTGTCAGATACTCCGCGAGCTTCAACTTTTTGCGAGGGAGCCACACTGCTTCCAGCAACAGCTCAAAGCCCAGATCAAAAATTAGAGTACCGACCATCATGACAGGGATATAGCCCATCATGCCAGGCCCAATTACCATGACAGCAAATGTCAGCGCTGCCAACATGTATCCGGCCAGCCGACGATTGCCACCAGACCGGATCACGAAAACGGTGTTGGCGTAGACTAGGTAGTTTTGGATGCTGCCCAGGCAACCGGATAGAAAGTTGGAGTATCCGTGAAGCTTTAACTCTCTATCCAGATCGGCGTTGTCCTCGCCGGTGTTCAATGCCAAAGCAGGAACATTGATGGGGACATGGAGAACGCCGAAAAATGTCAAAGCAAGCATGGCAGGAATGACCTGTATAATAGCATCCCAGCGAACAAGATTGAACTCTAGTCAAACATTAGCGGGTTTTCTGAACCGATAGACACGTGCAACTCACTGTAAAGGGTGTAGAAGTACCACCAAGGCTCACCTGGTGGTGGCCCTTGGAAAATCCAACCTCGATCACGAAGATCATCCACCTCAAGGGCATCGATGGCGGTGACAAAGATGAAAAATACCAGAGGGATAGCGAGGATGAAGAGTGGCAAGAAGTACTTTGAAGCGCCCTTCATCTGGCCGTAGAACAAGACTACGGCCAGGACCAGTGGGAAGATCCAAAGCAGTATCGTCTCAGGTTGAGTAAGTTGCTTAAAGGTGTCGAGATCGTACTTGATATTCCCATCTAGGCGTGCCGAAACTTCGAGTCCGGTGGAAATGAGGAAGTAGCCAACACCGCCGATGCAGCCAATCAATATGTGACGGGGGATAAAGCCGACCATGAAGCCGAACTTGAACTTGCCCATCAGATAAAAGACTAGGCCAGTCACGAGAGAGCTGGTAGCATAGGCAACGATTGTCGTCGCGATAACAGCATCCGGGTTGTCCTCGCCCACGACGTCTAGGATCTTCTGTGCCATGTTGTGGAAGAATGGGACGACCTCGATCAGCTCCGAGCCGACTGCCCCCTTGAAGATGCTGCCGGTTGAGAAAACCAACTGAGAGACGATGGTGCTCACGTAGTAAATAGAGATTCCGGCAGATCCCAAATGAGAGAATAGGGGGGTGCCGAGAGGAAAGAGAATCATGCCGTATGACAGAGCATCGAGGATGTTGAGAAGAAGGCCGACTGCGACAGCGGGTAGGCAAGACAGCGGTTCTAGGAGAACGTGTTGCGCCATAGCCTTGCTGTTCCACCGGGTGGGGTTTGTTGCGACTTTGACGCCGTGAATAAAGCCGAACTTGACCTCTTGAGACTGTTCGCGAACCTTGCCAAACCAATTGCGCTTCGCGGGCCGCTCCTGGCCTTCGAGAATGGCCTCTGCTTCGTAGCTAGTGTCAGAGGAAGCAGAAAGCAGCGGCGTGCGTTCGCTCACGAGCTCCTCAATCGCAGAGATATGGTTCCAGGCTTTAGGAGAGCCGACGGCTTCACTGCTCCTGGCGGCGGGAAGCGTCTCGGACGCGATGGACTTGGCACGATCTGCCTTGGGTGTTGTCTCGGTGTCTGATTCCGGAGGGGATGCCCGCTTTAGGAGGTTGGCAATCACAGACGGCCCGGGGGTGTCCTCGTCGCCTAAATGCTCGGTGCTCTCATCCGGTGATGCGGGCTCTGAGACCTCCGGTATCGCAGGAGAGCCACGCCGGACATCGGGAACAGAATCGGCGTCATCCTCATGATGGAAGACATCGTGGATAGAGGATCGCGGACGTTGCAGCAAGGCCCTGTTACGCTGGGAGCCGTCGGAGAGGAAGTAGTTGGCCAATTCGGCAGTATCTTCGCGAACTGTGCGAGCGTTCTGCAGACTGTCGACCGGAGCTATGTCTTGTTAGCAGAGAATACGCGGCACAGCAAGCACTTGTGTGATAAGGAGGCCACAGTCAGTGTAAGTGCGTGAGGGATACCTAAGTTGTCGTGAGATACGCCATGAATGAAAGACCGAATAGGTTCTCGGTGCGCCTGGCTGGAAGCAACCGATGAAGAGAGGGCGGGGGGCACGGCGACGGGCTGAGAGCTCGTTTGGGACTCATTGGTGACGGTGCGCGCCAAGTCTGCCTGCGAAGAGGATACGCTGGACGCCCTCTTCCTCCAGGAGGAGAAGCCCGAGCCCGAATTGGACATGTTCCAAAGGGTGTTGGGTGTTGGGCGGCGTTGGCGCAGCTTCAGGGCAGGTGAAGATCAATGATGGAGCCCGGGTCGCTACGCTGATCGCATGCGGCAGCTCGAGTCGACAGCAACAAGCGTAGGGTGTGAGAGGCGCGGAGGATTAGGAGTGGCAAGACTAAAGAGTTTCCATGCTGGAAGGGCAGAAGGGAGACTATCACGATCGAAGAGAGAAAGATGAAGATAAAGGAGAGGAGTACACCCACCCTTTGCCGGATCCTGCATGTGCAAACGGGAGATTTTCCAGTAGTTAGCTTGGACCAAGAACTTGGTTCAAAATGCTGAGTCCCCAGTTTCCAGGTAGAGTTTAGCGCTGAGCCCGGCGGGGAGGGAGTAGGCGCTGTTGGTGGTCCTTTGGGGAAGCTGAAAGATAAGGATAGATAGACGAGAATGGCGAGGGTGGAAAGTACAGTATAATGTTTATATACCTACATATGTATCCGTACGCAAGTAAAAACAGAAGAAGGAATTTGCCTCTTGTATTCATTTCGCTAAATTTGTGTCAGGAATAACGTGTCGTTTCCTGGCTGTTACAGGTCTGTCGCCCCAGCTACAGGCAGTAATAGCGCTGCATCCACTGAAATGATAATATTGGTCAGTGGAGTTGGCTGTCAAATGGGCACTGAGTGATTGGCGAATTGGCGACCTTGCCGGCCCAAAGCCCATTGTAAAAAGCCCCGGTTACCCGTTTACTCCGTCCGTACTCCGTCCAGAAGAGCCGCTATCGTTTCCGGTGCAGCTTGCATATGCACCTCCCCCAAGACATTCCCCGCCTGCGAGCTCCGGCCAAGTATTGGATTTCACAAATGCACGAGGGCAGACATCCGGGTACCTACAGACTTAGGCACACCAGATGGCCCATCTCGATCATTTTGATCCAGATTTCTGTCAGATGGCAGGTTGTGTTTCGTGGTGGTTGTTCGTCCAAGCAACCAAGCAATATCATCAACCAGCGGGCCGCCCGATAAGACGATGGTTCGGTCCCCCCGTTGCGGTTGATAAAAGTGGCAATTAGGTTACGCCACGCGTCTTATGCGTGGATTGTGCGACCCTTCCCCTATCAGCCGAGACAACATGGCTTCGGGGACAATTCGCCGTTGGCACGGTACTTGAAATGTTAGGTAGCAGGTACATATGAGTCGGGGAGCACGCAATAGGCACAAAAGTAAGCTTCTCGCTTCTCGCCTCTCCGCAATCACCCTTCAGAGGGCACCCCAAAACTAAGTATCATCAATGATTCTATATTAACTACAGGCCGGATGCCACAGCCCATCCTGGTAGCTTTTAAAAAAAAGTGTCTTATGCCAGTACCACGTTCCTCATAGGAGCGTCCTCGACTTGCCACGTCAGGCTGCAGCCCCAGGATATGCCCTCAATTCAAAGAACGCATCTGCGGCTGCGCTCCTCCAGCCCATACCGGCTATATTATGCATAATTTCACCGCTTCCATGCTTTGAATCGTGCGGCAGCATCACTGTGCCATGCGACACAACACGCAATTGTTTGTCGGGGGTGCCTTTTGTTCCCGATGGCAGATTCGCGCAGCCGACTTTACCCCCACGGACGTCATCTTATATTGGGTATATGCCTTTGCCGATTATTATGCAAAGTCGAATCATGGGCACGTATTGACGAAACCTGGCCAAGCCTTATTTTCGCTTCCGCAGTCCCATGGTACTTGATCATTCCAGCTTTTGTAAATAGCCTTGTGCAATCAGTCTTTCCACATCACCCTGCCGGACGAAAAACTGACTATTCTTCGTCAAATGCATCGACCTACATTAACGTTAGCCAATGATACAGGCTTTTTTCTTCGTCAAAAGGGTCAGTAAACGGAGAAGAAAAGCTTACCCATATTCCATCTCTATCTGGCCGGCATCCTTCAGCACGCGCACGTCTATAAACAAGTCTCGCGGCGGCTGCAAGCTCCCTGTGAGATCGATATCCGTCCACTGGCCCCTGTACGCCGCCAGCAGCTCGCTGTACTGCCGCACGTAGTCCTCCTCCTGCGGGCTCAGGCTGCTCGTCGCGCGCCCCGTCGCCGTCGTCGCGCGCACCTGCTGGCCCGACAGGTCCGCGACGTCGGAGCCGCTCCAGACGAGCTCCTCCAGCTTGTCCGTCCGCGTGCGGTGGTACGCCAGCAGGCACCGCTTGTTGCGCCGCATCGTCAGGTGGTTCACCAACAGCGTGCACGCCACCGCCTGGTCCGCCGACGGGTCGAACGAGCCCTGGAACGGCTCCAGCAGCGCGACCACGTCCTTCTCCAGATCCCGCACCTCGCGCGTCGCGGCGCGCACGACGTCCGTCAGGTACGGCGGCAGGTGCGCCAGCATCTGCGTCCGCTTCGCGTGCTGCGCCTAGATGTTCGCGCACCGGCATCAGCATCTCCGAACGAGGCAAAGGAAGATTAGCTGTATGCGTATGGAAAACTTACCAACTGGACCCCGAGATCACCATGCATTGCGTGACGAAGTATGATTTATATGGGACAATACAGAATGAACAAGCCGCCATGAAGGTCGCAGCTTTGAAGTGGACGCGCCGAGCCATCATTGGGCAACGCGTCTGCCAATCAATCCGTTTTTACTACCCCGCCAAACCTGGCAGGCTATCTCGAGCGAGCTGTCAATGACCCCGCCATGGACATGCCACACAAGGAAATTTGTCCACAGCTATCTTGGAAAAGGAAGAAAAAAACCGACGTTTCATACCTTATATAGCTACTATAATAGTAAGTACGATATTTAAAAGCTTTTATACCGTTAGTGCTGCATTTTCTTCTCCTATGGAGCAAGCTTCACAGGTAGCATGCCATAGACGACCTCACCAGTATAAAAATGCCCATCAAGTAGCTGTTTACTTTTTTTTTTGTGCAGTCTATGATAAATGTAATGGTATTGATTTTTTTTTTCGTCATAGCCGGACCCCGCATCCCTTGCCCAAATCATTAGGCATCATCAATTCATCGGAGTCATCATATCCCACCATCATGGTTCATTACATCTGTACCCGCAGACAATCGAAAAGCTTACAGCTTCTGCATAGCGGCAATGTCCGACGACTGAACGTAGTCCTCGAAGTCCGCGATCTGCTCCTGGAGCTCATCCAGGGAGACCTTGTCGTCCTCAACGACGAGGTTGATCTGAAGCTTCTTGATACCGAAACCAACGGGGACAAGCTTGGAAGCACCCCAAACCAGACCATCCTTCTCGATACCACGGACGGCAGCCTCAAGAGCAACCATGTCGGTCTCGTCATCTGGAAACAGCGTTAGCACATAGACGGTACTTTCTAGCATTGCTTATTCAACTTACCCCAGGGCTTCACGTCCATGGTGACGACAGACTTGGCAATGGTCTTGGGCTTGCCAGCCTTCTTCTCACGGTAGGCGGCGAGACGCTCCTCACGGATTCTGACGGCCTCGGCATCCTCCTCCTCGTCGTCGGAGCCGAATAGATCGACATCGTCGTCGTCGTCGGCCTCGGCAGCCTTAGCGGGGTTGATGGTGAGGTCGCCAGACTCGGGGCCGTAGGCAGAGTAGGCCTTGGAGGGGTCACCAGGGAGGGTAGCGAACTCGCTCTCGTGGCTGGCAATGTGCTTGTACCATCTAGCAGCGTTGGGGTACTTGTCGGCGGCAGGGGCGGTGCTGAAAGCCTTGAAGACGGCAACATCAGCCTGCGAGGGGCCGTATCTGTATATACTGTCAGCATGCTTTGGTTGGAAGCTTCTGGATGCTGCTGCAAAGAGTGGGTTTGGTTGGGCATTGTTCAGAGATGCATTTCTGCTTGTTGTTTCGTCTGTTGGCGGGTCTTGAGTCCACCTCCGAAACACGGACCAATTGTTCTCATCATGGAATGCTTTGGGAAATTTGGGGTGCAGAAGGGAAGAGGCAGAAGGGAAGAGGCGGGAGGAAGAGGCAAGCCAGCCGTGAAAAAATACTTACCCTACGATGTAGGAGCGGGTAGCAACCCAGTTGTTGAGCACTGGCAAACATGGTCAGTGGCTGCGGTGGCGTGATTATACACTGGGCACTGCAAGGGACATACTGGTAGCTCCAGCATCGGTGAGGAGGTCAGCGAAACCCATTTTGAATGTGAAGAAGAGTAGGTCGAGTCGAAAAGTGACGAGGGAGTTGAGGGGAAGAAATAGGAGGAGGTGGTTGTCTGGTCGATGTGGTAGGTGGGGTTGAGGATTTTTTAACCAAAATCTGGCGAGGGGCCACTTGTGGCACTTGTGGCTCAACGTGCAGCGTGCAAAGTGCAGCAGTTTGGGTTGGTCGGGATAAATATCGGCCCGGCCTAGTTTCCTGTTATCACTGATTTTATGGTGCAACTTGTGGTGTGGCGGTGGTGGCGCATAGTGCATTATTACTGGGAGAGCTTCCCTACGTAAGAGGAGCTGCCTACCTAACCTTGCCGCTGTTCCACACCAATTACAAGACCAGACAATGGCATCGCGTGCAACATCCACAGCATCATACATTTAAGTTCCCTTCCGCGAAACACCACCGCTGAGATTGTCCGCAACCATGCCCACGCCGCTCATCAATTTTAAGGCGGGTCGTTGTGACCTTGATGTATGTCGCAATGCTATGGCGGCATACGATTGTTTGATCACTGACAACTGCTGCTTCAGACCACCACTCACCCATACAAGGCCGAACCACGACCAGACCTCGGATACATTTCCCTCCACTATGAAGATGGTAGGTAACGGAGAAGCCGTGACTGGCGCGCACGCCTAATAACCTATTCGCAGATCTCGTTCGATTCTGTTGGCGAGAGCGTGACGCGCCGCTTAGCCAGGCTGATCTCGAACTTGTAATGGTGCCTACAGATGGCACCTTCGTCCCCTACCAGCCCGATGAAATCGCTCATCCGAGATCAAAGCCAGACGCCCGCATATTCGTCCTCAAGTTTGCGTCTTCGTCACAGCGTCACCTCTTTTGGCTCCAGTCAAAACCGCAGGACAGCAGCAACCCCAGCCTCCTGAGCCGTCGCGACCGTGAGATAGGCGAGATTGTCAACCGTATCCTGCAAGGCGAAGACTTCCGTGTCTCTGAAGCGGTCGACCGACTCCGTGCCATGAACGAGCGACGCGATGACGATGAAGACGAAACTATGGAGGACGCCGAGGGCCAGGGCTCAGGATCCCGTCAACGTCACGGCAGTGGTGGTGCCGGCGCTGGTGCCACAGGAGGGGATATCAGAGAGGAGGGCGAGGAATCTAGAGAAGGTGGTTCCGACGGTGCGAGAGCGTAGGTCTACCCTGATTCACTTCTTCATGTTGCCCGTTCACGCCGGAAACGACATACTTCGCTTGGCCAGCATGTAATAATAGACAATTTTTTCCCCTGTGGGCAAAGATACTATGCGATTGGCGTGAAATGTCTATAACCTTGGCTACCTCGTGTAAACATTGCTGACACTTCGCTTCCAGAGCCCCAAATGATGCAAGAGACGCGAGCGCTGCGGTGCAGAGGTTCTTGAGCTCCATCTCGAACACCAAGCTCCCAGGCGGCCTGGGTCAAACACAGCGGGGTGGCGATTTGCCCTACCCCTATCTCAACCATCTTCTATCTACCTCAATCACGGTTCCCATGGTGAATGAAGCGTCGGAGGTCTTCATCAACACTCTACTTGACCACCTTCCTCCCTCAATCATCGTTATGACTGCAGACGCTACAGATGGTGACGACAGCACGGCGGAGCCCAGTCCCACGGCTGTTGAGGCGGCTAAGGCGTCGTTATCTATTTCCGAGAAGCGAGCATTGGTAACAACGGTGCTACGGAGCCCCCAATTTCACCAGGCCCTTGGGACGCTGACAATGGCTCTGCGAGATGGTGGATTACCCACTGTTGCCGGGGCTCTTGGGGTAAATGTTGAGAATAATGGCTACATTCAGCAGAGCGGCATGCCATTGGGCGGCGGCCACGCGGTCAAGGCATTCGTCGATGGTATCACCAAGTCTGCCAAGGAGCAGTCAAAGTGAGGACTCGCGTATTTGCTGCGTAGAAAGTTGGCATAGGTGTATAGATGCAAATGCACTTTCCCTATAAAAAAATGAAAAATAGAAAGGTGCAATTATGAAAGCCGAAATTAGAGTCAATTGAGTAAAACTTCCAGGCACGTGAATGCTATTTGTTGCACATGGCCCTTTGACGTATGCTAGTTGGGTGGTTCCAGATGTTTACTTGCAATGGTGCCCCACGCATCTAAGCAACAGATCCCGAAGATCTGCTGCCTGCGCCGGAAGCTTTCTTCAACAACACTGCGACGAAAACCACAGCTTTTCCTACGGCTCGCGATCGCGAATCGAATATCTATAGTTATGGATGCTCCTTTTCCTACCGAAGTACAGGAATTCGACGGCGATGACCGCATCTCCTTCTCAAAGCTGGACAGCAAGTTCATTGCTGTCCGGGACGATGGCGCCGAGTTCGAGTTTGACGCCGAGCGCCGCGTGTGGCAGCCCTTGGATGAGCATACAGAAGAAAAACATCCGAGTCAAAAAATATCACAGGAAGCGCAAGGGGTAGAATCCGGGAGTGGAAAAAGAAGACACGAGGAGGAGGATAATGGATCAGAGGTGCGCCACACAAATGAGCTTCTTGTTTGAGATTGTTCATACCTGACTGGAGAATTGTTTTATGGCCATGCAGAGAAGCTGACCATGCGAGTTTAGTTACAGGATTCGAAGAAGCTGAGGCGCCAGAAGAAACCCAAGGCGGCACCGCAGCCCAAACAAAACACGGCCGTTTACGTCACCGGCCTGCCCCTCGATGCGACGGTCGACGAGGTGCATGAGCTGTTCTCGCGCAAGGGTGGCGTCATTGCCGAGGAGATTGACAGCGGCGACCCGAGGATCAAAATGTACAACGACGCGGACGGCAACTTCAAGGGCGACGCGCTCGTCGTCTTCTTCAAGCCCCAGAGCGTCGAGATGGCCATCATGCTGCTCGACGATACCGAATTTCGAATAACGGCGAGCGGCGCGCGCCATGGTCGCATACGGGTGCAGGAGGCCGACTCGAGCTACAAGAAGGTGCAGTACGACCTGGACGGCGCGAGCGAGCGCAGCGGCGGCGCCACGCCGGCCAGCAGCAGGAGCAACGGCAACAGGGAGCGCCGCCCGCCCACCAAGGACCGGCAAAAGATTATCAAGAAGACGCAAAAGATGGACGCCAAGCTGGCGGACTGGAGCGATGACGACGCGCCGGCCACAGGCGCGGGCGCCGTGCCGGGCGGCTCCAAGTGGGACAAGACGGTGGTGCTGCAGCACATGTTTACGCTGCGGGAGCTCGAGGACGACCCTGCGGCGCTGCTAGAGATCAAGGAAGACGTTCGCGACGAGTGCTCCAAGCTGGGCACGGTGACGAGCGTCGTGTTGTACGACGAGGAGGAGGACGGCATCGTGACGGTCCGGTTCAAGGATGCCGAGTCGGCCTTGGCGTGTATCAAACTGATGCAAGGGCGTAGCTTTGGCGGCATGCGGGTTGAGGCCGCGCTGGCGACGGGCAAAGAGCGATTTCGAAAATCCAAGGCGAATAATGATGACGTGTCTGACTAGGGTTTGGCTGGGACGCTCCCGGCACCGTGTACGATATTTGTTAGACTTAACATCTTTACAGAAGACACATGGCTTTTAGCCAAGTCATGTTCCAGAATTGAATATCTTGCGTTGTCCGGCTAGTTATGACATATTGGTACGCATATCAACGACAATAGTACGTAGCCATGCTTGTATAATCTACATTGCAATCTGGAAGAGTGTCATATCCGTTATTGTGGGTGTCAAAGAATAATACGGCAAGCACGAAGAAGGTCAAATGAATCTTAGAACAATGGCGATAGCCAAGGAGTAGCAGTGAGATCTCGATGGCTGTTTAGATTGGGCACTGAGGGAGGAGAAGGGCTTCTAGACTTCTCCTCCCTCAGTGCTTTCTCGCAGCAATCCCGCTATTTAGCACCGCCTCTTCACACTTGACTCGCTATGGGTGGGCATTCGCCTAGCACATCAACAACTACCAACAGTCCCACGCAAAGCTCCAGATCAGGGAGAAGTCTTTCTGGGACGACCGAAACCCCAGACGCAGCGATACCTTTTTCTCACAAGCTCACACCGACGCCAAACACAACATTCATCGTGATGTTTGCACGTGGACCGAGGATTCCTGCAATCGAACCCAAGCGTTCCTTTTCGCGCAGTCAATGACCGTTTTCCAACATGGATATCCGGACCGACAACTTACCAACCTCCAGCGCCGTGGAGTTGGCCAGCGCGGTAATGGTGCCGATAATGGCAGCCAGAGCAACGAAGAAGCGCATCGCAAACGGAGTGTCTCGAAAGATGGAAACCCTTAAACTTGGGTTAAACTTGGGTTTGATAGAGATTGCTATCGTTGTCAGGTAATTCTTGTTCTACGCGACTTCAAAGTCAGGTCCAGCCACGTTTCTGGTCAGCAACAAAAAAAGTAAAAACACAAAACGAATTGCGCATTTTTTTTTCTTCGAGTAGCGTACAGTACTTGAACCAATATTTGATCGCGTAAAGTTAAATTATCGAAGAAGTGATGTCCTCGCTGCCTCAGGTCGACGGCGCTGGCTTCCTCGGCGTTGCCATGCCAACGATTGCTTGGGCTGGCGGCACCACTCCAACACTCCAGGCCCAATTCAGATAGATGCATGGGCAGTGTGTGCCATTGTCTCCCGTCTCTCTAATAAATATCCTTTCTGTGCCCTTTTCACATTCCAATCACTTACCAAAAAAGGAATATCGCTATCTTGAAACCAGTTCCATCACGAGTCTTGGTTTGGCACTAGCTGCAAATATTAGTTGCGACCGAACGACAAGCTCAGAAAACGAGTGGACGTGGGCGTATATTATCGAGCTTCTGTCACTGGGTGAGAAAGGAAAAGAATCCTTCCTTCATTCTACAGCTAGTTAGTGGTATTGAATACGTTGCTGACTGCGGTAAAGCAGCCTAGCCAACCGCAGAGAGCATGGGACTGCTATCCGACGCGCTGCGACCGCGGCAGCAGCAGCAACAATTGCCAGTATACCAACGGCCCGGATCACCCTCAAAAGAGCGATACTCCGACGACGACTACTACTACTCCGATGAAGACGACAGCTCTTCGTCGTCACGGCCCAGCAACTCTGGGTACAGCTCACGCAGCGTCTCGGACACGATTGGCAGTAGCAGCAACAGCGGCGGAGCGCTGCTCCTACCAAAGCGACCCAAAGCCAGGTCATCCAACAGCCTAGGCTTCTTCAGCCGATATCGTTTCAGGTTACCGACGAAGCTGACACGATATGTGCTGCTCGTCGTCCTGGGCACCACTCTACTCTTTATCTTCTCGTTGGTACGGGCCAGTCAGGTCGAAAACTGGAAAGTCGTCAACGGCAAGGTGCCGACGCGGCCGGCACCACCTCCAGTTTGGGAAAAATTCCCCTTCTTGGAGCGTTATTATGGTGGAATTAGGACACTAGTGCCTCTCAACGAGAGCGAGCCAGAGTATCCCCGGGAGAACGAGCCCATCCCTATGGAACGCCCTAGTTCTGCGGAGGACGAGGATCCCGAGAATGAGACGAGGTCCGAAACGAACCCCAAAGGAAAAGAGACAATCGAAAAGAAGGCAGTTCCTCCGAGCATGGTATGGAGCGATTACCGCAATCGATCAGTGGAAGCCGACATACAGGAGTGTTTCATTGATCCGGCGAATCAGATTCGGGTTCCCGAGCTTCGCTACTACACTGGCCGACCCCATGGCTTTCCGATGCATATTGGCGGCTCCTACGAGATGCTCAACCTGCCAGAAGACATGTGCTTCGAGCGATACGGCCGCTACGGTCCCTATGGATTTGGCTACTCTACCCGCACGGGTGGTCTCGGCACAGGCGAGCACAGCGAAAACGAAGGCGCCGAGCTAGTCTGGGACAGCAGACTCCAAGTTGACTTCAGAGATGTTGACTGGGCAGAGACTCAGCGCCGCTGTTTGCGGTCTAATGCCCACAGATTCAAGGCTTTACCGACAAGAAAGATTGGCTCACAGGGCTTCGTCAATGCAGTGCTAGAGTCTGACAAAAATCAGAAACGCGGCGAAGACGAGACTGTAACGCCTCCCTTGTCCACAGAGACAAAGGCGACCGATGACGACGACAGCATTGCCAAGAAAGGAAGGACAGCCATTGTATTCCGGTGCTGGGACGAGTTCTTCTTCCGTGAAGACGACATTGCCAACCTTAGATCAATGATTATGGAGCTCTCGCTCGGTTCTGGTGGCCGCTATGATGTGCACCTCCTGGTTCAGGTCAAGAACGATGGCGCGCACCCTGTCTGGGCGGACCAAGAAGCTTATGAGCAGCGGATTCGCGAAACCATCCCCAAGGAGTTCCAAGGTCTCGTTACTCTGTGGACAGAGACACAAATGCTCTCGATCTACCAGGGCATTCATGACAAGTGGACAGTTGGACCGGACCACTCCGTTCATGGGTCCTACCGCGGCCTCGTCATGGCTATGCAGTACTTCGCGTACCAACACCCGGAATATGACCACTTTTGGCATTGGGAAATGGATGTCCGCTATACCGGGCATTACTACGATCTGTTGACCAAGATCGAGTCGTGGGCCCAAGAGCAGCCGCGCAAGGGCCTGTGGGAGCGCAATGCGCGCTTCTACATCCCTGCTACGCACGGCTCGTGGGACGACTTCAAGCATCTCGCACGCGTGCAGACGGAGACAGGCACGGTTTCGGCGGACAACGTCTGGGGCAACCTGCCCACACTCAACGAGGGCGAGTCGCAGCAGCGGACGCGCAAGGGCGACCGCTCCGTCTGGGGCCCGATCCGGCCCGCCGACGAGAACGACTGGTTCGAGCACGAGGACGACCCCGTGCCGCCGACGACGTACGAGAGCGACAAGTACCAATGGGGCGTCGGCGAGGAGGCCGACTACATCACGCTCAACCCCGTGTTCAACCCCGAAGGCACGACATGGGGCCTGCGCGACGACATTACGGGCTTCAACGAGTCACACCCGCCGCCACCGCGCCGCGCGAGCATCATCACGACGTCGCGCATGAGCCGTCGCTTACTGCTATCGATGCACCGCGCGACAACGTTCAAGAAGCAGTTTGCCTTTGCCGAGATGTGGCCCGCGACCGTGGCGCTGCACCACGGCTACAAGGCCGTGTTCGTGCCGCACCCGCTCTTCGTCGACCGCAAGTGGCCGGTCGAGTACCTGGCGAGCACGCTCAACGCGGGCCGCAACGGGGCCGCCGGCGGCGCCCGCGCGAGCGTCTACGGCGCCCGTGAGCACAACCTCCGCGGCCTCTCGTGGTTCTACAACACGGGCTTCGCACCCAACCTCTACCGCCGCTGGCTCGGCCTCCGCGTCAACAACGACGGCGGCGAGGACTTTGAGAAGACGGAGGACAGCAGCCGCCAGGGTGACGGGGTGGGTGCCATGCCGGGTGGTGAAGGGCGCATGTGCCTTCCGCCCATGCTGCTCCATCCCATCAAGGAAGTTGAGCTCGCGGTTGAGGCGCCCCCGGAGGAGGCCGAGGAGGCGGTTGAATCGGACCCCACGGCGTGAGGGAAGCGAGGGATGGCCCCCCGGCCTTGTTGATTTTTCTTTTCTGATTTGTTTGCCATGTTGAGCGCATAGAATGTTTGGAACCTGTAAAGAGTGAAAGCGAGGACATGGAAGTTTATCTTGACTGATTAATGATACCGAATGCTCATGCATCTATCTATGATTATGAGACTTGAAGAGAACAGTACATACATGAGTATCAAAAAAGTCACCGTTACTTGAATGAATGCACGCCGAAATGTGATTGTGTCTTCCTTTAAAACAAGTACTTCGTACACTTGATATCCATTTCCCTCGCACGACTTGAATAACAAAGTCTTGGCCAAAGATGTCCCTCTACCAGAGATTTTTCCATCCCATCATTGCCCCCTTCCTTTATACGCCTGCTGTATGTGTGTAGCTTCCTCGCAACAAGCTCCATATGACAAGTTGCGAGTGATTAATAAGAGCTGATCTCCCATGAATTTGTAAAATCATGCGCTCCTCCGGTTTCGATGTTGTTTGATCTGAGTAGTTTATTCCATTTCAGCGTCGGTAGTCGCAGAAAAAGAATGACGTGAATTTCCCCAATCCCTTTTGCTTCAGCGTAGTAGTTTCCCGCATCCGCGAGACACAGCAGAAACAAGTCTTAGACGACGCGCTTCACCTCGAAGAAGCGGCGGAGCCACCAGACCTGGAAGAGGGACTCGCCGACGACGACGCCAATGACGAAAAGGTTCCACCACTTGACGCGGGCGTTTGTGCTCTCGGCGGTGTTGCGGTGGGTGCGCTCGCGCATGACAATGTACTGCTGCTCATCCTTGACCTCGGCGAGGAGGTCGGAGAGGCGCTTGACTGAAGCGAGGGGGAGTGACTTGTTAGCGATCATGATCGGGCTTTGGGGCTGGGAGGGGTTGCCACATGTCAATCCATACCTTCGGCATCCAGAGGATCAGACTTGTACTCGGACTCGCTGACGTAGACGACGCCGTGGACGTTGAAGGAGACCTCTTTGCTGTTGGCGCCCCAGTGCTGGTTGCCAAAGCAGTAGGTGTACTTGCCGTCGTACTTGGCGTCGAAGCTGTGGTCGCCGTTGGAGACGGACTTTTCGTTGATTTCGTACTGGCCGACCGGGTTGGTGATCTGTCTCGACGGGATTGCGCGGTTAGCAGTTGACTCGAATCAAGACAGGCAGCGTAGTCAAGCAGCCATGCTCAGCGCAAGTCTGGCCATCAATGACACATTTCCGGACCGACTCCATGCCACGCAGACGTAATTCCCAAATCTACAGGGGGGTGGGTTGATGGTGCGGGTGTACCCAAAAGTCAATGTCGAGGTTGCCGGCGCTGCCAAACTCGCGATCGCCGACCTGGTAGGTGACGCTCATCTTGTCATCCTTGTGCAGGCTCTCGTAGAAGCACTCGAGGCCGTGGGCGGGCAGGACGATGTTGTGCGCGGAGGCCGTCGAGGCCGCCACCGCGGCGACGAGCAGGGCCCTCGTGGCGGAGAGGAAGTGCATTGTGAAAATTCGGGGGTTGAGAAAGATACGGACACGAATGCTGCGCAAAGAAAAAGATACCGAGTTTGAAAGAGAGAGGCAAGGCGCGCGCGCAGATGGGACTAGACTGGAAGAAAGGGAAGCTCCTGGATGTCGGCGTGGATCCACGTATCGCGAATTGACACCTTTTCGCAGGCCAGCAGCTAACTGCGCTGTTGTAGCAGCTTCCCCAGCCACAGTGAAGGGAGCTCGGGGGCTGTGGCTTGTGGTGTGGCTCTCCCCTATCTTTAAGTTCAGGAGAAAATCCAATTCACGGGCAGTCGTCGGGAAGGAACCACAGTTTTACCGACATACGATACCAGCGGAGTACTTGTGGAGGGGCCGGTTTTGGCCTGGTCGTTAGTGGAGTCGCGTGCTCAGCGCATGTCACGGTGGAGTACAGCAGCGAGGAACACGAAAGCTTTTTTTGTACCAGGCGTACTCCTTCGATGACCCCCTATTTCCAGCGCCCACTTTTACCACACTCAGGAATTTAGGCGGACTCGAGGAGGAAGCCGCTAGAAAACGCGGAAGATTTTAGGGGGAAGTGGCCTGTAAGGTTCTCGCTCCAGGGGTTACAGGAGGTCTTGGCGGGTGCTGACGGGCGTTTCGCGGGGGAGCACAGCGTTGCCCGAGGAAAAACACCCGATGCCGCCTGATTGCACCTGGAGGGGTTCATTATCACCTTGAGCTTTGACCTGGACTGCTCAGTTCGCTGGCAACCGGCTACCTCCCCTCAACCGCTCACTCAGCTGCCGGCTCACCTACACCGACAAAGCCTCCTAGCCACCCCCAAAAAACCATTAATCCCACCACCATCCAACATTCTTTTTGTTGCTTCTGTGTCATCACAACCTCGCCGACCTCCCACGACGAACGTCCGACGAAAGAGTGAGTTTACCCGCCGCCCCTCCTATACCGTTCTACCTACATATCTCGCTCTCGCCTCGTCCTGCTCGCTGCTCCCGCCTGATCTTTACTGCGCTGCTCCAGACAGAGGCCCCCACACACGGCCGCGTCCAAGGATGACAACCCACGGAACGCTGGCTCCGGTCAACGGGCAGCTGCCTGGCCGAAGAAACGGATCATTCTGCGGCCTGGACAATTGCTCGAGTGAATGACCGCTGCCTAGCCCATTCAACTGGATAGTTGTCCCTATGTGAGGCTGTGGCGGCGCACAAGGCACATGTGTCCTCTGCGATGCGGTTGGGATAAATGGCTCGGCGATGCGCATCACGACGGACAGCTGGCCAGCACATGGAAGCAGACTCATCAATCCTACCCTCGATCCCTTTCCCATTCTCCTTCCAATTTTTGTTGGATTTTTTCCTGCCCCCCTCCCATCGCGCATCTGCCATCTGCATCACCAAGGCTGGCGTCATTGCTTAATCGGAGAGCGGGCCTGAAAAAACCCCTCCTTAGTTAAGCCCATCCGCCGCCGCTGAACTAACCCGTGGCAACTAGGACACACCTCTCTTTCTCTCCCTCGTCCAACATCCCACCAACGCCACCACCAACACACGTCTACCTTTGTCGCTGAAAGCGTTGTCGTCGGCTCAGTCGCCAAAGTTGCAATCATGGGTCTCGCTTTTTCCAAGTTGTTCGATAAGTTGTGGGGGAAGAAGGAGATGCGAATTCTCATGGTCGGTCTCGATGCCGCCGGTAAAACCACCATTCTCTACAAGCTCAAGCTTGGTGAGATTGTCACCACCATCCCTACCATTGGTACGCCCTCTCGATCCCATCCGCTGAGCCGGCGCGCATTTTATCGCGATTAAGACGCGCGTCGGGGTGCACCCCAGCCTCGCCCTCGTCGTCTCCGCCGCTCGCTAACCCGCCACCCCCCTTAGGATTCAACGTCGAGACCGTCGAGTACAAGAACATTCAGTTCACCGTCTGGGATGTCGGTGGCCAGGACAAGATCCGCCCCCTCTGGAGACACTACTTCCAGAACACCCAGGGTATCATCTTCGTCGTCGATAGCAACGATCGTGACCGTATCGTCGAGGCCCGCGAGGAACTCCAGCGCATGCTCAACGAGGACGAGCTCCGTGATGCCATCCTCCTCGTCTTTGCCAACAAGCAGGATCTTCCCGTACGTATTTTCTTCGCGTCTTCTCACGCACCCAGTCGTCTGGTAATCTCTCCAAAACTAACTCTCGCGCCTACAGAATGCCATGAACGCTGCCGAAATTACGGACAAGCTCGGCCTCCACAGCCTGAGACATCGCGGTTGGGTACGTCTTTTCGCATCCATCACTCTACCCGCCCCCAACGCTCCTCCCGCTAACCGGCATTCCAAAAACAGTACATCCAGTCCACCTGTGCCACCTCTGGAGATGGTCTGTACGAGGGTCTTGAGTGGCTTGCCACCACCCTCCGCAAGGCTGGTCATCAGTAGAAGAACAGTCGTGAGGCCCTCTGATCAGATTCCCGCCTTCTCCTTCCTACTACATTGTTTCGTACCCTCTCACGTCGGTTTCCACGTCAAAAATCGAAGGATTCGATTGTAATTTGCAAACTTGTATCGGTCAACAAAATCGAAATTAGTTCATAAACACAACATCGGATGTTTCGTCCGGTGCCCCCTCGCCTGATTGTTTTGCCCTACTTTTCTCCTGTGGTGTGTGCCCTGGCTCCGTGTGGCTAGAGCAGCCTCTTGCGTCCCTTCTGATTCTTCTTTTTCTTTTTCTACCACTGCTTCCGGTCTGTTGATCCTGTCTGTTGGGGGAACTACGCGTCTTGCAAACTTTTGCGGTTTCAGGCGAACTCGTCTTTTTACGGCGTACAGAATATTGAAAATGGAGGAGGGAGTCTTTGGATCCTTTTTTTTCTACACGAAGGGGGGCAAGCATGGCAGTGATTATTAGGGGCGACCAAGGCATCGGATGATCGCATACTTTTGTTGCCTGAGCAAACTGAAGTGGTGGTACGGAAATGCATAGGCTGGTAATTTGCAGGACAAGAGTTGGAGGGGAGAGTTCTGGTTGGTCTTCCGAAACGTTTAACATGGGTATCATGAAGTTCCGAACTTTTTAGATGCGGTGTTTGCTTTGGTCTGGTTCTTGTTTCTTCTTGATCTTTTTTACACGACTTGAAAAAGAAACCCGAAAAAAATTTAACCCAAAAGTTTCCGTTCACCTAGATGTTAAACGTTGCTGTGATGTGTATCTCCTCCTCATCTCCAGCAACAGAGACGTACAGTAGCTGAGTTGCCATATAAGAGGCACTATTGACAGCGAGGAGAATGGCTGGTACATACTACCCCAGCTGCAGGATGCAGCAAAATTACTATTGTGGGAGCTACGCCGAGGCTGCACGTGAGCACCGACCAGACAGGTGACAAATACTTGGTAGGGAACATTGACATGCTTGGCGCAGGCAAGAGAGGAATCAGGCAGAAATTTTTTGTATTATTTGTGTGTGATATTACATGTTTCCTTCAATTCCGTGGGTATCAACAATGAGGAGGGTATGTGGTCTATGCTTGATAACAAAGCAATCAGCCTCCCAGAAAATCAAAAGCGCCGTATTCATTATCCCCCAAAAAAATCATAAGAGGATACAGAAACGAGTTTCAACATGTTTTTACAGTATTTGTGCAGGGTACAGGCCAGCTTTAAGCAGCTTCGGCCGCCAGCGAAGCCTCCTCTGCTGTGGAGGACGTGTTGATCACCTCCAGGCTCGACTGGTCATCCTTGATGCGAACTGTCGCCGTCTCGCCCATTTTGAGCTTGCCGCGAATGATCTGGTCCGCGAGGCCGTTGCCAATCTCGTTCGTGATGAGGCGGTTGAGCGGGCGGGCACCGTACTTGGGGTCGTAGCCGCGGTCGGCGAGCCAGTCGCGGACGTCGTCGCGGACGGCGAGCGTGATGCGGCGGTCGTCGAGGCGGTGCTGAAGCTCACGCAGGCGAATGTCGACAATGTCGCGGATGGCAGCGCGTGAGAGCCGCTTAAACAGGATGAAGGAGTCGATGCGATTCAGGAACTCCGGCGGGTAGGCGTGACCGACGACGTCCATGACGGCCGCGCGCACCGAGGGGTCCATCTCCCCGGCGGCATCCTCGCTGTACGGGTGCAGAGGGTCCTGTCCGACGAGGATGTCGGCGCCGAGGTTGGATGTGAGCACAATTATGGTGTTCTTGAAGTCGACCTTGTGGCCCTGCGCATCCGTCAGGTAGCCCTCGTCGAGCACCTGCAGCAGTAGCGCCGAGATGTCGCGGTGCGCCTTTTCGAACTCGTCAAAGAGCAGTACAGCGTACGGCTTGCGGCGAACCGCCTCGGTCAGCTGCCCGGCATCGTCGTAGCCGACGTAGCCCGATGGTGCGCCGATGAGCCGTGAGATGGTATGCTTCTCCTGGAACTCGGACATGTCGAAGCGCACCACCGCCGACTCGGTAGAGAAGAGGAAGCCGGCGAGCTTCTTGCAGAGCTCTGTCTTGCCGACGCCCGTCGGACCAAGGAAGAAGAAGGATGCTAGTGGCTTGTTCTCGCCGCTCAGACCGGCGCGCTGCAGGCGCACCGCGTTGGAGACGGCTTTGATGGCGTCGTCCTGGCCCTTGACGGCCTCTCTAAGGCTGTCCTCCATGTGCACCAGCTTCTCGATATGACCCGAGGTCAGCTTGGAGACGGGGATGCCGGTGATTCGAGAAACTACCGCTCCAATATCGTCAGAAGTGACGCTGTCGTGTATAAGTGTGCTGTCGTTGGGTTGTTCCTGTTCTGGTTCTGCGGGCAGCTTCTGCTCCAGATCTGGAATTACTCCGAACCGCAGCTCGGAAGCGCGCCCAAAGTTGCCGGTGCGCTGAGCCTGCTCTAACTCAAACCGCGCCTTATCCAGATCTTCTTGAATCTTCTTGACGGCGTCGAGCTCTGACTTTTCCTTGTCCCATCTGGCGTTTAGTTCGGAGATTTCATCCTGGTGCTTCTTGAGCTCCTTCTCAAGCTTCTCTCGTCGCTCTTTGCTGGCAACATCTTTTTCCTTGCGCAGACTTTCCAGTTCGATCTGGATCGTCATGATTTTGTGGTCGAGGCGCATAATATCTTCGGGCTTAGACTCATGCTGTAGCTTTAGGTGACTAGCAGCTTCGTCCATCAGATCAATCGCCTTGTCGGGAAGGAATCGATCGGTAATGTAGCGGTTTGATAGCGACGCGGCAGCTACAAGAGCGCCATCTGAGATGCGGACACCGTGGTGCACCTCGTACTTGTCTTTGATACCTCGCAGAATGCTAATTGTGTCTTCCACGGTCGGTTCGTTGACAATGATGGGCTGAAAACGTCGAGCTAACGCAACATCCTTCTCGATAAGTCGATACTCAGCAAGTGTCGTGGCACCACAGCATTGCAAATCGCCGCGGGCTAACGCAGGCTTGAGCAAGTTGGAGGCATCAATAGAACCTTCCGCCTTGCCTAGGCCCAGCAGAGTATGAAGCTCGTCAATGAAGAGAATCACTTCGCCCTCGGCCTTTTGTACTTCATCAAGCACCTTCTTCAGTCTTTCTTCAAAATCGCCGCGAAATTTAGCGCCAGCAATGAGGGAGCCAAGATCCAAAGATATGACTCGCTTGTTCTTGATGCTTTCAGGGACGTCGCCTTGGATGATGCGTAGCGCCAGTCCTTCCAGCACTGCCGTCTTTCCGGTGCCAGCGTTACCGATCAGTACCGGGTTGTTCTTCGTTCGTCTTGATAGAATTTGGATTGTTCGTTGGATTTCGGCATCGCGGCCAATGACGGGGTCGAGTTTGCCGTCGCGAGCACGAGCTGTCAAATCGACACCAAACTGCTCCAGGGCGGGCTTCTCCTCCTCGCCCCCCATGTTCATACGGTGTGTGCCTCCCGGCGGATGAGGCCCTCGAGCACTCACATACATCCGTGCTGATATAGTCGGTAAAAGCCGCGCAGAGGCCGCACATCGTGCAAGAGCTCTTGCGCCAGCAATAGAAGTTGGTCTATATGTTCGTGTGGCGGCACCAGCTAGGCGCTGGGCCGACGTTATTATTTGTCTTCGAGCTTGCATAGTGTACAGATCAAGTTGCAGCTGCGGTGGAATAGGAATGCCGGAAAATCGAGAATCAAGTCATTGCGCCCCGAGAGTCAATGAGAGGCGGGTATTATCTAGTCCCTCGCCATGAGCTGTCACTGGAAGAAGCTCTAACAACTTTCTAGCGGAGCCGCGAGCTTTCGCGCACCTTCTGCGAGCGCCAGTTCGAGGCAATGGCGGTAAAACCACAGCGACTAAACCACATTAGGGCGACTGGTGGCACCGGCGTTGAATATCTTATCATCACGTGCACCCAGCCCCGTATCCGCACAAGTCACTAAGCAAGGCCAGTACGTACCGTCGCCCTAAGCGGCTTAGTGTCAGAGGGTTCACATTTTGCTTCCCACAAACTCGCCTAGCGGCTTTCACAAAGAAATCTAACATTTTGGGCTGGCCATCACGAACGTGTCTTCCCTTCCTTCCCTCTCCACACCTCGATACCAGACACAACCAGAGTCAAAATGTCGACAAAGCCCACGACCAAGAAGTTCGGCAAGTCGACCCGGGAGGTCCCCGCGGCGGCGGACAAGGCGAAGAAGTGGTACAACGCCGACGACGAGTCTGACCCCAAGCAGGTGAGTTTGGTGATGATTGGCAGTGACGTGATGGCATTCGCGAATATCTTTGGTTTGGGAACAACACCTCTACGCTACGACGGAAAGCATGGCGACGCTGCTGAGCATCGGCGACGACCTCGAGAGTGACATTGGCTCTGAACCATCAACCCCCCGCCGCGACAACGATGTCAGCCAAACCGCAGCTAGACGACCGATGGAGCGCTACTGGATCAACCAAAGCCAACTCGAGTTGCGATGATGCGCAATTGCTTTCGCCTATGCTTTCTGCCTGCTAGAGATGTGTTGCCAAAAAATTGATATTTTGCTATTTTGTGCGCTCGGGTCGTCGCCAGCACATGCGCGAATGAGGGCAAGCAGCTGACCACGATTGTTCTTTGATGCAGGTTCGCAAGGCCATCCGCCCCTGGGCTCCCCGCGCCTCTCTCCAGCCCGGTACCGTCCTGATCCTCCTCGCCGGCCGCTTCCGTGGCAAGCGCGTCGTCCTCCTCAAGAACCTCGAGCAGGGTGTCCTCCTCGTCACCGGTCCCTTCAAGATCAACGGTGTCCCCCTGCGCCGCATCAACTCCCGATACGTCATCGCCACCTCCGTCAAGGTCGACATCTCCGGCCTCGACCAGAAGAAGGTCGACGAGGTCGCCCAACCAAAGTACTTCACCGCCGAGAAGGCCAAGGAGAAGGCCGGTGCCGACGCCTTCTTCAAGCAGGGCGAGAAGCCCCAGGTACGTATTTGGAGCCTTCGCCACCGGTTATGATATTTTTTTTCGCTGGGACTTTCCGCCAGCGGAAAAAAGGGTCAAACCCGGTAGCTGCAATGCATTGCAACATGCTAACGCATTACCTATAGAAGAAGCAGATCAGCAGCAGCCGTGCTGCCGACCAGAAGGCCATCGACAAGGCCCTGATTGCCAGCATCAAGAAGGTCGAGATGCTCCCCAGCTACCTTGCCAGCTCCTTCTCCCTGCGAAAGGGCGACAAGCCCCACGAGATGGCTTGGTAATTGTCCGATAACGAGAAAAGAAAAAAAAGCAAAGAAAGAGCAGAAGAGCAGTCAAAACAACACATTTTTCCACATAGGTCCCTTTTTTTTATAATGCGAATCTAAACGTCTCATTTTGGTCATTTTATGTCTCGTCCTTTTCCAGGGAGACAGGGAGGAACCATTCGGTGAAAACGATATGGATTTCGCATTTGTGAAGTGAAGCTGGGTGGACATTGGAGGGACGCTTCTGGTCATCTGCGCTTCTTGCCCTCTAACTCTTGTTTTTTACCTTCTTTACTCGAGACGGATGACGTTCCGCGAGGGGACAAAAAAACACACAAAATTACGAACAAGGAGGCGAAAGCGACAAGGAAGAAAGAAGGACAAGGACAGAATGTGTGGTCACTTGTCTTGTCTTTCTTTGTTCTTCCTTTTGATTTTTTTACGAATGGTTTCTGGTTCGCGCAGCAGCCCGGGGTGTCGCGACGGTTGCTGTCGAGGAGAGAGGATTTGGTGTTTGTAGAAAGGGAAAAACGGGTTTTCCGACACCTGCATTTGGAAGTCGAAACGGGCATTCGGTCACATCTTGGCGTCTGTAATTAGGTTTTTACAGTCAAAGAAAATTCAAAAAAGACCATTGACAAATTTCAACGGCTATATCCATCTTAGTGATGATCGTAAACCCACAGGACCCTTATATTACAAAGAGCTCTTACTTCCTCGGATCGCACAATGGTGCAAGTGGATATATTGCTCCCACAACGTCTAATAATATGATGTCTTTCAGGCTGTTATCAAGGAACCTACCGTAAGCACACAAATTTTTCAACTTGAATCGATTTTATGTAGTACATTTGTTTTTAATGTGCCTAATATAGTCCTCAACTTTCTATATACCAAAAAGGATATTTCTACTTTTACAGCTTACGGTCCGCCCAGCTCTGAAGGAATGCCTCCAGCGTAGCATCGTAAGTCTGGAGGGTAACCTTGCCAGTAGCTTCATCCAGGTGCGTGTTGGCCTGGACAAAGACTTTACGGGGTTGCCTGTTTGCAAGGACGGCGTCACGGACCTTAGTTCCCCAGAAGTCGAGACCGACGTTGGTCATGCGGTTGTAGATATCAAGGCCGGATTGGATGTCGGCGGTGCTCTTATAAATGTGAAGCTTCTGCAGGTAGTCTCCGACAGCTGTTTCAGATATTAGCAACTGCATTCAACGAGGCGTGTTTACGGAAACCTATGTAAGCACTTACCTCGTCGACCAGTGGTCAAGATCTTGGAGCGGTCAAGGTTGATAGTAAGATCCGACAAGTCCTCCTTGGTGTAGTCGAGCTTGCAGAAATCATCGCCAGCCTCGATGAAACACTTGAGGATAGAGAAGCGCGCCTGAGAGTGAGCTTGCCCCCACTTCTGGCTTTTAGGATCCCACATCTCGACAGCGCCGAGACCTGCTTTGGCCATGCCCAGATATGAGGCGTAGAGAACGTCACCAGCCTCATTGTCCATATTTTCGGTACCATCACCGAATCCAAAGATCTTGAGAACTTGGAAATCACAGGATAGGAACATGGCTACAAGTTCAGCACGGCACTCCTCATAAGAGGCAGCGATGGCGCCAAATACCGAGCCCCAGGTCTCGCCGGGTTTGTACCAAGTCGAAATCGGCTTCTTTGTGATGGGGGAGATAGGCGGGTTGGCATTGTCAAAGTTGAAGACGCCCGGAGCAGTCTCTTGAAGAAGTTTTCCGCAGCCGTGTCCTATTGCGTGTTAGTATGGTCTTTTTTGCTTGCTCTTTATGCCATTGTTGATCCTGTCCTTACCAGTCAGTTCGTGGAGACCAACTTGGACTTCAAAGGCAGGCTCCCGATACTTGGCGATGATGGGAAGATCCGATTCTTTGATGAAGGGGATTTTCTCATTAGGGTTAGTGGCACCCATCACGTTGCCCAGAGACACGTTCTTAAAACCTTCATTTTGACGGATGTCGTCAAAGTTGGGAATGTTAATGCCAGCAGGGATTCCGGCAGTGTTAAAAGTAAGAACTTCGAGAGAGGTGAAGTCCGGGGCTAAGAATTTGTCCTTTTCGAACTCGGCGCTCCAAGGTAACAGGGGAACCAGTCGGGATGAAGCCTCCACAAGCTCGCCAAAAGCACGAGTGCGCTCTTGGTTGACCATGGCGACAAAACCCTCGAACTCGCCACGAACTCCAGCAGGATCGCGATAAGTCTCAACAAAACCAATATTGCACTCGATCGCGGGGCTCTTGTCCTTGATCCACAAGCGCTGGCTCTCCTTCCAGGAGTTGTGGGAGCCAGTCGAAAATGCTTTGGCATAAGCCAAATGCATATTCTTTTGGTTGTCGTTGGCAGCGTTATCGGCGGCACGCTCCATGTTCTTGGCGATGTTGCCCATTTCGGCGGCGTAGTCTCCAAAGACGAGCTTGATGGTTTTCCCCTTCAAAGCGCCATCCTCGACAGTGTACTCAGTCTGCTTGCCAATGTCGGTACCTTCGGTCGGGGGTGAGGTGATGGCAGACGCAATAATGATCTCAAAGCCGCCGCTCGTCTTGCGCAGTCTGGTGTTTTCAGGGAGTAGGTTCTTGTTAGCCATCCAAGTATTAACAGCCTCGATATCAGCCTTGGTGATGTCGTCAGAATCGGGGTAGTAGGTGGTCGTGTGGCCATCATCGAGGAAACCAAGGTGCATCTTGGTCTGCTGGGAGTGGTCGAAGATGGCAGTCCTGCACTTCTCGTAGTGCTTGGCCGCCTCAGGAACTGAGGTAACAATTGCATCTACCGACTTTTCAGCGCAGCGGGGTAAGATCTTAGCGTCACCAAAGCTCTTAAAATTGCCCAGGTTACCAATAACCTGGACAGAGTATTCCAGGAGCCTCGAGGCTTCGTCGGCCTCAACTCCAGCCTTGGCGGCGAGGGAGGACCAGTCACCATTACAGCTGTTGTGAATAGCCATGACAAGGTCGAAGATGGCCTCGGCTTCGAGTGAAGTCTGACGCAAGCCAATTCTAGTACCAGCAAAGGCAGCCCTAGTTTTTTGCTGTGTTAGAGCTCTGCGCAGTCGGCAGTTTGTGGGGTAGGGAAAGTATGGGCATACTGGCTGATGAAATGACTGTAACGCTTCTGCTGATCAGACAGAAGCTCGAAGTGCTGCTCAATCTTGAGAGGCATGACCAGAGGTGGCTGGTCAGCCAGGTAATGCTGAAGCTCGTTGGGCTGCATTGTAGAAGAATAGCGAGCGCGTAGTGCTGGGGTAAACGGTCTGCGACGATTGGAGGCTACAGAGATACGGACGGCAACTCTCAATGGCAGCCTTTGAGGGATTGCAGTGAGGGGAAGACGGAAAGTCATGAAAAAGTCTGCGACGTGGCGTGTGGGAGTGGCTAGTCTTATGCAGAATTGAGTGCCGCAGCGCGCTTTCTCACGGCCCGTTCGTGGCGTGCGTCACCTGGGCGCGGCCTGAGGAGAAGGGTTCTTCAGCAGGCGTCGAGGCGGGGGACCTGCAGTTGAGAGCTGTCGACTTGCCTAATGAGGCTACTGTGCGGTGCAACGGAGGGTATTGGAGTTGAATTGATAGAGGGTCTGACTGCAGAAGTGGAAAGGGTGGCGTGATTGGGTGAAATAAACGAGTTCGGTTTGTGCCTGGGTAGGTATTCGATACTTATTCCATTTTGGTTTGTGGTGATGGTGATGATGAGTTACGAGGTGTCGAGCTTAGAGATCCCTCCTGACGGCGGCGCGGCAAGCTTGAGAATCCTGGCAGCTGGCAGCTGGCAGCTGGCAACGGCCGGATTAAAATTAATGCTCCAGCGGGACACTCAAGAAAAGACAACGACGGGTTCTGGCTTCTGTTTTGTCGTTTGAAAGTATCCGAATCACCGCTGCTGCGATGCCAACGGCTCCCATCCCATCTCTACAGGTCAAAATTAAGGCTGCATACCATCAATTTTACGCCTTCACGCTGCCGCTTGACAGCAGAAGACTTGCTGCACTGGCTTGAACTTTGGAAGCCAAGATCCCCACTCATCGCTGAACTACTGCCCAGCGTTTTGGAGCTAGGTATTGTTCTTTCTGGAATCAGCCGAAGAATGCTTCGGCGCCACTGGTTAGCGGGGTAATAATGCAGTTTTTCTGCAGGACCTTTTGGCACAGGACATCGCTTGTGGTGGGGTAGGTAAGTAGTGAGTCTTTGGCCGCTGTCGCTCGTGATGGATACGTGCTCACTCCTCAAGCAGTCCGAAGAGAGCATTAACTTCAATTGAGGGATGAGAATATGCGAGCGGATAGCCCTTTGCCTATAGGGTGCATCATTGTAGCAGCCCTTGCTATTTCGGTCATCAGCTTGGCAAGCCATTTGTCAATATACGACGCGATCTGCCTCGCTCCTCGGGCCATACGTCAGCCCTCAGCATTATTCTGTCAAGGCGCCGCAGTGCGGACAAAACAACGCAGAAATGAGCCACAGCGCCACTACCATGACATGATCAAATCCAGGCGAACGCCATGAGGGCAAATATCACCCACAATTGCGCATGTCACAACACATCGACAGCCCAGATTAATCTATAGGGTAGGTTGCATAAGTGGTGGTCCCGCTCGGGTATGCGCCGCCTATCAAAGATGCATCCATAAGCTATGTAACTGTGTACGGAGTACGCATCTCTACTATGGACGAATTTGCAACAACTGGTCAGCACGAAATCGCCAATTGAATCCTATAGCGCAATACTCTTGAATAAGACGTCAGCAATAATGGGTATGTAGCTAACGCACGGCGGCAAGTTTAGCCGAAACATGGATGTCGCTGATGGGACCTACATACCTACATCGGTACTTAGGAGAGAGAACCGCGAAAACATTCCATACAAGCTCCAGAAACAAGCAGTGGCGGCATCTTACGCATATCTACGATCGGAACGGAATATGCATGATCAATCCCCTATTGTGGCTCTAGCGCGCCTGTTAGCCCGACATTTAACGGCGTTGACACGCTGTGCGAAGCGGCTGCCTATTACATCCAGTGTTGAGTCTGTTGACAAAGCTGTCACCCCCACGGCCAGCCTAGGGTATTCACCGTTTAAAAGGGAAGAAATTGACAACCGTGATGCGAATGAAGGACGGAATCGCCTTACTTCTCGGCATGTCACAACATTTGCAAGGGAGATACGGATATCTCGGCCAGATTGAACGCCAGCTTGCGTCATTACAGTACCTTGGATCGCCTTTCATACTGGGGGCAGGTGCTCGCCTCATCGCATGATAATTCTCGTCACAGCAACAACCGCAAGATTCATCGCCCACCTGGGTCTGTTGGGTCAGGTTATTACGGACCCTGGCCCGCCTCACCCCTGTCCCGCGACCGTTTGGCGCACAATGACACAACCCCCTAGCCCCCTGCCTTCCGCCGCACCGGGATGCCTCACTCTGCTTTGATCACTTGCCTGGCCACATCTCGGAAATCACAGTGGGTTGCGGGATATCTAGATGACGAGACGGAAAGACCAGCCCAGCCATTACTGTAAGCCGTGACGAGCTTTGCCACTGAGAAGACAAATGCAAGTCCTGCAACTTATTGGTCGCTCCCTTCTCAACATCACCGGTATTACTTGGCGTCGTAATAGGTTTGTGGAACCCGTGGAATATCCTGGATGAAGCTAAGAATACTTGCTACTGCAAGCCCAGCCCTTTTTGGCGCCCAAAGAGGCACATATCGCCGTGGATTGCTAGATGCGTTATGCACTAAATAACTTCCAGGCGCAACTCCCGGGCAGCCGGTTCAGCGTCCCCGGCGGTCTTTGGAAGCGAATGAAAGGATGGGCAACAGGCATATTGCCAGCTCACAAAACCTTGGTCTCAATGACGCGCGGAAAGGCAACCCACATAATCATACGAATCAGTTATTAGGCTCATCATGAGACCCGCCAATCAGCGACAGACCCAACTTGCCCAACCAGTTGGAGGGGAATCCCCAGCTTTGGCAACAAGTGACCAGGTGGACGGGTGCAAGGTTTTCCCTCACCCCTTGCGCTGGGGGTCGGCTGGGCGGAAGAGACAAAAGGGAGCCCATGGCCTCGACTTCTAGCGCCTCTTAACAATCCTGAACGTCTCCTATTTGCTCGGCATTTTTTTGCACTGGTATCTCTTCTCTCCCATACCTTCCTCGTTCAACATCCGTCTCGGAACGCGCGCTTTGGTTCTAGCGTCGATCACACAGCTGCACGGCTAGTTACTAGGGACAAGGTTACCTACCAAGCCTACTTGGTCAGCCCGACAAGAAGAGACTTACTTGTACGGAATAGCTTACCTGGGACTGCCGAATCACGTCCTCGTTGCACAGCACCTACCGGCTGTCACATATATACTGTTGCTTTCCCTCCCTCCACTTCCAACATCGCTCCTTCTTGCCGAGAATGCTGTCCTACGACACCGCAGTCCCCATTGCTGCCAAAGGGCAGGACACCTCACCTGCGCCGCTGACGGCTACATTACCAACCAGCATCGTCGGTTCCGCTGAAAAGCCAGCTGAGATGCACAATCATATCTGGCTCGTAACGGGGCCAGCTGGATGTGGAAAAACCACCATTGCCGAGCACATCGCAGAAGCCAATGGCATGCCGTACATTGAAGGTGATTCTGTGAGTGAAATGATGTTGCCAGTGCTTGTGAGTGCACAATGGATGGCTAACCGACATGCATAGTATCATACAGCCGCCAATGTGGAAAAAATGAGAACAGGCGTGCCATTGACAGACGCGGACAGATGGGATTGGCTCACACTGCTCCGTGATGAGTCGATGCGCCGCCTCGCCGAGGGTCCTCCATCTCACGGCGTCGTTGTTACATGTTCAGCCCTGAAGCGCAAGTACAGGGACGTCATCCGCGTCGCGGCGTATTACAACAGCAACATCTTGATTCATTTCATCTACCTGGATGCGTCGGAAGAGGTGCTTCTGCAAAGAGTCTCTGCGCGTCAAGGCCACTACATGGGGGCCAACATGGTGCAGAGCCAGTTCGACATTTTGGAGCGTCCGGCAGTGGATGAGACGGATGTCTTTAGCATCGATGTCAGCCGATCTATCGAAGAGGTCAAGCGAGATGCGCTCGCTCAAGTTAACGAGGTCATGAACTCAGAGGGCGTCTGATCATCTGGCTGCTGTATTATACCTTGGACATTGTCGGTGCTGAAGCGCGAGTACAGCAAGGAGATGCCATCCTGTCACGGCGCATTACAGCGGCAATTACCTTTTCTTCTTTTGAGGAATGGATTTGTATGACACCTCCGTGTGATTATGAGGCTTGAATTGAGATGGAAAGAAGAGGACGGGACGGCAGGGGGCGGATAAGGTGCAGCGGGTGGCATTCTTCTTGCCGTTACGGTGTCTCACCTGTATACCGTACGTATGTCTAGGCTGCGCCTGGCTATGCAGTTTTCATTCTTTTCTTTTTGACTTCATGCACAGAAGCTTGGCAGCAGGGCAGCAACCTGGCAATGTACTTTTTATTCTCCGTCTTGTCTTGATATTCTTGTACCTCTGTCCTAGTTTGTGATATTGTTGGTCGTTGATCTGATTTTCTTGTTAGGATGCTAGATGGGACGCTAGATAAAGATAAAAGAAGCCGTGGGCGACCACGTATTGGGTTGTTTCTTTCTCTCGCACCTTTTAGCTTACTATGGGTATGCATGTATGTCTACTAACTATGCCAAGTATGCCGTTCCGCCTCCTAGGGCGTCATGTTGTTTCTATCAGTTGTACTATGCAGATGGCGGCCATGTGTTTTATGTGCATATCCTCATCACATTCAGACAGGGCTGGGGATGCAGTGTGATGGCACATCAGCCCCCTGCCAGCGCGGCCCAAGCAAACACGACGACAAAGCATGTGCCGAACAGCAAGGGCGGGGCGAGTCATGCAAGACTTGGACCCATGTAATAAATGTAAATCTCTTATGATATTTCTCTTATTGTGCCCCTCCTGTTTGCTTGTGAGCCCATTCTATAAGCTAGAATACGCGGATGGCCCGGGGGGGGGCTTGCCAACGCCACGCTCTCAGCCCGAGCGATCTTCCCGTTCAGGCGCAAAGGCGACTTGCCGACGTCTTCCTGCACCCTTCAAATCCCTGCACTGACCGGATTGCATGCATGACGGGAGGCCAGGCCTGGGGTCACGGGTGGCGATGAGCCCCCCTCTCAGCCAGCCCAGTCCAGTCCAGTATCATGTACCCCAAAGTGGCGGTAGCCTCGTCTAACATGGAAAATAAAAAAACAGGGAAACAAAAAAAGGGAAAATTCATCACTCGCCCATGCTTCGTTCGTGTTACATGGCCCCTCCCATCTTCCCCTGCCCTTCCCTCCGTAGGGTACATACATAGAAAGGTAGGCAAGGCTTCTTGACCTTTCTAGGACCACCGTGGGCGTGGGTAGCGTGAGCTGCTTCTTCTTCGCCGTGGCTTGCAGTATCTTAGCAAGCCTTGTATAGATAGCCGGATGCCTGACCAGAAGAAAAGAACAAAAAAAAAGAGTAACAGTTAAAAGAAAAAGGACAAAAAGGTCGTGAAATCATAGAAGAGACTCGCTAGATGTGATTCCGTATGCATTTGTATGTTTTATTCTTTCTTTTCTTCGCCCTTCTTTTCGCATTATTAGCGGAGGTGCATGACCATCACGTCCGGCTCCTCGACCACGCTGCGGACCACGTCAGCGGCGCGGGCCATGGTGGCGCCGTCGACGACGCGGTGATCCGCGCTCCAGCTAAAGTTGCAGACCTGCTTCTTGACGATGTCGTCGTTCTCGTCGAACGCAGGGACGGTGCGCATGCGGCCGATGCCGAGGATGGCGACCTCGCGCTCGACGATGACGGGGCTGAGGTAGGTGCCGCCGATATTGCCAATGTTGGACACGGTGATGGTGCCGCCGGCCATGTCGGCCGGCGTGAGGCGGCCCTGCTGCGCGAGCGCCTGCAGGCGGTGCAGCTCCGCTGCGATGGTGACGATGTTGAGCGCGCCGACGTTCTTGATGACGGGAACGACCAGCCCCTGCGGCGCGTCCATGGCGACGCCGATGTTGTGCTGGGAGCGCATGATGAGCGACGGCTTGCCGCCGTTGACCGCGGGGTCCAGCTCGACGCGCGCGTTGAGGATGGGGAACTGGTACAGAGCTAGCGACACGGCCTTGATGATGAAGGGCAGGTATGACAGCTTGGCAGGCTGCTCGCCGTCGCGCGGCGTCTTGGCGAGGACCTTGTTGAGGCGCGCGCGCAGGCTGACGAGGTCGGAGAAGTCGATCTCGTCGGCGTAGAGGAAGTGCGGGATGGTGAGGGAGCGCGACATGGTCTTGAACATCATCTGCTGCGTCTGCGTGAGCGGCTGTCGCGTCTCCGTCTGGACGGACGTGTCTGTCGGGGCCGCCGCGGCGGGCGCCCCCGAGCTGCCGGGAGAGGCGTCCCTGCCTTGGGCGAACTTGAGGATGTCCTCCTTGGTGACGCGGCCGTCCTTGCCGGTGCCGTCCACGTCGTTGATGTCCACGCTCAGCTCCTTGGAGAGGTGGCGGACCGCGGGCGTCGAGATGGACGCGCCCTTGCCCTTGGGCTTGGGCGTGGCGGGCGACTCCGCAGGCGGCGCGGGCGACACGGGTGCGGGGGCCGGAGTCTGAACCTCAGCCGGTGCGGGCGTGGCGGGAGCCGCCTCTTTGGCTGTGGGCGCGTCGGCGGCGTCGGCGGCAGCGCCCTGAATGTCAATGTCGACAAAGGGCTTGCCGACCTTGGCCATCTCGCCGGCCTCGTAGTAGAGCTTCTTGACGGTGCCGGTGAAGCGGGAGGTGATTTCGACCGAGGCCTTGTCGCTCTGGACCTCGCAGAGCGGGGAGAACTCCTCGACGCGGGCGCCGGGCTCGACGAACCACTGGATGACCTCACATTCGACGATGCCTGTTTGCAGTGCGGGGGGTGGTTAGCAGGGTAAGACAAGACAAGCAAAACAAAAACAAATATTAAAAAAACAGAAAAGGATTGAATTAGATGAAGCGGACGATTGAATACACACCTTCACCGATATCTGCTAATAAGACTGGCTTGACGGCGTATAGGCGTCTGGACTCGGAGAACCATCTGGGGACCCCGGATTGTGGTGATTTGCCCACGGCGACGCGGCCGACGGCCCTGGAAGCTCCCCATTGCGAGCGGAGCGCTCTCGATCCACGCTGGAGGAACATGACGATGTTCTCTTCCTGAAAGGTGACGCTCGGAGGAGAAGGAAGAAAATTGAGTAAGAGATCTGGCGGTTGACGAAGAAGAGAAAAGAAGCAAAGGACAATGTTTCCCCAGCCAATTGCGGGCAGATGAATAATTGTTGCGCGGCTCAAGACAAGGACGCATTCAGTCGGCATTGTTGGTGATGGGGAAGAGGGCCCCGCGAATAGCCGAGTCCGGGGCAACGACACCAGTAGCTTAAGCCGCGGCGCAGCGAACCTACAGAGTAGTTACAGTGAGACCAACTGGCTTGGTTAGCCAAGACCACGGGAGAACAGAGGGGTCAGATGAAGAAAAGAAAGAATGGGTCAGGTAAATTATGCACTGTGATAGTTATTATTCCAAGTGGAAGAAAAATTCAAAGGAAAGAAGCTGCCTCTACGACCCGATGATTCAGGACTGGTCAACTACATAGGACTGGTCAACTTGTACACAGTTAGGTAGTTCATGTACCCCAGCCGACCAATGGCATGTATGTACATGCATACGTGCATGGTCGCCAGGCGAGAGACTCTTAATAAAACCAACAAGTAGAACCACTGGCCAAGACGAAACTGGTGTGGACAATCTGCTTGCAAAATTTGGTAGATAAATCTGCTATCCGGATCAAACGGACAAAATGAGCGCTGCCCACGGGCTTCTTCCGACTGGTACCCATCCCTCGGAGATTTAAACGAGACAACGGGAAATCCGGCAATGAGATAAACTGTAACATGAATCTATGATACCGGAATATTAAGCTGACTCGAGTGCTAAGGCATGTAGAATGACTTCGTTAAGAATAGTAAGTCCAAGCACGAGATGACTTGACATCCTTAAGAAGTGTGACATGGAACTGCCAAGTTCATACACGCAATCTAGTCTCACTGCGCGGATATTCCTTAATTTTTTGCCATGAGAAGATTTCCTAGAAAGACATAGTTGCCAAAAATCACAAATTTCCACTCCTATTGCACGGCGAATGCATTCACTCTCTCGACCACTTTACCAACTCGACCCGCTTCCTGGCCAGGTACCGACCGTTTATTCATCACGCCCCAGAAAAAAACGTCAACGGCTTGTAGGCCAATTCTCGGCCTTCTCTTCCCAACTCCTCCATCGACCACCACAACCTCTCACTCAGCCATGTCATCGCGGCGCATAGGCTTGGCCGCCGCCGGTAGCCTCACGCGACAACACCCCTTCCCCTCGCCATGCGCGCGCTGCCAATGGCGCCGCACCCTCTCGACCACCTGCGCGCGGCGCGGGCCTCGCACTGAGAAGCCCGCGGCCGGCGCCTCCATGGACCCCCAGAGCGAGATTGCCGGCCCGGCCATCGAGGCACCGCGCAGCTACGGCAAGCGCTACGATGGCGTCTTCACACCCAAGCCGCTGCCGCGCCCGATCGGCATGCCGCTGCCCCCGCGAGCCGGCGAGAACACGGGCATCGACGACCGCACGCGCGAGCAGCGCAAGAAGGACTTTGCCGACTGGGACAAGCACCTGGCACGGCGCAAGGAGCTGTAAGTACGCGTCGGGCATGTTTTTTTTTTTTTGCCCCTCGCACAAATCGACAGCAAAGTATCAAACGCTAACGACGAATACCATTTGCAGCACCGCGCAGCTCTCACGGCCCTACTTCCGCGACTGGAATAACCTCAAGTACCACGACGGCAAGTCCTTCATCGCGCCACCGCGGCTCTTCAAGGCCGAGTTCTCCCTCTTCTTCCCCAACCTCTACGGCCAGACGCTCCTCAAGGACGACAAGGCGCCGCGCGACACCACGCCGCTGCTGACCGGCAAGGCCTCGGTCGTGTCCATCTTCAGCAGCCAGTGGGCCGAGGCGCAGACCGACAGCTTCACCTCGGCCGCGGCCAACCCGGAGCTGCAGGCCATCCTGAAGCAGCACGGCGGCGGCAGCGGCGACGGCGGCGACGGCCCCGCGCAGGTCGTGCGGGTCAACTACGAGGACAACGCCGGCAAGGCGTGGCTGGTGCGCATGTTCATGGGCTCGCTGCGCCGGCGCTTCCCCGAGCACGAGTGGGAGCGCTACCTGCTCGTGCGCCGCGGCATCACCGACCACATCCGCGAGTGCATCGGCCTGCTCAACGGCAAGGTCGGCTACACCTACCTGGTCGACCAGCACTGCCGCGTGCGCTGGGCCGCCAGCGGTAACGCCAGCGCCGAGGAGAGGGACGGCCTCAACCGCGGCCTCGTCAGGCTGGTCGACGGCATCAGGGCCGAGGCACGGCTGCCCGCCACGGCGCGAGAGCCCGTGCCCGGACGAAAGGCCATCAAGGACCTCGCCGAGAAGCGGGCCGCCGACAAGGCGGAGGCAACGACGTGAACGGGGAGCATGTAAAAAAAAAAAACCGGGCTCATTGTATATTATATTAGAGAAGTAAAGAAACCGGCCCAGATACGAGCATAGAGATGGAAACAATACGCTGATACCCCTTCCCAAACAATAAAAGTAAATAAAATAAAAAACTAGCATTCCGATAACGCCGTCCCTGTGCAGTTGTAAACCCATTGTTCCCCGCCAAACTTCAACCCCCATCTACAGGAAGAGCCAGAAAAACACAAAGCAGAACGCGATGAAGCTGCCCATGATGATGCCGTCGCGGCGCTTCTTGGCCGATATCCTGCCGATGAGCGTGTTGATGCCCGGCACCTGGCTGGCCGCGCCCGTGATGCGCCGCTGGATGCTCGCCAGCGTCTCGCGCTGCGCCAGGAAGCCCTCGTTGACCGCGTACGCCTGGCTCAGCACGCTGTCCGCCATGCCGTGGCTGTTGTCGATGCGGCGGCGCTCGTCCAGCATGTAGTCGGCCTCGGCCGCCGCCGGGTCCTCCTCCGCGCGCCGGTGCTCCGCGATCTCGGAGCGCACGTTGGTGAGGAGGTTGGCGCGGTCGCGCGCGTGCCGCAGGTTGGAGCGCAGCCGCGTCAGGTCCTTGCGGTGCGCGGCGAGCTTCTCCCGCAGCAGCGCGAGGTTGTTCTGCTTCAGTGCGGACGAGGTGAGCGCCGCCTCGGAGTCGAGGAGGCGCGACAGTTGGGCAATTGTCGACTCGCGCTGGGGCAGACATAGGGTTAGCTTTGGGCCGAGGTGGGGGGGTTCGTCTCTCGCTCCCAAGGTCGGGTTTGTTCAGGGTCGCACCTTTTCCAGTAGCTCCTCAATCTTGCTTTCTGTCGTGCGTTCTTCTTGTGTCGGTTTTGGAGGGATTGATGCTGCTGTCGCGAATTGCGAATATGTGTGGAATAGACTCTCGGCCTGTGATATGGATCAGTCATTAGCCTCCTGCCTCTGATCGTAGCGGACACCTCGGGGCTTCGTGCTAGCTCACCTGCGTCTCCAGCGACCTAGCTTGTTGCCGGAGCTGGGCCCAGCCAGAGTTCCCTGACGGTGTTGCCATGGTTTCTGGCTCGAGAAATATGTCGCGTGCCGGCGTTCTGACAATCCAAGAAGAGCAGATGTAGTCTGTTGGAGTTGGCAAGACCAGCAAGGCGGGAGTGACGATGATGAAACTGGGTCCACGCAAGTCCCTGAGCCGCCTCGGCCACCAGTTTCAACCCATAACCAGTTTAGCCCGTTTGTCGGGATGCGTTAAGCCGTTTCAGCAACGCCGGCGGCAGAATACTGCTGACCGCTTTGGACCTGTCGCTATCACGTGAGTTTCGGCACAGGGACCAGTTTGGCCAATAGAAGTCAGCCAGCCGCCCCGCATCTTTGGTCCCAGCAAATTGACTCCTGCGCCCAAATAGGCAAAGCCCTAGGGCAACTTTTTTTCCTCGTCTCGGCAAAAATTCTCAGGCTGTGTGTGCGTTAGTGTGGACTGCCTTCAGCGCCATAGGATTCCCCATCGTGAGAAGTGTGTCGAAATCCTCTCCCCCCTCTGCACTTTTCAGTCGACACTACTTCGCACATCCCCATCGAAGCCTATACACAAGATGGTGAGTAGACAATCCTGCGTCTTCTTTCGATCCTTGCCTCCATCATCCGACAAATCGAGTGGGAATTGCTCCCTAGTGGCTGAGTGCCAGGGTCGGTTTCTGTGCGCGACTGTGGTGCACGGCGGGCAGCAGGGCCGCGATGGAGGAAAATGAGATCACGACCATTATCACGAGCACAATCGCGACGGACGTCTGCAAGGATTCGACGAGCGAGGTTTTCCATATCGAATTTGGATGCGGCGAGATGGCCATGGACGACATTCAATACGACCCAAATTCAATGCTGGATTGAAAGGCAACATCTGCAACTGCTACGCCCAGACTTGACTGTCCCATCGCATGGAAAACCTCTTGCTCATCATCTTGTCGACCCGTCAAACCCCTCGCCACCACCAGCATACGACCACATTCTCACAATCGTTCGCCGCAAGGTGCTGACCAAAGTTTCTCTAGTCGTCCTCCAAGGTTAAGACCGTCCAGCTCTGGGACAAGAGCAAGGATGACCTGATGAAGCAGCTCGGCGAGCTCAAGGCCGACCTCGGCCAGATGCGCATCCAGAAGGTCGTCTCCTCCGGCTCCAAGCTCAACAAGATGTACGTTTTTCTTGCTCCGTGTGGCTCGCTTTCGCTTGCCGCCCCGGCCTTTCCTTCGCAGGTTCCAGTCCGCTAACACGGGACGCCTTTACAGCCACGACCTCCGCAAGTCCATTGCCCGCGTCCTCACCGTCATCAACGCCAAGCAACGCAGCCAGCTCCGCCTCTTCTACAAGAACAAGAAGTACGCGCCCCTCGACCTCCGCCCCAAGCAGACCCGCGCCATCCGCCGCCGACTATCGCCCGAGGACAAGGCCCGCGTGCTGGAGAAGGCCAAGAAGCGCGAGACTCACTTCCCCCAGCGCAAGTTCGCCATCAAGGCTTAGAAAAAGAGCGTCATGTTGTCGCAAAAACAACGACGACTGTTGCTCTTTTTTCTAATGGGGTGAATACGTGAGGATGAATGACAAACAAAAAAAGCAACACGGCATAATGGGTGTTGATGCGTTTTCCGGGAAATTTCCCGTTGTTTTGGCGAAGGACATCTTTTGTTATATTTTGAGAACGGGGAAACGGCGTGGCGTATCCTTTTGATATTGTCCATTCTTTTCTTATGCGAGGAAGACAGAGAGAAGAGACATTTCGAAACTTTAGCATCGCATTGGCTTTCTCGAGTGGGCTTTCCCGGATGAGAAGACCCTCGAGGAAGTCTCCTTTGTATCTTGGAAGGCGGACGGGAAAATGAGAAACTCGGGGCCGGCATGAGCTATGGGACATCACGGTTCTTGTTCTGGCCCTTGGGCTTGCGAGGCGCAACAAGACAAGTCTGCAAGTACAAAATAAAAAAGAATAAAAAGATGAGGTCATGATCCAACCTAATCATTCTGCCCCTGTTCATTTTGCCGTGACATGTTCCTCTGCTTGGCCCCCGTAAGCTAAAAACTCACATACATCAACTCAACCAGCACCGTTCATCCTTTTAAATGTACAGCTCGTCCTACCCGGCAGTGAGTGTAGCAACAGCATCGAAGGAGGCAGCCTAACATGCTTGGGCAATTCTGCTCATTAAAGGCGCTCTGCCCTATTTTCAGCTTTTCCAATGTTTCTACTTTGAGTATTTATTGGGTAGGCTGTCCAGGCCACCCTTCCAACACACGCGAAGCTTATTTCTACATCGCTGAGCTGTGTTGATTCACCTATAGCAAGGAAGTGAGTCGAGTCGGTAGCTGGTCTCAAGATTATACTTGTTTCTCATTATCTCAGTCGTCTATCATGAGTTTCATACACCTCACGGGGTAAATACTGTCTGACTATAGAAGCAATGCCACGAAGTGCAAAGACAAGAAAAAAAAACGCCATTGACCATCCACTATCCTGAAAACGCCGACCGAGATGAATCAAGATATATAAGTAACAAACAACTGTAATGTATCTGTGCAAATATTTGATGAGAAATCGAAAAAATCTGTACCTGGCGGCGCTCTAGACGGTCTGCACGATGTCAGGATGCTCAAGACCACCAAGGACATCTGCAGAGAGGGCCGGCTTGGCTATCCTGCCCGTTTTGACGCGGCTGAGGATCTTGCTGACCTCTTCGGGCTTGTCCTTGTGGTTTGTACCCATATGTCGGCGAAGCTGGTCCAACCTGTGAAAGTCTTTGCCACAAATCTCGCAGACGTGAGAGCCACGAATGTTGTGGATGCGACGGTGCTTGGAAAGGTTGGAAGATTCGCCAAACTTTTTGCCACATATATCACATTGTAAAGGCTTTGCGCCAGTGTGTGTACGCTCGTGCATTGTCAGAGCGCTTTGCTGCTTGAAGGACTGGTTGCAGCCTTCGAACGAGCAAACCCAAGGCTTCTCGCCAGTGTGAGTGCGCATGTGCTGCTCAAGGGACTGCTTGGCAGATAGAGAAGCACCGCAGATATGGCATTGAACGGGTTTGTCTAGAAAAGTCAGTGACTGCAGGGACGAGTTACAATGTGAGTGGAGTTGACTTACAGCCAGTGTGGACTTGCATGTGGCGCTCCAGCTTACTGCGTTGACTAAATGTGGTGTGTCTTGTGCAGCCTTGCCATTGGCAGTAGAAACCGGCGTGATCCTTTTTGATCTGTTTGAGGTGGTCTGACTTGCAGTGGTCCTGCAGCGCCTTGTGGTTGCTGCACCTGTGGCCGCAGATTTTGTGACCACCCATGCCATCAGGCAATAGCCAGCGGCAGATGTTTTGGTCCTCCGGCGAAACCGAGGGAGCGGCATCAGCGACAGCACTCCTCACGTCAGTGAAGTAGTTTGCGCCTTCAATTGTAGACGGAGTGGGCAGAGAGGCGGGCGTGGGGGAGAGAGATGTCGCGAGTGAGAGGTTGGTAGAGGGAGAAGTGGTAGAGGAGAAGTGGTTATGATGGTGATGGTGATCATCAAGCATGTGATGCGAGGTCGCATTTTGCAGCGTCTTGTGAAAGTTGTTTCCATTGGCCATGAGAGCGGGACGATGCTGCTGGAAGATGTGCTGAGCAAAGTCGTAGGGGTCTTGGATCTGGAAACCGCAAATAGCATCAACACCGTGTGGGCTGATGCCGTCTGGAGTTGAGTTGTGCTTTGGCAAAGAGCACATTTGCATCAGAGAGCTGGGTTTGTCGGCTATACATGAGTGCATGTGACTTTCTTGATGAGTCGGGTCATGGTACTGCATAATGTGATTGGCGAGAATGAACTCGGGAGCAATATCCCACATTTGACCAGAAAAGGCGGGGAGGTTGCCAAAGGTGTTGTCCAGAGAAAGGGACGAACAGGGGACTGTAGGCAAATCTAGATAGCCGGCATCAGCGATGCTGGGAGTCGGGGGGACAGTGTGCGATGTGGATGCAGGGGCCGTGGCCGTGATGCCCTTGTCTCCGAACGAAGTGAGGGTAACAGCGGCGGCGGCTTCGTTGTCAGAAATGGGACATGCTGATTGGGAGCAAGGCACAGACGGTGCCTTGCAGTCTTGGTCGACACAGAGGCCAGGAGGGCCACAACCATCGTCGTCGCAGCAGACGCCATGGTCCTTGTCGTCGCACTGGCTAGGGCAGCTGCCTTCGCAGTCCGAGTTGCAGGAGGCGGCGCAATCGTTTTCGTGGCAGATGTCAAAGCCAGTACAATGCATATTGTTTTGGAGCAGGGTCTGGGTGAAGATGGCGTCCCAAGGTGATGGAAAAGATTGCTGCTGCTGGTGCTGCTGCGGATCGGACGAGGATGCGCTGGGAGCAGGGATCGGGTTGGAGATGCTGTGCCTTTGGCGGGTGTGCGTCTGCGAGAGGCTGCGCGGACCCATAGCGGGGGCTCTGGGCTTCGCAGCATGGCTTTTCCCAGCGATGTTGCAGTGGTTAAAGCTGCCGTGATCGAGACACGAATCGTCGTGGAAGCCTGTGACCAAAGAATCCAGTCCATGAGACAGCGACATGTCCATAGGGAGGAGGTGGTTGATGTTGAGCGCCATGGCGGCCATGTCATTGGAGGGGGGGCCGCTGAAAGCCATGCGGGCGGTCGCGTCGTCTTCCATGGTGAGCTGCAGGAAGAGGCTCGATCGGAAAGAGTTTCAGGACAGCGATGCTGGTAAGAAGAGGGACAGACAAGGCCCTGTGTGAGGAGCGGGCGGAATATCGAGGCGGACGGAGGCTGAGGGCAAGGAAACAAGATGGGAATGAAGTGGTTTCACCGAGCTGATAAGCGCAGGGCTTATGAGCTGGAACGAGGCGGATGCGCTGGTTGGTTGGTTGGTTGGTGCTAATGATGGTTCATGGAGGAGAGAGTTGGGAGAGAGGGAGAAAAGGAAAAAGGGAGAAGAGAGTGAGTGAGGGCCGCAGGTATGAGGACATGTGTTTATGTGGGATGTCGAGAAGAGAGGTTCGAGTCGGTGGAGGCAAAAAGGAAGAGAAGAAGAGAAAAAGAGTAGGTAGTATGCAGGTTTAGCGTTTGTGCCTGGAGAGACGCAGCCAAGCGATATTACGTGCTCTCTATCCCCTCTACTAGCAGACGAGCAGGAACAGGCATGGCGACGAAGAGGAGCGACGGGCGCTGAAAAGAGAGCGCAAAAGTGCTGGCCGGCTGTCGTGAGTGGTGAGAGTGGTGAGAACCCGGATGGACTCGCGAACATGTTTTCAGGACAAAGAGAGGAAGGTGCAGCAGGTCGGTGGGGCGCCGTTCCGCCAGTCGCTGCTGGTACAGGGTACACACACCCATTCTCATCAGTCATGCGCAAAACTTGCCAGTAACTGGCCAACGAGAAGTCTTGTACAGATACGGAGCATCTTTTGATCAGTTTTTCTAGCGCCCTTGCAACTTGCTCAAAACGACATGTGCCTCCGATTCCCGGCTGTGTTTCTTTCGCTGTGCTGTGCTGTGCTTTGTTCTGTTTGTTTCTAGGAATGTTAGGTACGTACATGAGAACATACAATGCTTGCAAAATCAATGCTGCCAGCTGCCAGCTGCTGCTAGCTACCCACTGCCCACTGCCCGCTGCCCGCTGCCGCCCGTTCATCCCGCCGCGCCGCTGCCCCTCCGCCGCCCACGTCTCCATTCCGGAGTCGGCGCCCGCCGTTTGCTCTCCCCCAACGGATCCCCTCGCCGCGCCACTCCGGACCGCAGAGTGAGACACAAAGCCACGCTGCACTTAGAACCAACACCTTTTCCCGTGCACTTTAGTTTCTCAATCAACGCACGGGCATCCACTTCAATCACGTGAAATCTTTCCATAGGTACTTGCCTACCTAGTAATATTGCCCCTGCACTACCAGCAGCTGCCCACCAGCGCCCCGCTGCGGTACTTGTGGTACCCGCAACTTCCAATAGGAAACCAAGGTACCTTGCCCACAGCAGGGGTGCACCTGGCTCTCTGCGAATGACCGTGTCGCTAAATAATACGAAGTCGAAAACACCATCATCACCATCACCATCACAGAAGTTGTTGGTCCTCATTTTGCACTGTGTCGAAAAACCGTGATTTATCTCAATTCGCACTGCCAAGGCGCCGATCGATTCCCTATGCGTCGTCTGCCACATCGCAAAAAAGGAGGGGACTTCCCCGCGTCATTGGCTCGTCACTCATTGGCCCGTCACCACTCCCACCTCGATTCGCCTGCCTGCACACTCGTCTCTCCAAATCGAATCAACCAGTACAAACGAAGCTTTACTGACTTGCCCCTCTCTCCCTGTGCGTTCCCTTTCCATCCATCGCCTGTTCATTTCTAATCCACCCATAATCGACTGCCGCCTTCTAGGCCTTGCATGACGCCTCAGACCCCGTGCCGTGTCCCCCGCAGTAGTCCTTCACAGCTTTCTGCTATATATCCTCGAGATCCCCCTCTTTTTGTTTTCCATCCTTCCCCCCATGCAGTTTCATCCAATCCATCCAGTATCCATCAACAATACAAATCTTGATCACCTGCCAACCATCTTGTACACAATTCTCAACACTTACACAAGCTTCAATCCACCATGAGCTCCCCGACCCAGCCCCAGGACGTCCCCCCTCCCACTACCGAGCAGCCTCGTCGCCGAGTATGATTGCTACCCAAGGAGCAATGGTTATGCCATCAACAGTGCTAATGAGAATTGGTAGAGCTCCGGCTGGATGCCCGCCTTCGAGGGCCTCACCCGCAATCGCAACGAGACCCAGGCAAGTGCCCGTCGCCAGAGCATGTCTGACCAGCAGGCCAAGCTCGGAGTCTTCGGAAACTTCTTCCACAAGTAAGTGCAAAACTTGGTCGATTGAGGAAAGCTGGCGCTGACGGGAAGATAGCAATTTTGGAAGAAACTCCAAGTAAATTGTCGCCTACAACGGAACGGAATATCGAACAAGACCAAAAAAATTAAAAAAAAATTGTATCTACTACTATGTTTCAATACTGTCACAATAGTGTTTCTATATCTATTCATTGGAGTTGGTCAACGTCTTGCTTTCCTGTAATCCAGCTTCTTCAACGATAGTCTGGCCGCCATCACCTATATTCAATAGCTGAACACGAGTTCTCGGGCGCACTTGATGATCCACGGCCGATTCATATCTCTTGCCCAGAAATTTAACATGTTTTAAACAAAGATATCGTGAATCTAATCATCTTTCATGTTCACGGTACCAAAACGCGCTTCGTATCCTATTGAGTAGACCGCGCGCGCTTGATAGTCGCCAGAGCGTTGGAGCATCTCAGCAAATCCGTCGAGCGAGCATTACTTGATTTGGCGACTGAAATGGACTTGTAGACTCAGTGAAACTACGAGAGAATATGCAAAAAATACCTAGCTGACTTGGGCAATACTCAACTCACAGGCGTAGGTGGAATGACGTCTGCATCGCACTTACAACGACCAAGGGGCTCACCTGTATGAATCCAGGCAAAACCACTCAGCAGCCGCAGCATGGCCATCAAGCAAGCGCCGGAAAAGAAATAACCAACGGAAATTTACGTTTTCCTAAAACGTCCTGGTGATAAGCTGCCGTCTGTTCTTTTAGCTTCGTCTCTATTAATTACCTGTACCTGGCCGTGCTCGGTGCAAAGCTTATCGCGGCCGGCCCTATCTTGGCGAGGCCGACATTGGAAATAGCAAGCAATCCATGCCAGACCTAGTCCCAACAATTTTTTTTACTTTTCGATGATTCTCGTCAACCCGCACCGAACGCTCCGCGTTTAGTCTCCAGCCACATGCAAGTTCGTCTTGGCGCTGAAGGAGCCCATGCCAACGTGTTACACAACCCGCAGCCCGCCAGCGTGCGCCACAACCCACGCAACATGCTCCCCCACCTTCCTCCTCTCTCATCCATTAAAGCCACTTTCGCCCTCTTGTTCATCCCATCTCCAATTCTCTACGAAATCAGCACATACCCCATTCACCATGGGAAATATTTGCGGAAAGCAAGACCCCGAGGACCGACTCGGGCCCGGTCGCCGCCTCGGCTCCGCGCCGCCACCCTCCGCGACGAGGGCGTCCGTCCCCGCCTCGCAGGCGGCCACCAAGAAGCCCAAGCAGACCTACCAGAGCGAGGCTCGCGTCGTCGGGAGCGGGGGCCCCGGGGGCCAGGGCGCGGCGGCGACGCCGGCCTCGCAAGCGGCGAGGGAGAGATGGAGTGTAAGTTTCTCCTACAGGTGCCAAATCTCTGTGTCTGGTTGCGCGCTCAATGGAGGGGGGGGGGGAAAAGGCCGTGGAGGAGGATAGGAAGAAGCAAGAGGCGCAAAGGAGGAAGAAGACAGGCGCGGGGCGCATACTCACCGCCAAGGAGAGGGATGAGCAGGAACAGAGGTGGAGGGAGATTGACGACAATGACAGACAGGTCCGGGGACAGGCCAGCTGATGATGTTGACCGGGTTCACTGCAACGCCAGCGTTGCCCTCACCTTGCTGTGGACTAGATTTCTCGCGATACTTGTGCCGGCACACAAACACGCAGAAAGTCGCGTTTACCTCGCGTGGTACTCTTGCCAGCCTCTCTGTCTCGCAAGGGTTACGCAAGATCACGACTTACCACGATAATACCCCCCATCCCTCTTACCATCAGTCTTCTTCAACCCCCCGCGGCTCACGATTTCATAGACGTACGTACCAGCTTTACTCTTTAGCGATAAACCGTCATCATATAAATGTTACTCTTTAACGATTCACTTTCGAGCATGGCCCGATGCCCAGGTCAAATTGGAAAACGGGGGGTTCTAATTTCTTCCTGCCTGACGAATAATAATTACATCACTGTTTACAAAGTCCTCTTCCCACCACAATCGACAAACCATCATGAACGAAAGGAACGCCCGCCAAAAGAAAGCCAAAAGCACAGAGACAGGCACATCACGTAACCGTATACCGCCCACTTGTCGGCGCCCTGCTGTCCGCGTCCGCCGCCGCGATCGTGCCCTCGCGCAGCAGCCTCGTCAGCTCGTTGAGCGCCGAGCCCACCACCAACTCCGTGTCGCCCTCGATCAGGATGTACAGCTTCGGCTCCGCGCCCTCAGGCACCTCCTTGCCCGCCGGGTAGAAGTTGCCCTTGGTCGTGATGGACGTGCCAGTGGCCTCGAGGATCTTGGCCACGTTGGTGCGGTTCGTCACCGCCCAGCGCGCCTTTTGCGGGAAGTCGTTGATCTCGAGCGTCGCGTGGAACGCGCCCGCGTCCGGCCCCTTGTTGTCGATGGGCTGCCCGGAGCGCAGCTGCCCGGCCTTGCCGAGGCGGCTGTTGATGGCGCTGACGGCGGAGCTGACCTTGTCGAGCGGGTTGTTGCCGCCACCGCTGGCACCGCTCTTGGACGCGCCGCCCCCGGGGTTGCTGGCCACCACGCCAGAGGTCTTGATGACGGGCTCGTTGACAGCGGCGGCAGCAGCGGCTTCGGTCTTGTTGGCCTCACGGGACTGGATGCCTGACGCCGCGGCCCTGATGGCATCAAGGGCCCGCTCGTGCTTGTTCTCGTCCTCGTCCTTCTTGTCCTCCTTCTTTTCCTCCTCCTCGTCGCCTTCCGCCTTGTGCGTCTTACGCTCGCGCATGCGCGCCGCCTCGCGCTCCTGGTCTAGCCGGTCCAGCCCCTTGCCACCAAAGCCTGAGGTGTCCTTGGCCTTGCCCGACTTGACCTTTTCGCGGTGCGCCTTGCGCATCTCGTTGAGACGCTCGGGGACCGGCTGCTCGCTCTGCTCTAACGCCTTGGCAATGCCTGGCGCACAGTTCTCCTGCTCTGGCGTAATAAAGGTAACGGCCACGCCCGTGTTTCCGGCACGACCAGTGCGACCGGCGCGGTGGACGTAGTCTTCCAAATGGTTGGGTGCATCGTAGTTGATGACGAGCTTTAGTTGCTTAACGTCCAAGCCTCGAGCAGCAACGGATGTCGCAATGAGAATGGGGACGACGCCCTTCTTGAAGTCGGAGATTGTCGAGTCGCGGTCTACCTGGTCCTTGCCACCGTGGATGGACATACACGGATAGCCCTTGACCATGAGCTCCTTGAGCAAGTCGTCGGCCTTTTCTTGCCTCTCGACAAAAAGTAATGAACGCGCATCCTCGTCGCGATCGTATAGCTCACCAAGCAGCTCGAGCACGCGATGGAACTTTGTGTTTTCATCGCGAACCTCGACAATCTGCTCAATCTCCTTAGCCACGACACTACGCCCGCCGACGGTAATCTCCACAGGGCTCTTCAGCACCTTCTTGGTGAGCGAGTCGATGATGCGCGGCATGGTGGCGGAGAAGAGGATCGTCTGCTTGTCGGGGCGCATGTTGGCAAAGATCTTCATGACCTGCGGCTCGAAGCCCATGTCGAACATGCGATCGGCTTCGTCCAGGACAACGTAAGTGACGCGGCGCAGGTTGGTGACGCGACCCTGGTTCGCGGCGAGCAGGTCTATCATGCGACCGGGCGTGCAGACGATGATCTCGGCACCGCGCTTCAGCTCGGCAATCTGGTCGCGGATTGGAGCACCACCGTAGGCACAGACGGCACGCATGCCCATCATCTTGAGGAACGGTTTGCAGTCACGGTGGATCTGGGTGGCCAACTCGCGCGTGGGCGTCATGATTAGCCCGATGGGTCCTTCCGATTCCTTCAACGGAGACTGATCTTTGATGTGGCGGAACATGGGTAGCAAAAAGGCCATGGTCTTTCCAGAACCAGTCTTGGCGACGCCAATGACGTCGCGGCCAGACATGAGGGCGGGGATCGCCTGCATCTGAATCGATGTCGGCTTCTCGAAACCCATGTCATCGATCACGTCCAGCGTCTGTCGAGTGAGACCGCATTGCGCCCATTTTTGTACAGGCTTTGGGACGTCCTTGCCATTGACCTTGATGCCGTCAAGTTCTGCTCGCAGTTCCGCCACTTCGGTCTCATTGAGCTCGCTGAGCTCGACAGGCTCCACCCAAAAGTTCTTTCGGATGGGCTCGATGTCGATTTTACTGTAGTCGACTGTAGGAATCTCCTTCTTCTTGCGCTTGTTGGCCATGGCCAGGACGGCACTGGCATCGGCGGCATCATTGTCCACCTCGTATCCATAGTCGTCGTCGCTAAAGTACGCTTCGGGTTCTGGGAGCTTCCTGACTGTAGATACCTTTTTGGGAGGTGGGCGCTTGATTTCTTTCTGCTGCAAGTCATCCATAAAAGCATCCAGGGGATCCACATCGTCTTCCTCTTCATCGACTTCCATCTTTTCTTCCTCGACAACAGGGTCGGCTGTTCCATTCGTCGCGGGGACAGCGTCAGGTTCTGCCATGGCTTCGTCGCCGTCTGCTTCTTCTTTTGCGGCCTCTTCTTCAGCTTGAACGCGTCTCTCGTGCGCGGCGCGGGCAGCAGCGGCAGCCTCCTCTTCATTCTCCGCGAATTCGTCACCAGCATCGTCGTCGTCACCGTCGTCTTGATCAACATACGGCGTGTCGTCCGCCTCTATTGGCAGGCTGGGCAGCTTTGTCAGCTTGCGCATTGTGGTCTCTTCCTCGTCTAGGTCAAGTTTTCGCTTGCTTGGAAGCTTGTCGTCGCCCTGGGACTTGCCGAAACCAAAGGCGCTGGTCTTGGCGCGATTGGCTGGCAGCGCGGATGCGGTAGATTGCTTGACTGGGGCGGCTAATTTGCCTTGGCCGGCATTGATGGAACCGAGAATGGACTTTGTCGAATCGTGGGTTCTCGAAGCTGACTTTTTAGCGATGCTCTTAGGATCGAACTTGCCAGCGTACGGTCGCACGGGAGACGCATTTCCAGACTCTGGACCTGGTGTGGGAGAAGCGCCAGAGGAAACGCCAGGTGAGGCGGCAGCAGAGGGGACGCCGCTGGCCTTCTTGTCCATTTCTGCTAGTAGACTGCGGGTTTGGCTGGGGTTGACCTCTTTTTGCTTCTGTGTCTCTAGCTCCTTCTTCTTCTTCCACGCCTCGAGCTTAGCAAGACGTTCAGCCTTTTTCTTATCGGCATCGGCCTGAGCCGCGGTGGCACCGGCCGGTTTGGAGGGCTCGTCCGAAGTACGGCCGCTATCGCCATGCGGCGTGTTCCTGCCTCGACTGTCACTGCGATTGTTGCGAACGTCAGCCCCTCGGGAGTCTCTGCCACGCGAGTCGTCTCGCCTTCTGTCGCCGTCGCGCCGACCGTCAGGTGATCGGGCCCTGTCATCGTAGCGGTCTCGCGAGCGCCGCCTGTCACGGCCGCCGCGGTAGCGATCGTGGTCCCTGTCGAGAGAGCGGGAGCGATCCCGTCGGCGGTAGTGGTCACGGTCACGGCCGTCGCGGTCGCGGTCGCGATATCGCTTCTGTGGATGGGGTCTCGCGTTAGGACGCCTGTTGAGCGGTTGGTTAGATGAATGGCTTCGGCGTACCTCGGGTGTACGAGATCGAGAGCGCCTGCGATGGTCTCTGTCGTCGCGACGATCGCGCGGTCGGCGATCATCGCGATGCCGACGGCCACCGTGGCCACCGGCCAGGCTTGGCGAGCGTGAGTCTCTTGGCCGAGCCATATTGCTGGTGGGCGGCTGCTTTCGCCGTGGCTCAGCGAGACACTAGAAGGAAGCCTGCGTTGGTGAAATGTTCTATGTTTTAGGACTGCGAAACGCCTGTGTCGCGGTGCGTACTCCTAGAATCTCTTTGGGCGCCCTGACGCCTAAGCTGTCCCCGTATCCCTTGGTGTGAAATATTCTGGTTTCTAGAGCAGTTCCGAATGGTCCATGTGTGCGTGACGAGCTCTGATTTGCAAAAGTCGGATGATGCAAGTTGTTGGAAAAGGATGCCAAGCGCCGACTGTGGTGGGTTGGAAATTTCGACCGAATCAGGCACCACGGCTGAGCGCCGGCCCCACTCGATAACTTCAGTGGCATGCGACAGAAACGCATGACGGCAGGCTGCGTTGAAGAGGTAGTAACAAGGGCATTATCAAGCCAGGACTATTCTCCAGAGCTATTATACAGAGCTAATCTCTAATTTTCAAAGAGAGAAGAAAATGCCGTAATGCGACAGAATTACAAGAGCAAAAAGAAAACCCTCGTAACAATATGTGGTGACATACGTCAGCATCTCTCTCGTAGGAACTCGCTAGTAGGGCTCTTGTACTTGACTTTGATTGGCTTTTCTTATCCTAATAATATATTAGAAATTAATATTACTCTCCTGACATTTTTGCCATTCTAACTCAGTACGCCGTTCATCTACCCTCTCTCTCCTCTTTCGTTAGCATGACCATACGTTCCCCGTCTCCGTTAGACCAAGCTCTCGCTGAGAAGCTGGTTTGAACAGCAACCCGCACATAAACAATCCTACCAAATACACTTTTTGAAAACACGAATAAAACATTCCTGGGCATTGTTCCTCTCTTTGTTAGTATCCTCTGTCCATATCCGCCGGCTTTACACCATCACTTACACAGCGTGGCAGGTCCCGGTTAACCCTCAGCCCCACTTAAACACCAAAACCTCAAAGCCCTTTGCTCAAGCTCTCGACTCGACGCTGTCATCAACCTCACACTCCCGAGCACACAAAACAATGGCAGGCTTGGTAGGCTACGCGAGCAGCGATGAAGAAGAAGTTGACGGAGAGCAGCCGCAAGTGCAGCCCACGGCTCCGTCAAAACAGGTACGCGACGGCACAAATCAACACATCATTCCACTCTCAACTGCTCATTCACGTCATCAGACTCAAGCACCACCACCACAACCATCACAACCCGCAGTGACGAGTGCATCGGAACCCGAAACCAGTGAGCTTTTTTTTTTTCCTTTTTTTCTTTTTTGAAAATCATTCGACGCTCTCTTGATAAGTAACCAGAAGGCTAAATTTGCATGCTAGCTGTTTCCAAAACGCCACCACAAGCATCACCTCCCTCTCCGCCCGCCCCTGGGGCCACGCTCCCTCCTCCTCCTTCCAGCGCCACCGCCGCGCCTCTCGGCCCGTCCCTCCAATCCACTGACCCATCCTCCTTCGCTCCTCTCCCTGAACCAACCGACCTCCCCCCCTCCTCCTCCCTCCCCCCATCCTCCCCGTACACCACCACGCGCGCCCTCATCCACGACCTCACCCTGCCCCCCATCCCCAACCTCGACCTCCCCTCCTCCCCACCACGCTCCCCATCCTCCGCTGCCGCCGCCGCTGCCGCCACCGACAAGAAGTGCGCGCACTTCCTCAAGCTCAAGCGCGCGGGCACGCACTTCAACGCCAAGCTCGAGCAGTCCACCGCGCTGCGCAACCCCGCGCTGACGGACAAGCTGCTGCGGTTCGCCGAGGTGGACGGGAGGGGGCTGCAGTACCAGACGACGCTGACGGCGGGAGTCTGGGACCCGGGCGCGTTCCCGGAGTGGGCGTTCCGGGACGGGCTGCGCAGGGCAAGGGACAGGGTGGCCAAGGAGAGGGAGGCGGCGAGGGCGGCGCCGGGGCGAACGAGTGTCGAGTTTGTGCCGGCAACGACAACGATGGCGGCGGCGGCGGGAGCGGGAGCGGGAGCGGGCAAAGGAGAAAAGCGAAAGGGGGCGTGGCAATAGCATACGCAAGACGTGTGACACCGAACGGTAATAACGGAGGCGACGAGTGAGATACACAAAAAAATGTCACAACTAGATTACATGCTAAATTTGCACCTATAATACAACGCATTGATACCCACGGTGTGAACAACATATATCACCATTAACTGCCATTGAGGCTACTAACTAGACTATTCGAGGTATCTTGAATGCGCCGCTACCGGAGCTTCACATCCTGTCTTCTGTGTTAATACTAGAACGTGAGAGTGACCCCGCCAAACAATGTACAATGTCCCCTTCTGGGGCAAGGAAACCCTGACCCTCTGGTCGTTTCGCGTCTCGGTTATTTTCATTATCCAACATCATAAAGCAAAATATGCGCAAGGAATTGACAGGCCCTTCCACTTGTAAACCTGGGTATCGAAAAGAAAAGGCTTGCATACGGCATCGAACATGGTAAGACTACTTGCTAGCAGTTTTGGAGCACGTGACAGCGGCGGGGATGTCGGAGCGGTAGAGGGTGTCGGTAATGTTGAGGCTAACGGTCTGGTTGGCGTGAGCCAGAGCATACTGGAAATAAGGGATCTCGGCGCCGTCACGGGTGACGTTGCTGCCGATGAGGCTGAAGTCGGCGACGCCAGTCTCACAGTAAGGCTTGGCGCTCGAGGCAAGGACAATGATCTGGGCTTGGTCGAGGCTGCCGGTGACGTTGAGGATGTTGTTGCCGGGCACGAGTGTGAGGTCGTTGATGTAGAGCTTGCCGAGGTTGGTTCCGAGGAAGTAGTTGTTAAAGGTGGCATTGCCAATATCGAGGGAAAAGTGCGAGGGATTGGGGAGCTCAACCCGGGCGTAAAAGTTGCGAAAGTTGGGGTCGGTACCGTTGTCAACCTTGAGCTCAACGCGGGGATCAATGACCTTTGTGCCCTTGAAGAGGTTGAGCCCCTTGACCTCGAGGACCTTTTGAAACGTGACGTCGTACTTTCGGCTAAGACCGCTAGGTTGGACCTTGGTCTTTCCCTTGATGCCAATCCTGAGCGTCTCGTTGTTGACAAACCAGGTGTTGAACTTGCTGAAGGCGTCCATGTCTTTGATCTCGACGTGTTGGTCGACGTTGACGTTGGAGTGCTTGTTGGCGTTGGTGGCAGGGAAGTTGAGGACAGCGAAGGGGGTCTTGTCATCCGTGTCCTCGAGGTACATGTCGCCGGCGAAGGGGTCAATGTTGGCCTTGACAGTGCCATCGGTGGAAATGGTCGAGTTGATGGTCATCTGGTACGAATTAGGGGTGGCATTGCTAATCTTGACCGCGACAATGTCGAGCTTGGCATGGTTGATCTTGTCCTGTGCGATTCTGGGGACAGCGACAAAGATGCTGTAGGCAGCTTGGTTAGCATAGGTTTAGCGAGTGACAAGCACGCGGATTGGGCAATTTGAGTTTCTTGGTGACTGGTTCTAGATGGCACGCGTGTGAACCAGCCAAGTGTGTGTGGGACTGGGGGAAGTAGATTAAACTCTGGGCAGAGCGACGGGGGATGCCAAGTCGAGCAGCCCTACCGACCCTAGTTTCCAAGACGAATAGACAAGAAGCGGAAAGTTTGGCCAATTGCGTCGGGCAAAACAGAGAAGGATGAGAAGGTCCGGGGGAAGAGGAATTGATAACGCGACAGGAACCACTCACGTAAGGAGGATAACAAGGACGGCAATAAGGATGAAGATGATGAGATGCAGCCACCAGAAGCGCTGGCAATGGCGCTTGAAGGCGGCCTTCTTGCCGGGCTGGGGAGCGACGCGCTCCGTGGTGGAAACCTCGTTCTTGTCGGACATGGCGAGAGGGGATTCCGGGAGTTGCAGTATGCAGGTTTGGCGTCGAGCAGAGTCGAGATTAGGAGTTGAGATGGAGGCCTAGACAGGGGGCACTGCGACAGGCGACAAGCAAGACGAAGCGAGGGTGTTTGAATGTCGAGAGACGCAAAAGAAAAGCAACTCCAACTGAAGAGAAAGAAAGGGAGGGGAGGAGGGAACAGAAGGGAACGGAGGGAGAGGAGGGTAATAATAAGATGATGGTGTTGGATTACGGACTAGTGTTTATACTTGCTAGTAATAGTAGGAGGTAGGAAGTGGAGGGTAAAAGCCATGTCGCGGGTTTAGCTTCCATGTGAGCGAGGAGACGGACTGATTTGGTGGTAGAGGAGGTGGATGTGGATGTGGATGTGGAGGACTTTCGGTGGCAAGTGCGAGCGAGCGAGACAGCTGGGCTGGGGAAGGAGCAAAGAAAGAAAGCATGGACCCTGACACCCTGGACTCTCTTCGGCGTTGCTCTGCCCCACAGAGTACCTGCAGAAAAGTATTTTTTCTTTCTCTTGGTGATTGCAACATTTTTGGTTGGTTACTAACTGGCGACCTATGAAGCTTGGCTGCTGAATGGTGCATCTCGTGGCTCTGGACTAGTTAGTGTACATAAGTACTGTAGTACGGGAGAAACACCCAGTTCAGCCGGACGGGTGGTGGCGTGGCGAGTCTGTTTTGTTCGACTCTGTCTGTCTGCGTGTTTTGACTTGGATTCTGGAAGTTCTGGCATGCCGAGGTACGTACCGTATCCTCTCTGGAAGTGCTTGGAACTTACCGTACCTAATTATCTAATCCATTCTGGACGTCTACTGTAGGCATGTACCAGAGAGTCATCTCCAAAAACGGCTTGCAGTCCTTCCATCACCACTCGCCATCATCAGACCACCAACTTCATCTCGCAGTCGTTAAAGTCAGAAACTAACAACATCAGCCCAAGCCAATCCAGACGCCATCTCTCTTTTGGTACCCTTGGGCCGCGGTGGTGGCCCGCCTGGCGTCTCGCTAGCCCCAAGAAAGAGCAGACTTCCGATGCCCAGCAAACTGATGTGCTGGCCGGATGCCCTGCAATTACAGCACCGGCAACCACTAATAAAAGCCACCAGTGCCACACTCCCCAGACTCGCCCCGCAAAAGCCTCTAGCGCATCACTATCCCTCTGAGACCACCAGAGCAGATGCGCCCAGGGCCGGTTGGATTGCCAATCCACAACAAAGAAAGGGCAATAATCCCAGCGGATACATGCAGAAGACGACTCTTCTTTGCTGCAATTTGCAAATAAATCTCATGCAGCCACTGCCCCCCCGGATGGCGCACTAAAGGTCGACGGCGGCGGGCGGCGTCTACGCCTCGGCTCCTTGTGACGGCCAGCCTGACTGTCTCAGCCAAATCTACGAGACACAAGCGCACGTGAAATCGGGCATTCGATTTTACATCCATGATAACATCAGTCAGTAATGCCATTGCCGCGCTTTCAACGATGGCTCTTCTATCTGGGCGCGAGCAAGGAGAGCATCCATAATCCGCAGTGGAGGCAATAGCTCTCTGCGCTATAATGCGGCCCCGAAAACTCTGACTGGCCCTCATCTTGAGCATCACCTTACCCAGAATCTTTTCTTTCCCCCTGGGGCAACAAACTGGAGGAGGGTCTCGACAGGCGGTGGACTGTGCCCAAATCGCTGCTCGGCCCCTCCGAGTCAGGCCATCCATCTCAGCTTATTACTGGTTACAGCACACCGCAAGCCGCAAGCCGCACGCGACCACTCAACCCGACGCCACCCACACCCGCCTTGTATTGGCAACCTCTGAGGATGCTGCGTTTTTCCTCCTCCAGTTTTTACAGTGTTGCCACACGCCCGCCATCACGGCCCGCGGCGCTTTGGTACGTACCCTGGTCGTGCTGCCTCTTGATACAAGCAGCCCCCGAGTGCTACCTGTCACAGAGCCGCACGTCCTCCCCGGTTTAAACAGGGCCACAGAGCCTCACATACTGTACCTCCCCCGGTCGGTGGTGAAGCATATCAAAACGCAGTTATAGCAGATTATGCGGGCAATAATCAAACACGCACCACCCGGCCCAACAGCATACCACCTTCCCCCCATCCTAATGCTACACTGCAGTGCCGCTCGGGCTCTGGAATTCCGTCTCCAGCCAAGGTAAGGTGACTCGAACCATATCGCGGAGAGGGTTCTGTATTATTAGTCCCAGCATATTATATTACTCTTGAATATCCATATTGCTGCTGGGGTTGTGTTTGCTGCCTGCCATATCGCCCTCAATAGGTACCTAGTACCTACACAGAATGTGTGTACCAGTGCAAGGCTGCATCTCAACACCACGCAAGACAAGGAACGGCTCCAGCAATTTTTCTGCTTCTTCTGCAAAGCAGATGCACGTCAAATTTGCATATGATTGTGGTCCAGTTGACCAGTCTTCAGCCGCCCGTTGCCCATCAATGACCAAACCCGGCTCCCGGCCCCGTCACACTTGTACAACTTGAGCGTGCCAATTTTGGCACTGGGGCCCATCAAGTCCTGCTGCTGTCCACTTGGCAGGATTTTCGACGCATCTTCTGCCAACATTGGCACTGCCCATCAATTACCAATCGTACCGCGGCTGCGTCTGCCTTCAAGACATCCTTCTTCAGCAGTCTTGGCGGACATGAGAATCTATTCGGCCTCGAACCCTTTGTACAACACCCGTGTCCTACCCCACACACTTCAGTCGACGTCGACCGAACAACGCCCCCAAAGAAAAACTCTGTTCGACGTCTGCACCCTAGCTTGGCTCCATCGCGGACCAATATTCAGGAAAAGGCAATCGGTCGCCCCTCTATCGACACGGGCTGGAAATGCCCATGTCCCCCGGGCCCACCAAGCTAAATGCAGCTTGACCCCAAAATGGGTGCAGAGAGCGGCAGCCAGTGCCAATCATCAGTGGTGATCATACCTACAGTATCATACATACCAGTGCACGCAGTGTGTGGCGACTCTGCAACTGACACAATCCAAGGCTGATCATGCTATCAGCACTGTTGTATCTAGTCATCAGCGCTGCTCGCTGATTGACCGGCTAGGTTCCGAAGCGTGGCCTGTGCGACTCTTGATCTGCCGTTGCGGCGAGGAAGCCAATCGTCGGGCGCCAGTCTGATGCATGTAGACGATCCTACGCTGTCATTGCTATGCTGGCAATGGACAGCAGTTTGCCCGCCTCACCCTCAAATCCGGGGTATACCCTTTGGAAGCGTTACTTACACCAGCAACTTCCTCCTCTCAGCCCGGTTAGACGAGCAATACGACTGGTTCAGTCTGGCGAAAATAGAACGCTGCGAGATTATAGCTGAGCGCGCCTTCTAGTCACTTATCTGCATTATCGCAAATCCAACACAGAAAGCTTATGTAGCAGGCATCTATTAGCGGTATGCTTCAGCTGAGCTGCATCCAGCTTATATGGCGTCTTCTCCTCTCAGCACTCCTCGAAAAGTCGACGAGTATGCGACGAGTATGCGACAAGTAAAGTTTCCCTTGTTTGGAATTGGAAGATCTTGGACGGCGACGTCGAACTTTCCGGCATAGGCAACAACCCCTGCGGCGTGGCGCAACCAAGGCCGTCACGAGCCATACCAAATTAGAATTGGAGTCTTGTTGATCCTCATCGCATCTGGGGCGTTCCCCCGTTGCTGGCGCTGGACCAGCTCTCAATTGAGTTGAAGCCGCCTCTTCTCGGCGTACGCGTACTGGTACAGCCTGCGATCACAAGAGGGAGCAAAAATAGCCAGCCAAGGCGTCGTCGTCGAACCATTGCCCAGCTGCCAACCAGTGTTGCCCGCACAAGACAGCGATAATCCCACTTCACCTATGCACACGATATGGGGCCGCGCAATTACTTGCCCCGTATCACATGCAGACGTTTTAATAAGTACAAAGGACACTGGCCCATATACCTCGCCGGCGATGTTGCTTGGCATGTCTGGCGCATTCACGACAGCAAACTACATGACGGGCACATGACAGGCGCATAACAAGGAAAGTTTTGCAAGCCTCATTGTTTCGGTTCGAGTTCAATTAAGTATTCAAGGTGCTCAGCCTACCTTGGCAACCCCCGCATCTATTGCCTGCAAACTATATTACACGCTTCGCCAAGCCAAGGGCCGGCCTCCAATCCGCCGTTCTAGGCGTACGCCCTTAACCGTGTCTTCTATTACGGTCTCTTATAGCTTCGACTTTGTCCACAAGCCCTGGCGGTCTATCCCAGACTCGCCATCATAGATATCCCTCTCTACACGTCGAGTATTGAGCTAAGAAGAGGGGGCGGGAGTGTTAGCCAGGTACAAGCAAGGCGCACTTTGTAGTAGTCACGAGTCTCATGATAGGGGGGATCGCCAGAGATCTGGGGACTTGTGGGGGTAGGGCTTCGGTCGAGGAGACTCAAGTCGGTGCAAGCGTCGACTATCAATAGCTACTATGGTTTTGCAACCAATGCCTCGTTTCAGACTCAAGGCATAGATCATCCGTTACGATCATGAGGAAGCAACTGAGCAGCACAAAGCCGATAGTAGACCAAGGGAGGGAGACACAATCAAATAAAGTGCAGGGTTTACTTACTGCAGATGGGCGAAGCTCCGGTATAGAGCGAGCGCCGATGAGGCGCATTGCAGTCGCAATTTCGGCTTGCAGGACTAGTTTCAGGCAAGGAGGATTAGCACAGCCTATATCTCGTGCGCTTTTCCAGACACATATTGCAGCCGCGTCAATTGGGAACAGCCGGAGGTATTCAGAATTCCAACAGCTTTGGCACATGCAACGCCAAAGACGGCGGCTTGCAAAAATGAAGAATGGAGATCACTGGCGGCGGGGAGGGGGGTGACTTACTCTCAAACATGCGCTCCACGCCGGCCTGCCCGCCGGCACCCAGGCCATAGAGCGGCGCGCGGCCGACGCCTACGCCGCGGGCGCCGAGGCACAGGGCCTTGACGACGTCGGTGCCGCGGCGGATGCCGCCGTCGATCCAAACCTCGAGGCGGGTGAGCACCTCCGGGCAGTACTTGCGGATCTCCAGCAGGGTGTGCAGCGGTGGCGGCGCCGTGTCGCACGCGCGGCCGCCGTGGTTCGACAGGATGATGGCCTTGACCTGCGGGTGGCACCGCATCGCCAGGTACGCGTCCTCGTGCGCCTGCACACCCTTGAGCACGATCGGCAGGTCCGTGTGCGCCGCCAGCCACGGCAGCGTCTCCGCCCAGGTCAGGTCCGCCGCGGTGCCGTGGAAGAGCTGCTGGCCGACCCCGCCGCCGCCCGGCCGCGCCTCCACGCCCGGATTGCCCGCCGCGGCGACGCGCACCCCGCCCGCCCGGCCGAGGTTGCCGCGCTCGTCCAGCTCCCGCTTGCCCGGCGTCGGCGCGTCCAGCGTCAGGCAGATGAACTTGTAGTGCTCCCGCAGCGCGTTGACGCGCCGCAGCATCGCGGCGGTCTTGTCGCGCGCGTCCTGCACGTACACCTGCCAGCCGAACAGCTGGCCCGCGGGCGCGCCCTCGACGATCTGCTCGGGGGTCATCGAGGCGTTGTTGGAGACGACGGTCATGGCGCCGAAGCGCGCGGCGGCGCGCGCGATGCCCGCCTCGCCGTCGGGGTGGGCGAGGCGCGCCATGGCCGCGGGCGCGACGAAGACGGGCGTGGAGACGGCGTGGCCCAGGAACGAGGTCGACTGGTCGTTTGCGCGCACGTTGACGAGCACGCGCTGCCGCATGCTGATGGCCCGATAGACTTCGTTGTTGCGCACCTTGCTGATCTGGTCGTCCGAGGCGGAGAAGTAGTAAGCCCACGCGCGCGGCGAGATGCGCTTGGCGGCCTCCTTTTCAATGTCGTCGAGGCTGAGCAGGGTTTCCACAGGGAGCAACGGTTCCGGCTCGCTCTTTGCGGCGGCCGGAGAAGGAGGGCTGGGTGTTGCTGCTGTTGCCGGCGGTGCCGACGATGATGAGGATGAAGTTGATGATGCGGCGTTGAGCTTCTCTTGGCTCTCGGCAGATACGGTGCCGAGAACGGCTTCCGGGGCGAGGTTCTCCTCAAGCGTCCCGGGCGGGTGCACGGGGTCATAGTCCTCGGTGGCGTCCTGGCCGGCGAGGGAGAGGATGATCCGCGAGCCGCCCGGGTGCGAGCTTAGAAAGGACGTGACATCGTAGACCTTGCCGTACAGGATGACCCAGCAGCTTTCAGGCGTGTTGTGGCGGGCGACTGTTTGGGCGACGAGCGTGAGTATTTGTCGGCTGAACACGAAGCGAGAGAGATGGATATGAGGCTTACCTTCAGCCGCGTCAAGTTCGGGAGCCATGGCTGGAGATTTTTCTGAGAGTTTGTGGAAGAAAGTGCGGGAGGAGGATTGTAGAGAGGGCGCCGGATGATGAAGCACCGGAGAGGTTTGATGATGTTTGCGCCAGCGGCTGATTGGGCTGGGCAGCGTGTACAAACGGACGATTGCACAAGGGCACACACGCGGGCCTTTGCGATAGAAGTGGAACAGGGAAACAAAAAAAGCGAAGAAAAGAAAGTGCTCATCAGTAAAGAAGAGAAGGCAATCGCCAGAGATATGAATCAGATAGAAAAAGGTTGGGCTCGTTCGGGTTCAATTGCCGATGTCCGGTGCGCTGATATCGAGAAAGATTCAAGGTTGCCGTTTCGGAGGGCATTTGATTGGCGGGAAATCAAGACCGAGTTGTGGGGGAGAGCGCCGATACTAACTCCAAGGTACAGGGCATATCCGTATATACCTAATAACACGAATAACGTGGCTGGCTTCCAGCGGAGATGCTCCCCGTTGCCGGCCCAGAATATGGAGGGGAATCAAGAGGAAAGTCTACTAGGCAGTCTTCGCCGCTCATTACCCCGGTTGGCGGGTTGGGCATGAGGGGCTCCACTGAAATTTTCCCAGCTTTCTTCCCGACGTCATATCAAACAACGCACCTACACGGCAACCAACATTCATTCACGCAGCACCGTTTTTCATTTGCATCTCGGGTCCATTGCCGGCACTGTTGGAGCCTTGATTCAAACGCCATCGACGCCTATCTGATCGATATGCGCTCCTTTATCGCGGCGGTCCTGCGCGCCGGCGGCGCACCGCCATCCCGACGCGTCCGCTGCTACTCGTCATCGCCCAGCGGCGCGCTCGCCGCCCTGGCTACACATCACCGAAGCCAACTAGTACAAAACCACTCGACGATGACGACGACGACGACGGCATCGTCCCTGCCACCACAACATAACCACCGCCGTCACTTCTCCCAACACCGTCCGCAGCCCCTCCGACTTGCCGCCTCCCCCGCCGATACCTCCGAGCCACCACCACCACCACCACCCGCCCCCTCAACGCACTACGACCTCTTCCCCGCGACCCTCCCCCTCGGCCCCCCTCCGCGCGGCCACTTCCCCATCGACACCCGCGCCCTTCGTCGCGAGTTCCTCTCCCTCCAAGCCCGCGCCCACCCGGACCTGCACCCGCCCGGCGCCGCCAAAACCTCCGCGGCCGCGCTCTCCGCGCGCATCAACGACGCCTACCGCACGCTCGCCAACCCGTTGCTGCGCGCGCAGTACCTGCTCGCGCTGCGCGGCGTCGACGTCGCCGCCGACGAGCGCCTGAAGGTGGACGAGCCGGCGCTGCTGGGCGAGGTGCTGGAGGCGCGGGAGGAGATTGAGGAGGCGCGGGTGGAGGAGGACCTGGAGCCGGCGCGGGAGGCGAACGAGGCGCGCATCGCGGCGGGCGAGGAGGCGCTGGAGGTGGCGTTCAGGGAGGACGACGTCGAGGCGGCCAAGAGGGAGGCGGTGAGGATGCGGTACTGGGTCAACATCAGGGAGAGCCTGGACAACTGGGAGCCGGGCAAGCCGATTGTGCTGGAGCACTGAGGGGCAAGACGAGGCGGACTGTATAAGGGGAGGGGGACGTGTAAGATATGAACCATTTGAAAATATAGATCGCCAGATAAATAGACAAGCATGTGCAAAGTTTGTACACTAATGCCAGGAATTCGCAAGATACGCTGCAGCATTACGCAGTTGCTGCTATACAAAACAAATATCCATAATGAAAAAAGTATATATATATATTTCAAAGAGTTCATCATGTACAGCAGGAGACAGGTTTCTCCTGGACCCTTCCCCAAAACTCCTCCATGGTATAAATAAAGAAAAAAAGATGCCCCCCTTCCTCCCCCTGTTCACCCTTCCAAAGTTTGTAAAAAAAGCAGAGACGCCGATATCCGGATATTTGTTTGCCCGCTAACCAGGGATTCTTTTGCCATGAAGATGAGAACATAGTTTGAGCAGAAAAAAAAAACGAAGCAAGATGGAAGCTGATGATGAAGAAAGATAGGACCGTGTATGTTGGTACTACATTGGTATCAGAAATGCCAGAAGAGGCTGACTCGAAAAAGGCATGCGCATCGACATGCTACGGTTAGTATCACCGTTGATACGCAGGCAGCTGCTCGCCAGTTGACCGTTGATTGCTGCGTGATGGACCGGCAGAAGACGATGGACCAGCACTCACGCCGTATCCCGCCAACTCCTCCTCATCCTCGTCGAACACCGGCGCGCTCGGCTCTGCGTCGGCATCGTTCGCCGGGCTCGGGCCGTCGGAGCGCTCCATATCATCTGGGAACTCTGGCGGCGCGCTCGCTTCGTTGATGAGGCGCCGCCGTTCTAGTTCTTGCTTGTCCTCTGCTGGAAAGGCAGATGAACCGTGCAGGTCGTCCTCGCTAGGGGCTGACGGCCCCGCTACCGCCTCGTGATCCGTGGGCGCCGACGGCCCGGCTAAAGGCGCCTGGTCGTGCGCGTCGTAAATGTTGTCCTCGTCTGGTGCGGACGGAGAGGACGACGGGCCTGCTGCTGACGGCTGGCTCGGCAACAGGCGTGTTTCCGCCTGTCGTATGCGTTCCTTCTCCGACATATTGCGCGAATCAGGCATATGTGGCTGCGGAATGTATGCCGGGGCTGCCTCACGCGAGTGCCCGTTGACGTGACTATGCGAGTGAAAATCAGGTTGGGACGCTGCTGCGGGACTTGCGTTGGCCCGGGAGGGGTGTAACAACGGCGGTTGCGAGGCGTAGTTGCGCTCGCTCGGAGCTGTGGTATAGATGACGGGAGAGGCGGCGGATGAACGTTCGCTCAATTCGGCGCGGATGATGTCGTCCTCGTCGCTTTCCGTCACGCGGGGTGTTGGGAGACGGGGTGATATTCGGAGTAGCTTCCGCCGGCGAGAACTGTCGACTGTGCCTACAACTGTTTCCATGGACACCGATACGACGCCCTTTTGGCGCCGCAGGGGAGACGTATCAATAATATTTGTTGCCACTCGGGGGCCGTAGGCGTTGTCCACGCCAGAGGTCATGTACTGGCCCAGGCGAGTAGTGGACTGTGCGCCTTGAAGCATCTGGCTCGAGAGCTTGCCGCCCAAGTCGACAATCACTTCGATGTGGTAACGAAAGCTTACCATGGCACCTGGAACGCCTCGTATTGTGGGAAATGCGTCGTCTGGTAGCTTCAGTGAACAGGTAACCGACGCATGCAGCGACAAAGGATCGATGATTAGCGGCGCCGTGTTCTGGTCCAAGTCTTTGCGGAACATGCTCGTTGAGCCTGTTGAGGATAACGACAATCCAGCAAGCCCTGTTCTCGACCTTGGGTATCCATCGTCACCAATGGCTTCAAAGTCATTCCCAGAGAATAGGGACGCAGCAGGCGCCGAGTCAATTTTACTCTGACGAAACAATGTCACAATGACACCCGTCAAGCACTTTAAACGCTTAATGTGCTGCACAGATACGCGCACAGTAACCATATCCCCAGCCAGGCATCCACCCTTGAGTAGTTCAATAGTGGCGGTGATGGTTTTGTTGTCGACCAACTTTTGTTTGGATGGCGACTTGAATGTAGATGCGTGAGATAGTGGCGTGACGTCGCTGCGGCTTACCGCCGTGCTTATGCTGCGACCGCTTTCGCCGCTTATTTCGCTTCGCACGTCGATTTGAGTAGGCCCGCGGTTGTTTTCTGGCTGAGTACTATCGCGCGCGGAATCGGAGGCGGCTCCGGTTCGTTCTACGGAGCCTGCTTCGGAGGTGTGATCGTTGGGCACGCCGGTGGGTGGCGGCTCTGGAATTGGAGCCGGTGGCTTGTCGAGTATGACTGATCGTTTCCGCCGTGTGCGTTTAGAGATGGGTTCGAGGAATATGGTTCGCGATCGCGGGGGCGGAAGGTGGCCAATATCAATCTTTTCGACGAGCAGAACGCGCTTTTCGCACGACATGGTGGGCGCAATGGCAGTCGGTCTTGTCAGTGTGGCTGTAATCATGTAAGATATAGTGCCGCGTTCAAACTGGAGGTCATTTGTCAGTATCAGGGCCACTAAGGGCGTCAAAGTGCACAGGTTGTCGTACGTCAATGCTGCTAGGCAGGCCAATGTCGGGGAATATGAGCTGAAAGCCGAACTCGTAGCGGCCGGCTTCGAGCCTGCCCTCGCCGGCGAGAACTTGCTCGTCCTGGAAGAGGCTCGCAAGGCCATTGCCGTGGTACTGCGGGAGCTCGGATATGCCGCCGCGCGGGGCCACGGGAGAGCCACTAGCCTTGGCTTTGGCGGAGGCATCTTTGAAAACGTGAACATAGCCGTGGAGGGCGACGACGAGATGCGTGATGCGGATCGCCTTGAGGACAGCAACGTTGACGTGGCCGCGGACCGTGTCGCCAGCGTTGTACGTCCGGTGGGGCTCGTCGGGACGGATGTGAAAGTCGAGGACGTTACGATTGCGAGATCTTATGTTGAAAGAGGGTAGGTTGAGGCGAGAGAGCAAAGCGGCGGTGCGGGACGTGGAGGTGTTGGAGGTGGCTGAGTGGACGGACGGCGGCGTCGCGGGTTTGGCGGATGATGATGATGCGGAGGAGGCGGCATTGTCAAGAGTGGTGTTGAGTCGAGGCACGGCCGTTGAAGACATCGCGCCGGCAGGTGCAGCAACGGCAGCAGTAGCACCCGTGTCAGCGGTACGGTGGTCGGCGGCGGAAGCGGCGGCAGCAGCAGCTACCCGAGGCGACGCCGGCGGCCCGGTGGAAGGCACCGCCGTCGTAACGGCCGCGGGTTTTGGATCGTCATCGGAGGGCGCGCCGGGGTTTGGGTTGCTGCTGCTGCTGCTGCTGTTGCCGCCGCCGTGGTGCGAGCCGGCTGCGGCGAGCGGCATGGGCAACGTTGACGAGCGCAGAGCGGTAGACGACGCGTGCTCATGCGCTGAGGACGAGCGTCGAGGGCAGAGTCCCGAATCGAGTGGTGATGAAGGAGCGAAAGAGGTTGGAGGGGCTTATAGATGTATAATAATACACATGTTCCAGATTCGAAGAAATATTTGACGATGATTTAAAAATGTGGACTGGTTTCGAGGGTTGCAGGAGAGGGAGGGGGGGATTAGATGGTTGGTGATCCGAGAGCAGGGAAATGGGTAATGATGGGTGCAGCTACTAGCTGGCTGTCGTTGGTCTGGTATCCTTCCTGGTGGGCTGCAGACAATGGTGTGCGGTTTGGCTTCCGTTTCGAGAGCGAGTTGCCTGAGCCACAAAGCTCCACAAGCGTTGGTGACGGGGATGGGCTATTTTTGCGACTATGGTGTGTGCCTGTCAGGTAGCATTGAGGCGTTTCCTTTTTTTCCCTTGCCTGGGGAATGCTTGTTGTTAGCGGTTGCCCATACGCTCTGTTGGGGAGAGAGAGAGGAGAGGAATATGTGTTGGTACATCGATGAGCAACGGCCGGCCTAGGACTCGTAGAAAGTGTCCGGCAACCAATGAATGACCCGGGACCTGGTGAGGTACCGAGAAAAAAAAACGAGAAATTAATAAACTGAGATGGAGAAGCAGAAGCAGAAGCGAAGCAAAGCAAAGCAAGGGTTTGGAATGTGCCCAAGGCTGCAGGTGCGAGGCGGTGATGTATGTAGGCGAGGGGAGGCTGTGCCTGATCCTAGGGGAAAGTGTTGGCCTGGAGGGAGTGGCGCAGTGGCTGTCGGCGGTTGAATTGGGGGCAGTATCGAAAGGGCGGGTGGCTTGAATGTGAGGCGAGGCTGCAGGAATAGGTGCCACTGTCAACTGTCAAGTGTCACTTTATTAGCAGGTACAGTAGGTACCACCGTGGCTGCTGAGCAAATGTCTTGGCTTTCAACCCCCCAAGGCCCGTAGTTGGAGAAGTAGGAGCTATCCGTACTTTCTCAACGCCTTCAATGTATTCTCTTCCAACATTGTCATTCATCTCCGACTCGTCTTGACGTGTCAGTTTCGATAGTGGACTCTGGTGGGGGACTCACTCTGATAACTTGAAATGCGCCAGCTCGCCACCATGGCCTGAAAACGGTAGGTAAAAAGGCACCTACCGCCGCCGACTCCAACACGGCAACTCACAGTTCCCTCTCACACAACTCTCAACCCACACTTATCCCACACTCATCAGCCACACTCACTCGCCCAGTCGCGGTGCCCGCCTGTACATACGAGGTCACCGGTGATAACGTTGCTCTCGCTTATTGCACTAATAATCCTCTCCGTTCACTACCCGTCGTCTATTCGTACATGCCATTCATTCCAGGATAAAAGGGACCCTTCATTTACCGCCTTCTCCACCGCCTACAGAAAGAAATTGAGGAACCCTGGATATCAACCTGTATCGAAGAAAGCCCGCAAGCCCGCAAGCCCGCAAGCCAGCTGAACAATTTTACGTAGCAATCCCTGATCCATGTAGGCATGTCTTAAAACGCCCAGTATCGCAACGAACTTGGATGTTGCCGATTTGGGCCTCCTGCAGGAGATGCCACGCCGCAAGTTCATCACCAAAACCCGCAGCCGCATGCTGTATGTACGTGCCGCGATACGAATATACACATCCAGGCTTTCCCTCCCGTCGTCCGTCTCATCTCTCCCCTCATCGCCAAGCAAAATGGAAGCCTCCGAAGGCGTAGAAAAGGGGAACATTCCCGTGCCAAGCCCCCAGCTGGCATCGACCAAAACGAAAGAAAAAAAAAACCCTCTAATCAAGTAGTTTTGATTAATATAGTCGTTGAGAATATTAACGGATATACGCGCGCAAGTAAATCCAAACTATTGATAACCCGTCTGGATGAACGAACCCCGGTAAACTAGCGCTGGGGACTATGTATGTAGCTGCTGCATCGTCGGGCCTTTTCTCTTTCTCTTTCACTGCCTCACAGGCTCGGCTCTTCATGAAAATTGCACTGTATACTTCGCCGGCATGCGCAAGTCGTGCGGCAGGCACTTGATGTGATGTGATGTATGTACATACATAGTTCTCGGCGCGGTAACCTTCAACAGCGCTACCGCGACAAGCCCATCCCGCCTCAAAAGGTAAAAATACCGAAAAAAAATCAAAGCACGCTTTATTAAAAAGCGTTCGGGCAGTTTCGAGCCTAAATAGCACCACCGCCACAACTGAAGGACGCTACTGCATGCAGCCGGGAAAAACCAAACTCACCGCGCGTGTTTTGTTACCGTTCCGTCGTCGGGCAGGCAGAAAGGTCGAAGGAGCGAAGTTCATGTCTGCGGGTTTCATCACCACCTACCAGCCATGAGCCCGACGCATCATCTTGTCGAATGAAGTACTTCCGTGCCCCCTCCATTTCGGCCGTCGCACACCCCAACGCAAGCCGTGTTTCTGCTGTCGAACGAACATGTGAGATGGCTCATCGTTGCATTGCAGGAAAAGGTGACCCGTCACGTCCACAACACCACACACTCACACGGCAGCCATGTCGTCAGACGATACGACTCAGAGAACGTGGTTGAATCGCAAGGACCGGGGTGCGGCCGGCAGCGATCAGCAATGCATGATGTCAAGGCAGGTTGGAAAAAGAAAATAACCAAAAAAAGATAGGGAGGTAGGGATATCGAGAACATGAATCGCCGTTTCATTGCACCATCGTCATAATCGAGGGGTGTCAAGTACAACACGCTACTAAAACAATCTTGCACGACTCATTCACCTAGCCAGCGTCAATCACCATCCATGTACGTACATCACTGTCGCTTCAGCGGTCCAGAGCTGGCAAATGCTTTTTATATTTGCATTCGTCTCAACTATCCTACTCTATGCGGGTATTCCCTCCAAGTCAGAACAGACTCTTATCCTACATGTTACTTGCCGCCAAAAACAGAAAACCAACAACGCCAGTCTGATGAATCCTTTACATGCTCGTAGCCGTCTCCAAGAAATCGCAAGATCGCCATGATCCAACATCCAACAACGCCAAAAAATGTAAAACAAACCCAGATAAAAACATTTAATCCAACGCCTCTCCATGCAAAATGCTGGCTAGAATGCCTGAGCCGAGGCCGGCAACAACCGACTCCATGTCCTTCTCGGTCACACAGCTCGCAACTCGCTTGTCGTCTCCGCTCGCCAACACGGCGGCTTTGCGGCCACGCTTGCTAGGCGTCTGCGGCGTAATGAAGCTTCCATTCTTGCCATCGACCGCGTTGACAAGGCCCAGCGTCTCCAAGCTACCCATGACCTCGCGGAACTCGGAGCTCGAGAGAGGGTGGAGCACAGAGTCGCGCGTGCACAGGCGGCAGTACGCGCCAAAGAGCTTCTTCACAGTTGGTGCCAGTAACTGGGTCTTGCTTGGTGTAGTGGGCATGCCGACCTTAACCTTTGATCGCAAGTGATTCTCGTACGCAACCAGAGCGCACAGGGCTGCCTTTTGCTGAAGGTTGAGAGTCTTGAGCCTCTGTGTGGTGCCGTTGCTGAACGCTGCTGCCGTCACCTTGTTCAGATGGGCTATGGAAGCGCGAGGGGCCGTCTCGGCCGTCAATGCCTTGAGTGAATTGCCCATAATTTGTACAATGCTTCGTCCTCCCATGGCCCCGTTGATATTCTCGCCAAGAGGTCGCTTCGATGGTGTCATCTGAAGCATAGCTTCCCTTGCCTCTTCCTCGTGCTTCGACCGTGTTTCGTTCTCAATCAGATCCAAAGCCCTTCTGCAAATCTCAAACGCCTTGCGAAGATCCCCCGTCTGACTCGACACTTTGCGGGAGCACAGTTCAATGGCAGCAGGGTGAATAAATGGAACGAAGTTTTCTTTACCCTGGGGCATCAAAGACTTCAGACGAGTTGTGATGATATTCTTCACTTGCGTAGCGGTATAGGGAAGAAACGGAAGAAGCTCAGGTTTAAGGTTCTTGGACTTGAGACGAGGGAGAAATCGGTCCGTGAGATCTAGCGCGTTGGCAATGCCGACAAGGAGAAGCTTTGACGACTTGTGGAGGGCCCATTCAAATACACGATACAAGCTCTCCAGGCCCATAGTGAGAATATGATCAATCTCATCGAGAGTGATCAGATAGGTCGTGGCGTTGTCGTCTCTGGGGTAGAAAGCGTCTTGCAGAGCGTCCATGGCATCAGCCTCGGTTACGCCCTCGGCCTCAAGCCCCATGCCGTCGAGTAGCGTCATGTAGAGATCCTTGGAGGACTTGACGCTCATGCAGTTGATGTATGCCGACTTGACATCGTCCCTATTTGCGTACTTTTGAATGAGCCCGGTAATCATGGCGCTCTTGCCGGTACCAGGCGGGCCGCTGACGTAGAGGCACCCATTTGGCGAGTCTGATGTGCACCGCTCCAGGAAAGCCGTGAGCTGCTGACGCTCTTCGTCACGGCCGACGAGCTGACCGGGCTCCGCCCCGCGGGCGAATAATTGGCGAGCCGAGTGGTAAACGGTTTGGATGGTGCTGGGAGACAGGGGAGAGTGCGGCGTCAGTCTCTTGAAGAGCTTGCCGGCCGACATGACGGCGTGTCGAGGCGTCGTGGGATACGCGGCCAAGGCATCGTGATGGCGTGGCGTCGACGGTGTGACGGGGTTCCGAGCTGAAGACTGAGAAAGAGATCGATTTCTCTTGCTAGGCGAGTCGTCGACTTCGGTCTTGATAATAATGGGATTGGTGGTAGCAACGCTGACAATGTCCTCGGGATCCTCGTTCTCGTCGTTGTAGTCGACAGTGGCGGCGCACGACCGGCGAGGCCGTTTGGAAGGAGACTCGTCTGAGTCTGGGGTAACAGGTAAGTACGATTGTCTAGAAGGCACCGTGCCTGTTTGTACGTACCATAGATTACCGCGCGGCGGGATCTCTTTCCCAGAGCTGAGGACGCCATTGATGCGGAACACCTGGGGCAGGAAGCTTCCTGCCAATCGAAAAATGCTGATACGGATATGTTCTTGCCGGCTAAGTGTAGAATGCTGGTAGTGCGAGATGCAGAATGCGGGCGACTAATATAAACAGATGTGAAGAGGCAATGTCGAGATGGAAATGCGTCGCTGGGGAATTGGTAGATGAGAAAAAGCTGGTTGCTGTGGAAAGTCTCACAAGGGCACGAAAGGATTAAGTAAAGCAGCTCGCGCCACGACCAGGGTCGCGCAAGGGCGGGACGAACCGTGTCGAGCGCGTTTCAACGCGCCAGTACGCGACAAAATCTATTAAAGCCCTGGTCAGTGTGTGGATATGGCAAAACCTGGGTGTGGCGCGGGCGTGGCTAGTGCCGCTCCACAGCCCAAGGCTCAATACCTGGGAGGAGGGAGAGCTGTTAACGGCAGGGTCTGGAAACTATTGAAAAAAGGAAAGAATGAATATTTGAAAAGCTGGCTCAATTGATAGAAGGGCGTTTTCGATGTCTCGTTTTCGATGTCTTTTCCACGTGTGCTTCCAAATGCGGCGGGTGGGGGCATGAAATCGCCGGCCAAGCCACCCCAGCTGTCAGTGACGACATTGGAAATCGGCTGATCATCACAGGCGGCTATAAACTTCGCTGCTTCACACCCCGGCCTTCACGAAATCGCTGCCATCCGCCATCATGACTACCTACATCCCTTCTCTTACGTTGCCCATCGCGGCCCTTCAGCACGCGCCTACGTCCATCCTGCTGCCCATCGCCCTTGGCACCGCCATCGGCTACAGCACCAAACGCAAGTAGCTCAGCGTCCCTACCCAACGTTGTACCAGCCCATCTCACAACCTTTTCCTTGCAGCCGACAAGACGGTCAAGACGTACCACGCGCTCAAGCAGCCCCCGCTGCACCCGCCCGCCTATGTGTTTGGCCCCGTCTGGACAGTTCTCTACGGGTACGCCGCGTCGTCCCCCCCCTCCTTCCCTCCCCGCTCCGCCAACTAACATGCCATGATACCAGACTCATGGGCTACGCCGCGCACCGGGTCGCCGCTGTTGGCCTCTCGCCGCTCTCTTCCCCCGCGACCGCCGCCTCCACCAAGCACTCGCTGACCGTGTACACGATCCAGCTCGGGCTCAACCTCGCGTGGATGCCGCTCTTCTTCGGCGCCCGCCGCCCCGTCGAGGCCACGGCCGACCTCGTCGCGCTGCTCGGCCTCAACGGCTGGCTCGCCTGGACGTGGAGCGCCGTCGACGAGACCGCAGCGTGGCTGCAGCTGCCATACCTGGGCTGGCTCGCGTTCGCGACGTACCTGTCCGCCGGCGCTGGATACCTCAACGGGTGGGACATGTCGGATGAGGCGCTGGAGGCTGGAAAGAAGGCCGAGTAAACATGTGCGTCGCATCGAGGCGCGAGCTTGAGAGAGCAATTTGGTTTATCGTATAAGCGATCTTTACTTTTGTGTAAACGAAAAGAATGTAAAACTATGTTCCAGTCTATGCCTTGAAATCTCTACCTTGATGTTTCCATGAAAGCCCATCATCAAACCGAAAACGCCGAAATATGCAAGTCGTGTATGAGAAAGAAATGCCCAACCGTAGATGGGAAGAGGTTCATGAAGCTTTGGCGCGCAGCACCGCATTACATAGGGAAATGCCTCTTGAGTCCGTCAAAGACCATGAAGATGAACGCGGAGCTGGGCGCGGACCGCAGACAGGTAATGCCGCAACCACGATAGAGCCCACGGAGGCCCGACTGGCGCCAGATGGCCGACCCCTCAGCCCAAAAGGACGGTTTCTGGCCGGGCGTCCCCAGCGGCGACGTCTGCATGCGCGACTTGATGGTGTCGGCGGGGAAGAAGAGGAAGTTGTACGAGACGCCCGCCGAGGCGCCGGCGACGGCTTGCTGCCACAGCGGCAACGGCGTGGCGCGGATGCGCTCCCGCTCCGCCGGCGTCGCCGCCTTCTTCACCGCCAGGCTGTAAAAGGCGGCCGTGACCGTCTCCTTGGCGCCGAACCAGGCCGCGGAGCCGCCCGACTCGCGGATCAACGTGCCCATCTGGCCGTGCCAGAAGCCGCGCAGGCCGTCATGTCGGAAGACGTCGCGGACGACGGCGAGCGGTTTTAGGCCGGCTCCACCGCCGCCGGTGGGCACCTGGATCTTGCACTTGACGAGCTCAATCGGCGTCAGGACGAAGGAGGCGAGGGCACCGGCGAAGGCGCCGGTGGTGTAGAGCGCGGGCAGGGACAACGGCCGGTCGCGGGGGGCGAGGCCGGTGGCGTAGAGAATCTCGCGGCCGAGCGACTCGAAGATGAAGAGGCTCGAGGTCTCGGCGGCGGCGCCGACGAGCGGCGCGCTGATGCCGCGGTACAGGCCGAGGAAGCCATCGGCGCGCAGGGACTGGCGGAAGCAGTCGAGCGGGCCCTGGTAGCGGAGGGGCAGTCGGTCGGGCTGGCTCTGGAGGCGGACCTTGACGGTGTCGAAGGGGTACTCGATGTATTTTCCGACGATGCCGGCAATCTGCAATTTCAAAAAAAAAAAACGCCAAGTGGTTAGCAAGGGGACGGCATGGTGGGTTGCGATGCACCGGCCGGGTGGGCGCAAGTGCGGCGGGAGGGGGAGGGGACGTACAGAACCGTAGAGGATGCCCTCGGCGGTTTCCTTGGCGGCGTTCCTGACGGGCAGCGATACGTCCGGCGCCATGGAGAGCGGAGGGGCTTCGACAGCGACGACGGTCGGATTCATGCTCGGTGATCGAGGACGGAGCGGAGCCGGTTGCTCGGTGCTATTCGGGGTGTGTTGTGGATTTTTTTTTCCCTTCGTCGCTCCTCAAGCCGCCAGCGCGATGCCGTTGGGGCAGTCAGCGCCTGGGCCAAAAGGGAGGTTCGTACAGCCTCTTGGGGCAAGTGTATGAAACCCGCTATCACTGTTGCAGCAAGTGACGGGTGTTGCGTATCGCGGGGTCGCAGGATCTTGTGCCGCCTTTGTTGGGCGTGGGTTGTACAAGAATGACTTTCTGCGTTTGCGATACCGGGCTTTGCCGTTTTTTTTTTTTTGGTGACGAGACTAGTGCGGCGGTGTGGTGGAGGTGATTAACGTTGCTTAGATCCGCAGCTGCAGGCGCAAGTACTGAAGCGGGTGATGAAGATGAAGGGGGAAAAAGATGGATGAAGGAACAGGAGGAGGGACAAAAGAAGTGAGAGAAATGAGAGAAGAGGGGAGACACGGAGGGTTTATTATACAGCGGCCCAAATGCAGCAGCGGCTATTATTTCTCTCATGCCCAGTCAGTCCCCTTGCGTGCTGCTGCCGGCCACATTGGGCAAGCATAGCCAAAAACCCCCACCATCCGTCTCACCATCCATCCATCAGAAGCAGAGAGCGGTCGAGAATCACCGCCTGACGAACCAAACGAAAACGAACGAAATGGACAGCGATGTTGCACGGTGGCGGATCGGGAACCGGCACCTGCTTGCCGCGGCCGCGTCCTTTTGTAGCGGTGTTACTTGCCTACCTATTATGCTTTGGTGCCTTGTCATCAGTGCGTTCGGCCGACTTTGCCAATCCCAATCCCACCTTTGGCTCAGACAGTGCGTGCTGACAGCAGCAAGTTAGCTGCATTGGTAGGGCAGTGCAGGTAGTTGGGTTGCATCTCGGCCGTCTACAAAGCAAGCCTAGTCGGATGCCATACCGCCATGAGGCATTTCCTGTTGCGACTTTGGACGGTGCAATGAGCGAATACCGCGCAATAGCTGCTTGCAGCCCGTGCCAAATGTCGCCATGGCCTTGAGATGCTACACCGTTTCTGCCCCCCAAAATGACGTAGCGTAGATCTGCCTCGGTTGAGTGTCACCCACACATTTACACATGGATGCACACCAAAGCTTGACGTTTACCTGCAACATGCAACTTCGACAAAAAAAATCTCCGTGTTTTCCAGAGCCGGTTATCCGAGATCGTACAGTCTGTGAAAACTAAGAACGCAAAGGACGAGCCGCTTAGCCGAGCGCGGCCCCTCCACCATCCAAACGGTATCTGATCATGAAAACGTGCCCGTATTGCCCATATTACAACATAAAATCGTTGCCCTCCATCAATCCGCACTATCAGCTCCCCTTCTTTCCTTTCCCTTTCTCTCCCTTTACCCCATTAATCCCTCTTTTTCGACTTCTTGGGCGACTTGGGCGACCCGGGACCCGCCGCCGCCGCCGCCTCCTTCTTCTCCGCCGCAATCTCATCCTCGTCGCGGTCCCGCTTCTCTGCGTACCACTGCCCGGCCTGGAGCACGAGCACGCCGATGAGGACGAGCGCGAGGATCGTGTTGCTCGCCGACATGACGCGCAGGCTGTCCTCCTTGCCGAGGATGTACTCGCCGTCCGCCTCGCCGCGGCGCGTCGACGCGAACTCGGGCTGGTCCCAGACGCCGTCCGTCAGCGCGCGCAGGCCGCGCACGATGTTGGTCATGTAGGTCGCGGCGCCGATGACGTAGAGGATGAGCGACGCGCCGTCGAAGAGGAAGTTGGCCTCGGACGGGCGGAACAGCTTGATGAGCAGGCCGGCGAAGGCGACGAAGACCATGATGTTGAGCATGCGGTGGATGAGGGGCGGCGCGGCGTGCATGAACTTGAGGTGCGCCTCGAGCTGCGGCAGGAACTCGGCGGCGAGCGGCTCCTTGCTCCAGAGGAGCGGGAAGTCGTAGGGGAAGGAGGCGAAGAGGATGCCGAGGAAGAAACAGGTGGCTGGGGTCGGGCAGAAGGGTTAGCGGAGAGCGCGTAGAGAGAGAGAGATACGGTTGCGGAATGTGCGAGAAAGGGAGGAGACGAGGAGAACGTACGCCCAATGATCATGAGCGTGGCAAACGACCCGGATCCTCTGTAGTTTCTGGACCGGGTCGTCTTGGTCCAGTCAATCCAGCCATCAAAGAAGCCCATGGTGACGGTGTCGTGCGGGGGAAGCAGTCGATCGCAATAAACACGGCGGGTGAGTAGTGTTTGATTGTCGCGAACGTAGAGCTGACGGTTCCGGCGCGGTTATTTCGACCAGTGATCGGAAAAAGCAAGCCGAGGAGAGAGATGAAGGTGAAAAACAGAAAAGAGAGCCAACGTTGCAAAGAGGCGAAAATAGGCGGCCACGGATTGGACAGGGTTTGGGGCAGCTCAGCTTGGCTCAGCTTGGTTTGGCTGGGGGTGTGGCGTCGCATCGGTGGCGTATTGGGTGCAAGCTTCACTTCCAAATGCATAGCTTTCGCCATTAATTTAGTGTTGCTTCAATTTCAATTCTCTTGTATTCCACGCTATCTTGGTTTTGAATCTTACGAATTCGATTGTCTCTTACTCAATCCTCCGTACTGAAAACCAATGAAGGCTTTCTCTCACTGTGGCGCCTGCTGTGGGGTAGCTGCATTTAGAAGCAGTCAGCCCCTGGAGCTTCATTTCGGCGGCGGGTGCTACTGCAAGGTATTTAGGCATACTTGCAAAGCCTGCAGAGCCAGCTCGCCAGGTATTTGGCGTGACTCTCACCTATTGCTTCGTGACCATATTACCATTGGACTAGAAATCCATATGTAGCGATAACTTGCGTGACAAATAGCCTTCGTCACTGTAGCGCGACGAAAGCGCCTAGGAACCGGTGGGCTCAGACCCTGCCGCCTGAATCGACCGCTCCGAGTTTCATGCCGTGTCCCCCCAATCTCGCTCCTTCACAAACCCCAATCTCTCATCAATCCGATGCAATAACATCTCAAGAATCCATATCCACCCCTCAATTCTCCGCAAATACCCGCTCGATGAGGCCGCTCATCCTCGCCGCCGCGACCCTCGCCGCCGCGCAGCAAACGCCGCCGCAGCTCCGCGTCTACGTCGACGACACGCACAAGTACGCCTACTACGGCTGCTACAACGAAACCACCCTCGCCGAGGGCTCCGCCGGCACGCGCGCCCTCGCCGGCGGCACCAGCCTCGTCCGGCCCGACAACATGACCGTCCCGACCTGCCTGAGCTTCTGCCAGGACGGCGACACCAAGTACCGCTACGCCGGCGTCGAATGGTCCAGGTACGTTTGGTCCTCACTTCGCTCGAGTTGGGAGGGCTCTGTGCTTCCTTGTTACGGAGTTTGCTGACGGAGGAAAAAAAACAGAGAGTGCTGGTGCGCACAGAGCATCGCGGGCATCGCGCAGAGGCTCGACGACACGGAGTGCAACTTCCCCTGCTCGGGCAACGAGACGCAGGCCTGCGGCGGGCAGCTCAAGCTCAACGTGTACCGCATGTCGGGCGCGGGGCCCGGCTTTGCCGTCCCCGGCCTCGGCGCGGTGCTGGCGCTGACAGGCGTCTATCTGACGGTGCTTGTCTGAGGGCGTTACTCCGTTGTTGGAGGGTTACTTCACACCTTGTGTTATTTATTTTCGTTTAATAGAAGCGAGCGATGATTACGGGTTAAAAGCGCGGGCTGGTTCATGAAAGAGATTCAATCGTACAAATCTAGACTGATAGTCCAGAACAACTATACAAAATAATACCACGGACACTCTCAAACAGAAATCCTTTCCAAATAAAGACATGGTATCGAAGTCATAAAAATCGTTACACGGGCCCGAGACCACGCTTCCGCAGCGCTTCCTGCAGTGCCTCCTTGATCCCCTCCATGCTCTTCCGCCACGCCGCTCGGCCAGAGCCCCCGTCGCCGTCCTGTTCCACCAGCACGTCCAGCCACCGGACGAGCGTCGCCGCCTTGTCCATATCGCGCTCCTCGCCCACCACCCGTGCTAGGTACCTCTCGAATACCTCCACGTCGCCCCGATGCGGGCCGTCGCTGCGCGTGTCCGCGTGCCAGGCGTCGAGCAAGTCCTTCATCTCCGCCGTGGAGCTCACGCCGGTGCTGGAAAACGAAACCTTGGGCGGCCGCGCGGGGAACTCTATGCGCCTCTGACGACCAGGGAGTAGTCCGCTGCCGGACGCTTCTGTGTGGGCTGGCCGGCGCGATGCCGCGTCAAGCCCGGATCGTTGCGCCAGCTTCTGGCGTTTGTGGTCTGCCATGACTTCTCTTCGCACATCTTCGGGCAATTCGGCCAGGAACTCGGGGTCCAGCTCCCCCAATTCGTCCGTAAAACCATTGCCGATAGGGTGTCCTGTCACAAAACTGGTCTGAACCACACCAGCGCGTGCATCACGTTCCCTCTGCGCCTTGCTCATCATGCCCCTGATCCCGCCTCGCTTCGTAGGGGTGGATGGATTCCTCGCTACTTGGGTATTTTTCCTAGGGGATGGCCGAGCCGCTGGTTTACGGCCATACTGAGCTAACACTTCTGCTTTCATATCTTCCGGGAGCGCGTTGAAAACTTCAGCATCCACCTGTGAAGGCAAAAAGTCCATGGCTGCTGGACTTTCAGAGCGCGACTTGGGCTGTGTATCCACGTCTGGGCTAAATGCCTTGGATTTCTGCCCCATCAGTTTACTGCGAATGTCGTTTGGCAATTCGTCCATCACAGCTGGGTCAATGTTGCTTGGTATCAGAAACTGGGTACCTGCGACGTTGAGCGGCGTGTTTGCCTTGATGTCATCTTCCCTTCCTTTGGCCAGCGCCATTGCGGGATGCACCCTCGGTTTCCTTGGCGTTAAAGGACCGTCCGTGATGGGGTCATCCTTAGAACTAGATCTCTCCACAAACTTCGGTCGCTGAAGGGAATCAGGGTCTTCAATCGATTCAGCGCCGCTGCTCCTCTTTGCTGATGTTGGATTGACAAAGGTGAACTCCAGCCTCTTTTGGCTGCCATCGGAGGCTGCAATACCTTGCTTGATTGGCTCCAGCTTGGTCATCTGTAGACCAAGCCCACGCAAATCACCAGGGCTGAACCTGTACGATCTCAAGACCGCTATGGCTTCCTTGCCGACAGACTCAGCGTTGTGTGTTCCGACTCCGAAAGGAACGCTCTTGTTGAACGTATCGCACTTGCCATGGCCAAGGTGCTTGGCAGGGTCGAGCGGCGCATCGAGCGAGCGGCGCATGATTTTGACTGTAAGATGGCGTCCTTTGACTTGTTCATTCAAAAGACGTCGCTCCAGCTCTTTACACAAATTGAGGACGAAATCTTCAGCCTCTTGTTGCGTGACGAAACGAATGCCCCAGCTCACTTCAGCTGAGACCGACTTCCGAGGGGGCTGGCCGCCGACTTCAGTCTTATCGATGCCGCGAGCAAACTCGGCGAGTTTCTCCCCAGTTTTGGGACCAAGAACTGACGTGAGTCTCTCTTTGGACAGTTCGCGCAAGTCTTTCACGAACCGGATGCCCAATTCTTCGAGCTTACCTCCGATACTGTATGAAACCCCGGGCAGCTGCTCAACCTTGAGCTCACCAATGTAATTGAGAACTTCTTCTGGTTTCAACTGGAACTGCCCCGCAGGTTTGGCTTTTCGCAAGGCTACCTTGGCTTGCAGGATATTGCCACCGATGCCCACCGACACGTTGCATCCCGTCAGCTCCTTGATTCTCTGTCGCAGGTCAGTGGCGATAGCTTCAACCTTTTCTTGCTCTCTCCAAACACTGCCTTCCTCCACCCCAACGCCTTGTGAGCCAGCAGCATGATGTACGATAGCCGTCGCGTCGATAAGAGCTTCGTCGATACTGACGCTTTGTACCACTCCTCCAACCGTCATGATGGCCTCATAAAAGGCCCTGCTTGCCGCTTCGTATGCTGGAAAGTCGTATGGTAAAACCTTGAGATCAGGGCATAGCTCTAATGCGCGCTTCATCCACATGCCGTTCTTCACGTCGAAGCTTCTGGCAGGATAGTTGCAACTTGCAATTTCGGAGCCATTTCCTGTGCCGTGCGCCACAGCGACAGGCTTGTCGATGTAGTCAGGAAACTTTTTCAATGACACTGCGCAGAAAAAGCTGTCAAAGTCGACGTGCATGATGTAGCGTCTTGCCCCAGGGCGTGTCTTGAACTTCTTTTCGGATAGACCCTTTTCTGCGGCAAGACGTTGCATGGACGACTTGAGCTCGGCTTTCCAGGTTGAGAGGTGGTGTAATCGACTTTCGGCATAAAATTTGGTCAAGAAATTTGGATTGGCGCAAGACGATTCACGCAGGCGGGGATCCGAGAGGAGCCAGGCATTGTGCTCTTCTGGAGTCATGTCCGTGGAGAATTCCCTGGGCGCTTTGGCATGTGCAGAAGAATCCTTTTGTGGAAGAGCGGCCTTGGTCGGCGTGTCCGTTTCTGGTGGCAACTCCGGTAAGTCCGTAATGGCAACTTCTGTTGACGGTGTCGCATAATCTGTTGACTTCATCGCGCTTGACAGGTCTCCGTCGGCAGACTTTGCCTCACTGGAAACGGACCGGCTTGGTGTCTGCAATTGCTCGACTGCCTGGCTCCATGCTTCAGTAACAGGGCCTGATGCTTGTAGTTGAGACGTATAGAAGCTGTTGTCGGTCTGTTCTCGATATCCCCGTCTCGGCGTAGGGCTGGCTTGAGAAAGGCCCTTGGAGCCATCAAACCTGAGGACTTTTTGACGGGATCCTTCGTCAAGCACGCGATAGTCGCTCCACGGCAACAGCTTGCCGGCTGCAATGGACTCTGTGATCCATGCCGGCTTCACAATTCGATAGCGACTATAGTCAACGCTTTTCTTTGGTGGCAGCGTAGAGGCGATGATGTGCGTTGCCATAGTCTTGGAATCTAGGTACTGTAGGAACCCACCGCCATGTTGAACAATGTCGCGATGAAGACTGCTGGGCGATTAGCAAAGCTCTAAATTGGATGGCGCAAGTGCATACACATGCAGGGGAGGCTGCGTATAGCCAGTGACATGCGCAACAATGCCCTTGAATATCTGCGGCTTGTCCGAGGTTGATCTCATCTCCGCATCCTTGTTCTGGAGCTTAATCTTCTTGCGACGGAAGTAGTCTCCGAAGCCGTTGAACTTGCTGCCCTCATATTCTTCTCCATTTTCATCTTCAAAGGTATGGTTCTCAATGCGCTTCCTGACACTGGAGGAGTTCTTTTCCAGAACGCTGCCCATGATGTCGTATGCAGCGGCGCCTTATTCCAGGCGCGAACCGATGGTCGGGAAAGCTTAGACGATTTGTGGCAGTGTCGTGCGCCGGGCCTGGCACCAGCGTCGCACACATATGAAGATTGTTGACATTATAGATCGAAGCAAAGTAGGTTCAAAGCAAAGCACATGGTGATAAATTGTAGGTGTGGCCCTCTTGGAGAATGTGAAGAGTGATGTGAAATAGAAGAAGCGTGGCGAGGCAATCGCGTAAAGTGGAGAGGAAGCAGCACGCTTCTAACGCGGAACCTCGTGACTGTTGCTTTGGAAGTCAGTGGCGTATTCAGTGGCTGTTTTAGGGGACTTTAGCGCAATGCACGCTATAACACTTTATTTCAGTGAGCTGCAGTGCGTCCAGCTTGGCGGATTACAGTGGCCCACTATACATCATCATCATGAGCCATCTTTTTCCTAGCCTATCAAACCCGTCCACGGACGGACACAGCGCGCAACCTCGGTCGTCGGCGCGATGAACAATGAACAGTTTCGGAAGCTGATGCTGGCTAACTCGGCCAAGTCGTCGAAAGGGAAGGATACCTCACCTACTCAGGCGGCTGGCTCGCGCGGAGGCTCGTCGCTGGGATCGCGACAGAAAGCCAGCATCCCAATGACACCGTACGTTGCGCAATTTGCACGCCAGAAAGTGCGCTTAATTTCAGGACTGACACAAAATAGGCGCGCTGTAGGCAATTCGCAGGTCGACTTTTCCAAGCAAATGGCACAGCTCAATCAGCAGGCGAACCCAACAAAACAGTTCAAAGCCGCGGTGCCGCGGGGTGTGAAGATGGCTGCTGGCTACACCGACCGATCGAAACAACGAGAAGACCAGGATTCAAAAGCTGCTGATGATCGTGCCGAACGGCTTAAAGCGCTGGAGGAATCTCTGAAGGACGAGGAAATCGACAACGAGACCTACGAACGACTACGATTCGAGATTGCTGGCGGCGACTTGGAAAGCACACACTTGGTCAAGGGTCTAGACTTTAAGCTTCTCGAGCGAGTAAGGCGAGGCGAGGACGTTTACTCTGGGAAGAAGGACGATGCAGATGCTACACAAGAGGAGGACGTGGATGTAGATGATGCCTTTGACCAGCTGGAAGGCCAGGAGGTGCAGGCGATTGAGAAGGACAAGTTAGAGAAGAAAAAGGGCCAGCTGTCTACCGTGGCGCTGGCACCAGGAAAGAAGCGCACTCGCAACCAGATTTTGGCCGACTTCAAAGCTGCGCGAGCAGCGGCCAAGGCACAGGCTGAACCGGCCTTGGGCGATCGCTTCCGCAAGATTGGTGCTAAGCAGAAGCCTGGCACGCGTATCGAGCGCGACAGCAAGGGTCGCGAGGTCATGATTATTGTGGATGCAGATGGCCATGAGAAGCGCAAAGTGCGCAAGGCGCAGCCGGGCGACAGCGCGACGGACACCGACAACGGGCTGCTTATGCCAGACAAGGATGCGAAGCCACTCGGCATGGAGGTGCCGGAACAATATCGTCAAAAGGCGCCTGTTGTTGAAGAAGAAGAGGATGTTGATATTTTCGACGATGTTGGAGACGATTATGATCCTCTTGCGGGTATGGGTGAATCTGATTCCGACTCTGACAGTGACACCCAGAAGGCGGCCAAGGACAAGGCAGAGGGCTCCGCGGCAGAGGGATCGATGCCACCACCGCCACCACCGCCAAGAGCGCCGACAAACTACTTCAAGGGTTCCAAGACGAGTCTACTCTCCGAGCAGGAGAACAAGGCACCGTCCATGTCCGACCCCGCCATGCTGGCTGCCATCAAGCGCGCCGCCGGGCTCCGACCGCTCGACAAGCACGACGACGACTCGGACGGTGATGACGACGACTCGGCTGCGCAAAAGGCCAAGGCGGACGCGGCGCGGCGCAAGAAGATGCTGCAAAATGAGGACCGCGACGCCGAGGACATGGACATGGGCTTCGGCACGAGCCGCTACGAGGACGAGGAGGACTTTGACGACGGCGGCATCAAGCTCTCGGCGTGGGGCGACGAGGGCGGAGACGAGGAGGGCGGCGCGCGTGGCGGGAAGAAGAGGAAGCGCAATCGGAAGCGTAAAGGGGATGTGAATAGCGCGGCGGATGTGCTGAAGGTGATGGAGCAGAGGAAGAAGTGATTTTTCGCATCCGCATGGAATATCTACAGCACAGACATTGTGGACGGCGTTATACGGTTGTGGCGTATCTATCTAAATGTGGTTTGTGGCGTTTTGGCATTGCAAAAGTAACTAAACTATGAATAAATATTCATAATTTTTTATATGCCCTAGCCTGTTCATTGAGCTGGCTGTTGTTCCAAAATCACCGTGCCGTCCCGGACTGCAGCATCCATGCAGCGCCGAGACACAGCGCCGAGACACAGCGCCGAGACACAGCGCCGAAGCCGGATCCGCGGCTGACCAGCAGAACTTTTGGTGTGAGTTCTGAGTTCTTGGCGCGCGCTCTCCCCGCAAAAACATGGGTGAAGGAAGAGCCAGAAACAAAGCAAACCCCCAATTTTCCATTCCATGTGGACACGGGTGTTTTTAGTGTACCGCGACTCGCTTGTCCCCCCAAATATCGTCATAAGCCATAGCTAAGCCCGGCGGCCACCTCCGGCTTTTTGCGCAACACAACACACCCCACGCACACATCCCCAGACATAAAAAGGCCCGCCGAGCCCCGGACCCTCTCTTGTGTCTCCTTCTTTCTCTTCTTCTTCTTCTTCTTCTCCTTCTCTCTCTCTCTTCTCTCTCGTCACAGAGTCCTTTTGCACAGAGCAAGGCTGCATATCCAGCGTTAGATGTGACGGACGTGAGGCGTAGAGTGAACGCGATTAAAAGAACAGCGAACAGAGAACAGAGAAACACCGTATCCCGGTCTATCCGTAACAAAACACCCTACTGCACAGGCCCTTTCGCACCAGGCTTCATTTTTACCATTTGTCACAATGACGGTGGAACAAATTCCCGTTTGGCTGGACTGCGATCCGGGGCATGACGTGAGCGCATTCATTCATCTTATCCCATTCACTCCGGCGGGCATCTTCCCCGTTTCGCCGGCCGGGGTGGTGCCTCCTCGGCCGGGGAACCCCCGAAACGCCCACCCATGTCTAAAACCCAGACCATCACATACTGACCCTACGTTTCTCCGAACAGGATGTCTTTGCCATCTTGCTGGCCGCCTACCACCCGAGAATTAAGCTGCTCGGAGTCTCGACCGTCTTTGGCAACGCCCCGGTAGAGTATGAATAACCTCCCCTCCCCCCCCCCGGCTTCTACCTTCAACTTCCGTCACCAGCGCCTCACTAACAAAACCCCGACAAAAAAAAAGGAAAACCACCCAAAACGCCGCCTCCGTGCTCACCGCCATCGGCAAGCAGCACGACGTGCCCCTGCACGTCGGCCTCGCCAAGGCCCTCGAGCGGCCCGCCATCCACGCGCCGGACATCCACGGCGAGTCCGGCCTCGACGGCACCCTTCTCCTCCCCTCCCCCACCGTGCCGCCCTCCGCCGTGCCCGCCCTCGACGCCACCGCCGCCGCGCTGCGCGCCCAGCCGCCCAACACCGCCTGGCTCGTCGCCACCGGCTCGCTGACCAACGTCGGCGCCCTGCTCCGCGCCCACCCGGACCTCGCCGCACACCTCAAGGGCCTGAGCATCATGGGCGGCGCCCTGGGTGACGGCTTCTCCGGCGCGCCGCTGGGCAGGGTGGACGGCCGCGAGCGCGTCGGCAACGTCACGCCGTGGGCCGAGTTCAACATCGTGATCGACCCGGAGGCCGCGGCGGAGGTGTTCGGCAACAAGACGCTGGCGGGCAAGACGACGGTGGTGCCGCTGGACTTGAGCCACCAGGTGCTGGCGACGGCGGAGGTGCGCGAGATGCTGCTGCACGGCAGGGGGGCTGGCAAGGTGGAGGAGGGCAAGTTGGAGGGCAAGACGACGCTGCGGACCATGCTGGTCGAGCTGCTCTACTTCTTCTCCCAGACATATGCGTGAGCGCTGACACCTAATCACACATGTCTTTTTTTTCTTTGCTAACAAAGAAAAAAAAACAGCGACGTCTTTGGCATCACAGAGGGCCCCCCGCTGCACGACCCCCTCGCCGTCGCGGCCGTGCTCGCCGGGACGCCCGACGAGATCCCCTTCCACGACTGGGACGCCGAGCGCAGCGAGGCCCCGCGGTACGACGAGCGCTTCGACGTTGCCGTCGTGACCGACGGCGTCTTCGAGGACGCCAGGGACGGCAAGGGCGAGACGGGCCGCACGGTCGGCAGGCTGCTGCCGCGCGGCCAGCCGGGCGTCCGCATACCGCGCTCCCTCGACGTGGCCAAGTTCTGGGACGTCATCGAGGACTGCGTCGAGCGCGCGGACGCTGCCAACGCAGCAGCTGGGAGGACGTGATCGGGAGAAGACATGACACGTAGAGCATCAGGGTAACCTACAATGCAGAAAGCATCAAGTATATACAAGACAGATAGAAAAGAGAATGAATGAAATGAATAAGAGCCAAGTTCAACGGTTCCCCAAAACGCCATTGTCTATCGTTTTCTGTTTCGCTAGTCTATCCCGCCCAAACTCCTGGCAATTAAGGAAAAAATGGAGTCGCAGGAGCCTCCCTAACGACTGAGTGCGGAAAAGAAGCCAGATAGGTCACGCATGCCTAAGTATTTAAGTCTTGTAATAACTCCGGTTCATAGAAGTGCGTCTTGCTGACGGTCCCCGGACTGCTGAATCATGAAATGCAACGCTCGCTCATACGTCCAAACCGTCACGGCGCTGCCCGGCGCAGCCTTGACGAGGCTGATGGGCAGGCCCTTGTAGAGGCCGCGGAAGCCCTCGCGCATAATAATCGTGCGCAGGGCACCCAGCGTCGTCCTGTACTCGGGGATGTCGCCGTAGACGTAGCGCGTGCGCGTCGGGCCCTGGACCTGGATGCGCTTGCGGATGAGGTCGAGGGGGAACACGGCCGTCTTAGCAATAACACTACCCGCAATGCCAGCCGTGGCGTCGCCCGTGCCCCAGGGCAGCTGCAGGTCGGCCGCGCGCGGCTTCAGCCCCTCGTACGTGACGAAGAAGATGCCCATGTACGGGACGATCTGAGCGAGCGTGGGCGCGACGCCGCGGAAGAAGCCGCGCGGGCCCTCGTCCTTGTAGATGGCGGCGACGGCACCCGCGAGGCCGCGGTAGACCTTGTCGGTGCCCTGGGCGGCGAAGCGCGTGCGCAGCAGGTCGAGCGGGTACGTCACGGCCGTGGCGGCGGCACCGGCGCCGGCGCCGGCGATGAAGCTCTCGGCGGCGTCGGGGAGCTTCACGGGGAGCTGGGTCTGCAGCAGCAGCGTGACGGAGCGGTAGGCGGTGAACTGCGAGGCGCCGTAGCAGACGTAGAGGAGCTCGGCGGGCACGTTGCCCTTCCAGAAGGCGGTGATGCCCTCATTGCGGAGGATGTGGCGAAGGGTGGCAAATGTGCCCTGGTATGTTGCTTCGGCGGGAGCGAAGACGGCGGGCGTGCCGGCGGAGCGTATGGGCTGAAACTGTCGATGCTGGAGCTGTAGACGGATCTTTATGACGTCGAGCGGCGCAATAACGAATCTAGGGGGTCTCGTTAGGGAGATGGCGACGATGGGTGACGTGCTGGGTCGAAGGGATGCCTACCTAGAGACGAGACCTGCGATGGCGCCAGCAGATATGACTTGGACTCGTGTGCCCTAGAAGGCAGTTAGTTATTCAGCTCGCCGAGTCGGGAGTCGGCGAAGCGGTCGCCGTTTGCCATGGTGCTCTTACCTCATCCTTTAATGCTCCAGGCGGCATCAATGAAGCGCGGCGCGACGGCCCAGAGGGCTGCGCTGCGGTGCTAGCAACAGGTATATGATGGTTTCGGGTCGGCTGCTGCTTGTCCGGTGCGCCTTCTGTACGGTATGCGCGAGGAGTGAGGTCTAGGTGCAGATGATGGTTGGAAGCTGTGACGTGAAAGGCTGTTTGTTGATGAGATAATGGAAACGTCGTGGTCCCGCCAAAAAAAAAGTGAGGATGACCCAACAGAAGAAATTAGTGGAGCCTGCTGTGGCTTATTTATGTACATAGATTCGTGAATCGATGGAATGCAGGCGGCATGTGATGTTTCAGGGACATCTTGGACAATAAATTGCATCGATTCCATTTGGCTGTTTTCCTTGCAATAAACTTCCAAGTCTTGAAAGTAGGTCCAGAAGTAGCAGAAGTAGGGCCGCTGCTTGCATGCCGATGCAACGCCACACCCCGATTAGGTAGAGGATTCTACATAGCAGTGGCATTTATACCTAGACAGCCTGGTGGGATTGTCAACAACTTAATTTGCGGCGTTTCTATCTATGTAGCTACCCATACCTGGAATTGACCAGGCCTCCCCATGGCCGTCGATTCAGCAGCGATGGTAATCTAGCCGCCAACGAAGCTGAGCCCTGTCCAAGGGTCGCTACACGGGAAATGCCTAGTCTTGTGTGACAGATCACGGATAGTGTAATGGACGCGAAGATGGAGAGAAAAAGAAAAGAAAAATCCGAGCAAACGCCTTTTTGGGCGTGAAAGCTAGACATGGGGAGCAAAATCAAAGGAAAGTTTCGGCTACTTGTGAAAACATATCCCGATCTGACAATGCTGCATCCGGAGTGGAATATTGGAGCGCCGGGCGGAGCGCCGGAGGTGGGCTGCCGGCGCACGGTAGCGAGGCGAGGTGCGCAAGCAACGCGTTAAAAGTATGATGTCTTTGTTTCAATGTTGAATTAAATTTTGCTTCTTTTTTTTTTTTTTTTTTTTTTTTTTTTTTGTGCGTGATCGGACCTGACGGCAAATGGCAGCCTGGAATAAGCCGGTGTGAAATGACGAGCTGACATGATGATGCAGGGGCCTATCTCGGGTGAGATTTTCGGGCGCGTTCTTTCCTTTTTCTTGTGCTTTACCAAGATGTGCGGAATTTTGACAGTTGCGAGTTTCTCAGTTGTTGGTGAAAAGACATGTTTGTAGTTTCCGAGCCCCTGGGTTTGGGGTGTGGACTGGTAGTTTGCGGCATGTTACGTAGCATGGGGCTGGCGAGTAGCCGTGCGTGAATTAGGGACTGGACCAATTGTGTTGTGCAAGATATAGAGGTCGTTATCCGTAAACTAGTCAGTATGCATTGGAACAAGTTGAAGCATGAGCCGTGCATCATGCTTGAATTCTGTTTCGACCAGCTCTTGACGATGCCGGCAAGGGCTGCTGGGTAGTATTAAAGAACCCTGGGTACTCAGACGACTCCCACAAAGACGATTTTTTTGTTGCTCTTACTCTCCTTCATTTCAATTCTCACCATCAGCCCGACCAGTTTGATTTGCCTGGCCCGCATCGTCAGCCGAAACCGCACTTCCGCTCCCCCGAGCCGGATGGGGCCTTCTTACATGGGCTCTTCCCCCACCACGGACGGCCCTCCCCCCCCCCCTATCCAGTATCAGCCGCTACTCTGGTACCCTTTTTATGCCCGTCTTTGAATCAACCATTGTCCCGTAAGATATTACTACGGGCAACCCACTTCTCGCCATTCATCGTGTTCCTTATTTCTACTTCCTTCTCCTCACCCTCCATTCCTTCTGTACTGGAAATACTCGTTTCCTATTCCCTACACCCATACAGACGACCCTACAACCTTGCGCTTCCTTCCTGACCAAAGCCGGTCCGTCAACCGCTGCTAGCCACAACCCACGAGCCACTGCCGTCCGTCTGCATCACATGGGTTCGAGTCGCTAAGCGTCCGCCTCACATGCCACGCCAAACGGCGAATGCAAATTCCTTTGAATTGATATTCATTCGGTAGACAACATCTACTGAAGATCGAATTTTCAACCTTGGCCGCATTTACCCCCTCGGCGTCCCTCTCTCACCCACAGACTTCATCGTCTCCCCCCCGCCCGCCAACGACGCAAAATCCTCACAACCACCACAACCACATACCCTGCCCGTCATGCCCGTCGCCACCTCCACCGCGACGACGGTCACGCCTCCTGACCTCTCCGCGCTCCTCACGCCCATCCTGCCCGCCCTGGCCCCCGCGGCCGCCTCCTCCTCGCCCGCCCCGGCCGTGCTGCCCTTCCTCGCGCCCATCCTCCGCCAGCGCGTACAGATCCTCTCCTCTGCCTCCTCAGAACCCTGGCTGCGGCTCTTGTGCTACGACCCGGCCAAGGCCCCGCGCCTCGCCGAGATTGCCGCTAGCGGCGCCCTCGAGCCGCACCCAGTTTCTGGCGAGGTCGAGATCGACTGGGCCTACGATGCGGCCACGCGCTTCCGCCGCCTCGACCGCGAGACCCTTCAGTGCCTCGTCGCCCTCGGTGACGACCACGGCGGCCTGACCTTTCGGCTCGTCTGGTGCGTCGACGATCCGGACGGCGCGCCGAACGGCTGGCGCATTGGCGAGGTCACCGTGCCTGACTCTCCCTCGGCGCCGTTTTCGAACTTTGGTGGCGCGGCGTCCATCGAGGAGGCCGAGCGACTCTTTCAAGAGGAGGGGGTGAAGAATACGACGACGGGTGGTGCGGTGAAACCGTTGCTGACGCCGGTGCCTGAGCAAGCCAACGGACACGATGACGACGACGACGACGATGACGGGTACTGGGACCGCTACGACGCGACGCCGGCGCGGACGCCGGCCAATAACCGCTCCCCCGCGCCGCCGACGGCCACCAACGGCGGCACCGGCCTCCACTACGACCATCCCGCCAAGACGAAGGCGGCCGACGAGGACGAGGACGACTACTACGCGCAGTATGATGACGTCCAGCCCGCCATGGACGCCCACGACCCCGACGAGGAGGCCCACGCCGCGCAGCTCGACCCCCCCGTCGCCGCGGGCCTGTCCCCGCTCGCCGAGCAGCTTCGCCGCGAGAGCTGGGAGGCCGTGAGCGCGCAGCAGCGTCCCGAGTCGGACTTGGGCCGCATCCCGTTGCAGCACCCGCGGCCCGAGTCGAGCGCCTCCTCGTCGCACGGCTCGGACACCGTCGCAAAGCTGGAGGCGGCGGCGGCGGCTGGCGGCGGGATGCAGGAGCAGTCCGAGTTTGGCGTCCGCCAGCACGTCTCGCGCAGCATTCGCAGCCTGTTCCAGCTCTCCCGCAGCATGGGCATCGGCCGCGAAGAGTTTGACCAGATGGTCAGGGCGGAGCTGGACGTGCTGGGCATGATGGAGGAGTAGGTCGAGCCATATGCGGAGCTTGTGTTGCTCCAGAAAGAGGGGGATCCTCTTTTGTTTGTTCGACTGCGGTGTGTCTTCCTTCATGGCGGTGTCTGTATTGTGATGCTTTTTCCTCGGTGATGGTTGCATATGCATTTTACGCATCTTGTTTGGAGTTGGCGTGCTGGGACTGGGACGTTTTTGGTTGGGCTTCCATCTACCCGTGCATCTGCATATAGCGTATAGATTCGTATTTAAGCTTGAAACTGCGTCAAATGTAATTAACCCTTGTCTTTCTCAGTAACATGCGGTCAAGTCTACGACTTGTCATAAAGTGAACAAGCAAATTCTTCATCATGGATACCACCGACGTGGTGCTGTAGGACTGTCGGACAGACAGTAGGACTCAATACGCCAAGTATGCCACGTTGGTGCTCACCCCAGCTGATAGCCCTGAACTATAAAAGTGACATATTTAGTGGGTATTTGGCTTAAAATTGATTAACTTCAACGGTTGAAAACATCCTGTCTGTCTAAGGCAGGGCGAATGCTTCACGACGCATGCGGCTAGAGTGTAGATCGTTGCTCTATGCACCCCGCGGTCATCAAAGTTACCTACTGCTTGGGATACCATGACTATTATAAAAGCCTTGTCCGGATGTCGCGGGAGAAATCATTAACCTACAACAACGATACTCGTTCACCCCTGCTCATCTAGTACGCTTTGCGACCAACCCCCAAAAATGCCAGAATCCAAGCCGGCATCACAGACAATCATTGACCAGCAGAAAAAGGTTCGTAAGAGCCTCCCATTCCATGACAGGGCCGACTATGTGAACGCGAAAAAGGGCTTTCTAGGCCGTCTCCAGCCCAACGTTGTCACAAACGAAGATGGTGCCACCATTTGGAATAATGACTCTTACGAGTTCTTAAATGCCGAGTGTCCGGACACTGCAAATCCAAGCCTGTGGCGTCAGTCGCAGCTCGCACGCATGGATGGTCTCTATCGTGTCGTTGATGGCATTTATCAAGTACGTGGCGAGGACCTCTCCAACACCACCTTCATCGAAGGCGATACTGGCCTCATCGTTATCGATCCCCTCACCTCAGCCGAGGCCGGCGCGGCAGCTCTCGGCCTCTATCGAGAGCATCGTGGTGCCACTAGGCAGATCAAGGCTATCATTTACACCCACTCCCACGTCGACCACTTCGGCGGCGTCAAGGGCATGGTCAGCGAAGCGGACGTCCAACGCCACGGCATCCAGATCCTCGCACCCGAGGGCTTCCTGGAGCACGCCGTGTCCGAGAATGTCTTCGCCGGCACGGCCATGAGCCGCCGCGCCGGCTACATGTACGGCGCCGCCCTGCCCCGTGGACCGCGCGGCCAGATCGGCGCCGGCCTCGGCCAGACCACCGCCACCGGCACCGTCACCCTCATCGCGCCCACCGTCACCATCACCTGCACCGGCGAGCGGCGGACCATCGACGGCGTCGAGATGGTCTTCCAGATGGCGCCCGACACGGAAGCGCCCGCCGAGATGCTCATCTTCTTCCCGCGGTTCCGCGCCCTGTGCGCCGCCGAGGTCGCCACGCACACCTTCCACAACATCCTCACCCTGCGCGGCGCCCTCGTGCGCGACCCCCACGGCTGGGCGCGGCACCTCAACGAGGCCATCGACCTGTGGGGCGGCGAGGCCGAGGTCGTCTTCGCGTCGCATCACTGGCCGACCTGGGGCGCCGAGGGGGTGGTCGCGCTCCTGGCGGCGCAGCGCGACCTCTACGCGTACCTGCACGACCAGACGCTGCGGCTGCTGAACCGGGGCCGCACGGGGGAGGAGATCGCGGAGGAGCTGGCGCTGCCGCCGGCGCTGGAGCGGACGTGGAGCGCGCGGGGGTACTACGGCTCGGCCAGCCACAACGCCAAGGCCGTGTACCCGGCAAGCTGGTGGCCGCGGGGCGCGCCGCCCTCGAAGCGGGCGACCTCCGCTGGGCGGCCGAGGTCCTGAACCACGCCGTGTTTGCCGCCCCTGGAGGTGATGGCGCGGAGGGCCGGGCGGTCCTGGCGGACACGTACGAGCAGCTGGGCTACGGGGCGGAGAACGGGCCGTGGCGGAACTTTTACATGTCCGGCGCGGCGGAGCTGCGGGCCGGCGGCAGCCTGGGTACGCCGCTGGCGTCGGGGTCGGGGGACATGCTGGCGCAGATGACGCCGGAGATGCTGTTCGATACCCTGGCGGTGCGGGTTGACGGGCCCAAGGCGTGGGAGGAGAAGGTGTGCATCAAGGTCGTCCTCACGGACGCCGCGGTCACGTACCACCTCTGGCTGTCCAACGGCGCCCTCATCTATACGAGTGCCGAGAAGCTGATCAAGGCGGACGTGACAATCACGGGGACGAGTCGTGCGCTGTCGGCCATTGTCATACACGGCCTGGACCCTGCCAAGCTGGAGGAGAAAGGGCTGAAGATCACGGGTGACGGTGGCGCGTTGAGTCGCTTTGGCGCTCTCCTTGATTCAGGAGACGCCAGCTTTAACATTGTCACTCCTTGAGTGGCTGGGAGCAACATGTATTCTTTTCTCCTAATGGAAAGGACAAGATGGACATGCTTACAGCGGCTCTGTTTGCCCATTGCCAGAACAGGATATGGCCCTATCAGTTGCATCTGCCAATCCTAGTCGGCTACTCTATTCTTGACACAATGACAAAGATTGGCAGCTTGTCGATGAACTGCCCAATCCGGCAGTTCCCGACCCTAGGCAGGGCCTTGTCCGCCAACTGGGGTGTTAATTCTCGTGTAGTCTGACCTCGGGCCTTCTGGGCAATGTATTCTGTGCCATTTCCCCGCCATAAGCCTAAATTTGCAAGACCGAGATGGAAATAGGGACATGTTGACAACTGTGAGATTGAACGTCGAGTCAAGGTTGGCCGGACCGCCCGTATAAGTGAAGATCATGGCGCAATTTCAGACACATTAGGTCCCAATCGACACCTTACTCACCTGCATACAAGGCTGTCAGGTTGCTGGTCTACGGTTCTGCAACATGCGACCAAGACTTGGATCCCGTATTCCCGGGCAGGGCGATAGCCAACACGGTGCGATCGGCGCCCCCGGGGGGGGGTTACTCCCCGCCCATGTGGCATGATAATCTATCTGGTGGCTGAGCCGACGATCTAATACGGCGGGCAGAACCAATTATAGGCTCGTTCCCATCTTGGAAGGACACATCAGGCTGTGAAATCAGAATAGGACGGTCACCAGATGGACTGTACTTGCGGCGTCCCTTCGGGGCTGACGGAGGCTTCCCCCCGGTTTACGGGATTATGCGGGGCCGGCTTGCTGCCTTGTGGAGGCCACTAATGCAGGTTGTATCAGCAGCTTCGAGTTTGGACGAGAAAAACAGTCAAGGCCAATCTAGATCTGCATCAGAAATGTAGTATAGATTTGATCCTGAAGCTAGTGCATTTTCTTACCAGATAGTCGCTTATAATAAAGAAGTAAACAACGGAGTTAAAGGTCTATGCTAAGCTCTGCCCCTATTAGCGTTGTCGTGTACTCTAGAGCACAAGACTCCAATGAGAGCAATATCTAGACGAATCGTTAACAAGCTTTTGCTTTTTAGTTTATGTTTTGGAATAGCGTTGTCCGTCTTGGCACCATAGAATCCCGCAACTCATGTTATACGGGCAGATCTGCGATGACAGTGGGGCAGAGGTTGAGGATCAAACTGTCAGTAATGATTTCTAGTTTAATTTGATTGAGGTGTATTGGTAATGTCGGTGGTAGCCGGTTTGCGAATGCAGGGCCTGGCCAGCCTTGCAAGTACGGAGTATGTCCGTCCTTGGTGGTCTCGGTCTTCAGCGAGGACCCGGACCCCCGGAGCCCCTCCCCCCTTGCCTCGACGGCCCTGTTTTTTTTTTTCCAGCTTTCAAAACGACAAAACCACTAAACCCGCTCGTACATGCGGGGCCGAGATGAATCATCCGTCAAGGTGAGCAGGACGAGGCTGGCTTCTGTGGCACCATTGGCCGCCTAGACAGGCTGGCTAGCACGGAAGAGGGCAAAATCCGCCGCCCAGCTTGAATGACAGTCGGGGCTAAATTGTTGGTGAAGAAGCTGGCCAAAATACATTCAGAAAAAGCAAGGCTGAGGACACTGTCTGGCAGTTCTGCAAATAGGAGTTCCCACGGCAAGTCCGAGCATCAAGCCGACGCAGCGAGCAAGACACAGAAGAACTATTATTTGGAGTCCCCCGCGCAATTGCCGATTACAAGGTACTGTACATACACAGCAAGCAGCCTGGCCTGACAGCTGGAGCGAGACGGTGATGGCGGCAGCCCTAAATTTAGCGGCGACTCCCCTCTTTTCTTCGTCTGTTAGTTATGTATGTATGTATGTACATACCTACCCTTACTGATAGCCTCTTGATGGGGAGGGGGGCCCGCGGCTTGGCTCTGTTTTTAGACAAGTCATTATTCTTTATTATTAACGCAGGGCACAATTGCTAGCACATTTTTCTTATTTGGTCTCTTTTGTTGTTAGAGTTGCCCTTCCAGATCCGCCGGTACGGTACCTTTCACACATGTCTGTAACTAGCCGTCCGTCCCTTCAGTTGGCAGCACGACGCACAGGGCGTAAACGGGCGCGGGATTGGCTCCAGCGCATCGAGGCGGGAGCGGCGGACCACTGTCACTGCCCCTCTCCAGCCGCACTTGATGAGTTACTAAGTTACCTAGTAAGTATGTATGTATGTATGTATGTAGCCTTGTTCTTTTCTTCTTCAATCATCTCCGCTGCTCTATCCGCACACAGCCATGTCTTTTCGGGATGAGGTGTATTCCTTCGTATCTAGCTGACCTGACCTGGACAAGGTGTGTTGTCAACACCCCGGATGAACAAGGATCAAGATAATCATACAAAAAAAAATAATAGCAATACCATACAACAAAAGGTTCTACCCAGACAACCTATCATAGCTTCAAAGCAATGCAGACATTCATAACTCCACTACCCTCCCACTTGTTCGGCGCCACGTCAGGATCTCTGAAGCTTGGATATAAAGCCCACCGCCCTTGTCCGCTTTGACAGGAAGCACTCATGTTTCCTTTGTTGGACAATTTCTCGACACATGACCCCAGGCAAACCCTTCCCATCGCACGATTCACCAACAAGTACGGATACGGGGCATACGAATAACTGTCGCAAACTAGCTCGCCTATTAACAAGACTACTTGTAATAAGAAAGAGTCATCGTGGGTCGTCGTAAGCCTACTGTACCTCGCTAGTCGCCGCCCGTGCCTCACCTCACCCAACCTCAACAGCCGGCAGCCTCGTCCGCCGCCCAGCGGAGTGACCCCCAACAGCTACCCTTCTTCGGTTCCCCAACGCTGGCTGCCCCGGGAATACACTTCCCCTCCTCCATCAACACCAATCCGTCATGTCATTTTCATCTTCCGACTTCCAAAGCATGACCGGCAATAAATCGGCCGCCGCCACCTCCTCCCGCGACGTCCCCAAGCACCGAGCCTGCGACGAGTGTCGTGAGTAGAAGAACCCTCCTCCTCCACCCACCCCATCAAGGTCTGGCCTGCAAACAGCCAGCTTCGGCCGCCGCGCATGCTAATCAACACCGCGCCATGACAGGCTCCCGCAAACTCGCCTGCTCCAAGGAGGCTGACGGCTGCGCTCGCTGCAAACGCGAGGGCATTCCATGCTACTACTCGCCGCAGAAGCCCATGGGCCGCCCGCGCAAGCGACGCCCCGCCGACGAACCCCCGCGCGCTCCTCCGGCCTCCTCACGGCAGCGCAGGGCCGCGTCGCCGGGCATCATCCAGCAGCGCAGCCGCAGCACCTCCTCCTCCTCGGCCCCGTCCGTCGCCGCCGGCGCGCCCTATATGCTGCCGTCCTTTCAGCTCAGTGGCGCGGCAACCCCCACACCCTCACTCAGCGATCCGACCTTTGGCTTCCTGGACGGCACGGCCACCGACATGTCTTTCCTCGACCTCCTCCCCGCCGGATGCTACCAAGACGGCGGCCTCGGCCTGACGACACCCGCTGAGCAGCACCAGCACGTCGAGTGCGGCGCTTCTTCGTTTCACGGAACGCTACCTATGGACGCCTACGCCGACCTCTCTTTTCTCGACCCGGCCTTTGCGTCCGCCACCGCCGCCGATGCACAGGATGCCACCTTTGGCGCGACTCCGGAGCTCTCCGTCGGATCTCACACGCCCTTCAACTCGGAACCCTCCTTCTCGCCACCGCCCCAACATCACCACGCGAGAGGAGTCTCGACGCAGCAGCAGCAGCAGCAGCAGCAGCAGCAGCAACAACACCCCCCACTGCCGTCGTCAAAAGGCTACGGAAGCAGCAGCAGCAGCAGCAGCAGCAGCTCCGAGGTCCTCCAGCCCATCCCCACCGTCTCCTGCCCGTGCCTGTCCTCGCTGTACATGGCCCTCGAGTCGCTCGCCAACCTGCCGCCCGACGACATCCCCGCCGCCATGCGCGTCGCCCGCCACGCCTCGCGCGTCGCCCGCGGCGTCATCGCCTGTCAAGTCTGCTCCCGCGACATCCTCGACGTCTCCAAGCCGCCGCCCATGCAGGCCTTCCAGAACATGATGCTGCTCGCCGCCCTCGTGCCCTCCGCCTGCAACGCCTACACCGCCATCGTCAAGATGATCGACCGCGCCTGCAACCGTGCCAGTGGTCGTCTGCGGTTCTCGGCGCGCGAGGTGGGCGCTGGACGCTGGCTACCGGCGGATCTAGCCGGGATGGATGGCGCGGAGCTGGAGCCGCGCGAGTGGCGGCGCGTCATGCTCGCCATCGTCCGCCTGGACGTCCACGGCGAGGAGAAGGGGAGCCGTGAGGACCGGGGAGCCGAAGGCGATATGGGGCTGAGCGAAGTGGTGGCGGCGCTAGACGAGCGCAACCGCAGGCGCCACGAGCTGGTGGACGCGTCGGCGGCGGCGGGCACGCTGCCGCCGCACACACACTACATGATGACGCCGCGCAGCTGCAAGCCCGAGGACAGGAACTGCGTGAGGGTCCTCGAGGTGGCGCGCATGGCGCTGAAAAGCCTCGTCATTGCCTAGTGAGTGAACAGAAGCCGACACCAGAAAAGCTTCCAGTTGGTACACCGAAATGCATGACGGTATTTTTTTGGAGTTTTGGCTTGTCTTTTTTTTCCTTGATTTTTTCGGATTTGTTTGGCCGGCATTGTCCACCGACCGTAAAGATACCAACAGAACATTACAACGGAACGAGCGTGTTTGATTTGTTTACATATACGAGCCTCGAAGGGCATTTCGCATTGGTTTTTGTGTTTATGGGGTTTGGAAAATGGGATTTCCTATCTTCAAAGACACACCTCACTCAACTCTTATTCCTAGCTACCCACCTATTCACTTGCTAAATATTGACTTGGTCGAGATGTTGAAAACTACCATTGAATTGGATGGACGGATGCCTATTCCCATGCGACTTGATGCTCTCATGACCGTGTGTCCCATGTCATCTATCATCGAGCTATCATACAAATGTCAGAAAACGGCCTCCACTCAGCGCCAAAGAATGTTTATTAAAATCATCATACCTCCTCTCAAGGTCTGCGTCTGTGGTCGCGGCTTTACGAATGCGCAAGAGCCGCGCGCATGTGCGACACGAGGCGTCCTTCCAAGTCGACGGTTGGATCCTCTACTGGTAGAGTTTTCCGTGTCGATACTTGTTTGTAATTAGGTTACCTAGCTCCGAGTAGTAATTCATCTCGACCAGGTAGCTGCAAGACAAGACACGTCAGTTTAGCCTATGTTGGGTGTAGCAAGGCGTCGAATCGTAAACATACTTCTGACTAGCGGTATTGAGTTCGCAATATCTTCGAGTAGCTTCGCACTCTCAATTATCCTCCCATTGTCCGGGAAATTCGTCATTTAGACCGAGGACATGCGGCACAAGTGCTGCGCACATCTCCCGCTCGAGATGCGTCTGTTTCGAGGCCGGATCGCGCTTAGGAAACGCATACCACAAAAGCATCGTCGCGTTTTCAAATGCTTCTTGTAGTTTCTCAGAGTACATGAGGCTTCTGACGGCCCCCTGAACCAGAGGATCCATGGACAATGTCTGTGCCTCCTCGTCCCTTCGAGATCAGCTCGGTGACAAGGGCTCCCCCTCTTGCGTGGCAAAAGCTGCACCCGAGTTATATTAGCTAGGAAAGAATCTCGGTGAGGGACGGGAAGCTGGCAATACATACCTCGATCAGTCGGCGCAGAATTTGAGAGACTCGGGTAGGTTGGCGACAGCCTGGACGTCAAAGATTGACTCGGGGCTTGGTTCGGGTCCAAGAAGCGACATGACTTTTAGCAGGGATACGCCGTCCCGGCAGAGCGACTTAGAGCGTTTATCCAACCGCGAATCAACGGACCTGCTGCGCGTCGGAGGGGGGGGGGAGTGTTAGAGAGCTCGGTAGCTTCCTTGATCTGGTCAATCAGAGCTGTGTATCTCTCCTCTAACGGATCCCATTCTGGCGTATCCCAGGGACCTGGTCCTTGTGTGTATAAACGTTGGCATCGAGATTCATGGATGATGTATAGGGCTTGAAAAAAAAATGCTGTCGACTGACCTGATGAGACGTGGTCGGACTCCACGAGGGATCCGACTCTCAGGAACCGTAGCATGATGGAGAGAAAGGGGAGCAGCGAGTCTATGATTTCACAGGTAGCCGAGTATGAACGCGGTGTTGCGACCGAGTGGCTGCGAAGGCGCGCCAACCCATAGTTGATGCTGCGCAACATTTGCTGAGCCCGGGGGGACCCCCGCAGCGCTTTCCTTTGCAGAAAGCTTGAGGCATTCCGTTAGCATCTTGAGCCTGCTATCAAGGTTCCTGGTTGGCGGCGAGTGGCCAGAAGCGCGATTTACCTCGTCAACCAGGAGAGTCATGGCATTGATGTTTGAGATCGCGGTCATCATGCCTACTCCCAGCCCGATGAACAACGTTAGCCCGGTGCTGTTGGAATTTCAGTGCAAGCTGGCGAAAGCATTGATGATCCAGTATCTCCTCCCACTCCTCGGACAACTCGGAGTCTCTATGAATGAATGAGCAGGCGTTGCTGATCTGGCTGGTCAGCGTGGTTCTGCACTTGCTCATGGATGGGGATATGCATCGCGTAAAGATTTTGTCTTGACAGTTTGGTTTGCAAGAGGGAGGGAGGGAGAAGCTGTGAGGGAGCTGCTGGCATGCGAGTTTATACTTGGGTAATCGCTCTGTGTAACTCGGGCAGAAGGGCTCTATTCTTGTTTCAAGAAAGATCTTGTCTAAAGAAAAGGCACATGTACAAATGGTCAACTAAGTCGCACTAAAAATCAAGAAGTAAGGACCTTTGTTGGCCGGTGCTACGTATCCCACAGTTGGCGCGCGCCAAGTTATCAGCTATCAGCCATGAAATGGCGTTGGCGACAGTACTACTACGGTTGCCACATGTGTCAAAGACTCTACATTTATTTTGCACGGCTCATACTTGAGCTCTGCTCAATTGCTCTTTCTATATCGTCTGCTTCTAGAGTTTGCCACTTACACGGCGGGCATTGCCGAGGCATCGTCGGCTCCCTCCGACCCGGCCAGGGGCCTGGGGCCAGAGATCCGGAGATGCGGCCCGGAAGCCACGTTTGGCCAGACCATGATCTAGAGATAGACTCAGGAACAACATGAAACTGCCAAGAAAAAGACGCCAGCAGATTCCCGGTTGTGGTCAGTGGAATTGAGGTACCCCCGTGACCCTCCCGGCAGGCAGAGAAAGCATACATACAACCTTGTCGCACACCTCGCACCGCACTTTTGGGCGCTCTCGCATCCCGGCGAGGTGAGGCCACGTCACCGGCAATGTGTGCTCACCGAGCTATGAGACTGCAACAACTCTTGCTCGGTCCCTCGCAATCCCGAGCCGTGCCGTGTATTCAAGGCGCGAGCTCCCGACAGATGGACAGCCTGCAGACGCCACCCGGCAACCTAAAGCCGACCAAGGCCGAATGCAGGCTATCTACCGGCGTACGGACTCAATAGAAGTGCTCTCAAGACCTAGACCAGAAAAAGGCATAAAGTAGACAAAACGCGGGGTATACCCCGGACGGTGCCAAGCCATTATTAGGATGCACGCCGCACCAATGGATTAGGCAGGGGAGGGGACCATCTTCGTTTAGCCATGCAAGTCTAGATTGAGGTTCGCTGCCTAACTACATTGATATTTGAGGTCGCAAGGAAGGAAGCTCGACAGAAATGAACTAGTCACCGTTACATTCGTCGTCCAGATTCATCAGTGTGGCCACCAGCTGAGACCACCAGCGAGCCTCAAACCGTACGTCGTCGTCAATATTCAACGTCGATTGGCTAGCTCCTAGAGTACATACAGTTGAGGTTACCCTTTCTTGTGACGTTTTAATCGCTTCAGATATTCTAGTCCCCGAAATATTGCATATACGAGCCAATATTCATGGCTTGGCACGGGTAGACGAGATTTGCGATGGCATCGGCGAGTCGAGGAGTGGAATCAGGCTGCCTGCCTATGTAGCAAGAGAACATCAGGGTTCTGCATCCATACCTGGACAAGTAGGAATCTGGAGCATTATAAAAGGGTTCATCTTGGCCGTCCAGAACTGAATTCTCATCTTCATCGTCGAAAGCATACTCGACGCCCAAGCTACATACCTCGATACATCTTCATCATCACTTTCAACCCGCTATCAACATGAAGGCCATCAACATCATCGCACTCCTGGCCGGCGGCTCCCTCATCCAGGCCGCCAATGTCGACACGCGCGCCGCCGAGGAAGAGTGCGGCGCTCTCGGCGTCATGGAGGCCCCCGCCTCCGCCTACCTCAACGGAGGCGTCGTCCGCCAGTGCCGAGACCACCCCATGGGCTCTGACCGCGGCCTCGACATCAACGACGAGGTTGCCAACGCGCCCTTCAAGCAGGCCGAGGCGCGCAACAGCGTCCCCGACACCCTCACCAAGCGCTGCCCGAGGACCGCCGCCTGGGGCTGCGGCAACGGAGGCTACTGCTGGAAGAATTGCGGCAGGAACGGAGAGTGGTGCTGGACGGCGGGGAATTACGGCAACGGACCCTGGGCGCGCTGCAGCTCTTGGAAGGATTGCGGCTTTGATGATATGAGGTACTCCTGCAGCGGTGGCTGCGGTTGTTAGAGTTGAAGTGATGGGCCTGCAATCTGCAATGCTCTTTGTACCTTGGTACACACTAGTTAGCTGTGTGTGGATGAGAATATCTACTCCGGACATATCGTTCTATTGAATTTGCATTTGCAATATGATACAAGATACTCTAAATGTACTTACCCAAGTAACTACTGATCAAGTAAGTACCAACGAGTAGATCGATGCATCGAAATCGTCGTTCGTCCCATGTTGCCTGATCGGCCTGCGCCACATCAGCAACATCAGCCCAACGAGGCTTGGCCGCAGCCTCAGTCACCAATCAACCACCACCTACAGTAGTCAACCAAGCTTGCCCAACTTTCATCCTTCCGCCTCACCCATCCGATTCGTTCGTTCGCCGCTTTCCATCCACACATCGCCCCTCTCAGCCCCCCAGAGGCGCCAGGCACGAGCGGCAAGGGAGAGAGGAGAAACCATGCAGTCGGCATCGCCAAACCAAGCTTCGCTGGCGCCCCTCGCCCTCGCCAGCTACCGCAGTACCTTCTCCCACGAGCTTGCAGCAGGGCGACGCCGCCAAATCGTCCTGCCCCAAGCGTTCCTCACCACGCTCATCCTGCCCGTCGTCTGGCTCGCCATCCCCCACCACGGCCGGTCTTGGCGCCATCGCTCGCGGTGGCTGCTGTTCGCCGTCGCCCTCTTCGCCAACTGCGAGCAGGCGGCGCGGGCGTCGAGCAACAACGTCGCGTGGGCGGTCATCTCGGGGCTCGTGTCGGCGTACGGAACCATGCTGTGTCTGCAGCACATGATACTGACCAACCCACAGCGCGATGCTGCCAGGATCATAAAGGTTCCGCGCAGAAAGGCCCAGGAGGTGGCTTCAACAGGTCTCGGCGAGCCGCCACAACCCGCGGCGGCGGCCGCGACAAGCTCCGGCCTCCAACTACCAAGGGAAGCACCGCGCAGCCGAACAACGCAGCGATTTGTCGGCAGCTCAGAGATTGGAGGGGATTTTTGCTACGTTTGGCAGCGCTTTCCGTCCGAAGCCCCTTTTCTTGACAGGCTCGGCTGGGCCGCAGATCTTGTCCTCAGCTTCCGTGGGGCTGGTTGGAGCAGCTCAATCTCCGTGATCCCCAGACCATCTGCGCCGAGCAACATCAGAGACGGACAGCTGGTCGAAGTGGCCTCAATTCCGTCAGTCACCAACTACGGGTTCGAATACATACAGCCTCCCGCAGATTTCCTGTGGCATCGCCTCAAGCTGTTGGCTGGATCATGTCTCATGCTGGATTTCCTCGGCACCTTCATGATAAAGGATCCGTACTTTGTCTTTGGTCGTGAAAGGTGCGTGAAATATGCCTTACCATGGTACCTGGTCGGTCTGTCCCCATGGCGTCTTGAGGCCTATCGTCAGCTGTTTTCAATTGTGGGTGCCTTCTCAGCCGTAGCGGCGGGGTACAGCTTGACAGACATTGTTCACTATTACGTTACGTTGTACTGGAGCCCATCCCGAAACATCCCATGGATGTATGCGTCTTCGTTTGGATCATTCACCGAGGTGTTTGACCGAGGCCTTGCTGGGCTCTGGGGCTCTTGGTGGCACCAAACCTTCCGACAGCAGTTTCTAGGTCCCGCAGGCTTCCTGCTCAAGCAAGGGTTGATACGTAAAGGTTCAGCCATGGGCAATCTTGTGGCTCTGTTGAGTACGTTTGCCATGTCTGGTCTCCTTCATGGCACGGGAAGTCTGTCAGCCGTTCCACGAACAAAGCTCTGGAGTCAGCCTGCCTTTTTCTTGCTGCAGGCGGTAGGAATCATTCTGCAGCAGCAACTTGCTGCGCTCCTGCGGAGAAACTTGCCAACCTTCAGCATCTCTGTACGGCGTGCTGGCAATATTTTGTTCACACTCTTTTGGCTTTACGCCACTGCACCGCTGTTCAACGACGACATGGCGGACATGGGACTCTGGCTGCTTGAGCCTATGCCTTTCTCTATCTTTAGAGCCTTGGGGTTCGGCTTCCCGGGAGACGCAGTCTGGCGCTGGGACAGCACGTATCTCTTCCGATGGCATTCGGGGCGCCATTGGTGGCAAAGCGGCCTCGCCATTTAGACGACCGCGCACTCGAACGCAGACCACTACACTTCAAAATTCTGAGCACACATATAGAATTTACATAGAACATTTAATATTACACAACTTCAAATCGTCACGATTTTCGGCCCGTTCTATGCGTGGATACTACTGCCGGAACTTCTTGCTCACTTGGCGATTTCGTTGCGAAGCCATTCCAGTACCTCAGTGTGCTGCGTTTGCTTCGCACAAAGAACTTCTTCAAATGCCTCGTATGCCAGTCTAAGCCAAAAAGAAATAAATACGTCAGTATGAGTAAACTCGACTGCAAGGTTGACAACAGAGCGGTTTCTGCTGGAACGATAAACTCACCGAGCGACCTGGCCCTTGCGAATGGAGCACTCGTATCCCTGGTGCCTTGACTTGCGGAAGCGGCTAGTGAGGATGAGGTGTGAGGCTTGCACCGTCCTCATAATAGTGACTGATATCGCAGAAAAGACCTTGTTAGCTCTGATATGGCGATCGCACGGCGGCGGCCGGCGTTGAGATATTGAGCAAGGGTGGCAACTAAAAGTACAAGGGAGGAGGACTTACGTTTGACCAAATGAGGTCGCGGTCGAGCAGTTGGGCCAAGTGCCCGCATGTATGCCCACATCTTGAGGGCCGTCTGCCGAAAGGCCGCCCGCAGCGTCTCGAGCACCGTCGCGTGCGAGTTGTAGCTCGTATCGTAGAACATGAGGTGCGACTGAATCTTGAAGGCGTCTGTTGGGGGAAAGGGATGTGAGCGGAAGAATACACGGGGACGTCGCTTGACGTCCAGTTAAGCGAACAACAACAAGGCGTAACTGCGGAAAGGCGTCTGACCACGGCCGGCCAGTCCTGATGGGATCCGGATGACATCGGCGGGAGAGAGCATGTAGTCAAAATACGAAAACGGCCAGAGTTTCGAAAGAGGAGCCGAGGGGAAAAAAAAAAAAAAAAAAAAAAAAAAAAAAAAAACGTACTGAGGACTTTTCGTTCAAAGTTTCGGCCTGGTGAGCGGCCGTGGTCAACCGTCAGAGTATTCGAGACGTCTACGCCGTGCTTGTTAGTGGCAGGGACTAGTCAAGGGCAGCAAGAGAAGACTTACCAATCTGCCGCTCCCGTTGGCAGTCCTTTCTAATCTCCAGCGTGCGGCAGCTAATTCGCAACCCGCAGTACGGAAAGTCTGCGCCGCTGTCCACGGTCCGTATGCGCGCGGTCTCCTCCTCCCCATCCTCCGCCGCCGGCACTGGCACCGACAGCGGAAAGTTGGCCAGCGACTTTTCTGGGTTGACGCGCACGCCGTACGCCGGGACGCCACGGTGCATCACCTCTGCGAAGCGCCGCGCGTCGGCCACGTCCGTGGTGATCAGCAAGAAGTCGTCGATGAGCCGCAGGAGCAGGTTGCTGCGGCCACCACCCGCCACCACCGCCGGCGCGAGGAAGGCGAGGTTCCGGGCCTCGAGATCGGCGTAGAAGTAGCTGCACAGGTACGAGGACAGCACGGAGCCCTGTGGGATGCCCCGCCGCTGTCGGTACGTCTTCCGCCCGACCCGGATGCGGTTGTCGGCGACGTGCTCGGCAAGGAGCCGCAGGAGGTCGCGCGCGGCGTGCCGGCCCTGCGCGGCGCTGTTGACGAAGACAGTGTTCCTGTGCCGCCGGGCCGTCGCGTCGCCGCCGCCGTTGTCGGTGCCTTCCAGACGCTGCAGGAATCGGCTGGACTCGCCGCTCGGGTAGGCCGTTGCTCTCCAGCGGCGGACGGGCTTCGGTAGAGGTTGCGCTGGTTTGCTGCTGCTATCTTCATCGGCGAGCGTGGCATTTCCGTCGAACGGTCGATCTCCCGGCTTCACCTCGGCATGCTTGAAGATTTTGTAGTCGGCGTGGCTCAGGATAGCTGCCATGAGCTTGAGCACAGCATCTTGAGGAATGGTGTCGAAAGCAGACTGTACATCCACTTTGACAAAATACAATCGCGGTAGTGGGCTAGAAAATTGACTCCGAAACTCTCTGAGCCGCTTGTATATATCTCCTACTGACAGAAGGCTTGCTCCGAGATTCGCGGGGTTGAGGCGCTGTAGTTGGTCTGTCAGTAATCTTCTTTGCAGGGATGCTGGTTCTGGACTGACCTTTTCCAGTTTCAGGACGTTGTGAATTGGAGCCAAGGCGGTATTGATGCTAGGGCCGAGAATCTTTTTGTTATTCTTCATCGGGTATCGGCGTCGGAGGTTCATGATAGGCCTCAGGCTAGCACCTTTGGGTAGCAAGCGAATCTGGCTAAATCCTAACCGCTGAGAGCTCATGATGGACTGAATGTCGCCTATTTCGATCTCTTCAAGCATGTCGTCCTTGATTGCGGTCATAGCACGCTCGGAGACGACTCTCCAAACGTCGTGCCGAAAGTAAAACAGTTGGTATCGATGGTTGTTGGACTCTGTGACGTAAAAGGTGCTACGCACCAGTGGTATCACAAGGGAGTCGAATATATAATACAGCAGCTCATGGAATAGCTCTAGCTGTTTCCGCGTCTCACTTTGGCTCGCCTTCTGGCCGTTGAGGCTCGGGAGCTGAAGCCATTGTATATTAGAAATCTACACTGGCGTTAGTGAAATCGACGCACACTGCATGCGGCCGTTCGCAACACGTACTTTGAACCCCTGTGAAATCTCATGGAGACTTATGCCTTCGAACCTACGCAACGTAATAAAATGATGTACCTTTTTGGCAAGGAGAGCCTTATTATGAAGCAGGTCGTCGCCCTCGCCAAGGAAGGCATCGGGAAGAACTTTCGACAAAGCTGCTTGAAGGAATGCTGAGACGTGGCTCATTGGTGTCGCCAGATCAACAATTGGGGTCGTGGGGTCAACTTGAAAGATCCGGGACTGCTGCGAGTGATGCTGTGTAGCCGCTTCCCGGTGCATCGTTAGTGCCGGATCTTGGCCTGACTTTGCGGAGGTCCCCCGACTCAGGGCCTTCTTGGATATTGAGGCGAGGGCCTTTTCTTTTCGCGTCTTCACGCGCAGCGTATCCATAGAAGAGGTGCAGTAGTGCCAGATAAGCTGGATATAGGAGCACTGGCGATGGCGAATCTGCAGTCGACGAATGAGGTTTTGTGCTGTGCCTCGAAGTCGCTTGGGCATTTTCGGCACCCCTCTCTTGAGGAAATTTTGGTCTGAACCCAGATGAGTTGTAATCTCTTCATCTCTGACGGTGTAGTCTTGGAACTTTTGCGCCGTCTTCTTTGGATCAATGGTGGATGTGAAGACATTGTGGAGGCCGAATTGCCTCGGGAATATGTACATCATGACCTTGGCGGTGTTGACGGTGTTCTTTTGAGTAGCTGTCAACTCGGCCTTCCCATCTCCAGATATATGCGGACACCGATTTAGCACATCTGACACCAGTCAGTATTTTATCCGCCGAACAACGACGGAGCTACTCACGTATATGTCTGTATCCTGCCCGTATGCGTCCTCTAGACGTCAATGCGGGCCGCGCATAAAACATTCTGCTTCTCACAATGGTAATTTCGGACACCTTTCGTGGCAACTGCGCAATTTTGGAGCCATCATCCCGTTTCAGCCCATGTTCGAGCTCAGATATTGGGGTTCCTGTCCACCGTGTTAGTGGACGTTGATAGCATGGAAATCGTGATGACCGCACCGGAGATCTGGTAAAAGTTGTTCAAACCTGGTTTGATAGCAACAAACATTGAGCAGTCTACGAGCATATTAATCATGGTCTTCTCCCCAGATTGACCCAGTAGTGCCAGCAACTGCGGCCAAGGGCTCGACTTTAGGCTCGTGACCTGGTCATTAGGATATCGACTAAAGACGCCGGGGATGGTCTCCGATTCCGCCTTCTCCGTGGCGCTCCTGCGATATCCATCGCAGAGAATATGTTTCGGACCAAAAGCACCGCTGTTGTCGCGTTGAAAGATCAGCCAGATCACGAAGTCGACAATCTAGGCGAGTTAGTCATTAAAACTGGCTGGCCTAGGAGCCTATCTAACCTCAGCTTGTGAATAAAAAGGCGAATTCCCTGACAAGGAAACTGTAGAGTCTTCCGCCCGTTGCGAAAAAGATAGCCATTGCTCCCATCTATTGTCCGATGCTTCGGGCGTAAGCTGCTGGTAGCAAATAAGTGTCGAGTCGAGTAGGTGACATATATCCTGTTCAACGGCAGCGCGTTCTGGTATCGTCCCAAGCAGTTCAATCTTGCGTCGTCTCAGCCGTGAAGTTTGTGGCAGACTTGCAAGAACATATTTTCTTAGCGATGTGCAATGGGGGTAGATGAGGTTGAGCAAATCGCGTTGCAGAGGCGGGCGTGTTGCGGGCAAAGACTTGGGTTTTTTGCAGCTTGACGCGTCTTTTTGCGCCTTCTTTCGTTTAGTCATACCGACAAAAGTATTGAGCTGGAGTCCATTCTCAAATGTCGCGTGAGTTATACATGCTTACAGGCAGAGGTACGCGAAGGCATCTGGCTAACAAACGGGAGTTGACCTAGTGTGGCTTGAATACCTACATGTGGCGCGATGAGACTGTATGTGGCTGTGCAGCATCCCTACCATCGTTCGATTCTCATGAGATTCTTACTAGATACATCGGAAGTACATACTTTGGACCAAGCACCATGTATTTGAGACGAACCTAAGGATACGATCCTGAACTTAGATTTCGCTCTGTCTTCCATCTGTGGCGTTATTGAGGGTCGTGAATAAAGAGATATGGTGCCTGCATGACAACTAGTTAGTGGGTCGCTACTGAAGTCTTCAGCATTGAATTCATCTATTGACAGGACCAGTTAATAAGCAGTACCTATTCCGTATCCGTCGATGCTGCCTGTATGACTGATCCTGCATATGCCAATTTCCTTTGTGCTCTTTTCCGAGTGGCTGCATGCAATAAGTCGGCACGGAAGAGACCACAAACCAAGTGGCCTAGAGACGGGGGCAATCAGCCAACCGCGGGGGTTAAATAAGAAAAATTTGCGGCTTTGGAAACGCCTCTGTTTCAAATCACCAACGGAGGTTGCGCCGATACAATGACGGCACGGGCTGTAACACGTCGCGTAATTCTTACTGGCTCGTGAGCACACGAAGAGGGAGTTTGGGAGTTGATGCAACAGCAACCAGGGAGCGAGGGCCAGAAGAGGTCCAACCACATATGGTGAGCACGGACGGATAATGCCGAGAGACTATGAGGTGTGCAAGTCTATTATTAGGCTGGGGAAATCTTGACAATGGGTGTTTTTCACTTGCCCCAAGCTTGCCACTGGCTCGCTCGCGAATCGTCGCCCCTGTCTGTGCGGTTTGCGCAGTGGTCACGGCTCCAATCTCTTGGAGTAAGAAAGACAAAGACAAAGGTTGATCGGACACGGCCGGAGTGTCGGGTCGTGCGAGATGATTTGCGTGGGGACGGCAAGGATTTGGCTATAACCAGTTGCTTGGAGCTGTTGGAGGGGATACGGTCTCTCAATACCGACATGAAGAAATGAAGAATCCCGGTGTAATCCGAACTCGGTAATCCGTACTGTGCAGTCAGAAGAGGCCGGGGGCCACAAACTCCATTCGTAAAACGGCGAGTTCGGAGTGACAAAAAGACTTCATCGTCAAGGAGGCCACCAACTTTAGTAACCAAGCATGCGCGGGCCACTAGTCTGTTCCGTTGTCTCATCAAGCCACAAACGCGAGGGACGATGTTGGGGTCGAGCTCTGCTTCCCTGTTTTTATTATCATTAGTTAGTGGTTTATTAGGCGATGTGCTGCTAGGTTTTGTTCCATGTATATGTTATTAATATCAGTTATTCAACATAAATAGGCTGCAGCCAGCAGCAGGGGTGCGGTGCGTCCTGGGACATTGGGATGTTCACGTAGGGGCGGCAAAGTTGTACAAAGTAAATGGGAAAGCACGTGTTGTTTCTGTAACTATCATGCCATGGCTCTCTCTCGATGTGAGGTAGTTACTGAGAGGATGTCGATTGTAATCTTGGGTATGCCGGTGTATACTTGCATGGAGGTGGCTATAGCTGCCGTATCAGTGTATCAGTATGGGGTACGATACGAGACGGGTTGCTACCTACGACGGCACGAAAGCGATCGGGCTGTGAAAGAGTAGGTACCCAAGATGGCGAGGCACATTGACACAGGCTCATGGCCAGCAATAACCTAATAATAAAGTACGGCTACTCTGTGCAAGCAAGGGGCTTGCGGCCCGCCAAACAGACTGATGTGACAGGCTCAGGCTTCTCCCAAGCAAATGCGCCACAAAGCCACTATCACGGCAACACAAGCAAATTTCAAGACGCTAGAAAAACACGCCAACAACAGACAACAGTGGCTTCCCAAGTCCTGGCCGCTGTACCCAGGTACCTCAGCCACTTTACAACCATCTCCACCAGCCACACGCCGCCTGGCGCCCATCCACCACTCTTTCGCTCCCTGTCCCTGTCGCACCCCAAACTAAGGCTCCATCTCCCAATCGTCCTCCCGCGTCCTGCTTCCACCAAACAGATTCTGCCCAGCCAGCGCATCAATGCCCGCGCCTGCATGGGCTTGCCGTCGTCCTTTCGACCAGTCGCTTCGTCCGTCGAGCCCGGCCTATGCCTAGGTTCTGCCCATCATGGAGCAGGACCCAGACTCTGGCCCTCCAGACCCGAGCTCCCACCATCCACATCCCATCACCACCGCTCCCGCACCGACCGGCCCGCTACCCTTCGACTCTTCCGCCGCCGCAGAAGACCGTTCGCATCCTGACACGCGCCTCCTTCATCCTGAGCCTGCCACTATCTATCAACACTCACACGCTGCCGTCGACCCCCACGATCAGTTTCTCCCCGCCGTCCTCGCAGCCTTTGCTTCTCCCTCCGCTTCGCACCCATCGGCGGCGGCATCACCTCTTGCTCACGATGCTCTTCCCGTTACTCCTATAGAGCCCGACGACTTCTACAAATCCTACCAGCCGGCTGTGGGCGCCGTTGTGTCCACCCCGGCCGTCTCTCCAGCCGACGCAACCGCCGCCGCCTCACCGTCCAGCTCGCCGGCCATGACATCCATGCTCACGCAGCAGCCGATCCTCCCCAACGGCAATAATGCCACAAGCAGCACGAGCCACGTCGAAGGGCTTTCTTCACAGCCACCCCGTGGCCTGGGCCTGCAGTCAGGCACACGATCTGTCTCGAGCCCGGCTGTGAGACCCAAGAGTGGTCCCAGCGTCAAAGATCTAAAGAAGAGGTTTGATGAAAAGGGTGGTGCTGCCTCACCAGCACCTATCATACCTCAGTCAACGCCCAGACCGCGTCGTGGCCTCACCGAATCCTCTGTTGCCACTCGCAACGGCCTTGTGGTATCCAAGGCACGCAAACCGCCCACCCCGAACGGGTCCGCAGGCGCATCTCCTCAGATGGCTTCGACACGGTCCTTTAGTAGCAACCAATCGTTCGCCAGTCGAATTCACAATTCAGCAAACACCACGCCCCCATCTTCTCTGCCTCTGCTGTCCCGAAGACCGCACGCACAACAACGACCCGGCCAGGCTTCGGGGCTTCTTTTTGGCGAGGTCGCCCCCGAGCAACACGGCTCTGTTACGCCTGGATTCGGCATCGACGACATTCGCCCCCGAAGGATCTCAGACTCCAGCGTTCACACAAAGACGACGTTTCACAGCATACCAGGTCAAGATCAGGATGTAGATTTAGCGTCACTCCCGAGTTCGTACGCCAGCGCTGCGACACACCACGGCCCATTCAGCGATTCACCAGCTAGCGGCAATCAAAGTCCACGCACACGGTCACAAAGCGACGCCTCATCGCGCAGTTCCTCCAATCGAACCCCAATTGCATTCCGAACAGGCCTAGGCAACATTTCAACTTCTCATTCCGCCTCCAGATTGCCCGTCGCTGTACGCAGACTTCATAGCCCAACGAGCAGCTCGGGCGACAACACACCTTCACGAGGAACGTCACCTGCAAATCTTCGCCGACCACCGTCAGCCGGCGGCCAGATCTCCAAAATCACACCTCCACCTTCTCGAGCCAAAACGCCGACCTCGTTCAATAAAACGCCTACCCCAGCTGCGAGGGACCGAAGGCCTCCACCGCCAAGCCTCAATAATTCTGTGAACGGAAGCAGCAGAAAATTACGGCCTCAGTCGATCACGCCACCGAAGCTTTCACCTACCCTGCGAAGTACAAGGCCTCGTCAACCGCTAGCGCATTCATCCAATAAGTCCAACGATTCCGGGGCAACCAAGGCACTCCGCCCCAAGGGCAAGGAACCAGCAACGAGGCGAAGGAAAATATCCGCTGGCCCTATTGACTTCGAACAGAGGCGAGAACACATCCGTTTGGCATATAATAAATCCATTCGTGAAACTGAAGCCCTAGAGGCCAGGAAGAGGGCTGCGAGTCTAGCCAGGAGGAGCGAACAGAAGGCCGCGGCTGTTGCCACGAAACCGGCTAACGAGAGCGCTGGTATTCCTCCCGTCCCGCAAATACCTCGCGATGCTATTGATCGGAGCGCTGCTAGTAGTGTCGGCGAATCTGCTCCCGTGCAAGTTGCAACAACCGAGTTGACAACAGCACCGGTACCATTAACAATTTCCCCGTCACTGGCCAACTCAACTTCTGTTGGCGTCGAAGACTCCCCTACGCTCGGTGTTCCGGGCAGTTACCCGCAGTCTAGTCCTTCTCTGCCGCAGATCAATAAGCGAGCCTCAATAGCATCTTCTACGTCTCAAGCCACCGAATTCGACGCGGAGCCACAGACCGCGCCGCCAGTTCCTGCTAAACACCTACCGGAAGTTCCCGTCAATTTCATAACACCGCCCAGTCCTAGACCAGCTACGCCGGCCGCGGCACCCGCCACGACCGAGTACCCATATCCGCTTTCACAAGATCGAGATGTGCAGCAGCTTGCGCAAGGCCATGCACACTTCATGCCTCACGCTGGCAGCATAGATCTGCCGTCTACATCAACGCCACTCCAAGACCACACTCCGGCCTCGATGACGGCGTTGCAATCGCCATTGCAACAGCTGAGCTCAACTGGCCTGTTCCCTAGGCAAGAGCTCTGTGAGGATTCCGACTGTCAGTCTGAGATAGAGGCCAGTCCTAATGTACCGCATGCTGGATACCCCCGATCGGAGGCCGCAACGACAGATGCATGCACCGAAGACACCGACGACCACGATCGATATGAGCGTGCATCCGACTTCCGATACGGCGAGCAGCTGGACTCCAAAAGAGCATCAACATGCGCCTCCTCTGATGTCAGCGGATTTGATGATCTACAGCAGTATGCATCAGATCGTGGGTCATACCACATGCCCGGCACTCTTGGTATACCATCTCCTAGATTCCGCTCTGACCGTGCGAGTCATCAATCCACATGGACAGATTTTTCTGTCGAAAGCTCACGGCAGCTCGACACCGCTGGGTCGGGGATGTTTATGAGTAGCCCTATATCCACCCATCAGCCTGCTTCTTTCTCGTCTGCCACCAGTCCGCGTCAAGATTCGTTCCTGGAAAGCTCAACTTCGCGATCTGAGAAGGAACTACCCCCAACACCGGTCAACCATCAGCTCCCTGAACTTGACACGGGTGACGGATTTTCAATACCTTACCTGTCACCTGGCTCTAGTCATGGCCCATCATTCCTTCCTTCACCGCCAGCACACGAACCGCCACCCATCCCAAATTCTACAGCCGGGTCTGCACTTCATTCCCGTAATCCTAGTACGATATACGAGGCCTCTCAATCTACCAGCACGCTGCTCAACTCCGAACGAGATAGCGAAGTTTACATGACCCACGCCAACACACCCAAATCGGTGGATACAACTTCCTTCGAAACAGCCGACAACGACTCTAGCAAAGTCGCTGGGACTGATAGTGACGGAAAGTCTCTTCACCAAGATGGAGAAGCGCCTTCGGAGAAGGAACGGCATCGCCTCATGCAACGACGCAATGTCATCAAGGAACTTGTCGACACTGAAGCCGTATTTGTCCGGGACATGAACATTGTCGAAGAAATTTACAAGGGAACTGCCGAAGCCTGCCCACGCTTAGACGATCAAACTGTGAAACTCATTTTTCGCAACAGCCACGAGATCATCGAATTCCATACCTTATTCTTGGCGGAAGTGAAGGCTGCAGTTTCGCCGGTCTATGTCCCCAAAGGCGGCCGAACTGCAAAAGCCCCGCAGCTACCAGCGAGCGTCGAGCCAGGAAGCACCAAGTCGAGCGATATCAGCGACTCGAGTGATCGCGAAACCTCCATTGGCCCTGTCTTCAAGCGCCACCTGGACCGCATGAAGACTATCCACGAAGGGTTTCTACGGAACAGTGATCAGGCGGCGAAGAAGCTGATCCACATACAACAAGACTCCGCCGTCAAGGTCTGGCTGACAGAGTGTAACGAAGTTGCAAAAGACTTAACGGCTGCGTGGGATCTTGACTCGCTTCTCATCAAGCCAATGCAGAGAATTACAAAGTACCCCAACCTGATAATGACTCTGCTCCAGCATACCCCAGTGGATCACCCAGATCGAGACCATCTGTCTGCGGCAAAGGACTCGCTCGAAACCGCCATCATCGAAATCAACAAGACAAAGAAGAACTTTGAGTTGGTGGGCCAGATTGTTGGCAGAAAACATAAAGATACGGATGGCAAGGTTGGATTTGCTCGTGCTTTCGGCAAACGTGTCGATAAGCTACAGTCTGCCGGCAGCCGTGTTCCCGATGACCCGACTTACGTGAAACTGCACGAAAAGTTTGGTGACGACTTTGTCCAACTGCAGGTTGTTCTTCGTGACGTTGAGTTTTATACAAGACAAATATCCCAATACGTGCACGAATTCCTGCAGTATCTCTCATCAATTGAGTTGGTCATGAGACTACAACCGGGAAACTTCCCTGAGATTGAGAGTAAATGGGTTCAGTTCAACATCTCAATGCGGGACTTGGAAAAGGTGGCATTGGAGGAGCATCTTGCGCAAGTTCGAAAGCAGGTGATTGAACCTTTTGAGCAAGTCATCAAGGCTTACGGCAATCCTTCACTGGCGATGAAGAAGAGACAAAAACGCCGGCTCGATTACGAGCGAGCTGATCAGCAACGACGCAGCGGCAAGACGCTAGAGCCAAAGTTGCGGGAGGTCGTTGAGCAGTACGACGCGCTGAATGATGCTTTGAAGTCTGAGCTGCCCAAGCTCTCTGTCATGACTGAGAAGGTTGGGAAGATCTGCCTTGGCAACTTTGTCAACATCCAAGCCAACTGGTACAGGATGTGGACAGAGAAGCTGAGGACAGTTCTTAGTGACGGCCCAGAGGTCCCGACTGTTGATGATATTATGACGACTTTCAACCGCGACTTCCCTTACGCCGCCGACCAGCTGGCTTCCATTGGAATCTTGAATCCTGACTTACAAGCGCGATCGTCACAGTCCACGGAGTATCGCAACCGATACTCTGAGATTGAACGCCGCGGACGCGGTTCTTCGGTCAATGATGAGAGTGTCCCAACCTTGCCGACTCCAGACTTTGGGAAGCGCAGCAGTGGGGGAATTACCATGTCACCCAGTGCAGGTAGTTCTAGTAGCAACGTGGCTGCCGTTGCCAACCCGCATCAATACTATTATCGAGATTACTACGCCGGTATTATGGGATACAGCGCTAATTCGGCATCTCCCAAGTCTGTCGACATGGCTGGAAGCTCGCGCTCCAATACGGGCACCGGCCACACCTCTACGCGTCCAAGTACCGGTAAGAGCCTCGAGGCCGGCGCTTTACAACGGCAAAGCTCAGATGCGGCCTCTGCTCATCGACCAGAATCAACAGCGACATACATGTCTGGGCATACACAGCAAGAAAGTGTTAGATTTTCCAACCTATTCCACTCTGCTCTTCCTATGGCGGACGGTACAGAGGAGAGCCAGAGATCATCTCGCGCATCATCTCGCGAGAGGGGCCGAGGGTCAGACGGCTACAACGTTTTATGGCTTGCTGCTTCTCTGTTTGAGTTTAATATCGAAACAACCAAGCACGAAGCTGGTTATCCGTACCTAACATACCAAGCGGGCGAGGTAAGCTTTATGTTGCAGTTTATTATATGCGGCCGCTAACCTATCAATAGATTTTTGATATCATCGCAGAGAAGGGAGAGCTATGGCTGGCCAAGAACCAAGACGATCCTACAGAGATGGTTGGTTGGATCTGGTCGAAGCACTTTGCCAAGCTAGCCGATTCATAACGACACCAGGAACTGCGTCTTGAGGATTTGCACATGTGTTTTCTACCTCATTGTATTTTTTGAAGAGTCAAGCAAGCGTTAAGTAAGCGATGCGAGTAAGAAACGTGAAGAAATAGAATTTTGGCGCCCAGAAAGGGTCAACGGTTGACAGCACACAATACATCTGGTCCAACACCCAAAAAGGACAAAAGGCGCAGACATGGTAAAAAAAAAGAAAGGAAACACACAGAGTCTGGCCGGCTTTCGGATTTTTGTTCTTTTCTATCGAGGAAAGGGGGAAAGGGAATATGGGTGGACACGGCGTTTACAATCTCGTTGCAATTTTGTTATTCGAGCAAAGCGGTTTCTCTTTCTTCTTTGTCTTTCTTGTTTGACGCTTTCTGCCATGAAAGCGAGTTGACTTGGCAGTTATTCTTTCTACAATTCCCATCTAGTTTTGTTTTTACCTGCCTTACTTGAACTACATTTGTGTTGATGTATGTATGATGCTTATGTCGCCGTGGGCGTAGAGGCAGGCATCCCGCTGCACCGCTCCATGCAGTGAGATGATAAAGCCAATGCCGACAAAGGAAGAAAAGGAAAAAAAAGCGCCATATGTGATGGACGACTCTAATAATTTACACGTCTCTCTTTAAAAAAAAAAGAAAAAAAGAAAAAAAAGACCTACTTCCAGGTATTGGAGCAAAAAACGACGCTCATCACTGCTATGCTCGGAAAAGTGGCGCAAAGACATCTAGCGGCTGAAGATTGTCGGTAGGCTCGCTGGGCTACCAGATGTCTCTTTGAACTTTTCAGTGCATTCCATCCATCTTAACAAGTGCATCTTCCCCTGCTCTGCTTTATCTCGTTCGAGCCCAACCAGGGTACGATAATATCCCAGGTCCGAATTCGCTCGCTAGGCGCAGCGAGTCAAAGTCGACACGCGACACTGCGAGTCTCACACCGTTATTAGGAAGGGAGGCGGCAGGCGCATCGTCCACAACCGACCAGCTGGCCTAACAAAGGACAGCGAGACGCGGCGCGACCCATCGATATCAGGGAATAGATATCTTGTCGAATTGATTCCGCTATTTCTCTATTTTATTCATGAGATTTTATCCTCTCCCACGCGCGCTCACTTCAAGGCCGTGAGGTACATCTCCTGCCACGATGGCTGCGTTTGCGGGCGAGTCCTCCATCAGGGGCTCGAGTGAGGCCATGCGCATGGTTCTGCTCACCTTTTGCACCATTGGCATCACGTAAGTGACAGATACAGGGTGTGCTTATTCAGAGGCTCGATGGAATTTTGCATCTAATATTCACTTGCGCAGGTTTACCTGGGGAGTCGAAATGACGTGTAAGTTGACGACGCCTCTACCGTTCATTCGACTATCATCTTAGAGCTAACCATGGCCTCCCAGACTGCACACCATATCTTCTAAGCCTCGGATTGAGCAAGAGCAACACTTCCATGGTGTGGATCGCCGGGCCGCTGTCCGGCCTCATCGTGCAGCCCGTCATCGGCGTGCTCTCGGACGAGAACACGTCGCGATGGGGCCGCCGCCGGCCCATGATGGTCCTCGGCGCCGTCATCGTCGCCGCGGCCATGCTCGTCCTGGGCTTCACCAAGGAGCTCGTCGGCCTGTTCGTCGAGGACACCGACGCGGCCAGGATGCCGACCGTCCTGCTCGCCGTGCTGGCCATTTACGTCGTCGACTTTGCCATCAACGCCGGTAAGACAAACAACTCACCCAGGTTTTGCCAGAGGAATGCACGTGAGCTCACAAAAGCCCAACCAAAAAGTCATGTCCTGCTCGCGGAGTCTCATCGTCGACACCCTTCCTATTGAGAAGCAGCAATCCGGCGCCGCTTGGGGTAAGTTCTGCCCGCCTTGCATATCTGTCCTGTTTACGTGTTGCTGATCCGCATGAATCTCTTAGCCAGCCGCATGTCCGCCATTGGCAACGTCATCGGTTACGCGGGCGGCGCCGTCGACCTGGTCAGCATCCTGGGCACCACCTTTGGCGACACCCAGTTCAAGCTGCTCACCCTCATCGCCGTCGCCGCCATCCTCGGCACCACGGCCGTCACCTGCTGGGCCGTGACCGAAAAGGTGCTGCTCCCCGACGCCGCCCACCAAAAGAACCGGACTCGCCATCCATCCTCCTCCTCCTCGGAGGGTCGCTTCCGGGTCGTCGCCCAGATCCTGGCCACCATCCGGCACCTGCCGCCGCGCGTGCGCGCCATATGCTGGGCGCAGTTCTGGTCCTGGGTCGGCTGGTTCCCGTTCCTCTTCTACAGCACCACCTGGGTCGGCGAGACCTACTTCCGCTACGACGCGCCCGCATCGGCGGGCAAGGACGCGCTCGGCGACATCGGCCGCATCGGCAGCCGCGCGTTCGTGCTGTCGTCGCTGATCACGCTGACGGCCTCGCTGGTGCTCCCGCTCGTGGTGCGCTCGCCAGACGAGCCGACGTACACGCAGCGGCCGCATCCGGTGCTCACGGCGGCGCTCAGGGTCTGCGGAAGGTGGTGGTCGCGGCCGGACCTCCTGACGACGTGGGTCGCGGGCCACGCGCTCTTCGCGGCCGCCATGACGTTTGCCCCGTTTGCGACCAGCTACCGCTTCGCCACGGCACTGGTGTGTCTCTGCGCAGTGTACGTAAAATCCCCCCCTTCCCTACCTTCGCAAAGAGGAAAGACGGTTTCGTTTAAAAGAGCTAGCTAACCCGCAACACAGTCCATGGGCAATCGCAGGATGGGCGCCCAGCGCCCTTCTCGGTGTCGAGGTCAACAAGCTCGCGGGCCAGGGCAGCGGCTACCACCCTCTGACCCGCCAGGATGTTGAGATGACGGTGCTCGGAGAGGGCTCCTCCTCCTCCGGCTCCCCCTCTCAGGACGCGGGAGGCTCCTCGGCGGAGCTCTCGGGCATCTACTTTGGCATCCTCAACGTGTACACGACGCTGCCGCAGTTTGTCGGCACCTTCATCTCCATGATCGTCTTTGCCCTCCTTGAGCCGGGCAAGAGCCGAGAACTGGGGGGTGAGGATGGGGACAAGACGCCGTCGGCGACGCCGACCGGACCGAACGCGATTTCCGTCTGCCTCTTCATCGGTGCAATGAGCACCATCGTTTCCGCATTTGTTACGAGAAGATTGAGAACTCTGGAGTAAGACCTTGTTTTTGGACAATCGGCCCTGTTTTTTTCTATTCACTTTGGTGGAAAATTAAGCTTATGGTAATCATTGTTGTGTGTTGATATTTACGCTCTGCAGACTTGATGTAAAAGTAAAAAGCCCATCTATACCCGTTCATGTAATCATCACTTGGTCTTGTCGTTTTCATTCTCCGAGACCTTCTCCCACTCATCCTCGGTACTCACGCTCGACTGGGACGTGCAGCCCGTAGAGTCCGACACGGGCGACGCCGCGACCCTGTGCTTCAACGTCCCCTTTGCCTCGACCGCCTCCACATCCGCCGACGACTTGGCCACCCTGGCAACGCCTCCGCCTCCCTTGCCCGCACTCTTCCTGCCCTTCCGCTGCCGGCCCTTTGGCCGGCCCTCCACCTCGGTGTCTTCATCATCGCTGCCGTCCTTGGTCGGACCACCACCACCATCATCCGCCGTCTTGGTCTCGTCAGCGGGGTCGCCGGACGATGGGAGCTCCCCGCGGGCCTTGGCGGCCGCCAGCTCGGCGGCGAACCAGTTGACAGACCACCACAGGCCGGCGGACAGCACGGAGAGGACGACAAAGTGCACGCTGTAGGTGGCGACGAGGAGCGCGAGGAGGGTCACCTGCAGCGCGGCGAAGCTGGCGTTGGTGGCGCGCAGGATCGTGGGCGTGGGGCCGGGGACGAATATGGACTCCCACAGGTCGACGATGAAGGAAGACATGGCGTGCGGGATCTTGTGTAGCTTGAAGCGTTCTGATATTGGAGGGGTTGGTCGGAGTGAGAATGGTCCGACGAAAGGCTGGCGGTTGGCGTAGATACGATGAGAACGTTCTCCGAGCAGAAAAAAAAAGAGAACAGGACGCGCCGGAAGGTGAAAAATTAAAGTGCAAAAGGTTGGCAGCTCTCTCTTGTTTGTTTGCTCTGGTCGGAAGACGCGGGGATCACGCGCCTGCTGCTGCCTGCTTTGCGAGTATGAAAGGACACAGTGTGCCTGTGCACATGCGGGATGTTGCGCCTCGCAGCCGGTAGAATATCCCAAATATGACCTGGATTTTACAGCAGCTGAAATGGCTTGCTCTATTGGCGAAAACGCGTCGATCCTCGCTGCTTCGAGTCGTTATTGCCTTGGCTCTCATTAACGCGCGCGTGCTTTCCCCCCGCGACGGAGGACCTTGTGATGCTTCTCATGACTGATTATGTAATCAAGCCGACAGTACAGGGTAAGGCCGACGGCATCTTGGGTCCGAATACTCCTCGGCGTGTCAAGGGATAATCATGGAGGAAAATCGTTAAATAATGCTCAATCTGCCTTTATTTGCGTGTTTGTGTTGGTTGGTGATTTTTTTTTTAACGAACTGCGAGCCTTTCTCTGGTGGATTGACATGTGCCGCTGACGGCCGTTCTCAGCTGTAGAGTAGCGGCCAATGCTACATCTTGAAGTTCACTCCTACGATTCCCACATTGTGGGATACCTTTTCTCTTCTTAGAAATACCAACAAAAGGAGGCAGAGGACCACTACCTAGCTGAACCTACAGGCTAGAGACGTCACTTGAGGTTGATTGCTGCCAAGAATTTGCAGGGCTGAGTAGCCTATTATAGAGTTGGAGATTCAGATCAACCTGGAGTACCAAGGTTGTAGAATCGGGCTTTTTGGAATCGGTGTTTTAGATTGTTGCGTCGACCCTAGCCGTCGGTGCCTCCCGACGGAACATTGTCGCCCTGTGTGACCTCTTACACCCACCGCCGTCTGAAACGAAAAGGATCGTTTCCTGCTGAGAAGCAGCAGGCAGACTTCAGGTCAAGTCAAGAAGAAGCCTAGGCAGAGCTGGGAAAAATCCGCACATCCTACCTGACAGACGGGATTGTGAGTCCCCTTGTTGTTTCCCTCCCCCGGTTGAGACGGCCCCATATCGGGTGTCCATGGGAGAGATCGGACGACTTCTAGAACGGGGGTGAGGCCGGGATATTGTTGGGTGTACATACATACATAGCTAGGAAAAGCCGATTTCGAGCGACGAGGCTCGACGGCGCGGGCCACGGCGAGTGGCACCGATGTGGCAATGCACGATGCCAGAACTACCGGGAAACGATTAATTTTTTTCAACGCTTTAAACGATTCTCCATCCCGGAAATACGCAACTCGTTTTGGGGAGTGGATCTAGAGGTTGTTGGTGTTGACCGTCGGCGCCAACGACAAGGCGAACGTAGAGAGGCAATGCCGAATGCAACTATGAGATATTAAGGATTGGTAAAAGAGCACTGTTATCAGCCTCAAGGGCCATGCAACTTGAGCTTCCTAACATGACATTCAGGCCACGATGAGGTTGGCACTTCTCCCACGTACTTCTCCTGCCTGGTCCTCGTCAACGGTGGACACTCGGCAGCGGGCCGCGGGACATCTGGCGCCGGAATTGTAACGAGTTGGCTCTGCAGGCCAAACCAAGAAGCCAGGAAATGACATGGGAAGCTGCAGCCAAAGGTAAATTGGTGCACATGCACATGGTGGCAGGTGACGAAGCGCCTGTGCCAAGTTCCGTCTTGCGGGTGCTGCATAGAGGTAGCACGCGGGGATGCGGCCACCAACTAACCGAGTGAGTTATGAATGGAAGGAATTGCCCATCGAGAAGAAAGACGCGATACACGGGGGAACTGGTATTCAGTATAGGTCTCTACTTATCCAAGCGTGATGTAGAAGCAAGTTGTGGTCGGGCTTGTACGCGGCACCGGGGCTGGTAGCGGATCTGTCGCATCAGAAGTTGCGCAGCACAGAGACATGGCCCTTTCCATGGGACCAACCAGCAAGGTCATCTCTTTGCCGTAGCACAATGAAAGCCATCGCTCCCCCGCAGAAAGGGGGGAGTGTGCATGAAGGGCCAGCTGCGCCAATCAAGGATGTTGGGTGGACTGATGAATGTCTCTGGTCGCGATGCCATGCCTAACAAGACGATTTGGGTAACTAAAGCGCGGTCCGGAACTGAGGCGAACCGAGAAGCGACAGACCGGGCGCTGTCAAGCTGCGATGGTTGGTCGGAATTTAACCTACAGCTGGGCTGTAGCATGCAGTAACTTGAGCTTCGTCACACATGGCAAGTGTGGTTGTCTAGGTCTAGAAGAGATGCTGATGGTGGTGATGGCGTAGGCCTTGTTAATAAAAGGGCCGGATTGATCGAGCTGAAGCATCGAGTTTCGTCTTGGCAACGAGGCAAAGATTGTTCCTGAGCAGAATTGCGGTGCAGTGCAGCAGCCTCGCCTCGCAATCGCGGGCGCTGAATCTGTGATGACCCAGCGGCCAGCCTCATGGGATTTCGATGCGACTTTGATGAAGGAGCTTGGGGCCCCGGAAGCTAGTGGAAGGCGAGCCGAAGGAGACCAGCGGCCGCTTCGAGTGGTACTGGTACTCCATATTGCAGGCAAGGATATGATTCATGCATGTAGATCCCTTTTTTGCGTGCGAGCTGACGGCAGAAGGCGACTGCAGGCTTTCACGTCTCACAAGAGAGAGGGAGAGAGAGAGGTAGAAAGAGAACAAATGCACTGCGGAGTAGAAATGACAAGATAATCGGGCTTTTGCTCCGGCCCGCCAACCCGTCCGCCTAATAACACAAAAGCCACCACCAATTCGCCAGCCTTCTCCCCCCCCCCTCCTAACATACATGGTTCCGCCCCCCCATTGCGAGGTCCGAGAGACCAAAATAGCTGCGCGGGGGGGGGGGGGGGCTACACTACATAACTAGGATTGAACTTCTCGGCCGGTTTGGTGGTGGTGGGTTGCGCGTAGGGCTGCGGGATTGGATGACGGGGGAAAAAAAAAAGGCTCGGTCCAAAGATTTCGGCTCCTTGCTTGCTTTGGGGACCGTTTGGTAGCATTCGCCTTGTCCAGCTCCAGCTGTGTCACCCTGGACGTGGAAGAAAGAGGGGGAGGGCATGTTTCTTCCTGATGATGCGGCCAGCCGTACGGATGAAGAAGGGACTTTTCTTCCGGCTTAGTCTTGGCGAAGAAGCCTCTCTTCAATATGCGGTTACCGCCAAGAAAGAAGCTGATGGGTTTATGAATGGAGGGGGGTTAACGACTTCCACATATAGCCCAGCGCCATGCACAGGAGAAGAAGGAAAGCCAGCGCGAAACAAGGCCGAGCCACAACTGCTGTTATCATTGGTAAAGTGGACAAATGAGCAGCGGGTTACTGGTCGCATGGTGTGGCCTGGTTGTAGATTAGTACCTCAATTAGTACCGTAGTTCGTTCATCTATTCACACTGGTGGCGGCTTACGGGTGGGCTGGGAGGAAAGGGGGGGTCGACATCGAGGCTGGCTGGTGTCTGGAAGCACCTTCTTCTCAGCAAGTCATCGAGTTAGGCAAGTAGAGCGAGGTTTGGCATTAATTAGGTAGTTCTAAAACTAGCTTGCTAATAATAATGCACCCTTTTTTTGTTGGATGTTCCGGGTCGCGGTGCGAGGTCTTGTTGCTTGTGAATCGATCGTCACTTTACAGACAGACAGACAGACAGACAGACGGTTATGTAGGTGCATCGGTGACCCATCAGCCACAAGAACGGTGGCATACGAGAAGTCGTTATATCCTCGTTTTTAAAAGTTTTAATGGCCTTGTTGGGCTTGTCTAGTCACCAGACACCAGACACCAGACACCAGACACCAGACACCAGACACCACATGTTGCTGGCTGTTGGGCTGCGGACCTCGCTCCCCAGCCTCTCGCCCGTTTTATTTATTTTATTCAAGTTGATAATAAAAACAGCAGTATACCCAAGAAGTCACAAATTATCTCAGGGCGCCATATCCTTTGCCTCGTGTAGTAATCCGCACTCCGGACTCGGTCTCATTTATCGTGGTCCCGATCGGATGCTTGTTGGCGCCGAGCAACTTTGGTCCGAGATGGAGGAGGGGCTCATTCGCTCATTCATCCATCACTCAGCCGCTTCGGCTCCGTGGCACGCGGACAACATTATGTGTAACTATATAATATTTTAGACTTTTGTATGTTTCTAGTCGTCGCGGGGGCTTGGCACTGACTGGGCCAGCCAACGAGGCGGGGTGAGACAGACGTCGCCCGGCGGCATGTTCGCCTCGTCAGTCCGTTTTTAGCGAGACTGTGGTGGCAATGAGCAAGGCGAGAAGGCTTTATTTCTCTCTCTCTCTTTTTTTTTTTTTTCTTCTTCTTCCATCTTGCGGCCGCACTACATTGGAAGGGTGTTCAAGTTGTAAGCCACTGTCCATGTAACAACCCAAGGCCCGACTCCCATTCGTCCACTAACTACTAAGTTAGTTACTGACAGGTAGCAGTAGCCTGTAGCTGCATTAGTGTAGCGTTAGTACCTGTTAGGCAACGGCTCCGGGGGTGGCGCCAGCACTCTTTCTACTGGTTTCAACACTAACTACGGGGGTGGCTGTTGCTGTTGCTTCTGTCCGTCTAAAATCCAACATCTGGGCGGCTGGATGAATTTAGTTGTGGACACGCTCACACACCAACTCCACAGCCAGCTACGAGCATGGTTTGGAGGATATGCTGTACGAATATGTATGTATGTAGCTGGTCAATTTCCGTTGGGCAGGGCTCAGCTGCTAGGGAATCGGCCTGGAACTTTTGTTATGGAGGGAAGCAGGGGGAAGAGGCTGCTGGTCCTCAAGGTGCGCTCGTGAAGTTCAAGACCCTACGTACATGTACTACGCATCCAGTCTCATTTGCCTCAGGCTTGCACCAACATAAACAACCAGCACCGTCTATAATTGGTAATGGCCGACAGCAAGGGCCGGATGGTCTGTCCCGCCTGCAGCCAACCACTCCAACTACTGCGTAAATAAACTAGTTCTTCCTAACCAGGTGCCACGCCATGCTATTTTGTACTCTTCGTAGACGACTGATGGGGCTTCCAACTTCTGACCCCCTCCTTCCCGCTTTCCAGACAGGCTCCTTCCCGCGTTCAACCAGGCTCTCACTCAACTCACTCCACCCCCTCCTCCTCTCTTCCCTTCTTCACTGACATCACCCTCCTCCTTCGCATTCACAAGTTGCGGGCGACACGCACACCTCCTCTGTCATGCAACAACTCTCAACTGGCCCCCACACGGGCCACACCCCTCTGCCTCGTCGTCCAACGGGCTCCATGCTATGCCATGCTCGGCCGTTTGCCTTGGCCCTGGCTTCTGCCCCGTTCCCTTGAGCGCCCGCGCGATGCAATCTCGACTCTAAGCATCCTATACCAAGCCTCGGAGGAGTAGCAGTAGCTCGTACATACATGCTCCCTACACATGGCCAACTCGTCAAACTCCATATAAGCTGCTCAGGTCTCGCCGACTTCCGGTTCCTGGCACTCACTCCGCAGGCTTCCATGTGAATGATTTACATCGTCTGCCACATATCCTCTGCATATACCACCCGCTCATCCCGAAAAAGACGTTCACCCAGCTGCAAAGGAAGCTCATCTGACATCTGCAACGCGGTGACGTTGTCGTGTGCTGCTGCAAGTGCTCTCATGCAGAGCGCCTGTGTTTCGAGACTCGGCTTAGGAAACCCTGGACAGAAGTTACAGGCCTCCCGAACCACCGAGTACTGACTGGCTGTGCTTTTGCTGCAATCAATCTTGCTGGTGGCCGACACACCTTTGGAAGAAGCTACCGCCTCATCACCCACAGTTTACACCCCCGCGGAGCCTACCGCATTTGCATTCAGACCGAGGACACTCCGCGCAAGCCGGGGTCCTCAAATCAGCAGCAGTTCACGCTTACGCTTCCTTTCCTAATTACCACGCCAATTTCAAGCCGGACTGTCTTCACGACAATTCAATACAGGAAAAGACACATTTCCATCGATTTCACTTGAAACCAGTCTACCCACCCCATAATGAGGTCAGTCGTCCGCCCCCAAACCAGGCCGCTTGTCCCAACCACCCAACTCCTAACCAGGCTACAGCGCCATAGCCTTGTCATTGGATCCCAGTTCAGTGATTGGAAGCAAAAGTGGCTTTCCCTGGCAAGGTATGTGGGAAATGGCGCTCCCCTTGACTTAAATATTGCCACTAGCAGAGACCTCCCTGGCTAACTGTCGGCCTATTCCAACCATAGATCCTCGTTCAGACCACCGTCATCATCACCACCAACAACACAACCACCACCACCATTTTGGCGACATAATGTTTGGAGATGATTTCAGCGTCGTGGCCCAGACAAGCGACGCTGTTGCAATGTCTCCTATTAGCACAAAATCATCGGCGTCCAGTCCCTCGCTCTCCTTCACCCCGGATCAGCATACCCTGAAGCGTCAGCAGGACCGTGCTCGCAGAGATTCGCGCCTCAACGCCAGATTACGCCGCTACAGCAACTCTTCCTTTGCAGACTCGACCATTATGAGCCCGAGGGATACTATCGGGAATCTTGGACTTGCAGTCTACAACCCGACAACCCATACGACGGTGCCTTTGATGGCCGAATCACCCCACCTCATGCCAACATCGTCATACCTGCCCTCTTACAGTCCTACGTCAGAGACCTCGCACGGCTACTCACTGTCCTATCAACAGCCACTGTATGCTTCGGAAACTAGCCGCCTCTATCTACAAGTCTGCGTCGCTAACCTGCCAAAACAGTCCGCAGTCGTACAATCTACCCATGGATTACTCAAACGGATACATAGGCGCGAGTGACTTTGGGTGCGTTCCCTTGACATTTGAACTGCACTGCACTGATATGCTAACGATAGCGACAGCAGCTTGAGGTCGAGTCAACAAACAACATCTTCAGTTCCTCATGGCCAAGAAGGCAACATGATGTACCAATTGCCAAGAAGCCCCTCCAGTGGCCCCCACGATCTCTCCCCCTCCGGAGCCGCATCGAGCCGGCCGAAGCCTCGATGCTGGGACCATGGGTGCAATGGACGCCAGTTCTCTACGTTTAGCAATCTTTTGCGCCACCAGCGCGAGAAGTCTGGCCACGCCGCCAAGGCAACTTGTCCAAACTGCGGCGCGGAATTCACCAGAACAACGGCCAGGAATGGGCACATGCTACACGATAAATGCAAGCGAAGGACCACCGGAAGCAGCACCGCCTGACCTGCAGGGTCTGCCGCGTCGCCGTAGTGGCCGATGAGAGGCGAGCAAAATTTCCGTATATTTTCCCCAACACCCGTACATAGGAGCTGCATAGAGAGAGGGTTGGCCGTACTCGGTGGGCGCAGTGACACCCAGATATACCCGGCCTGTGTTATATGGTATTCCTTTTTCTATTCTTTTTCATTTTGGTTAAATCTGGGAAGGAGTTTTATTTCCCGCCTTTACTTGATAAAGGCAGCTGCTACTTGCTTTCTCTGCTTTTTGGGAAACGTGCAGCTGCAAGCCAGCCTGCACAGGACTGTTGGGACTTGCCATCGTCACCTGCATCATGGGGCAGCTGATGCGAGGTGCGCAGAAATTATTTGAATTAAAAGACTTTTGCTTGTTTGTACATGTCCATTCTATGTTTTGAAGTCGAGGTCATGTAAGGGCCGAGTCTATGAGCTCACTTGGCGAGAGCCAGCAAGGATACCCTGAAGAGGGATCTACCATGAACCTGGACAAGTAGCAAGGCACTGATGCCTCATCCTCGGAGCTACTGGAAGCTCGTATGCCAGTAGTGTGAAAAGAAGAAGGCTAGAACCCCAGATGGACGAACCACGAACGGCAGCGTCGCTCTTTATAGCTCCTTTCAGCCCTGCAAGGTAAGTATCCGCGCCACTAACACTTGTCACTTGCCCGTCGGTTGTTTGTTTGAGACATGCTGCCCTACTAGCCAAAACGGAAGATGAGCGTCTGCAATGGGCTAATCGGTCAGCATGCCACATGACAAACCTGCTCGTCCTATAACTAGTATCCGTCATCTATTTATGGCTTCGGATAGATGGATGTCGGTGGGTACACGGCAGTCCTTTATCAGATTACCTACCCTTGAGTGGAAACTCTGGGGCCCTTGAAGATTAAGACAGATTTAGGCTCGAAACAATCTTTTAATTAGTCTACTATGCAGCGGCCCTTTCCGCCATTTGCCAGCCAAAACGTTGAGGTTGGTGATTACCTAGGTCTTCATTGCTGATTGTTCCGGACTTGTTCGCACATTTTCCACCTATCAGCGATCGCGCACACACCCCAGCCCGTCCTGCGCTTACTCGGAACAACGCGATTCGGAGCACAATGACAACGTTCTAGAACTCCTTGAGCGATGCTATTATTTCAAATGTCTGTAGTCATGAGCGTGGCGGGCTTGCCGTTGCGGCGGGTGGGCATCGCGTCTCGTCTAGGAGAAACGCACGGTGGGCATTCCCGTCAATCACCGAGCTTGGCGGCATGGGAAGAATCAGGTCATTGGAGGGAATTGTCAGATTTTAGCGACAGGTCCATCACGGCAATTGCTGTCCGTTTCTCCTTGGCTACACGGCCAGAGGCCATGGCTATAAGTGCGACCTGGTCGCCGTCTTGTTCGACCGTGAAAGGGCATGCCATCTACACTCGCAACTCCTCTAGTCTCACATACAAAACATAACCTCGACCCTCTTGTCACCATGCGCCCCTCCCTCCTCCTCGCCACCGCCAGCCTCATCCTCGCCGCCCCGACCGAGGACGCCGTCGAGAAGCGCGCCATCACGTCCGGCACCAACGACGGCTCCATCTTCCAGTTCGGCGACGCCGCGCGCTGCCGGCGCACCTTCTACGACTCGGGCGCCTGCGGGCTGAGCACCTACTTCAAGGGCAGGGTGCCCGCGGACGCGACGCTGGTGGCGGTGCCGTCGGGCGTGTTTGACCGCTACGGCCAGGCGCAGGACAACAGGCTGTGCGGCAAGACCATCACGATGACGTACCGGGGGGTGACGCGCAGGGCGGTGGTGGCGGACGAGAACACGAGCGGCGAGCAGTCGATCGACATGTGCCTGGACGACTGGAAGGCGTTTGGCGGCAAGGATGGGGATGGCACGCTGCGTAAGGGCATCAAGTGGACGATCGGCTGATGAGGTTTGTGGTGGCGTGGGTATATGTATATATAAAGTCACGCTGGATTAGAAATAAATGCACATACATGCCGTTTATAGCGCTTAAATAACTTGTCGTGTGCGGTGCTCCAACACCGTTGTCATACATCATCATCGTCATCTCATCATGACCAACACTCTTAGCAACTATGAAGATAAAAGTACTGCTTCATGACACAGGCTAACTACAGACCGTGTCTCTAAGTACCCTGGAACAGTTACAACAAACAGTTCAACTGCTCCCAGACCCCAGAGCCTTGAAAGAGGCGTATACTTGCAGCCCCCCTTCAATGCTCTGAATCAACCCAAACACCACTGTGAGAATCAACACTAGCACAGCAACCCAGAAGGTATACCTGACAGATCATGTCACCTTAATTAGAGCGCGAGTTTCGAGAGCCAAAGGACTTACCATTGCACGCCGTTGCGTCGGTCGTACCACCATTGAGATAGCGACTTTGGCTGTGCTTCATCAAAGACTTGCTTGAGCATAATCAGTCGCTCACCCCAAAAAGGGAACTTTTCGAGCTGGCGGTCATCCGTCTTGAGCCTCCTGTAGCGGGAGGCACGCCTGTCGAGGCTTGGGTAGTTGGGCAGTCTCGTGAGCCATTTTCGGGTGCCTGCGTCGGAGGAAGGAAGCAGCAGCGCGAGTGTTCGCAACGTCTCTTCCGCAAGATGAGACGGTAAGAGGCTGTTCGGACTAATTCAAGGTCAGCGGGAAATTGTTAAACGCCGTCACGCATTGGCTAAGAAGGCACCTGTGCTTTTGGACTTCTAGGAACGAGGCGTGATGGAAAATATGCACGCGGCGATCATCGTCTGTGAGTCGCAAGTGGTCAAGCATGTTGTCGGTCCAGATCACATCAAGCCCTGCAATTCGTGTCAAGTTATGGGCGGTAAATATCTTTTCCAGCCTGATGTTCTCTCTGGTCTCTGCGCCGCTGCCGTCGTGGAAGTAATCTTGGAGAAGCGCCTGCAAGGAGCTGCTGTTGTTCCAGTTCAGGGCACGCCGGCTAGAGTATCCAGAGGAGTAGCTGCAAAAGTTCATCATGAGAAGAACACTGGCGGCTAGGTCGATAGAATTCTCGACAATCTCGTCTTCGTTCATGTGTAACGTAGTGAGCTTTGAGCGTATGTACTCCTTGACTGCTTCCCGATCGTGCCCGTCTCGCAGCATGCGTGTGCATTCTATGACATCTTGATGCGTGCGAGTTGCAATGTGCTGGCCACCTTCGTACAGTGCTTTCGCGCACTCATTGTGATAGCAAGCCCAATAGCGCTTCAGGTCAACCTCGGGCAGATCCAGGTGTGCTCCTTCATAATCCCAAAAGGCTTTCTCCAGCGCAGCTTTCGTTGAATCCGCAATATTCGCATCTAAAATACTGATGTCAAGCAAAGCTTTGTCGCTCATTATGAAGGAGAAAAAAAAAGAGGTTGTAATGCCAGCCTAACTAGGGGACGATGTGCAGGTGGCTGGCTGTCCTTTTAAGGAAGGAGGCACCTGTAATCCGTACAGGGCTGGGCTACACACGAGGAGGATTGCCTTGCTGAGGAGTGCTAGAAGATTGACTTGTAAATTAGGCACAGCTGGGGGTTGCTTTACTAAAGACAGTGATGAATGATTCTGAGAATACGAAGATGTAGATGAGGAGGTGAAAGTGATGATATTGACAAGGGCTTCAAATACAGACAGCTGCGCTGGATTTATTTACAGCCCTCGTATACCAGTCGTTCCAGTGTCCTCGACAACGAAGGGTTCTTTGCCATCACAAAATACAGGTACACATACTGTAGGTATCAAAATTCAGCCCAACGCAAGGCGATGGGGCAGCTGAAAGGGCGGCCGGTTTTGCCAGTGCTGCGCCACAAGGCACAAGGCTACTACCAGTATCAGTAGAGCCGGATTTTTGGTTGTCGTCTATTGCAACTACATCTTGATTTTACCTGCTTGAGAATGTATGTCCATACATACATCCGTGCTGGCCAAAGAACTGATGAACCAGGCAAGGACAAGTCTCGGTTGGGTACCTGTGGCCAGGTTTCAAGCTGGCGGTCAATCAGGTGCAACTTGTCGAATTATGAATCAAGACAGGCTCAAAAAACCGTCACCACAAGGCATACAACACGCCATCAATCAAGAGGCCTCGCGCCCGCGCCACAATCTCCGTCAGCATGCATGCGCGGCCTAGCTTCAGGGCTTCCTCGCGAGCTTGGCTCTTCAGCCCCGCGAATAACTCACTGACTGACTGACTGACCGCATCGACGACATCATCAGATGCGACAAATGCTACATCCGGTATGAGCACGACCGTCACCTCCCCCAACCTCGTTCGGGAGGGAACCCTGAATGCGCTGCGAGCCCTCACCTCGCGCGGCACGACGGCATGGCCGGAGCCCACGCTCTCCGTCGGTCGCCAGATCGGCAAGTTTGGCAAGGAGCTGTGCTGGGAGGCCGTCGGCCCTGCGCGGGATGCCTTCAAGAGGATGTGCCCGCGCATCAAGGAGCATCTCGAGAGCGGCGTGGAGACGGTATCCTCGTGGGTTACCTGGTCCATGTACATGATTGGCAAGACGCCGGAGCTGGCCTGCCCGACCATCCTGTTCTGCTGCGAGGTGTCGGCGCATCGCAAGCTTGTGAGGAACGTCATCAAAGAAAGCGGTATCCTCGATAAATACCCCGGCATAAAGACAGGCCATGCTTCTCGACCACCGGATTTTAATCAACTGGTCCGGGTGGCTGAGGCGAGCGACAACGACCAGCGATCCGCGCTTGTCATTGAAGGGCTCGTCGAGCCTCACGGCAGCCCCTGTGGAATGGAGCTCACCATCAACGCTGGATCAAGGGAACCTCAAACCAGCAGCGCCACCGTTGGTGGTGTCATCCAGCTTGGGGAGCGGTTCTATTACTTGACAGCCGAGCATGCATTCCGTTTCGCCGGCGAGGAGGATGCGTATGACAGATTATCTGATTCAGACACCGACAGCACCTTGTCCATCGACGAGGACATTTTTAGCGACGTCACCGACGACGGCAACGATCCGGATCGCGCAGCACTGGCCAAGCTCGATATATCCGACGCGCAACAGAGCGAGCTGCCCCGCATCAGACCAGACTTTCAAGAAAACGTGAAGCAGAAGCAACTACGAGTCATTGAAGAAACGATTCGACTTCCCACAATCGCCATCTGCTCGGCAGATGATCCCGCGACCAACCTTGACTACATCCTTATCGAGGTATCCAAGGTTACTCATCAAGCTCCGAACTCGATCGAATACGACGGAAAAGAGATTTCTGTCCAAAACATAGTTGAGGATGGACCCAAGGATGTCAAAATCCTTGCCATTACATCTAGAGGCATCCTCAGCGGGCGACTTTCCGGTACCGGCATGTTCACAAGCCTCCCCGGCACGGACACATACCAGGAGGTTTACTATGTCCAACTCGACTATCCTTTGGAAATCGGGGACTGCGGCTCGTGGGTAATCCATGCCAATACCGGCGATCTATTCGGCCACATCGTCGCCGGCTCCCCGGAAACTGGTGCAGCACTCATCATTCCAGCACAGTTGACCTTTGACGATATAGAGAATCGAACACAGATCCGTCCGGAGCTGCCAGTGGTGCCGATACAGCCATCGCCGGAATATGTTCAAACCAAACTAGATCGGAAAACACCAAGGGAAATTGAGTCGCGACTTCGACAGCTTACACAGAACGACATTGCGTGGACTAGAGATTTCACTGCGCGATTCGTTGAGTTGATGCGAAAACGGCACAAGCAGAGTATTCGGGACAGAGCCAATGACAGAGCCAATGAAACCACAATCATCGTACAAGGTTCGTCCTCCAAAGACCTGGCGCCTCCGTCATACCATCAGGCTATGAAGGACACGAGCCTTCGCGACCGATTTAGGAGAAGATTCCCACTCATCCCAGAGCCGCCCGCAGAAGGAGATAAAGAGGCCCAAAAGTTCCGCAATCTTCTCATCAGCCTATCATATATGCCACTATTGTATGAAGACGAGGGGTTGCAAGAGTTGGCTCTGGATACGATGCCATTGGACGAGATATATGTCAAGGCATCAGAGAAAGAGTCGGCGTACGCGCAGAACACGCAGGCATCCAGTGGAAAAGATCCTCACTGGAATTTTATGGAGTGTTCCATCATCGCCATGATGGACTGGTTCAAAAATCGGTTCTTCACTTGGGTCAACAACCCTCCTTGTTCGGAATGCCAGTCTGCCACGGTCGCCGTTGGGATGGGCACGCCAACAGCAGAGGAATCGGAGTTTGGCGCCCTCCGGGTCGAACTCTACCGATGCTCCAACCCGACTTGCTTGAGCTTCGAGAGGTTTCCTCGCTACAGAGACCCGAGGATGCTCATGCGAACCAGGCGAGGTAGAGTCGGTGAATGGGCGAACTGCTTCGCTCTGTTCTGTCGAGCACTCGGAGCGAGGGTTCGCTGGGTTTGGACGGCAACCGACCACGTTTTCGTCGAAGTATACTCGGTGAGCCAGCGCAGATGGGTGCATGCCGATCCTTGCGAGAATGCTTTTGATCAGCCCCGACTGTATAGTGAAGGTAAGTTTATCCTTAACCGGGAATGGCTTCATATTGCTAATATGAATGATCCAGGTTGGGGCAAGGCACTCATATATGTCATTGCTTTTTCGGTCGACGGCGCCACAGATGTAACGAGACGGTACGTACGCTCCGTCTCCCTCTTTAGAGAGCGTCCTCGAGCTCGATGCTCGGAGGAGGTCCTGGTGCACATCCTGCGGCAGGTTACGGCGATGCGGAGAACCTCACTCGGAGATGAGGAATTGGCGCGGCTGCAGAAAGAGGACGTGCACGAGCAGAAGGAGCTCAACACCTATATGGTGTCAAGACTCACGTATGAATTTGTATCTAAATGGGGTCAAGACCGGGCTGGTGCAGCGCAGAGAAGCGATGCAAAGCGGCAGGAGGCGGAGGAAGTGCCGGAGCTCGAGTGTCCGCAGACGCGAGAGGCACAATGATGAAGTGACGAATGAATTTGACATGCTTGACGATTTGATATTAAGAGCCGTATTTTCTCTTTTTAGAACGGCATAATGATGCCTCATGCCGATTGATTGTCCCTGATACCTAGAAGAAGGGAAGGAACGCTTCAGTGGGAACTACGCTGAAGCACCCCCACTACAGCACGTGCTCCCGCGACCACTTCCCGTCAAACACCGTTGTGATCCCCTGCAAAACAACGTTGCCTTCATCGACGTCCAATTCGAGCGGGCAGCATGTCAGCCTTGACGGTGCGCGCCCAACGGCAAAAAATCTTCAAGGCCGTCTTCCAGACCGACTCGTCACAGCCCACGCCACGGCTCCCCTCCCTAGAACCCGGCGAACCGTTCGGCGGTCCACCTCCAGCCACGGTCAACGCGTCGGCGCGCGGCGGCAGGCGACATGCAGCCAACGATGTGTCGGACCAGGTGAGATGGGATCGGGCCTGGCACCTGGTCACGTCACGCATCCAGCTTCCCTCCTCCGTCGCCATGGAAGATTCGTTTGGCACGCTGCCCCCACAGTCGCAGGACACCGAGTCGGATTTCTACGATGCGCTGCCCATCGTGCTGGACCCGACCGCCAACGTGCCCCTCGCGACGCACACCGAGGACGTCCTGCTATGGCACGCACGCCAGGTCCGGCAGCACTTTGTCAACCACGTCCTGCCGCTGCTCGCCGCCTGTGCGGGACTCGCCGACACGGCACAGGTGGTCGCCAGCACGGTGAACACCTTGGCAGCCGCGCACCGGCAGTATCTCAACGGCCTGCTTCTAGTGGTGAGGGGCATCCCCAGCGAACCTGCCGCGGAGGCAGCGACCAGCACATTCAGACGAGACTTGCATGCGGTCATTGGCAACTCGTGGACGCAGGGCCTTATCAACGCCCTGAATCCTGCACTCAGGCGGTTATTACGTACCATTTTAGGCACCGGCCGCAAGTTCGACGGGAGGAACGCTTTCGAGGACCCCAATGCGTCAGGCGCTCGAGAGGAGTTGTTGAGGCTCCTCGAGTCATTGCAGAAGGTCGGTCTCGCGGGCGACAAATTTCAGGTGCTCTTCGCAGAGTTGATGGATGGCTGCATGCGTGATTTCATTCAGAAAGCCTACGCTGGAGTATGGGAGGCGCTCGAAGTGAAAGACCCCGACTCGGGATCGGTCATGCCCGGCTGCATGGCTCATCTCTGTCACTGGGTGGAAAATCACTACGGGCGACTGGCTGTAGAAGTCTTTAGCCGCCTGGGAGGCCAGGTGAAATGGGCCGACGTCGAGCAGTGGCGTGAAATTGCCATCGGTCGGCTAGCAACGCTCCGAATACATGAGCTTTTCGACATTGTGCTGCACTGGCCGCAGACAAGGGGTGGACTCGATGACTTGAGTTATTCCGTTACCACGCCGCAGCGCCGCTTAGCATTAACGGACACCTTCTCGGCTGCCCTGCAGCATCGACTACTACACCCGGGTCGGTCTACACTGGAAATCCTACAGACATACATTTCCATGATTCGGACTTTTCACGCACTTGACCACTCAAAAGTGCTGCTCGATCGAGTAGTACATGCCCTGCAGCTCTACCTCTGCCAAAGAGATGATGCGATCCGAATCGTGGTTACGGGTCTTCTTGCAAACCCTAAAGGCAATGACGCCAACCAGGCGAAAACGAAACTCGTCGAGCTAGCGGTGATTATCAACGAAGCGTCGCAGCTACAAAGAACAGCAATCGACGAGGAGGATCTTGATTGGGACGACATGAACTGGGTTCCAGATCCCGTTGACGCAGGTGTCAACTACAAGCGTCCAAAGAATGAAGACGTGGTTGGTACCCTGATCAGCGCGCTCGGCTCGCAAGACCTCTTCATCAAAGAATTTCAGCACATAATAGCAGAGCGGCTGTTGTCGAAACAACCTGGATTCCAGCAAGAAATCAAAGTTCTAGGACTTTTAAAGAAGCGATTCGGCGAACACGCGCTGCAAAATTGCGACGTCATGGTCAAAGACATTCAAGATTCCAGGCGCCTTGACGCAGTTCTACGACGTAAGATACGCGGCGCTCAGCAACCGGGTGCCCCAGCTCTCTCGTACCACTCAAGAATACTGTCGCGTCTCTTTTGGCCTAGTCTGACAAAAGAGACGTTCAAGGTTCCTGCGCCTGTGGCAGATATTCAAGCACAATACGAGGCTGGATTCGAGCAGCTCAAATCATCTCGGAAACTTGGGTGGCTGCATAGCCTCGGCACAGCGACCGTCAGCCTCGAACTTGAAGATCGCACGATCGATGTTGAATGCAAGACATACGAAGCCGCTGTCATTTTCGAATTTCAAGGCGAGGGAACACAGAGCGACACAGGCGCACAGCAGCGCACATTTGATGAGATATGGCAGAGCCTGATGATGGACGAGGATGCCCTCGAGCTTGCACTACGGTTCTGGGTGACGAAGAAGGTGCTCAAAGATGTCGGAAATCGTACGTATGTAGTCATGGAACGGTTAGACTCGGAAGAAGCAAAGCAGGATGCCCATGACGATACGTCAGTTGACGACGGTGCAGAAGCCTCTGGCAGCGCATCGCCAAAGAAGGCCAAGGGCGTAGATCCCAAGGAAGCGGAGCGACGGACTATTTATTGGCAGTTCATCCTCGGCATGCTCACGAACTCGGCGCCGGCCATGCCGCTCAGCCAAATAGCCATGATGATGAAGATGCTCATCGCGGACGGGTGCCACTGGAGCAACGAGGAGCTGCAAGAGTTTCTGGAGGAAAAGATCGCGGCTGGGGAGCTGGAGCTTGCCGGTGGCAAATATCGGTTACTCAAGAAGTGAGGCAGGCATGTTCATGGTAGCGAGGAGGAACTAAGTCACCATGAATACTTGTCCACCTCACACTTGTGGTCCATGATGCGAGACCGAGACTCGTCTTGACCTGCGGATGATGCTGGCCCGTGCAACATGGCACTGGTGATGCGCTGCGCTACATCAGCCGCGAAATATTTATGGCACAACCTTTTGGTGTGGAATACGCGGTGATGGTACGAGAAAGCCCTCTTAGAGTGATTGGGCGTACAGAGTAGGATCCTTGGCCTGAAACGCGGAGGACCTCTCCCATGGCAACTGATGACGCTGAACTTCTCTGGGTCTATCATGAATGCGGTCTGTGGCGATTCCGATGAAATTCCACGATGGAGTCGTTGGTAATTGAAGGATTGTCAGCAGTCTTTTAAGTCGGCTGCTGCGCCGAGGATGGGTTCCGGCCACAATTTTATATCGGGCAGTCGGGCAGAGGGTGAGGGTCAGGTTACACGACGTGAGACATGAAGGACTGGTCGTGGAGCCCTTCGATGCGGTACATGTGATATTCTATGGGTACGGATGGATGTTTTCTGTGAGTTGACTTGCATTGCCGTTTGCGGCGCCGCGCGGCCGTGGTGCGACACCGGTGCGGCCCCCGGAGATGCCCGGTGTAACGGCGCCGGGAGACGACCGAGCCGATGGGGGGGGCCATGGTGCGAAGGTATTCGCTAGGGCTGACGAGTTAATATTATTTACGGGCATATGATGCTCCATGAATTATTCTGTACACAACGCAGTTGCGAGAAGGTGATGGCACGCATGCTGGTGATGGTGAAGCTGTCGAATATGCATCATCGTCGAGGTGACTGTCGTGGGATTTCAAGGTTACATTCCGGAATGCTTGTTGAGCAGAAATGCAGCCAAATTGACGTCTTTTTGCATGACTAGCAGTGGCGATTAGAACCGCCGGTAGGCTGATTCACATTATCGCCGTCGTCTGCCCATCATCGGGCTCCAGCGTTATTGTCAAATCGTACATGACGCTGTGTCCCGTCAGACAAGAACACGACTTGTCACTGCGGTGGCGATTGCCACGACGACCAACCGCGCTGTCTCTCTCGTCTTCTCCGTTGGTAACATGAGGTGGGCCAGCAACTTGACAAAAAGGCTCGCACATGTGTAAGAAGGCGGCGCTGCAACAAGGAGGCTGTCGTGTGGCGAGTTGTGAGCGGCCGCACCACCACCGCGCGCCGCCGTCGCCATGGTGCCCTTCGCTTCGCCGAGCGGGCGGCTAATGGGGCCTTTTTGTGTGACAGAGGTATGTACCTCCGTATGTATGACGGACAAGACGGCTTTTCCGGCCTTTTTTTTTTATTTTATTTATTTCTGCTTCGCACTCGAAGGTGAGAGGGAAAAAACAAAAAGGGCGCCAACTTCGCATCACATCCCCCCCAGGGCGTTGCAAGGTTGCACCTGGTCAGCTGAAAGATTCTGCGGTGGGATAACGCCCGCGCGAGCGAGCACATGACAGGTGTGCAAAGGACAGGTTTTTTTTTTCTCCCCGGTGTTTGTTTGCCAAGCTTTACAGGTCAGTTCTTGGGACTTGATGGCCAAAGGCTTATTTTCAGTCGAGGTTGGAGTCATGGCATTCTTTCTTTCTTTTTTCTTTTTTTTTTTTTGCTGACTGAACGGATCGCTTGGAGGAGTGAGTAGCCAAGAAAGTAATTGATGATGACGGACGGGGGTTGGCTTGGATAATATAAGAGACAATGGCAATGCCGGGGGAGGGCGCCGGCCGGCGCCGTGGGGGGAGTCGGACGTTGTCACGCCGCGGGGCAGTGACGAGATAGAAGAGGGTCAGCAGAGAGGCGGTGACCAGCTGACGAGTTGTGTCATGTCAATGGGGAGTTTTTGTGATGACCTTTCTAGCGTCTGACTGACAGTTGGTGGGTGTGTTTGCATCTTCTCACATCATTTCTTGCTGAATCATTGACGAGGTCCCTGTTGTTCGTCTGCCATGGCCGGGCAATTGTATTCGTGCCGCCTCCCCTCCGGGTCGAGCTGGCCGCTTAGTTATCGGCAGCTTCGACCAGTGAGAGTCAGCGAAAGACGAGAGCGGCTAGTTTCCCGTGATGAGCACTGGGCACCGCGCGCCGGTTTACTCTCTCTCCACCGAGCGATCCGCACGGCCTGATAAAGTGATACAAAAAAGGGACAGAAAGGGGATGGGAGTGGGCGTGGTCCTGTCTTGGGGTGGCAAAGTGGTTGTGAGGCTGAGAAGAGCTCGATATGTCGTATAGTCTCAAGTCATGGGTTGTAGGAGCGAGAAAGAGGGAATAAGAGAGAGAGAGCACCCGCGCGTAGAAACCAGGGTCGGTGGCTCGGAAAACTGACTTATACGATTCAGCGGAAGCCTCCTCACCGTGAACGGCTCTGGTCCTCCCCCAATCAGGTGGTCAACTAGCGAGGAGGCTTCGAGCCACAGCAAACGGACATGATCATGTCATCAGGGCGTCGTCAGTGAGCTTGGGTGGGAGCTGGATGCCGCGCGAGCTGTGAAAAGAAAAAAAAAAGGAAAAAAAAAAAAAAAAAACAGAACAGGCATGTTACAGCCACACTGAACTGCCGTTGTGTACAAGGTCGTCAAGGTTGATTGGCAAATTGGGCGCAGACAGCGAGACCAAGACGGGAAACGGTGAACATGCCGGCAGGGAAGAAGGAGAGAGAGAAATTTCTGACTGTCATTTTGAATGTAACCAACACGGGGGGGAAACAAACGGTGACACAAGGACAGGTTGTGGACGTGTGCTGTCCAGAAATGACTGGCGCTGATTCCATCTTGGTCGGGGCGCAGTCTCGTGTTTTACTGCATCGAGACATTTTTCTTGTACGACGGGCGTCCAATTGGGTGTACAGACCGGGCGAAGCGTTTTATTTTCTGGTTCGGCTCTTTTTTCTTTCTGCCTCGGGGCAACTGCTGATACTTGACGGTCCTCGGGCGATGGCAAGTTGCACTCGTACCTATCTATGAATGGCATGGCCATTGGTGATGGACAAAGGCGGGCATGACGGCAAGCACCGATGGAGCGCCGTGGCTCACTGTAACTATCAGTAGCTACTGTACTAACCGCAGGTCGTCTTCGTCTAGGAATCACAATCACAGGTGGGCGGCTTTTGAGCTTGAGCCCAATTATCAGGCAGTTATCCGAACATGATTTCCTGTCTTGTCACATTCTCGATGCACGGCCCAGTCTGGTCAGTCAGGTTCCCATTCTGGAGCCAGACTCCATACAGGGCCGTACATGTCATTCATGCCTTGCCATATTATGCCTCTCAGAAATCTGTGCTGGGTTTTACAAGCGAATGTTGTTCTTTTTTTCTTTCTTTTTTTTTCTTGGTATTTTTTCTGCTCGTTTCTTTTTGTTTACCGTTTCCCTTTTTTTTTTCTGCTATGCGTTGTCCTTTTGAATGGAGAGAACAGGCTTTGGGCTGGAGGACCACTTACCAGGGCGCCATTTACAAGTTGGGGACCAGACCAGCCAGCCAGACCATGTATTTCATCGCCACTATCCACACACAACACACAACACACTAACTTAGTTACAACACGACACGGGCCTTCTGCGACATTCCCGGCTCTATTCGGGCGTCAAAAAGCATCAAGGATGCCGATGCCGATGCCGATAACCTTTTCACTTCAGTAGCGAGACAAGCAGAAAAGCCGACGGCAATAGAAAATCACATCTCCTCCACCCCCCCCCCCCCCTTCCTCTCCTCCCTTCCTTCCTCCCTCCCTTGATGTGATTGTATGAAGCGAGGTCATAATTCGCATTCTTGACCACCAGTCAAGGTTGCCTCTATTTTACCTAGTATTTATCCGCGTTGCCGTGTTTCTGTATCCCCCGCATCTAGGCCGCCGCCATCTTGCCTCGATTCTGGGCAGTCCTTCCGCTGCCAACCTTATCACAGCGAGCTGACTTTTGAATAATTTAGTTCGTTACTTTCATTAGCCGTCTTTTCTGCAACGCAACGCCACGCCACTCAGGACTTTCTTCTCCTCTCTTCAGACTCCCTTTCCCTAGCCACTATCCTAATTGCGGCATCACATCCCAACAAAATAACTAATGAATCCGCCATCGCAGGCTGGCTGGCTGGCTAGCTGGATACCTGCCTACCTAGCTCGCTTGGCCCGTCTCTCTTTCTGTCCGCCTGCCTGCCTACAGTACCTTACCTGTCTCTCTTTTCCTTGCTTGCCAAACTGCATGCAGTCACAACGGCTCGTTCGCTGGACACTCCCTCACCAGCCACCAAGCAAGTCTCTTGATACTAGTTAACTAAGCGTCATTCATCCCGTTCATCGTAGCGTTAATTCCGTCCTCATGATTAATAAAGCATCCTTCTTCTCCGCGTCTCATCCTCTCCTCTCATATCCATGCTGAACTGAGCGCCCGCCCAACGACTACCTGCATATCATCCATCATTATTGATTATTGATTATTACCAGGGGTCAGTCGTCCTTTGCTTGCCTGCCTTTGCAACTTACCCTGTTTGTTCATTTTCTTGCCAACCGATTTTGTCTATTTTGCCCTCCCCCGCCTCTGATCCGCCTCACCACTTTCTCCTCCTCCTCCTCCTCCTCTCCTGCTCCCGCTCCTTCTACTCCTCCTCCTCCCCTTCTTTTTTTTTCAGCCGACCATCCATCATCTTGTCCTCTTGTGGCTTTGAATCGATACGGTCTTGTTGGACGCGCCGGTATCACCAACCTCTTACATGTATTTCTATTGTACCTTGATTGTGCAAGTCACCGCCACGCGCACACACAGGACACAGAGACATAACAAGCACCTTCAGGATTGAACGAGGGCCAAAGGCTTACGAGTCGCATCGCATCGGTCCGGTGCTCTCGGCTCGGCATCCAGCGCACACAACACATTCAGTGTCCAATACATACATACCTGCCTACCTACCTACCTACTTTTTTACCTACCTACCTACATACATACATACATACATATCCACCTGCATGTCCGCCCTCCCAGCCTGCTTTCTGCTTTACTTTGCCCTTCTTTGTTGCTCCTTGCTCCTCACTCACTGCCGCCCGCCTTTTCACTTATTACTCGCAAAGGAAGGCCTGGTTTATTACCAACGAACCTTGTCCTTCCTTTTGCTTGACTAAAAGGGCCTCACCAAAACCCAGTTTATTGCCCAGCTATTTCATTAGCTTTTCGATTTATTTTACCCCAAGCCCAGCCTCGGAAAAAGCAGCACTTTCTCTTTCTTTCTGCTCCAGAAAAAAAACAACTCTCTCCTGCGCAGCCTGGCCTGGCTCGCCCGCCTGATCGCTCCTCGCCTCGTCTGTCCCTTCCGCCTTTGACTTTGCTCATCTGTGCCTACCTGCCCATCATACCCCGGCTACCCCGTCTTGAGTTTGGCCTCAACCGGTCTCGACTTGGGCGGACCGGACCTGGCGTGACTTGTGTCATTCATCACCACCATCATCTGCACCAGCACCTTTAACTTCGACAATATATTATCTCGCCATTTTCCGCCTCTTAATCCCTCCATCTTCCTCCCTCTACTTTTGTCCTAGAATACCTCGCCCGCCCGCACTCTCGCCCATCCAAGCTGCCCAACGACCTACTCCCGAATCCAGCCACACGCGCCCTCTCCGTCGGTGATCAAGGCATCATGTCCCGGCCCCCGGGGCAATGGCATCCGCCGTGGCGACCGCAGCTTCAGAATCTACCCTACATGGCGCCTAGCTCGGTTCCGCATGTTCCGCATCAAATAGAACCCTTTCCAGCTCATTTCTTGGGGTCAGGACCGAGCCTCAACGTCTTCCCTACCCAGTATGCCAACACGGGTCCTCCTTCTCCTCTTCCTCCTCTTCCTCCTCCTGCTGCCTCAGTTCCGCATCAGCTCCAGCCTCATCCGGCTCATTTATCAGGGGTCTTCTCAGGGTCTTTCTCGGCGCCTTTCCCAGCGCCCTTCCCAGCGCCCTTCCCAGCGCCTTTCCCAGGTTCAGGGCCGGGCCTCGATGCCTATCCCGCTCAGTATACCTCCTCAGGTCGAGTCGCACCCTCCGACATTCCCCAGGCACAGTACGGTTTTGTGCAGCAAACTGCTCCAGGAATCACGCCCACGTTGCAGCCAATCCTACCACACATATACCCATTCCCAAACCCAGGGTCGTTTGTTTCTCAAGCAGATCGGTATTCGACACAGCCACAGCACGGCACCCATCTCTATCGACATACACAGCAGAACGTCCAAAGACGCAATCAGCCTGCACGGAACCGACGACCAGCCTTTTCCAGAGCTACCGCCTCAGAAAGCCGCACTTCCCGGGCAACAGACGCTTCCGAAGACACTAGAAGAAGAAGGGCAACAACAGCCCATTCTGCGCTGGTTGGGTCGTTGAAGAAGCTGTTGGCAAATTCTTGCGAGCCGGTCAGTATAAAGAGTCTACCGGAAGACGAGCGGGGTGAGTAAATCCAATCCAACAGTCCCCTGCCACCTTGCTAATTCCTCAAGTTTGCGTCATTTGCTACAATGAATTTGGGACAGAAACGCCCGACGGACTGACCGAGAATCCTCTAAGGCTTTCCAAGTGCAAACACGTTTTCGGCGACCACTGCTTATTTCAGTGGTTTAAAAAGAAAAAGACATGTCCTTATTGTCGAGATGATCTTGGGCCAACCCGAAATCCTTCCTCCACCCGGGCGTTTATTGGTATTATGCGGATAGGGGAGGCATACACAACAAATCTGGCTGAAGATATGTACCAGCGAGACCCTCCAAACCTGATACGCGTTTCTCGCCCCAGTAGTGCTGGGTATGCGTAAGCGGGTTCTCTTTTCAATCTACAAGGCGGAGCGTTTTCATGTACCATGTCAATTATAGAAGCCAGCGTATCATAGCGTCCCAGACAGCGTGAATTCAAAGTTTTTCTTGTTCAACTGCGTGGGACTAAGATACATGCGAGTCAAAAACGAAAAGGACATGTAGGGTAGCATGTGGAGAAGGTGCGCCACATCGACCAACAGTGGAATTCTCCGGCCAAAGGAATGCCGCGGTTTGAAGAACGAGGGGGACCCAAGGCAATAAAGGAGCCATGGTATACATCGCTTTGTATGTATTGTCATTATCTCTGGCCAAGTCGGTGCAGCAGCTTTGTACGGCTACTATTCCGTACGCTTGTCGTTGAAGCTGCACAGCGCGTGCCATGTTTATTATGCCAACCCTTCTGGGCTGACGTTGACGAGGCAGCCAGCATAAGCTGGCCCCATCCTTGTGGCGTGGCTTGACAGTATGTTGTACCTCCACAAACCATTAATATGTAGAGGTACATCGGGGCACGAAACAAAGCTGGGTGGTGGTGCCACAACAGCTGTGGCGCTACGACCAGAGCAGAAGTAGCGTGGTGCTGCTATAAATAGGCGAGTTGCAGCCACGTCTATCGATATGATGGGGATAGTATGAAGTCTAAGAAGTAGTGATGTTGCCTGAAAAGAAAGAAAATATGTCGTTAAACAGTTAGAACCCTAATTTATCTCACAACCGATGCTGAAGCAGCTTAGACCGACGTCCATGTAGCGGTCTGAACAAGATGGAGGACCTGGTTGGGTTAGCAACCCCACTACTCCATGCATTGTATATATTGTGTGCCCATTGTTCAATGGCAGCTAGCAAAAAGATTCCCGAGAGCAGAAGCAAATGCTCAATGGGCAGTCAAAAGACGTGAAATTTTGTAAGAAAAGATTTATCTACAACAGGTCATAGTCACCTTACAGCCTACCTTTCAAGATCTACTAAAGCGGCCACCCAAATGACCTACCTGCAGCGGCTCTAGCGTCATCCCCAGCCACCGCACCTTTGTAGCGGAGCGGCTCGGGTCGAATGGGTCCGCCAGTGCTAACTTTCAGCGGTCTACGAATTACAGCGGCAGGTATAACGCTCTGGTTCCTCTGCAACCCATCAGGCCCCCATTTTCTCCAAAGAAACCTTGTAAGTCCTCTCCTGTGCATAGGCCTCTCTCCCAAAATCAAAACATTTCATCCTCATCTTTTTTCCCCCAGAATTTATCGAGATCGGGAGATATAGAGCATCTTCATCATCTGATACCCCCAATGGTTTGATCCTCTTTGCGTTTCCGTCCACGCATTGAATAGACCCGCCTGGGAACACAGCAGCACCACAAACAGCACGCATACCCAGCACAAGGCTGTTCTCTCGACACCATGCCGCGGGAGACGAGTCGTCAAAGTCGTGACGACCACGACAGGCGCAAAGCGGACCGCGAGCGAGATCGAGACCATGACCGTCGCCGCGACCGAGATACTCGTGTGAGCGACCGACGTAGAGAGAGCGACAGCGACAACCGTACCCGCGCCGCCGACTTCACCTCGATGCCCAACCCGACATCTTTCACAAGCATGCCCTTTGCGGCGGCCACGGCACCACCGCAGTTCTCCTCCCCCCAGATCCAGTACACCGCCGGCGCGGACAACGGCAGCAGCCAGAGACGACGAGCTCCGTCCAGCTCCAGCTCTGGCAGCTCCACCGCCTCCTCGCTCCTCGACATCTCCAGACACTACCCGCAGAGCCGCTACGGTGGCTTCTTCGGCACCTTCTTCAAAGCGCCCTCTGAGCGCCGCCGGCGCAGGCGCAGCTTCGCTCGCGCTTCTAAGCGGCGCACTTTCTACTTTGGCGGCGGCGGTGGCAGCGGCGGCGGCAACACGTCGTCGTCGTCTGTCAACTCTGACCTCGCCTACGGGCATGGATACATTTCCAAGCTGCGGCGCCGTCGCAGCTCCGCTGGCAGCAACAGCTTTCGCCACGGTGGCGGCAGGGCGACCGGGGACGTGACGGACAGCGCGCCGCGGCGACCAGACGGTCCCATGCGCGGCAAGACGGACGAGGAGATTCTCGAGATTGGAAGGCAGCTGTCGGACCTGGCGCGCAAGCAGAACAAGCACGACTTGAAGACGGCGGGCTACGTCAAGCCGACGATGCTGGCGGCCGCGGCGGCTGGACTGGGAAAGTACCGCAAGAGTCGCAAGGAGGCGCAGGCGCGCGGCGCTCGTGGCGTCGGCGGCTCGAGGATCCACGGCGCGTCGAGCGAGGAGTCGGACTGGGAGGACGCTTCGGACGACGAGGAGGAGAGCGACGGCGCGGACTCGGTTCTTGCGTACGGCTCGGTTGTATCCTCCGTCGTGCGGCCCAACATGGCCAGCGGTTCCTCCAGCCACCGCTTCGGCCCCTACGCTGCAGGAGCGGGAGCTGCTCCTGCTGCGGCTGCTGCGGCGGCTCTTGCCGATCCGGAGAGGCGAGGTTCGGTCGTCGATCCCCGCCTGTTTGGCCCCGTCAACTCGCTGCGCGGCATGATCAACACCCCCTGCGGCTTCGGCCAGGAACCGCACGCATCGGCGCCCGGCCCAAGCCCGTGCCAGTCCACCCCCAACACATATCAGACGACCGCGGACGCCCGTAGATACCCAGCTCCGCCTTCCGAGGTATCGGTGGATGGGCGGCGGCCCATGCGGGAGGTCTTCCCCATGCCCACGTCGGACCCGGGCGTGTTCGACGCCGACCTCGCCGCCTCGCAGGAGCTGCCGCGGCGCGCGCGCACATCTACCGTGCCCCTGGAGCAGCCCATCCCCAAGCTCCCGGTGTCGTCCAAGGTGTACGAGGCGGAGAAGTTTGAGGATGCTGGGCGGCGGCATCAGCGCGACGCAGCGCCTCGACACGACAGCTCGACGGCCGGGTTCGCGGCCGCCGCTGCGCTCGGGGCCGTGGGCGTGGCTGCGCTGGCGTCTGATCGTAAGGAGAAGAAGAGTGCGCGCGAGTACGAACGCGAGCGTGAGCGTGACAAAGGGCACGAACGAGACCGTGCACGTGAAAAGGACCGCGACAAAGATCGACGGGATCGGGATCGCGATTCGAAGCGTCGAGACAAGGACTCGGAGAAGGAAAAGGACAGCAAAAAGTCGAAGCGCGACTCGTACTCCTCATCCAAACATGACGACAAGGAGCACAAGCGCCATTCTAGATACGAGAATGAGGAGACGCCCCGCAAACGACGCGAAACTGAGGCCGATTACTACGCCGACTCGCCCTCGTCATCCCGCAAGGACCGAAGCAAGCGGGGTGGCGATGACGCCCACGACGAACTCTACCGCTCCTCCAAGCGAGACAGCAAATCACACACCAGCCGCGACGATCGTAAGGAGGAGAAGGGAAAGTCTGTCCTCGGCAAATATGATTTCGGATACAGCCAGGACGATCGCAAGGAGGACAAGGGAAAGTCTATCGACAAATATCAGTTCGGCTACAACCAGGACGATCGCAAGGAGGATAAGGGAAAGTCTGTCGACAGCCATGATTTCGGCTACAACCAGGGTCCCTTGAGGTCAAAAGCCGATCCTTTTCTTTACCAGGTTGCCGACGGCGCCTTCTCAACGACCGATCTGGCTGCTCCGGCGGCCCCTCCTGGTCGCCCCTTGACGCCTAATATTGTTACCATCGATCGTGAGCCAAACTTTGATGACTACGAGCCCTACCAGCCCTACGAACCATACGAGCCACTAGGGGCGCCGCAGGGGAGACTAAGCCGAAGAGACTCGTTCGAGATGGAGGAGCGAGCCCACGACCCGCAAGACCAGGCCAAGCGCCGAGACCGTGACTCCCACGTCTACGAGGAAGGGGAGCATGAAGCACGCAACATCTACGATCAAGCAAAACACGCTACCATTCCTGTAGCTGCGGCTGCGGTAGCCTCAGCCATCGCGGTGGAGGCTGAGCGGTCTCGCGAACGTCGCCGAGACCGCTATGACGAGGAAGGCTCCCGAGATCGCAAGTACTCGAAGAGAGACACCGTCCAGGAGGAGGCGGACAGGTATTATAGAGAGTCCGTGATTGCCAGAAAGATTGAAGAGGAGCAGATGCGCAGCGAGACGCCCGAGAACGATGACGCCCGCCAAGTCCGAATCGTCACCCCTCCCGAGATGCACGAGCAGCAAAAGACGGTCGGCCCATACGACGCGCCCAACGCCGACGTGCGCATCGACAACCAGCTCTTCCCGACGGAAGCTAGTAAGTATGAGAAGAAGAATGGTAAGCGCAAGTCCAACTTTCAGTCGCGCGACCCATCCTGCGAGCGAGACCGGCCCGTCCTGAATCTCGTCTTCCCCACGCCTCTCCCTAGCCGGGAACCGACTCCCAAGGTGGAGAAGCAAGTGCAGAGGGACCAGAAGCAGCAGAACCCCCCCGAGACGCAGGCAAAGTCCTCTGACCCGTCTCCAGAAGTTGTTATCGGGCCGAGAGGTGACCTCGTAAAGGTTGAGCCGTCAAACAAGTCCGTCTCCTGGGGCGAAAACTCGACCAAGAGCTTCGAGGTAGAGAGCGCTGATGGTAGGAGCGATGCGGAGAAGGAAAAGGTTGTCGAGGTACCGGCGGAGAAGCCGAGGGCACGTCTGAGCAGGGCGAGCCCCTGGGGCATCATTGCGGCGGCCGTGACTGGTAGCAGCAGCGAACCTTCTGGCGAGCCTGACACCGTTACCAAGCGGGTGTCTACTGATGTGCGTGACATCAGCGCCGCAGGTCCTGAGCAAGTTTATACTGTTGAGACGCCTGACCAGCCCCCGGTTCCGGGACCGAAGCCTACTAGCCCGACCAGAAATACCCTCCCCGGATCATTTGCCGATGACATTGAATTTGCGGCCACGCTCGCCGCCGGACTCAAGGATACCGGTTTCGATTCCAACATTGTCGTTGATGACCCGACATACCGACGACGCGACTCGCCCCCCGGTACGAGGGAGGCGGATGGAGACGAATGGAACCACAGATCCATGTCCGACATTGTCATGGACATTGCCGGCAAAAAAGACCACAATCGTTCTGTCGTGTCGGAACCCGCTGGCATTGTGCGCGATCAACCAACTAACGGTAACAGCAGCAGCAACGGCGGCGACGAGTGGGAGGCGCCGAAGAAGCTGAGCAAAAAGGACAAGAAGAAGCTCAAGCACCAGTCGTTGGATCTAGGCGAACCCAGCACGCCCACTGACACCAGCCCCGCTCCAGAGTCGACCGTGACGCCCACGTTTGAGGATGCTGCTGAGGACTTGTCCAAGCTTTCCAAGAAGGAGCAGAAGCGACGCGAGAAGCAGGCCAAGGCACTGGCTCTCCTCGAAGGCGAAGGCCGTGAGCCCCAGCCTGAGCCTGAGATTGTTGAGCGATCCCTGCCGACGACTGAAGGTTCTGCTGCAGACACGTGGGAAGAGTCATCAAGCAAGAAGGAGAAGAAGAAGAAGAGCCGCAAGAGTCAAGATGCAGCTCCTGACGACCTCGTCACGGTCCCCAGCAACGCCTTTGATGACTTGACATCCCTGCGAAAGGTGGACAAGGACGACATTGGATCCACCGGTGTTGACGACTGGGACACACCGTCGAAGTCGAAGCGGAAACCAAAGTCTGATCGCGATGACGACCGTCCACGCTCCGTCGTCGCCGAGTCTGAAGTTTCGACCTCGAGCAAGAAGAGCAGCAAGTCCAAGAGGCGAAGCGGTACAGAAGGTGACTTGGATGGTTACGGCAGCGATGCGAGCAAGAAGAGCAGCAAATCGAAGCGTCGCAGCATCGTGGAAGGCGACGAGTTGTATGGAAGTGACACGGCCAAGAAGAGTAGCAAGTCCAAGCACCGTGATCGCGACGACGGCTACGCAAGTGACACGACCAAGAAGAGCAGCAAGTCTAAGCACCGCGATGGCGATGATGAATACGGGAGCGACTTCAGCAGGAGAAGCAGCAAGTCGAAGCGCCGCAGTGGCACAGAGGGTGACTTTGACGACGGTAGTGATATCCCCAGCCGGAGACGCAGCATGTTTGACGACCGTGACGTCTCGTCCGTGGTTTCTGAAGCCCGTGGAGATGGCCGCCGCCGTGAACGTGAAAAGGATAGAGATCGCGACCGGGACCGAGACAGGGGCGAGCGCAGCAGCAGCAAGCGCTCGTCTCGCAGGTACGACGACGACGACGACGACGCCCGCTCCGTCGTGTCCGTCGCCTCGGCCCCCGGCGGCGCCTCCCGCAAGAGCAAGGAGGGCAAGCGCTCCAGTGGCCTGTTTGCGAGCATCTTCAAGAGGGACGACGATAAGAAGGAGAAGGAGTCGTCTTTTTTAGATAATGCCGGCACCCTTGGCGCGGGTGTCGGCTTGGCGAGCGCTGCGGCGATTGTTGCTGCCAGCGCGTCTCGCTCCCATGCCACTGACCGCTCCTCCTCCGAGGCTCTTCCCGACACTGCCAACGACGGTGCCTCGCGAGTCGAATCTCACGACTACGATACCTTTGACCCGGAGATTGCCCCTCGTGCGATAAAGCCCGCCATCGATCCGCAGTACGGCGACCTGCTCCCTCTCCCGCCGAGTGAACCTGGCAGCCCGAGATCAGAGCCCGGTGAACTCCCGGCCCTGCCAGATAGCCGACCCAACACCCCTCCTGAGGGACACGACATGAGGCGGGATCAGCTCTCGCACCGTCGCCGACGAAGCACCCAGGAGACTCCCTCCAAGTCGCCCAGCAACACGGCCATTCCCATCTCGCTGCGTCTCGGCCAGCGGACGCCCCTCAGCCCCAGCTCTGCCTTCAAGTCTCCTCCGCCCCCCGCTACTGCTCAAGCTGGCACCGCGCCAGACTCGGCGTCCAAGCGCGCGTCTCGCGGCACGTCCTGGGACAGCAGTCGGGAGATCAAGCCCCTCTACCTCCTCGAGCACTCCCGCCACGGGTCCGTCGAGGCGACGCTCGCCAAGCAGGAAGATCTCCCGGCCCTTCCACCTTCCCAGTCTGCCTCGGAGCTTTCCTTTACCGAGGACGGCGGCGTCTCCCGCGCCGAGCTGGCCTCTTCGGGCCTCCACATTGACACCCAAGACTTGCCGCAGCACGGCGGAGGCTCGCAGGAGACGACGCCCAAGGCCGAGTTCAAGCCCGCGCTGCCGTTCCACGATGCCACCGCTGCAGATCCTGATGCGGTCGACTCTATGTCCAAGGATCGAAGCTCCTACCTCCTCGACTCCACGCCGTCGTCGAGCTCCGCACCACCGGACGGCGGCGAGGTTCTCCCCCTGCCGGACGTTGCGGAGGACTTGACGTCGGCGGACGAGCGGTTCGAAGACGCGCTTGATGTGCAGTCGCGTCGCTGGTCGGAAGATTCGGCTGCGGTGACGATGCAGGACGCTCAAGCACACCCGCAGCACGAGCAGCAGGCCCCTGAGCTGCTGACGATGGAAGCTGAGGCATCCGCCGCTCCGTCACTGCCAGCAGGAGCTTCTGAGCCATCGCCAGCAGAAGCCCCCGAGCCCGAGGAGAGGGCCGGGCGGAGCGTCAAGCAGAAAAAGAAGCTCCGCAAGGCTAAGAAGAACCAGCCGCTGGAGCTTGGCGAGCCTGCCTCAGCTGAGCCCGTCTCTGAACCCGTCTCTGAACCCGTCTCTGAACCCGTCTCTGAACCCGTCCCTGAACCCGTCCCTGAACCTGTCTCTGAGCCCATCTCTGAGCCTGCCCCTGAGCCTGCCCCTAAGCTCGCATCGACATCTGAGCCAGCACCGGACCGCGAGCTTGCACCTGTTGAACAGCCAATCCCGGAGCCAGCGCCTCAATCTGCTACTGAACCTGAAGATGAGTTTGCTGGGCTGAGTGCTAAGCAGAGGAAGAAGCCGAGAAAGGCTAAGAAGAGCCAGTCGCTGGAGCTTAGTGAGCCTGTTTCAGCTGAGCTTGCCTCCGAGCCCGCTTCCGACTCTGCACCAAAATCTGAACCGGCACTGGAGCGGGAGCTTGCGCCTGTTGAAGAGACGGCCCCGGAACCAACCCCCGAACTTGCTCCCGAACCTGCTCCCGAACCTGCTCCCGAACCTGCACTCGAGCCTGCACCTTTCGTTGAAGTACCTGTTCCCGAGCCCGAGACCGCACCTGAATCTGCCCTTGAGCCTACACCCGAACCCGCCTTTGTTGTTGAGGAGCCTGCCCCTTCTGTGGCTGATGTTTCCAACATTTCGGAGGATCTTGAAAAGACACCCACTCAAGCTGACGCCTTCCAAGAACCCAAGAAAGGGAAGAAGGGCAAGAAGAACAAGAAGAAGCCACAGTCTTGGGAAGATGATGTTTTGGAAGCTGCTCCAATTGTTGCCGGCGCTGCCGCCCTTGCCGGAGCTGCTTCCCTAGTCACCGAAGTCACCGCCGATAAGGAGTCTGCCACCGAGTCCAAGTCTGGGGTCGAACTGCCATCATCTACCGACGCCGCTGCCAGCTCACCCGCCGATGCCCAGGATGTGTCTACCGAAGCCAAGGACCTTAAAGCTGAGCCGAAGTTGGAGCAAGCGAAGTCTGTTGCAACAGAGGATTTCGCAGCTGCAGTTCCGACTGACGCAGAGGCCTCTCTCGATGCACAGCCGGTTGGAGGGGGTCAGGACACTGGTGCAGATGGCGAGGATGAGTGGTCAACTCCTTCTACTTCTAAGAATGACAAGAAAAAGAAGAATAAGAAGAAGAAGAAGTCCCTGGTGCTAGTTGATATTCCTGCCGCGCCCGAGCCATTGAAGGAGGCTGTGGAAGAAACGCCCGTCATGGTCGAGAAGTCCGAGGAAACACCCACTGAACCGGAGCCAGCAGTAGAGGCAACGCAAAAACCTCTTGCCGCACCAGAAACTCAAGCAGAAGTTGTTGCAGATGCACCAGTTGAGGAAATCATGTCAACCAAAGACGAATTTAGCGCTGAACCGCAGCCCGAGAACATTGCCGACACCCCTGCGGATGCCGAGGGATCGACACCTTCGAGTTATGACAAAGACAAGAAGAAGAAAAAGAGCAAGAAGAAGAAGTCCCTTCTGCTTGACGAAGCCCCTCCTGAGCTGCATGCGGAGCCGGAAGCTCTGCAAGAGACCCCCATCGTCCCAGAATCGTCGGTCAAGGACCTCGCTGCCGAGGAAGCCTCTACGACAGATCCCGAACAAGCCCAGCTTGAGGTCTCAGCCGAGGGCCAAACTGAACCTGCGGATACCACTGCCGAAGCAGATTATTCCTCACAAGCCCCCGCCACGTCGAAGAAAGACAAGAAAAAGAAAAAGAAGCAGGATTCTGTCGTTCTCGATGATACTGTGCCCCCTACGAATGACCAGACTCCAAGCGCGCTAGATCTTGAACCGGGTGAGCCTGTCTCGAACAAGGACGCCGTAGTCGAAGAAACATCTGAGGAGAGTGCTGTCCCTGACCAGCAGAAGGAACTAGAATCTGTTGTCAAACCTGAAGATGAGTTTCCGGCTGTCACAAAGGACAAGAAGAAAAAGAAGAAGGACAAACGCAAATCCGTGCAGTTCGAAGCCACGCCAGACGTTGTCTCTCTTCCACCTCAAGAGGAACAGCCCGCTCCCGAAACCGATCAACTAGAGACTAGAGACGTTCGAGACGATTCGGCGGCCGCAACTCTCCAGCCGCAGGATACGATCTTGTCTACGCAAGAGTTCATCTTTGACGAAACCGATCAGCAGCTTGGCAGCGCTAGCACTACGCAGACAGACAGCCAGCCTCCTTCCGATGGGTGGGATGATGCTCCTGTCTCCAAGAAAAAAGGCAAGAAGAATAAGAAGAACCAGAAGGGTGCAACTGAGGACTCTTCCACCCCCGAGAAGGATGCTGTCGACTTTGCCAAACCTATGGACTTTGGCGATGTCGTTCTAGCCGCCACTGCCGCCGAATCTGACAAAAAGCTCGAACTCACCGATGAGCTTCCTGCCGAGGCCGACAAGTCTCTGGATTCCTCTGATGCCACTGCTGCTGCTGAACAGACCAAGAACAAGGCGGAAGTGGAATCAGAGGATGAATGGGGCAGACTCATCACAGGGAACAAAGCCACGGAACCCAAAGATGATACTATCGTTGCTTCTCATCTAACGGAAGAGCCTGAAACGATCATCGACGTTTCTGACAAGCAAACTGAGGCATTGGAGCCGGAAGCCATGACAGAATCACTGGCTCAAACGGAGCCGCCTGCGGAGGAATGGCCGGTAGCGACTGGCAAGAAAGGGAAGAAGGGGAAGAAGAACAAGAAATCAGCCTCTTCAACCCCTCCGGAGATACTTCCCCCTCAGCTAGATACCGTCGACCCTACTAAGACGGAAACACCTGTTGAGACCGCTCCTGAACCTGAGCCGGAGAGTTCTCCCCAGTCTATCGATGCCGCCGAGGCAGAATCGTTGCGTGATACGACTGATGCTGAGCCAGTTGCGGCTGATGTAGAGCCAGTTGAACCTGTTGCCGAGGAGCTGGCCACTGAAACCCCTCCCGAGCCTACGGCTGATGACGCTGTTTCTCCCCTACCTACGAAGCTGTCTAAGAAGGATAAGAAAAAGAAGAAGAAGCTGGCAGCTTTTGAGGCAGTCGGCGATGATGCCCCCAAAGACGTTTATGAGGCTGAGGCCGCGGCAAGTGCTGACAAGACATCCGAGCAGCCATTGGAGCAGCCGTTGGACGATGCCGCTGAAGTTGCAAAAGTGGTCAGCGTCGAGCCGGCCACTTCAGTTGCCGAGGTTCCCGAACCACCCCCTGAGCCAGAGTCTGCCCCAGCGCAACAAGAAGAGACAACCCCTGATGACGAATGGGGCAAATTGGCGAGAAAGCCTTCTAAAAAGGACAAGAAGAAGAAGAAGAAGCAAGCTTCCGTCGACGAGCCCAAAATTGAGCCCACTGAATCTCTTCCGTCAACTGAGCCTATTGAGTCAACTGCATCTGAAGATAAGGAGGCTCAGCCCGAGAATGTGATTGCAGCTGCCCTGTCACCCGAACCCGAGCCACAGTCTGCTGAACCCGGACATTCGACGCCCGATGAGTCCTTTGATGGTTTCTCCGCCAAAGAATCGAAGAAGGACAAGAAGAAGAAAATGACCAAGCAAGCAGCCTTTGAGATTGCCGAAGTGGAAGCCATAGAATCAACAGGTCCTGTTCCCAAGCCCCAGCCGGAAGCCAAGGAAGTTGACTCTGCGTCGTTGGACTACCAAAGCGGCGTAGAGGCGTCTCAGGGAGAGCACCAGCCGAGTGAAGAACCCATGTTGGAAGCGGATGCGGCTCCATTTACAGATGATGCTGCACAGGCTGAGCCTGAGCCGGTTTCTAATGAAGCCGAGCCTGAGAGCCTCTCACAGCCAGCCGCCGCCGCCGAGCCCGAAGATGAGTCGGCTGGCCTATCAAGGAAGCTCTCCAAGAAGGAAAAGAAGGCGAAGAAAAAGGCCAAGGCTGAGGCTACTGCGCTGGACGTGACCCCTACTGAAGACACCACGGTTGCGAAGACAGAAGCGCAACCCGCTGATGCGATTTCGACCGACTTAACGAAGGAGCCTGCTGAAGCGAAAGAGCCCTCCCCCGAGACTTCAGCACTGGAGTCCATGACAGAAACTGATTCAGGTGCCTGTACGACAAAGCCATCGAAGAAAGACAAAAAGAAGAAGAGACTATCGATGAGCGAAGTCGTTGAATCATCAGATGCCACGCCTGCCGAGGTCGCTGCTGAGCTTCCGATTGAGCAATCCATCGACACAACCATTGTTCAGGACGCGGATGGAGATAGCAAAGGGCTTGCTGAGCCTTTGGTCGAGTCAACGCCTCAAGAGACTTCGTTGGAAGACCAGCCGGCTACCTTGACTACTGAGTCTCCAAAGCACGACACGGGGCAGAAGGGACCGACTGGCGAAGCTGCGGTGCTGCCTGAAGAAACTCCCCAGCACCCTTTGGATGAGATACCTGCTGAACCTGTCACAAGCGTCACGGTGCCTAAGACTGACATTCTTTTATCCGAAGCAACGCCCGAACCCACCGCTGCCGAAGTTGTTATTCCTGAGGCAGTTTCCGAGACGCCAGCCAAGGAGGTGGAGGCTGGAGAAGAATGGGCCAATTCAACTTTGATATCTTCTAAAAAGGACAAGAAGAAGAACAAAAAGAAGAAGTCCAAGAGCGACACCACGCCGCCGTCCGAGGAAAATAGCACCTCGCCCGTTGCCGAGTCTCAAGAGATCGTCGGTCCCTCTGGCACGGATGAGTCTCCCGAGGCTCCCGTTGAGCTTGCTCCTGAGCCTGCCATTGAGAGTCCACCTGAACCTGTCGTTGAGCCTGCTCCTGAACCTGTCGTTGAGCTCGCACCCGAACCTATCGTTGAGCCTGCCCCTGAGGCACCAATCGAGGCAGCTGATGCCGCAGACCCAACTTTAGACGATGACTTCGGCTTTCCGAACAAAACTTCTAAAAAGGACAAGAAAAAGAAGAGAAAGTCTGTGGCTGAAGTGCTCGAGCCGACTCCCCAAGCTCCAACAGAGACGACAGGAGAACCACCCCTGGAGCCGGCCACCGAAACCAGTCGCGAAGTCGAGATCAAAGATGAAGCCCCTGAGACTCCCAAAGAACCAGCCGCCAAGGAGGCTGAGCTGGAGGATGACCGGATAACACGTCTTTCTAACAAGCAGAAGAAGAAGTTGAAGAAGGCCGGTCTGGCTGCTGCGGCTCTTGGGGCTGCTGCAGGTGCCGTTGGAGCCAGCACATTGATCGAGGAAACTCCAGAAGCTGCGACGGAGCCAGAGCCAATTCAAAAACTCAAGGAGGATGTCAAGCAAGGCGAGGTCGAAACCACCCCGGTTTCCGATGCTACCGAGGCTGAAGCAAGTGAGTGGGATACAAAACCCATGTCCAAGAAGGATAAAAAGAAGGCCAAGAAACTGGGCCTTTCAGTATTCGACATCCCTGAGCCTGCGCCAATAATAGAGGAAACTGCAGCTCTGGAGCCAATCATCGAAGAAGCTGCTGCTGAGACTGCGACCCCCGAGCCAACCAAGTCTTCGTGGGCAGATGAGATGGACGATAGCTTCCCTCCAGCTACCAAAGCTGAAGCAATTGGGGAGGACACCAAAGCCGCTGACGAGACTGGCGAGGCTCCAATTTCGAGAAAGAAGTCAAAGAAAGACAAGAAGCGACAGTCTACTCTTGAGACCGCCAGCCCACCGCCCTTGAAGACAATTGTCGAGTCTGCGCCTGCCGAGGGACTAGTGACAGCAGAGCCTGTCGTCGAGACGTCCGTACCTGCAGAGGCCCAGACGCCCGCCGTTGAGGATGAACGGGCCTTGCTGACGAAGAAGGGCAAGAAGGGCAAGAAAGGAAAGCAACAAGCCACTCTGGATGTGGAACCGGAACCTGTTCCCGCAGAGCAGCCCGCAGCTGCCGAGCCCGAAGCTGCTGTCCAGGATGCTTCCGCCGCTGAGACAACGCGAACCATAGAGGCTACTTCCGAGTCTGCTACCCCTGCTGAGGCTGACGCCGAGGACAATTGGGCTTTGCCCGCCAAGAAGAAGAAGGGGAAGAAGAGCAAGTCTACCTCTCCAGCGGATTATCAAGTTGTCGGGGAGAAGACCATTCCTGAGCCTGTCTCTGAGCCTGTTCCCGAGCCTGCTGTCGGTCCTGTTGTTGAACCGACTGTTGAGCCCGTTCCTGAGCCTGTTCTCAAGCTTGTCCCTGAGCCTGCGGTCGAGCCTGCAGTCGATTCTGCAGTCGATTCTGCAGTCGAGCCCGTTCCCGAGCCCGTCTCTGAGCCTGCTGCCGATCCTGCGTCTGAGCCCACAGCTGGGTCCGGGATAGCACCCGAACCTGCCGTGCTGCCTGCGGAGGAAACCATAGACAAAGCTATCTTTGACTCTGGGACAACAACGACTGCCGAAGCGGACGATGAGGGGCCCCAGCCTCCGAAGAAAAAGGGCAAGAAGAACAAGAAGAACAAGTCAATCTCGCTTGCTGACCTGGAGGAGACTGAGGGGAAAGGAATTTCTGAACCAGCGACGGACAACAGTCCATTCGCGTCTCAATCTGAACCGACACCCGCAACAGACATTGATCCGGCAACAACTGCCAAGAAGGGCAAGGGAAAGAAAGCCAAGAAAATGTCCTTTTCAGCCTGGGAAGATTCAGTTGCTGAGTCACCAAGCTCAGAGGCACCAATGGAGGTAGAAAGTGTCCCGTCCGCCGTCCCCATTACCGAAAATACGACAGCCTTCGTGGAAGAGCCTGCCGCTATGTCCGACGCCGAGGTACGAGGCGATGATAACTGGGCTGTGCCAGCCAAGAAGAAATCAAAGAAGGACAAGAAGCGCCAGTCTGCCCAAGAAAACACCTCTATCACCAAGGCTACATCGGGACTGGACAAGGACATTTGGGGTGATGACAAACTTTTGACGGCTGAGAAGTCTAGACGAGCTGATGCGATTACGACTGGTGATGAGAAGCAAGAAAGGCGATATGATGAAGCGGTTAGTGTTGGTGATGTCGAAAGAGACGATTTACCCGATGTTGAAATGACAAGGTCTGTTGACGATAAGTTCAGCAGCTCTGATAGCAAGATGACGACGACAGAACGCTCCAAATCGACCGGTAGTGGCAAGGGGAAAGCCAGTCGTAACTCACTCGCGGCAGTGGGAGCGGCGGCGGCAATTACCGGTGGTGTAGCGGCTCTGGCGCAGATGTATGGGGGAAGCAAGAAAAAGAAGGGGAAGAAGTCTAAGATTGTTGATAAGAGACAGCCGCAGGAGGATGACATGTTTGACGATCCTGCTCTGTGGGAGGGAGCAGACAAGAAGAATGTTGCAGAAGAACAGAGAGACGAGGTTGTGGATGATGGAGTTGACGAGTTCTGGGGCCCGAGCCGACCAGACCCCGGTCCAAGCGTGGCACCACATACATCGGCTGGCACCAGTTACACTGAATCTGGTGACGAATGGAAAGAAACTGCAAGGCAAGGTGTGCCGGTGAATGATGGGTTTGTTGAGAGCCCCATCCTGGGGCTCAATGAGACCTCATTGCCACAGTCTACGTCTGCTGGTCTACTTCGGCGTGATTCCAAATTGGAGGAGCCTGTTGGGGGATTATTCGAAGAAGCACCTCGTGGGATTTCGTCAAGCCAACTATTTGCGGACCCGAGCGAGCTACGATCTTCGCCCACCAGAGGACTGCCTGTAGTCCAGGAACACCCCGAAGCCGAAAAAGCGGCCGCCACTGGCGAGGTCTGGCTGGTAGATCAACCCAACCGCGACAGCGGCTTCGTCCCAGAGTCTCCTCCGCGGCGCCGAAGTCCGAACCTTGTGGACGAAAAAATCCGGGATAGTGGCGTGGATAGTGGTGATTGGCAAGAGTCGACACACATGCAGACACCGGAGGCGCGCAGCCGCGACATCGAGAGACGGCTGGGCCCCTCACCTTTCAATACACCGGTTCTGCAAGAGCCGTCTCGTCATGATGCCTTGCCGCTAATTGCCGACCCTGAGAAGAAGTTACGCCGATCGAACAAGGACTACGGCGGGCTTGCCACAGCGGCAGCCGGTGCGACCATGCTGGCTGCTGGTGCTGCTCATCGCGACCAGGGGTACGACAGTGATCGACGAGCCGTCTCGGATTCGCACGCAGCAACTGGCTCCGGGTCCGCCCTGGGATCTGGACGGGCTGAACCGCGGCGATCTGTGTCTAACACCAGTTTGTCCCGCCAACGGACGCCTGAACCGCTAAAATTGCGGCCTGAGAGCCCAGGCAGCATTTCGGGCCTCCGCTCCACCGCCACACCTACACCGCCACCGCTGAGGCGGGTCGACAAGCGCATGAGCGGAGACCTTCGAGCTCTTCGTCAACAAAACAACTCCACGCCGCCCGTTGCCAACGAGGCTCGTGTCCGCACAAAGGACATGGCCGATGTATACGTGAGTGTCTCTTAATGGATGCGATGCTTTCATTTTATTTAGTTACGATTTTTCATGCCTGATTGTTCCGTCTCTTATTTCTGTTCGTGCTTTCCTTTGTCGTTTGCCTTGGGCTCATTCCCAGCCACTCCCAGCCACCTACACCCAGTACCTTGTCTATACTTGCGACAACTACATGCACGAAGGCAACTAACATTCTCATTACAGGATGGATATGGCGAAGGTCGCTTGGGCTCGCCAAAGTCACCGACAAGACCTCATAGCATGCGCCGTCGCCAGAGTATGCAGGTCCTCGACCTTGAGTCTAGAGTAGAACAGCTCCTCGCCGAGAATCGGTTGCTGACCGAAGCTCGCAACCATGCCGAACAAAACGCCAACAGAAGCGCCACATCTGTTCTCTCCGAGCGCGACGCCGAAATCGATACGCTAAAGCAGTCCCTACAATACCTGCAGAATGAAGTCAATCGCCTGACCGAAGTCAACGAGGGTCTGACCAGCGCCAACGCCGAGCTTGCGAACAAAGACAGCAATCGCTACCCCGGCGTTGCCGTTTATGGCGACGGCACACGCAGCCTAGAAGGGCCGGATGGCGCCTCTATGCAAACTCTAGAAGAAAAAGATGCCGAGATTGCCAGCCTGCGCGAGCAGCTCGAAGCTGCCAAGGAACAAGTTCGTGAGATGCAGCGCCAAATCCTCGCTTCAAAAGCCGGCGATTCCGATTTCCTCAATATTAGGGACGAAGACTACTTTGACAATCGCTGCCAACAACTCTGCTCCCATGTACAGCAATGGGTCTTGCGCTTCTCCAAGTTTTCTGACATGCGCGCCTGCCGCCTAACAAGTGAGATCAATGACGAAAAGACAATCGACCGTCTTGATAATGCTGTCCTAGATGGCTCTGACGTCGATGCCTATCTCAACGACCGAGTCAAGCGACGAGACATCTTCATGTCCATGACCATGAGCATGATTTGGGAATTTGTCTTCACTCGCTATCTGTTTGGCATGGACCGCGAGCAGCGCCAGAAGCTCAAGTCTCTCGAGAAGCTTCTTACGGAGGTTGGCCCGCAAAATGCCGTCCGCCAGTGGCGCGCGGTCACCCTGACGCTTCTCGCCAAGCGCGCTAGCTTCCAGGAACAGCGCGAGCTCGATACCGAAGCCGTGGTCCAGGCCATCTTCCAGACACTCTGCAAGATCTTGCCCCCGCCAAGCAACCTGGAGAGCCAGATCCAATCGCAGCTGCGCCGCGTCATGCGCGAGGCCGTCGACCTCTCGGTCGCGATGCGCACCCAAAGGGCCGAGTACATGATGCTGCCGCCCCTGCAGCCCGAGTATGATGCAGACGGCGAGCTCGCGGCGACGGTGCAGTTCAACGCGTCCATGATGAATGAGCGGAGCCCACAGAATAAGCAGTCCAACGAGGAGATTGAGGCTGGCAACGCAATCGTGCGTGTTGTCCTCTTTCCCCTGGTCGTCAAGAAGGGCGATGATGCTGGCATCGGCGACGATGAGATTGTCGTCTGTCCCGCGCAAGTTCTCATTGCACGCGAGCACGGAAGACGCCATGTGACGCCCTCGAGCGATGCGGGCGGCGCGTCGCTTATCGGTGCCCCCAGTCGCCTCAGCGTGGCCACCGATGCCATGCTCAGCCAGGCCGATGCCTAAATTCGGATCGTGGCATTCATACATACCCGGCTTCTCTCGTCGGCATATTTTATCGGCATTTTTTCTAGCATGTTCTTCTGTTGAGAAACAAATATCTCTTTCGGTGTTCACTGGTACATACGGAATATTGGTGTTGTGCATATACAAAATCATGCAATGGGTCTTATTCTTTTCTGTTTTGGGTTTATGCTGAATATATGCACCTACATATTTTGCATAGAAAAATAACGATGTCGGTAGGACGAGAATACGTGTACTTGGACGTTGATTTTTATAGTTTGGGCTGGGTATGAAGCGATGCTTTGTTTTTTTCTATAATAAGATAGTAATCGTATGATATTTTCCTAAGCTAAGTATCGTGAAAATAGTAACGACACTTAACCGCCATAGTAATGTATAGTACCTCAGGATAGTGTAGGCAAAAGAGGCTTTGGTATTATCATGATGCTACTGAGAATGATTGTCGTGGGGGGCAGTCCGTAGCAGGGTTTGTAATCGCCCCACCTAGATCTCTTCTAAAAAATAGCCCCGAAACTTACTTTGTCTGAAATTCACTTTGTCGTCATTTTGTTGCTGCTGTGGGTATGCTGGGTTCTTTTGTAACTGAGGTGACTAGGTAGGCGTACCTACATAGATACTTGGCACTATGTATTCCCTCCTACCGTTAACATGCACTACATGAGGTGAGTAAGAAAGAGCTCGCTGGGTGAACGTTTAAAGTTATATTCGCCGCCTCGTTTTGGTGTGCTCTGGGAGACCGTACCCTGTGGCAGCCTTACGTTGAAAGAATGGATATTGTTGTCTAGGTGGGTGGGTTGTGTCCTGATCAACTAACCCTATGAACAATAACTGGCTAACCAGCATTAACGGACTGTAATTATACTTTGAAAAGTAGAATTAGCATTTTCGCGAAAAAAAAAAAAAAGATTTGGCATCGCAAGTATAAATAGTAGAGCCACGCTCGCATTCTATACTTCTTGTAATAACACTATCGACTAAATCTCCAACTTGATACTATACCTACAGCCGCTGCAAGCAGCACGTTTACTAGCTTCTAAGAAGCTAAAAGCAAAACAGAACTTATGTACATCTTTTGCCTGGCAGCGCTATGGAAGTCTTTTTGAGCAGTGTAACCATTCTCACTAAAGTCGGATAAGGCTTTTGCGGCATAGTTTGGTCACACAGCGGAGTAGTCGTCGTCATTAAACGCGCCGACGGCGGCCCAGGACGCTCCTTGCTAAACAAATATTACATCCATGGCCGAATCTTAGCCGCCGCGAGGACATTGTAGGAACATGAGAATAAAGGCGAAAGAAAATCCGGCGACCGAGAAGATAAGAGACACCGGAAAGCAGACGACGGCGATAGAATCAAGGTCAACATTCCCTTGAACCTCGGGTTTTTGGAGCAAACATTGACCTTGTGGACCAAAGTCCTGCCAAGATTACCGCATAACTTTACGGCGTGCGAGGCACTGGTTAGCGAGAGGATACCGCCCATGAGCCTCGCCGTGCGCGAGCTCCTGGCCGGCCGGTATTGCCCCAGCCAGAACCGTGCCTTGCAGCTCGCTCGCGACAAGGCCAACGAGAGCTGCCTCGTCCGGCCGTACCTAGGCCGACGCCCGACCCCAGCAAAGCGGCGGAGGCCCGGAGCAGCGCTTCTTCGGCCTGCGAAACTTTCCCCAGCACGTCGACTAGATGGAGGAGCTGGGGCTGCACTTGGCGGCCTACGCGACGGCCATGGCCGACGCGCTCGCCTTCCTGCACTGGAACGGCCAAGGTTGACGCTTGCGACGTCGAGTTTGTCCTGGCGGCCCCGCGATCACCCTCCTCCTTTCTTGGTCATCCTCCTCGCTATCCATCGGCGGCGCCGATGATCTCTCCTCTGACGCGTTCGGCGCTCATAGCATGTGGGATCCTCGACTTTGACTGCTGCAAGCCGCTGGAGATGAGCGAGGAGGGGATGCGTCGTGCGGCGATGTGCTTCTGGCGCAACGACCCTTTCTACCCGCGTCCGGGCGCAAAGATTGAAGAGGATCGACGGATGTGGGATATTTTTGAGGTTAGGTTCCTGGACAGTAGTGCCTTCTTGTTGCAAGACGAAAGTGACAAGATGAAAATGCTGCCAGAGATATTAATCCAGACAATTCGCGAGAACCGGGACACTTGGACAACTAGGGCGATTGATTAATGAAGGATAATTTCCTATGAACTCTCTCTTCTCCTGTTACTGTTTTTGCATAGCGAGCTCTCTAATACATCCGTGTATCTCATCATCACCATTTTAGTTTCCCCCATCCCTGCAAGGAATTGCACAACTGATCCCCGGGATTCCAAAAAAAGAAGATGAAAAATAAAAAGTAGTTTGCATGTCCTCCACTTCCAATACTTACAGCACGACAATCAAGCCTAGTTCTTCGGTTGCCAGCGGGGGGTTTGCTGGCTGAGCGGCGCCGCCGAACTTAGCAAGGGAGTGCTCAGTCCCGGCTGCCTCGCCAGCTTTGTTCACTTGCACTTCGACGCGAGCCACCACGACCAGAGTCGTGGGTACCGCGGCGGCGCGAACCGCTGCTGGCGGTAGGGCCGCCTCGGGCAGGAGAGCTTGAGCTTCCACGAGAAACAGAGCTTCCGCGACGGTCGGGAGCAGTGTCCAGTGCTCGGCTTGGGGCAGTAGTGATTGGTCTCAAGGAAGGCCTTGACAGCCTAATTGACACCATCCATATCCATGGCTATGTCGTGGCAGTCATCAAAATCGATCAACCAAAGAGAAGTCAGTCTCTTCGGAAAGTCGACGTTGCTGTGGGTTGCGACTTCGTAGGTGCTCGAGTTGGGGCGCAAAGCAAGGATCTGACGTAGGTTGATGATGTTTCGCACAGCCTGCTCCTCTTTCAAGGGAGCTACCGAGAACGAACTCAACATCATTAGCATCAATCTTGGTGTGCCAATGAAGGACAGCCATGGCATGCGCCATCCCACAAAGAAGCTCAGTAGCATCCATGCCGAGATCCAGGACTTGATTGGCATGAAGCTGGAAGTTGTGCAGGGAGAAGAACTGTTGACCGCTGCTGTACTTCACACAACCAAGGTAGGGACGAATCAAGCAGTCTTTGCTGGCTTCGTTTGCAGAGATCTGGCTTTTGATCCAGGCAGGACAGTACTTGTCGATCAAAGCCTCCCGGGTGGGCTTGGGAAGGGGAAAGATTCGCTCCAAGCACAGAATGTTGCGAGGCTGGCGCGGGAACTGCTCAGTGTTGGGAAATCGATGAAGGTTCTCGTACCAAAAAAAGCCTCTGTCTGAGGGACTGCAAACCAGAAGCATCGAGGAATCCCGACTTGGCCGCTGTAATGCGGCATGGCATGGAAGCTGGCTTCGACCCGCATTCCCACAATATAGTTGTTCCAAAGCTTGGCGGAGTCGTCGAGGAGAGGGAGCTTGTACGCAAAGACAGTTCCAGGATGCTCAAACACTTTGCCAATGGATCCGGTGCCAATCTCGCGGAAGTCGACCAGGACACCCATCGCAGCCTGCTGACGCTCTGCGAACGAAGAGGCTGTTGAAACAACTGTGCGGACTGAAAGCAAGCGCTTGAGACGAGCTTCGGGAGTTTTATCAGCGTACTCCTGAGCAAGCTGGTCTTCAAGGGTCTGGCAAGAAGTGCCATTTCGAGAGACGCAGATCGAGATGAAGTGGACGCCTCCGAGGCATTCAAAAGTCGACGGTTGCCCCATGGCTACATGTCCCGGCCTGAGCCAGACATTTCGAACAAGGACAGAGAAAGGTAATATGTAGTTCTTGAGTGGAATTTGAGTAAAGATGATTCTCTGAAATGTCAAGTTTGATCTGGGGAGAAGACTGGTTCAAGGGGTGATACACGGTGTTAAATATATCACAGGCGGCCACCTACAGGCACTTGAGAAACACCCACTCGGTTGAGTTCGGATCAGGAGGCATCTTGAAGAGTTTTCATGGTCGTTTGCAATTCTCGCGTCCTTTGCCACCCTGGGAAAGGTTGCTCCCCAAGATCCAGCTAGATTCACAGGCCCCGTTCACCATGCCCCAGCCAAGCGTTTTTCTCCGGGCTTGTGTTTTCGAGTCCGACTTAATCATGATTACCTTATTCTGAAATTAGTCTGTTGGAGAATGGGAAGCTTTAGGTGGAAAGGTTTCTTTTATGGGGGGCTCAAGTGATTTGGATTGAGGTTGCCCAAGCCATTTTTGCAGTGCCATTGTTTTTTTTTTTCATCGAACTATGACGTTGAGCGGACAAGATACAAATGGTCTTATTTCTCTATGGACAATGACGGTGCCTAGGTGACAGCGTCGGGTATCATAAAATAAGCTTTCTATAGATAGCCTTGTCAAGGTGTGCGCTGCTTCTTTATTACCCTCGGATGAAGCGATTTGAAAGAGCAGAGGGTCCCCTTCGCTCAGATTTTAACGAGTCTCGGAGTTGAGACGTGCAAAACGCGTCTACCTTATCTAGACCGCCCCCAGACTCTGTCGCTGACACTCTCCCAGACGTCGGTATCCGAGGAGTGGCATCTTGGATCAGATGCCGCCACCCCTGCAGCTGCTTCTGCATCTCTGCTGCGGCCTCGGGGCTCACGTGGTCGCGAACCAACCCCGTTGCCCACCGCAAGTGCGTTTCGCGGCCCCAGTGTCCCTCGTCGAGATCCAGGGTGACAGCCGCAATGACGCTGCGCAAGACGGTCGGGGATATCCTCCCGACGAGCGCCACCTGGTAGGCGACTGCTCGCCGCGCGCGTCGAATCCGCTGACTCCTGCTTAGCGTGGCGCTCGAGGCGTACATTTCGCTCAACAAGTCAATCAGTTCCATCTTGGACTCGACGGTGCCGCCTTGAGCCTTGATAGCGCGCCAGGCAAACGATTCTGCTTTGGGATATGCCATGAATGTCTCGAAATGCCCCTCCGTTGTCTTGCCTGGTTCTGCACAAAGTAGATGATTGCCGTGCTTGGTATCGTTGGCAGCAATGTGGAGTGCGATAGTGATATCTAACTTGTCGGATGCATTGGCAACGGCGCGAAGCATCTCGGTGCACGGAGCCTCTGCGTGGGCAGCGATCAGTCCCTCAATGAGATGCCACGTCTCACCGATACCGGCAAGGAAGCCACACAGCGAGGCCATCTTAGCGTCGGCATTCTCAGTTGTTGATAACGACTTGGCAAGGAGCGTCCATCTTTGCGGCAGGCTGTCGTAGAAATTCCAACCGGCGACGCGTCTGTGGGCATCTTTGGGGAGCATCCCGCGACTGTGTAGGTGGGCAACTGCGAGTTGCCATATTCGGTAGCCATTGTGATCCATATGTCGCTCGGAGTTGGTTTTGTATATCTTAATGAATGATTCCGTACTTAGGCGTGCATCGTAGGCCTGAATGAGGAGCCAGGCGAATGAAACTCTCATTCTTGTGTCCGTATCGCATCGTGCATTACGAACATACTTGTTCATCCTGGTGAACAACGCAAGCCTTTGGCTGTCGTTAAGCTGCCCGAGGGCACTTCCAATCTTTGCACAGCACCATTGCCAAGCCGGGTTGCGATGATCTCTAGTCGCCTGTGACTGGACGAATGTCTTCGTGTATGTGAAAAGGGTATCGTCGGAGATGGTTGCCCTGACGGACTCGGGCATCGTGGTAAGTAACCTGTTGAAGCAGCTCACGTCGTGAAATCGGCCGTTGATAGCCGCGACAAACTTGAACATTGCTGCCCACATCTCGTCTGGTACAGCATGAGGTCTGCTCAGTTGCGTAGCCTCCAAAGCTTCTGCGATAGAGGACCGGATCATGGAGAACACCTTGCCACTGATCCCCATATCTGTGATGACTTGGAGCGAAGCTGAATCAAAAGGACTCAATGCCACCAGCATGTCTTCCGTAGATACATGTCCAATCAAAATGCCCTCCTGTACCGTCACACAGAAGGTCTGACAGATGTCTAAAGCTGCTTTCGTATCGCTGGTGGTAAGAGAGGATATACGGAGGCGCAAGTTCTCTGTGGTTTCTGAAAAGCTGGGGTATTCATCGATCTCCCTTGGAGGTAGGATGAACGGCTTGTCGGCGTCTGACATTTCCAGCCATTTAAGAAATTTGCCCCATAGATTTGGTATCGATATTTGGCGAGAATTGATCCGTCGCTCTTCGGGGGTCGTGGGCGGAAACCACTGCAACGTCGCGTTCGAAAGGTCTTCGATGTGCCAGGTCGGTGCGGGGTGCGCATGGGGGTGCATGGCGCCGGTGAGGGTTCGCTTCCCGAGTCGCCGTCTGCTCTCTAGCGGCCCTCTATGTGACATTATACGTCGACGTTGAGATGCAATGCGTTGCGGGTGTCGCTCAATGGTATGGCGAAGCATCTTGTCGGCGACTGAGGCATGATGGCGGCTTGCCGCAAGACCGGCAGCGCGCCCGCAGGGCGCATGGTATTGTGCTGCCATTTCGGTAGATTTATGTCGTTTTTGATTCCATGACTCTAGACTATAGTTGATGGATGGTAAGAGTCGAATTGATGCCAACTAGCCGAGTTGTCGAACGAAGCCTTCCTTGATAAATACCTAGGTAGCGCTTGACGACCGAAGTGGGCGTGGTTCTCTCTTGTTAAGAGCAACCCTTAGCTTCTGGCGAATAGTTTTTCCGACCGCCTTGCTGGTCAGCGAACGAGCTCTCGATATGATCGGAGCTGCATATGAAAAAGAAAATATAAAAATCAATTCGAAATAGCATTCAAACAGGTGCTGATTTCAATTCCATGTTTTTTTCTTGAACGTTTTTCTGACGTTTGAAGCTTGACATGTCGGCTCAGTTGTGAACTATGTACATCCCTTGTGTGGGAGGACACGCCGTAACATTTCAGTGACAACAACCTGACTCCTTCACTCCCAGAAGAGAATCGTTGAAACAGAGCTTCGGCCCACGCAAAAGTTTGTCAATGGCCGAAAATGTATAAGCCTGCGCCATTGCGGCCGAAAAAGACGAATATTACCCGCACGCGGACGGGATGCTTGGGTTGCAGAGCTCGGCGAGTCAAGGTAAGATGATGTCTTTCAGTCAAGGCACAGTGCTCTAACATCCCCTGCAAGTGCGACGAGAAGATCCCGATATGTGGAAGGTGTGAGCGATTAGGGGGTGAATGCACCCGGAGTGCACCCCTGAAATTCCGTCAAGTGTACCAGCCTGGTGCCGCTGAGAAGCTAAGCACCAAGAATAGAGCAAGCGGGAGGGGACTGAAGTCAGCAACAAGACACAAAATTCCAGAAAATGGAACGGATTCGCTAGAAGAGATCACGGCCAACAATTCCGTCGATTTAGTGCGAAATCCTATACCGGTTGAATTGGCTCATTCTTCTCCAACTCTACCGCAAGTCCTCCTACCACGGTTCGACCCCGCCGAGGCCGTGAAGTTCTATTCAACGACATGGGACTGGCAGTGCCTCGCCCCATTTGCCGCGGTTCTTCGCACAGGCGATGCATTCTCCCTTGGATCGTCACCACTCTTCATGGACATGATGGTGGCCGTGTCTGCGAGTCATCTAAGCCGGACGTCACCGCGACGAAGCCTGCTCACGCCGTCGAGCATACCCGAGCAAAATTTCCGACCCGATCCAGGACACGAAGCTGTCAGTCAAGAGTTCTATGGCTCCGTCATGATGAAGATGGCGCGATGGAGCGAGCATGACTTCGATGCACGCCCTGTCCTTGGCTTGGCTCTCATTACCCTCTTTTGCCTCATTGAATCATCAATGGGCTCGTTTCAAACCTTTGGGCTGCATTACGAAGCTGCAACCAAACTCGTCCAGAATTATACCGCGGGGTCCCTTGCTTGGAACTGCCAAGCTGGAGATGTGCTGGAACCGCTTGTCGAGACTCAGATGCAAATGTGGTGGCGCAGGGTATATTTTGGCACGCTCAACTTTCACAGACATCGACCAAAAGTCTCACTTAATTCTTCATTCAAAGGCTTAGAAGGACTAAACTCCCGGCGCACGTCCATTCTTCCAGTACTGTGCGAGGCACATCGTATCAATAACGCGGCTACCATTGCACACTGGGACGCTCTTTCTAAGGCGAACTCCTACATGCCTGAAGGGGTGGAGAGCGCGGGAGAGGTGCAGTGGGGAAGTGATTCCTTTTCACAGCTCATCAGCGGCGAGAAAGCCCGACTTCATGCGTGGTGTCAGTTATGGTCGTTTCCTTGCGGAATAGGGGCTACGCGAGCCACCGCGCCGACCACCGCGGCGCGGCTAGAGGTCCACCCACTGCACATGGCATCTCACCAAGATGCCATGGATGCTGCGTACTATATTGCAACAAAAGTTCTCCAATCAAACGGACCCCTGGCCAGCTTATCCGTCGAACACCCAGAGGAGATTCGTGGGTGCTACGTTGAAGTTGAATCTTGGATCCACCTCCTCCTTCGTGTCGTGGCCGGTATGGACTGGCAAGCATGTGTACGACTCAATATGTATACCATTGGTATCACGGGAATATTGATAGCCTGCCTGCTCCGCTCTCATGATCCTCGGCTAGGGCTGTGGTGTGAAGAATGGCTTCGGAATCGCCTGGATGGAAGCAGTTTTGAAGAGGGAAATTTTCCAGTGCTTCAGACGATGAATATCATACGCCTGATAAATAAAGAGCGGAGTGAAGGCTGCGATGTATTTGGCCTCTTTCAGACGGTCGAGGATGGTGGCGGATCGGGCAAGTTTGGCTCATATCAAAGCCAAGCGCTATCATCCTTGTTACTATACAGCAGGTGCAGGGAAACAGGACTGCTTCATTCGCATTTTATCTCTATCTGAATTACCACACTCATGCTCTTACCATGCGAGGCACTGAGTGCATATCTTTCTCGCTATCGGTCGCGTCATCTTCCATATTGGCTTCCCAAACTACCACCCACTTGCTCTGCACCATATGTCAACAATCTCCGTTTCAGCTCCAGATGTATCTGAGTCTACCACTAGGTACCACCCATATAGCGCACCTGTGATGCAGGCGTGGTTAGGGTAGATGCGAATGCTCTGGCCAACTGTGAGGGGGATTTGGCCGCCACTTGCATCATTGGAACTGCTATCCCACGCAAGGATCGAATGTTCTTGGCTAACCCGGCTAACAATGAGTTGACGGTTGGCATTGGCCTTTGGCGGGAAGGTCGAGCGATCGACCACACCCCATCCTTTGTACGCTGCACATGGCTCCCTCCCAAGGGCAAGAACGCCAGCAGCGACGAGTACCTCTGGTTGCTCCCGCTCGCCGTTGTTGTACACACTGCACACCTCGGACACGACGGATATGGCGATTTCGTCTTCATAGTCACCGAGCTTTGCCCTGCACCTAGTCGACAGTTGCTGCACATCGAGGATAGAGTATACGCCAGCGTGCAATTCTAGGCTGGTCCGAATACCGTGTTGAGTTCCACCAGCCACAAATTGCATGACGGCGCGGAGTGACTGCGCAGCCGGCGACAACTCGCTATCCTCATCAAGGAGGTTTTCAACAGCTGAAACTTGAGGGGAGGCGCCCACACTGATGACGAGTGATTTGTTTTCGGGGAAGAGTCCATGGTTCGTCGCCATGGCGTCCATGCAACCAGTAATCTCCGCCTCCAGATTTGCCATGGCCTGAGCAGGAGTCGAATCGTTGTAGCTGAGGCTGCTATGAGAGTAGAGCCCGACAAAATCAACTATGCCCTTCGCGTCCAGGGTGACAAGATCCGAAAGAAGGCTGTCCTTGTTCAATCCCCAGGGAGGGAGCCCTGCGCGGTGGTAGCCGGTGTCGACCTTGACGTACACGCCGGCGGGGAAGTTGGCCTCGTCATGGAATCGAGACACGAACTTGAGCTGATCGGCGTGATCTACCAGGACGGAAAGACTCTTTGGCCCCAGCTGCAGCCCAATCGCTGCCAAGCGGCTGATCTGAGACTGGGGCAAAGGGATTCCGTACAAAATATTGACCTGTCGTCCCTGTTGCTGGTACTCTTGAAGGAGGGGCAGTAGATGTTCAATCTCGGCGATTGTCGAAGCGACTAGCTTCACAAGCTTTGCCTGTCCAACCTGGAGCCTGGTGCCTTCGACCGTCTATTATCAAAGTCATTAGAGCCTGGCTTAAGTCGTGTGCTGCCACTCGCTGTTGTGCTTACCTTGTGTGTCTTCACATGCGCCCGGAAATCAACGCCTAGAGCTTCAGTCGCCGCTGATAGCGACTCGCAGTGACGACGCATCTTGGCTCGATCAAGCACCAGAGCAGGCGTAGGCACGTTATGAATATCCTTGCCAACATAGAATTGCTGGAGGCTCTCCTGGCTGGGATTCAGTCTCTGTGGGACGGGCATTGCGGCGTGCCAGGCGTGAAGTGCAGTGTAGTAGTGCAGTGTGATGTAGGTGTAGAGAAGTGCGTGTCTTTGGACTTGTCAAATGCCTCGCCTTGGAGAATAAATACATGAGTTGTTTTGCAACCCGCCGATGAGCTCCGAGTTGATATGAGCCGACTTACACCTTCTCGTCACGGTCAAACGACGCTATACCTAATGGAGTGCGCGAGAACGACGACGCACTGAGAGGGGTGGAGATGAAGCTGTGGGCAACCAGTGATGACGGAACAGCAAGATGATGTGTTCAGTCAGGTGAACGAAAAGAAAGCGAGCCTGAAAATTTATCGGAACGAGTTGGCAGCTAATCTTTTTATGACGTTGATCCCCAAGTAAATAAGTTGGCGGGGCTCGTAAGGGTCGCTCGACGATTTATCGCTACTCTGTGCTGCAAAATCTACACCTGCTTATACACTCCATCATACATACGCGACCAGATATGGCTCCTTCTACATCTGTTCAGAGTACTACTGACGCGGATTGGCGCCCCAAGGTCATCATATTCGACCTCCTGACCGCCCTCCTAGACTCCTGGACTCTATGGAACGCCTCGACGCCGACCGGCACAGAGGAGGAGGGCCGCCGGTGGCGCGCACGCTATCTCGAAATCACCTTTGGCCAGGGCGACTACGTCCCGTACGAAGACCTCGTGAGGCAGGCTGCCGCCGAAGCCGGCGTCGCACCCTCCGCGCCCGCCTCCCTGCTGCGCAACTGGTCCAGCCTGCAGGCGTGGCCGGAAGTCCCTGACGTGCTGGCGCGGCTCCGGGCGCGCGGCTACCGGCTCGGCGTTGTAACCAACTGCTCCCGTGCGCTGGGCACCGCGGCGGGCGGGCGGGCGGGCGCGTTCGACACCGTGGTCACGGCCGAGGAGAGCGGCTTCTACAAGCCCCGGCGGGAGGCGTACGCAGCGATCCTGGCGGCGATGGGCGTCGAGCCCGGCGAGGCGCTGTTCGTGGCGGGCAGCGCGGGGGACGTCCAGGGCGCGACGGAGGCGGGCATGACGGTCGTCTGGCACAACAGGGTCGGGCTGGCGGCGAAGGGGGCCGCGGTGCCGCTGCGGGAGAGCAGATCGCTGGACGACGCGTTGAGGGGATTCATCTGAAGATGAATCTGTATCACGACCTGATATAGGGGATGCTGTGGGGAGCTGCGAGTCAGTCACGGGCAAAGATGACATTTGCATCTATCTGCATGGCGTTTGCATGTGGACGGCAAATTTGGGCGACAAGGATGGCAGGAGGGGTTCGTTGCTGATGCTTGAAGGGGAATAGCACTGCCGGTAGAAGTGGATGCCAACAAGCGGGTGAGGACCTCAGGGGAACAAACGGTGATGAAGTACTTGGTTATTGCAGCTTGTGGAAAAGAAAAAAAAAATATCAACATGACAATATGCATGGTATTTCATCTCCTTTTATTTAACTTTGAAACGATCAACCTCAACCTTTCTGATATGGCGTACATATGTATCCAGCATCTGCCTAGGCACCACCTCTTTCAAAATACCACATGTATCGCCTCCTGGTCGGAAATTGCAGTTGCCCACGCCACCACCACGACCCCCGGACATGTGCCCAGCTTAACAGAACCACCTAAACAATCTAACTAAACAATCACACCTGGCCTCTCCTCCAAACATCACTTCTTGCAACCTCGAACACTACCAAGCGCCACCAGGGACTTGAGCGGTGATTTCTGGGCTGGTTCTTGTCCTTGCGCTGCCAAAGGTTTGCTTGTCATATCACACGTCGCATATCGTCATTTTGCCATCATGCTACAAGCCAGCACCTAAAGCCGCCTCGACACCACGCTCCCGGACCCGTCAGGTGCCTGTGCGGTCGCAACATCCATTTCACCACAACATTCCCTTTGTCATACTGTTGTTATTCCCATATCTTCAATGACCATCCAAGCCGTTCATAACACCGTCGCATTTTCTCTGTCTCTTTACACCCTTCCGAACCGACCTTTTCATGGATCCCGTCATCGACCAAGAGTCGCCCCTGGCCGACTATCTTAAGGGTCAGTGTCACCGTTCGCGCCCCAACCCATTCTTCGCACGCGACCATTCCCATTGTTGTCGCCTACCTAACCCTTCTTTCCAGATCAGGATGACGAGTCTCAACAGGGCTGGGCCGAGGCCGATAGCCAGCCGGACCGACCAGCTTCAAGCCAATTCGATCTATCGCCGCCTGGAAGCCCGTCGCAGTTCGCACCTACCGGGAGACCTCTCGTGAAACAACGATTCAGAAACAAGGCACCCACACCGTTGCAAACCAGCGACGCGGCGCTCAACCCACTACGAGCGCTGCGGAGGAACTACTCAGTATGCCCTTCCGCTTTCCCCGCCGCATCGTCCGATGACGCCTAACATGTCGTTTCTAGGCCGCAGTCGCAGCCAGCATGGATAGGGCCGATAACGAGAAATTTCTAGAGCAGTTCCGATACATGATTATTGCGTCTCAGCTGCTCAGCGGACATACGGTTGCGGCTCGCCGACACGCAGGGGCTGAAGCCCTGGGCGCGGCAGTTGAGAACGATCAGTCGCTCCTCTCGAACGAAGGCATTATCGCGTCGATATTGGGTGCCTTGGCTATTGCCGTGGTGCTTAGCTGGATTTTTGGGCACAGGAAAGATTCATACATCACCAGAAAGCGCCTCATTTTCCTTATAGCCCTGCTTGTTGCCTCCGGAGTGCTAGGGCAGGTCTATGTACGACGACAATGGCTTCACTACCGACGAGAACAGTCATTATCCGAATTAAGTGGATTCATCATCAACTCACACGAGTTCGACAGCGTTGTTGAGGCTACACTGGCCTTGGTCCAAGAAGTCGAGCTGGTCTCGCGAGGATATAGAATGTACGGCTGCTGCACCCTTGTAACAGCAGAAAGACGAGCTGACACCCCAAGTAGTAGCGCGCCGCTTCCGCCAGTTAGTCGCATCGAAGACCGGTCGCAGAGCCGAAAGTGCATTCGCCTGAGGAGGGTCTTGAAGACAAGCATGGCCGAGGTGCTTGAACTCTACGATAGACTTGCTACACTGATACAGGGCTTCTCTGAGCAAACCGAACTCGAGAAGTACTACGACATGTACGACATTAGCGACTTTGACATTCAAGATGCTCGCCAAGGCTTCACCGAAGCCGAGTTCGAAGACTCGGAGTCGTTGCGCACCTTGAAGATCCTAGCTGCCAGATTCTATACGGAGCGAAAAATGCTGCTCTGTGCCATGCTAGCCCTTGACGCCAGCGGAGAGAGCAATGACCTGCTGCGCTGGACTGCGGCAGTCGAGGCTTTGCAAGAGTTAAACAAGTCGACTAAGGCTGCGTTCAGGAGAATTCAAGACATTCTCAGCGAGGAACAGTGTGAGTACCTTCCATATCGCAATTGTAAATAGCCAACTAAATTTCTGAAGCGTTCCCTATCCCCCCAACACCAAAAATTCCTTTGACACCTGGCCGCGAACGCTGGCGTGCGCAGCTACGGAAGCTCGGATCTCTCTCCACTGGTATCCGCGGCTTGCAGGCCAAGCTACACCTGCTGAGAGAGGAATCCGACAGAGCCCTTGACGACTCAAATGACATTTCGGAAATGGGACCAAACCTGATGGCCCAGTACGATTCAATCGGTGTCGACTTAAAAGAAGTGATGGCTGCATGGGAAGAAGGCAAGAATGCGCTCGCGGTCGGTATCGATAGAAACGAGAAACGACTATCGTCGATGAGTACCTTGATGTCACCGCGCAGCTCCATGAGCGGCATTACAGCTGCTGAAGACGGCAACGCGGCGGACGCGTTCAAGGCGCTGACGGGCGAATCTCCCCCACGCTCGGAAAAAGGATCTCCGGTGGTAGACAAGGAGGTGTTTGAAGCAGTGGCCCTGCCGAGACCCCGGAGCACGCTCACCAGAGAGGAGCGCCTGGTCAAGATGAGAGAAGACCGCGAGCAGAAGGCACAGGCTCGTCAGCAAATGGACGCCACGCGAGGCATGCTACGTGAGCTCGAGACAGTCATCAACCTTCGTCCCAAAAACCGACACAGTACCCCGGCTGAGAAGACGACAAACCGAGTGGTCTCGATGTAAACCGTGGAGCGCTCTCGTCTTCTAAATTCGTTCTAAATATTCGACTTTCCCTTTTACAAACAATGATTCAACTTTCGCTTTTCTTTCTTACGGCGCTGGGCGGTTGGATCTTGTTTCAATCTAACGTATAGAAATTCTGGTATAGTAGTATTGGGGCTACTGGGTTTACGGTGCAACTTGGCTTCGACTCTATCCTTCTTTTTTATTTTCCTTGACAACTTGAATTGCAGCTAGCCCCCGCGTCAGATTTTGACCAGGCGGGATAGCAGCTCCCAGTTGATTCGGCAGATGTGTATTAACAGTATAGGGGCACAGGCCCAGCAAATATAGTATCATAAGGCTGTTCAGACTTCCATTTTTCTTCTTCTGATAGGCGATGTGCCACAGCAGGCGGCGCGGGATATTGTATATACGATTGAAATTTTTGCTGCTACATTACAGTGGCTGTAGTCTCGTACATTTACTGCCGTCATTTTTGCGAGCCATGCTTGAACACTTTAAGCCGAACTGAGAATATAAAATATTGGATTGTTGAAACTCGGTATGGTAATTAATCGCCCTTGATCATGGTGTGCCCCGCGGCGCGTGAAATTGGCGTTGGCGCAGGTCAAACGGACCCCGCTGCGACGCGTCTCCATTATCCACCGCGTGTTAAGTGCCTGCTTGGGCGTTGGGCGTTTTCTGCACAACCCTTCCTCCTTCTCTTCCTTATAATTTATCCATTTCCACGAATCTGCTCCTTCGTCTTACACATTTGCTATATATCGCCGAATTTTGTCGTCTCTCTCTATACCCACACTCTCATAATCACATACATCAGCCAGTCAGTTCACCCACCGCCTGCCGATACCGCGTGCAATCGCAGTCACGGAGCCGACCAAGTTTACTGACGCGAATTCTCCTTAGAAATGTTGGAGGCACGACTCGAACAAGCTAGCATCCTCAAGAAGGTACCAATTCTATCTCTACCGCACGACTCTTCAGCCCGGCCGGCCATCTCTCGACCCCATTGCTAACCGGCGAACGCGCACAAACTCAGGTCGTGGACGCCATCAAGGACCTCGTGCAGGACTGCAACTTTGACTGCAATGACTCTGGAATCGCGCTGCAGGCCATGGACAACTCGCATGTGGCGCTGGTGTCCATGATGCTCAAGGCCGAGGGCTTCTCGCCGTTCCGGTGCGACCGCAACATCGCGCTGGGCGTGAACCTGACGTCGCTCACCAAGGTGCTGCGCGCGGCGCAGAACGAGGACATCCTGACTCTCAAGGCCGAGGACACGCCCGACGTGCTCAACCTCGTCTTCGAGAGCAGCGAGAACGACCGCATGAGCGAGTACGACCTCAAGCTCATGGATATTGACCAGGAGCACCTGGGCATCCCCGAGACCGAGTACGCGGCGACCATCTCGATGCCGTCGAGCGAGTTCCGGCGCATCTGCACCGACCTCTCGGCCATGTCCGAGTCGGTCGGCATCGAGGCGTCCAAGGACGGCGTCAAGTTCACGTGCAACGGCGACATCGGCAACGGCTCGGTCACGCTGCGCAGCCACACCAACGTCGAGAAGCCGGACCTCAACGTCGACATTCAGCTGACGGAGCCCGTGTCGCTGACCTTTTCGCTCAAGTACCTCGTCAACTTTTGCAAGGCCGCGGGTCTGTCCAGCCAGGTCAAGATTTGCCTGTCGAGCGAGGTCCCGCTGCTCGTCGAGTATAACCTGTCGGGCAGCAGCTACCTGCGCTTCTACCTGGCCCCCAAGGTAAGGAAACGTGGCTGCGAGAGTATGTGTATGTGTGCTGACCCCCGCTACCTATACAGATTGGTGACGAAGAGTAAACGATGAGGAAAAAAAAATAAGGAAAAAAGACGCCGCGGAAATGGTCAGCAAACAATGTCGATTCTACAGGAGGAATCGAAGCAATGGCGTACGAGGGTTACGAACGGGGCGTTGGGTATGGCAGGGTTCTTGGAGCAGCTCACGTATTGACTACAAGTATACAACAAGAAGACCGGTCAAGGCGGGATTTCGAGAGGACGGACATGATGGATGGAAAATAAGGACTTGGAGAAGGCATGAGCTTTAACAAGAGGGCGCGATTTTAGGTAGCTGAGTGTTTTTGCCTGATATTTTTTGGTGGGAGGGGCATGCTCCGCGATCTCAGAGACTCTCACGATAATGAAATGAAACTTGCACCAACCACAAGAGGTCGCTTAGGAGGTGGTAGAATGTGATTCAAAACTGATGAATTATGCCATTGCGATGAATGGATATATACTTACTGTATACTGTAGTAACGATGGCAGGTTTGCTGGTACAGTGAACCACACACCTTGTGGTGGGGCAAGGGTCGAGGTAGTCCAAGCTGACTTTGTCACGGCACTGATCGTGCATGCGCTGGCTGAAGCCTGCATACAACTTTGGCGCAAGCTTATTTTCTTCCCTGCTTTGTTTCATCGCCATTTCAAGCCGGCACAGTCACGAGCAGCGATCGACTGGCTTCTGGCTCACTCTCTTTCCACGCCAATCACCCTCTTTTGGCTTGTACGTGGTGCCGTCAAGCACCACCACAGCTGCGCAAGGATCTTGGAGGGGTCGCACAGATAAGCCAGTAGCACAAGGTACGTCAACCGTGGTCTGCAGCCTCGCTGCGTCCTGCAAGTCATCTAGGTTGAAGCGCATCTTTTCCTCCTCCATTCCTCCCTCTGCTTATTACTTACCCTTTTTCTCTCCACAATTTGCAGACACGATCGTTGAGGCTACCACCACAGCTTGACGATATTCCACTCGCTCGGGGAGCCGAAAAATGTCCGCCGCTCCGATTGTGCCGCCCACGCGGGTCCTAGCCGTCGCTAGCCATGTGAGTGATGCGCACGAGATGCCTATCTGGCAAGTCCTTTCGCTAAATGATCTATTTTAGGTTGTCTCGGGGTACGCTGTTTCCGGAAAACTGGGATGACTGAGTGCAGATCTCGGGATACTGACATCCCGGCAGCTATGTCGGCAACAAGGTAGCCGTCTTTGTGCTACAGTCATTGGGCTGCGACACGGCTGCCCTCAACACCGTGCAATTCAGTGGGTTTGAATCCGAAAAGAAAATGAAGAGAAAAAAACGAGAGATTAATACCGGTAGGCAACCACACCGGCTACCGCCATTGGACGGGGACAAAAGCCACGGCGCAGGAAATTAGCGACCTCTACCGCGGCCTCAAGGACAACTACATCAATGACTTTGACATGATGCTTTCCGGCTACATCCCCGGCGCCGAGGGCGTCCTCGCTGTCGGCGACATCGCCAAGGAGCTCAAGGCGACCAACAATGAGCAACCGGGAAACTTTTTCTGGGTGCTCGACCCGGTCATGGGTGACAACGGCAACTTGTACGTCGCCGCCGACGTCGTGCCCGCATACAAGTCGCTTCTCTCTTACGCCGACCTAATCATTCCCAACCAATTCGAGGCCGAGTACGTTCATGTCCTGCTTTCTGGGTTGCTTTGCTTGTTCCGTCTTTTGCTGACCAACCTACGCCAAAGACTTCTCTCCGGAGTCAAGATCACAGACATGGACAGCCTTGCCGCCGCCATTCAGGCTTTTCACGACACGCACCGCGTTCCCCACGTCGTCATCACCTCGGTCAGCCTTTCCTCGCCCGACATCCCCGCCGACCACCTCTGCGTCGTCGGGTCCAGCATGACGTCCACCGGCCGGGCGCGCCTCTTCAAGGCCGTCTTTCCCAGCATCGACTGCTACTTTTGCGGTACCGGCGATATGTTCGGCGCCCTCGTCACGGTGCGCATGCGCGAGGCGGCGGCGGCGGCCGACGTCACGGCCCGGGCCAACTGGGTGAGCGACGACGACGTTGCGCCGGCGGACCTGCCGCTGGCCCGCGCGACGGAGAAGGTGCTGGCGAGCATGCACGAGGTGCTGACACACACGAGGAACGCGATGCCGGGTGTCGTGGAGCGCACGCTGGCGGCCATGGCGACGGAGGAGGAGCGCGGCGGCGAGAAGCAGAGGATGCTGGCGGGCAAGAAGGCAGCGGAGCTGCAGCTCGTGCGAAACTTGGACTGCCTCCGCTCGCCGCGCAAGAAGATTGAGGTGCGTCCGTTTTAGAGCTGCACTTGTGGGAGTTTTTGGGAGGGAAAGGCATAGAAATATACGATACATGGTGCGGGATAGAAGAGAAGCGCAATCTATAGTTTGGAATATCTTTCGTTAGATATATGTAGTTGATTTTTTGTTTAAAAATTCATTATCCATCATTTAGAATTTGTATAGCATGTCTGATGCATGTGGTGTATTTTCCCAGCCCGACCATTTGGTCCTGTTATCATGACAAACGTTGACCAAAAAAACGCCGTGTATAATCTGCCCCCGACACACATACGTCCCCTTTTGCTCACTGCGTTGTCGTGCCGTTGTATCCGGTGCTGCCGAAGCCGCCCGCGCCGCGCACGCTCTCCTGCAGCTCCTGCACCTCCACCACCTCCGGCGTGACGATGCGCTCCAGCACCAGCTGCGCGACGCGGTCGCCCTCGGCGATCGCGTAGTCGGCCTCGCCGTGGTTGAACAGCAGCACCTTGACCGGGCCGCGGTAGTCGGCGTCGATGACGCCCGCGCCCGTGTCGATGAAGTGCTTGGACGCGAGGCCGGAGCGGGGGGCAATGCGGCCGTCTGGAAGCAGGTCAGCACAGGCAGGAGAGGGGGGGAAGGGAGGCACGCACAGGTGTCGGAGGGGACGGCGATGCTAATGTCGGTGTCGACGAGGACCTTGCCGCGCGCGGGGATGGTGGTGGCGCGGGAGGCGTAGAGGTCGTAGCCGGCGGCGAAGGCGCTGCCGCGGGTGGGCAGGCGGCCGGCGGGGGAGAGCTTCTTGACTTGCAGTGAGGGGATCGACATGTTGGTGGCGGCGGCGGCGGCGGCGGTTTCGTCGGTCTTGACGCGCTTGGCGGGGGGGGAGGATCCGTTGGGTAAAGGTTCGGCGGTAGAGGACATTGTGTTGGGAGAGGAGGAAGTTGGGTGGGTGGTGGTGGTGACAAGTTGCGGTGGGCTGGTTGGTGATGGGAGAGGAGACGCGTTGACGCGGATCGGAGCGCGTTGGCGTTTTTGGTTGCTTTTATTAAGTGGTTTTGCTAGAGTGGGGAAGTGGGCGGATGTATTGGTATGTCGGCAGCACAGATGAAACATTTCTTTTTTCCTTCCTTAACATATTTATTGGCGGATCAATCCAATCAAACAAAACAGAGATGGACTATTGGATCTCCCATCTGAATTATACAAACAGAGAAACGGCAACAAAACCAGCCGCAACAGTTGGCAGGCCTCAAGAAGCCATGCCCGTTACGCGCGCCGCTCCAGCCGTTCCCCAATCCATCGGCACATAGTGCGGGTGCGTGCCCATGTTGACGAGTTCCGGCTGGATGCTGATGTAGAATCGAGCAAACTCCTCCATCTCCTCCACGGTGTACGGCACCGGCGGGGGTCCTCTCGCACCGGCGCCCCCTCCGCCCTCAACCCTCCTTGACGGCATCCTCGACGCCTCCGCCTCTACCCGGCCGCGACGATCTGGGTGGTTGCGCACCTCGTAGTCCTGCACGCACGAGATCTTCGGCCCGCCCGCCGACACGATCGCCCGCTCCACGCAACCGTCCTTGATGAACAGCGGCAGGTTGAACACCACGTTGGTCGACGTCTTGCTCGACTCGTCCTGCCAGGTCCACCCGGTGATGGCGCCGCAGCCGCTCTCCTCGCTGTGCAGCTTCTTGCCGCCGTCGCCCGCCCACGCGTCAATGTCGTAGATGGTAAAGGTCCACCACAGGATGCTGTCCGAGATGATGCAGCGCGCGTAGGGCATCGGCTTGGCGGGCGCGATGGACAGCGTCGTGGCGGGCCCGTGGTGCGGGAACAGGTAGTCTTCCCAGACGGACTCGAAATAGGAGGACTGCTCCGCGGCCGCGGAGGTGGCCACGTCGTAGGGGTCGACCGTCGCGGGGACGACGTCGTCGCTGAGCAGGCCGTCGAACAGCACGGTGTGGTGGGAGTCGGGGCGGTCCGGGTCGTCCGGGTCGTCCGGGTCGGAGCCGGAGCTGCCGCCGCCGCCGCCGCTGCCAAAGACGTTGGGTGGGCAGAATGGGCAGTCCGAGTCGCACCAGAGAAGGCACGGCTTCCCGCATCCCGGACAGTCGGGCTCGGCGGTGGGCTCCGGCACCTTGCCCGACTTCCACTTGGGCGTTTTTGAATTGAGCACCGGGTCGGTCGTGCCGGGCGTGGGCTTGCTGGACGGGTACGGATGGGGCGTGACGACGACGCCAGTGGGAAGCAGGGTTCTGCCCCCGATGATGATGGTGCTCTTCCCAAACGTCTCCGTCTCCACGGGCGGGACGTACGTCTTGGTGCCCCAGATGATCGCCGCCGGCGTCGTCGTCGACGTCGACGTAGGCTCGACGATGGACGTTGTGCCGTCGATGACGGGCGTGACCAGTATCGTGAATGGGGGCGGCTGCACGGAGCTGGTCAGGATGATGGGGCCGCCGCCGGTGCTACTCGCGTTGCTAAGCGGGACGCCCCAGACGGGCATCGCCGTGGTGACGAGCGGAGGGATGGTCAGGATGGTATGCCAGGTGACGTAGACGTAGGCCGGGTAGGTCGACGTGATGCCGCTCCGCGTCGTGGTCTTGATCGTCGGGCTCGAGTAGCTGACGACGGTGCTCCACGGCTCAAACGTGATGGTCGTCGGCGACGCGAGCGGCATCGGCGGCCACACGAGGGTTGCGCCGGGCGGCGCCGTGACGACCTGCGTGGCTGACTGCCAGATCTTGGGGTCGACGTAGATGGTCTTATGCGAGTCGGCCGCCCCGTCAGACTCCTCGCCGCTCTCGGACTGCAAGTCCACGGCCCAGTCGGCGGTCCCGAGGAACTTCATACCCTTGTAGAGGAGCTTGCGGAAGGCCTTGTTCTGCGGGCTCATGTGGGCGACCCACTGCGTGTTGTTGAAGACGACAATGTCCGAGTAGGATCCCGGGTCGAGGTGCGTCTGCGCCGACGGGCTGTGCGCCAAAATCTCATTGATCTCAAAGTCGGAGATGTAGCCGGCGGTGCCGGTGCAGCGGCCCTTGTACGCGCCGGACTCCGGACCGGTGTAGGTGCACTGCTCGGTCCAGCAGCCGGCCTCGGACATCTGGAACGAGCGGCCGTAGCTGCTGACGCCGACGACGATCATGTCCGATGGCACGCCGGCCTTGGTGATCATGGACAGCGCGTTGATGGTCTCGGTGAGGTTGACGTGCGACCGCAGGCAGTTGCCGAGCCCCTGGTCGTAGGAGCCGCACCCCGGCGAGGAGTACTTGTTGGTGTAGTCCCACTGGCCGTGCAGGTCGTACGTCATGAAGACGATGTAGTCGACGACCAGGCTGATGCCCTGGATGGGGAAGTGCTGCAGGTACCAGTAGGACGCCGGCGCGGTCACCGAGACCGTCTTGCCCTCTGGCATCTTCTTCTTGAGCTCCTGGAAGAAGAGGTAGAAGCCGACCTGGTCGTCGAGCGTGCCGGGGGGGATGCCGGGGATGTCCGGCTCGTCCGGGTACTCCCAGTCCCAGTCGACGCCGTCCAGGTCGTTGTCCGTCAGGAACTTGACCACGTTGTCGATGAGCTTGCTGCGGTTCACCTCGCCGCGGAAGGCGCTGCGGAAGATCTGGTAGGTGGCCGGGTCCGTGGAGAAGGCCCAGCCGCCGATGGCGACGATCTTCTTGATGCCCGTCAGGCCCCGGAACAGGTCAAACTGCGTCGCCGTGTCCGCGACACTGATGGACAGGTCGTCGGTGAGCACGGCAAAGGAGAAGTGGGCGTGGGTGTACTTGGAGGCGTCGATCTGGTCGGCGCCCATGCGGAGGCAGGGGCGGTCCCAGTCGTAGGCTTCAAAGTAGGCAATATTGTAGGTGTCCTTTGGGGTGTGGCCGGTGATGACGTCGGTGCCGCAGTTGGAGATGCATCCGTTCTCGCCCGGGGCGGCCGTGCCGGGAGCGCCGGTGGGGGACTTGGAGGGCGTGCAGAACTCGCCGGTCGTGCCGCACTGGCCCCAGATGTTGCAGCATGCCCTAAGTCTACATGTGTTCAGGCTCGTCGGGTCGATATCGTGGGGGTATCTGCCCGTGCCCTTAACCTGCGGCCCGCAGACAGCGTTCTTGACCGGCGCGGGCATCGGCGGATAGCCCTTGCTGAGACAGATGTTGTAGCCTGCGAACATTTTGTTGCAGCCGTTCCTGGTTCAGTGACGTTAGACTGGTGATGCTACCCGGGTAGCAGAGCGCACATCACTTGGAATCAATCACTCACCATCCCCATGTCTTCTTGTTCCACTCTTCAATATCGTCATTGGTAATCCCATACGTGGCTGACAGTGCAGAGCAACTATCTCCCATCTTGACCAGATAAGGGTGACAGTAGCCGTCAGCGTCTGGTGTCAAAGCACGCCTTTCCCTTGCACTCGCCGTGCCAGGCGCACTGCAGCACAGTCGCTGCCCCGGCACATATACCGCGGAATGAGCCGCTCCGGGATTGTCCTTGGCAAATTCATCAATGCTTAGGCCACATTCGCGGGCGAGAGTTTCGACGCTATCTCCCGCCTCTACCTGGATGGGGCTGCAGCCATCTCCATCTCCTCGCCCAGTCAGTGTCGCCGGGCTCTTGAGCGTTCCGCTGCTTCCGGAGAAGTTGCCGTGGAATGCCATGGTTGTATTCGCTCCAAAGCTCACGTTGACGGCCAGTGGCGATGTGAATGTCACCGGTTCCCAGCGCACCGAGGCCGTGTCGGCATCAACGCACGTGCCATTCTTCCACGACTGGAGCGCTCGCTGAACCCGCCCAAACTCGCCGTCGGTACCGATGTAGATGCCAAAGGTATATCGAGCAGTAGAGTTGCCGCACAGCTGAACAACAGTCTGCTCTGCGACACCTTCGCCTCTCGACAGCTCGGCGCGGAGCTTGTCGAGCGTAGTCGTCAAGACGCCCTGGCCGGCCAACCCGGATCCGGCGTACACTCCCACCGCAGCATTCCCCGAAGATGCAAATTTCAACATCTCGTTGCAACCTGAATCGTGGGAGCTGTAGAATTCTTTCAACAAATCCAGGCTGGCAGTGATGTCAGCCAGGTTCGCAGCAGAAGAAGATCCGGAGCTCGATAGTTGCAAGGAAGACGTAACCTTTCCGCGCGCCACCCCCTCTCGCGAGCAAGAAGCAGCGTCGGACCTCTGCTTTAGAGTCGCGGTCGATTCGGAAGAGTTGGATCCGGCAGCACAGGCGTGGATCGCAACCTGAGCGTCGGGTCCGTCGACGGGATTGAACAGCGCAAAGTCTAAGAGCATGGTGCTGTTGCAGGCCCTTCTCAAAGCGTCGAAACCACCGTAAAGGAACCAAGAAGTCGTATTGCCTAGCGCTTCGAAGCAGCTCGTCGGGCATCCGATTCTGTGCTGGACGTGTCCGAGCTTGCTGGTGTCTTTCGCCAGCAGCGCGAGCCGAGCGCTCTCTCTGTCCGCAGACTGGGTCGCGTCATTGCTCTGGGAGACTGGAATGTTTGCGAGATAGGAGTTGACGTCGCCTTGGATGTTGCCGGCCAGGCCAAAAGCCCCCGCATTGGCAAGGACACACGCGAGGGTCGCGGCCGTCGCGCATGGGCTGGACCTCATGATGGGGTAGAGCGAGAGACTTGGCAGTCTCTCACCTCGCAGTCAGATAGTGCGATGAGACAGATGCTACTTGTCGAAACAGAGTTGAACTGCACCCTGAACCGAGATGGCATTCAGAGAGTGACAAAACAAAGAATGACTTGGTTCGCATCAAGTTTTGGTCGCGTGCTCCTAGATTGTGCAGCGGGCATGCGCAAGACCCATGAACTCTTGTAGAAGTTGCTAACATTAAGACGAATACTCCTCAATATTTTGCTTATTCAACAAACAAATTTTCCCTTTTTTTTTTCTTTTTTTTTCTGTCCTGCATAGAGGGCTCCCAGAATTATCCCAGTTACAAGGTGACTCGCTATTACTTGCCCGACGCAGTAACCTGGCAATCCGTCGGCCCTGCAGGACAGCGCCGAAATACACCAGAAAGGGAAATTTTCTTGTCAATACCTTGCAGACTTTATAATTTCGGTGAAGAATAATAACCGACCATGCAGCTGCAGGCCCCATATGCGCGGAGATGCAAGCCCCGGATACACGCAGATGAATCCGCAGTATTGATTATCCATGGAGCCATGCAAGCTGAATGGAGCCAATGGCTTGAAAAGGCATATATTATATGGACGACATATTATTAGGCAGCCAGTACTGATTACTGCTTCGGACAGTGCTGTTTTGGTCGATCTTCGCATTCGGAAGCCGACAACTCCAAGCCTTGTCGGTTAAGAGGCAAAGAGTGAAGGAGGATGCCCACAGTAGTGGACTGTTGTGGCCCTCTGCGCTCTTTTCCTTTCCGTCTGGATTCTTTTACAATTAGTTAGGCGAGTCATACCATTGAACACTGGAGTTGGAAGATATGTAGATAGACTGGCTGCAACACTCCTTCTTTAGCTGTTCCGTCTTCTCCTTGCTCCAACGAACTCTTCTAGTCTCCCACATACGATCGCAAAGACATGCTCAAAATGGTCCGCTTACAACAATCGCTCTACTGGGCGTCAGCCCTTATCAGCCTGACCAGCGCATACCTGGTCGCCCCCCCGGGGGCGACCGCGCCCGGGGCGACCTCTCGCTGCAGCAAATGGGTTCAAGACTCGTACCTGCTGTCCTGCGGCAAGATCACCAACGCCTTTGGCATGACCAAGGACCAATTCAAGGAATGGGTGCGTCTCCGTACCATCTAAGACTTTTGAAAGCATGCTCACTTTGAACGCAGAACCCGAGCGTCGGCGAGACCGGCGCGGATTGCCAGATGATCCAGGGCCTCTACTACTGCGTCGAGGTCGACTTTCACCCACTTACACAGACCTCGACCTCGACAACGACGACGACCACCAGTGCCAGTGCCACGGAAAAACCTCCTCAGCATTCGCCGACTCAAGCGGGCATGGCCTCCGATTGCGACGACTTCTACCTCGTCAGTCATGGTGACACCTGCGCGGTTGTCGAGTCCAAGTACCACATCAGCGCCGCCGATTTCCTGCGCTGGAATCCCGCCGTCGGAGCAGGCTAGTTCCCATGCTCCTGCACATCGACTTACTCTCATCTAACCTCTCTCCATTTCAATAGACTGCACCGGCCTTTGGCTGGGCTATTATGTCTGCGTACACGTTCCCGGAGCCACCACCACTACGCAGTCGCCAGCCACCACCACCACCACCCCCTCCAACGGGTATGTGACCTGCCCTCTGCCATGCACGGAACACTTCCTAATTCCTGTACTAGTATCACCACTCCGCAGCCGACGCAGCCGGGTATGGTGGACAACTGCGACCGCTTCGTCTTCGTCAAGCCCGGCGACAACTGCGGCGCCGTCGCCTCCGCCGCCGGCATCTCCCTCGCCGACTTCACCCTCTGGAACCCCAACGCCGGCAGCACCTGTTCCGGGCTCTGGGCCAACAGCTACGCGTGCGTGCACCTGATCCCCTCCGTCGCCCTCACCGCGCGCTACGGCGCCGGCTGCGAGGGGGACATCCACAGCACCGAGGAGTTCCCGCCGAGCGGCGCCGGCCACTGCGTCAACACCGACTGCAAGGTGGCGTCGCTCGACATCTCCGCCAAAGGAACCTGCCCGGACGGCGAGGTCCGCATCAGCTACTGGGAGCAGGCCAACTGCCAGGGCAAGTGGTTTGGCTACGGCTACGCGAGCCGCGGACAGTGCCGGACGCTGTGGTCGGGAGGCTGGGACTTCAAGTCGTTGTACATCTCCTGCGCCACCAAGGAGAGCGACTGTGTTAGCCAAGGCACCTGCACTATTGACACCCTGCCCAACTCCAGTGTCTGCTAGCTGCCCATGCATCTCCCCTTTCCTTCTAATTTCTTTTCTAGAGCTGTACTGAAACTACTACCAAGAGCCTACTGGTCTCTAGCCGCCAGATGTCGACTTACATGTATCCTTGGTAAACCCTAATTTCTGAAAACGCATTCTCGTTTGGACAATAAAAGTTACCTTTCCAATTTATTCTTTGTGACTCTGTAAAGCTCGACCTCCAGGCGTGAGACGACATCCAGATGTACGCTTCTCGCAGCGACTGAACACTTGTGAGGCATATAATACTCAAAAGGACCCTGCACTTCCACAGCTCTGGGATGCTGGAGATGAACGTCCGCGCCGCCTCTGATCAATACCTCGACGATCGCGTCAAACTTGAGCTCCGCAGCGAGATACACAGGGCGGCCGCAAGCGTACTGCGGCCGCGGCAGATGCAATTCGGGGTCGGCCTGTCGCGGGTGCCCGCGGCATATGTTGTGGTACGCCACGTTGGGATCTGCACCGTGGGCGAGCAGCAGGCGCACGAGCTCCAGGTTCCCAAGACGCACGGCGCGTGCGAGAGGTGGTGTAAAGTGAGAGTCTTTATTCAGCCGAGCATCGGGGCCGAAGATGCCGCCATAGTACTCCCGTCGCTGCGGCCACTTGGGGTCCTCATACTCACACCTTACAGAGCTGGCGAGGAGGGCGTCGACCATCAGACGATCCTCCTGCTCCACGGCGAGACACAAGGCCCTGGTAGCTGCACATCTTTCCGTCTTACCGGCCAGCCGGCGCACGAGAGCGAGGTTCCGACGCAACACGGCCGTGACCAGAGGAGGGCCGTGCTGGGGATAGCCGGCGAAGTTGATATCAGCGCCTCGTTCGAGAAACAGGTCCACAAGATCCATTCTTTGGTGTTCAATTGCCCACTCTAGCGGTGTGAGCGGAATCTCCGTTTCGGGGTGTGGCTCTGGCATGAGATAAACATCATATGTCTCCTGCCACATAAGAACAATCGTGTCGAGGTCTGCTCCGCGGTCGAGAATCTGGCAGATCATCTCTGCACTGCACTGCAGTTTGAGGGCAACTGCAAGCGCTCTCGTTAGTTGAAAAGACGCGAAAGACTTGGCCAGTGGCGAGTTGGGTGGCGAGTATATATAGCCAGGTAAAAAGTAAGGCGCGCTAGGTGCTCCCAATTCCGACAGTCGCAGGTTCCACCACGACAATATCGACTCCAGCTGTTCAAGACCGCAGAGCTTAGCTTGTTCGCTTGAAAGAAGGGATTCTCTGGTTACTGAGTTTGAAAAACGAAAGTCTGCGACCATGTCATCCCAGACAACGTGCCATGTTGTGTCTGGAGGCGTTGGGCTGGAATAAATTTCTCGCGCTTCCTCGCTCATCATCACGCCCAAAGCTCTCCAAAAGAATACCGGGCCCATGTCTACTTTCTCGTAGACCACACCCTGAGAAGTCCTGCGTCCCGGAAACCTCAAAGGCCTATCTTCATCTCGAGGCTCAAGGGTGAGCACGTCGTAGTGGCTGCTGGATCGAAACACATCGGTGCCTCCATTGGCACACTCTTGCCACGCTATGCTCTGGAAAAAAGGGCAGTTCTGAATCTCTCGAACACCATTTACACCTAAACGCTTTTCCGGGTCGGGCTGCAGAAGCATACTCAATAGCTCTTTGGCGGAAGCGGAAAGATAGCTCGGGAATGGCAGGTCGTCCCAGCCCTTCTTCCTCCAGCCATCCTGCCCGGCACAAGGAAGCAAAGGGGGAAGGCCTGTAAGCATTTCATATAAAAGTATGCCAAGATCCCACCAGTCCGCCGTTTCCGTTCGCGGGAGGCCCTCACTGAGCTCAGGCGCTAGACACTCGACTGGCATCGCGTCGGTCCCGAGAATGAATGCCGTGGGCGCACATAGGCAAATATGGTCAAAACAGTCCAGCATAACATTTTCTGGGCGCAACCATGCGATGGCGTTGTTTTTATGTAGCCATTCCAGTGCGCAGACGAGTTGTGCTGCGTATTTCCTCACTCGTGCCTCGGCGAAGCGTCGCTCTCGTTGAAGATGAACAAAGAGGTTTCCGCCGCCCGGGATGACCGTGACCAAGTAAAATAGCGTCGTTTCTGCTTGGTAGACAGTATTGACCGGGCAGATAAAAGGCGCCGCTCCGTGTGTCGCATCGAGCAAGTCGGTCCGAAGCGGCGATTCAGCAGTAGAACGAACGGCAACCAGAGCATACCTCAGGCGCTGTAGATCCCAGGCGTAGACGACTTTTCCTGGACTGTGTTTTCTAGAAATCAAGGTGGATGGGAGCTTCGACAGGGGTGGGAACTCTTGAGGGGAAAAGAAGAGTGTCAGAGAGAGCGAGCCTTGGCCATGATAGCTGTCGACTTGCAGCGATTCATGCGTCTCCAGCTGCTTTGGCTCGATGCGGAAAGAGCAAAGAAGAACGGTCATTTCAGTCCCCTGGTTTTGCGCCAGTACATGCACGGTAATCTTCAGAGGGTCCTCACACACCCAATAATGGAGGAAGGCCTCCGGAGACGTCCAATAAACGAGAGTGTCTTCGGCAGCTCTTTCAGGCTTCTGAAGCCGCCCCCGCCACTTCGGAGGCTGCTGCCGCCAATAGGAAGCCGCTGAAGATCTTTGGTGCATGCCACAGTCTACTGCAGCGTATATTTTCCATTCACTGTCTTCCTGCAAGATGCCCAAGGAATCCAAGGTGTTTTCGTTAGATGGCAGAGACACGTGTGCGCAAGACGGAGTAACCCTTAGAATGCCGCAATATTGTTTGGTCGTTGATGGCCACAATGGGCGAGGGTCTGAGGCAGCTGCAAAGTTAGTCAGTGTTGCATTCGGATAGTTATGACACCTAAAACATACCATGATTGTCCGATGAGGGATCTGCGGACGTTTGGCTTGCCATGATTGCCAGAATTGCGTAGTTGTTGGTGATGATGTTGGGGGGGAAACGCTCCCCGCTCGCAGCTCCTGTTTGTAGGGGCACTCGTGATTATTACCTCTACAAACATACCTCCTTCACACGTGGCCAACCTCGCTGCTTGACCGTCTATATTACATTTCATATATAGCATGACAAAAAAGGGCGCGTGTGAAATTTTCCTTCTACTAAATCACGAAATTGTAGCCGTCCTCTCAGCGACTTCGTTCCTCCCAAGCCGGTCAAGCATAACAAATAACTAACTTCTATATGTTGGGGCCCCAATGACGAACATCAGAGAGCGGTGTCAGCTGTCCAGTGAATGTCTCGGCATGTGAATCTATACCAAGGTTGAGAGAATGGTGTGCGTCTCGGCCCTGATTGCCAGCACCACATGCAATACACAGACCGAAGTCCCGAAACCCTCGAGGACTCTGCTCCATTACTGCGTTGGCTCGAAGCTGCAGAATCCGTTTCTTCAGCGTCTTTGCTAGCTCCATGTAGGTCGGCTCGGCCCAGTACTGATTACACTCCTTGATGATGGAGAAGAAGCTACACGTAATGTCCGGGTCGTCCGTTGCTATCCACGACGCGAAAAGGCCGACGGGGGCGAACCACACGCCCTTGGGGAGACCCTGCAGCAGCTTCTGCGACGTCTCTACAGCTTCGTGCCCGACTTCCAGCGCTTCTCGTTCAAGACCGACATTGCCAGGGTCCATGGCTAGCAGGCAGGCGTTGAGGACCAGGGCGGCGGCCAGTACCACGGTGTGGGCGATCCCGAGCTGCGCTTCTGGCTGGACGAGGCACGACCTGTCTATGCCTGTAATTTTCCCAATACCGGCGATATATCGATAGCGTCTGCTCGTGAACGGCCACTCCACCTTGAGCCGAGCATAGCTATTCCGGATCTCCTCTCGGTGCTCGTCGGGCGCGCGGAGAAGATGCGACAACCGTAGGAGAAACGGTATATCGAGACTCTCTATAGCCTGTCCGTCTTCGTCGTCGAGTGGTGGGTACGGCGCAGCTTCGTACCTGATACTTTGAAGGCAGCGGCTGTCGAGGGCGAGCGAGGGGTTGATGATGGACTCGACGCACTGCCGAATCTTGACTTTAGTAACGGGAACCCCTAGACGTGAAATAATATTCGGGGTCACATACGACAATTCGGATTGCGTTCAGGCGCACTGACTGTGCAAACGTGTCGCCCCAATATTCTTCCACTGTATCATTCAAGAGCTGGCAGGTGCAAGCTATATGGTTCAAGTACTGACTAGCTGAGTTCACAGTCCATTTCTAATTATCCATGTTAAAAAAATTAGCATATTGTCTCTCCTGGAAGGTGTTTTCACTTGCCTGGGTCATGCTGAGCATAAAGATGGCAGCCAGTGGATTAGGAGACTTGATCTGGTTCTGGTCCTTCAGCGCCGGTTCCAAGCATTCCATAGCAACCGTGTACGCCGGCGATGCCGCTCTAAACTGTGTGTCGCTCTGCAGACAGTCAAATGCATCTAGGAACGCCGATGCTGCCTTGTCAAGCAACTCATTGGCGCCGAGGCGCTCTGGTATGTGCGTCATCCAGCCAGCCAGGCGTGAGATGTCTAGCATCGGGTCGTCGACCTCGAGAGCGGCAAGAAAGCGCTTCGTCAACTCTTCCGTGCATTCCCCTAGTGACGCTTGTTGGCCATTGACGAGATTTTCCGACGAACGCCTGGAGTGTGGCGGCGACAACACGGCGGGCGCAACGATTTCGAGGTCGTGGAATGAAGTCTCTGCCGGCTGTCGGCGCGGTACAGCGCTGCTGGGCTTCCTTTTCTGTGGTTCTCGGAGTATCACGTTTGAGGCAAAGTGTTCTTTGAATCTGTAGCGAGTCTGCCATCTGCCAGTGCACGGGATGTTGAGACGAGTACACCGCGTACAAGTCGGCGAGCCTGCGTCGCACTATTGATGGGGTGTTAGATGCGACTGGTTTTTCTAGTGGACGATGAGAGATATGCTGGGCAATACAAGAAGCAGAGGAGCTTGATGATGCCACTAGGCCAACGATACCTTCTTCTTTGCGCCCTGACAGGCATCGCAATTGCTATGACTTTTCATCTCGGAATGCGTGGACGAGTGCATGCATGCCAGCACCTTTCCGCGACCAGTTTGGTCATACATACAACTCGGCCTATATAGAAGGGCATTATGTAGGCTTCCCTCGAATCGCGGGATTTGCCGCGAGCTGGAAACAGTCAGGCTACCACGGGGCAATTGCCGCAGGATGTTCTGCAACCTTGGATTGCACCGCGCGGATGTTGGATTGTGTCGCGTGCTTTCGCGGGGTTTCCGACCAAGTTGGACCTAACGAAAGCCGCCGCGCTTGTGTGTGTGGGAATATGATGAGTCCTTAATTATGACCCGGTCATATAACATTCTACGGGAAATCTGGGAACCGGACCCCCTTTGCTGGCCGGAGGCCCAATCCTTCGTAGTCAGGATATCAATAATCTCCAGTACCTCCACCAGGACACAGGGCACTGTCCGTCTCATTCCCGCGCCCCGTAGCCGCCCCCCGAGTTCCGGCGTTAGATTACTTGGAAGAAATAACGCAGCGAAGGCCGGGCTATTGTTCATCAGGCAGCAACAACAATCAGCTCGCATTGGCCGGTCTTCCGCGGAGATCGGTCTTGAATGCAGCGCGCTCCAGTTGTCAGTAAATGCAGAGAGCTGCATGCCTTTATTGCCGTTTCTACCTGCTCCACCTTTGCCCGGAACAATATATTACGTGAATGTGTGGGAAGTGGCATGGTAAAGAAGTAGGCTGAGAATGTTTGGAATCGGCATGTTCCGTCGAGAGCTTGTGTTCGCCTTTTGTTCCGCGAGACAATTTGCCAAACGAGGCTGACGCGGAGTGGTCCCCGTGTGAACCCCCTCTCCAGCATACATTTATACCCATCTCGAGGGCGGGAGCCTCAATGTGGCTCTACTGAGAATTCTGTGTGAGTGGGAGTATCCCCGCACACAATGATGCGTGGGTGGCGACGCTGCAGTCGGAAGGTACATCGTTGTCGTCATCCATTACTTCGCGGGTATCGTTTTGCAGGCTCTGCAGGTTGCTATGCGAGCGGCATGTATTAACCTTTTAGGAAATCTGTACTCTCGCAAGTTACTGCGAGCGACTGAGCATTACTGCCCAGCTCGAGTCGCCATCTAGTAGCAGCGCAGCTGTACTCACTTCGACCGTCCCTTTGCTCAAGTAGAAAAGAGAGACGTGCTGCACCTGAATTGTGAGCCATCCAAGAACATACAAGTTCCCTCGTTATCAAATTCAAAATGCAAGTCATCAAGTCGCTCCTCGCCATCCAGGCTCTTCTCTTGGCTCCTGCCGCCCTCGCTGAGAATATCGGCGAATGGTGCGACCACAACGTCGCCAAGGAGTACACCACCTGCGACAACGCAAAGACCAACATCATTTACTGCGACGGACGTAATTCGCAGTGGACTTTGGCCTACACTTGCGGTGGCGGATGCTGCTTCAACGCCCCTCCATCCTGGGGCGGCGACTCCATGGCCAATTGCCGTTGCTGAGATTCATAATCTGACCAGTGAGTGATTTACAGTCAAAAGTACAGACATTCGCTAATTCTTCAAGTATAGCGGCATACAAGAAAGGAGGTGTTACAAATGGTCTAGCTTAGATACTCTGAAGCTGTGAGGGATATGAAAGGCAAGGTCTACATGTAGTTAGTTAGTGAAAGTAGCATTTGCCTAATTCAGCAAACTACCTACCAGGGCTGTCATTTCTTTCCCAAATTCTAATCAATTGTTTGTTTTGAGCCGTTCCCGTCTTTAACAACTTGAATTAATTTTACCCGATTCGGGGGTATATTTTCGCTATATTTTGGTTACGCTACCCTGGAAGCTTTTTCGTCATAAAATTGCCTATTCGAGCATCCCGCTTCTCGAGGTCTTAGTGCTTGGTGAAACCCCCCCTCTCCTCCTGCCCCAAGAAGCTGAGCCTTTGCAGGCACTATCGAGTTAAAAAAAAAAAAAAAAAAAGGGAAAATTCAATTGAAACTCAGCTAATTCTTTGTTCACTTTTTGAACAGCATCTAGGGAGAGAGACATCCGCAAAACCTCAATACCCTACACCTTCCCTCCCTGGCTGTTAACCACATTCTCTGGCTCTTTGTTTATTTTTCGTCTGCTCAAGAGCAGCTATCAATTTTAAAATGTGGTGGTCACAAGTGTCTTTGATCTCATCCGTCCTCGTGTCGATCGCCTCTGCCAGCGTCCTCACTACGAATGGCTCAGTTAACGCATCTGAGGCGTTCGAGTCGTTGTATCCGAGAAACAACCCCAGCAGCAAGATTGACGATCTCTTCGAGTTGGGTAACAGCTGCAAGGACAAGGTTCAGGTCCTTCAAGGTTGGCTTGACGAGATTAAAAAGATGCATTCTCAATTCGAAGCTGCGGCCCGCGAAGCATCAGGGATACCACCCTACGCGGTGACCTTCAGTACATTTTTCGGTACAATGCCGCTGAGAGGTATGGAGAAGGACCTCGACACCATGAATCTGGTGAAACGTGAGTTTTCAAAGCCCGTCGTTGAAGATGAGGAGGATGGAAGGGCATTTCCTCGTGTTCCCTTGTCGGTTTCTTACATGACATAGAACGAATCGCGGGCGTTACGCAGTTTCTGAACGGCGGAGGTCTCAGGAAGGCGAGCCGGCCGGGTAAGCCGCTGCTGCTTTGCTCAGACAGCGAGCTTGAGCTTCAGGATCCAGACGGCGCCGTACGAGACGACAAGGGCGAGTACATCGTCGCCGAGAGAGACCCAAACACCAACGAGCCTACTGCCCACTTGGGCTTTTACACCGTATTTCCAAACATGAATTGGGACCATCAGCATGTCTTTTGGTGCGATGTCTTCAAAGGTTACGTCTTTGCGGGCCGCGACAAGCTCTGCTCCGGCTCGCTCCATGGCTGCGTGGCACCAAAGACTCCAGATGCCCCGCAAGGGCTACACGGTGTCGATCCCTTCACCCTCGGTACGGCTAGTAGGCTTCTTTTACTTTGTCCCTTGGCATTTGATGAAGCTCGGCCGATTTCTGAAGACGGAAAGAGTGTCAGGCCTCATTCGTTTCCCTCCCTGGCGGACGCCGTGGACCCGGACAACTACCCCGAAGGAGACCTGTCCCAGCAAAAATACCAGCTCGACTGGATGCTGCCCAGATCGGCAACACTTTATCATGAGATCTACCATCTGACAGACGAAGACGACACGGTCGATGCTAGCTGTAAGTGTGAAGTCGAAGAAAACCCCCCTGTTTGAGGGCTGTGATGGACGCATCCTAGGAGCCATCATGTCCATATCCTGCTCAGAAGATGCTGACGAACGATGCAGATTCCTTAAATGACATTCTTCGAGCTGCAAGGCGAGACGGCCCGCTCAGAACGCTTTATACGAAGAACCCGGAGAGCTACGTTTATGCTGCAGTGGCCAATTATCTATATCTGAATGGGCCGTTCATAGCCAAACGTGTCGTCTATCTTAGAGGGTACTTTCCCAATCTAGAGTCGGATATATTTCCACATGTCAACTAGTATGGCAGGGGAATGGGAGGGCGCATGACAACATTTATCCTTGAACAAACATTCTCTTTATTACAGTACTGCATTAACAGCTTTTCCGCCCTATGCAATGCTTATTTGTGATACTTTGCGGGCCGTAGCTTTTCGTCCGACTTCCTACTGGACGTATCCTCCTCATCGTCATCTTCGCTGTCCGCGTCATCCAGCGCAAAGTACTCCTCGTTCTCCCCGTCTCTCCAGTCCGTGGCCTTGGCCGTGGCCTTGGCCCTGTCCTGCCGCGACTTCCTCCTGGCCACGTACACGACGGCCACGAGCGCCATAAGCTCGGTCGCGACCAGCCCCACGAGCACCAGCAGGCCCGGCCGCCCGAGGCCGAACAGCATCGCGCCGGTGACCGCGTTCGCCCAGCCGCCGAGCAGGATGCCCCAACCGAGCCCCATGTGCGCGTACGACACCCACGTGCGACGGCGGATCCGCACGAACCGGACGTGGTGCCACCAGCCCGACGCCGCCTGCGCGAACAGCAGAGCGAACACGGCCAGGCCGACCTTTTGGTGCGCGGAGCCGAGCAGGTTCCCGCGGCTCATGTAGATGCCGAGCGCGGCGCCGACGGTGGCAAAACACATGGCGCCGGCCTGGATGGTCCAGTGGTACTTGAAGGCACGGTCGAGGCCGGAGCGGATGCCGACGACGCCGAGCGGGAAGAGCGCGAGGAAGGCGAGGAGCATGACGAAGCCGTGGGCGTGGGCAGCGGGGCGCGCGCGCAGCCGCTGGAAGAAGGAGGGCGGCTTGACGGTGATGTGCGTGGCGGCGGCGTTGATGCGGTCGTGGCCGGGGACGACGGCGGGCGGGCCGGCGGCGTGGTGCGTCGAGGCCGCCTGCAGGTTGGCGTAGAAGTTGCCCCAGCCGCTGACACCGACGTGCTTGTGCAGCGGCTGGTCCCAGGCGTACGGCGCCATGTCCTCGAGCCCGTTGAAGGCCCAGATCAGCGGCTGCGACGTCGCCTCGGCGTCGACGGCGTGACCGGACCACGCGGTGCACGCGTAGCACGCGAAGCGCACCACGCCGACGTGCGTCCCGTTCGCGCCGGCGCGCCACTCGCCGGCGCCGAGCTGCTGCACGAGCACGCCGTGGTTGAGGCTGGGGTCGTCGCGCGAGAGCACGTCAGGCGGCGTGTGGCCATTGCCAATCTCGACCCCGCGGGCGCTCACAAAGGGGCCCTGGCCGGTGAGGGGGTCGCCGTAGACGACGAACATGAGGGACCCGGACATGACGGCGCCGGAGCCGATGGCGAGCCAGCCGGCGCTGGCGAGGGCCGCGTCGGCGGGCCGGGTCACCTCGACGGAGACGAGCATGTCGTGGGCTGACGTGGAGTGGTTGTGGTACATGCTGGCGGCCATGCAGAACCGCGGCCCTTGCCGGTCCCAGCCGTCGAGGCAGAACTGCGCGATGGCGGGGAGGGCGGCATCGTCGGCGTCATCGTGATGCTCCTCGCCGCCGTGGGCAGCGACGGAGGAGAAGAGGCCCAGGGACGCGGCGGCGACGGCGACGTGCCAAAGTCGCTTCATCCACGCCATTTCATTCGGCGTTTGTCGTCGTGTACCTAGGCTGCTATTGGATCAGGGAAGAGGGAGAGACGAGGCGATGGATGCAGCGAGCAAGCAGATGACGATGCCAGAGAGGAGGATGAAGAAGAATGCAGCAAAGCACTCAAGTTGCAGAAAGGTGGCCAGGACGACAACTGCGTCGCCCGCAGCAGCGCCCGCGGAATCCTCGGGCCTTGTCCAAAGCAATCAAAGGTGCCTTGATTGCGCAGGTTTTTGACAGGCCGCGCGCACAGTGCAGACTGAGTTCAGTGGCTTGAGGCTTGCTGACAGTGCGGGTTATAAGCAAATATTAGTGGCTGCAGCGCCCACCACCCAACATGCACTGTCACCTATTGACAATGCACTGTCACCGGCTGGAAGCGATATTCAATAAATACCCCCCTCATGTCATCAATTTGCTCTTGAGTTGAGTAACCATAAATTGCCCCAGGTGATCCCTATATACCTAGTAACCATGTAGGGACCCCCTTTTCACATAATCAGCGCAATCAAGCTCAGCCTAGTATCCCGACAAAAGAAAGGCTATGCTTGCCGCCAAGCTGGTAACTAACAAGTCAAATCTCAGGCTTCGTAATCCAAGGCATTAATTAGTACCATTTGAACTCATCAATATCGCTACCATAATGTCATTATATCACAGCACTCGCTGTCACCACTACCACCCACACCATTTACAGTTTGCCCTCCACCCATCCTCATTCTTCCAATTCTCGTCCAAAATCAATCAGTTTGATCCGTGAAATATCTCTTGGGTGGTACTGCGCCACTTTGGATCGTATTAGGAATCGAACGGCAGCGGACTCGCGCCCGATATTCACGTACGAGTCCTCCGTGTTACCCGCCGCGTCAGTCATCTTGTTGAGCAGCTGCTCAGTGAGCCATCGCATCTCCTCCGCAGCAGCTTCCACGTCGTTTAGCGGACGCCTCCGCTGATTATCAGCTGCCGGACGTCGGCCACCACCCTCCCCATCCCTGCCCCAGATCTCGTCGATGCGCCGCTGCCCCTTCTCCCGGCCAGCGTCGCCCTTGCCCGTCTTTCTGAGCCTGCCCTGTGCGGTGAATCCGGCGGCTAGGTCGTTGGCGTCAACGTCCATCAAGTCTCCCACCACCGGCCCCCCCATCTCTTCGGCTACGAGGAGCGGCGCGAGTTCGCGCTCCATAAATGCTAGGAGCTCAATCATGAGCTGCCGCTTCCTCCTGCTGTAGTCCTTGGCTTTCTGCCTCAGCTCCTCCCTCTTTGCGCTCACGGCATCGCCAAGTGTGACATCTGCGTTTGAGCTTAGCTCCTCTTGCAGCGACGCTATTCGCGCTGTAAGAGCCTCGTGTATGAGTTTTTGGTCTTTGAGCGCCGCACGGTCGGCTTCTAGCCGCTTGTCCTGCGCTTCCTGTGATTTGGCTTGCTCCTCCACAAGAGCATTTGACTCTGTAATAGTCGCGTGCGTCTTGCGCAGGGCTATTAATGAGGGTAGTAGAGAACCGGGGATGGGCACAAATGGCTCTGCATCAGTGACTTTGTCCAAGGCGGCAGTAATGACCTGGACTTGGGCTATGGGTGAGAGAATAACGTCTTCCTGAGAGGCGCGTAACTGTACTGTGTTAGACTTTGTCTGGTCTGTGACCCATGGACAACGTACTCTACTCAATTGCTGTTCGCGTTCTCGTACTTCACGCCGTAGTTCTTTGAGCGTATACTCGAGATTGTTGGCATGAGTGGTGTCTTCGGGGGACGCCATAATGCTGCTGTGATGATGAAACGTCAAATGGGGGATTTTCAGCGGAAGACCATCCTTGTTTCGTCAAAGCTGTTTATTTCTTCACTGGTATCCGTAGATCATCCCTGCATCCAACACAGAGCGTCCAGTGAGACCCATGAGCGCGTATCGCGTTGACCCGAGCATTCTACGGGTGCGTAGTCGAGCTCGCACTGTATTTTGTAGCCTGGCTGGCCTCGCACAGTTGAATCGCGCTCGTTGTATCTCTTCACTAAGCGCTGCCTTTCGAATTACGTTCGCACTGTCCCCACCAGACAAACGTGTTCCGCTTGCAATATCGGGAGAGCACGTGACTCATCGAAACGGGGCAAGGCATCAACTCTCTGGGGGCAAGTCCAAGGAGGCCCCGTCCTTCCCTTTGCGCCGCGCGAGCTACTTGCTTTACCCTAATCATCGCCATCCCTCACCTCGTTTTTCCTGAGGATTGGGTTTTCAGCATCCTGGCACTAGTGTCGCCGAGTTGTAACCCGTTCGCGACTGATTTTTTTCCGATCCGCGACGATCCCCACAGACGACGGTTGACGGTCCTTGGCACGAGTCCTTTGCGCTTTTCAGCAGCGACATCGAGCTACCTACCAACCACCTAGGTAGCCCCGACGCGCATCCTGCGACAGGACGTACTGAGGCTATACTTGACGTGACACCAAGTCAAGCGATACCACGAGAGCGTAGCGACGAAAGAAAGAAAGATAAAGATAGGTTTGAGCTGGTTGCCTGCCTCTTCCATTCCCAAGAGAACTCTTCCATCCTCGATTTCGCTACACCATCCTCTCTTCCATCTCAAGTCATCCAACTCCTCATCTCGCCTCTTCGTCCTTCCTTTCCTCTGCATCAGAGTCATTTCCGGCACTGTTTCTCGATCACGAAATCGCACATTCTTCCTGCCTCGGCTTCTTGAAGCTTTCCTCTGCCACCTCTCTCCAGCCCGCCCTGCCCAAAGGCTGCTCGACGCCACTTCACGAAGACTTCACACGACTCGAGCTCCTCGACCCCGCCCGTCACTGCACCAGCACGTTTTCCTCCTGAAAACCCCCTGAGTGTAGATAAGACGATATCAATAAATATTCTATCAGAACGACTCTTGTTAAGCACGTTCAAGAAACAAACGCGTGAAATTCTGAGCCATGTCTTCCTCACCGCCACAGCCGACCCAGTCGACGAAGCGACCCCTGGAGGAGGCTTCCTCTCCTTCTCGCGCTACAGACCAACCAGATGCAAAGCGTCCCGCTCTCGACAAAGTTCTCAAGAATGACGCCGACGCCAAGCACACAAAATCGTCCGAGGACGCGACCGACAGCATCGACAAGAACGGTGAGGACGCTTCTAATGGTTCAAAGACCGAAACAGAGGCTGGCACTGGCGAGGCCACTGCCGACGACAAGGTGGCTGCCACAGCCGGTGCAGCCTCGTCTTCTGCCGCCGCGCATGATGAGACGTCCTGGATTCACATTCGCGCCGTCATCTCCAGCCCAGAAGCCGCCACCATCATTGGCAAGGGTGGCGAGAATGTCTCCAACATTCGCAAGATGTCAAATGCCAAATGCACCGTCAGCGACTACCAAAAGGGGGCCGTCGAGCGCATCCTCACAGTCAGCGGCATTGTAGATGCGGTGGCCAAGGTAGGTAGTCGGCCTTGGCAATGCATGTCACCATTCACTAACCTGACCCTAGGCTTTCGGCCTGATCATCCGTACACTCAACAATGAGCCGTTAACAGAGACCTCCACTGCGTCGTCAAAGACGTACCCACTGCGTCTCCTTATTCCTCATATCCTCATTGGCTCTATCATTGGAAAAGGCGGTGCTCGCATCCGCGAAATCCAGGAAGCGTCAGGGGCTCGGCTTAATGCTTCGGATTCCTGCCTTCCTATGTCCAGTGAGCGTTCGCTGGTAGTGATGGGCGTTGCTGATGCTGTCCACATTGCAACGTACTATGTTGGCTCGACCCTTCTTGAGCAACTGAACGAACGCTTTGGCGGACCTGCTTCCTCCGCCTATGCTACCAGGAGCGGTGCACCCGCTGGCTCTATTCCCGGTGGCATGCAAGTGGTTCCTTACAGCCCGCAGCCTGCCTCTGGCCAATACGGCCGCAGCGAGAACTATGGACGCCACTCCGAGCGTCGCCCACCGATGCCAGCGCCTGCTCCCTACCCGGCGCAGTATCCTCCTCACGCTGGTGCCCAAGCAGCAGTCCCCAGCCTGCCGATGCACTATGGCGGCCAAGGTGGTGCCTATGGGGCAGCTGCTCCTCATGTTCAGCAACACATGCCACCGCACACTGGCGCGCAGCCTCACGGTGGCCCTCAGGCGCAAAACATGCATGCTGGCATGCCTGGCGGACCAATGACTCAGCAGATTTACATTCCTAACGACATGGTCGGCGCAATCATTGGCAAAGGTGGATCGAAGATTAATGAGATACGCCAGTTGAGTGGCAGTGTCATCAAAATCAACGAGCCCCAGGATAACAGCAACGAGAGGCTGGTTACAGTCACGGGTACCGAGGAATGTAACCGCATGGCTCTGTACCTGCTTTACTCTCGACTTGGTACGTCTGAAGCAGCGGCACAGGTTGGATCGAAAACTAACAACATTATAGACTCGGAGAAACACAGGATGTAGAGTGCACAGGGCGATTTTGCCGCAGTTGCGCTGGAGGACGGTGACAGGGAATGTTGGAGGGTGCTATGTATTAACCGCTTTACATCCTGCTTTGGAACTTGTTTCTTTCTACGTATCAATTTGTAGTCGTTTGGGTCGAATTCAAGGATAATCACGAGAGGTCTGTATTGATTAGTCTGGGGTTGTTGTTATGGCAGTATTTGGTTCTGGGAGTTTCTATTGCAATTTGCGATTTCATTAGGGAACTGAAGCTGATGTTGGCGAAGAGTGTACGTAAAATTGGGTGTTTAGAAACAGTCTTTTCTACACGATGTTTCCGTTCTATGAATAGGTGCGTCTACATTTCGAGTCCAGTCATGAACTTCAACTTCGCCCGCCCTCATAATTTGGACTGCTCCAGGGGGGTCAAGGTTCTCAGCGACGGTCCGCCACGACTTCCGTCCCCGATCTTGACCTCACTGGCGCCCGATTCTGGACGCATGCGCCACTTGTATCTCAGACTCTCCGGGGCCTTGTTCTCCAGGCAATCGACCACATACTTGCCTAGTACCGGGAGGAACTTGAACGCACTGCCGGTTTTGTCAAGTCAGCTTCTACACCTAAAGAGGTCCTCTTGATAAGCCAGATAGATGGCGAAACTTACTGTCCTGAGCCACCAGTGGCCAGAAAGACTCCGGGGACCTGTGGATGGTGGTCAACGATGAAGTCGCCCTCGGGCGTGTCCGAGTACCAGCACAGCCGCAGCCGTGACCACGGACGCTCCGCAAACTCAGGCACCAAGTCTCGCAGGCCCTGTCGCAGCCCCTCCTGCGCGTCCTCGGGCGCGAACGAGTTGCGCGCGTTGTCCGCGTCCCTGCGCGGGCACGACATCACGCGCACCGGCCCGCGGCCGTCGTCCACCGTCTCGGCCGTCGCGTAGCCGTAGCCGTGGCGCGCCACCTTGAGCACGTCGGTCCCCGGCGTGGGCGGGAACACGAAGACGCCCGTGTTGGCGTTGATCATGACCGGCATGCCGCGCAGCGCCGCGGCCTCCTCGGCGGTCAGCTGCACGAAGCCGACCGGCTGCGCGGACGCGGAGCTGGCGTGCGCGACGCGCCTGGGCGATGCTGGCGGCGGCGTCGGCCCAGCCGCCCCGGGGGTTGTAGAAGGCGCGGAAGCCGTCGAGGCGCGCGGGCACGCAGGGCAGGCGGGCGCACAGCGAGGCGGCGTCGTCGTAGAGCTCGATGGTGCGACCGAGCTCCTCGTCCACGGCGACGCACTGCTTCGTGTACGCAAAGTACTCGTCCCCAGCGGCCCCCGGGCGGGCCTCGTTGAGCATGAGGAAGCCGCACTGGTGGTAGTGCGCCGGGTACTCGGCGGCCCAGCCGGCGACGGCCTCGCGCGCCATGGCGCCGTACAGCCGGTCGCCGTAGTCGAAGCGCACGATGCGCGAGAGGTCGACGCTGCTGCCGTCGGGGGCGGGCGGGGCGAAGCGGTCGAAGACGGTGAGGTCAGTGTAGCCGCGCGTGGCGAGCTCGAGCGCGGTGGAGAGGCCGAAGACGCCACCGCCGACGATGAGGATGGCCTCGTCCTTGCCGGGCGGTGGTCGGGAGGTCATGGTTCTGGTTTGTTGCAGATGTGTTCTGCCAACGTGCTACTGGTCGCGAATTCAGTACGATGTTAAACAAATATATTATAAAACGGAAGCTGCGTGGTATCAGATTATATACAAAGCTGGTATGGGGTTCGTGCCGGTAGTAGCCAGACCATCCCCGGCGCCGTTGATCGGAGGGCGCGGGCCGTGCCCACCTCCCCTACCGCCGGACTGTTGCCGTCCCGCAATTGATCATGTTGGACTGCGCCGATCATGTCGAGCTGTTCTGCTTTCTTTTTCTTTCGTTTTCCTTTATTTTCCAAGTCTAGTTCGAGGTTTTTCTTGCAAGTATTGTGAAGGTTCGGGGTGGCGCCGGAAAGCCCATTTGCTTAAAGTGCCCAGCCTGTCGAACGTCGATGCCTCGTTGGGCGCCACTCCGGCCCGACTTCTGGACGCTCCAGGATACAAGACTCGGCCACTTGTTTGCTCTTGGCGGCTCTCAGAGTTTATGGCATGCTAGGGTTTAAAATTATTTTCGTTTTTTCTATTGAGAATCTCGCCAATTAGAGAATAGAATGAAGTTTTAGCTAACTTAAAGGGTAGGCAGTAGCCAGCCAGAGGGTCAAGTCAGGCAGGCAGCACTTAACTAATTACTCACCTAAAAATCTCGATAGAGATTTTATACAGCTAAAATGTAATACATCACTTCGCGCGCGCGTGGACGATTTCATTCCTCTTTGTTATGACTCTACTTCCCTGCGATCGTCGGATGAACCATTGAGCTCTTGAGAGCGCCAGGCGATGTTCCTTTCGCCGGTGTCTTTCAGCCAGCAAAGAGTGTCTCTATGACGTTTCGCGATATCGTTGAGGAGATGCGTCTATGTTTTGAGTTCCCGCGCGAGAGCTCGGATGTGTGGAATCAAGTTGCCTTTGGCCTTTTGGACATGGTGAATATCGCTGAGGAGAAATGTCTTGCTCCCAAATTCGTGCCTAGCAGTGGGCTGGATCAACCAGTTCCGGCCCTTCCTGAGCTAAGAGCCAATGCCCCTGAAGACCGTGCGATCCTCCAGTACCGACTTTTGAAACACCGGGCTTGCAACTTGGCAGCTGATAAGTCGTTGAAGCATCATTTCGACGGTATCTGCAGTTACTACTAGGTATCGTTCCCGTAGTGAACGTTACTAGCTGATCCTTTGTAGCTGGATGCGCGCAACATATCTCCCAACCTGTCCGGCGAGTAGAGCCACGCTACTTGCCTCCTAAGACGGCCTCAACCGACCCTCACCATACGACCTATCCGCTCCGCAAAACAATGCGCGGAAGGAAGTCTGCTTCCCCCTCGAAGCGATCAGCATCTGGTTCCATGTCACAACGTAACGATGTGGATCTGAACCAGGCTGATGACGACTTCGCCAGCATAGGTGCACCACCAGAATGCAACATCTCCGACGAAAGAGCCAGAACGACCATGGCCAACTTTCGCAGCTCTTGCCTTGCGTCAGCCAAGCATTGCGCCGTCACTGGTATGGGATGCTCTTGGATTGGCAGCCCGACCATTGGTCCTGCGCTACATGCCTGCCACATTGTACCCCAGCTGCATTATCATACATACCCTTCCCCGCCAGACGATAGCTAGGATATAGGCAGCATAGCAGCAGACCCGCACCTGTTAGAGCAAGCCTGGGAGCGCACTTGGGCACCAGAGAATGGCATCCTTCTTTTTAGCCCTCTCTACGACATGTTCGACCAGCGGCTCTTCTCGATCGACCCGGAAACTCTCCAGATCCGCGTTTTCATGCCATACGACATACTCCTTGCCTACCATGGCCGCAAAGGGCAAATGCAGCGTCTGGTGTCCAGGATTGCACTGCGCCATCACTATGACATGTGCTGTATTGAGAATATGGCCGCCCGGAAACCCTTCGTGGAGCCCTGGACGGGAAGTATTGCGTCTACATCGGGCATCGGTACTCCGCTGCAACTTCGAGCAGCGCGTAGCGGGATCGCAAGCCTGGAGATACTAGAGTCGCCCTCTAATCAGCAGGGTCAAGAGTCCGGCGGTGACCCCTCTAAGCGATCGCGACAGTCTGAAAGACAAGAGGGCCAGCAAGTCAAGCATAGTAGTTTTATCACACCAAGCAACAGTGAACAGTTTTTAGCGAATGTCAACTGGGGGCTGAGAAACTTAGCAAGAGAGCCTTATGTCTAGCGGTGGGCCAGCAGATAGCAACATCTCGGATTCTATTTTTGGAAATGGTATCGCACCGCACAGGTTTAGCTTAAAAAAGGCAGTTTTTGCCATATCAATAACAATATCTTCTGTCGAAGTGCGGCACGCAGGTTTCCCTCCGGTCGTGGTGAAGCTCCAAGAATACCCTTACTTTCGTCACCATACCTGGCCCTGGGCATCTACGCCAACCTCAGTCCTGCCCCCGCTGGGCATGCTACATCTAGACCGCAGGCTAAGATCACTCACGAAAGGAACAATAAAGCAGTAAATTGCATCATAGTAATAATGCAGCAAATTTCATTTAATTTATTCCACGCTGCTTTTTGCCCGTGAAATCCCAACCGCTACAGCGCATGACTGCCACTTGTCGGAGATCATGTGGGTACGGATACGGTCCGGGTTCTCCGTCCCCACCCGGCCCGTTGACGCCGATGGACACGGGGTCCCACTAGTCCGGGGTCTCGGCCAGGGTCCTATTGCAGCCCGGGCGCGCCACGAGGGCAACTGATTTGGGGTAATGGGGGGGAGAAGGCTGTCGGATCGTCTGCTATAATAAGGGAAGAAAGGTTCGCTGGGAAACGGAGGATGGTCAGGCGAGCTTTGTTGCCATCAGATTGCTAACTGACCCACCAACAAGACTTGGAACCAATACAGTCTTGCATACACAAGCACGCACACATACACGTACACCACTATGAGTTGGTTCGGGTTTGGCAAGGGCCAGAGCACGCAGGCCGAGAGCGGCGAGCCCAAGGCCACCCCGGCGCTGCCCGCGGCGTGGTACAGGTCGCCCGCCATGTACGAGCTCGAGCGGCGCGCCATCTTCTCCAAGAAGTGGCTGCTCGTCACGCACAGGCTGCGCTTCCCCGAGACCGGCAGCTACGTCAAGATCACCGAGGCCGGGTACACCTTCTTCCTCATCCGCGACCGCCAGGGCGAGATCCGGGCGCATCACAACATCTGCAGGCACCGCGCGTACCCGATGGTGGAGAAGGAGTCGGGCAAGGTGTCGATTTTGGCCTGCAAGTATCACGGTGAGTTTTCTTTCTGGGGTAATCAAGTCGTCCGGACACACTCTGATCGTCTGACGTGGTGGCGGCAGGTTGGTCGTATGGCTTCGATGGGCATCTTGCCAAGGCGCCCAAGTACCAGGAGATTCCCGCCTTCAAGAAGGAGGACAATGGGCTCTATCGGATCCACGTGCACGTCGACTCGCTCGGCTTCGTGTACGTCAACCTGGACGCTGAGGAGAGCCCCGCCGTGTCCTGGGAGCAGGACTTTGCCACAGTGGACGAGCAGCCGCGGCTTCTCAAGTTCGACATGACAAAGTACGCCTACGACCACAGTTGGGAGATGATCGGCGACTACAACTGGAAGGTGCTGGCCGACAACTACAACGAGGCAAGTTCGTCCCATTGCGGGAAGCGAGAGAGGGAACTAACAGGGGTCTTGCATTACAGTGCTATCATTGCCCGACCGGACACCCGGCGCTGCCCGCCGTGACGGACCTCTCCAAGTACTGGGTCGAGACGGCCGGCACGCACATCCAGCACTACGCCGTCGACAAGGCCGACCCCGAAGCAAAGAGCCTCGGCAACGTCAGCACCTACTACTACCCAAATGCGTCTTCCACAGTCACGTACGCCTGTCCCAGACAGATCCAGACCGAACGTGTTCTCCCTACGATCTCATACTGACATTCAGAAAAGCCCCCATTTCTTCTTCATCCAGCGCTGCGTGCCTCTCTCCGCCACGCAGACGCACATGGAGTACGAGGTGTACCGCCAGCTCGAGGCGACCGACGCCGAGTTCACCGAGATTGCCGACTTCTTCAAGAACATCATGATGGAGGACAAGGAGCTCTGCAACGGCGCGCAGCAGAACCTGAATGGCGGCATCTTCCTCAACCCCCCCCCCCTCCCCCCACGATTGGTTTCCAGATTTCTGTTCCAGATTCTGAGTAGTGCGACGGCTGACGGCGGGGTCGAAACGACAGGGACCTCTGTTCTTCCAGATGCTAACGAGGAACCTCGTCACGGACCATTACGAGGACGAGCAGGCGGTGGGAGAGGAGATTTGGCCGGCGGTGCCGAAGCATCGCGTGTCAGAGACGATGCAGAAGGATGTAGACCTGTGCAACAAGCTGGACTGCGCCGCGAATGGGCTCGCCAGCGCCGAGCTGGCATGGTAAATTGAGCAACGACTTTCCTCCCAATTTTATGAAATCACGATTCACGCTTAACGTTTCCTGTATACCCTTGCTTTCATTAGTTAGTTCAATGTAGCCCATGTCTTGACAACTTCATAATACATCATGGCTCAGCCAGGTATCAATCGCCTTGCCAAAGTCATTCGCCTGCAGGAACAGATGCTCCTCGCCGTCCAAGCCACCAATGCCCTCGAAGAATCGATCCTCCACCGACACTAGCATCGGCCCTGCCGTCCCATCCTCTCCCATGTCCCCCATCCCACCACCACTGCTGCCCACCAGCACGCCGACGCCGCCCGTTGTAAGTGGCGGCAGCGGCGGCGGTGGCGGCGGAGGCGGGGCCGAGTCCTCGTTGGGCGCGTAGGCAGGCGTCTCCTTGGACACGGCCTTGTGGCCGGAGATGCCCGCGGAGCCGACGAGGTCAAACTCGGCGGCGGCGCGCACGTCGTCCTCGCCACGCACCTTGGTGCCGACCTTGAGCGTCTTGCCAAAGATGGACTGGTCGGCGCCGGCATCGGGCCGGCCGGCGCGCTCGTACACGAGAATGTCCCACAGCAGCTGGGCGTCGATGGAGAAGGAGTCGCGCTCGTCCGGGAGCGAGGCGCCGTCGTGCGCCGCCGGGGGCGAGTACAGCAGCCCGACGCTTTCTCGAAGCTTGGCCAGGTTGTTTGCCTTGATTTAGGTGTTAGCAGCAGCAATACCATGGAAAGTTGTCATCGTACCATGGTGGATATGTAGGGCCAGGTGCCACCCATGCGTCGCAGAAAGCTGATACACTTCTCAAATCCTTCCTGCGCCTTGTCACGCAGCGGCCTGTCCTTGACGAAGCTGTGCTGCAGATGTATCGTCGCCACGACCGCGATGCAGTGCGCCAGTGCCGGGTCCGCAATCTGAAACGACTTCTTCTCCAGCATGTTGATGAAGTACATGATCCAGCCCGCGTGGCGGTTGATGTACTCGAACGAGTGGTGGATGAACGACTGCGGCAGGGTTTGGCGGAAGTTCTTCAGGCGCATCGACAGCAGGAACGGGTGGTTGACGATGCAGGGGATCAGAGCGTAGATGATCTGTATGTACAGCCAGGGACCCCAGTAGTCGCGGCGGCGCTCCAGGTCGCCGGCGTCCTGCTCAGCGAACTTATTGGCCGCGAAGCGGTACCGCAGGGGCACGCGGCAGTCAAACTCGAGGTGCAGGTTCATGACGCTCGAGTAGTCCGAGTGCTGGTTCCACGGAGGCGGCGCGTCCGAGCTCACGCGGCAGGCCGCGTAGGACCGCGCCATGCGCCATGCCTCGCTGAGCTCTAGCACGTAACGCATGATTCCTGCGTCCATTTGGCTGCCACCAGACCCGGTCACGGAGCCTGGTGGCGGCGGCTGTGGTTGCTGCAGCTGCTCGCGGCCACCGGCGCCAGAGAGGACGTGCATCTGCGAGATGGGCGACGGCTGCCCCCCGATGAGGGCACTTCCGGGGCCCGTGGCAGGCGCAATGCATCCTTGCAGGTTCTGCAGCATCATGATACTTCGGACACAATCGTCAAACTCGTCTGCATCGCCCAGCATGCTGTTGGACTGAACGCTCTGCGCCAGGTGGCTGGCAATGGCGACGTGAAGCCCTGCCTGTGCGATTTTGCCGTCTATCACAGTTACTACAATGTTTCTTGGCCTTTCCTGTTGATCATCTATTTCTCTCACCTGCAAACTCAACCATGCTCAGTATGCATAGAGTCTGTAATGTGGAAAGCTCAACGGCCGAGCTCGCGATGCGATTCATGACGGCGCTCCGCGACTCGCGCTCCATGGAGTCGAGCTTTTCCCGCTTTTGCGGCGTCAAGGTGCTCGGGGGATACCGCAGACTGAGGGCTTGCAGCGCCAGGATGAGCTCCAGATCTCGAAACGTGAGGGAGTCTAGAAACGTCTCTGGATCGAACAACGCGATGGGTTGCCCGTGACACCACGCCAGGTAGAGGCGGCCCATGGCGAGCATATTCTCCTTAGGAATTAACAGGTCACTGGTGGACAAGTTATTGATATTGAGAGCTTGGAGGTGAGAGTCAGTGTCAGTGTACCTCAGGGCCGCATCATGGTCATTATTCCAGTTCCAGCATGGGATGTCGCCCGCGCTGGCTGTCCTGGTCCGGCCCGGTCTTCCAGCTGTGTGTTGGTAAGGCGCAGCGGGCGAACGAGAGGGTGCATTTACAGGACTGCGCTTTTCGTCAGTGCTATCTCGTTCTTTTTGATTGTGGCTCATACCTGACTCTCTCAATCAGACGATCCATCTTCTCCTCCAGGCTATCAATCCGATATTCCTACAGCACCATCCGTGATCAGTATGCAGTCAGCGACACATGCGGTGCTGTCAAGGGGCATTACCATCTTCCTATTGTGCCTTGAAGGTCCTTGCTCTGCATCGCCGCCTCCATTGTTGTACACGCAGAGCTGGCCCAGGCGCTGACAATAGGAACAAACGGGCTTCTCCCCGGGACATCTCGATTTTTTGCGTCTGCCGTTGCATCAGTACGGTGATGATGATATAAAACGCCCGAGGGGAGCTATACCTGCAAGGTTCGCAAGCCTGACGAACTCGCCTGTTGAATCGTGCACCGTCCATCTTGCTAAAATCCGTCGCGTGGTGCCGAAGCCCGATAGCTATGTGTTCTTCTGGACGAATCTGCGATGGGAGAGGAAGCCTTCGGAGATACAGCGCTGGGCATGCATCATCACCCCGATGAGCAGTCAAGGGCAAGAAAAGGGGTACCGTCCAAGGAAAAGGTCTGTATGAAGAACCTACATCCCTGTTGTTTGTGGGAGATGGATGGTTGGTGGCGTGCAGCGACTGGGTCCAGCCAGCCATGAATGAGATCGAGGCCTAGCGGCCGAGTACGGCGGGGTCGGGGCCCTCGGAGTCAGTCTTCTGACCAACTGCTGGGGGTGGCATGAAGAACTGACGTTTGAATGCAAGGGGGTATCTCTGTGTGTTGATCTGGCGGTGATGCTTTATACTTTATTATCGACCTCGATTTGTGATCCTTGCCTTCTTGCCAGTATACCAGTGCATAGATGCAACTCTTGCTTGTTAGTCCGCCGCAACCCACCGCTCGCACGGAAGACGGCCCAATGTTTCGCTTAATAGAGGTGTACTTTTGTCAAGCAAAAAGGCACTGTAGTGGGAAGGTATAACAGTGCACCTAAATTTATCAGGCCATACGCGGTGCACCTCTATGCAGGATCTGCCGTTGGCCGAGTTCTCAATATGGGACAAGCCCGATCAGCTGAAGCCACGCCTCAACCGCAACTACAACTATACCGCTTGGGCGACATGTCAGGTTTAAAACCACATTTTCTATAAAAAGTATGAGAAATATTTCTTACATCACTAGAAGCTCTGGTAGAATCCTCAAGAAGGGCCGTTGAAAGATACAAGAAGCTGTTCCACATCGTCTAATAAGCTGTATATGATATCATTACCACGTGCCATACATCGTATGTCGTGCGACTCTAAACTTCTTCCGCAAGTTTCTCAAAAGCCTGCTTCAGGTCGGCTTTCAGGTCCTCCTCCGCCTCCACGCCGATGCTCACACGCAACAAGTTTCTCGCGACCGTCTTATCCGTCATCGCGCGCCACTCAATCAGGCTCTCGACGCCGCCCAGGCTCGTCGCGTGGTGGAACAGTCGCAGCTTGCTCGGGAGCCGCCTCGCCAGCGCCTCGCTCTTCATCGCCAGCGCAAACACGGGCCCGTAGCCGCCCGGCATCTGCCGCCGCAGCCAGCTGCCCTCGTCCGCCGCCTCGGGCTGCAGGCTCGCGTGCTTGACCTGGTCGACGACGCGGGCCAGCGAGGATGCCGGGTCCGCCGCCTCGCGCGCCAGCCACGCGACGAGGTCCGTGGCGGTCCCGCTCTGGCGCAGCACGCGCAGCTCCATGGTGCGCATCGACCGCAGGCCCAGCCAGCCCTCCATGCTACCCATGACACAGCCCAAGATGGAGCGCTCGTACAGCATGGCCGGGAACCACTCGTCGTGGGGCAGGCGCGGGCTGAGCGCCAGCACGCCGCACAGCATGTCCGAGTGGCCGCCAAAGTACTTGGTGCCGCTGTGCATGACGACGTCCGCGCCGTGGGCGAACGGGTCCTGCAGGGGCGGCGGCGCAAAGGTAGCGTCCACCGTGAGGTACGCGCCGGCCGCGTGCGCCTTGTCGGCGTAGTATTGCAGGTCGCGCGCCTCGCCGGTCGGGTTGAGCGGCGTCTCGACGTGTACGATGTCGCCGGGCTGCAGCTCGGACGGGTCGCAGTCGAGCGGCAGCTTCTTGAGGCCGGTCAGGCGAGATTGGATGCCAATGATGCCGTGGCAGCCGTGGTAGCCGTCGCCGATGGCGATGCGCTTCGGGTTGATGCGGACGAGCATCATGTGGAAGGCGGCCAGGCCCGAAGCGTAGGTCAGGGCCTTGCCGCCGAGGACGGAGCTCAGAAGCGCTTCGAGACGAGTGGTGTTGGGGTTGGTGTAGCGAGAGTAGACGTGGGAGTCCAGGGGAGCGTCGGGCTGAACAGAGCATTGTTAGATTCATCTATCGTGGCAAATGGGTTTCGATACAGGGGTTCTTGCATCAAGATAGACTTCAGGCTGGAGCATCTCTGGGTCATCGTTATAACGAAACGTCGTGCTGACATGCATGGCCGGGGCAACCGCTCGGTGTGTAGAGATGCCGTCATCGCCATGGATGAGACGCGAGGCCAGCGAGATGCGAGTATCGAGCGCTTCAGCGGCTTGGTGGTTAGAGATGCCTTCGTCGCCGGGGTTGGGGCGCAATGCTAGCGAGATGCTCGCATCTTTCTGATCTTGTTCGCTCATTTTCTAGGGACGGGTGGCTTTAGTACCCGGTCGGTGTTACGCTGGCCGGTGACGGTTATGTCGGTCGGATTGTTTCGTAACCGTAACGCGAATGCAACTAGGATGCCTATGAGACGCACAAGTGAGGCTCGGATGATGGAACGATAGACATGTTAAACGCTTAAAAAGAAGCTTCCCCTCTCGTCATTGGCAAAGGGCGTAATGTACAACCAGACGCCGGACTGCTTCGGCGGGGCAGACTCGCCGTAATAACCTCCGATAACGAAAAGTACAGATTAACTACTGGGCGCGCCGAGTCGCCCACCGAACCCGGCCTAGGTAGGTACATAGTCACCAACTCCAACGTAGTTAGCACTGTGGGTACGGACATGGTTCCGTAAAATCCGTCATCGGCCCTCAATATCACGACGGTCTGGAGGTTTGGGTGGCAGTGGAAGCAAACATTGGCGTTTTCCTGGGGTAGGAGGCATCACGCGCCGGCCATGGGACGGAGGGGGACCCCGGCTCCCGGGCCTTGTTGGACCGATGTGGAGGTATCTATTAGATTTAGGGAATATTATCGACCATTTTATTACATGGCGATAGTCGAAGGGATAATTTGGGGTTAAAAGGTATTCGTCAAAGATTCTAGGTTAAATAATAATAATTATTGACTTATGGAGGAGGAAGAACCTATCGAGGCCCTGCTCGGCACCCACCACAATTATCTGTGGAAGTACCAGTAGGTCCCAGTCGTTACAACAGGTATCACATGCCGAATTCACAAAGCTTATCCATGCCATTGCACAACTCTGTAACGAGTGCCTGTCTCTATCCGTATAGTTAGTTAATGCATATCCCTGAAAGAAAGCCAATTCATTCCTCATTCGTTCATTACAGCCTCTATTAATGCATCGATCGCCCTGGCCCGCCCGTAGCCGGTAAGTCTCCACTCCAGAACGCCGATAAATACCAGTTAAGTTTGCAAAGGAAAAAAGTATTGATAGTTGAAATTCAGAGCTTGGAACTTGTCATCCCTCAGTCAGGCCGTCAGTGTCGCTCGCCGGTGGCTGGTGTTGCTGCATGTTCAACGCTGCCCAGTTCAGCGCCTTGGCCACTGTGCCCGCGCTTGCGACCACCCATGAGAAACCGAGGCATCGAGTCCTTGTCTTGGCTTTCAGTCAGCTTGGCGAAGAACCCGCGTTTGCGAGGCTGTTGTTTGCCATCGTCCAGTCCAACGTCCTCGAAACTCTCCTCGGGTGTAGGGGCCTGACGCTCCATTTTGCGATGAACGGAGAGTTGGTGACGTGGGAAGCGGGCAGAATCTAGGCTCTGACGCACTGGGGCGTTATGCTTGATCGGAGACCGCGCTGTGATGTCCTGTGGTCATGTTAGCCTCGTCAGCCACCTTGGCACCAGCAACAAGTGGCACACTAATGACACTGCCACATACAAAAGAGCGTCTGTACGAATCAAACGATTCTCGAGAGATGGAGAAGGGCTCAATATCGCCAAAACTGCTGCCCGTATCGGTAGAGGCACGCGACGACAGGTTTCTTTTGGGCCAATGCTGACCCTTTTCCTCCACCGGGGATGGCTGGTAGGATTGTTAGCATGAAACCACAGTAGGAGCGCCAGTCGGCTTTTTGAGGTAACTAGGTAATGAGGCGAATGCGTACCGGCAGGTAGATACCACTACCGTTAACAACTATTTGCGCAAAGTGTCAGCGTAATCGTGTGACGAGACCAGTATTGGCAATTGGTGGCTACGCGGCGTTCAACATGTTGGAAATAATGTTCTGATAATTGCTCGCGATGCAACAGTGCCCCAACGGCTCCAACAGGGTGTGTTTTTGCAGGGTGCGCATACCACTCATCTTGTATTCCCCGTTATCGTGGCTCCGACGGCTGCGAATGCTCATCGACGAGGCTTTCGAGCCCACCGTGTCTACTCTCTCGAAACCAGGAGAATCATTTTCCTGCGCCGGGCGCTCGTTTTCATTGTCGGGGATGACAAGCTCGGGGCGACGGGCGAAAGGGTTTCGGATCGGCATGTTGGCGGCGAAACGAAGCCTGTACGGTTATGACGTAGGTCGCTAATGCGGGTAGAAGCAGATTGGCAGGGTAAGTGTGAAATGCGACTGCGGGCAGTGACCAAGTCTCTACGGAAAAGCGTGAGAGTGACGGGAATGGGGGACGGGGCAATTGCGAAATAAATGCGACGGGACTTGTTTGCGTGAAAGAATTGAAGCTGGGAGAATGCGACACGGAGAGTCAGGAAGAAAGAGCAGGGCGGCGGCTGGCGCTGCTACAGGCGGGGTTTACAGGCACTACCTGTACAAGCTAGTGCCTGCTTTTTACAGGCCGTAGGTATGTATGTATGTACTGTACATACAGTAGGTGACCAGAGGCCTGAAAGGTTCCATTTGAACTGCCAGGCACGGTACCACCTACCCGCAACAGTAGGTTGGTACTAATCTGCCTTGGGCACAGGCACTGCTTGTGAGAGCATCTCACATGACGACGTCGTGCCAGGTTAGTAGCGAGGCCAAGTTTTTTGGCACCTCGGCGGGCGCGATAGTATGAGTGGTTTCAGCAGACAATGAACGCTGTAGCTTTGGCGCTAGGTGCACCGGTGCCGACCTACAGCGCCGATCCCCGAGGTTTCCACCGCCGGTGCCCGTCGAACCTTGGCAACTTGGCGGCTGTGAACCCCTCTCACGCCACTTATTCATTCGAAGCAGCTCACTTTCTCACGAAGTAAATGTTAGAGAAGGTGGCGGTTTTAGCCCGCACTCAACTCAATGATGGTCGAGCAGCACATGCGAGTAAAACCAGCGCTGTGAGATGTTGAGAAACAATCTCCGTACCTAGGGAATAGATGCCTCGGACCGGGAATGACTCTTTTCTGCTAACTAGCGCCCCTCGGCTGACAGACGGACCGTGACAAAATAATCAGCGGTTCTTTCAAGCAAATATGATGTGAGGACAGATGCTGCCCACTTGTTCGTGTTCTTGTTCTCTTCCGTAATACCCGATGCGACCACTCTCCGGCTCCCGCTGTAGGCACTGAACGAGGCGGCCGGGAACACCGATGTAAACGCCGGGCAGGCTAAACTTGTTTGTTCAGTCAGTATCCCTCGCTTTGGCACGTTACTAACCTGTTGCGGATTTCGGCGGTTATTTAGGTTCGGGAGCAAGGACTATCTACTTCAAGATCCCAAAACTGATACATTATGTAGCAAGGCAAAACATATCATACTTGCTCCGATGTAAGACGCGGGATGAACCAGTCTTCAACGGCTAATAAGGTGTGCGGAGGCGGGTCTGATGCCGGCAATGCCCTGTTCCTTCAATTGAAACCATGTCCATGCTTCCAGCTGAAACAAGCCCTGTAGATTTGCCGGGGATAAACTCGTTTACCCCGGAGAAGGTTAGTAACTATCCGTAACTAATCTGTACATACAGTACCTGTTTAATAATTAACTAACGTTAGTTATTAACTGCAACAACGGTGCGCTTCGCTTGGTAGTAACTTTGTACAGTTGTGCCCAGCATTGGGCACCAAGACAAATCCCGCAGTGCAGCCTGAACGCCAGTGATGGCATGACGGCCATGTCTTCAGCCACAAGCTCGGGTGGCGGCGACGGCCATGGCCATGGCGGCGAGACATCAAACAATACCACGATTGCGATCAAGCCCTCTAAGGTACGAATTATGTGCATCTACGGATATCCTACCTACCTGGGTAATTTAACAGGCACGCACGGATAACTTCCATTAAATTATGCCACCCAAGAATAGCCACTCTGTTCTGTGCAACCGCTGCATGCTCCCGCACCCTCAAACGGCTTTCCGTCGCTGTAGATGCAGCCGCAATTTATCCATCAATCCTGTCTCGTATATACATCTCGTAAAAAACGTAGCACAGCTTCTACGCTCATCACTGCAACGGCGCTTGACGTTGTCCTTCTCATCAATCAGTGCGTGGCTCCATGCGCCACACTTTGAGGTAATACAAAGCACTGAAAGAACGTGCCGCGCGCTCTTTCCCGTCGAAAGTCCAGGAGATTTGCTCTATTTTTTTCTTCAACTATTTCAACTTGTGTCGATATATCTTTGAACATGGAAGCTCTCCCTTAATTCACCGAAAAGTCAGCCTAATAATCCCAGATCCCCTGCGGTGGCCATGGCCTTTTTTATTGGATGGCAGCTTTGGCAGGAATTGAGTTTTGTTGGTACTCTACAACGCAACCGCCTATTACCAACGCTAACTTCTTCACTTCAAAAGGTCTTAGCATGTTTGATAGCAATCGTCTTCATGATAGGCTTCGTCAAGCTATGGCGAACAAACCAAATCCTGCGCCGCTACGAGCGGCTCGACGAGGAGAAACGCGCCCGACTCGCCGAAATGCAACAGCATGGTTTCGACATACCGGCCGTAAACGAGATACCTTTCGGCTCTCGAGCGATACAGAGTGGAATAGAGGTCGATGAAATATGGATATCTAGACCCAATACTCCTGCGCCAAGTCACGGCGCATCGGGCGCTACAACCATAGACCAAGGTTCGACAGACAGCGCCATGGCATCTCGCAAAGAACTATCTTCCACGCAGCACGGCTCGGAGAGCAGTTTTGAGAAGGGAAAAGGAAAGGCTGTCGCCCAGCCGCCCAGGGTAGGGCCTTCCAAGATCCAAAAGAGGTCTACCCTATCAGAGCAGCCGTTCAGCGAGGCAACAACTATCGATGGGGAAGGTTCCGATGATGCCTTCCCCGCATCAGGTTCGCAAGGCATTAATCGCCCTGTCGCAGGAAAGAGCAGCGAGCCTAAGTGCCGCTGGAGCAGCATACAAACTCCCAGCGATTTTGGTCCTGTAGCCGCCTCGAAGCCAGCTCCCAAACCAGGATCGGTGCCTGTCCCTTTTGGAACGGCCGAGGTGTTTGCCAACACCAGTACGCGGCGCACTCCTTCTGGGTTCGAAATATTTCCTGCCGGATCTCTCGGGAAGCGCGTCGAACTGGGCACATCAGAGAGCAGCACCTCTCCGTCAACCAAAGAGGAAGCACGTACACCGAACAAGTTGCAGAAGCCGAGACCAAAGGGGCCAGGCTAGGCTCGAGACAAGAGGTGTAGAACCAAGCCAGTAAGGTGGCTTCAAAGACCAAATCAACAATGCAGTTACCATCATTGGCTAGCATTCTAAGCTCGCTAGTTTGCAAGCCACTTAGTTACCTACTAGGTAGGTTGGAGGAAGCGACTGATGTGGATAACCACGAACAATTCCCCTCACCAAACCATGTTCACCATTCGGAGCCGAACGACACATCGGGAATAACGGCGAATCTGAGTTAATAGTTGACATCTACGAGAATATAAAATCTTTTGTACAAGATACTCGCCGGCATCTCGCCGGCAGTCCTCACATCTCCGTCCCCATCGAGCCTCCACGTACCCTTACTACCCTAAACTCAACCGACGATGACGAATTTTGTTACAGTCGCTGCAACTGGGTTCAAGAACGCCAGCGCATACGATGAGCATCGGCCGACCTATAACCCGGAGGTTGTTGATGCCATTGTTTCTAATCTAGGCCTTTCCGGCAAGAAGAATGCCCGGATTGTAGATATTGCGGCCGGAACTGGGAAGTTTACAGAGGTTCTTGCGGATCGAGATGAGCACTTTGAGATTGTTGCCGTTGAACCTGTGGAGTCAATGCGCACTACACTCGTGAGCAAGAATCTTGGTATTCGTGTGCAAGACGGCCTGGCGAGCTGTCTTGACCTGCCTGATGCCTGGGCGGATGCAATTACAGTAGCTCAGGTAAGTCACACGAGAGTTTCCGGTGATGAGCAAGGTTGCTAATAAACCGATAGGCTTTCCACTGGTGAGACGCGTGAAATACTCCTTTTTGTTATTCTGGATCCCAGGTCTAATCCATCTCAGGTTCGATAATGAAGAAGCGCTGGCTGAGATCCGCCGCGTTTTAAAGCCCGGAGGCAAGCTCGCACTGGTTTGGAACATTGAAAACTGTATGAGCACCCCCCACGGCGGCAACGACTTACTGACACATGCAAGATAACCAACCAGCATCCTGGACGACGTCGACCGAATGGGAAAACGCGATTAAGAAGCAGATCATGCAGCTACCAAGTATGGGCCCGAGCCGATTCCGTGATGAGAAATGGCCCCTGGTATTCCAGCAACAAGCAAAGAATGCATCTCCCATGTTCTCGACTCCCATCGAGACGGCCTCGGTGCCGTTTACTCTGTGGCTAAAGCCCGGCGCGCTATGTGATCGCATCAACACACTGAGTCAAGTTTCAATACTGGAGGGAGCCGATCGGGAGGCGTTCTTGGCCAACTTTAACAAGGCTGTTCAGGACGGCGATGGCGAGTGGAATGACGAGGGAGCAATTGCGTTTCACGGACATACTTTCTATGCATGGACGTCGCGCTTGTAACTTCACCATGGAAGCAATGAGTGCAACAGAAACAAAAGTTAATTATTTTTGATTCATCTACTCGTAAATCATGAGTCCGCAGAAATATACATGACTGCAGAGGCGTCAGAAGTCATCCCCATGTGCGTTGTGAAAGGAGCTTACCATTGTTTCCGCGCACAAAAGCGTCGCCATACTCTCTTCGCTTGACGCCATTGACAAATTCCTGTGTTTTTTCCAACGCAATGTTCATGTAGCCGTCCACCGACTGGAGTTCACCTATGAGGGAGTCAGTAAAGGCTGACGGAAACAACGCCGATCCGCCCTCATGCGCCCTGTCGAGATACTGTGAAGAGACGGCAGCGAAATATCATTTTCATACCCTTGTAGACGACGCCCGAGTTGAGCTTGACAACGACGGGATTGCCAATGATGTCGCTGAGGAAGCTGGAGGGGTCCTTGCCCTCGCCCTGCGCGCCGTTCTCCATGGTTTGATGCTGGAGGGGCTGTGTTTTTGGTGGGTGTTGTCGGGGGTGTTGAAGTGATAGTACCGTTGATGTTGAAGCCGAGAAGCTGGCCGAAGAGCTGTGGCCAAGACAAGATGGGTGCAATAGGCGTCGTGATTGAAAGGAAAGAGGCCTAAGATTTTGGCGCTGAATCTTGGCTTCGGCGAGAAGAAGCTGGCTGTGGGTACGTACCTCCAGCCTTCACACCCCACTGCTGAATTCTAGGCCCACCAAGCACGCTGCAAGGGGCCCCCGCGTTGTTCATCAAACAAGCGTGCACTTCAGAATATTGACTTCGTATTTCACTAACGATTTCGAACCTTCCGCGTGGAGGAGAAGAAAATACAAGCCTGCGTTCTTCCCCCGTTCCATTTCATCTTTGCTATGGCTTCTTGCTAATAAGCCCGTTTTTCCCATTTTTGCATTACATTGAAACTTTCTTTGCTCTCTTCTCTTTGCTTTCACGGGCTGGCTCGCGACCACCCACCGCAATGGTTGGCCTAACCGCGACCAAGAAAAAACTGCCGTTCGAGCCGACAGCTTTGCGAAAAGCGCGGCTGAAAGCTGGGTCGAACAGCGGCACCGGACACGATGCCCCGAAATCCTCAGTAGGCGAGCGCGAGCGAGGCGACGAGGAGGAGGCCCAGGGGGAGGAAGAAGACTCGCTGGCGCTGTTCCGTCGCGCCAAGGAGATGGCGCCGATCGTCAAGGCGGATCGCGAGTGGCAGCGGCGCAGGCAATTACAGAAACAAAAAGAACAAGAGGAGGAGGAGGCGCGCAAGACGGCGTTGGAGAGCAATAGTGCGTCGGCGGGTAGCAAGCATACGTTGACCGAAGAGGAAGACGGAGATGTTGACGTTGTGCAAGCGTCGACACCGATGGCATCTTCGGCATTAGCCATGTCAGAGGACGACATCATGGCCACACGGGAAGCATCAAACAATAGGTAAGGCGTGATGCTCTTGGGAGGAGTAAAGTCGGCTTGCGAGGCGCTAATCTCGGAAAATCAGGGAACTCATGACGCCGCCGTCCTCAAAACGCTCTCGGCACGGATTTTCGACCTCGTCCACAGAACCCAACGGCCCCGGCCTCACCAACACAGCAGAGGCACCTGACTCGCCCACGATGCGGACATTGCGCTCACTGGCCCCTGACCGGTCCATGACACCCGCTCTCTTTGCCACAAACTTGCACGGCAGCGGCGCATCCACCCCGACATACAATACACGTGCGCAGACCCGTAAGAGCGGTAATGTGCCTGCGGGATCGCAAGTTATATGTCTCGACTCAGATTCCGAGCCAGAGACTGCTGCTCCCGTCGCCGCCGCGCCCGTAGGAATCGCGAGTAAAGACGAGTCGCTAGACCTCGACCTCGATCTTGGCATACCCGCAATTGGCGACGATGATGACGACGAATTCGCCGACTACGTACGAAAGGCACAAGAGGAGCGCGACAGACACAATTTACAAAAAGAGCGAGCCGCGGAAGCCGCATCCTTGTTCTCGCCGACGGTTCAACCTGAAGGGGCTGCATCCTCGCTGACGCCAGAGCCGGCCCGGGACACCATCGACATCGTCGTCACGTCCGACATACCGGATACGAAGGGGTGTCTCATCAAATTCTACTTTGACCGGCCGCTGCGCAAGGTGCGTGACAGCTGGCTAAGCGCGCAGCGCCGGAAGGGTCTGCCCCTCGAGCGCATCTTCGGGCGCGACGAGGACGCCGTGCTCACCTGGCGCCGGAAAAAGGTCTACATGAGCTCCACGCTGCTGAGCCTGGGCATCCGGCCCGGCGAGGATGACACCGGCGTACCCCTTACGGACGGGCGCTTCGGCGGCGGCGGCGACGGCTTCAACGAGAGCGGCACGAGGGTGCACATGCAGGTCTGGACGCCCGAGCTGTTCGCGGAGATGGAGCGCGAGGAGGAGCGTCGTCTCCAGCAGGAGCTGTCCGCGGACCGGCAAGGGGTCGACGGAGAGCGGGAGGGCGAAGGAAGGGAGGACGGGGAGGGCGAGGAGGCGGAGGCGCCGGCGACGTTGAGGATCACGCTCAGGGCAAAGAGCGGGGAGCCGGTGAGGCTCAAGGTCCTCCCGGAGACGACGACGGAGACGGTGGTGGCGGCGTATCGCGCGCAGAGGGAGGTGCCGGAGGCGGTGGACGTGGGACTCTGGTTCGACGGCATGCGGCTGGCGCCGGACGCGACGATGGAGGATGCGGACATTGACGACATGGATACGATAGAGGTTCATGAGAAGTGATCGCGGAGGGGAGGGGATGCATTGCCTTCGTGTCCCGTTTCCATAAGGGGGGACGAACGGTTGCAGAATTATTTGGTTATATTTTTGGACTTCTTAAGCGGCGGGCATAAAACGATACCCGCAAATGGCACTTGGCGTTTCTTTCTTCTATTTTTTGGTTGTTGGCAATACTCAAATCCCAACGAATACTATGAAATTTTCAAATCACCATTAGTCAATACTGTGCTGCGAAGAACGGGCTTGGAAATGTACCGTGTAGCTTGTAATGAAAAAGTGCAAGGTAGTAAATTCGATGCCTAGGTAAGAAGCCATCAACACCTTCAACGCCAGCTGCCCTCGCAGCAGAGCCAATGGCTAAGACCAACATCCCAAACGCCGAATTATGAATGAGACCCCTATAAACACACTCAACGCCTCGCTGTATTTGACAACCCAATGATCCCATATCCTATTCCTGGCAAAAAGACATATCTAATTGTTAGGTAAACAGTTCCTTCATGCCGTTTGGTACCGACGGAGATGAAATCGTTCCGCAGTCGACTTTGCCATCGGAAACGGGGGTTGCTGGCTCTTCCTCTTTGACAGCACCTCGTGTCAGTAGTGCCACCGTAGATACTGCCGGTTGAGCAACATCGAGAGCAAGATTGGTAACCACCGATTTCGCATCGACGTTTTTGCCGGTGGGCACCCTCTTTCCCGTCTTGAAAAAGTCTGCGGCAGTCGACTTGGGCTGCGCCGGCTTGCCAGTGGTCTTCGGCTTGCGCGGGCGGGGCTTGGACGTCTTTTTCGTTTTGCCTGCTTCGCGCTTTTCGCTGGTGCCAAAACCGAGCTTGGTCTGCTTCGGCAACTTGACAGCTGCGAGTTTGGGACTGGCCTTTGGCGTCGGGATCGCCTGTGCCTCCTCTCTGGCCGACGTTGGCGTCTCGATGATGCTGTCGTCTGCGCTGGGCGATTTGGAGGGGAGGCGGATCTGAATATTGGTCTTGTTGGCATCGAGCTCATCCTTCTGGGACAGGAGGTAGGCATCGCCAATATCGACCGAGCGTGGCAGGGATGCGAGGTCGGCGACTGCATCGCACTTGGACTGCACCACCAAGTCCCAACAGTCCTTCAAGTCGGCGCCCTTGGGTTCTGGCGATAGATTAATCCAGGCAGTGAACCCGTCTTTTCTGCCTCGAGTGACTTGGCAGAGTTCTTTGACTAGTCGGCGCGTACCGGGAACCTTGAGTGTGGTGCCGACAACAATGACAGCGTCAGGACGTGTGCGAAGGTCCGCACTAGACACATTACCAATGGCCTCCTCGTCGGGATTATATTCGTTATAAAGGACAAATCTGGGCCGTATCCGACCAATTCCGTGACTGCGCTTCCCACCGAAGTTTGTGCGGATGGAGTCCTGTTCGGCACACGCCGAGCATAGTGGAGGCTCAGGACCGTTGAAAAGCTCAGGTTTCAGGGGCGATAGATCGGAGCATTTGGTGCATACCATGTGCTGCAGACCGCCGTGCAGCTGTATGGTCTTGGGCCACGGACCTTTGGGGTTAAGCGGCACATTTGTCTCCAAAGGCTTCATTTGAGTATCGATGCAATCGATGTTCTGGGAGTATAGCCTGAGAAGACGACCCTCTTGCGCTAGCGATGCCAACATGTGATGAAAAAGGGTGGGGGATGCACCGGCAGACTTTTTGGCCATGTCGCGGACCATATCGTGGAAAGATTGGGTAGAAGAGTCATGCTTGTAGACGGATGCATCGAAGAGATGCTTGCCAGAAGACTTTACATTGTACTGTTTCTTGGTGATGGCAAACAGACCGTTGGAGGAGCGAAAGTCGGGGATGCCCGCCGAGACAGAAATACCAGCGCCGGCGACGACGACAATTTTCTTCTTCTTGCGCAGGGCGGACAACAGACGATCCCTCTGCTCAATGTCTTCAGGCGTCAATTCGGCTTCCGTCTTGGAGAGATCGAGGCGCTTGGTTGTGCGATCTTTGGGAGCGGCCGCCTTGCGACGCTTGGAGGGGCGGTCACCGGTGCTACCATCGTCAGACTGACTGGCGGAGCGATCAGCGCGCTTGGCGGGCGTCTGGGAGCCGGGCGTGTCGGCGGACAGCGATTCGGGCGATGGGTAGCGTCTGCCAGTGGTGATGGGAACGATGGGCGAGTTGGGCAGGGATGGCGTCTTGGACAGTACGGACAAGGGCGACGATGGCGGTTCCGAGGCGGCACGTGGCGACGACGACGGAGGAGGGCTGAATGGCGATTTCGAAGAAGAGTATGTGTGCGTGGACGATGGCAGGTCCACCGAAGATTGCCGGCGCTCCATGACGAGGAGATGTGCGATTATGGACGAAACTGGGAGTAAATACGATAGATGGCGGAGGAGGGGAGGGAGCGTGGCCGTGAACGAGGGAAAAGACGCGAAATTGGAGCGAGTGCACTAGATCATCGCGTGGCCTCGAAAAGGTGAACTTTGCAAGCAATTACTGCGTGAGGTCCTGGGCAGGTTCTGTAATCGTTCTCGGCCAGCGGGATAAGCGCAATAGTCGTCCAAAGGAAGAAATGCGAGTGGAAGCGAACGATGGCGGAAAACGGGCGGCGAGCTGCGTGGATGGTGATGATGCAAGGAGGAGAAAGGAAGCGCCCGAGTTGTGAAGGGGCACCGCCGGAAGCAGAAACGCAAGTTAAAGTAGGCGATGGGAGCAAGAGCGGAGAGAAGATAGAGGACACAGGGGAGAAAGGGCAAACAACCGCGCGGGTGGGATTTTGGGGGATTCCACTTCTTTTTGGCTTCGGAAACACGGACGGCAAGGCAAAGACTAAAAGTTAGTCCAAGTTCAAGTCTTTATTGCGTGCCTCGAGTGGAAGGAGGAGTTGAGAGGAAAGAGAAGAACCAAAAGACGCCAAGAACGAGTCGGGTTGGGAGCTAAAACTGGCGGCGAGTTGGTAATTTCGAAAGGAATAAACAGTGGCTCCATAAATGTTATGCCTGATGAAAGACTTGCTTGGGAGGGAAGAAGGACAGGATGGGGTAATATAAGGTGGTGGTACTGGTTGAATAGTAAACAAGGCCGCTCAGGTACAATACCGCCCTTTCATGATTAACTAATCTGTATTACCGAAACTATGGCGGTTGCAAATTTTCTGTACAAGCTCAGAACCTCTTCGCAGGACGGACTGGCGGGTAGAGGCAATGTCGAATGGCAATGTCGATGCAGAGAGTTTGATTGTGGGGTTGGTGCAGAGCTGAGACGAGTTTCGAGGCTTGAAATGCCATGTCTAATTAATAAGAAAGTAGCTAGAAAACCGAGCTAGAATGGCGGGCAAATGTGCCTAGCTCAGTTATCCGCCTATATACCCAGTAACTACCTGTCTACTCGCAAAAATGCACAACTCCTTTGGCTTTCAAACCCGGCCACAAAATCACTCATGGCTTCTGCAGATAGGGAGCTGATAAAATGCTTGGCATCACGGGACATTTAGCCCTTAATCCATATGCAAGATAGATTCCCTGATGGCCAACTTGACAGATCGGCCGCTCAGAGAAGATTCCGCTTCGCGCCTCCAATGAAGTCATGCTCGCCAGCCAGCACAGCCAAACGGTATGCATCCCAGTTTTGAGTACCAGAGAGCATAGTATGGGATGTGCCCTCTTTGTGTTATCGAACTGATTGTGAACATTACCAGTGACGTTCGCCATGAACATGCATGGTTGCCCGGATACGGATGCGGGCCCACTACAGTGTGGAGAAAGCTGCAAGATCCAAACATTGCCGAAGACCCCACGGAAAAGGCACCCAAGCTGCCGAGCGTTGCGGATAATGTTGTTGAATGTGAAAGAAATATTTAATAAGTTAGTATCACTGTCAGCAAGTTTACCACTCTTCTATAGAGTGGTAGATACTCATCTTTGACTGCCCATCAGTATCGCTCTCGAACGTGGCACGCCAGCATATCTGCCTCCAAGATACAGCCAGGTGGTCAAGGATGATAGACCGCCGTGCAATGAATATGCTGTCTTGACTTTTACAAAAAGGTACAGCATCCATCGCTTCAGTTGTTTTAGAGCGCCCTTCAGTCGGCATTTAGTAACGTCTCACAGGCTTCAGCCAGTTCTGAGATATAGAGATGCCTCTTCTGAGATGTAGAGATGCCTCCTCCTCTTCTGAGATGGCATTTAGTAACGTCTCACAGGCTTCAGCCTCTTCTGAGATGTAGAGATGCCTCTTCTGAGATGTAGAGATGCCTCCTCTGTTTTATAATCGTACATCTACTGTCAAATACAATAACCTTTACAACCCAGGCCGGACTATTTACACAAAAACGCATCGTACACCCATTCCTCTGTTCTCCTTACCCTCACTTCTTTTCCAGTCTCTTGGCCTGCTCCTTCTCCGCAGCTTGCCTCGTCGTCGACGTCCTATCCATCTGCGCCTGCAGTGCCGGCTTCAGCCAGTACATGACTTCAATGACGCTCCTCCCGTCCCGTCCCTCCGTCGCCCTGCTGCGCATCGCTGTCCGCCGCCTGACCGCCTCCACGCCCGCCACGCCCGCCGCGAAGCCCGCCAGGTGGCTCGCGAGGTCAATCTTGCGCTCCAGCGCCCGGCCCACGCCCGCGAGCTGCAGGCCCAGCAGGGCCGCCAGGAACACGATGCCGTGCACGCCGCCCTCGGGCAGGCCCAGGAAGCGGAAGCCGTCGGAGCGGTGCGCCCAAAAGTACGCCGCGCACAGGCCCAGCGTCGCGCCGGAGCCGCCCATGGTCGTTGTGCCGAGCATGCCGCGCAACGCGTACGTCGCGACGGACCCGACGAAGCCGAGCGACCCGCACGCCAGGAAGAGTGTCAGGAAGTCGGCGCGGCCGCCCAGCTCCGCGTGCAGCGCCGGCCCGATGACCATGAGCGGCACCATATTGGCCAGCAGGTGGCCGAGCGACTGGTGCGAGAAGATGGCGGCGAACATGGCCAGCGGACGCGGCGTCGCGACGGACACGATGAAGTACTTGTTGAGGTGCTTCCAGAGCGGCGGCACCTTCCACGCCAGATAGACCAGGACGTTGACGCCCACGAGCGCCGCCACGGTCGCCTGCGCTGTTGAGATCTCGGGGAAGAGACGGTAGCGCTGGGCCGGCTCCTCGTACACTATGCCAATGGCAGCCATGACTCCGAGCACCAATGCAGTCACAACAGCGCTGGGCAGGATTCTCGCCCAAGCTGACATTTCTGGCGGCTCTGATAGGTCTGATTGTGCCGCTTCGTAGTATGCCTGGATCTTGGGGTTCGTAATCGCCCTCGTCTGGGGGCCGCGACTCCCTTGATCAAGCTCCTCCAGCGTCCCCGAGACGATGCCTTCACGCTCCTCTCTTTCCAGCCGCTCCTTTTCCTTGGCCACATCTCTCGCTTTTTGCTTCGCTCGATTCGTCGCCCGTATCTGGTCGAATACGCTGTGTCCGTAGACTGGATCTTGCACATACGGCACCTCTCGTTCCGTCTCCGCTTTGTCATCGTTGGGCCGGACCTCCGCGGCTGCCCGCGCCGTTTTGCCCATTTGCTTCTCAATTACGGCCAGCTCATCCTCGGCACGCAAACCCGCGTTGCGAATCTCCTCTACCGGCGCCACTTTTCTTAGATACGCCAGCGCCCTGTCCACCTGCTCGTCGGTAAACTGCCTCGTGTTGACGGCGTACATTGGGTCGTCGAGCGTGCCGGCGACCCGGCGACCGTGGAGCACTCGTAGTAGATAGTTCCCCGGCTCCGTTTTCATGTCGGCGCCGAATATGCGCTGCACTTCGGCCTCGCTTAGTTCTTTGCTTCGAAATGGCAGTCCGGTCTTGTCCTGGTACTCGCTTGGTAGTTGTTCGTAGTCGCGGATCCCGTGATGCGAGAATAGGGTCCTTCGGCGGCTGTGTGGTTGGGCTATGGCCGGTGTCTGACACCAAGCTACCATGTAGCCACAGTATCTAGGCCGCAAGTCCTTGCGACCGGCGCACGATATCCATCGCGAGGTCGGCCTGGCCAAGCCGAGTGTCGGCGAGTGGCGAAGGTTTTTTGTTGCTTCTCGGACGGCGGCCGCCGCACCAGTAGCCAGCGGACGAGCCCGGGAACACAGGAAGATATTCATGTTCGATTGATATCTTCCCCGCTGCCGATACCCTCTAAGCCTCAATTGGAGGCGCTGCTGGTTCGCTCGCTCGATCGAGTGGTTTCGTGCAAAGTGCAGCTTGTGTCGTCCTTTTTCGAAATGCGGCCCCACTCACAGATTTCGGAAGCACTTGGAATCGGCGTTCTCTCCCAACTATTTGTAGATTTCAGTCGTTTTCTCTTTTTACAATTTCGGCCATTCCTCGTACTTTGAAAAAATTAACATGTTGCACAACGCAGTACTACGTTATACAATTGATAGTGAGTGAGGTTAGTGGTTGAATCCGGCGACAGTTCGCTGGCTGGACCTGGCCGTACTAAATTTTTATGACGATGGTAAGGTTTTTACGGCTCATCTCGAACCTCCTTTTCCTATCGAATGATTGAGATTTGGGGATCAAGTTTTATTACAACGACACACGAATTAACAATGCGCACTAGCTTTGGTAGTAGGGAAACCAGGTGGCTTTATCGTGAAGGTGAAATCTGCAGGGTATAGTCGTTATTCCGGTTTATCCTAGTTTTAAGTATGTAGCCAACCAACGTCAACCTCGATATCTGTCGAATACTGATCATGCTGCGGGAAACATTGCGTCCCGTGCAAGGTTGACTTTGTAACGAGGCCGATGGAATCATCTACGTGAGTTTCTTCCATAGATAACAAGTGACATTACATGATTCCCTTGGAGGGAAAGTCGCCATTGCTCACTTTGCCTGCTTTCGACACCTTGGACCAAGAAATGGTGGCAATATATGCCCATGAGCCTTCGTATCCGAGAAGCTTTTTGCCGTTTTCCTCGTCTAAAACGTTGGGGATTACTCAAGGCAAGTTAGAACAGCCACGTGCAGTCCAAAGGAGAGCTGGGATACGTACAGAAGCCTTTTTCGTACTCATCTTCTAGAGTATCAATTTTTCTCTTGAGCAGGTCTTCACGCGTGCTGGCGGGTCGGCCTGGGCGCCGTGCCTTTTTTATTGCATCAAGCTCTTCGTCATATTGGTGAACGAAACTGGACAGATTGGTTAATGGATGCGATGGCGTTGTGAGAGACGGTGTGTATACTTGTGAATGAGGCTTTGCACCTCCGGAAGCTCTAGTTGGGATACATCCTTTTCCTTGAGCTGGCTGTAAAAGTACTCAATTCGGTCAACTGCATAGGCATTCAGTGTTGGAGCAAGTTTTGTGACCTTGAGGTGGTGGTCAAGGTCTTACCGATTGGCTCTTCCTTTTTGGCTCTGGCGTTGGCAAGCTTTTCCAGTCGAAGATCACGGGCGTGCGCCATACGCAGACGCTTGGAGTCGCGCGATTTGGCGTGCAGAGCGTTTACTTCGCCGCCGCGCTTCTTGGAGATTTGCTTCCGTGTCTTGTGCAGTGAGGTGGGCATTTTGGTTGTCGTATGGATGTGAGGGATGAAGTTGTCTTGATACCTGGATAATTCTAGTTATCTAAAACCACCATTTCAGTGTGGACTCGACGTCTGAGGTACGTACCAACCAGTCAGTGCTTTGGCAGTACCCAAGGTACCTGTAGGTAGCTACCTGTGGTGGTAATGTCTTACTATGTACGTTAGTACCAAGACAGTTAGGTTACTTTTTAGGTACTTACTGTGGCATGTCGGCCCCTGGCGCGACAAAAGAGACCTCTCAACGCGATCCGGCCAGTCCCACTGCCGTACCCCGGCCCGCTTCCCTCACGCCTCGCTTGTCGCGTTACCAAACAGCATTGCTGAACTTATCCCATTTCTATTCCAGACTGACCTTCTTTCTTGTCAACTTGTCTTGATCTGTTTTCATAGGCCATGTCGGCTGCATCCCGTGCTTTGCTCTTTGCTTCAATTCGACTTTGAGATTCCCTCGCAGGCTGTACTCACAACCTGTTTGTTTACACCGCTACCGATCGTTCGACAAGCACCACCGCCGTTCACCACCTGCTTGGCCAAGGCGTCGTAAACGACGACAGTGGCTTTACCGCCACCTCGGGACAAAGTCCTGACGACATCGCACCGATCAGTCTCCAGCCTCAGTCAGCAACTCGTCAGGAGACGCCGTCTGCCCTGACGCAACAGCATGGGTGTATCTGGTATGTTGCCGTGAGGCTACTTTGGTCCGACCAAGAGAATGCTAACTACTATGCAGGTCTACTACCCCTTCTGAAATCGATACAGAAACCTACCGAATTAAAGAAATGCGACGGTCAGACACTCGGCGTTGACGCGTATGGCTGGCTTCATCGAGCAGCATTTTGCTGCGCCGTTGAGCTAGGCCAGGGCAAGCCCACAACCAAGTATGAGCCTGGGCGCCTACCCGTCAATCTAATTGCTAACACTTCCCGAGATATGTCACAGCTGCTATGCATCGCGTTCGCATGCTGCTCCATTTTGGCGTCAAGCCCTATATGGTCTTTGACGGCGACTACCTCCCAAGCAAGGCCGCTACCGAACTCTCACGTGCCAAGAATCGCGAGGAAAAGAAGAAGCTGGCTGATGATCTCATGAAAGCTGGCAAGCCCGGCCAAGCCGCTCAAGAGTTCCAAAAATGTGTCGACGTTACCCCGGAAATGGCAGCGACTCTTATCCAAGAGCTTAAAAAGATGGACATCCCGTGCATCGTTGCCCCTTACGAGGCCGACGCCCAGCTGGTCTACCTCGAAAAGCAGGGTCTTATCGATGGCATTCTATCCGACGACTCTGATTTACTAGTTTTTGGGGCAAAGCGCCTGCTCACCAAGCTTGACAAGTATGGCAATTGCATCGAGATCAAACGGCGTGACTTTGCCGCTTGTCGAGAGGTCTCCCTGACTGGTTGGTCCGATACCGAATTCCGCAGAATGGCCATCATGAGTGGCTGCGATTACTTGAACGGTCTCCCCGGCGTTGGTCTGAAGACGGCGTACAGATTAATGCGTAAATCAAAATCGCCCGAACGCGTCGTTCGCATGCTGCAATTCGATGGCAAGCGCGTCTCCGAAAACTACCTGACACAATTCTACCAAGCGGAGCTCACATTCCTGCACCAGTGGGTGTTCTGCCCAACGCAGAAGACCCTGGTTCACTTGACAGAGCTGGACGGCTCACGCACAGCCGCCGAGATGCCTTTTATCGGCGCATTTGTCGAACCCGACCTTGCTCGTGGAATTGCCACTGGTGATGTCAATCCTATCACGAAGGAACGATTTACTCTACATCTTACGCCTTCCAAGCGAAAATTGGGACAGACCAAGTCGTATTCTGCCGCACCTGTGGCTACGCAACCGCCTCGGAAGCCAATCACATCATTCTTCAAGACACCAAGCCGGAGGCCCATGGGCGAGATGGATCCCAACTGCTTCTCCGTGGACGCTGAGCGTGTCGCACAACTAACTGAGGGTGGGCTGGTACCTCGTGTCTTTCCCTTGCCAAGACCATATATCGAAGCTAACCGAGAATCGTCAAACCGAATCAACCGGCCCTACACGCCGCAAAGGATATCGCCCCGTTTAAACCGCCGGCGCACTGACACACTCGGAAATCTGGTTTATCAGACAGCCAGTAGCCCTCTCTTTACGCGCCCCAAGGAATCTAACTTGGGCGGCACCGTGCGATCCGAACCGCAACGCCGTCCGCAGAAGAAGCTTCGTCTCTGTGATGAAACTGAGCCTATCGACACATCCCCCAAGACAAGCAGATTCTTTTCTGCAGAGACGCCGTCTGCTGCTGTAAAAAAAGCTGTACCAGCAAAAACGGAAGGCTATCTCTTCTCCGACGACTCTGTCGAAGACGCCCTCAAGGACCTGCCTGACATTGACAGTTGGGAGCCTCGCGCCCGGAATAGCCACAAGAAAATGCTTGTATTTGAGGATGACCGCCCGGATATGCCGTCGCAATCTACCTCGTACGAGGCGAGCAGTTTGACAGAGCCATCCACGTCGCAAACGTCCCAGCCAGAAAAAGTCGATACGTCCGGCTCTTCCATGGAGCCGCCCTCCATGCCGCCGCCGAAGCAGGGCATGGCCACCTCCCAGCAGACCAAGACTCCAGCGTGCACATCTCTCAGCAGGTTTTCCTACACCTCAACGTCGTCATCCTCGCGAACTCTATCCACGCCTGCGTCCGGCATGTCGGCCCAGTCCTCCATCTTCAGCAGCCTGTCCACACCGTCCACTACTGCTTCGAGCGTTGGCTCTATGCGCATGACGCCTCTGCAGCGTCTCGGGGCCCGGGCTGCTGATCCCCTCTTCTCCCCCAACGCGGCCGTGACTCGGCGCCGCGCTGTTGACAATGGCAACCTTTCCGCGACTCCGGGCAAAGAGCTGGCCCCCAGGGACCCGACGCTCGTGCCGCTGCCCAAGGTCGACGTTAGCGAGGTGGAGGCGCTGCACGCACCCTGCGGAAGTGGTGGAAGCGAAGACCAGCTCGTCCCCGATAGCGACGGCGAAGACGATGAAGAATTCATTAAGCTCCCACCCGGAAAGAGGTTCAATCCTTTGCAGTTTACATTCCGGTGAGAAAAAAAGTCCTGGTCGGATTTATTCATACGTATATATATACATTCACAGCAAAAGCATTCGAGGCGTCTTCTTTAGATTTTTTTACTTTCTTGGAGCAGTATTGGCGTTGGCAGGCATTTTTCTTGTTTCATTCATGGAGTCGGACCTGGTGGTGGTCGTGTGTTTATCTTGTTTTGGCATCTGCCCTTCACAGAATGGCCCTTTCTGGACGAAGTCCAGAATTTTAGATTTTATTTTTATTTATCACTTTGGTATCAGTAACCCTTTTGGTAGCGTGCACGTAATATACGCTCAAATCTATTGATCAAAGCCGCAGTAGAATGTCGCGGAAGATGGGACTGGACCACGTTCTCTGCGGAGACAGATGTTGTATTCTTCAAAAGAAAAAGTCATAACATGCTAACCGGGCGAATAAAGCTACAAGTAGGGCACAAGGTAAGTATCAATCATGACCAAAACTCCAGTCTCCGGGCCATTGCCCTTTGCCTATGATGAAAAATGCATGTCCGGCTCGCCAAACAAGTCGTCTATGGATGATGCTAGCATGTTTGTGACGAAAAAGAACAAAAAAAAAAACAATCGCTGATGAACGTGTTCCGCCGTCTGAAGCCCATTGTCGTATATAGGTTATCGGTGCGTTTGTGAGGTGGTGAGTGCCCTCACACATAAGCGCTGCGGTCTGCTAGTAAACGCAAATCAAATACATCGCTTTCTAATCATAAATCTTCCAATATTAACTTCGGTCTTCTGCTTGCTTTCATAGGGGAGGTACGGCCGACGAGCCCTCCCCGCAGAAGGCATCCCGCTGCTGTTCAAAGTTAAACTTGACCACGCGCCTGATGCTCCGCCTCAAGAAGACGGATCAAAACAACAGCTCTCGGTAGCTCGGGGGCTCAAAAGGCAACCCTTGTTCTCTTCGGGGGCGCTGAATCTCCTGCCATAGTTCGAAGGGGCGACCGAAAGAAGGGCGTTCGCCAATTTGGCCCTCAGAACTGTTGGGAAGGACACCTGGAGCTACTGTGGTACTATCCTAGTGGCGCGCCGAAGGAGCGGTGAGGACTGAGCTCGGTGCCGTCAATTCCGAATTGAAAGACCATTTGCCTAAGATGATGTTAACATGCTTCCGTTTTACGCAGGGGCAGGGAAGACTTACCTCGAGCTAAGTTATCTGCAGTGTCCTCGAGTAATATTATCCGCCTCTTGCTGCAGTACGAAGTCTTGTCCATGATGTCAACCTTGAGCTTCGGGTCCGAAAGTTCACTGATCGGCTTTTCAAACATTTCGGACAAGTTTTCAACGGCCATTTCTAAATCTTTTTGGTTGTCCTCAAAAATTTCCGTCAAGTTTGTCTTGGTGAGGTAAAAAGCAAAGGCATACGTCCACTTCAGAGTCTGGCGGCATGTTTGGAGTGCTTGTGACGCGGCGTTAAGATATTGAACTTCAATCCAAGACATGCCCGAGCTGGTTTGCAGCTGCACCATCTTCTTCTCAGTCTTGCTAGCGATGTCCTTGTCCAACCGTGCTGACTGCTCGTGGTTGGCGTAACGATTGTAGTAATGCAGGTACCGAGCCAGAGAGGTACGTGACTTAGTTTGCGCATCTCTCGCCTCATGCCCACTCTTTTCCTCATATCTGTTACAATTGTACCATGATGTGCCATGCTCAGACCAGAGACCCATGCACATCCAGCAGAACTCATAGCGGCATTTGCGACAGGTCATGTGGTTGCAGCCGCCATTCTTTTCGATGGTTGATTGACACTTGGGGCATTCCTTCGTATTGGCGCTTATCCAATTCGCCGTCTCGGAGTCGTCAGCACACTTTTTGAGCCATTTCCTGACCAAATCGCACGGGGCTGGTTGGTGATCAGGGTTTGGGCAACCAAAGCAGAAGCGATAGCCGCAACTGCACTGGACTGTTGGCACAATCCTTTCAAGATCCTTTTTCTTGACACCGCATTCGACCGCGTTTGGACAATCTGGCGCAGGACACCACTTAAAGATATCCTTATCCTCGACATATGTGCGGTTAAGAAGCTCGTGGTATCGACCAGTAAGATCGGAGGTGACGAGCAAGTCTAGGGATCGTGAATCGAGAATTCGTCCGCAGCCGTCAGACGGGCACTGAATCCTGGCGGCCTCGCCCTCCTCACGAATCTTTTGGGTCAGGTACTGGCGGTAGCAGTCGACACAGTAACGATGGCCACACTTCATGGCAAAGGTCTCGAGCCCTTGCTCGTCTTCGCAGCAAATATCGCAGGCGAACCCAGGTACAGCCTCGAGCTTGGGAAGATCGTTGGTGTTGCTGCTCAGACCGGCCGCTTCCAAGACCTTCTCCGGACGATCCATGTAGTCTTCGAGTAAACGTTCCTTATTCCAGCGAAAGTGGCGAAGAAGTATCGCAGCATCTTCCTTTCCCATATCAAGAATCATGTTGACTTCGGCAATCATGTCGTCCTGCTGCTTCTGAATATCGGCCGGCTCGTACACCTTGAATGGGACAACGTGCCCCTGGTTCTTCCTTTTATCAAGCTCCTTCGGGGAGAGGCCAAAGTCGGGATCGGGCTCGTCAAAATCTTCCTCGTCGAAGTCTGCAGCACGGTGTTGTTAGTTTCATTGTGGTGAGGGAGGGACCAGGCCAAGGGAGCTTACCGGCCTCGGAGAGATCATCCGCACTATCCTGCAGCATCTCGACATCGCTCGAAAGCTGCGACATGAAATCCTCGTCCGAATCCATGCCGTGGGTTGTAATGGGAGTCGGAGGTGCAATTTGGGGCTCGACTGCTGAGACGACGTGTCTCTTGTTGGGAGAGTCGTGCGGGATCGTCGTCTCAGCGGCCTTTCGTTTCCGCGTGGAGGGGGGAATGGTGGCGGCTAGGTCAGAAGCGCAGAGAGTGGGAGATGCGAAAAGAGCGACCGCCAAGCCAGATAAGATGAATGTGGCTCTATCCGTTCTAACACGCGAGGCGGCCGAATTCCGCTGGAGACGGCGAGTCGAGGTGCAGAAGGAGCACAACAGCGAAGTGGGGAGGTGAGGGAGAGAGCGGACGAGGCTAAGCAATCAGCGATCGTGGTCACACTCGCTCTGAGATGGGCTCGTGGTAGATTAAGGTGACTGCAATGGAAAAACAGAGGCGGTTTATGTTCTCAAGCAAAGCCAGAAGCGTTCATGGATCAAACGTTTGAGAGTGAGGCTGGCTGCGGTTCGTTTTTAAGTTGACGTGACGGATTATCCTCGGCGGCTGAGTCATGCCACTAAGAAGATTGTTGCCTCTCAGGAGGCCGATGATGCCACTGCCCACTGCTCTTTGAAGCGCCTGCCTATTGCGGGGTTCGCCACACTGGAGGTGCCTAACCTGCAAACTAACCTCACAGAGACACCGCAGCGGCACCTTATAACTGATGGGTACCTACTAACGACCTAATGATATCCTTATGGTAGGTACTAATAATACATACTTCATGCCCGATAAAAGATCACCGGCCTCACCATCTCCATGTATTCACAAAGTTCATATTAAACTGTAAACAGCTGCAGTTCCCATGGTCCATTTTCTGGGTCTGGTAGCGCAAATGAAAAGCCCGTCACATGCACATGTCAGCTGTCGCCTATCATTGGGTTGGACGTCCGTCAAGCGATGAAACATGCAAATAGTGGACGATTATCCGCGCGGCCGTTTTCGTGGCCGAGAGATGAATGCCTCACAGTCCGCACGACATACATTGCTTACATTACTCCCCCGTCTCGGTCACGTCCTCAACGCCGTCCAAGGCACCAATTTGTCTACAGACATTCAACCCCTCGCCCCCTGGCTAAACTGCAGCCGTCTTGGACGCACATAGTAGTTTTAGCTTATTGAAGCACCTTTTCAGCCATGGTGACTATTTATTACACGCGTTAGCAGCAATCATCATAAAGAGTTGAATACTCGGCTTACCATCGGCAGCAGTGGCATCAGCCTCGAGGTGCACCTTGGCCACCTTGCCGTTCTCAATCTTGAGAGCGAAGCGCTGGCTGCGGGTACCACCGAGGACGGCGGCAGCACCGTCAAAGCCCATGTCAAGGGCCTTCGTGAAGGCGGCGGTAGGATCAGCGACCCAGCGGATCTGTGTGCCTCACGTCAAAACCAGCGTACTTCTTTGTCCACGGGGGCTGTGTGACTTACAGAGGTCTGACTGGCAGGGTCAAGCTGCTCGGCCCAAGCCTTCATGCTAGTGCACAGAAGAAAAACATCAATGAGCATTTCCGCACTTGTTTACCACACTAATGAACGCCACTGCGCATTATCAAACATACACAAACGGGTCGTTGACGGATAGCACAAAGACCTTGCCCGCATCCTTGAGCTTAGGGCTGTTAATGTACGAGGGGATGTGCTTGCTGGAGCAGGTGCCGGTGAAGGCGCCGGGCACGCCGATGATGTAGCCGTCGCCCGATTTGAACTCGTCGGCCAGGCTGATCTTGGCGGCGGCCGAGTTCTCGAAAAGCCCGTCCGTCTCGGGGAGCTCGTCGCCGGCGCGGATCTGAACGCGACGCGTGGAGTGGAAAGCGCGGGCGGCGGCGGGGCGCGCAAGGGCGACAGCGCGGAAAGGAGTGCGGAAGGCCATTTTAATTGATTGCGGGGTTGCGAATCGCTGGCTGTTGGGGATGTTGATGAGAGAGTGAAGATGCTGGAGGATATGTTAATGTTAGGGGGCGGGCGAGTGAGATTATTATTAGAGCTACGGTTCGGCCCCCACAAACCTTGGATGCTTGCTGGCAGCTTTCAAGTCGCACAAGGAAAATTGTTGAACTTCCTTGGTTGCCGTGATTGTAAAAAATACCGAAGCCACTCCGCTCTGTCATTGTGAATTGAACTAGGCCGTAAAGTCACTGTCGGACTTCTCACGGCGTGGTCCAGAAGGAACCTGCACCTTTACCAAGTAGGTCCAAGGACAACATCGATCACTTGCATCGGGAAGATAGCTCGGTCCAAGGTGCGCAAGTCATTAAGACCAATGATACATATGGCAATTCAGAACTGTCGCTTCTATCAAGCAGTCCCTCCCGCCCTTCTCTCTATGTAATTGGCTGATAGTGGTGGAGGTTGCCGACGATAAGAGTCCCAAATGCGACCTAGCAAAACGTCGACACAGCATGGGCCGGGCAGAATAGAGTGTCTATATGTAATGTCAAATATGAATGTAGTGTTACTTGGTGTTTTGCCTCCGTTCCAGGTATCAAAATCGGTCCGACAATGGGTCAAGCTGCATCCGTGCTGCTCACGGCTGGACGAACTCGCCTACGGTTGCTTCAAACAATCGCCTCTGCGCAACATAGAGGCATGACATGAAGACGCGTGCTGCTTATTAATGCAATCTGCAGGTAGAACATAATCGCGAAGGGTGCTTTACAAAGTGCATAATGGAGACTGATTCATTGTCGCGAGACAGCCTTCCAAGCAAGCGGACGATGTGACACTATGCCGCCGGTAGTGGTTTCAACGGGTAAAGAACCTCGCTCGGTTCGTCGCTACCCAAGTTTTTCGGTTACTCGACGCACCAGCTTTGCAACTCGCTGTGTATTTATGGCTCAGGGGCGCCGTGGTTGCGTTGCGCGATGAAACGAGGCGGCACTGAGGCCCCCAAACGCGAAGGAACACCCGTCGCGTGCGACTTGGTGTGTTCCTGTTTTGGAAGATGAGAACAGCCTGGGAACTAGACCAAGCGCATGTGTCAGGTCCCTATTGGCATTGATGGGTGTCAAGGTCTAGGTCATCAGTTTGACGGCAAAAGGCTTGCGAACAGTCGAGATTCATGGGGGCCAGCTATACAAAGTGTTCGCAGGTAATTTGGAACAGCAGCGCAACGAAAAACTGCGCAATATTTCCTTGCTTGAAAATGGTCAGTAGTTGTAGGGAAGGAACCGATATTGTACTATTATAGAATCCATAGCGATGCCAATTCGGACATACTGGCGTAATGAGTAGGGGCTTGATGGAGCCAGAGTTTGTGTATCAGATGGTCATCGAAAGGGCGCCAGCAATGAGATGAGACATGCGGAAAAGGTGGATCGGGCAGCTAACAACGGCGCTGTGAGATGTGTGCTCAGACAAGAAGAGTCCCGAGTATTTCAATGACATTGACAATGGGAGAACGCTGATGCAGACGAGATGCAGTGGGAGGTGTACATATGGAGTGCTGTGGTGCTGATGATGATGTAAATGCCCAGCCACGAGCTCGTGTCCGTCAGGTGGAGGCGGCCAGCCTGTTGGGCGGGGGCATCGGCAGTGCAAGAATTGCTGGTGCCACTGCCTACCTATCGAGACGCCTGCCTATGCATGTAGGTAGATGCCTGCTGAGGAATGCACGATGAGATGGCAATGCAAGAAAATGAAAAAGCCGCATTGCACGTCACTCGCTGCACATGCGCTGGCTCGAGAGGCTTTGGTGATGGCGTTAGGTAGGTACATGGTTGGTACGATGCATGGGCGGGCAGTTGGTGAGCCATAGCCGGTTGCTCCCAGTTGTGGCTGGGACAAACGAGATTCGCGGTTCGACTTACGAGGTCATGAGCCACGAGTCCAGGGATTCAAAGATTGACATGGACGAACAGGCTGGCGTGTACCTAATATTACTACCTTCGTGACGACTGTACAGTGTTTGCCGACGTGGTATGAATGGCGTTGAGAAGGTACCTTTATACCTCCAAAACAACTGCCTTGGTACATTGTGGAGCACACATCGGGGTACCTAGATTAGTAGAACCCGACCCGGTTATTACCTAAGGAGGTACGGCGGCAGCCAGGAACGAACCAACTGCCAGGCCTTTGTGGCACTGATTCTGATTGAATTGAAGGGCACCCGCTCCGTCCCACGCCACCACCTGCGCTCTCCCTGGTCTAACCTACTCAGGGTTCTAGTATCACCTAAGTAGTTACTTGGGTTACTGCAGGATAGTTGGTACGAAATTAGTACCTGGGCTTATACAATAGGTCGAAATCAAGACTCCTCCCCGCCAAAAGACCCCGTCTCGTTTCTCTGCGCGCTCTGCCTTCTACCTTCTGCCCCCCCTTCTCCCAACTTCATCGCCAACACGACTAACTTACCTACTACGGTATCAACCTCTTCGGCCTCAACAGTCGCCCTCGTCTCCGAAGCCACCCGCCACACTCGTCTCCCTGGCAGCTCTCAACTCTGCGGCAGCCGCGGTTCTCGACCGTGCACGCCATCGTTCACAGAGCCCCGTTTTCCAGTCACGACTCACAGATACAAGTTGCAAGTATCCGTACCAGCGACCGACCGACCCTTCGCGCCAGACCACGCAAGCCCAACGTTCAGCGTCATCGCGGCATTGTGCGCCAACCGCTCATCCGTTGTTCCACACTCCTAACGTCTTTTCAATCCCGAACTGCTCAAATTTCAGCCCAAGTCATCTGCGCCACTCCCTGCGAACACTTCACAACTCGCCGCCCTCGTCCTCTACCGTCGCTCACCCTTTTTTCTTTTACTTCGCTCCGTCCATCCAGTTTCTATCGTGCCGACTCAAAAGATACTCGCCACCAACGTGTTATCCGTCGGTGACGCCCTGTGCTGAATTTTCTGCCCGCTATACTGAGCGTCACTCTGCCTTGACCACCAACGCCTAGTCACGAGTCAAAGCCCGTCCCCGACTCTTTGCCCACCATGCTTCAGACACCATCAAGGGCGTCTACTGCTTCCTCCTCCTCCTTTCAACCCCTCTCCCGACAAAACACAATGTCCTCCTACGATGGTGCGCGCTCGGCGCGCCAGTCCAAGCGCTACTCCATGTCCGCTCTCTACATGTCCATGTCGGCCAACGAGGGCGAGATGCAGATTGAAGATGACCTGGCCAAGGCGCAAAAAATCCTGCGTGACCTCAAGTCCAACATATCGTCCCAGTCCAAGAAGAACTTCGTTCTCGAAAAGGACGTCCGCTACCTCGACTCGCGCATTGCCCTGCTGATCCAAAACCGCATGGCTCTGGAAGAGGTAAGCATCTCCCTTGACCTGAATGACGTCCAACATCAAATCGTCGCTGACCACCATCTAGCAAAATGAAGTTGCCAGCCACCTCGAAGACGCAACCGACATGCAGGAAGGTTTCTTCCCAAACGACGATAAGACGCAGAAATACGGGAACCTCTTATTTCTCCTGCAATCCGAGCCCCGCCACATCGCTCACCTCTGTCGTCTCGTCTCCATGGCTGAGATTGATTCCCTCCTCCAGACAGTCATGTTTACCATCTACGGAAACCAGTATGAATCAAGAGAAGAGCACCTTCTACTTACCATGTTCCAGGTATGCTCCCATTCGACTCCATGTACCACCAAGCGCTAACCCTACCAGTCCGTCCTTACCTACCAATTTGATAATACCCCCGACTACTCTTCCCTGCTCCGCGCCAATACACCAGTCTCTCGAATGATGACAACTTATACCCGGCGTGGGCCTGGCCAGAGTTTCCTGCGCACCGTGCTCGCTGATAGAATCAACGATCTCATCATCTTGCAGGATCTTGACCTCGAAATCAATCCGCTCAAGGTCTATGAACGCATGCTGGAGCAGATTGAAGAAGAGACTGGCTCTCTACCCGCATCTCTTCCCCGTGGCATCACTGCCGAGCAAGCCGCCGACAACGCTCAGGTTCAGGCTATCATCCAGCCAAGACTTTCCATGCTGACTGAGATTGCCAACAACTTCCTCAACACCATTATCGAGGGGCTTGAAGAAGCTCCATACGGTATTCGCTGGATTTGCAAGCAAATTCGCAGTTTGACTAAGCGCAAGTACCCGGACGCCAACGACCAAGTCATCTGCACCCTGATCGGCGGCTTCTTCTTTCTGCGCTTCATCAACCCAGCAATTGTCACACCGAAGTCCTACATGCTCATTGACGGCACCCCCGCTGAGAAACCCCGACGCACACTGACCTTGGTCGCCAAAATGCTCCAGAACTTGGCCAACAAGCCGTCATACGCGAAAGAGCCGTACATGGCCAAACTCCAACCCTTCATCGAACAAAACAAGGACCGCATCAACAGGTTTATGCTTGATTTATGCGAGGTCAGCGACTTCTACGAGAGCTTGGAAATGGACAATTACGTCGCTCTCTCCAAAAAGGATCTGCAGCTCGACATAACATTGAACGAAATCTACGCGATGCATGCCCTTATCGAGAAGCACACAGCTGAGATATGCCGTGATGAGTCGTCCCATCTGTCTATCATCATGACCGAGCTGGGCCCTGCTCCTGCCCAGGTACCTCGCAAGGAAAACCGCGTTATCAATCTCCCCCTCTTCAGCCGCTGGGAGACTGCCATCGATGACCTGACGGCGGCCCTCGATATTACACAGGAGGAAGTGTTCTTTATGGAAGCCAAGTCCATCTTTGTGCAGATTATGCGCTCTTTTCCCCAAAGCAGCGCTGTGTCCAAGCGTCCCTTGCGCTTAGAGCGAGTCGCTGATGCTGCTGCCACCAGCCGCAACGACGCAGTTATGGTCCGAAAGGGTATTCGAGCTATGGAACTTCTTTCCCAGCTCCAGGATATGGGTGTCATTGACAAGAGTGACCAGTTCGGTCTGCTCCGTGACGAAGTCGAACAAGAGCTTCATCACCTCGGCTCGCTCAAGGAAGGTGTACTGAACGAAACCAAGAAGCTGGATGAGGTCTACAAGACGATCCGTGATCATAACACGTATCTCGTTGGACAGCTCGAGACCTACAAGAGCTATCTCCATAACGTCAGATCACAAAGTGAGGGTACCAAGAGAAAGCAGCAGAAACAGCAGGTTCTTGGCCCTTACAAATTTACGCACCAGCAACTGGAAAAGGAGGGCGTGATTCAGAAGAGCAATGTTCCGGATAACAGACGGGCTAACATTTACTTTAATTTCACCTCCCCTCTCCCAGGCACGTTTGTTATATCTCTACACTACAAGGGTGAGTCCCATTATTCCGCTGTTCGTTGCACTGCTTTGACTGACCTTGAGATAGGACGTAATCGTGGTCTTCTCGAACTGGACCTGAAGCTCGATGACCTGCTTGAAATGCAAAAGGACAATCAAGAGGAGCTTGACCTGGAATACGTACAATTCAGCGTCCCTAAAGTGCTTGCACTGCTGAACAAGCGTTTTGCACGCAAGAAGGGCTGGTAAATCCTACCCACGATCAATCAATCACATGTTGAGGATACTTTTTTTCGGCGTTGGGGAGCACATGATACCACTTGACGCCGGCTCATTATGTTTATTGATGGACCGACGCCGAGATTTTGTTTGCTTTTCTGCGCAAGGCCGTGCAACCGAAGCGCGGTACTTTTGAACTCGAGTTCTTAATATTCGGCTGTTTACATATCGACACTGGCTGTCGGTGCGTGGACCGCTTTCGTCCAAGCATACATGCTTGGGCCCTTGACCCGGTACGACTCGAAGGTGGGCAGAGCCACGAAACGTTGCACAAAGAATAGTGCAGACACTGAAGACACATACGCAATCACTACACGCCCGGCTGGTCTGCGAGTAGGGAGGGTGTTTCTTTGGATACGTGATTCCACACCACACGGCGTACGGTCACTGCCCATATGATGATGACGAGTGGCGGATGCGATCAGTACCATGTGTTTCTTTTTCTTGGGGGACAACGGGTTTTATTTCACGATGCTTTGCCGTTTCTTCTTCTTTTTCTGTTTGTTCTGAAGATGTATCTGGTGTATCGACTCTGCACTTCTATGTTCCTGTCTTGTATCTCTTTTTGTCTTGCTATATAGCTTTTATTTTGTCCGTTGAAATGATCTACAACATGGCGTGTACGATAAGCAACGCAGAGAAAATCTATGCCCGGGATGTCCTTTTAATTCTTCAATGACTAGATATCCATCATACTTTGCAAAGTGGGATCGCCTGTTGCTAGCCACCCCGTTGACGTCTGTAGAGTGCACTTATCAGGCATCTCAAGATATGGGCACCTGTAACAGGCTGTCTCCTTTCCGGCTTCCTTAGCTTCGACGTCAACTCATGCATTATTTTCACGAGGCGCATGTTGTAGCAGCCAGATTCATAAACAAATGAAAATAGTCTAATCAAAAGTTGCTGAGTCTGGTCGTTTTGTAGTATACTTCCGTTTTTAAAGTACCCCCCGGCATACCTATATCATAGCCCCTATATGGTAACGGCAGCTTCGTTACCTCCCTAGACAACGCCATCGTAAAAGCAAGTGTGGGCGGCGGCCTGCTCATTTGCAGCAGTATCATTACGCCTGCCATGGAATTAACACACGCCATTCATCTCGTTTAGGAAGCAGTGCTCACAGGCTTAGCACTAGCCGCATGACCAGACATTTCGGCATCCACATCCATAGCAGGATCTCCATGCTCCTCAGCCTCTCCCTCACCCTCGCCATCAACAACTTCCTCCTCGAGCTCGTCCTCACTCTCGCCCTCTAGGTCAACGCTGCCGTCCTCCGAAGCAGCATCCTCATCGTCTTCGGCGGGGCTCACGGCTTCTTGGTCGCCATCTCCCATCTCTATATCCTCACCCGGAGCGGCAACAACCTTCTCGCTGCCTTCGGCTTCGGCTTCAGCCTCAACTTCGGCCTCCTCGGCGGCCTCTTCAGCGCCATATTCCTCCTCGTCGGCTACGAGGTCAGCCTCGGGCTGTTCCGGAGGAAACTCAGCAGGAGCAGAGGCCTCCGAGTCCCTAAAATCCTATTAACACATGTCTCGTATTTCATACAAAAGAGCTAGATCGCGTACCACTTGATGGCGAACCGAGTCACCCTGGGCTTCTCAGCCAGCACATTGCGCTTCACGCGCTCGATTATGGGCTTCGCGGGGGGCTCAGCAATGAGCTCCGGCGAATCGTATTCGTTATTGACATAGTACCCGACACGGACAAACTCCCGGCCATCGTAGGCGCAAGTCAGGAGCACGACGGTGACACCAATGATATCCGCGTCGGGGATTCGTGACGTATCGGGCGCGTCAGCCTCGAAGATGAACTTGTTTACGCCAATAGGAACTGGGCCGACGAGGAGTGAATCGAGCTCTTGGTCATATTGGTCACTGGAAATTGCGGCGTTAGTCTAGGAAGTCGCGAGTAGCGAGAAACGGCGACATACGATTGAGCAGATCCGACATAGGTCAGCTTCCACTCGAGATCTGTCAAAATACGTGAGAATTTGCGGAACCAAGCGTCAGGGTCGCGGAAACACACCCTTCTCAAGCTGCTCAAGGCATTCAAAGGTAATCTCAAACTCGTACTTGTCGGTGATCTTGGCCGGGTTGTTAACAACCTTGACACCGAGGAGCGATACGACAGACATGCTGGGCAAGGGACTGAAGATGAGAAATTCGCAACCGATAGAGGATGATTCGTGGTGTGTCGGCGGGAGGGATGCGGAGTGTATGTTTCGGTGAGGTCAGTCGTCAAGTTAGGCGGGGGATAGTGCTAGGCGAGAACGGTGTGCGGGCGTGGTGCAGGTTGCGAAATCTGAGAAGAAGAGAAAAGCAGAAGTCGGGGGGGGGCGGGAGGAAGGAAGGGGGTCGTCGATTATAGGAACTGCAGCTCTCCGTGAATGCTTAGCGGTTGCTATGTAGGTGATCGTGGATTGGGAGGGAGGAAGAAGGCGGGACGCGACAAAGAGTCGGTCGCACGCGTTGAGGGCGGCCAGTTGGCGTGACCCCACCAACCAGGCTGCCGCAGATTTAACCATGTTGTACTAACTAGCTACTGTCAGTAGGGTAGTATCTCATCTCCTAATCAGAGTCTCAGGTTTCTCGCCTATCTCAAGTAAATAGTTATCTCAACCATCTTAGCTATCTCACCTAGAAATATTAGCTATAAGTTCTCACCTCTCCAAAGGATTGGTGAGATACCTAGCAGGGGCCCAAATAGGTACATAGTGCCACCCACTCTGGGTAGTTATAGTTAACTACCTAAGGTAGAGACCATAAACGCCTTCCATGCAGAAGCAACAACGGGGGACGGGGCCAACAAGTCGGTAACCACCCACCTTGGGTATTATTAGCTTCGACTGACAGCCTCTCTATCAACTACTAACCTACCAGCGCCTTCGACCAGCCCCCAAGCGCCTCACGAAACGCCTAGGACCGCCATCAAGGCGAAGCAACGAGGCTTCCCAGGCCAAGCCGCAGACAACAGCCAGCCTGCCTGCGAGGCTTAGTAACCCTTGGCGCCTGCAGTCTGCGGTGTGTAGTTTGTGGCTGGCGATGGTTTGCCATTTCATCATCATCCATTTTTGTTCCATCCTATTTCGATTGTCCAACATTATTGATAAAGAATTGGGGCTGCGACTTGTTCCGTCCAAGCCAAATCTCTGAGCTTCTAGGACCGACAAGCTCCGAGCTAGTCCTTCACCATGCACCTCCGAACCTGGCCCCGGCCGGACGCAACGGCTGACGCGGAGGCCCTCATCCAGACCCGAAGACTTGTCCGACGAGATGTATCCAGTGCTGCGGTACGTTTTCTACCTGAGCTTCGTGAAAGAATTATCCCATGGCCGGCATTGGCCGTCTGCCTGTTGCAGGCCGGGCGGCTTGGAGCTGAGCTTTTGCTAACCACAATCGAATTATCCAGATCGCCGTAGGTGGCGCCCTCGGCCTGTTTGTCGTCGTGGCCATCCTTATCGCCGTCATGGCCTGCTGCACCAAGCGACGAAAACTCAAGCAGTTCCGCACGCAAGGATACGAATCCACAGCGACGGCCGAGGATACGACGGAGCTAGCACCGGCCGCCGCCCACGTCGCGGTACCACCACAAGCGCAAACGACCGGTGGCCGTAGCGGCGACGGCGTGGATAGGCACACGTCGGTGCGCTCCGTCATGACGCTCCCTGCCTACCGCGCCGAGGCGTCGAACAATGAGCAGGTGCTGGGGCGGGCGGGTGACCGCGACGGCGTCGACGTCATCGTGGACCTGCCGACCGAGGAGCAAGAGGAAGCGCTGCGAGACGAGGAGATGGAGGCGCTGTACCAGATTCGTGCCCTGCGAAGGCAGCAGATCCTCGAGAGGGAGCAGCGCCGAGCAGAGCGCGAGGAGGCGCGAGCGCGTAACGACCACGCGGCGCTGGCGGACATTAGGGAGCGTGCTCGCGCCGCGCGCGAGGCGGCGCTTGCAAGCAGCGAGACCATCAACGAGCTGCGGCAGGACGCTACCCGTGCACAGGGGCAGCGTGTACGGTCGGTATCGACCGTCTCGTACGGCGACCTCGGCGTCGCGAGGCACGATGGCAGTCGCGTTCGCGCACGTAGCAACGACAGCGAGCGTATGGGTCTGCTCGCCGACGCCGCTAGTATTGCCGGGGAGGCGACAGCAGCCCAGTCCGAGGCGCGACACGACCGTAACGCGAGTGTGAGCTCTCTGGTGAGCGCCGACAACGATGGCGGTAGCGGGCTGCCCTCGCCGGCGTACTCACGCGAGACTTCAACTTTAGGGCGAGTGGTCACTGGCGGCAGTGATTCGCCGTTCGCGGGACCCAGCCCCGAGCTGGTCGAGGTGCCGCTGGACTTTGGCGGGGAGGAACGGCCGCCGCCACCGGGCTACGAGGAGGCGCACCCGCATGCGACTTTGCCGCCGGGCTACACTGCGCGCGGTAGCGTAAGCAACCCGCAATCGCCGTCTGGCGAGTTGCAGGTAGCCGCAGAAGCGGCCCGGTCACAACAACAGTCTCCCAGTTCCAGACGGCCGGTGCCGCAGATTGTGATTGAGCGGCACCCGCATTGACACGACAGGCCGGGCATGATGTAACGATGTACGGATTTCTCTTTTCTATTGGCGAGCTTCTTTTTGCATTGGATAATTTCGGGCGAATTTTTCTTTTTTCTTTTTTTAATGGGCCAGCGTTTCCTTTGTCTTGTTGCTGAGCATACATCTAGACAAGCATGAGACTACGGCGAAAGTCGTAAGGTAAAAAGGATTTGGTGGTACACGATGACAAGACCTGGTTCGATGCGACTTCCCACTTGTTATGTGACGACGACTCGTGGTATTTTTATTATTTATAAGCTAACAACATATTTCACTCCGTATAAGCGCCCTGGTCAACTTCGGTACTCATGGTGCTGATGATGGCGGATGGCTTATGCAAGCTTTAGATAATCTGGACTCGGTGCTCACAAACTGACGTGGTTCGGTCAGCGACCCCACCCACCCCTAACTCTGTACTGCAGTGGTACCTCGAAACCCCGCCAAACCCCAACAAAGTGACATGTACCAGCCCGAACAGGTTGCGCAAGCTGCATGGTGGGGGGGCATCGGTTGGTCAGATTCATGTAATCGACGGGAAATGTGATGAAGCAACTTCTACTGCCCAAGTCCCCAGGCCCTGTGTACGAAGCATTCATGTTTGCCTGGAAGTGAGCAGGGTCTGAATTGGTCACCACAGCGATTCATTTACGCCATCGATGGGCTGTACGGCGGCTTGCTCCTGGCTGCCCCGCCTTGCTGGTACCTGGAAGCAGCGCCGTCTGAACCTATGATACTTAGCAATCATCACAAATGCTGCGACAGGGTGGAGATGCAATTACGCTCTTGTCCCAAATAGAAAGAAGCCTCTCCTACGTGGCTAACACTGGCTGCATTCGGCAGCTTGCACTGGCTCAGGCTGGCCAAAGTATAAGAGCTCCACCGCCCGCCATAGCTGTCCTAGGCTCCCTCCCTCTTCCATCCGCATTCTGCAACTAGATTGTGTAAATATCTTCTTCTCTACTCCTTCACATTACCTTTTCAAAAACAACACCGCAAAGATGGTCAAGATTGCGATTATCTACGTACGTTGTCCCGCTTCACCGAGCTCCCGCATCGAGGTGTAGCTATCTCCCGCGCTGCCCCTCTTCCGTCCGATATGTTAGCTCTGGAGCTACTTACCTACCTGCTGGCGCTCAATCGAAGCTTCAACTCTACTCTAAATTCAAGAAAACTGCCTCCCATGGTCCACCCCGCTGACCTGCTCTCCCCAGTACTCGATGTACGGCCACATCAAGCAGCTGGCTGATGCCGAGAAGCGTGGCATCGAAAAGGCCGGCGGCACCGCCGACCTCCTCCAGATCCCCGAGACACTCCCCCAGGACGTCCTCGACAAGATGCACGCGCCGCCCAAGCCCACCAACGTCACCGTCCTTGAGGACCCCAAGCAGCTCCTCGAGTACGACGGCTTCCTGCTCGGCATCCCGACCCGTTACGGCAACTTTCCCGCCCCCCCCCCCCAGACATCGATGACCCTGAGGACGCGCGAGAACTAACCCCTTGACAGACCTTTTGGGACAAGACAGGTCAGATCTGGGCCTCGGGTGGCTACTGGGGCAAAAAGGCCGGCCTCTTCATCTCCACCGGCACCCTCGGCGGCGGCCAGGAGTCGACCGCGCTTGCAGCCATGTCCACCCTCACCCACCATGGCATTCAGTTCGTCCCGCTCGGCTACGCCAAGTCCTTCGCGCAGATCGCCGACCTGAGCGAGGTCCACGGCGGCTCGCCCTGGGGCGCCGGCACCTTCTCCGGCGCCGACGGCTCGCGCCAGCCCTCGGCCAAGGAGCTCGAGATCGCCACCATCCAGGGCGAGGCCTTCTACAACGCGGTCAAGGGAGCTTGAATGCATGGCAGTGAAGCCGAGGGGCAGCGGAGGAACGGACCGGTGGCTGGTGCCGGTAGCCAGCGTGCTAACGGGGCTGCGGCGAGGCAGGAGCCGGCCACCACAAGGAAAGAAAAGGAGCCCAAGGAGGGGCCGTGTGGTTTGCCGGTCAAGTGTGTTATTCTATAATCAGCCTTATAAAAGGACATTTTACCATACAGGATATATAAAATGGTGGCAATAATGCCATTCAAGCTGCAGTGTGCCGCTCTGTCTTGTACTCAGAGTCACTATCCATATTACCAGGCACTCGGTTACTTGTTTCGCCCGGTCTCTGAGTGGTTTACTGTGAGACACTTAAAAACGTGTTCGTCGGGCTATTTGCACTCGATCAGTGGACCTTGTAATGTGCATTCATCTCATTCGAAGAGCAACAACTTCCTCATACGCGACATTTTTCAATGACATCGATAATACTTGGCTCTCACCCTTGTAAACTGTGAAAGTGTGTCGGTAGCTGGAGACTTCGACTCGGCCATCGGCGAGCATGTGTCTACGCTATGTCTCCATCACGAGGGCCGAGACCTGCTGCCAGGTGTCGCAAAAAGCGAGAAACGACGCAGGACAGCCTTATTCTCAACCACGAGACCTACTACTGCCGTCGCCGTCAAAATGGTGTCAGACCTGAGGATTGAGAGAAGAGAGAATATCTCCTTCAAGTATTTGTCAGTATCCCCCGAGTGCCGGTGGGATCTGCCGCATGCCAGTCGCCAACACCTTTGCGCCGCCGCTTTTATCGGAGCATTAGACCAGAATGTTGGATGCCGCCAAGAAGAAGGCAGAACGAACACTCACTATTTGGCAGCTGTGGAAGCTATTGATAAATGTGAAATTCGTGATCAAATTATGAAAAAAAGAATAAAAGCTATGTTTTTAAATACGCTCCCAAAACGCCTCTAGAAACGATGCATTCCTCCGCCGCTGTCAGTCTATTCCCTGTTTTTAAGATGACGAGAATTCACCGTGATCCTTCGACTCAATACCAGGGACTTCACTTCTTAAACAAGTTTGTCTCGGAACCAAAGAACGGGTTCGGCTGGAACTGGTTGCGTGGGTGCGCCTGCAACTCGTTGACGAACAGCGGGCTCGCGTCCTCCTCGACCGGCGCCACGTGGACGTCGCCTCCATAAATCTCAACTGCCGAGATGAGGGGCATCACCAGCATCAGCATGGACAGCAACTGGCCGAAGCTCCATTCCTTTTCGTTCTCGTCCGCCAGCGCGACCGACGGCTTGCCAAACGCTGACGAGAGCAGGACGACACGGACCGCCGCACCGACCGCGACGGCCGTCATGGCGAGCAGCCCGACCACCTGGACCATCTTGTACCAGCGCTGCGCCCGGCTGTGCAGATACCACGTGGCAAGGCCAAACGTGGCCACGTTGCCGACAATCACGGCGATGGTGCCGACGTACGAGAGCGCGCCGGCCGCGCCGGGCGGCTTCCCGAACGCCGCATCGCCGTCCCAGACGCAGGCGACGGGGAGCGTGGAGACGGACATGCCGCGGGAGACGACCTGCAGGACAAATACGCCGGAGACGCAGGAGAGGACGAGGTTGGCGAGCATGAGGAGCTGGCGCAGCCAGCGCAGGACCCAGCCGCGGCGGTAGTCGCGGGCGAGCGCGAGCAGCGCGGCGTTGTGCGTGGCCATGGACAGCAGCGAGAGCATCCAGACGAGGAAGAAGTGGTACGGTACGAGGGTCTGCATCTTGGCGAGCGCGACGGACTGGATGCCGATGCCCTGGACGATCTGCGAGTCGCTGAGGCCGTTGAGGAGCTTCCGCTGGACGGTGCTGGCGGAGGCGGGGCGGCCGCGGACCTGGGCGGCGACGACGCTGGCGGAGAGGGCGAGGGCGAGCACGGCGGTGATCATGAATGAGAGGAGGATCTGAAGGAGGTTAGAAGATTTCTTTAAATGGAAGGGAAGGAGGGAGGGGGGGGTTTGGAAGGACGTACGCCTGTGCCGGCGACACCAGGCTCGCTGGGCGCCACGGGCGGCGCGACTGTGCAGTTGACCATGGGTTTTCGCAAGATGCAAGTGTATTAAAATGACAAGAATTTTCCGTACAGGAAACGCGTCGTAGAAGGATAAAAACGTGTTGAAACAGACGCAAGGCAGAGACGCCCGTCGACTACGAAAAAGTCGTGTGCAACCTAACGATCACGCCGCTGTACACGCTACTTTGTCACCCAGGACACGAAGTTCGTTTTCCAGGGACCATCCAGACTATGACGTTTGTTGGTTTTGGGTCAGGGGTTCAAAAAAGGGCTCCAGAAATGCCCCTAGTCGCGGCCCCTTGCCGGCGTCTACATTTGATTGGCTTTGCGTTGTTCGTTGCCCTGTTTCATCTTATTTTTTTACGACAGTTTCCCTTTGATGGCTTCTTTGCCTTGGGGTGCAGATCTACATTGGCAGGCATCACGAATAGATCAGTCCAGATTTTTGGTCGACTGAAAAAAAAAATTCGAAGAATGAGCCGCTTTTCTTTTATTGTGCTTCTCTTGCCAGTATCTGTTTTTTAAGGAAATAAAACCGCTGCTGACTTGCGTCCCTCGTCCGACGAGGTTGCTGTGGATACATGGACGACCAAAATCAAGGAATCGACAAATGCACCGCCGCGAAGTATGCCCATGCTGGAATGATCTTGGCTAATAGATACGGTCTGTCGAGCTGGCAAGTTTAATGCATGCCTGTTTCACAATGCAACGCAGTAAGCTCATATCCTTTACTAACAGGTCAGCCACTTACTTGGCTTGCTGACAGCTTCAATAATGGCTGCATACAAAGGCTGGCCACCACATAACTCAATTTGCACTTATTTTGAGATGAAACTTTGTATAGCCTTAAGCATCGTAGCATTGCCTTTAATCATCCGCCAATGACGAGTTAGGCATCTCGACGAGGGCATAGTTTGTCCGGTAACCTGCAGCCCAGTGTGTAGGGTACCTACTTTGGAGGCAAGTTAGCGGCGGGGAAGTGCCTTTTTCTTCCGATTAATTCTGGTCATAAATCAGCAGTCCTCGGTTCCTAATTCCCCATGTTAATGAAGCAGCCCTCGTCTGCCGAGATCTGCGCTTCCTAAAAGGGCAGGTTGCGTGGCCCTCTTGTTGAATGCCACTGGGCAGATTAACTATCCGTAGTTACAGTGCGTGCGCAGTCCCTTCCACACATGCACAGTGACGGATCCTGCAGCCGGCGCAATTCTACTACTTGCCGTTTGACCCCGGAAAGCCTCATGGCATGGAGCTGACTCTTCACCACCGCTCAGCGGCCGAGCGCCGCATATAAATACAGCGAAGTAGATAGCGGCTAGGATCTGGCACAGCATGTGATCAGGTACCTGGCACCGTTCGTCCATCGGCTGTCGCGATATCCGGGGAGCGGGCCGACAGGAGACCCGACGCAAATCGATACGCCTACTAGCTACCCTGCGCTTGTGCTAGAAAAAAAAGTCAAAGATACCTTACCTGAGCTCGATCTACGGCTGCTGCATACACGGTCTACAATGAGATGACAGCAGCAGCTGCATCTCGCACGCAACGTCAGCCCCCCGGCAGGGTAGTGCCGTGGGACGTTGCAGCGCTGGCTGGCGGCTGGCTTTGAAGGAGCCAGTTAGCTTCTGCCTCAATCGAGGAGCCAGCATCGGGGTGCATTCAGCTTTGTTGCCAGCTGGATTTGACGTACGTTTTGCAATGGGTGTGGACGAGGGCGCCGATGACTGGTCCGGCCAGCTTTACTGCGAGCGAAACAAGCGGCCTGGTGCGTGTCTTGAGGTGATCGGGGGTATGCGTGGCATGGGTACAAAACGTCGAGACTCTTCTTCTTTTTATCTTTGCCTTCTCTCCCCAAGAGATTGAACACGTCGATACCCGACATCAACGACAATCATCTCCCACGCACACACTCCCTACATCTTGCAACCATGTCCGCCACCAATGGCACAAACGGTCAACAACATCCTGTCCGAAGTCGCTCCGCCAGCTCCCCCTACCAATCTGTTCAAGACTACCTCTCCAATGTCGCCAACTTCAAGATTATCGAGTCCACCCTGCGCGAGGGCGAGCAGTTTGCCAATGCATTCTTCGACACTGAGACCAAGGTCAAGATGTACGGCCTCAACCCCGACTGTGCGGAGAAGTCGTCAAGTTTGTAGATGATTGTTAATTTGCTTTTGAAAAACATAGTGCCAAGGCTCTTGATTCCTTTGGTGTCGACTTTATTGAGCTGACCTCGCCCGTCGCCTCGGAGCAGTCATTCAAGGACTGCAGGACTATCTGCAGCCTTGGTCTCAAGGTACGTCCTCGCCCCCCCAATACAACCGCACATGCGTCCGATTTTGCTAAGACTAGATTCTCGACGGCAGGCCAAGATCCTTACCCGTATGTTCTTGAAACACACAAGTCGCCGCCTTCCTCGAAACGGATCTAATACCTCTTCTCTTCTTTTCTTCTACAGATGTTCGCCTCAACATGGAGGATGCCAAGGCCGCTGTAGCGTGAGTTTGTCGAGCAGAAGAGACACACTTGAGGCTAACAGATCCAGCACTGGTGTAGATGGCGTCGATCTCGTCATTGGAACTTCCAGCTTTCTCCGTGAATTCTCCCACGGCAAGAGCATGACCTACGTCCAGAAGACGGCCCTCGAGGTCATCGAGTACCTCAAGGGGTATGTTACCACTGCGACTCGTCGCGATTTTACAGTCTCTGAGCTGACGCGTCTCTCTTCTCCTCCAGTGAGGGCGTACAGGTCCGGTTCTCGTCCGAGGACTCGTTCCGCTCCGACCTCGTCGATTTGCTATCTCTCTACAAGGCCGTCGATACCGCCGGCGTCCAGCGTGTCGGTATTGCGGACACTGTGTGAGTTGCTTCTTGCTATATCGACTTCTATTAATAATTTCTTTATCTATAATAAGAGCTGCATTTTTCTAACTAGATTTAATAGCGGCGGAGCCACTCCCAGAATGGTCTACGATCTCGTGCGTACCCTGCGTGGTGAGTCAATAAAGCGGAGCTATGATGAAGGTAAACTGTACTGATTCAGTTTATAGGTGTCGTGCAATGCGATATCGAGACTCATTTCCACGACGATACCGGTATACTGCTACAGCATAATTGATTCGAATTGCAGTTATGAGCTAACCATGTTAGGATGCGCCGTTGCCAACGCTCACGCTGCCCTCGAGGCTGGTGCCACTCATGTTGATACTTCAGTTCTCGGAATTGGCAAGTTACACGCGGATAAGGGAAGACGACGGATAAATCAATGCTAATATAGATGTTAGGTGAGCGTAATGGAATCACTCCTCTCGGCGCCTTCATTGCGCGCATGGTTGTCACCGCGCCCGACTACGTCAAGTCCAAGTATAACCTCAAGGAGCTTAAGGCTCTTGAGACGCTGGTAGCCGACGCCGTGCAAATTGTAAGATTTCCTTGAAATCCCTGAGCTTACGGTCGCGTGCTAACCACTTAATTTTTTTTCTTTATTTTGCAGAATATTCCTTTCAACAACCCCGTCACCGGCTTCTGCGCGTTTACCCACAAGGCTGGCATCCACGCCAAGGCCATTCTCAACAACCCGTCGACGTACGAAATCATCAACCCCGAAGACTTTGGCCTGAGCCGCTACGTGTCGATTAGTAGTCGCATCACCGGCTGGAATGCCGTCAAGTCTCGTGTTGATCAGCTCGGCCTCAAGATGTCGGACGAGCAAGTCAAGGAAGTGTATGTGGACGTGCCTGTTGCTAACCTACGTCGGTGCAGAGGAGAGGAAAGGATGCTAACAGACGTTTATAGTACCGCCAAGATTAAGCAGCTAGCGGACATTCGTCCTCTGGCAATCGACGATACCGATTCCATCCTGCGTTCGTTCCACGCCGAGCAGGTGGAGGGCTGCGGCAGCTACTAGATGAATGAAAAGAATTATGGTTTACAGATGGATGATGTTTTGTGGTTTCCCAGGAAATGGGAAGAGGAACATATCGGGGCCAAAAATTAGGGGCTGAGAACGTGGTTGTCCATCTGAAATACTTGAGTTAAGTTTTTGGACGAAGAAGTCGTCGTTTGCTTTATCAACGTGTCCGAACGTAGACCGTCCATCAATGCATGCATTTGTGCATGCACGCATATGTACTACATGACTAATAATGTGATGTGCTTGACGTGGCAAGACCCGAGCAATGTGATTATACTGTTAGTGGTGCAATATCCACGTCAAAATTGCGCGGTATTCGAAGCTAACCACGATGTTCAAGTAGACGGCAGTTTATCACGGTGCACCCTTGAGTCCGACTGATGCAGAGGAGATGTCGTACTAACGTGCTTGTGGTCCCTGGCCGAGGAGATGCTAATAATAAGATACGTGCTGGCACCCTGTACCTTGCACCCATGTAGACCACGAGGATGCATTTGATCAAGGCATTGCTTTTCGGCAGATGATATCCGCGGCCATGTTTTTCTCAGGCTAGGCAGAATCCCTCCCATGACGATTTTTGTTTTCATTTTTATGTCAAGTTTCTGCTGCCTCGCGACGTGCCACAGCATTGGGTCGAGTCAAGTCTGGAACAAGCGGCGGAAGTCGCACAACGGGAAGCGAGCCATCAAACTTTTTTCTTCCTACGTCGAAACTGACAGAGGCGGTATCACAGTTGCACAAAGGGAAAAGTTTCTCGGCGGCATTGTTCGAGAGGGACAAAGGCTGGTACATTGCAGGGGAGGCGGGGACGAGGAGCATGGGGATGCATGGACCTTTGTATGGTGTGCGGCAAAAGCACAGACTGGAGGTGTAGGAGGGAGGTCGGACAGTTGCCAGTGTGTACAGAGCGCAGCACATGCGAATTGACGGTGGTGAGATGTTTTGATTATGCGGTACGATTGAACCCTGCAGAGGGCCAGTGAAACAAAACCAATCTGTACGTGATCATGTATGGTGAGATGCATTTGATGATCAACTACGAAAAAAAGGAAATAAAGGCATAGGAACATGGCATTAGAGACTATTCAAGATGGATAAAGGAAAGCGAAAAAAAAAAAAAAAGAAAAAAAAAAGAGGGAATGAATAGCATGACAGTTGCGGGAAATGCACCAAAGGTCCTGTCGTCTTGTTTGCACTCGTACGGTGGCAACGGTTTTGGTCGCACCCGGCCGCGGCTCCAGGTGGTGCAACGTGATTGTGCAACGGGGAGCCGGGAAGGGCCAAAAAAAGAAAGGAGGCAAGAGGGTTTGTCGATGAGGCAGGGTCAGAGATGTGCGCAAGGTTGGTACCGAATTTGATAGGAGAAGAGAGGGACAAGACAAGTCTCAAATTCAGTAACTGTGTGAACCAGGACAAGCACAGACGGATGCGCGCGCCGCCCCTTGGCAGGAGGGGATTGCCTAGGAATATAGTTTATCGGCAAGGTATAATCTGTGCCTGGCACTGGGTTTTTGTAAGAAGGGGGAGGTTGGGTTCTGAGCAGCAAAAAGATCAGACGAGTGTCAAGTGGGGGACGGGAGAGGAAACAAGGAGCCCACGCACTGGCTGGCCCATGGCTATTTTTATTTATTGTATTATTAGGGATTCCTCCTTCTCTTCTTCATTCTTTCTTCTCTTCTTTTGGTTTGGCTATTTTTGGGTCTCGTTCATGCTAACGTTATGCTAACATTATGCTAACGTTAACATGAGTGATGCTTTTATGCAGTACTTATGCAGATGGGGTTATTTGTAACGGAAACCCACGCACTTGGCTCATTACTTGGTTGAGGCAATGCCCTCCGGATGCCAGGCACACAATGCCGATGGTGATAGAGTGATAGAGTTGGGCGCCGCTGCAAGGCCATCGTGGCGCCAGGGCGGGCTCCTGCAGGGGGGTGGATACCTGAAATCAATCTATCAGGAAGTGACTACTAACGTTAGCAGGTTAGCTACCAATAAACTTTCAGAGTCGTTCCAATTGCAATTAATTGCTGGCTGTGTTGGTGATGTCAAATTCAGCAGCAACTTGCCGAGGTATCTGGGATCTGGCTAGGTAAGGCATGTACCTCTCTATCAAACGCAGACACCGAGCCCTCCCGCCTCACCACGTTCACCACTCTACCTCCCGCCAAGCTGTCGGCACCTGTCACAAGAAAACCTCCTGCCTGAATTGGACGCCGTCCGCCCGCCGTTTGCTTCTCTCGTCTGTGCCTGGCACACGCACGCACATCCGCACGCGTCTCCCATCTGCATCGACAACATCAAACAATCCAGTACCAATCACCCATCAAGATTCACCACCCACCATCCTCATCCATTTCTTGGCCCAAAACCATCGCACTCACTCTCCAACGCTTCGCACAGTCATCGCTTATTATTAACTAGTACAACCTGGCCCTCCGTCTTCTCGCTCCACCCCCCCCTGCGGATACACACCCCTCCCTCGACAACTCTCGTCCCCTCGTCCTCCTCCCCCGGAATGCTCGACCACCACGTTGGGGAGAGTTGGTTTCTCATCCGTCTCTTGCCAGTCTCGCGCCGTCGACATGCCGCCTCACCAGTAGGGTAGCCATCAAGTGAATAGCGAGACCGCGAGACCGCGAGGCGGGACCGCGGGACCGCGAACCAAGACGCCGGCCTACCCGTCCAGATTGCCAATCACCACCCACCTCGAGCCTCTCTGCTACTTTGCTCTCGCTCGCCCATACCCTCTTCTCAACTCCCGGGCCCACAGCTTTATATCGATGAAAGAATTCATGGGTCAAGAGACCAAGAGAAAAAGGCAACATCCCTCATCACCTCTTCTTCCCACAAGGGCGGCATGCCAGGCCAGCCCAAGCTAGGCTAGCCAGAGTGCTTGTCTCACCCTCCGATGAAACACGCCCGACGATGCCAGAAACATGTCCGGTCTGTGGCACGCAAAGAAAATAAAACGAGTACGGAAAAAGAAAACCGATACCCCCCATTTATTATCGTCCTTTTTTTTTTTTTTTTTTTTTTTTTTTTCTTT